TGGATGGCCAAGGGCACCATCCACATCTAGGGGCAATGCACCTGATTTTTCGCCCAACATCCTCCCTTCAAAGAACCTTCGACGCCATGGTTTAGACTGAAATCCACAAGGGGGTTATCATAGCAGCTTCGTCGCCACTGTTGTATAGTAGCCGAACCTTTCCGCAATCCGTAGTTGCACCACTCTTCTGGGTCCGTGCGTGTCCAATTTTTTAAGACGCCACCTAGGCCAGGCTCTCTCGCGTGATTCATGATAAAAATATCATTCAATACTTTGTTGAGATATTGGACGGGTCCTGTGTTGTCATGAAAGCACACCTCGAGTTGACAAAACATTTTGTAGCAACTTTTCTTGTGGATCCCAGGCGCGTGGGGACAGTTCCTCGAAAAGTCTTCCTCAAGTGCGTCGTCATTTGCACTTGCTGGACCAAAGTTCATCATCGCCGAAACAAGCGCTAAATATCCGACTATCTGGCCTTGCATCTTACTTTGACTCGTTGCTTGCGCTGACGCTTCCTCTGCAAGTCTAGTTACGGCGATTCCATCCTTTTATCTTCTCAGGGTGCCAGGGGTCAAGCTCATGACTGATGCAGCTGCGTGGTACCATGTTTGTCATCCGCAAACTGCACTTCTTCGAAAGCCGACAAATATTTGCGCAATTTTAAAATCACTTCGCCCCAACAGACCATTTGCAGAAGCCTTCAAGTAAGCTGCAAAGAGGCAGATGGGCAAGAACTCTAGCGCATGCCATCATATGACAAGCCCTGTTGCGTGGGAGGGCTTACACAGCAAGTAAGACGATGGTCAGGTGCATGGACATGTATGTGGATGCGAGAATGGGGACAAATATTTGTGCTGCTGCAAAGATGTTGTGACTTTGGGCTCTTTCATTCGCCTGATTTTCAGCATGCGAAAGCTAACTTTGCCAAGACGAGAATGGTCACAAACATTGCATGTGCCAAGAGGCGAAGTTGTAATTGGACACATGGGTGATTTTGAGCTGCATTGCAAACAAGACAAGGCGAGGAACAAAGACCGGTGGCTCACGAAGGCGTAACTATTGGGATAGCATGATTACTGGTGAAGGACTTGCATCGGCTTCATATGCAATCACATGCTCTGATGTGCCAAGAGTATGCCGAGCCAGTCAATAGCTATAGATGCGTATGATCGTGTAATTACAAAGTTTGTCTCGTGAAGAGCAGGCATAGGGAACGCTCGAGACCAGTCTACTTTTCACATTGCTGGCAGCCCCCACTCCTCGTATCGATCAGGACAAGTAGGCCAGAAATGTAGTATTGGCAAGCTGCACTTCATCTCAGACTACAGCAACGTGAAGCCCAGCCTTTCGACTTTCAAGGGATTTGGCCAGCTAGCAGATCTAGAAGTTGAAGAGTCGGCCTTCGGTCGAAGATATGACTCTGTTGAGGGCAGCCGGCGCTAAGAGCTTGCGGATGCAATGCATTGAGCCACCACATCTACAAATAGGAAGGCGACTCTGTGATTTTCACGTCAAACGGCAACGAGAAGCTGGAACGCAGGCGGGCGCTTCACAAATGCAACAATACTTGGCCGGATGACACTGTCAGAGGGCTGCGCAGCATTGCGAGGCCTCCATATAATGCCGGTTTTACTAATGCGAGGGCTTAGAACGCACAGCTAATCCGCGCCTGGTCATTCATCCACAAACTTGCACAGGGTTCTTCATTGAAGTCTATCCGTGCAAGCGCTATTCATATGGCTGCGAACCTAGGACCGCAGTGCGCATGTCGGTCGCGTAATGGAGCGTCTGTGACCAGAAATGCGCACGCAAGTAGTTGAGTGTGCGTGAAACAAAGTGCTGATCGTCAATCACCAGAGTGACTACAAAGCGCAGATGCCAAGGAGAAAGGCCGTAAGAAGAAGTTGCAGTTCCCAGTCTGCTGTACAGCCAATCGACTATTCCTCCATACGCTCAGCCTGTGTCATAGCTGCAGTTGTGCAAGGCAAGACCAGGACTTGTCACTTGCGTCGTCTCGGAGTTTTTGACCTTCGCGTCACAACTTCAAACGCGACTCCCAATAACGACCAACATGTCTCGTTCCATCTACAAGCTTATACAAGCAGCGGGTCCTGGCGAAATCAACGACGTCTTTGCTGACATTCGTGCACTTGTGGACAACGACAATCAAGTCTTTGCGAAAGCCGCACCAGAGCTCGCACAGTACAACAAAAGTCAACTGCTGGTAGTCAAGGTGGACGGCGAGGACACAGTCCTCTCAGAGGAGGCCGAACTAGCAGACGGCCGGTTCCAAGATGCGCGGCGCGGCAAGGTTTTTGCCTTCGATCACCTGACGCTCAAGGCAAGCGATACAGAGACAGCGCCGGTGCCGACTGCTGTCAAAACGCTTGCCGCTTCTGTCGAGGCTTACACGCAAGAGCATTTCCCCAGTGCGGCCTTCTCTGTCACACCGCAAGGCGACAATTTAGTGGTCTCCATCGTCGGCAACAAGTACAGCCCAGACAACTTTTGGACTGGTCGCTGGCGGAGTACGTATGTCGTGGGCAAAAGTCGGCTCGACGGGACGATTCTACTGGATGTGCACTACTATGAAGATGGTAACGTACGGCTGCTGACCCAGAAGCAAGTCGAAGCTGTCGCAGAGCCATCGACAGCTGTACGTAGCATAGCGCAAGCGGAGAAGAAGTACCAGGAAGAGCTGAATCGCGCCTTTGGTGTGCTGGGCGAAGGCAGCTTCAAGGAGCTTCGCAGGGCGTTGCCAGTGACGCGGTCCAAAATCAACTGGGACTCGGTCGCGAGTATGCGCATTGGTCAAGAGATTCAAGGTGGGCGCGAACGGGCTTGATGACGCGACTGCTCGTCCTATGGGACAGGCTGAGAGACTGATGCGACACTGTGAGCACTGCTCGTGGCATTCATAGGAAGACGCATCCAAACCAGCCTGCATAGACACACTATCACACTGCTTGATGCTTGATGCGATGGACATGACTCTTGTTTTGCTCGCGACAACTCACGACAACTTGTTCACGCGACGGGCACAGACCAAGGCTGGCTCCATGGAAGACTTTGACCTTGCTCAAGCGCTCGTCGATCTGAGCCTTGCCAACAGCGACAAGGCCTCACCTCCGCCAGGGAGTAAGAGCGAGTCTCAAGACGATAGAGACACACCCTCAACCAGCGTCTCGACACCTCAGCAGGCGTATGCTGTAGCAGATGCCCACATCAAGGATAACTGTGTGACGCCCGTCGAAGGAACAGCATCCGCACAGCTCCAATCCTGTCTAGTCATCCTCCAAACTGCATGCGACTTGCACAAGTTTTCTCGCCCTGTGCGTCAAAGAGATCTCGACTCCATCGTCGAGCGACCTGAACGAACCCGCGCAGCGACAATAGGTATCCTTGTTGCTCTTGCTCGGCTGCAGCACAGTCAAAGTCCTCATTTTGATGTTCAACATTGCTCGCGCCGTGGCTGGCTAGGCGATCACGCTGTCGAGGCGGTCCATGGCTATGTGTACCCTCAGGATCTTCTCAAACTATCCCGAGAAGCAGCAGACAGGTTGGCGCGCGGTGAACTGGAAGTACCCGAAGGATATCCGTCTGGCGACTTGTACTTGGGACCTGCCTCGCTAGATGCACTAAATGGCTGTCTTGGCGCAGTCTATGATGCAATCGACGCACTGTATGTCTCGTCTAGCCCCTACGACCGTTGCCACGTATGCATACGGCCTCCTGGTCACCATGCAGCAGAGACTGCTCCGTCTGGGTTCTGCTGGCTCAATAATGTGCATGTGGCCATTGCCTATGCAAGGGAACGGTATGGTGTACGCAGAAGTGTAATTCTCGATTTCGATCTCCATCACGGCGATGGCTCCCAAGAGATTGCCTGGAAGCTCAATGAGACGACGCCAGATTCAATCGGCTACTACTCAATCCATGACATCCGCTCCTTCCCTTGCGAGTTGGGCGACATTGCAAAGATTCGCGAAGCGAGTGTATCTATCAGCGCTCATGGTCACAACATTCACAACGTCCACATTGAACCATGGGGGTCACAGGCCGAATTTGATGAGATTTACGAGCGGGCCTATTCAACCATCTTTGAAAAGGCTGCAGCCTTTCTCGCACCTGCACAAGAACGTGGCGAGGCAACCCTGGTGTGCATCTCTGCTGGATACGACGCGTCCGAGCATGAAAATCCAAACATGCAGCGTCATGTCGCCAATGTTCCAACCAGCTTTTACCAGCGTTTCACAGAAGATGCCGTCAAGCTTGCAAAGAAATTCGCCAATGGCAAGGTTTTATCTGTGATGGAGGGAGGCTATGGAGACCGAGCCATCATCTCCGCTGCAGGCTCGCATTTACTTGGTCTTGCAGATTGCCCTGCTTCGATGGACCGTGCAGAGATGCAGAGCTGGTTCAATCTAGACAACCTTTCTCTGATTGAAAAGACTTTCCCGAGAAAGCAGCGCGCACGCAAGATGCTGGGCGTGCAGCCAGCGGAGAGGGCCTGGCTAAAGACTGCCGAAGTGCTCGTGACGAGGCACTTGCCAACAGCGACTTTGAATGAGAGCCCCGTCAAATCAGAATTAAGCGCCGATCTTGGCAAGATGACACTTCGAACACGTCTGCCGCGATCGACACCCATATCGTCACCAGCCAAAGCGCCGCGCTCAACAGTCAGACGGAGTGTACCAGATGGAGACACGCCTAGCAAGGTCTCTTCAGCTCCGCTGCCAAGCGTTCTCGAAAGCAATTCGGCCAGTACACTGTTGCAGCCAAATGGAGGGGCGCCAAGCGCATTGGAAAGTCCTCAGAAGAAGAGCGTGCCACAGCAACAGTCGGTCATTGAGGCTTCAAGCTTCGACATTTATGACTTCCCTCTCGACACGCCTAGGCCTGTGTCGCGCAGCCGTCCCTGAGAAACTCTGCCACATCAGCTCTTGTGACGTAGCGGATTTTGGCATTTGCAAGGCTAGTTTGCTTCTCACCGCTCATCTCTTCAATGCCTTTCACACCTTCTCGCAGCACTGCAGTTTCGAAGCCACGCTGGCCTGCAGCAAGTGCAGTTTCGAAGACGCAATAGTCTTCCGCGATGCCGACACAAAGGATGCGACGAATGTTGTGCTCCTGTAGGTACTGCTCGAGTCCAGTCTCCTCGATGCCCAAACAATCGGAGAAGGCAGAGTAAGAGTCAACATCGGCATTGTAGCCCTTCCTGTGTGTTAGTGGAGCAGTTTCACTGGAGTGCGTACTGCACAATCTTGGTGAGAGGTAGACGGGCTATTTCTGGATGTAAGTCCGCTCCGTGGGTGCCTTGTACGCAGTGGACTGGCCAGAGCCGTTGTGTGTAGGTCTTCGCAGCATCATTCTTGTAGGTCACACGCACACTCTGCATATCTCCCTTGTGGTTCGCAGCGAATGAGACGTGGTTCCGGGGATGCCAGTCTTGCGTAGCAATGATTTGGTCAAATGGATGGTTGAGCAAGCGCTGGATGACAGGTATGATTTCCTCTGCATGTGGTACGGCAAGAGCGCCGCCGTCTAGGAAGTCGTTTTGCACATCGACAATGAGCAGAGCAGTCTTGGGCATGCCAGCAGGATCAGCAGGACTACGCTTATTACAAGATTGGGCCTGCTAGTACTCTAGTCAGAATAGTCAGAATAGTCAATAGTCGGTAGTAGTCTAGTGAATCGAGTCTGGTCGCGGTTGATCCGAGGCGGGATGCGATAAGAAAGCAAAAAGCGCGCAAGAGACGGAAGAAGAGACCTGAGCAGCAGACAACACATCCACAGACCATGCCAGGCAGACTGGAAGGAAAGATTGCCATCATCACAGGCGCAGCAGGCGGAATTGGCCTCGAGTCTGCGTATGGCTCGTATCAACATACACAACCAGCTAACGCACAGCATTCTCTTTGTGCAACAAGGCGCGTCGGTCGTCCTCAGCGATGTCAATGAAGCCACGCTCGCCAAGGCTGTAGCACGCCTCCTTGAGGTGGTTCCAGGTAGCGAGGACAAGGTCGCATCGAAGAAGTGCGACGTGAGCAAGGAAGCCGACGTCGAGTCGCTTGTTGCCTTTGCAGACGACAAGTGGCCAGCAGGTATCGACATCATGTTCAACAATGCCGGCATCATGCATCAAGCAGATGACAATGCCTTGACTACAGAGGAGCGTATCTGGGACCTGACACACAACATCAATGTCAAGGGTGTCTGGTTTGGCTGCAAGTACGCCATCAAGTCAATGCTTGCACACAAAAAGGACCGCGGCTCTGTCATCAACACGGCGTCTATGGTGGCCTTCCTTGGAGCCGCGACACCGCAGCTCGCATACACAGCCAGCAAGGGTGCAGTGCTCGCCATGACCCGCGAGCTGGCCATCACACACGGCAAAGACGGCATTCGCTTCAACTCGCTTTGCCCGGGACCTCTCAACACGCCACTGCTGCAGGACTTTTTGGATACAAAGGAAAAGACTGAGCGTCGTACCGTTCATCTTCCGAGTACGTTCCTATCTGAAGCATCCAGCACTAACAAGCAGTGGGCCGCTTTGGCGAAGCTATTGAGCAGGCGTATGGCGCTCTGTATCTGGCGTCGGACGAGTCTTCGTACGTGACTGCCGCAGACTTTTTGGTCGATGGCGGTCTGACCAAGGCGTATGTGACGAGCCTCGGCGGTCCCTCGACCTTTGTTCCCAACAACCAGGCCTAGATATTGGTAGAGAGATAGCATCCACTCGCGCGGCTAATTTGCGTGGGATGATTTGTGCGACGTCGCGAAATTGCCAAGATGTAGACCGACTACTCATTGTAGTAATCAGCGGGCATTGAGCAGTGCTGTCAAGACAATACACTCAACAAGCATGGTCCAGATCAAAACCCTCTCCCCCGTTGACCAATCTGTCGTGGTGGAACGCACAGAGGCAACTGATGCCGAGATAAACACCATCTTTGCGAATGCGACCAAGTCCTTTCCTCGCTACGCTAAACTCCCTCTCTCAGAGCGCATACAGATTGCGACACGATTCTTGGACCTCGTCGCAGATAAGAGCGATGAGCTCTCCGAGGAAATCACGCGGCAAATGGGCCGGCCTATCCGGTACTCGTCTATTGAAATCAAGACTGCCATCATGCGAGGCAAATACATGGTAGGTATCGCCGAGGAACAACTGGCCGATGTGCAGGCCGATAACAGTGATCCTAAGATTCGCAAATTCCTACGCAAGGTGCCGAAAGGCCCAGTCTTCGTCATTGGCGCCTGGAACTATCCCTGGCTCATCACCATCAATGCCGTCCTGCCAGCGCTCATTGCAGGCAACACCGTCGTGCTCAAGCCCTCGCCACAAACGCCGCTTGTTGCAGAACGCTTTGTCGAGCTATACAGCGCAGCTGGCCTTCCTGAGCATGTCTTGCAATGTATCCACGTCGGCTCACCAGATATTGTCAGCAAAATTTGTCAACGTCCGGAGCTTAAGCACATTTCATTCACAGGCTCTGTGGCAGGCGGAAGGGCGGTGGATCGCGCTAGTGCGCTTGCTGAACGCGATGGCTTCATCAGCGTTGGTCTGGAACTAGGTGGCAAAGACCCAGCGTACGTGCGCGCTGATATCGATCCAAAAGTTGCCGCTGTTGAGCTCGTTGATGGCGCCATGTTCAATTCTGGGCAGTCGTGCTGTGCTGTCGAGAGAATCTATGTTGATGCAAGCATTCATGACGCCTTTGTCGAGGCATTTGTGGCAGAAGCCAAAGCTCTGGTGCTTGGCGACCCGAACGATCCAGCAACCACGCTGGGCCCAGTCGTTTCATTACGCTCGGCAGAAGCCATTCGCGCTCAAGTAAGCGAAGCCGTCAGTCAAGGGGCCAAGGCGCACATCGACTCGAGCCATTTCAAGGCAAGCAAAGAAGGAAGCTGCTTTGTGGCCCCGCAAGTTCTCACTAATGTCAACCACTCTATGAAATGTATGATTGAGGAGACCTTTGGACCAACGGTTGCTATTCAAAAAGTTTCATCAGATGAGGAAGCCATTCGGCTCATGAATGACTCGCAGTTCGGACTCACTGCAAGCATTTGGACGAGCGACAAGGATGGTCAGGCCGAACCGCTTCTCCGGCAAGTCGAAGCAGGCACGGTCTTCATGAATCGTTGCGACTATCCGGACCCTTCGCTTGCCTGGACAGGTTGCAAGCAATCTGGCCGCGGTATCACGCTATCACAGTAAGTTCTAACCATCTAGGCATTATGCTAACTTCAGGTATGCATACGAATCCTTCATTACGGTGCGATCGTTTCATCTCAAGTCCTTCTAGTCAAGATATCTTCATTCTGCCGTTTCCCTGATGATGGCAGACTTGTCTGGCACGAGATAGGTAGAATTACTTCTTGATGCGCTGTAAAATGATACTGGCGCTTGCAATACGGGCGAGGTCCCTTTGATGACTGCAACAGCAAGAGACGGCTGTGGCAAGAACAAGCTGCTCGCACCATTATAAATTGCTTTGACCTCCCCTGATCCCGTGATGATGAGCTGCTGGCTCAGTGCATTTGAGATGGACCCGACCATCAAGCTGATGAGATGCCCTTGAGGATAATGGCGTTGCCAAGTGCCCTGTCGGGATCTGTAACTAGCAAGCAGATTCTGTCTTTCTGGTTCTCCTTTGGCATTGAATGAGCTAGATTGAGAGCCACGCCTGTCGCCAGGGCCTCGCAGTAGTGGGCTGAAACTGCTAAAGGATGCCGAGTTGGGCAGAGTCAAGGTGTCGTTCGTGGTCAAGTCTGACAAATTGCCAGAACTGTATGCTGTTGGAAGACTAGCAAGCTCTGTGCTTGACTGGTTCCGCGACAAGCGTCCGTGACTGCCAGTGTCCCTATCGCTAGGCTCCTGTAGCTCACCAGCCGTACAGATGGCGACAAAAGCGTCCTTGGGGATGACGGTCGATCCAAGCAATGTTTCCTCCGTCGCTTGGCGGACAAGGAGCAGTGGATCTGGTCCAACAGTGCTGTGCTGCGTCGCCGCTGAATAGAGTTTCCAAAAGATGCAAGTTGTGACAAGCATACGTGTCTGCAGGAGAGCGGACAAGAGATGATCCGGTAAATTCTTGACGGCATTAGTCTTGGTGAACGCGTCAAGCTGTTCAGCATTGTCCGAGGACGACTCGACAGAAGGCGCGCCAGGTGCAGCCTCTTGCAACGTGGCGTGCGATGGTAACGGGCTCATACCTTGTGCTCTACTCTGATCGCTGAGTATAAATCCAAGGTAATCGTCGTTGGCCGAAAGTTCCGGATCGGCCAGTCTTGATTGAACGGCGTGGTCAAGCTCAGTACGGAGCTGTTCTGCTAGGCGCGCTTCGGCTTTGCTGTCTTGCCGGTCGTCTCTGAGTCGTCGACACAGCTCGTCATACGGTTGCGCCAAGCTCGCTGGAGTGTCACCAATGAAAATGGTAAGCAGAGCAGTCGAGACAATTCTATCGACGATGTCATGGAGGTTACCGTTGCCAAAAGGTTCCATCAATGACGCGAGCGAGTTGAGAATCATTCTATTCAAAGCAGAGGACATGGTCGTCCTTGTCTTGGAAAAGCCAGCAGCAAGACACAGCCTGCATGCTTCATTGAACGATGCACTGCGACCAAAGGGCGAGTCTTCTTTGAATAGATGGTTCCAAGCGTAGCGCGTGGCCGCGTCCCAAGAGAGCTCTTCCTTGTGCTCGGAAGAGAGAAACTGGACAATGAGTGCGTCGCTGTTAACAATCGTCAGCGTCTTGTATGCCGGTACGATGTCTGTCCAAAAGACAGGCGCAGGCAGGTGGTTGCGAATCCTGTTCAACTCGCCAATCGGGTCGTTCTTGAATGCCTTTCGTCGTTTGTACGGTAAGCTGAGGTAGATGCCCGGCGATTTTGGCCAAGAAGGATAGGCATGGTGCAGTCTGGGCTTCCAGACGACAATGTAGAAGAAGCAGAGCACGCCAAAGACGAGTGTAAAGGCGAACCAGGGCGATAGAATTCCGGCGAGGATCTTTGTTCTGAGAGTCAGTATCAATTTGCCTCGGATCAATCATACGAAAGAGAGTAATCATGCTCGGAAGACATGCTCGAGCGTTTGGCAGGCGCTACGTGATGCGCAGTGACTTGACGGCACGTTGCGTTTTTGCTCAGAAACGCTCACCAGCTTCGGTATTGCTGCGCCAGATGTGAAGCCCCCTTGCTGCGGGCCTATGCGATGGCCGGACTTGTTGCCGAGTACAGTGGACGCTGGGAGGTGAGAGCTTTGTCTTGTTCCTGCGGCTGATTTGAAAATGACGGCGAGACGGAATTCGTCCAACCGACCCCTGCTTTGGTCAGGATGCCTCATCATGCCTGCAACTAGGGGAGCTCCTGTCTGATTCCATAAGGGGACTGCCAGTCATTGAATGGTCTGGACTATGCCTGGACCATGCTGGCATGTCTGCTTGTTGATTGTGCAAGACTTCATGCCTGTCGCTCGACTTGGACAAGACCTTTCTGCATGAAACTCAGGCAGAGCACTGACAAGCGCTCTTCTTAGACTGCAGATGCGGTGTTACAGTGCAGAAGTCGTTGTATGCTTCTATCAGACGGCAGCGGCCTTTGCTATATTGCTGGACTGATCAAAGGTGCCCGGTCGGCCTACATCGTGCAAATCTCCTTTGCTACTGCACAAACAAGCTTCGGCGTGGGTCATGGGCAGTCTATGGTTCGTGACCAATACCGAAACCTACTGGTGACAGTAACAAGGAGTCCTGGCCACGATTGACAGACTCTAGCTTTGCAAAGAGCCGCCTGATAGCCGTCAAGCCCATTTCAGGTGCAAGGCTTCTCCCGAGCATTAGCATTTGATAGTCTCACAATGTCTACAGACTCTACAAGCCCGTCATGTAGATTTGCCCTTACGAATTGTATTGTCTCGTTGAACACCGTGCCGACGAGAGCGCCTCGTTTCATGACCCCCTAACACGTGTGCAAGACCAACCAGGTTGGGTTTTTGAGTTTGTAGAATTGCCTGACGTGTATCTGGGGATACGACGAGGCGTTCATGCGCCGCGACACCAGTTGTGATCTCAAATGCTGACAGCTTATCTCGAAGAAGTCAGAGTCTTGTTCCAGGTACGTAGTTAACCCACCTCAGACTAGTGCTTCTTGAACACCGCAATCATGTCAAGCTTGGATGTCTCGAGCTTGAACGACTTGGTTGGCCTTTCAAAGTATACCTTGTCGAACGCTCCAAGCAGCAGCTCGTCGTAGAGAGCGCTCGTTAAGGAGAATGGTGGGCCGCCTTCATGCTCGTCCAGCGGATCTGTCTTGTTAGCTTTGAGGTCAATAGCGGAGCGTTACATACGCTGAAGAGTGACGAGTAGACTCCCAGGAGCAGTCAGCTCTGCCATTCTTTGAGCCCAAGCCGATCGCCGATGGGGCGGCATAGCGCATAGGAACGTATAGTCATAGATGATTGCAAATGGTTCTTGCAGGGAGGTATCCATCTTGTCAAAAAAGTCTCCAAGCACGACATGAGCTGCAATTTTGCCAGAGTTTTCGTTCAAGTGGCTCTTGGCAGCCTCGACGGCGCCTGGAGAGACCTCGAGACCAATGACTTGATCAAATTGCTTCGCGTCTAGAGTGCGCGAGAAAAGGCCAACATCGTAGCCACGACCACAGCCTGGTACAAGAACCCTCTTCTTCAGTGTAGGCTCTACGTCTTTGCATTGGAAGAGGTCCGCCTGTGCTTCAAGCAGCTCCACAAGCGCTGGTGATGGCTCTGAGCGGTCCCATGGCGTCACCTGTTCCTCCCAAAGCTTAGCCCACTGGTCGTTGTGCTGTGGTGCTTCTGGGTCGAATCTTGGAGAGAGCGGTGTAGGCATGCTTTGGTTATGAGCTAGAGCTAGAGCTAGATGCTGCTAGAGCTTGAGTCGAGTGGTGTCGTGAGTGCGGGGAGAATGCGACAATCGCAAAAGCAAACAAACTCAAACTCATCCAGCAAGACATCAGGGTGTGGCCCATAGGCTGAGTGCTATCACTCTTGGTCATGTCGAGTCCAAGCACACCGGCCACCCAATCATACCGTGCTGGCGAGCAAAGCGCGAAAACGCACTCACACGGCAAATGGCTGCTCAATCACGAAAATGGCAAGCGCGTCAAGGTGTACGAGTCGCCTGTGCCTGCGGTCGCTGCAGACGTTGAGGCTCTGCCTGGCCCGCCGCTGGACAATGCAAGCGCATCATGTCCAGTCGAATTGATCGAGCTGGCAGACACTGAGCAAGATGTGAAGCAAGAGCGCGACATGTCAAAGTCTGAGACACAAGAGGCGGCCGCAGTCGACATCACGAGCAAAGACCCTATACAGAGCATCTCAGTTGAGTCAAAACCACCAGTTGAGAAGCCTGTGAAGCGTCCACGCAAAAACACAAGCACCAAGCAGACAACAACATTGCGACGATCTGCGCGAGTCAGGGGCAAAACTTCATGAATAATAAATGCATTATGCAAGTACATGGATGCCGCTATATTGGTCAGTCTAGAGGTGATTGCATCGGCGACGCCAAATCCGTCGAGCTGCGCGGCACAAAGTCTTCAACCTTGAGCGGCCGCACTCCTTGCAAGCCATGCGCACGCAGTTGGTCAATGTCGATGGCAGTACGGCCATTCTCCTTCGCTGCTGCTGAGACGCCATTCTTGCGGATGAACTCGCGCACAGGACGCATAGAGGCCGCCCGACAGAGCTCTTTGATGGCCGACCCAGACATACCGGCTGTGGCCAAGACAACGCGGTCCATGGCAAAGTCGTCTTCAAGTTTGGATTCTCTTAGCACGAGCTCAAGTATCTTTCTCCTCTGTGATGCGTCTGGTAGTTGTACATGGAAACGCTTCGGCATGCGGCGCAGAATAGCAGAATCAATGTCGTTTGGTCGGTTTGTCGCGCCAAGCACGATAATGCGTGTATCTGATTCAGTCGCCATGCCGTCCCACAAGCTCATAAACTCTGCCTTGATCATCGCCATCGCTTCGTGGTCGTTCTTTTCTCGTTCTCTTAGGAATGCATCGATCTCATCAATGAAGATGATGCTCGGCTGCAGCTTGCGTGCAAGGGAGAAGAGCGCATTGACGAGTTTGTTGGACTCGCCGAACCATTTATCGGTCAGGGTCGATATTTGCATGTTGATGAAGGTCGCTCCTGATGAAGACGCCAATGCCTTGGCCAGCATTGTCTTGCCACAACCCGGTGGACCCCAGAGCAAGACGCCTTTGGGCGCACCGAGCAGGGCCGATGAGGAGGCAAAGAGTTCCGGGTAGGTGAGAGGCAAGATGACACTCTCTTTCAAGTCATCCACGATATCATCCAGTCCGCCAATGTCGTCAAAGTTGATTTTGATGTCGCTCGCAAAGACCACCTCGCTTGCTATGCTCTGTTCGTACTCAGACAGATCCTTGAGCTTGTCGCTGTCTGTTGTTTCGTGCAGCCTACGCACTGCTTCTTTGCGCTTTGCATGGTCAGTCTTCTTCTTGGAGGCCTGTGGATCCAGGGCCGACAGGACATAGAAGAGGGCTGCGTAGGTGGTGGTTGCGGCAAAGAGGATGCGGACCACATCGCCGCGGGTTATCTCCATGTCGGCGAAGAACCTGGCGAGCCTGGACATGGCCATGGAGGCTGTAGCTTATCTGACTAGTACTAATGACTGTAGTATCCCTCCTGCTCCTTGGTCTCTGTCGCTCTCACGTGTCCTCAACTCCGCAACGACAACGAAGCAGAGCAACCAGCGTCATCAGCACATCACTCACTCTCTACCTCGCAGCGCACACGGAACAGCAAGCAGGGACACTCTAGTAGACGGCGCACATCACAGTCTACCAGTGCACCGCGGCATCATGGCCACTGCTGCTCCATTCGACGCAAAGGCGCTCTATGAATACCGCTCTGAGCACGCAGATGACCTCAGCTTCGGCCCTGAGCAGATCATCCATGTCACAGAAGTCGAAGATGATGAATGGCTCAGTGGATGGTATGAAGGGCCAAAAGGGAGGTGTCAGGGCATGTTTCCAAAGAATTACGTCGAGGTCCTCCCAGCTGTCCCAGTCCCGCCAAGACCCCAGGCGCGGCCCAGTCATTCCAGGTCAAAGTCTATCGTTGAGGAAAAGCCAGAAGATGTATCAGAGCGGACGGCAGTCGTTCCACCAACTCAGCCAATTGAGCCTGTGGCCAAGAGTAAGAACATTGACTCGCCAGTCCTGACTGACCAAAGCAGAAGCAGTAGTAACAGCCGAGTCGGAAGCAAGGACTGAGCAAGAGCGAATACAGCCTACTGCAAAGGTGAGCACAATGAACGAGACTGAGGACGAAGGGCATGCAGCACCCGCTACAGCGAAGCCAATAGAGGCATCATCCAAGAGGCCGCTCATCGACACTCAAACACAAGCGCCCATGACTGAAGCAACACAAGTGCAGAGTCCCCGGTCAAGCGCAGCTGAGGCTGAAGATTCTTCAAGAGGTCCAGAGCAATCATTGGCATCGCCCGATCAGTCAAAGCCTAAGCCTGCCAAGCCCAACGCGTTCCGTGATCGCATTGCGGCCTTCAACAAGGCAGAATCGGCGCCAATCGTACCACGCGCAATGGCAAAGCCTGTACTTGCAAAGAAGCCCTTCATTGCGCCGCCGCCCTCAAAGGATTCGTATGTGCCACATATTGCTTCAAAGACCAGGGCAGCTAGCACCACTGAATCCAGTCCCGTGGATGTGCCATCAAGGCCAATGGATGTGCCTGACGCAAGTAGCATCACTTCACCAGTAGAAGGCGCTCCCAAGATCGGATCTCTGAAGGATAGGATTGCTGCACTTCAAGCTGAAAGAGAACAACTCGCTGTCAAAAAAGCTTCAAGCAAGCCTGCAGGAGATGCAGCGATTGAGGAAACAGCCAAAGCTCAGGATGAGATCGAGGAGGAGGAAGAGGCGGATCGCGCTGCTAGCCTACCTGTCCTGCAACCACTGACACGCACCTCAACTAGCCGCAGCATCGAAAGTGTACACTCGGAAGTACGTCCGCTGAGCCGACAGCCATCAGCCCGTGCAGGGTCATTCACTGCTGCGTCTATCACTGGTCAAGACGAAGAAGTCACCACAACGCAAGAGCAGCCCAAGGAAGGCGATGAGCTTCACGACGCAAAGGACTCTAGCCAGCTTGCAGACGCAGATGAGCAGGAACTTGACGAGGAAGAACAGCGCAAGCAACGACTTCGAGAGCGAATGGCACGCATGAGTGGTATGGGTATGGGCATGCATATGGCCCTTGGTCTTCCAGCAGTTCAACAAAAATCTCGCACTGCTAGACCCGAAGATGAGCAGCAGACCTCTGCAGAAGCAGCACCAAAGGCATCAGTCCCAGTGATCCCTATGCCTGGCCTCCCTTCAGCTCCACCAGCAGTGTTGGCTGAAGGAACCGCAAAAGACGACTTGGGCCACACACAAGCAATCAAGACGGATGCTGTGCCGGAGAATGAAGAAGTCGACGACTCTGAAGACGAGCAATCCGAACCCTTGCAGTCTTCTAGGCGTCCATCGCTTGAGCCCAGTACGCCGCTCGTTCTTGAAACAGGCTCGCCGTCCTTGCGTTCACCAATGAGTCCAGGTGGCAAGTCAAGAATGTCATACTTTGGTCCAGTCTCCTTAAGTGGTCCAAAGCCCACATCCCCAGGTCCTATGGCTCGAGCTTCTGCTCCACCTGTTCCGCAAAGTGCTCGCCCTCCAGCGCCGGCACCACCAATTCCAGCGTCGGCTATACCTCCATCCGCACGGGAAGCGAAGCTCTCTGATTCGACAGTGCTAGTGGATAGTGAACGAGAAGGCTATGAGGCAGATGCAGACGACGACACAGACACCACGTCGACTCATGACCAGCAGCGTATGCCCAATTGGCCGAGTACTGAGACTCCATTGCCACAAGCATCGCACCAGAGTGTTTTGCCACGCGGACTGCCACCTGTACCAGTCGTTCCACAGGGTGTGCCGCCTGTCCCAGAGATGCCAGCTGCTTCACGTAGTCTTCCACCACCTATGACAGCTGCTCCGGCACCACCTGTTTCACGGGCGCCACCCCCTCTGCCAGACGCTGCACCACCAACTTCCGTCATTTCTGTGCAAGAATCAGACTACCAGGCCCGAGATTCACATGAAGATCAATCCAGTGCAGATGACGGTGAAGCTCAGTTGCCAGAGATGCCATCGCATGCACGGCGGCTGTCGACCATGCGAGGCCATGAAGACGCCAAACACAGGCAATCAATAGATGCGACAAGGAGTCTACCGCGACAATCTGTGGAGACACGGCGAGACAGTTTCGGCGACTACTTGTCTAAGGACGTTTCTTTTGGCAGTGCCGCGGATTGGGCAAAGGGTTTTCCTGCGCTGCTCTCTCAGCGCCAGGATTTGGTTTGCGACGTCAAGGAACATACAGACGCTGAGCACAGTACAACTACAAGAGACGCCTGCATCTTGTTTCAAGATCACAGCCAGCTTATTGTTTCGGTCGTGTCGGATTCCAACAGTGGAGAAGTACTGCAATTTGACCAAGTTCACCGACCGCCTCCTGCATTGGCCTCTCGGGAAAAGCTTGAGGCTGAACATGAACGATATGGCAATACACTTCTTGACAAGGCGAAGCGACTCAACAACACTGTTGTAGCAAATGGCGACGCTTTGACTTTTGTGTCCAGCATTGTAAAGAGCCTGCCTGGAGCTATACCTCCGATTGGCGCGCGCACGTTTGGCGCTCCCGTCTACTTGAATCTTGCGAATGCCTCTGTCACAGTGCAAGACGAGATTAGGCCGGGCGATATTATTGCTTTCCGCAACGCAAAGTTCACTGGTCACAAGGGTGCTATGAAGAGCAAGTACAGCTTGGATGTTGGCAAGCCAGATCATTGTGCCATTGTGATTGACTGGGATGGAACGAAGAAAAAGGTCAGGGTGTATGAGCAAGGGCGAGAGGGCAAAAAGGTGAGCGAGGCATCGTACAAGCTCAAGGATCTGCGCTCCGGTGAAGTCAAGGTCTTCCGCGCCGTCTCTTGGCAGTATTGTGGTTGGTAGTATAGCTCTTGAGAAGTTGCGTTTGTAGTAAGGCGAGTCCAATGCAAGCTTAATAACGTAAGAATGTATTCAATCATGATGTGCTCGAGGCATTGCTTGCGCGAGCGCGACAATATCTTGCTTATCAGAAAGGTCGCATGCCGGTCGGTCGCCCAGGATTCGCTCGAGAGCGTATCACCGACGCAGGCGTATCAGGAGGCATGTATGATCGAGTCTTTGAAGCACGCGCTCGCGGGCTCGGCTGCATGAACGCTTGTGGATACTGGTTGCCATACATGGCAGCTGTGCGACTGTTGAGGGATGCTGAATTTGCCGTCACGAGCGGTCGGCCAATGCCATGGTAAGGTGGATCCGCTACTTGTCAGCGAGTGCTTGTTCTTTGATACATACATCTCTCTTGCCACGAATGACGACGGTCCGCAATGACTCCCAGACTAGGGTCTTTGACACCTGCTTGGATCATTGGCTGCCCCTTGCGTTTGATTTTGTCATATGCCATCTGTAATTTATCATGCTGCTGACGCTTTTCCTGCAATTGCATGCCAAGTTCAGATGCTTTTGTCTTGTACATCTGTCGCTCCTGAGCAAGCTCACCTAGCTGAGACTTGAGGTGTTCAATCTCGCGCTTCGAATCCTTGACTTGCATCTTTAGTGTCTGGTCCACGAGGGATGTGTTTTTGCGCAGCTTGTCGAGCTCATAGTTCTTGAGCTGCCTTCTGGTCAGTAGAAGGTCATCGCGCGAGTATGGCGTACAGCTCTTGCGATGCCTGGTAGGTCCAGAAGTCAATGGCACGCCTGCAGACGTCAACGATGATGTCTGGCGCCAGGCCAGACAAGACGCTCGACTTGTAGTCCCTTTCGTCAGCATTTCTTTGCACAATGAGCTGTATACTCGGTGGGGTCCAAGTTGGCCAAGACGACATCATCAGGCCTCAACAGGGGTTCCTGGCATGAGGGGCATTTGCGCTCAGCTGTGAAGAGATTATTGGCGCTGAGAGGTCAGCGATGCGCAGTCTTTGTAGTCAAGCTACCAGTCTGAGCAGAATAGATGCGAGCAGGTAGTCACGACTGCCTGCGTGGCCAGGTGCCTGTGGCATTCGTAAATGTTGCAGCGAAGCGTTATGTCGTTCATGTGGTCAGAGCATAGTGGTTCAGCTGAAGCGCAGATGGTGGAGTCTAGGAGTCGATCGCAGTCCAGCAATCTCAGTGTAGAGCAGTGCCTATACCCAGTCCAGAGACTTTGTGTAGCAGATGGATGAATGTGGTAGAGTTGATCAAGCTGAGTCTCCCCGCTGACGTACACCACACACTACAACACCTCACAGAGATGCATTTGTCCTCTGCCCTTCTGCTCTGCGCTGGCGCTCATGCAGTCTTCCTTCAGCAAAGACCCTTTGACGCTCGTCAACCCCCTACGCAACTTCAGCTCGATGCGCTGGCTGAATTGCAAGGCGAGATCCGCATGATCAAGTTTTCTGAGGATGGTGAGGCGCGTGCAATGCTGGAGACGGACAAAGAGGCTCTGCGCCGGGCCGGTATCCGCTTCATGGATGTGACAGACTACAAAGGACTTGGAGAGCAGAACGCAGTCATGCTGGCGACGCAAAAGCACAAGCTGCCAGACTTTCCCAAGAAGCTTGCTGAGAGCACGCATGTCAGGTCGCTCATTCCCGAACTGTCGCAGAAGCAGATGAGGACAAACCTAGAGCGCTTCTCGGGCTTTCACTCGCGCTACTACAAGTCAAAGTATGGCGCTGCTAGCGGCGAGTACCTGTTCAATCTGGTTCAAAATATGACGAGCAGCCACCCAGGCATCAAGGTTTCACAATTTGAGCATCCCTGGGGTCAACACTCGGTGATTGCTACGCTCAAGGGTGAAACTGATCAGGTCGTTGTGGTGGGTGCTCATCAAGATTCTGCAAACCTGTTCCTGCCTAGCTTTATGCCAGCTCCTGGTGCAGATGACGATGGCAGTGGCACTGTGACCATTCTGGAAGTCTTGCGCGTTCTGTCAGATTCTGGCTTCAAGCCTAAAAATACACTCGTCTTTGCTTGGTTCTCCGCAGAGGAAGGTGGCTTGCTCGGTAGTCAGGCGTACTTTGCGCATTGCGAGAAGACTGGCGTCAATGTGATTGCTATGCTGCAGCAAGACATGACTGGCTTCACCAAGAAGACGATTGACGCTGGCCTGCCAGAGAGTGTCGGTGTAATCGTTGATTTTGTCGACCCTGATTTGACCAACTTCATCAAGCTACTTGTGGATGATTACTGCGACATCCCCTATGTGGAGACAAAGTGCGGGTATGCATGCAGCGATCATGCATCTGCCACCAAGGCTGGCTATCGCAGTGCCTTTGTGATCGAGGCTGCCTTTTCAGAGTCCAACAACTACATCCACACGCAGCAGGATGTGATTAGCAATCTGGACTTTGCTCATATGCGCCAGCATGCAATCTTGACGCTTGGCTTTGCAGTAGAGGCGGCAGCTATCTGAGCACAGTACTAGACTGTTCCCTTCCGTACATCGAGCTGAGCTGAATCATCGTACCCGTAGCAATGCAGCTGCTGCACTGGAGTCCTCTTCAGATGGCCGAGGATCTTGCGACTTTTTGGTTGCATCTGTACGACCCACAACAAACAAAGTCACACAAAGGCAAATGATGGATACGCCGACGTCAAGCAGACCAGGCTCACCACTGCGCCCGTCAGAAGACGATGGCCGGCTGCCTAGCTACCTTCCGCACGTTGATCTCCTACCGCAAACGCCACGACGCGGCTTTCAAATGCGCGACCGGTCACCGACACCATCGTACCGGACACTGCCGCTCGAGACGGAGCATTCACCAACACGGACACCCCTGGCAGGCGCGCGCGTTTCAAGACCGCGGACGCTTGCTGATCTGGCTACACCAATACTGGTGCCGTCTCCGGTTGGTGACCGAGCGCGATCGCCTAGTCCGTCGCGACTTATGGGGGCTAGAGCCCAGCCTGCAGTGCCTTTGAATCGTTCAACTTCTCCGGATGTATCTATACGGATGCCCTTGCCAGTAGCTTTGGCTGATGATGAAAAGACAAACTTGACGAGCCAATCCGTTGTTTCTTTAGCGTCTGAAGACACAACTGCGCTAGAAGATGAGAAACTGCTTGACGATGCCGACTCTGGATACAATGTTGTACCAACGCAGCCTCTGAAGCGTAGAAGGGCGCAAGTCAAGACGACTGAAGTGCTGACATTAACGGAAGGTAATCTCGTGACTGAGCGACCTGTTCCACAAAAACTCTTCAAACTGCTTGCAAGGCGCGATAGGCAAGAGTTTACGCATGTGCGGTACACGGCATGTACATGCGACCCAGACGACTTCATGAAGGATGGCTATACGCTGCGTCAACAACTCTTTGGCCGTGAAACAGAGTTATTCATTACCATTACCATCTACAACGAAGCTGCCGACTTATTTGCTCGTACTCTGCATGGCATCTTCAAGAACATTGCGCATTTGTGTTCACGTACAAAGTCAAGGACATGGGGAACGCTTGGCTGGCAAAAAGTCGTCTTGGTCATCGTAGCGGATGGTCGAACGCAGATCCATCCGCGAGTACTGGATGTGCTGGCGGCCATTGGTGTCTATCAAGAAGGACTTGCACAGCAGCAGGTGGGTGAGAAGTTGACCACGGCGCACATCTATGAATACACGTCGCAATTCTCTATGGATGCCAACATGCACTTCAAGGGAACAGAAAAGGGTATACCGCCTGTACAGATCCTCTTTTGTTTGGTACGGGCTCTTGTTGAGTGTGCTATGCTAATCATCAGAAAGAAAAGAATGCCAAGAAGCTCAACAGTCATCGATGGTTCTTCAATGCGTTTGGTCCTGTTGTTAATCCGAATGTGTGCATGCTGCTGGATGCAGGGACCCGGCCTGGCTCCGACTCCATCTACCACTTGTGGAAGGCCTTTGACTTGGACAGTAATGTTGCCGGTGCAGCAGGTGAGATCAAAATTGATGGTGGCAAGCACTGGACGCAGCTCCTCAATCCGCTCGTGGCGGCACAAAACTTTGAGTACAAGATATCCAACATCTTGGACAAGCCGCTCGAAAGTGTCTTTGGGTATGTGTCTGTGCTGCCTGGCGCCTTTTCAGCGTACCGGTACTGTGCCCTCAAGAGTGATGACGAGGGCAGAGGTCCGCTTGACTCTTACTTTAAAGGAGAGGTGGTGGACACGAGCGCTGGTATTTTCGAGCAAAACAAGTTCTTGGCAGAGGATCGGCTGTTGTGCTGGGAACTCGTTGCAAAGCGCGATGCGAAATGGATTCTTAAGTATGTGTCAAAGTCATTTGCTGAGACGGACTGTCCTGACAATGTCGCTGAGCTCATGGGTCAGCGTCGTCGATGGTTGAATGGTGCTACATTTGCAGCGACCTACTCGATGGTTCACTTTCGACAAATTTGGGCGACGTCGCACTCCAAGACACGCAAGTTCTTCTTCCACTTGGAGTTCATTTACCAAGCGTTTTGTCTGCTCTTTACATTCTTTTCCTTGGGCAACTTTTACCTGACCTTTTTCTTCATTTGTCAGTCTGCAGCAACGCTGAGTCCAGTACTCAATGGACTCTTTGTGCTCTTCCGATACCTGGTCATTCTGGTGACTGCTGGGCAGTTCATTTTGGCCTTGGGCAATCGGCCAAAGGGGGCTAAGACGTTGTTCATGGTGTCTCTCATCATCTACAGTGTGATTATGATGTACACACTTGTGATGGCGACGTATCTGGGTGTTCACAGCATTCAAGTGAGCATGCAACAAGGACACACCATTTTGACGGACCAGAAATTTGCGACGGTGGTCTTGTCTGCGTTGGCTACAACGGGTATTTACTTTGTGGCGAGCTTCTTGTACCTCGAGCCGTGGCACTGCTTTACGAGCTTTGGGCAGTACCTTGTACTGTTGCCCTTCTTCTCGTGCACCTTGAGTATTTTTGCATACTCAAACTTGCACGATGTGTCATGGGGAACAAAGACGACTGATACATTACCGAAGTTGATGCAGACTGCGGTGGTGACGGGTGATCAAGTGGTGATGCAGGTGCTCTCGATGCCGGATGTCGAGGGCAGCTATGAAGATGCACTTGCCAACCTACGACTGAGGAAGCCGGTGGAGGAAGGAGCACAAGACACGACGGCGGTACGGGATGACTACTTCAAGGAGATACGAACACGCGTGCTACTGGTATGGATGGCGGCCAACTGTGTATTGGCGATGTCTGTGTCAGAGTACTATGCTGTTCCTACGAGCAAGAACCTGTACCTTGCGTTTGTGATGTACGCGGTGGTGATATTGACGGCGTTTCGGTTTGCAGGTTCTTTGGTGTACCTGGTGCTCAAGGTGGTGGCACTGACTGGGAGTACGCGGAGTGCTGGTGAGCGTGTGGGTCAGTGGTGGAGGGATGCTTTGGGTGTGCTGCTGTTTTGGCGGAAGGTGCCATTGGGCAGTAGCAGTAGCAGCAGTAGCTAGTCTATCTATTTACTGTCACTACTGTAGTATACTAATATCTAGTGTAGTGTATAGCAGCAGCAGCAGCAACAGCAGTCACTGATCTACATTCTTCACTTTCCCCTTCACTTTCATCTCGTTGCACTGTACAACCCCAGCTGGCCAATCACATCGCTGCATTTGGGGCGGGTGATTTCCCAGAGTGGCAGCCACCCGCGGAATGTAAACAAAGCAGGGAGAATGAGTCAAAATGAGTGCGAATGACTCGGAATGAGTCAGAATGACAAGGAACAGACTGAGAATGCATTGACTGATGCTGCCTCCTATATAATGCCCCCTCACCCTCCCTCCCCTCCCCCCCAATCCATCCACCAACACCACCACCACGCTCTCTAGCTACCCACACTCTCTTTGTACAACCATGCAGTTCCTCACCACACTCGCTACCCTCGTCGCTGCTGCCAGCGCATACCAAGTGCTCACTCCTGCACTCAACTCGACTGTTGCAAAGGGATCCACCATCGACGTCAGGTACTCCTCAGTCGTCTCAGATGCAGACTTCTTCTCCGTCTACCTCACCAACTTCCAGACCTCACACTGGCCTCCTACCGTGCTCTCCCTTGCACAGAACGTCAGGCGTGACGCTGGTGTCGTCTCTGTCCGCATCCCTTGCGACTTGACTTCAGACTATGGCTGGACACTCAACTTCGTCAACGGAACAAACACCTACGTGATTTACGCACAGTCCCCCGTCTTCACATTGACTGGTGAGTGCAAGGACCCTCTCCCAGCCCCAGCACCCGTCTTCACCAACACATCCGGCATCGCATCTACCACCACTGTCATCACAACCGTGGTCTTCCCCCAGCCTCTGCTCTGGTTTGTCCAACCCTCAGCTGTTGCCGCTGTCGCCGCTGCTCAGTGCCCAGCACCCGTCACAGTCACTGTTCAAGTCCCCGCTGCCGCCTGCACACCTGGCGCTGCCGTTGTTCCTGCACCTGCTGCTGCCCCTGTCGCTGGTGTGCCCGCTGCCGTTGTTGTTGCTAGGCCAGCAGCTGTATCTGGTGCTGCTGGTGCCGCTGTCGTTGCTGTTGCCTCAGGTGCCGGTGCTGCTGCCGCTCGTGCCTCTGGCTCGGCTGCTGCCCTCCCCATCTACACTCTGCCTGCGTCAAAGAACGGTGCTTCAGCTGCTGCTGTCGGTGCTGGTGCCGGTGTGGTGGCTCTTGCTGCGCTTCTGCTCTAAGCAAGCGAGTGTCTTTGTATTCCATAAGACCTTGTATATGCAAAAATTGTTGTTGAATTGGTTGTGCCTTGGCATCTGAAGTAAGATCCCTCTGGTTGTGTCTTTGTGTACTTTGCGACATTGACACGCGCAACGACACTCCACATAAGACAAACCCGATGAATCGCATCTTTGGCACACGGAATAAAGCTGCGACGCCATCACTGGCAGATGCCATTACAGCCACAGATGCACGCGCCGGTGCCATACAAGTCAAGATTGCGAAATGCGACGTTGAACTCGCTGCACACCAGCAAAAGATTAGTCGCCTTCGTGGTGCTGCGCAAGAGGCTGCCAAACGGCGCGCCTTGGGTGTATTACGACAAAAGAAGCAGTATGAACAACAACTCGATCAACTCATGCAGCAATCCTTCAATATGGAGCAAGCCAATTTAACGACGGAGAATATGCGGAATACAATGACGACCGTGACTGCCATGACTGCAGCGAATAAAACGCTCAAGAAGGAGTATGGCAAGATCAATATTGACAAGATTGAACGGTTACAGGATGAGATGGCGGATTTGATCGAGAGTGCGAATGAGTTGAGTGCCGTGATGGGGAGAAATGTGTATGATGTGGGTGAGGAGATTGATGAGGCGGATTTGGAGGCAGAGTTGGAGGCACTCGCAGAGGAAGGCTTTGGTGCCATGGAGCAAGAACCTGGCCAGGGTCTATCGTACTTGACGAGCAACGTTGATGAAGCGCCGCCGACCTTTGTGGATGAGACGCCAGAGGAAGCTCAAAAGGCAGCAGCGACATAGGCCATGAACAGAGTAGAGTAAAACATGCACTTTTCTGCCTAATCTATGGACGAAGGGAATAATACCTGCTCGCAGAGCGACGTACCTAGATACGGGCGTACTGGGCAGAACGCTTAATCTGCTGAACGGCTTCAGCCATCATTTCATCCACAATCTGAGCAGCTGGCTTGACGTCGTTGACGGCAGCAGCCACGGCACCCATGAGGAAAGGTCGTGCATCGAGCTCAGTCTCCTCGTCAAGGGTACCGTCCTTCTCGCGCTTCTCCAAGTCAAAGATGGCAGGAATCACACCTTGGCCGGTGAGACGTTTGATCTCGTCAGGCTTGGCCTCCCACTCAGCAATAAACTTGCTGTTCCTCACACGCATAGGACGGCCTGTGAAGATGATGGTACGCAGGGTGTCGGTGTAGCCGGCAGTAGTAACGGCTTCCTGGTGAGCCTTGGATGCACCGGCTTCCTTAGCAGCAACGAATCGTGTACCGACCCAAACGGCCTCTGCGCCAAAGGCAAGGGCAGCAGCAAGAGACTTGCCGTTGTAGATACCACCAGCAGCAATGACATGAACCTTGTCACCAGTAAGAGGGGACTTTGCCTTGTTGCAGAGTTCAACGACCTCTGGGATGAGGATGGAAGTGGGGACATCACCAGTGTGACCACCACCTTCGCCACCCTGAGCGCAAATGATGTCGACACCTGCAGCGAGTGCCTTGGAAACGTGCTTGGGGTGTCCAATCATGTTCTGTTGTTAGCCGTAATCATAAAAGAATAGGAGTAAGCTTACCATGACCGGAATACCGGCCTTGTGGAGCTTGTCAACGACTTCCTTGGGAGGAACACCGACGGCGGCAACAAAGAGCTTGCAGCCGGATGCGATAATGACATCGACGAGCTGGGGGAGAGATCCCTTGGTGTAGTCGTAGTTGGTCTTGCGCGCACCAGCACCGACCTGTGGAAGGAGGAGGTCGACACCGAAGGGTGCACTCTTGTCATTGAGGGCAGCCTTGAGGTCTGCGATTTGCTCACGCAGGAACTCGGGTGTGTAGCCGACACCGCCAATGACACCGAGACCACCGGCGTTGGTGACTGCAGCAGCGAGTTCCGGGCCAGCAGCCTGGTTCATGCCGGCAAGCAGGATCTGTCGTTAGCATGATAAATACTGATATATGGGATGATTGATACGGGGTGCTTGATGCCGAATAGCTTTGTGATGGGTGTAGTGATGGACATGTCTGCTGTGTGTGTATGATGGATGTGTTGGTTTGGTAAGTAGACGACGGGAGGGGTCTTTTCTATACAAATTTCCCCACACTTCCTCGCTGTATTCCGGGGCCCAGCAGCAGCGTAAATTGCAGTGTAGCTGACTGTGTATCCGGTGTGTCTTCTTGGGGTTAGGGCAATCACGGAGAGCAGCAGGCCCCGATGCCGAACATATACACTGCACTTACACCTATACTTGTAACTATACTTGTATGATACTGTAAAGAGCCAGCAGCCTACCACACATTGTTCTCCCCCCAGTCAAACGACACCATGTCCTGCGGCCCAGCAGCCAGCAGTCCGCTCGCATCCAGTGTTGTCAGATAGTCCAAGTCCAGTGAAAAACTCTGGTCATACCGCTGCTGTCCCATGGAAGATGCCTGTGAATCAGGACTCTGTGCAGTCTTGGCATCCACAGGCGGCGGGACGCCCGTATGTGGCGGTGCTATATCCTTCAGGTGCACCCCTTGCAAACTGCGAACAAGCGCAGCACACTTCTCAGCAGCAGAATTCTTTTGTAGCGAGTCAAAAATACCAAGGCACGTCTCAATGTCCTGGGTGATACGCTCGCGTCGAGGCTGGTCATCTTGGAGTAGCTTTTGCCCAACCACCAAGATTGTAGCGGCGCTCATCAAGCATGGAATCAGCTGCCACAGCGGGAAATCCCATTGAAGTGTGCGCTGAGACTCGACATGATCCAGCAACCGGATGGTCTGCTGTGCCTCATCCAAACAGATATCCTGCTCTTTGCGATTCGCTCGAACAACACGCGGATCCTTTGTATGCCGCATAATGGCTAGTGTGATGTGCGGCCGATAAATGAGCTGCCGCAAGTGGCGAAACTTGAGACTCAAAAAGTTGCGCTGCCGTCGTAGTGCTGTCATTGTCTCATAGCTCGACGGTCGCTCAAAGTCAAGTTCACGAGAGAGTGATCGCTTCCACTCCAATAGACGCTGGTCAATGCTCGAAATCACACGCATCGTGTGTTCCCACGTCATGGACGGCTTATTCAAAAAGAAGAGCTCCCGTTGCGCAATGCCAATGATTCTCGAGAATTTGATGAGATGCGTCAGGTACGGCGCATAGGCATCCTTCTCGTGCACTTTATCGTCAATCGTACCGTCCTCTCGGAAACGCCAATCAGACACTTCACTCGGAAACTTGACGAGAAAGTCTTCATCACGCATGTTGGGTTGTCTTCCAAGTTGCAGTGCAATCAAGTGTTCGAGAATGTATGCCGAGTACCATAGTCTTCGATTGCGTTCCACTTCCACAGGTGTTGTTGCTGACGTCTCTGTATCTGTCACCAAACCAAGATTCTGGCAAGATCGAATTACCAGACCAAGCACGTTCCACGCTCTCGCCGGCTTGTTGATGATGAGTAGATAGAAGCATGCGAGCAAATGGCATTGAATGAGCTCAATGGTTGAGTTTTTGAAGACATCAAAAAAGAGCTGTCTTCCCCGAGCAAAGTACAAGCAATGGTCTTCATACGGCCAGTTGCACCAATAGGCTCCAAGAGCAAGCACGAAATTAAGCATCGACAGTGTTGTACGATCCAGGTCAGACCATTGAATCTCACCTTTGTGAACCTTGTCAAATATCTCTCTGACCTTGCGCTCCCATAAGAAGGGAACGGCAATGTGGAGTGTAGAAAAGTAGGCATCGAGCAGCTTGTCGCCCTCTTCCCTCGTAGGATACCGAAAAAGATCCTCCACCGAGCTAAAGTTTGGCTTGACGATATCGCCTTCATCCAAAAAGAAGGCAATGTTCGGATTTGGGCCTGACGTAGCTTGACTGTCCTTAATGGACTGGTTATTGACAAACTTGACAAAGGCTAGATCCGATGAACGATCAAGCACGCCTGAAGGTCGTATCTGTAGAGGCGGCAGATCAAGCCCGCCATTTGCAATGGTTGCCGGTACAGAGTCTGAGACTGGTAAAGGCACAGGACAAGACGCACTCAACGCGGGTAGTCGACCCGCATCTTGTGTCTTGATGGTCAATCGTACATTTTCCAACTGTCGCGCCAAGTCTTGCGCTTCTGCCGCAGTGTCAGCATCTAGCTGCGGCTCAATCTTGCGTAGAAAGAGCTGCATCTCGTTCACCTTCTCCCTCATATCACTCAGATCATCCGTACTGATGCTCAATCCACCTGACGCAAAAGGCGCCGAGGTCCCCGCACTCTCACCGTCGCTTTCAGACTTGACACGCTTGCCACGGTACGTATCGCTATAGTTGCATTCAAAGCCATAGCCCGCACAATTCTTGCAAATTGGACGTTCCCCGGAGCATTTGCGCTTGAGTGTTCGACACTTCTTGCATGCCTGACTCGTTCGTTGTCGCTCGGTGTACTTTCTGCGGTGTTGCGAGGGTGTTGTGGCAGCAGCTGGTGCGGGTGATGGCACTTGTGCAGGAGAGTCTGCCTCTGAGGGCATCGTCAAGTAGAGGCCAGCAAGGAGTCAAGGCACACGGTTGTGATTGAATAAGGTTTTGTGGAAGCTACGAGCAAGTTGTCGCTTGTCGTTGTATCGAGCAAGAAGACGCCAAAAAGCAACCCAAACGCAGAGTACCATGGGCTCATGAGAATAGCTCAGAAGTTGCGTGCCAGGTCATCGACAAAGCGGCCAAGCTTCATCATGCTAGAGCCAACCACTTCCTTGTACTGCTCGACATCCATGTTTTGCAGCTTCCCAATGTATGCACGCGCAGTCTGCTCCAGCTCGCTCGCATCATCGCCGCCCACATCCTCCTCTTCGGGACGGCCAAAGTATTGGTTCGACGAAATACTCTGCGCGCCTGTAAAGCCACCAAGTCGCTCCCGTGCCTCGTTCTGTTGTGCAGCATCATAGTTGTTGCGGCCAAAGAACTGGTCAGATGAGATACTCTTTTGTCCTGCATACTTGTCGCGCGCCTCTGTCGTCTCCTCAACAGGCGCACTGCTTGAACCGAAGCCGCCCGTCTTCCTCTTTGGTGCAGCGGCCGTTGCCTTCTTGACAGCAGTCTGCCCGAATCCCAACCGCGCAAAGCCTTCCTGAATAGGTGGTGTGGCCGCGTCTTTGCGCGCCTCTGCTGCCTTTCCAGGTCGAGTATCCTTGTTGACATTGGGTGAAGAGGGAGCAGCTGGTTTGGGGCTTGCAATAGCAGGTGCAGCCACTGGTGCAACAGGCTCCTCGATAGCCAGCTCGGCCTCTTCTCGTGCAAGTCGCTCCTGCTCATCAAAGTCAATATCGACATTCACCTTTTTGGCACCAAGCTTCGAGGACTTCTTTGCGCCAGTCAATCCTGTGCGCCGAGTACCTCCGGCTGAAGCACTTGTCGTTTTACGCAAGTTGGAGCTCGTCGTCTTGACGGCAGCCTTTGGCTCAGCGGAAGAAGGTGTGATAGGTCTACTTCCCAAAACTGGCGGGGTTGCTGTCCGTGACGGGGGAGGTGTCGGCTTGACAATGGAAGGCTTGTCCCAGGAAGAGAAGAAGTCGCCGTCCGCTTCTTTTTCGGCCGTCCCCTCCTCCACGTCCTCGTCAAAGTCAAAGTCCGGGTGCTGCTTGGCATCCAGCTCTGCCCGCTTCTTGATCTCTGCTTTATATTGTGTGGCCTGCTTGCTAGAGTACTTGATTTTCGCGTCCTTTGTGCTCAAGAGGGAAGAACCGCCATGCTTCTTGAAGTAGTCTGCACAGGCAGCATTACCACCAACCCGCATCAGACGTAGCTGGTCCCAGGTCCATGTGTCAAGCACCGTGGATCGGACAAAGGAGAGATGCACGCCCATATTGCGGTGTACCTATTGTCAGAATGCAAGTCGCCATTTGCAGACACATACAGAGCTGCAGTCAAGACATAGCAGAACACCATACGGTACGCTGGACCATGTCGGGTTCTTGGCCCCACAGTCAAAGCACGTCTTATTCTTAAGCCTGGTGCATATTAGCGGTTGTTGCAACAGAGAGATGTACAAACCTCATCTTTGTGAAGAAGGCCTGAGCCTCGCTCTTGTCTGCTGCATTGGCACTCATCCCGGGCTGCGTCTATGCGGTTGCCTGCGTGTGCCTGTGTGCGCTGTGTGTTGGACGTGTTCGATTGTCGTCGGCCTTTTTGTCGCTGCGTTGAGCCAAACCACGACCACCACAACCTGAAGGCTGAAGCGCTCTCACACAAATCATGCTCAAGTACTACAGTGCTCGCTCACTCTCCCGGGCAAGCTCTAAGCTCCTGCTAAGAAGGCCCATTAATGCTACACAACATCGACTTGCTTCAACTACTGCTGAGCAGCCATCCTCGGTCGATGCTCCTGGTGCACCTCAAGCTGTACAACGCACAGCGATGCAGAAGGTGGGCCGAGCTACAGCAACTGGTGGCTATGCTGTCGTCGTTGCTGGCGGTATAGCTCTCGTTGTCATTGTCTTTTGGGCACTTGGCTCGAATCTATTCTTCGAGACTCGCTATCTCAATGAAGCAGTCGATCTCGTCAAGGCGCACCCAGAGGTCAAGCGGCTCATTGGCCATGATCTCAATGCCTACGGGGAGCGATCACGAAATGGTCGACGCGGAGGACCGGTGCCAAGTCAACGCTCAGCGGATGGCCATGTTTGTATGTGCTGAAATCTCCTATTGTTCATACTGACAGCAGACATGATCTTCCATCTAGAATCGCATGGCACAGGGCGCTATGGAACCTGCCGAGTGGATGTCAAAGAACTCCCTGATGGCGCCTATGAGATTCGCCAACTCTACTGTGATGTTCCAGGAGAGTCGCGCATTTGGATCAAGCAAGAAAAAGCTCTCGTCAAGGCAAAGAGACGTTTATTCTCCTTCTAAAGCTCTTCTATCTTGACCTCTTCGGTGTCAGGCGCAACCGGCTGTGGCTCTACCAAGCGCTGATCAGCACTGCGTACTTCCGCCGCCACTGACACTGTCCACCCAGCGCGCTCGGCATCCGGCTCTTCTCCCTCGGGAATGGTCGATTCATCAACGTCTTCCCCAGCAAGCATCCTCAAAATGACGCCTGCTCCCACCTTGTCCATAACTTGTCCTGAGCAGAGCGATGATGTGGTGCATGAAGGACAGCCTTTGCTGCACTTGCACCGTGTGACTCGGTCAATTGCTTGCTTCAGCAGTACGTGGATAAATTCGAAGGCTTTCAAGGACAGCCCGCTGCCTGACGCGCCCCCTTTGGCATCATACAAAGTCAGCCGAGCAGGCCTTTTGCGGTTAGATTCCTTGGGCAGATGCTCCTTCTCAGCCACTTTGCATTCAGTTCTCACTTCACCTTCGCTGCTCATGACAAAATTTGGAAGTAAGGAGAGCAAGGCGTGCTCAGCAGCGTGGATGCTCGCGGCGCAATTGATGAACTTGCGAGATAGCAACTCTAGTGCCGTCTTTGGAATATCAATCCACATTCCTTTCGTGTGGATAATGATGGGTGGGTTGTCGACGTCAACTGCATCGATGATATTATTGTGCTTGTCAATTTTGAAGAAGCCATATACAATTCTCGTGATGCGAATGCCGCCATAGAACGCCTTTGACGGTGACTGCGGTATCACGCGAGTGATTTCCGTTTCAATCGGGTCCGTATCTGTGAAGTCTCGTTGCCGGGTGGTCCATTCAATATTGGCTGCGAGGATAACCTTGGCGTAGAGCTTCTCTGGATTGAGCTCGCGAACAAGGTAGGTGTTACCTTGATGCATAAAAATGGCACCCTCATAGACCGTAAAGTTGGCGCGTGAAGGTTCCAGCTCTTCCAGCACAACATTGCGACCGCCAGTGATGTCGATAATGGCGTAGTGCCCATCCTCTGTGTCTCTGATTCCTACCATACGAGAGGGCTTGGGCAAGAAACGCGGGTGACAGTGATAAAAGCCATTGTCGTCCTTGACGAGCCTTTCTTTGGCCACTTCAGCAAGGGTCTTGCCAAAGTAGGCTTCATCTTCCTTCAAATTGAGTGGCATCTCTGCTGCAGCGCATTGAAGATGACCTTCCAGCACAAGGGTGTTGGTGAGATCTACTTGCAGCTCAGTATTGGGCATGGTGAAGATTTCGCTTGGATTCGACATGTAGTGCTGGTCCATTGGAAACGGATCTGCAATGTACATTGCCAAAGAGTCCTTATTACGGCGTCCTGCGCGTCCAGACTGCTGACGCAACGCAGAGATCGAGTAGGGAAAACCAATCATGAGCACAGCATCCAAGCTACCAATATCAACGCCCAATTCGAGAGCATTTGTGGCGATGATGCCAAGCAAATTTCCCCTGAACATTTCGTGTTCAATCTTTCTGCGATCTTGTGCTGTGTATCCTCCTCGATAACTCATGACACGATCCATGAGATCTTGTCTGTCCATCGCTTGCAAGTCTTGGCGTACTTGCTTGACAAATACTTCGCAAGCTTTACGGACTTTGCAGAATGCGATGGTTCGAACGTTGCGTAACATAAGAAAGATGAGAATCTTGGACGCTTCGCGGACAGCAGAGACTCGACCGGAGCTTGGATCAAGCGCGTCTACATACGGTGGATTCCAACAGACAAACTCCTTGCGACCATTGGGACTGCCGTCCTGATCAGTCAATGCGACATCCTTGACACCAAAGATGGTCTTCATGTGTTCTTCCGGATTTGCCATGGTGGCACTACAGGAGATGAATTGCAGTCTGCGATTGCCAACGGTAGCACAGATGCGACGCAGGCGTCTCATGATGAATGCGACATGACTGCCGAATAGACCGTTATAAACGTGGAGCTCGTCCACGACCACATATTTCAGGTTTTTAAGAAATGTGCGCCAGGCATCTTCTTGTGGCAGGATGGTCAAGTGAAGCATGTCTGGATTGGTAAAGATAATGGAAGCGTTCTCCCGTATCCGCTGTCTCTCAGTCATGGGTGTATCTCCATCAAATGTCTCGACCACTACCCCCTGCAGATCATCCATATATGTAATCAGTTCAACCAAGGACCGTTTCTGATCTTGTGCAAGAGCTTTGGTGGGAAAGATATACATGGCTCGTGTTTCGCGCTTCTTTTGCAACGCATGCAAGACTGGTGCCTGGTAGATGAGCGACTTGCCAGAGGAGGTCGACGTGGAAACAATGACGTGCCGTCCATCCCAAAGATTATTTATAGCTTCCGCCTGATGCGAGTAGAACTGCTGGATATTCTTCGTGGAATACAACGCATTGACCAGTTGCTGGGATAAGCTTCGATTGAGTGTTCCGTATTGAGGCTGATTTTCTGGAAGGGTTCTGTGCCCATCAGGCACCACCTGACCTTGATACTCGGTATCCAGCATGAGATCATCCAAGAGATCTGAGATGAGTGGACGCGATTCGCCGTCATCCAACTGCACTTGTCGTGTCACAATTTCAGCAGGCTTGGGGGGCTCAGGCATGATGGGTAGATGAGCCTCATACATGGACTCGAGCTGCATGACCGGATCAATCTCATCTTGGGCGCATTTATGTAGAAATTGGTTGACTGCTTTTTTGAACTTGGCGTTGCGCTTGTCAATCAGCTTGGTCATGGCTGCGGGGGTGAATGTTGGTAGTTTGAGCTCCGGCCGCAGACGTCTCCCAAAGCCTCCTTCCTTTTCGCGATTGATTTTACGCTTGAGCTCACCATCGGTATATTCAAACAGCAGAACGACATTCAGACCGTGCTGCACAGACTTGTCCTTGAACAAGTCGTCGTGTGCTTTTGTGGACCACTTTTCCCCAGACTCGAGCACATGCACAGCTAGCGAGTCTTCGTCAATGTATTCAAAGCTGATGGAATTTGGCAGTAAGCACTTGACCCGGGCCACATCTTCGTGTGTCAATGGCTTGCGAGTCAAATTCTCAACACTACTCTTGATAGTGTCAAACGTGGTGGCGAGGTGCTTTCGAGCACAACAGAATGTATAGACTGTATTGAGTGCCTGATGAAGCTTACCCAATGTTTTGAATGTATCAGGTATCTCCATCTCGGGTAGATCTGTTTCGGCACTCGCAGCACTTGCATTGCTGGTTGCACGACTCAATCCAGGAACGTCATGCGCCGAGGAAGCGGTTCGACCGCGACCACGACCGCGGCCCCGAGCACGCTTTAACCCACGGCCTCGTGAGTTATCTGTTTGTTCAGAAACGACCGTCTCTGCTGCAGCAAGCCGCTCGGCAAGGGTACGCAAATTGGGCGCAGCGTCAGCTTGCGTCTGCGGTGGCGACTCCTCTGCATGGGCACGTTTGGACATTTTAGGAGCAGTGCAGGCTGCCAGAGACGGATTTCAGCGTATAATTAGCTATAATTAGCTGATCAATGGAGCATAAAAACAGACAAGGGCAAAGTCAGCTAAGTGGACTAGTCGTTCTCTGGTTGCTGTCATCTGGTGCGCCACAGTTGACGTTCAAAAATGTTTCCCGTCGCGACATGAAATCGCAAAGAGCAGAGAAGGACAAGCAGCAACAAGCGCGACCTTCGCCATCATCTCATGGCAGGCAGGAAGAAGAGGCCTCGTGACTGTCCCTTATGCAGCACGGCTCTTACGCGGTTCTTCGTCAGTATGGAGGAAACGATCCGCATGTGTCCCTCTCGCACATGCCCCTTCCCCTTTGAGGAACCGACCAAAGCGCTGGCTCAATTGATTACACCCATTGACTTCTCCATGGACAAGGTAGATTTGGGTCCTCGCCACTTGTCGGATCAGGGCATCTCAGATAACATCACAATACTGCCTGAAGGAAAACGAGGACGACACTTGGCTTCGACACCACAAGACCTACTTCTGCACCTACCTCCGTTGCGCAAGAAGCGTCGAACTGCCATTCGCCCACCCAAAGGGATGCTTTGTACGGTGGATAATGTCAGGGCTACTTGTCCGACTGTACGAGCCCCGGAAAACTACACGCTGGCCATTCAATTGCCGCCTGCATGAACATTCACGACCAATGCATGCTCGCGCGATTCATCATTCTTATCTCTTTCAGCAAACTCATGGCGACTGCGAGCATACCTAGATAGTCATTCATCGTCTATTTGATACTAAATTTGAGCATACACCCAGACAGAATAGTTGACTTATGCCTTGCTACGCTTGAGGAACTCCGACAACAGCGACTTGGTGGAGGCATCATGCGCATCTCCGGCCTTCTTCTCCTCAATCTCCGACAAAATCTTCTTTGCGAGTGATTTACCAAGTTCAACGCCCCACTGATCAAAGGAGTTGATGTTCCAGATAGCACCTTCAGTGAACGTAAGGTGCTCGTAGTATACGACCAGCGCACCCAATGCAGCAGGTGTAATCTTTTGTGCAAGGATCGAGGTGGTGGGACGGTTACCTAAAAAGGTCTTGTGTGGCACCAAGTCAGCTTTAGCTCCCTCAGCAGCCACCTCATCCGGTGTCTTTCCCAACATCAAGGCTTCACTCTGTGCCAAAAAGTTGGAAGCCAGCATTTTTTGGTGGAGGTTACCGGAGATGGGGTTGTGAGACTCAGCAGCCATGATGAAGTCTGCTGGAATGAGCTTTGTGCCTTGATGGATGAGCTGGAAGAAGGAGTGTTGACTGTTGGTGCCTGGTTCACCAAAGAGGATAGGACCGGACGTGTACTTGACGTGCTCACCGGTGCGTGTGATGGCCTTACCGTTGGATTCCATGGACATTTGCTGGAGGTATGCTGGGAAGCGGTGCATGTACTGGTCGTATGGAGCAACCAAGTGCGTCTGGGATCCCCAAAAGTTGCTGTACCAGACAGAGAGCAGACCACCGAGCATGGGGATGTTCTCTTCAATGGGCGCCGTCTTGAAGTGCTTGTCCATGCCGTGTGCACCAGACAAGAAGGCATGGAAGTTGTCGTAGCCAATGACGAGTGCTACAGACAAACCAATGGCCGACCATACAGAGTAACGTCCACCCACCCAGTCGGAAAAGCCAAACATGTTTTTCGCATCAATGCCAAACTTGGTGACTTCCTCCTCGTTGGTGGAGAGTGCAACAAAGTGCTTTGCAATGTGCTCCTCCTCCTTGGCCGTGTCGAGGAACCACTTCTTGGCGGTTGCGGCGTTCGTGCACGTTTCTGCCGTAGTGAAAGTCTTGGAGGCCACCAAGAACAAGGTTGTCTCTGGGTCTGAGGCGAGCAGGGCTTCAGCCATGTGTGTGCCGTCAATGTTGGAAACAAAGTGAGCCGCCAGATCGCGCTTTGCATAGTGCTTGAGCGCCTCGGTCACCATGACTGGGCCGAGGTCGGAGCCGCCGATACCAATGTTGACGATTGTCCTGATTTCCTTGCCAGAGTAGCCCTTCCACTCACCGGAACGCACAGACTCGGAGAACTCCTTCATGTGGTCGAGCACTTCCTTGACGCCAGGCATGACATCCTTGCCGTCCACCATGAAGGGCTCGTCACCTACATTTCGCAGGGCAACATGACCGACTGCGCGGTCTTCAGTGAAGTTGATGTGCTCACCCTGGAACATCTGATCCCGGAGCTCCTCGACGCCTGCTTCCTTTGCGAGGGCGACGAGGAGTTTGAAGCCTTCATCGTCAATGATGTTTTTGGAAAAGTCAAAGAGAATGGAGCCTTCGTTCTCGAGGCCCTTAAACTCGCGCGAGAGCTTGGTGAAGCGTTCTGTGGTAGAGATTAGCACTTGAAGCGAAATTGAGGGTTGAGTTTGACGTGCCTGGGTCATTCTTGAAGAGGTCTCGGACGAGGAGGGTCTTGCCTGTTGCCTCGTAGTACTTTTGGAGGTTTGTCCATGCCTGTAGCTCTGATGCCTGTGAGAAGCCGACCATGATCTGTGTGTGGTTGGTGAGTGGTGCGGTTGGTGAGATGACGAATGCGAGTGCGAGCGGGAGTTTGTGGGATGGATGCTACATCGGAGGAGAAGTGAGAGGTGGTGTGTCAGGGTAGGTTCTTTCTTTCCTCAGTAGTCAATGGCCGAGGGTTGCTTCTTATCATGGCTGTCAAGTATGATCGTAGCTGTGACTGCTTTTTGTCTATGTCTCGAGGTAGATGGTCTTAATGCCAATTCAATGGCCTTAATGGTCTTGCTGGTATCGCTGAGTCTGATGCCTCCTCTGCACTGCTTCATGCTCTCTATACCCTTACCTCTACTAAACTGCTGCCCAGTCCATTTCCCGGCTGATCTTCTCGTGTTGATTTCTGTTGATTTCTGTCGCGTCTCGCTTGACCCCTGGCATGCACCATCATCAACCAAGCAGCAGCAGCAGCAGCAGAAGCAGAAGCAGAGGCAGCAGCAGCAGTCGGGCATGGACAAGCAGCAGAATATATCGTATATCCTCCTTATTACAGCATCTTACACACTACACACTCTATCCATCGCTCGCATCCTCCCTCCCCATCCACCGCACAGACCACGGCTCATCCTTTAAGAGATCATCACCGCAAGGACCGCCGACCAGCAGGGGGCCGACACGCACGCTCATCTGCACCTACAAAAGAGTTTGAAAAGACTCATCCTCCGCCTGCTTCCTGCTTCCTGCACAAAGACAAAGCAATACACCTGTGCAAGTCGACAGAGCACATGTACTGAGGCCACCCTGAAGCGCACTCAGGAGTCACAGCCGGCCCTATTTTTTGCTGCAACAAAGGCACACAGGACAGCCTGTACGTGTCTCCTCCTTCTGCCAAGACGGCCAAGCTGACACTTCATCTGTAGGGGCACCCTCCTCAAAAGCCAAAAGGACGCTTCCCATCCCTTCTTAACGACCGGACCCATCCCAAGCGACTCTGACCGGCGCGTCTGCATAATCCCCCTCCAACTGCGACGCACCAGGCCTCCATCCTCTCTGTTGGAAGGCGCACCCAACCTACACGCTCTCTCTGTCTCTCTGAACACTTGCCAGTGCAGCAACGCTCTCTTGTTTTGCTCTTTCTTTTCCCTCTAGGCAACAGACACCCCCTTTGGATATTCTGTCCTCCTCAGTAGCTCAAATGCGATACGCACCAGCTGCTACATTGCTCCTCTTGCTCTGCGAGAGGGCCCTTGCATCACCCACTGCGCATCATCAAAGGAAGGCCGCGCTGTTGCACAAGAGGCAACAAGCGATACAACAAATCAACAATGCCACGCAGTCTCAGCAACAAATACCAGACAACGTGATTCAGCAGGCCATGGAAGGAGCTCAGCAGGCTCTCCTCCCACAAAGTAGTAGCCCTCTTGCAGCGACAGTCGTGACAGAAGCGATACAGCCACAAACCACAGGAATTGGCAGCGTCCCTATTGTGCAGACACTGGATGTCGGTACAGCCACAACGACTGCTGCAGGAATGGGTAATGCGCCAAGTATGCTGCCTGTATCGGCCTTTACACCACAACTCAGCAGTACATCGCAGCAACAAGTCTTTACATTGTTGGAGCCGGTACCAACTAACGCGCCACCAGCGTTTGTCATGGATCCAACGACTACACCGTTGCCTGTAACGACAGCTGCATCGTCTGAAGCAAGCATCTGGACCGTTATTGCTTCTTCTTCCTCACAAGAACAAGTCTTCACACTCCTGCAACCAGTCTCCAGCATTGCACAACCGGCGCCTGCTAACACAGATGCGTTCTTAAGCACGCAGGCCGCAAGCAATATGGCGCCGTCAACTACAGTCTTGTTGACAGGGCCTACCCCTTCAGCGTCCTTTCAGCCAATGCCATTGCTCTCCTTCCCTACACTTGCAGCGAGTAGCTCTAGCGCGGCATCTGTCGTGGTTTCCCTGGTGTCTTCAAGCAGCGGTAATGAACAAGTGGCTGGATCTTCTAGCAGTCAAGGCGCATCTACCTCGTCTCCGGGATCAAGCAGTCAGTCTTCATCTGCTGAACTCCAGAGTCAGACACCTGCTTCCACTTCGCAAGACATCCTGACTTCTTCAGATGCCTCCGCACCACAGCCAACGGTCTTCCAGCCTGTCCTCGCCGAGCAGCCCTCGACAACAACAATTAGCAAGCGGGATCTTAGCTCTGTTGGCGACATGGACGGCGGTGCTGAGTTGGTCACCGTGCCTGCTGCTGACATCGGCCTGTCGCGACGATCCACGCAGACAACTCCATCAGGAACGAAGGTGACGCCACCTGTGTCTGAGCACTCAAACAGCGCATCCTCGCACGGACTGCCTATCCCAACGAACCTTTCAGCGACGCCAGTGAAGAACTCCAAGCTGCCGCATGAGTCGGGACAATCGAGCGTTTCGTCGAAACACAGCCATTCGACAAGCAAGTTGCCTGAAACTACGCCTGGTCTAACCAGTATGCCTCAGCTCGCCACTGTGGGATGGTCGCGCACTTCATTAGCAACGCCAAGCGAGACACCCCCAAGCAACGGACCACTGAAATTGAACAGCGACACTAAGTTGCCTGTTTCTCTGGCACCCGTGTCGTCGCATGCCACAAAGCACGCGACCACCACACCAGTTGCTATACCTTTACCAAATTCTCTATCACGGTCTGGGGCTCATCAAAAACCAAGCGACTCGGCATCCACAAAAACGGGTCCGACGGTGCCAACGCCTGTGCCTGCTCGACTTCCTGCAGGCACGAAGCTTGGTTCCTCCACGCTTCTTCCACCAGCTAGTTCGCCAATCACTTCATCGTCCCAGACCAAGACGTCAGAGACGCCAAAATTGGGGTCGCCCCTGCCGACCCAGTCAAAGACGACCCATTCACAGGCCAAGCCAAGTGGGACGCCAACCACCCAGCATGCGTCTCCCGAGGTATCATCATCGAAAGGGCTAGAGCCGGAGCCTCTCGATGTACCTTTGTCGACGCCAACACCACATTCGAAAGTGCCTTTTATCTCATTCTTCGCACCTGGATCATCATCAACATTGCCAGGGACGCCCGTCCCATCACTCAACCCAGTGTCTAAACACTCGACGAGCAACACAGCCACAACAGGTTCAAGTGGTCAAGCGCAATCTAGCAGCTTACCAGCCTCATCAACGCCGCTGCCTGCCGTTCCTCAATGGCTTCCAGTAACGCTTGTTCAACAAGCTGAAGCTGTCGTCCAATCGAGCGCGAGCGTTTATGGTCAAGGTCAAATTGCAAGGCCAAGCAGCAAGCCAGCTGCACCACAGACTCTCCCTCAAGCTGTGCTGCCTGCAAACACCATTAGTGACACGAAGAGCATGTACAAAGGTCAAATCGGTTTCAACTCGAACCTCACATGGGATTTTGTTGTAACGCAAGCCGTTACGCAAGCACAGTTGACTCACTTTGTTCCTGGAGCACTCAATATGGCATTCCCTGGTGCGAATGCAAAGCTGGAAGCCCTTCGACCAGGCCTCTTCAACGGCAAGAACATCACGGTGGCGTATGTCTGGGTCAATGCGGATATGGTCCAAACGATCAGCGACGGGCTCAAGAATCCTTCATCCGCTTTCTACAACTCGCCGGATAGGTCCTTCATGAGCTTGGCGCAGCAAGTTGATCCAAATGTGCCGTTTACGTTGGGTAATGTTGTTTCCCCTGTGGTGAGTCCTCCAGCATCAGGTGGAACAAGCACAACAAAGCCAGTAAAGCCCAAGAGTGGCGGTGGTGACTTGACCAGTGTTGGCCAGACGACAACAGGGGAAGCTGAATCGGGTGGAGCCGGTGGTGGCAGCGGTGGCAGTGGTGCATCCAACTCTGCAAAACCCACGATTATTGGTGTGACGGCGCTCTCTGCCGCTGCAGGCTACCTGGGTCTCATGTTCTTGTTGATGCGACACTTGCGACTGCGTCGTGCGCGACAATTCCAAGAAGCGCTTGCGAGCCCAGCGTCTAGGACAAGCTCGCGATTCAGGGATCGCAACATGCGTGGCGTGTCTATCTCTGCGCCTATGGATTCAGAGAACTCACTAGGCATCTGATGCATGGAAGCACGGACATTTCAAACATTTGGTTACACCTCCATGTCTTTCCTTTTTCTTTCTGTTGTGGCGAACATGAAGAGAGTTTCCTCTTTTCAGCATCTTTCTTTTTCACATCTAAGACTGCCTTCTTCTTGTCTTAATAGATGAACCTTTTTAAAACCCTATTAGATCTTCAAATGAGTAAAATGAACAATGCTGATTAGACTGTCTCGTCTATGTGACTTGATTTGCCCAGGCTTGCGTACCCATCTGGCTGATGCGAGACAGGCATCGATGGAAAGCGAAGCGTTCTTCTTGTCCTGTGAAGATGGAGCTGTCCATGAGTTTCTCCATATCCAGATCCAAATCGTCCATCATGGATCGCATGGCACCATCAAGTGGAACATCAGGATCTGCCTTCTTACCGCCATCTGGGGAAAAGATCTCTGCCATGGGTACCTCACTCGTAACAATCAATTTGGTGCCATTCTCATATAATGAATCAATCAACGTGATGAGCCGCCGTGCCAGGTCCTTCTCATTCATGCTGAGTCGTGGGATATCTGTAATGATGAATGCTTTGTACTTTCGCGCCAGTTCAAGGTAATCTGCAGCACTCAGGGGATCACCACAAATCTCTTGAAAGGTGAAGCGAGCTGCATCACCACTGGCCGCAGGCACGCGAATGGGACGACCCCAGCTGCGCTGGACTGTAGGATGAGGAGGATCCTCTTCAAAATCACCAAGACGTCTGAACCAAGAGTCTGCATGTGCCTGCGCTTCGGGCCCCAAGCCAGCATGATACACATTGGAGAGCAGCTTGTCCTCTTTCCTGTAATCTGTATGGCTGTCTAGGCAAACGACATCAAGCTTCGTACTGAGAAGCTCAATACAGGGCAAGAAGCTGACACGCTGAATGCCGCCCAGGTACAATTCTTTGGGAGCTCTGTTGCTGGTTGTAAAGATTACCACACCGTGCTTGAGCAGGGAAGACAGAAGCGTTCGAAGAATCATCGCCTGATGTTAGCAACGTTTCTCATCGGAAGCGCCATACATCGACAATGTCAGTGACTTGAAACTCATCAAAGCAAAGCACAGAGCTCTTTGTAGCAATTTCAGCTGCAATGAAAGGAATAGCGTTAAAGGCATTTCCTTGCTCTGCCTTGAGCTGATGAGCTCTTTTATGGATGGACAGCATGAAGCTGTGGAAATGGACACGCTGTTTCCGCTTGATATTGCTCGGTAGGGTTGCATAGAATAGATCCATGAGCATGGTCTTGCCGCACCCGACATCGCCATGCAGATACAAGCCTTTCACGAGCTTAGGAGGTACTTCTGGTGCCTTCGTCTTCGGAGCCTTGACTGGCCTGCTCGCAAAGATGCTTCTCAAGTTGAGGACATCAAAGATGCTGCCCTTGAAGTGGTTCGCGTCCCCTCCAATGCCATCTTCGATTGGTGCTTTCCGGTGTTCGTCGACTCTTGGTGGCTCAACGAGTGGAAAAGTGTGATGCTCCAAGTCAGTGTAAAGCCGTGTGATGGTCGCCTTTATGACATTCCGCTGATGTGCGTCTGGTCTCAAGATGCCTTGCTCGCATCGTGCATCATACAGCTCAAGCGGTGACTTGTCTACCACAGGAATACTACTGTAGCTGCGGCCTTTGCTCAAGATACTCCGGGGCCGCCAGCCACGCGTGCAGGCCTGAGACCGCAGAAGCATGTGCTGGTCCAGTGTCTTTGCGGAGGTTTGTCGACGTCCATCAAAATCTTGGCGACCGACCAGCGCAACAGACACAACGCGCCGTCATGTCGTGGGTTGCGACGCTGCAGCGGAAGTCTGTGTAAGCCGCCTTGACTGCTCAAAAGACCTGTTTACTGATTGCTAGTCCGAAATCTACTGTTCAAGTGGCGGATCCACCAGGCTTCAGTTCTCCTGCGCCGACTGGCAAGGTGAGCTTGTCGCCCTATCTGTTCAATGCTGATGATGTAGAAGGGCAAGCAGCTGAATGTTGCACCAAATCCAGAAACGTCGCTTGAAGTGCGCGAAACGCTGATGGTCAAGAAGGCATGGGAGTTGGCACTCGCCCCTCTCAAAGCGCTCCCCATGAGCGCCATCATGACTTACTTCTCTGGCTCTTCCATTCAAATCTTCTCCGTGATGATGACTGCATCACTCTTTTGGACGCCGCTCAAGGTCTTGGCCTCTGCGCCAACAGAGGTCTTCAATTCGCTAGACACGCCAGGCACACACGCACGACTTGGCTTGCCCAAGGCTGTCTTCATTCTCGGTCAGCTTCTCTCCATTGTACTCGGCATGATCAAGCTGCAATACATGGGCCTGCTACCAACGACAACAAGTGATTGGCTTGCCTTTCAACATTATGATCCCGTAAGTGCAGTTGTTGCTTGGAAGACACTAACAATCAGTCACGCGAATGGACGGCATATCTCTCATAAAAATCGTGTCCTGCTATAAATCGATTAGATTATCACCCATATGTGCACCCATGCCTGTTGTCGATGTATTCGGCCTTGTTTCCAATGCAACAAAATCGTGGTACGGGTTCCTGCTAGCACTTGCCACTTGAGTATCTGGAACAATGTGTCCATGCGCTTTATGTTGATGCAAAGCTTCCTGCGTTGAACGCCGTTGCAAACTTGGCCGACCCTTGTTTTGCAAAACAGGACTATCGTGCAGCTTCTTGGTCTTGGCATTTCGCAAAAAGCTCATGGGTGTCTTGTGGTAGATGCTCGCAAGGGTTGCTAGGTTCAGGCAAAGCTCTTCCAGAGTTCGTGGGTCAAACGAGTCAGAGTCGAGCTCGATGGGTGGTCGGGTGCCATGTATAATTTTCTTTGCCGCTGTAGGGTCGGTACTCAGCAGACGCCAATACATGAAGCCACGGTCTCGTAAGTCAGGATTATCCGTCTCTTCGGTTGCCCACTTCAAGACTTTCGGTACTAATTGCTGTCCTTTGGTTGGACGCTGAATAAACAATTTGACTGTTGCCGTGAGAAGAGCAAGCTGTACTTCGGCAGCCTCGTCTGCAAATGTGTACAAGAAGTCATCGAGGATCTTGTCTGCATGTTCAATACGATGCGCATATTCGCCAATAATCCAGATCATGGCAGCCTTGGCTTCCGGTTCGTCGAGACTGTCGAGATTATCGCACAAAGTAGAAATGACAGACTCGTACTCATTCGGATACTTGCGAAAGATGTCTCGAATGACAACCGTGACTTCCTGGACCACATAAGATATTTTGCTTCCAACAAGCTCCATGAGAACGCGTATACATTTAGATGCAGACGCCTCAACCTTCACTGCCAGGTGGCCAATTGAGCGCACCGCCTTGCGCACAAAGTCAACGTCGATTTCTGTTGCATATTCCTGCAACTCTGCAAGGACCTGTGACATGTTGTCAATATGCGCCAGCTTGACGAGAATTTCTAGCTTGGCCAACTTGACGTAAATTGGGTCGTTGTACTTGCAAAAGAATACCTCGACATTGTTTCTGAGCACAGTGGGTGCTTTCTGCAAGATGAGTTCGATATTGCGCAGTGCGACAAACTGCACCTCAGGACCTTTTGAGAGCAATGTGATGAGTGGAGGGGACATTTTTCTGCACAAAAGTTGCACTTCTTCCGCATCCGGCATGTAGTTTGTAAGGTAGAGTAGCAGCTTGATGACTGTGAGCACGACACTTGCATTGGCGTGCTGTAAACGAGGAGAAACACGTTCAGCAATCACCTCTGCATCGCCCGGCGTTTGCGGTATATACGACATGAGCGCTTCGAGGATGTAGGTTTGACTCCATTCAGAGCATTCATTGAGCGCGGCAACCAATTTTGCGGCAAGATGCGCATTGATGTTGAGACGCATATTTTCTGCACGATCGCACATATCCATGAGCGCTGCAAGTGCATTCGCAATGACTGTTGAGTTTGCATCACCCAGCATGTCTCTCAGCTGAGACAAGAGTGGCGAGTCGTCTGCAACGAGGCGCTTGTCGTGTGCATGGAGCTTCGCCACGCAAATCGCAGCTGTCTTGCGAACATAGGGGTCCGCATCGCGCATGAGCATCAAAAGCGGATCCACGGTTGCCAGATTGATCTCGCGAACATGGATATAGGACATTGTGCGTAGTGCCAAGGCGCGTATAAGCGGGTTTTCGTCATTCAAATCGCGCCTTAGATACGGCAGTGCTTCTGTTGCGATCTCGGGCTTGATCCTTGCGTAATTCATGAGGTACAGGAAGCACATCTTTTTGATTTCGAGGTGTGATATCGCCATGCAGCGGAGGACGTCTGGGAACAATGAGGACATGTCGTTATTCATGGTCATATTCGCGACAATCTTTTTGAGCACTGTTCGCTTGCGTACATAGTTCTTGTCCTTGCGCTCTGACGCTGCAGAGAGCTCGGCGCGTAGTTCCTGGACTGTGCATGTTAGTCGAATATCGCGCAACTGTCGTTGACTTGCCTTGTCCGCGCTGAAAGAACTTTGAGTCGGAAGAGCTCATTTGTGAGAGCGACTATGGCAGCTGCTCAAGGGTAGCAGGGTCGCATAGATCGGGCGACAGGATGCGACAGTGGATGGAGGGCGTTTGTGGATCGTCTTTGCGGTAGATGCTCATCAGATGGGCGAGAGTCGCATCGCTTCATCCCTGGACGCTGGACACTGTCCTGTTGCTGCAGACTACCAGCCAGTCAGGATAGACGCGATTATGGAGCAGCAAGGAGAAGACCATGATCATCACTACGAGACCAGTTCTACTCAAAAGACACAGTGTGTTGGCGCAGCTTGGACAAGGAAAGACCAGCTAGAAGACATTGACGAAGTGGACGACGACAGCAGCATCGAGTACACGCAGTACACGCTTGTCGGCACAGTCACACATGTGAACGAGCAGCTGGAAGTGCAGGTGCAAGACAACAAGCCTTCAAACTGGCTACAGAAAGAGGCGCCGCGCAGTAACGAAGGCGATGATCAGAGTATTGACTATGATGCTGCATTTGAATCTGCAGAAGAGACGTGAGATTGCTTGCCACATTGTCCTAGCTCTGACTTGAAGCAATGAAGCAATCCTCAACTATCAAGCTGCCGATGCTGAGCAAAACGACATGATGACCGTCGAGGTGAACCAGCAAAGACCTGTCTGGCCATGGCAGAAGGTATCTGCAGCGGTAACTTGCGAAACAGATTCACCAATGGGAGAACATACCGGCTCACAAGCCTCCACTCGCCCAGAAGTCAGCATGGTTCCAGCAGTCAGCGCACGAGGTCAGCGAATGCCCTTCCAGTTTAGCGGTAGTATCCGGAAAGCAACGGCATCTCCTCAGACTGGACCTCAGGAGCCACCTGAACAGACTGTGTCGAGCGAGACTGCGTTCTCAGATCATCCTTCTGGCAACGCAATGGAGCATGACAGCGTAAAGGAAGAGCCAAATCGAGAAGCCATGCTAGATGATGAAGAAGTGTTCAAGGCAGACTGGCTTGCTAGAGGGTGAGTCAAATTACAGCACACCTAGACAAGGCTAATGAGCAGAGCACAGCTGGCACAAGCATGCGCGGAGTTCACAACAGATATGGGCAAATGCCGTGAAGCAAAAACAAGGATGCTTGCGATGCACAGGCAGAAGTATGAGGAGCAACGAGAAAGGCTGTTGATGCGAGAAGCGGGTTTAGTGGCTAAGCTTGCAAAGACCAAGCAAGAGCTCTCGAGCTTTCGACGGGGAGTTTAGTGAAGGAGCTGCTGGAGACTGTAACAGAAGACTGCCTGAATTGCTGAAGTAGCGAAGTGGCTGCCAGAGCACGTGCTCAAAACAAAGCGACGACCGCAACGACCCACAAACGAAGTAGCCACACTTCCCCTTCCTCTAGAGCAGAGCCGCCTCTTCTAAACTGCCGTCACAGCTGCAATCTATCGTTCCTGTACCGAGACTATCGAGTCAGCTTACATTTGCTCATTCCTGCGCCAAAGCTGATTTTTTGGACTGCTAAACAAGCCAGCTCTCCGCAAACGCTTGTAGGCAGCTCACTCGTATCAAGGCTCAAGCTACTGCGCATTGTTTGTATAGGCTCCTACCTAGTATGTCTTGGCAGCAACATGTCGGTGAACGGCGATCAGTGTCGCCTGTACACGAGCCTGATTCAGAGCTCATGCAGTACATGCAGCGTCACGTAGACGAGCGCTTTGCTACGCAGTCAAGTCAGGAACAACATGACTACCACAGACGCCAGCAACGACAACAGCAGCAACAACATGAAATTGAACCTTCTCCACGTCAAAGGTTCCTTGAGAGTGCCATTAAGAAACTCTCAAAGGCAATCCTCCCAGCCGATGAGCAATCACCTGCCCCACCTCCGCCAGTGAAGCGTCAATCACGACAACCCTACGCGACTGCAAGTCGTCGTGCTGCTGATGCCGCTGCAGCTGCTGCCGCTGTTTCTCAACAAGATTACACAACCACGCAAACGCTACCACACTCTTTACTGGCAGATCAGTATGCGTCTATCCCAGGACAATCGGGATTTGAGCTAGATCCATTATTGGTGCAAGATGAGCAACAACATCTCGCTCAACAACAACGCAAATTGCTCGAGTTGCAGCAATTGCAACAACGTCAAGAGCTTGAACGTCTCAAACAAGCAAATATGCCTGCGCCGCCACTTCCTGAAGCAGCAGCGGCAGCAACGCCTGCAGTAGCAGCAACAACGCCTGCAGAAGTGACAGCTGACACGTCAAAACCGACAGACAAGCCACGCAAGGAAATAGGTAAATCAAAAGCACGTGGACAGAAATCAAAGAGCCCTGCAGAAGACCCTGCTGAGGCTGAAGTTGTGCCTGAACGTCCTGTTCGTCCTGTACGTGCAGCGAGGTTGCGAGCAACGCAAAAGATTGCAGAAGCTGAAGCCATCACGGAGCCGGAAGCAGATGAGCTTGAGGAAGGTGGAGATGACGCACATGACGGCAGTGTGCATGAAGAAGCACTCGCTGATGAAGACGGTGAAGAGGACGAAGAGGCAGAAGAGGAGAGTTGGTCAGAGGGAGAGGCGACGGATGACGATGAAGACTTTGTGCTGCCCTTTGCCGGTGGTTCTGGTACGAAACGCTCAGCTGGCTCATCGAGCAATGGTGCAAAGAAACGCGCACCGGGAGAGCCACCGAGGAAGCGTGGTCGTCCACCGCTCAAGAAGACACCAGAGCAGGAAGCTGCGTTACGGGCACGGCAACGGAGACCGCCTCATGTGGATAAAGCGACGTGGCAGGCATTATTGGCACTTGCACGACATGGACGGATCTTGCAGGCTCAAGCACGACTGCAGCAGGAAGGAGGGCAAGCGAACCAGCCTTTGCAGCAACAAGCACAATCACAGCAACAACAGCCACCTAGTCTATAGCAATGACCGTAGCACGATGTTTTTGCTCAGATTTGGATGGATTTTGTGTTTGATCGAAATCTATGTTTTGTGTTCAAGTGTTCCATCACACTAGTCAACTAGCAATAGACAAGATCTGTGAACGCGTCAATGCTACATGCAGGAAACAAGAGAAGGTGCGAGTCGTATGGACGCGGCATCTCTAGTTTCGGCGAGGACCGCGACGGTCAATGACCTGGTTCTGACATGTTAGCCTTTCTTACATTGAATTTTTGTGGTCAAGCAGCATACCATAGTCACAGGCACAACGTTGGCGGAGATGTTGTCGAAGCCAAGAGCCTTGATGAGATCCTTGGTGGCTGGGTCAATCTCGAGAGGCTTGGCAGAGATGTCAAGAGCAGAGACCTCTGGGACGAACTGGTCCTTGCGCTCACGCTCTTCCTCCTGAAGCTTGAATGAGATACCACGGACGGGACCGCGCTGAATGCGCTTCATGAGGTGTGTGGTGTAGCCTGCAATCTTGTTGCGCAGCCTCTTTGAGGAGATGATGGCGATTTCATCACAGATCTTCTTGTTGGTGTGGAAGTCGAGTGTGAGTTTTGGGTAGTACTTCTCGATGATGACGCGAGATGCCCTCTTTGTGGTCTTGGTGCGTACGGAACCCATGGTGGATGTATGTGCTGAGCTTGTCTTGTCTTGTCTGGCTTGTCGTTGTTCTGTAGCTGCAGAGTCAGTGCACGTGTTTTGCTCAACCTCAATTTTTGAAAGTTTGCTCAGATGTGACTGCTGGAGGAAGTGTAGTTAGAACCATCTATAACTATGTCTGGTCCAGTGAGCAGGGTATGCTCAATGGCCGCAATAGTCAGCTACCTCTTTATATGACCAGGCCAACAACATTCACATTGAGCGTGACTGAAGGCCACACATGGCTTCATCCTTATTCCTCATTGCTCATACATTTGAAAAGAAGCCAAAAGGGCTATCTAGGTCTAGCTACTTGCATCTCATGCCTCATCCATCCAGGCCCATGCTTGCTGAATGCAGCACCACCTAGCTAGCTAGCTGTACTACTGCTGCTGTAGTCGTGTCTGTCGCGCACGTCATTTTCTAGATTTTGTCAGCAGGCGCGAACAAGACAAAATACAAGATCCACCACCAAGCAACTGAAGAGATGGCAGAGAAAATTGGCGAGAGAACGCCCAAGCTCGCTGCAGACGGCCGTCCAAAGCCATGCTGTATGACTACCTCATTCTGCAATACAGTATCGCTAATTAGCAGGCATTTGCCTCGATGAGAAACGAGTGCGCGACGAGTGCATGTTCAACTCGGAAGATGGCATGGTCCAATGCAAAGATCTCATCCAGAAGCATCGGGAGTGTATGGCTGGCTTTGGCTACAAGGTCTAAGCCATGGACCTCATCAACAAATTGTACATCAGCGCATCCACTTAGCACAGCATAGGCGACGCCTTCTCTACTCAGCAATATAATGCTTCACGATTCAATTTCATCGTACAGTCCCTTGATATGCGTTTGAGTGGTGAATGTTATACATGAGTCCTGCTATGAACCTCGTTGATGTCATCAAAAAATGGGTCTATGTGACCAAGCCAAACTGCGCAAGATACTCAAACACCTTCGTTGTCTTGGCTGGGTCAAGCTTCAGCAATTGCCGAGCATTCCTTTTTGACAGCGCACCACCTGTCCGCCAAAGTTCACGAATGAGAGTTTCCTTGACGACCAAGTATGCCTTTGGTAGCATGCGCAAATTTGAACAGAGAGATTGCTCTTCTCGCGACAACAGCTGAACATCGTGTGCTTGCGCAATACCAATATGCGCACCCGTATGCTTTTTCACTTTTTCTTCTGGTCGACTGTAGCGAGAGCCATGAAGACCCATGCCCGTCGACCGCATGAGTAGCCGATGCGCCTTGTCCTTTTCATACTTGGGACCTTGCTCCATACTTGTCAAGCCTTGTCTGCGCCACTCCTGCAGCTCGACAATGCGTTTGCGCAAATTATGCTCATTCAACAAGCCCTCAAGAAAGGACTCATAATCTGCAATGCTGAGTAGCCTGGCAAAAGGCTTTGTCCGCTGCACCAAGTCCTTCTCCTCCTTTGTGCGCTTCTTTTCGATATTTTGGTGTCGCTTGTATTCAAGCATGTTGTGTTCGTAAATAACGCGCTTCCGATCCGCTCGTCGTGTCAGCCGGCTGTTATAAATATCCAGCATGGTCAACTTGAGCTGCACCTCATCCTCATTGCCCTCGGCGAGATCTTGATCGAATTCCAGATCCTTGACACTGACTTCTGCCTCATTCTCATACTCATGCTCGAATTCAAGACGACCAGGCATGTAGCCTTGGACTTCGTGACAAGAGGGTGTACTCGTAATGGGCTTTGATTTTGTGGGTGGTGGTGCTTTTTGAATGGCAGCACGCGCATCGATGCGACGTCGCTTGCGTGCCTGAAATGCTTCAGCGTCATATTCAATCTGAACATTCAGGTCCGGCAAGGGATACATGGGGCTCTTGATGTACGTTTCGAGGTAATGCGCATCACATTCTTCCTTTGTACGTCGATTGCCAATATGCTCAGCAACATCCGCCCAGTTGCCGAGACCGTACTTTTCGCTTCCTTGCAGGAGGAGTAATTCCTCATCACCACTCCAATCTGGCGCAAAGAGGGGCCGTTCAACCGGCGAGATGAGACGATAGGCATGCCAGGGTTTATGTGGTGACTCTGGCTTCGACTGGCCTGAAGCAAAACATGTGACGCACGCATCCCAGTCATCGGCACACGCTGCATCGGCACAATGTACACGTACTGTTTTGCTGGATAGCGCCATACCACAAATATCGCAGCTTGCCTCATCATACTTTTCTGGTCAGCTGCATGCATCAACATAACGCGCGCGTGGTTCTTACAATGGCAGACATGACGTCGAATGGAGAAAAGCGACACGACCCAGTCAAGTGCCCGTCACTTTCTCGCTTTTCGGTAGTTTGGCTTTTGGTAGGAACGAGTAGAAGGTCAGAGCCTCGTTAGAACCAAAGTTTGCTGCTTCCCCCTGCTGCAGCGTTCCCAGCGTTTGCCGTGTGTTGCGCTCTCTTTCTGTGTTGTGTCGTTGCAAGATAGCCGAAGGGAGTTGCTTACATAACTAACCCTGCAGCCATACAAAGACACTTACCAATATACTACTAAGCAACTGGTCCATCAGCCTCACCATGCTCGCCAGATCCATCTTCAGCAAGACAGCACGGGCCAGTCGCGCCTTCTCCGGAGCAACGGCCGCACGCTCAGAGGCCCTGTTCGTCCAGTAAGTAACAAGGCCATTACAAAATGCTGTACGAGATGCTGACCAGCCTTAGCCGCAATACGCCAGAGAACAACCCGTCCGTCAAGTTTGCCTTTTCAAAGGAGAATACGGCCCGCGCAGACCAGATCCTCTCCCGCTACCCACCCGAATGGAAGAAAGCCGCCATTCTGCCCTTGCTGGATCTCGGACAGCGTCAACTTGGATGGACGAGTATCAGTGTGATGAATGAAGTTGCTCGATTGGTCAATGTCCCACCGATGCGTGTGTATGAGTGTGCTACATTCTACACCATGTTCAATCGTGAACCAGTCGGCAAGTACTTTCTGCAACTCTGCACCACCACACCCTGCCAGCTGTGTGGCGCCGACAAGATTCTAGATACATTGAAGGAGACACTGGGTGTGACCCCGGGCCATACAACAGAAGATGGACTCTTTACGCTCGTTGAGGTGGAATGTGCTGGATCGTGCGTGAATGCACCTACGTTGGCGGTGAATGATGACTACTACGAGGACTTGACACCCGCAACCACATTGACGCTGATTGAAGCGCTGCGACGTGGCGAACGACCACCTCCAGGCCCAGTCAGTGGCCGTCAGAGTTGTGAGCCAGCCGCTAGATTGACATCGCTCAAGGGTGAGCCTTGGAAGGCAGGAGACTTTGTCAGGGCAGATTTGTAGGTGCCAGCACAATATCGTGTCTTTCCTTTGCATTCTTCATGTTCTTTCGATACAGACCTTTGGCCGCTGAAAAGCAGAAACTGCTCATAAATACAGTATGTGTCCAATAAATAGGAGGACTTTAAGTCACAAACAAGACGACTGTGGTTAGCTTCAAATTTGCGAATGTTGGCAGGGCATACCTTTATCTGTCCGACTGAGCATCGCTTGGAAGTCAGATTCCATGGCAATCTCAAGCCAACTGCCAGCAACCTCATCCTTCCATCGTATGCGCGACCAATCGCCAGACAGGCGTTCCTTGAGCTTATCCAAGAGCCTGTCAAACAAAATATCACTCGGCACACGAATGGCAATCAAATCATCATCAAAGTGAACCTTGACCTTGAGCATGGCAACGTTGTTGGCAGCGTTTCCAGCACTGGAACCACGCGGCACACTGTTGTTGGAGAGGGTAGCACTCGGCATCCTTTGGTGGTGAGGTGGGCGGCCTGTTGCGCTGGCATTTGAGTTTCTTGAGAGCGTCGTACTCGGTCCACGCGCATGTCCTCTCGCGAAACCTTGACTACTCCGCTGTTGTTGTTCGTGCGATGTGGAAACGGGACTGGCACTTTGTGAAGCAGGTGACAGCAGCGCTTTACTTGCCTGAGGCAGTGGTTGTGGCATCATACTCGTTGCATGAATCGACTCGACATCCCCTTCGCGAGCGGAGAACAAGCCTTGCAAGAGTGGACTGCGTACAATGTGCGCCGGCAAGCGACACAATTCTTCCACATAGATGTGTAGATCCGCACGACGTTGTGCGCTGATGGTCTCATCGACATAGGCGAGTGGACCTGGCATAAATGGTAGGATACGCTGTTCCCCAGTGCGTCCAGCCTCGATTGGGAACTCATCCAGTAGCTTGATCTGGAAATCATAAAAGTCTTCATAGAAGCGACACAAGTTGCGATGCCGTCCATCATTCATTTCAACGCGAACCAAGAACCAGTATCTGTCTTCAGCAACGAGAAACTGGTCGACGGATGCACGCGCAACATACAAATCCGGACTGCTTTTGCGCCGGTTGAGTTCTTCCGGATTCGAGCTGCTCGAGTAATCTGACCGCCGTACATTGCTTTGATCTTGCTTCATATCAAAGTCAAATCGACCCAACGGAATGCTGCTGTTCTTGTACTCTGCCGCAGCCTTCTTCCACTCTTCCACCTTTGGGACAGCTGCTTTCGCCGCGAGTTCTTCGAGGTTCGTGATGGTCTTGCCTGTGACTAAATCACGAATTTCAACAAACGAAACAGGAATCAAGCCTGGCCCGCCTAATCTGCCGATGGGTTTCGCCACGAACCATTCGTGATTGGATTGTGCAATAATGATGATCGCTTCCCCAGCTTTGGCTTCCAGTTCATCGGGCCGTTCAGCTGTAAAGTCGTATTGTACAACGCCATAGAGTGGACTTGCCTTGGACGACGGTTGCCGTGCATGTCCCCGCGTTTCTTGCTGATGCTGTTGCTGTTGCTGCTGCTGCTTCGCGTCCATGACTTGTTGCGCTTGAGACTGAATGGGCGGCTTGCCATAACCGCCACTCACGCTACCACCACCATGTTGACTACCGCCAGAAATGTGATGCGATTGTAACTGTCGCGCCAGGTGATCCGCTGATTCATCTGCATACCCTGAATCGCGCAACCCACTCGTTCGCGATGCACCTGCGCCACTACTGCCAACGCGCTGCATCCCTCCGTCACCACTTGTCTCGCGCGCTTGTCGACCTAGTACTTGAAAGAACTGTGCTGGAACGAGGCCACGCTGCCCTGTTGCTGGATTACACGCATCGAACCAATGCGGATCACTTGTTCCATTCGGGCCGACAACATGGAAGAAATCACCTTTTGTGAAACTCAGTTCGGCGTCTGCTTGTCGCTCATAGTCATACAAGGCTTTAATGACGGCTTTGGGTGCTTCGATGGCAGCGGGCGCTTTGGCGGGTAGGATGGGTGGAGATTTGCGATGCGCGGCGCTGTCCTTTTGCAGGCTCCGTCTCAGCTTGAGCATTTTTTGATTTTGATTTTATGTATAGAGGGTTATCGCGCTTGGCTGTCTGCTGTGTCGCTGCGAGGGCCCTGAGATTTGCTCGTGTGAGTGAGGGTGGGTAAGGTTGGTTGGGTGTCGGTGATGATGGTTGTGTGTTTAAGCGTCTCTTTTCTGCGCAAGGGGAAGGAAGGGAGGGAGGCTGGCACCATCGACACCCTCAGCAGCAGCGACAGCAGCCAGGCACTCAGGCCGCGAGCGAGTCAAGGCTGGCCCCGTGTCAGATGTATCGCTTGAGGAAATGCTCAGGCTGGACCGACGCACGGGCCTGATGTGGACGGTCAGTGCATGCTTGGTGCTGCTGTGATGGAATAGCCAAGAGTATAAAGATGTCGGTGACTTCCACGATACAAGATTATACCTGCAGATAGAGGCAGACTGATGTCTGGAAGGGACGGGCCATCTGTACAGGCATCGAACAGGCTTGTGTCATGACATGCCAGATGGTCGAGGCTCACTGCTCATCTACACTTCTAGACTATGACAGGCGTCTTCATCTGACAATCTACAGCTATAGGAAGAGTATACGTAGAAGTATAGAGCTGACGTTGTACTCAAGACAAGACGAGCGACAGACTGAGAGAGGCGATGAATCACAGTGAATCAGTGAATCAGTGCTGGATGTCTGCGTCTCTCCATCTGAAGCAAACTGGGCCAAGGACAAGAGAGGCCAACGAGAGAGACAGAGACATCGACCAGAGCGACATCCAAGAGAGGCAGGAGTGCACGGCGCAGGACAGGGACATCAGGGCCAGCAAAGTATCCAGGCATCTGCCATACTCAGTGTCAAACACAAATCCGCAAACAGTCTGAGGTTCAAACACACACAGCCAGCCTAGTGACGACACGCGTGGACATTCCAACGTCGACAACCCCCGTGCTGTCTATTCTAGCTGCTCTCGCACCCTTAGCTGTCCTGCAGGAGAAAATATAGGCTGCGCATATCATGTCGTGGAATACATTGACTGCAAAGCTCAAGAACACGCGACTCGATAAAGACCCCGTCAAGTCTCTACCCAGCGCGTCCACGCCTGTCCCCTCACAGCAACAGCAACAACTACAACAGCAGCAGCAACAAGCGGGCTCACAGACAATTGCGTCTAGTACCATCAAACCAGGTTTGCTGACCATTAGCGTCTCTGAAGCCAAAGGATTGCGCCTCCCACCTGGTTGTACAGCACCCAATGCACCAGCAGTCAATAGACATGCGCGGACAGACTCGACGCGCGCAAGTCGATCGAATGCGTGGTGGCTGCCCTACTTGCTTGTTGAGTGTGATAAGAATGAAGTGTTGATTGATGCGCTGAGTGTGGGCTCCACTTTGGAGAACCCAAGATGGGATTACAAGACGACGTTGTACGTGCAGTCTCATGAATGATTACACACTAACGGCAGTGATATCTCGCGGTACAGTCAACTGACGTTTGGCATCTACCTCAGACAAACGAGGACAACAGGTCGTGATCAGAACAATGCCGATATATTCCTTGGTGGCGCCAAAGTCGTCCCGACGTTTGTCGATGGCAAAACAACGCAGGAATGGCATGCGCTCTCCGGAGGCTCTGGACAGATTCAAGCGAGCGTGCACTACCAGTCCAATCAAAAGGGTAACTTGAGCATCGATGCCTTTGATCTCCTCAAAGTTGTCGGCAAAGGCTCCTTTGGCAAAGTCATGCAGGTGCGTAAAAAGGATACCTGTCGCATCTATGCCCTCAAAACTATTCGCAAGCTGCACATTGTTTCTCGCAGCGAGGTGAATCATACCTTGGCAGAACGCACCGTCCTTGCACAAATCAACAACCCCTTCATTGTGCCCCTCAAATTCTCCTTTCAAAGTCCAGAAAAGCTGTACCTCGTTCTTGCCTTTGTCAATGGCGGCGAACTCTTCCACCACCTGCAGCGCGAGGGCAAGTTTTCCGTTTGGCGAAGCAAATTTTATGCAGCAGAGCTCTTGTGTGCGTTGGAGTGCCTGCATGGCTTCAATGTCATCTATCGGGATCTCAAACCTGAGAATATCCTGCTCGATTATACGGGACACATTGCACTCTGCGATTTCGGACTGTGCAAGCTCAACATGGCTGAACAGGACAAGACCAATACTTTTTGCGGTACGCCAGAATACCTCGCACCTGAACTTTTGTTGGGTCAAGGCTACACCAAAGCAGTGGATTGGTGGACACTCGGTGTCTTGCTGTATGAGATGATGACGGGTTTGCCTCCCTTTTATGATGAGAATGTGCAAGAAATGTATCGCAAGATCCTCGAAGACCCTTTACGCTTCCCAGAGGACATTGACAAGGATGCAAGACCGCTCTTGACTGGCTTACTGATGCGTGATCCTGCGCGTCGTATGGGTACACAAGGACCAGCAGAGATCAAGGCGCATGCATTCTTCAAGGACATTGATTGGCGAAAGCTCATGGCAAAGAAGTATCAGCCGCCATTCAAGCCCAGTGTTGAGAGTGCCGTGGATACGAGCAATTTTGACCAGGAATTCACGAGTGAGGAACCCATGGACTCTGTGGTGGCAGATTCCCACCTCTCGGAAACGGTGCAACGCAAGTTTGAGAATTGGTCGTATAATCCAGCGAGCACCATGCATCCAGGTGGCTCATCTGGTATGGATCGTGGCATGGCGCCAGGTTCCTTTATGGGATAAATGTTCCTCTATCAACCCATATGCACGAGTAAACGTATTTTGCCCCATCCATGTGGCTCTCCGTCTGCCATCTAGCTTAGCCTTCTCTCGCTCATTGAATCTCTCTCTCTCAGAAATGGTCTTCCTGCCAATACGCTTCATCATACTGTGCTGTGACTTCGGCATCCTTGCCAAATTCTCGTTGCCATTGAACAAAACCGCCTTCAAGAATGTATATTTGGGGGCCTTTGCCATACTGGCCTGTCAAATTTTGAGCTTCCTGATACATTCTAGCAGCTGGAGGGTGAGCTTGCATTCCATTCATTTGAGAAGGCCTACCTTTTGGACCACGCTGTTGAGAGAGGGAGCAGTGAAAGATGATCTTGTCCTTATTCTGGTTATCTGAGATCTAGATGCATCAGCAGCTGATAGACGGATGCTTTCAGTGGACCAACCACACTTGCTACAGTATCAGGGAACTTGGCAGATGGTACATGCGTATGACCCTTGATAGCGCCACCTGCATAGTCGTCGTCGCGCACATCAATAATGGCGACTTGTTCTTTGGCTTTGAGCCATTGTGCGAGCTCTTTTGGTTTCACGAATTGTGGAACAGCAGACATGAAGCGTGATCTGAGGAGAGAAGCAATGATGAGCTGGATCAGGTGTAGCAAATGCCGGGTCTGGCTGGGTAGCTGGTTGTTCTGCAGCTAACTTTGCGCGTCGTCATTTTTCGCGACAAAACACAAAAGAGACAAAGCAAAGCAACAAACTATCTCCTCGTTGCGCGTATTGAGCTTCATCTAGACAGCGGATAACAGCGTCGCATTCTTCTTCTCGTATCACTTCTACATCACAGATCATGAGCGACGAAGCATCGTATGTTGACGCCTGTGTTGGCGCAGCTATCTAACACGTCAGTTGGAAAGAAGCCTTTTCTCTCTTCGACAAGGTAAGCAGCTCTATCTATGCTTCACGCATACTGACATGCTAAACTAGCGCGGCAATGGTCGTGTCGCCAAAGAAGCAGTAGGCGACTTACTTCGTGCTATCGGTCAGAATCCAACACAAGCTGAAGTGTCAGACATTGAGGCTGGCATCTCCGGTACTGATGTGGATTACCCTGCCTTCCTCAAGATTGTGCAGCGGCCAGATGGGTTCAAGCCGCCTGCTGAGCACGCTGACCTTGTACGGGGGTTTCAGGTGTTTGATAAGGACAACACGGGCTACATTGGTGTCGGCGAGATGATGTACGGTAAGCATACATTCCAGCCGCTCTGTACCCTTCTCGGGATATGAGGCTATGTGTGAAGATGTCGACTGACGCTGCAGTATTGACCAATCTCGGTGAGCGCATGTCAGAGAGCGATGTGACTGAGCTGCTGAAGGGAGTCGAGACGAAGGATGGCACAGTCAACTACAACGGTGAGGCCCTTTCATTTGAAGGAAGACATGATACTAACATGGATGCTAGACTTTGTGCACATGATCCTCTCCAACTAGCCTCCGTACCTGCGTAGTCTTCTCTCCCTTGATGTTTCCTGTGCGACCTATGCTGCTCTTCTTACTGCTGCTGCTTCCTCCACACTCAAATTCAACCGCAACCAGACACGCAACACTCCAGACGACTCTTCCCTCGTCCAAGCAAGCAGGTCCGAGCGCGCTTCTTAGTCTAGTGTAATCTGAGTGACATCTAGCGCAAGCGCCCAATCCCGTGGTGTATATCGCGCTGCATCTTCCGCTGTCAGCCATACCGAACCAATACTAGCGTCGCTCCGTTGGCACAGCTACAGTCAGCGCACGACATCATTTGTGCGACACGGCTTGCCGATCTTTCAGGATGAGTATGGCTTCTGCCAAGACGGCAATGACGAAAGCCCCGCAGGAAGTATCACCCGTGCGTACCACCAATGGCACAGCAGACACGACAGCAGCAGCAGCAGCAGCAGCAGCAGCAGCGGTCTCGACACCCCCGTCAGACGCGAAGCTCAAGGAAGAACCAGGAACACCGGCCATCTCTGCAACTCAGGTGACTGCACCGGACGGGACAGCCGCTGGCATGGTCTCGCCGAATGGTAATACAGCTGCGCAAGATGAAAGTGCCGCTGATGCCGCTGCGACCCGGCGTATTCAACGTGCATCGAGAGCCTGCGAGGTATTTTACTATCTTTGTGTTACTCATGCACCTGCTAATCCAACCAGATATGTCATTCGCGTAAAGTGCGTTGCGATGCGTCTACACTCGGTGTCCCATGCACCAACTGCCAGGCCTTTGGCTTCGAGTGCAAGATTCCAACGGCCGGTAGGAAGAAGAAGACAGCACGACAACAAGCACCGCAAAGTTCCGATGGCGATAGTAAAGATGCAACGGCACGAGACCGTACAGAAGTCTCTGCGTCGCCTGCTATGGAGCGACATGGTACACCCACTGCAACGCACGATCGTCAAGATCTCACACGACCGAGTGTCACGCGTGAAGTGAGTGGTGCGGCTGTTCCTGAGCGCGCAGACCCGAGCAAGCTGTATGTCGATTTCATCGATCATGATATTACACAGCAAGCCATCCCAGATAACGGACGTGTCGCATATTTGGGTGAATCATCCAACTTGAGCTTCATTGTCAAGCGTCGTGCGATGAACGATGCAGACAAGGAAATTTATCACTACCCGATCCCCGATGTTTTTCGGGATGAACCCGCCACAAAGCTCAATATTCTCGATGCGGATGAAGTGGAAGCGCTCAAAACGCGAGGTGCATTCTTGTTGCCACCGAGAGATGTGTGTGATGACCTGGTAGAGACGTACTTCTCCAAAATTGCGCCGCAGATTCCAGTGGTCAACAAGACGCAATTTATGCAGCAGTATCATAATGCATCGGACCCACCACCGCTCTTGCTGCTGCAAGTCATCTTTCTCGCTGCGAGTCGTGTGAGCAAGAATCCGGCCCTGGTCGACCAGCAAACAGGCACAACCAACAATGCCAGCATGACGTTCTGGAAACGTGCCAAGGCATTGTACGATGCAGACTACGAAGACGACAAGGTCGTTGTGATTCAAGCACTTCTTTTGCTCAGTTGGTGGTGGGAAGGTCCAGAAGACGTGACACGCAATGTCTGGTATTGGATCGGCACTGCTATTCGTGTGGCTCAAGGCATTGGTATGCATCGTTCGGTTGCAAAGAGCAAGATGAGCACGTTGCAGAAGCGTACGTGGCGTCGTATCTGGTGGACATGTTTTGCGCAGGACCGCCGTGTTGCAGCATCTCTCGGTCGTCCGATGTGCATCAACGTTGAGGACTCTGACATGGAAATGTTGACTGAGGAGGACTTTATTGAGGAAGACGTCGCGCCTGGCCAAGCTTTGCAGTACCCACCCAATCGCAACCACGTCCTCTATTTTATTCAAAGCGTCAAGTTAACGGAGATCATGGGTGTCGTCCTGTCAAGGCAGTACTCGGCAGCCTCTCGCAAAGCCATGCAACTACAAAGTCTTGATTTGACACACTCGGACATGGCACTTGCAAACTGGCTAATGAGCCTTCCGCCAGAGATGCAATATCACTGCACAAAGAATGCAAAGAAGCAGAATTTCTGGGCGGCTTTTCTGCATATGACTTACTACACAGTCTTGTGTTTACTGCACAGACCGCATATGAAGTCTTCTGTTCGACCCGATGCAGCACCCACTACCTACCCATCGAGGAATATTGCCTTCACTGCAGCCAACATGATTACGCGGATTTTAGAAGATGTCGTGCATTATGGCAATCTCGAAATTTTACCGTCCTTCAGCACGTACGCCATTTTCTCCGCCATGATCTTCCATTCCTTTGAGATCCGTTCTCAAAACCCCGTGGTTCGCGATGCGGCACACAAGAAATTGCAATTCTGCTCAAAGTCGCTTCGGGACTTGTCAAAGGTTTGGTTGGTAGCAAGCTCGATTGTTGTGTTGTTTGAGGCAATTGGCGAGTCGAAAGTGCTTCAAGACCGTCTGCAGAAGTCCGCCTTGCAAGCAGCCTCTTCCACCAACCTTACTCGCAGTGCTCTTGAGACGCGCAAGAAGCATGCAATTGAATCCATCAGCGAATCGCGAAACTTGGCAAATTTGCGAGCAGCCTCCAATATGGGTTCGCCGGAAGCGACTTTTGCATCGCCAACAACGGCCCTGAAGCGCAATGCAGATACGATGCTTGCGGGAACGTATTCTCAGCATTCACGTCCGGACGAATCGCATCTTGGTCACGGAACTGGTCTGACGCATACCATGAATGGCACAGCAACGCCACCAGAATTCTTCTTTTCCACGCAGCAATCGATCCCACATACATTCTTTGAGTCGTATCAACCCATGGATCTGTTTCCACAGGAGGCTCTGGGCATGAAGCAATTACAGCAACAGCAACAACAGCAGCAACAACAACAACAGCAGATGCATAAAAGCAATTCACCGGTCAACATGCCAGCGCCGTCTTCACTTCCGCAGCAATCACTGAATATTCCACAACAGGCAGGCTCGTCTGGTGGTAATAGTGAGCGACATTCGCCCATCAGTACAGGGCTCGGTGGAGAGTACTGGAATCCCGTACCGTTTGCAAGTCAAGGAGATTTAGACTTTGATGCTATGGCGCATGGTGAGGGATTGCACTACCCTGAATCATCGGCATCGGATGAAGGTTCTCGACCGGGTGCGCCAGAGAGCTTGAATATTCATGATTGGTATTCTTTCTTAGGGCTAGTGTAAGGGGACTCTTTGGGTTTTGCTTCAAGGGAGGGACGTAGCTTTTGCTTTCTTTTAGGCCATCTGATTTATTTTTCACGTGTGCTCTCACCAAACACCTTTCGTGAAGCGATGCCCAGAGACCAAGCCTCTTTCAAGTCAGCTAGCTAGCAGAGGGCCCTCTAGCCATGTCAGTCTCAGCAGGAGACTTGCAACATGAGATGATTCTCAAAGTACTGAACAATAAGCTCTATACATCCTCTCCACCGCTACCAGAAAACACAACAGCTACAATCCTCGATGTCGGTACAGGGACTGGTAGATGGGCTGTTGATATGGCTCGACGCTATCCTCATGCACGTGTCTATGGTATTGATCTCAGACAAGTCGATATTGATCCTGCTACAGCTGCTCAAGGTTGTCTACCACTTCCGAGTAATGTCGTGTTTGAGACGGTGAATGTCATGGAAGGGTTTCCCTTCAATACGGGGACTTTTGATTTCGTACACTCACGACTTCTTGTGGGTGGTATCACGAATTGGGAGACTTACCTAGCGAATCTCTTTCGCATTACTCGGCGAGCAGGGAAAGTCGAGTGTATCGAGGTGGAATTATTGCCTATTTCTAGAAATGGCAAGCATCCACGGGCCATTGAAGCATGGACGGCACTGAGTTCAACACTGTTGCGCAAAAGACAACTAGATCCACAGTGTGCGACTGCCTTGAAGGATCGCATGATGCAGGCTGGATTTGAGTCTGTGGCAGAAGAAATCCTAGAAGTGCCAGTAGGGGCATGGGCTGACTCGGCGGAAGAGAGGATGGTTGGACAACTGGCGCTTGAATTTGATGAGCACATGATTGCATGGATGACAGGGTCACTCGTTGAGCAGAGTCTGTTGTCTGCTGAAGAAGCAGGTCAGATGGCAGCCGCCGTGTTGGCAGAATACAAGGATGGCGCATTGGAATTGTGCCTTCGCTGGCATTTCTGCTCAGGTCTCAAAACACCCTGAGTCTATGGTCTGCTTGTAATGTACACTATTCTAGATGACCAGAAAAAGTTATAGATTTGTTTCTCATGACCTCGCATATTATTGTATCATGCTCATACCTCTCCGTCTGACATCTCGATTCACAATACCAGCGACACCAAAGGCTGGCAGGATTCGCATGATTCTTGCGGCTGTTGACTTCCAATAGCGTTTCTTGACTTCTTGCCATCTAGATGCTATGGGTATACTGGGTCCAGGGCGGTTATAGACATCCAAGCCTAGAAGATGCATGGGTGTGGAGAAGAGTTGCATTGCACATGGCACTGTGAGTTGTGCAACATTCAACCCAATGTAGGGGGCAAGCAGACTTGGGACATTGAAGGAGGCAAAGATGGTTAATGAGTCTCTTGCTGAAAACAAGCCATAAGAGGCGAGAGGCAAAGGGCGTGGTTGACCTGTGCCGAAGAGTTTTGCATAGTGCACATCTTTGTACACACATGCAGACAAATTGACGGCTGTTGTTGCAATGAACTTGCCAAAGCCATTCGTCTGCTTGCTCCACTCTGGTACAGCTCGTGTTTGTATGGTGTCAAAGACGTTGGCTGTGGCATAGGTTGCGAAATAGACGCCATAGAGGAGTAAAAAAGGTAGTGACGTCAAGAAGCTGACAGGGGAGCGAATGAGATGCCGTGTGCTGGTCTTCATGCTCTGTATGATGGAGGGCGACTTGCCACTCGTTGCTTCTATGATGCTGCGATCGATGATGCAGATGATGGGCGAGATGGTGGCCGAAGCTGCGGCTGCACTGAGCAAATCAACGGTGAGCCTCGAGGGGAGACGTGCCCTGTGCTCTTTTGCCATGCTTGATTCTTGTGAGCCTGAGAGCTTTCCTGTTCATGGAGAGACGGGAGACTGTTGCTTCAGCAGAGATAGAGAGCAGGTGGCCGTGCCAGCAGATGAACAGGTAGCTAAACTAGTATTTAGTAGTAGTATTAGTATTCAGTATTCGTATTTGGTCAAAGTCGTGAGGACGCAGCGACACGTGAGGGAGGAGACTGACAGCATCAGACAACCAGCTGCAACCACACCCACAAACCAACCAGGCATGGATGAGGAGTACGATGTCATTGTCCTGGGCACAGGGCTCACTGAATGTGTCCTCTCAGGCCTGCTCAGTGTCGAAGGCAAGAAGGTCCTGCACATGGTATGGAACAAAGCATCTGTCACCAACCCATACTGACAACACCAGGATCGCAACGATTATTACGGCGCGCACGTCATCTCCTACAGCACGAAACAAGCACCAAGAGCTAACTCATCTACAGTGAAAGCGCCAGTCTCAACCTGACGCAGACCTTTGAAAAGTTCCGCAAGGGCGAGCAGCCACCCACGGGATTGGGGAGGGACCGCGACTGGGCTATTGACTTGGTCCCCAAGTTCCTCATGGCAAACGGTGAACTCACAAACATGCTTGTTGTAAGTCACTTTTTTACTGCCCCTGACACATTGCAAACTGACACCATAGCACACGGATGTGACACGGTACCTTGAATTCAAGCAAATCTCTGGCTCGTACGTGTACCGTGATGGCCGTATTGCCAAAGTCCCAGCCACAGAGATGGAAGCTGTGCGCTCTTCGCTCATGGGCCTCTTCGAGAAGCGCCGCATGAAGCGCTTCTTGGAGTTCATTGGCGCATACAAGGAAGATGACGCAGCAACGCATCAGAGCCTCAATCTCGACCGCAACACAATGACGGAAGTGTACTACAAGTTTGGCTTGGAGAAGGGAACGCAAGACTTTATTGGACATGCCATGGCGCTGCATCTTGACGATGCCTACCTGAACCAGCCGGCACGAGAGACGTACAAGCGCATCGTGCTCTACCTCAACTCTGTTGCACGTTACGGCAAGTCACCTTACCTTTACCCTCTCTACGGACTCGGTGAGCTGCCTCAAGGCTTTGCGCGGCTATCTGCAATCTATGGCGGTACCTACATGCTTGACAAGAAGATTGATGAGATTGTGTATGAAGGTGGCAAAGCTGTAGGTGTCAAGAGTGGTGGCGAAACGGCACGCGCCAAGAAGATCATTGGTGACCCTTCCTACTTTCCTGAAAAGGTGAAGAAGGTGGGTCGTGTAATTCGAGCAACGTGTCTACTGACCCACCCTATCCCCAACACAGATGATGTTGACTCTGTGCAAATCATCATTCCACAAAACCAAATTGGCCGGAAGCATGATATCTACGTTGCACTGGTTAGTGCTACACACAATGTCTGCGCTAAGGGTCACTACCTTGCTGTGGTCTCGACAATGGTAGAGACGGACAACCCACAAGAAGAAATCCGACCAGGACTCAAGCTACTTGGTCCCATTTTGGACCAATTCACCAATATTAGTGATTTGTACGAGCCAACGACCAAAGGCGAGGACAATGTCTTTGTGTCGCGCTCGTACGATGCAACATCGCACTTTGAGACCACGACGGATGATGTCAACAGGATCTATCAGGAGATGGAGGGGAAGCCGTTGGTGCTTAAGCAGAGGCCAACACAAGCGGAAGAGGAAAATTTTAATGTCGCTCAGTGATGATCTCTTTCGTTATTCGTTACTCGTTGCGTTCGTAGTTTCTTTGGCAGCCATCTCAGTCATGTCTGCCTACTGGTTGCAAGTTTATTGCTTGGTTGCTGTGACGCTGTAGTAGAATGAGCCAATTTGGACAATGTCTGGCTCTGTCTGCCATGCTGAAGACTGTACACGCGGTCGCAATAGATGGCCTGGCCTGAATGAGATCATGATGAACTTGCCACCTTGTCGCAGTACTCGGGCAGAGGCTTCAATCTCTTGAAAGCAGTTAGCCTTGACATCCTCTGGTGGATCCCACAGGGAACAACCATCCAGCATGGCATCCATGACGCCCTTGTCAATGACCACATCAAAGAAGGCATCAGGATATGCCTCCAGCGATCGCACGTCGCCTACATCCCAGAGCATTTCGGGTTTATCAGCATGTCGTTGCTGCATGAGCTCTATACAACGTGGTGAAAAGTCTACAGAAGTGACATGCTTGTAGCCGCTTCGCCAAAGTTCTTCAGAGAGCGTCGAGGTACCACAGCCAAGCACGAGTATCTTGGAGGTAGCAGTCAGGTGAGGTGTCAAGACAGAAGAGATCTCAGAAAAGGTCTTGAACCAGTCATAGCCTTCTGCATGGTCATTCTCGTAGCGATCATCCCAGTATGCAGGTTTAGCTAGATCCTCTGCATCATTGGCAGCTGTGGCCATCAGCCCTTGTGTAGCAGTATAGCTGTCTTGTTGCCTGCTGGTACGATCAACTTTTTTGTTTGCTTCCCAGACCTTGCCCACTGACCAACTGTTTCATGAAGCAGCCCCGACCCTCGCCAGACCTGCTCGCCGATCGACGTATCTCACAAGCCAAAGTGTAGTCTCTCAATAGCCGCGCCTTCGTCTAGGCGCCCTTTTATTCATCTGAATACCCGTGATAAGAAGCGATGGCGGCCGTCTTTTCCTTTGACATCGAGGACGATACATCCTTTTCACGCGCGCGCTCAGCTCGAAGCGCGTCGCTGGATAGTAACGATGAGCACTATATCCCTGCATCATCACATGCAGGATCGCGTAAATCAACACCTAAAACAACAGCCATGTCGTCGCCTGCTGTATTTGCGCGCAAAATGGAGGATATCTCGGTAGATGACTTGCCCTCTATTGAAGCGATGCCATTGGCGGAAGATGATCAAGAGTATGAGATTGGCTTGGATGAGGATTTCGATAGCGTGGATGCGATTGACTTGAAGCGACTGTCGATGCGCCACTCAGCCGATGATTTTGAGCCCTTGAAAGTCTTGGGCAAGGGCGGGTATGGCAAAGTGATGCTTGTGAAGCAAAAGTCAACGGGCAGGTTGTTTGCTCAAAAGCAGCTGAAAAAGGCGAGCATGATTATCAGGGCCAAGACGATTGAGTATACAAAGTCAGAGCGCCAGATTCTGGAAGATGTTCGACATCCATTCATTGTCAAGCTGTTTTACGCATTTCAGGATCATCACAAGCTCTACCTTATCCTTGAGTACGCAGAAGGTGGCGAGCTCTGGACACATCTCGAGACGGAAAAGATGTTCTCTGAGCAAGTGGCGGCATTCTACGTCGCTGAACTGGTTTTGGCCCTGTCGCATCTCCACGCACAAGGCATCATCTACCGCGATCTAAAGCCAGAGAACTGTCTGCTTGATCGCGAGGGACACCTGATCTTGACTGACTTCGGCATCAGTAAAGTGGCAGAGGATGGTGCTGAATGTCGCAGCTTTTGCGGCACCACTGAGTACATGTGCCCTGAAATGTTGCTGGAGCAGCCGTATACCCTTGCTGCTGATTACTGGTCGCTCGGTGTCTTGCTCTTTGAACTTTGCGCCGGTCATCCACCGTTCAGCGGCAATAACAAGAAGAAGGTGCAAGACAAGATTCTATCCTCAAAGCTGACACTGCCCTTTTACATGTCAGCTGAGGCCAAAGACTTGATTGGCAAACTCCTGAAAAAGGTACCCAAGGTCAGGCTTGGTGCGCGCGGTGCTGAGGATGTGCCGGTCATCAAAGCGCACCGCTTCTTCCGCAAGCTAGATTGGCGAAAATTGGAGCAACGCGCTCTGGATCCGCCCATCCAGCCCATCATCACGGATCCAATCTTGGCGGAGAATTTCGCCGCTGAATTCACGTCGATGCCCCTGAATACACCCATCAGCCATGAAACAAAGACGGCTGCCGGTGTGGCGATTCCGAGTGAGCCTGTGATTGCAGAGGATTCACTGACTTTTGACAAGTTTACGTTTGTGGCGAGTCCAAATTTCTTCCAGCAGGCTGGGATGTGCTGAGGCAGGATATTTCGCCGTGTTGTTCATTGATAGAAGCGATGGTATAGATATGTAGCAAAGTAGAAGACGCCTTAGAGAGGTCTGTGCTGCCATCTGGTGGGCGAGATGTTTCGCGACCAAGCGCGACTGCTGGCCAAACCTCCGCAAGCCTCGATTCTCTTACAGGCTCTCTTGTCAGTGGCAGGAGTATCTGACAGGCTCATCATCATCAGTCAATCCTAGGTGCTATCTTTCGCACAGTTCTTTGTCGTGCTCCCACTGAATCTGGCCTTCGACACAGCAGCCACGGTCTTTTCTTCATGTCTTTTACAAATCAACGTCGCTAGTACGGGTAGCGATCAATCTAGCTAGGTCTTTATGAGTCAAGAAAGGCGACCGATGACTTCGCCTCAAGGGCCCACGATGCCGGCCGCATTCAACATCATGCACGCACGACGCATGAACCAGCGCGAACGCGCTCAACCCTCTCGAGCACAAGAACCCGCTGCACTCCAATATATCAGTCCAGCGCCACTCAGTGAAACGAAGCGTACGCCCCTGCAACAAAGACAAGCGCTCTGGCATCGCAAGTCTGCTAGTGTTGGACAGATTGGAATTGCCTTTTCCTCACCAGATGAAGCGCGCGCTTTGCAGGACCATCCCCTGACTGCGGAAGAGACAGATTCGCTCTTGGACAGCGTATTGGATCTCTACCACGAGACGGGCGATGTTTCTACACGGCCGAATGTAGATTTTGTGCAAGACATGCAGCGCTTGTCATTGCCCGAAACACTCAAGGACGAAGGTCTGACAAGCAGCAGTACACGCTCGACACCAATGACTTCGGGTGCTGCCACGTTCCATCCACTCGAAGTCTTCCAGGCGGCGCCTGCACAACAGCTGCCGAGCCAGCGTGATCGATATGGTTTCAGATGCGAATCGCAGCATGTGTCCTTAGAAGACTATAAGGCCTGGCAGAAACGCTACGAAGAACATCTCGTTCGTAGGCATTACAAATGGGATACATTGCTCAATGAAACATCTCAAGCGAATGCTGTACGGAGAAACGGCAGTGATATCGAATTCCCCGCTAGGTCAGCCAAATTACAGCGATACATCCGCAAGGGCATACCACCTGAATACCGCGGCCAAGCTTGGTTTCACTACGCAAATGGCCATGCATGTTTACGTGCACATCCGGGTCTTTACCATCGCCTGGCGGAACAAGCGTGTCGACTCTGTAGCGACGGTAACAATGACTTGATTGAACGAGATTTGCATCGCACATTCCCAGATAATATCCACTTCAAACCCGACGGCTACACTCGGACGGGACAGACTGCAAATGCTACTGCGTTCCAGGAAGAACCACCCATGATCGCTTCGTTGCGGCGCGTTTTGCAGGCATTCGCGCTCTATCGGCCACAAGTGGGCTATTGCCAATCACTCAATTTTATTGCGGCACTCTTCTTGCTGTTTATGCCGGAGGAGCGCGCTTTTTGGATGGTGGTGATTACCACAACGGATTATCTACCGCATGTGCATGATGCGAACTTAGAAGGCGCGAATGTCGACCAAGCAGTCTTGATGCTGGCAGTTCGAGAATGTCTGCCGTCAATATGGAGTCGTCTCGGCCAGGGCTTTGAAACGCCTTCTTCTCCACACCCTAGTACCATGTCGAATGCTAGTGGCGGGCGCGATGCACTCGGCTTCAGGAGACCTAGTCTGGGTAAACCGAATCCTGCATCCTCTGGCACAAAAGCTACACCACATGAAATTATTGGCAAGCTTCCTCCAATAACGCTAGTGACGGCTGCGTGGTTCATGTCTGCTTTCATTGGAATCCTACCTATCGAAACCACCCTTCGCGTCTGGGATTGCTTATTCTACGAAGGCTCAAAAGTCTTGTTTCGCATTGCCTTGACGATTTTGAAGCAAGGCGAACGCTCCATTCTCGCAGTCTCAGATCCGATTGAAATTTTTCAGGTTGTGCAGACGCTACCTCGTCAAATGATCGATGCGGGTGCATTGATGGAGGCGTGCTTCAAACGACGCAATGGAGTGGGTCATCTCTCGCAAAAAGAAGTAGATGCCAGGCGTCAGAAAGTTGCTGCAATCCGGGGAAGACAAGCGGCTACTGTCCTGGCTTCACAACCATCACCCACCATCTCAGTGGTAGAAGCACCTCCGAAGCATGGCATCAGGGAGCAAGTGTGGTCAAGTGGCCCGGAAGCGACTAGTTTGCCACGGCGATCGCGAGATGACCTTGCATTGGTCACGAAAGTGACACCGAGCCGGAAGCTGAGTGGTAGTACAAAGATTCGCAGCCGTTTCTTTTCTCATAATGCCTCTGAGGCTCCTTAATTGCTTGTCTATGGGGACGGACGTAATGGGGTGTTTCAGAAAGATGAAGACATTGTGTACTTGTGTAGTCAAGATCTGTAAGTAATCTGAATACTTGACCACGACTCCTTTTGCCAGCTTGCAATTCTGCCTCGCTGTTCTGTAGCTTGAAAGCTGCTATGCTCTTCTCGGAAGATAAGAAGCAGGGTTTTGAGCCATACAAAGACGACGAGGGCGAGCACGCTTGGGAGGTTCAGGTACCTCAAAGCCAACGCATCGCTCACATCACGCTCTTCTTTCGCTGCAAGCACGCTCTCAATGCGAGTGAAAAGTCTCGCTGTGGTCTTCGTGGCCTTGCTGTGACGCTACATGACCTTGAAGAAGCCAAAGAAGCAGCGCAAGCCTTGAAAAGAGACTCTATCGTTGGTGATGTCAATTCGCCACATCTCAAGATTGTCGAGTGCACACTGTCGCATGACGACGGTGCTCCTGTAGGCTTGACGAATATGAAGCCTTACTACGACGAGCACGGTGTGATGGCTGCCTGGGCCCACCCTGTCGATACATACACGGCTTCCCGCACAAGCTCCCGGTGCTACTCATGTTGCTATACACAAAATACGCTTGAGCAGCTCGCAAGCCAGTCCAGCCCGTCAGTTCAAGGCTCACACAACAAACACATCATTGGCATCAAAGGCAAGACAGATTCAGAGGGCGATTTTACAGCACTAGAGGTTATGGTGCAAGATGATCCAGCTGCTCACGCGCCGGAGCCTCGCAAGCGACGACGCTGGGGCAAAGAAGTCGATGAACGGTACAGCTGGGATACTGGACGCTGGCTCAACCGTGGCCTTTGCTTCCGCTGGAACCGCGAGCTGCGACGGACGGAGATGTATGTCGGAGGTTGAGGCAGGGAGGCTTCATTTCGCCTGTTTCGTCTTGTTTCTTCCTCAAACAATTCACAACCAAAGCACTTACCTACCCTTGGCCTCTCTCTCTTTCTGCCCATCTTGCGCTAGCTTACTCTTCATCCTCTACTCTTCGCCTCTCAATCTGCTTCGACGCCCATCAACGCGCGCATTCCGCGCCGCCTCGCTAGGCCTGTGCTGCCAAATCGATACACGCGCCAAAGGCATGACGACGCCCGCTTCAAAAGCACAGACGCCTGCAGGCCTACCAGCTATTGCGCTACGACATATGGCCGTCTCTTCTGCCTCATCAGCGACTGCCGTAGATGCAACAGAGTCAAGTAGGCATGCTGGGGAAAAGACAACACAGGAGTCCATTCGTCTTGCGAATCGTGCGCATTGGCAAGACCCAACCAATCCAGCGGCTGGCTTCAAGAATCCCTGGCCTTCGTATCGGAGTGCCTCGAAATGGAAAGTACTCAAGACGGCCATCTTTCATCCACCGCGCAAACCCATTCCAAAACGCATTCAGGAGCATTTTCCTGTGCGGATGCCAACTTGGCATGATTTCAAGGACGACAACATCAAGGCAACGTGGTTTGGGCATGCAAGCTTTCTTTTGGAGCTACCAGTAGAGACGCCGGCGCAAAAGCGAGGTGCGCGGATACTGCTAGACCCGGTCTTTTCTAAATACACGAGTCCACAAATTGCTGCCATGTTTGGACTTGGGCCCAAGCGATACTCGCAATTGCCGTGTGCTGTTGATGATTTGCCAGAGGTAGACATTGTCGTGCTCTCCCACAACCACTACGACCACCTCGACAAACCTACTCTGCGACAGCTCGAACGCAAGCATCCCAACCACATTCAATACCTCGTGCCACTCAACAATAGACAGCATCTAGAAGCCATTGGTATAGAGCCAGGGCGTATACGCGAGCTAGACTGGCGCGAAAGCACACAAGTCCATCTCCCAATCATTGGCGCACGCTTCTCAGCACTCTGTTGGCCAGCGCAACATGGATCCGCGCGAACGCCACTTGATGCAGACAAATCTTTATGGGCATCTTGGCTTGTTGAGACGCAGACGAGAGCAGCAGGACCAAAACGTATCTTTTTCGCTGGTGATACGGGTTATCGCGCAACGCTTGGTGATGGAAGAGAGGGCTTCCCCGTTTGTCCAACATTCAAAGAACTTGGCGTCAAATTTGAACATGGCATTCACCTCAGCATTATTCCTATTGGCCTCTTCCTACCACGCGAAATATTGTCTGGTGTGCATACTTGTCCCGAAGATGCAGTTGATTTGCATCGCGATCTGGGCAGTCTCAAGTCGCTTGGCTGTCATTTTGGTACTTTTCGAGGGAGTTTATCGAAGCATTATGAGGATGTACTAGAACCTGCGAGGCGGCTTCGAGCGTATGCAGCTCAAGAAGGGCTCGCTGAGGATGCATTTGTGACGGTAGCCATTGGTGGCAGTGTGGATGTATGAGGGATGGGTCTCGCAGCATGGGCGACTTTTGCATTCTTCTTCTCTGGCATATTTGAGAGTAGCTTTACCAAAAGGGCAGTGTAGAAGCAACCCAGGCCCGGCCGTATTCCATGATATGTGACTGTGCTACCCCGGATTCGAGGGCGACATCCAAACTGCCTGAGATGCTGCTCATCATCATGCGCTGTAATTGCCGCCTGTATTGAACTTCGCTACCCAGATAGGGCATGCAACTAAGTCTGTAATAGCTTGCGCTTGCTCACTGAAAGATGGCTGTCGTGGAAGACTAGTAAGCGCTTCATCCTTCGCCATGCGCCCCTTCCATGCTAACGTGCCTTGCATCAGTATGAGCGAGCGCCTCGCCTTTAAGCGCTCTCGAACGATTCGTGCCAATATCACCATCAAGGTACGTCGCGAGGCTCTATTTCCCAAAGGGCGCTCTTGAAGCTGAGCCGATGCTAACGCAGGCACTACAGCACTGGCAACTCAAAAATCTCCTCTGTTCAGCATCCTCCACAGCGCACAATCGCGAACAACTCCTCTATGTGTGCCGACATAGCGTGCGCACGCTCGACTTTGCAGCCTCATCGATCGGTCTTGCGGGGCCCAAATTTTCGTTTGAACCGAGATCACTGACATCGCGGTACGGCTGGATTGTTGCTGGTGCTGAACATGGCGTGCTAGCGATCCTCGATGATCGCGGCGACCCGAGCACGTTGCAGGAAGGTCTGCGCAAACAAGAAGTCACGATCGGTGGGTGTCTGGTGAATGGCATCCATTTGTACAGAAATGCAAATGGTGAAGAGGTTGCGCTGGTCAGCAGTAATGACCATACCCTCAAGTCTTATAATGTCTCGCAAGGGAGACTAGAACGACCTATGAGTATGCAAACGGCGATGAACCATGCAACCGTCTCTCCCGATGGACAGTGGATGATTGCAGTTGGGGATAATACAGAGTGCTACTTGTTCACGCAAGAAAGTGGCAGGTGGCGAAGACAAGGAAGTATGACGGTCTCGACAGATGCATGTTTTGCTACCGGGTTCTCTGCTTCAGGCCGCATGCTTGCTGTTGGTTCACAAGACGGGACCTGTTCACTGTTTGATATTCGCATGTTGTCAACAGGCAACCCATCGCAGCGCCAACCAGACCACAGTGGCATCCATGCAGCAGACCCAACGATCCGCTCTTATGGTGGTAGTACCATCAACAAGCAGTCCTGTCTCTTCCGCTGTCGTACCTCGCGACCTTTTCCTCATGGCAGCATTCGTGCCCTGGCATTTTCACCAAGTCCCCTCGACTTACTGGTCTTTACGGAGAGTACTTCCCATGCGACATTGCTTGATTGTCGTGATTTCTCACAGCCACAGCAGCGCTTGTCTGTACCACTGGCAGATACAGCGAGAGATAGGCATCACGGTGATGGGCACTATGGCATCGATGGACGAGATCGAGAGTTATCTGGTGTGTGCTGGAGCAGAAGTGGAAGTCAAGTGTTTGTTGGATCTGAGGAGACGGTGACGGGATGGACGATCAATGCGACTGAACGCCGCTGCTTCCCTTCGTTGGAGATGCGATGAGGAGAAGAAAAGTATCTAGGGGACGATCTAGTCCTGGCGATTTATATAATGTTATTGTTATGCTATCTTCCACGCTTTTGTCTAAGGTCCGGTCTTCCCAACCAGATTGCTTAGACTACTGATGGTATACAGAGCCTCTTAGCTTGTTGTAGAGTAACTTATAGTCCTCCCTTTGAGTTTTCCCATCTGACCACGACGCGTCAAGAAATCAAAACACAGACAAGGACACCTATCCATCAACGGCCAAGGACGTCTCTCCCTTGCGCGCATCAGAGGGCCTGCAGATATGCTCATGCAGAATACAAGCACAGTCTTGCCCTTCGTGCATCTGCTCGAAAAATTAAAAACCACAAAACGCGCCGGTTGGCTCAATGAATCCCTTTGCAATACAGAATCCATCGCGGATCATATGTATCGTATGGCCATGCTCACGCTTCTCTGCAATGACCCAGCACTGGATAAGACGCGTATGATGGCACTAGCGCTTGTGCATGACCTGGCAGAAGCGATTGTGGGTGATATTACACCGCGTGATAATGTCCCTAAACTTGAAAAGCAACGACTCGAACAAGCCGCTATGGAACACATCTGTACCGTCACGCTCCCTGTAGGCCATGCAGGAGCACGCAGGGATATCATGTCGTTATTCGAGGAGTATGAAGAACGGGCGAGTCCCGAGGCGCGGTATGTCAAGGATCTTGATACATTTGAGCTGCTTGTGCAAGTCACAGAGTATGAAGTGCGTGAGGGCTTTCGGAAAAATTTGGGTCACTTTCTCGATGGCAAAGAGACCATCAGTCATCCACAAGTCCGTGCTTGGCGTGATGAAGCCCTTAAGGAACGAGATGCACATTGGCATAAGTTCAAGATGGGTGAAGCTGCGCAAGAGAGCAATGATACGGTGCGTGCGGTCAAGCAGGCCCTTGAGGCAGAAGCCGATCAGGTCGCAACTTCTTAGGCACGCGCGATTTCTAATGAAAGAAGCATTCATCATAGACCAACCATTCAGCATTTCTATCTTGTCGTGTAAAACGAGTCTTCATTAAACGTAAAATTGGGAAGACATGCGATTGTCATCTGTAAAGACGAGTCTTGCTAGGCGATGCCGGACCAAGAAGCCAGCAATGCCAAAGAGTGCTTGTATGGTCATCATGCAGATGGTCAATGTATCCTCACGCATAGGTCCAAGTCGTACGAGTAAGACGCTAAGGAGCGTCAAGTTGGAACTTGAGAGGATGACGCCCGTATGTGGATGCCGTACAAGGCGAACGAGGTAGAGCCGTTCAAGCATAATAAGCAGAATGCGTTGTAGCGTGCTTGGAGGTCTCTCAAATTCGACAATACTGGCATCTACCAGACCTGTCTTTGCTTGAAACTTTGGCAGACGATGCCGTGGACACGGGATGATGTGGAAGAGCTGTGGTGCAGAGAGAACAAAATTGAAGACTTGCGGGATGAAGAAGAGCAGCATGGTCTTTGAAAAATGTCCCTGAATGCCCACTGTTGCAAAGGTCATGCCTGCAAAATAGCAAAACGTGTCGCCCACAAAGACAGAGGCAGGCCACCAGTTGTGGTAGAGTAGTGCTAAGCTCACGCCAAGGAAAGGCATGAGGAAGCAGGCTGAAAACAAGTGTGACTCGTAGGCAGGATGATTGAGGCCGACGTGCTCTTGAACGCCAGAGATGTACAGAAGGTCATTGGCGAGGATGCAACAGGCAATTACAACACTTTGACCGACTTCAACACCATTGACCCCTGCAAGGATGTTGATGCTATTGGTGCAAAAGATGGTCAGTGCCGCCATATAGGCGTAGTAGAGGAAGCCCAGGTCGACCAAGTCGCCAAAGTACGGTCGTAACGGTGTAGGCACGACAACGTACGTCACGCCATAATCCACGTAGTAGACCACAAGAAGCGGTATCGCAGCGAATGCTGGAATGAAGAATTTGTGCCGCCAACGAAGGTCAAAGAAATCGTCTGCAAGACCCAGCAGGATTGCTCCTTGTAAGGATAGGACCGCCGACAGATATGCGCCAAGCTTGTTATGTGGAAATGTGTCTCCGACAGTGACATGATCAGAGTCGTCAATACCCGCACCACGACCAGAAGCTTCCCAGCCAGCCTTGATGTGTTGGTAAAAGGCGAACGGTATAAACAAGATCATAATGAGGAGATAGACTACTGCTGAAATGACACCCATCGTCTCTGGCAACAATGGCTTTGTTGGCTTTCCCAAGTCCTTGCCGGAAACACCCTTTCTCAAAAAGGCCGCAGCGCTCTGGGGTATCAAGATGACCGTCATGACGAATCCGCAGATCGACATGCCGATGTTGATGCGCAGTGCATCTTGGCTGGCAAACAGCGGGACTGTCGTAGCGAGTATCACACCCAGCACGCCCTTGCTGATCATACTGAGGCCGACCCGCCAATGCTCAGCGAGGCACTTGCGATCCGTGTGAGTGTGCAGTTGTCGCGACGCTCTTCTTGTCGCGTCTTTAAATTTTGGTGGCAGCAGGTTCAGATGGCACGCTCAGCCTCTTCCTCAAGCGCAACCTCATCCAGGTCGTCCTCTTCCTCTGAATCACGCACCTCCTCGAGCACAAATCGTTTAGCCTTGCTTGGACTGAGCGGGCTTGTCTCTGACGCTGGGCGTTTTGAGGACTCAAGAGTTGCGGGTTCCAACACTTCAGAGACTTCTGCATCGACCGATGGCGGCTCTTCAACCGGCAATTCCGCCCTATTGATAGTAGAAGAAGTCTCCGGAGGGGGATGCATCTCCCTAAACCTTTGAGTACCAACTGATCGACTCAATGCGTCCAAATCCATCTCCTGGAAGCCAGAACCTACAATACGCACAGGCACGCCCTCAGGCCGTGCCAACATTGCACCGCCAACTTTCTGAACTGCGCAGTAACGTAATGCAGCAGCATCATCCGCACTCAGGCGTACAGGTGGGAAATCGCGATACAGCAATAATCGTGTCGAACAGGCGTCTTGCCACGCATCTCCCAAGGAAGCCACAAGTGTTGCCCCTGACCCTGCCGCCACGCGTGTCGTCAGCTTACAGAGCACCAAAATGATGATTTGACAGCTTGCAGCCAAAGTTTGTAGAGTTTGTGCGAGTAGCTTCGTGACCCGTGCTCGTCGTGCCGATTGTGACTCGCCGGGTGCTGCGGACCGGCTGTCTTCTGGTGGGAAGGCAGCGTTGAAGAGCGTTGTCAAGTCGTCAATCACGAGCAACTTTGTGTCTTTTGTCAAGAATATGGGCAGATCGCCATCAGGAGCATGAAGTAGCATGGCCATGAGGGCGGGCAAGGAGGCAACTCGCCTGGTTTTGACCCTTGAAAGTTTGGCCATTTCAACATCCGTATCAAACGCATTCGTTGAAATCATGTCCCGCAGTCTAGTCGCAGGAAGTCTCTGCGAGCACTCCAGCCAACTGATTAATGTCTCATCCTTGTCTGAAGGTTCGACACTGGCAGTTGCCGCACCTTGTTTCTCCGCATGGTCTTCAAGTATGTGTGCTGCCATATACATTGCAAATGCCGTCTTTCCAGATCCAGGCGGACCATAGACTTCTGTCAGCAGTCCTGGAACTAGACCACCACGCAGTTGTCTGTCGATGGTTGGTAGACCTGTTTCAAGAACATTTGGCGTGTGTTGAAGGGCTTGTGAAAGGCTGACTGTTGGCAACCGGTCTGTCATTAGCAGTTGAACTCTACCGATTCAGTAGAATACCTTTGATGTTCTTCAAGTGCGACGAACCAGCTTGTGACTGACCAGCCATGCGAGAGAATGTCTCGTGTGATGTCTTGTCGCGCTTCATGTCACAAAGTCGCGCTAGAAATGCATTACACAGGATCAGATGGCAAGCAATGGGAAACGGACAAAGGCTATGGCGTATTGAACAGCCTGCTACTTCAACAAACAAGTGCAGAGGCACAGCACTCAAGCAGCTTCCACATTCACTGCTGCAGCCACAGCAGGCACACCTTCCGTTACTGGGCCAGGCGCAACAGGTGCAGCGGCCTCTGAAGGCACAGGCATCCCGGCCATGGGCGCATTCTTCGCCTCTGTCGCACTCCTGCACAAGGGACAACTATTCCTGCCCGTGGTCAACCACGTATCAATACACTCCCGATGAAACACATGCGAACATTTTGACAAACTTCTGCACGTCTCGCCTGCTTCAAAGTCAGACAGACAAATCAAACATCGATTCTCCAACTCTGCGCTCATCTCATCCAAGTCGTGCGTGGGACCAGCCCGTTCAATATCCTCTTCTGCTGCTGTTTCTGGTTTTGCAGGACCAATCAAGTTGCCTAGCAGCATCATATCTTCGTAAGTCGGCGAGTCGGTGAACAGGCTGGGTGTTGTCAACAGCGGGTGATTCTCTGGGTAGGTCCCACCAAGCACATAAATAATCCACGATCGCGTTTGTGCAGCACCATTGTTCTCAGCAGCAGTACTCTGCTCTGGTCGAACCTCGGACGGAGTTGGTTCACCAGACGAGAAGGGTCGCCATTGTGATCGCCGTCGTCGTCGCTGAAGGTTTGCTGAAACTCGAGAAGCGCGTGACGCAATTTCGCTGGCAGGATCTGGCTGAGAGGCTGCAGCATTATCACCACCAAATGAACGTAGTCGATCCAAGACTGAGTCCAAGAGACCTGTTCGTTCCTCCTGCTGAGGGGTAGTATTGGTGGTAGTTGCTTCTTGCCGCGAACGAATAGGTGCTTCGGATGTGACTTCAGGTTCGTCTGCTGCCTGACCTTGCTCTTGCTCCACTTCAGAAGCCACAACATCCTCAGTCATGGTCACATCTTCCTCTCCTTCCGCTCGTTCTGTAATCTCCTCACTTGTGGTCACACCTTGCGATGCAGTACCAGAAACCAGTCCGGCTTGCGACTCTTGAGTATGCGAACGCGTAGTAGGAGGTCGATACGCAGGCGGTTGCATCTGTCCCAATGTCTCCAAGAAAGGTGGCACCTGTGGATCTCCCGGTGATCCATCTTCTCTTGGCGGAACACTGCGAATCCCAACAATGATAATGGGTACCATTCTTCCCTCACCTTCCGTCGCCGCCGGTGCGCCATGAATGCTCACTGCACTGTTGAAACGAAACATGCGGAAAAAGTTGAGTGGTTGCTGGGATCCTTCCTCTGGCTCACCGCCACCCAGAATATTGCCTCCGTTGCGCAAGGCTTGTGCCAACTGACCTGATTGCAAGGCTGCGAGGAAACCGTCGAAGCTACCATCCACAAGATCTCCCTGACTCGATGATTCTGTATCAGTAACGGCAGGTTGATCTGCTGTCGTCGTCTCCTGTAAAGTCGATGGCGTTGCAGGTGTATGCTGAGCAGCTAAATCGCGACCACGTCGAAGAGCGCCAGTCTGGTCACGTCCAACGAGCGATGCAGCCGTTGCAGCCGCAGCAACACTAAGTAATCTTGATAGCATACCAGCCTGATCCTCGCCCGGTAGTGCAGACACGACTTCACCTGGTGATTGACCAGAACCATTGAGTCGACGCGCTTCGCCCGCAGAGTGTGGTGCACGCGACGCGGCTGGTCTTTGCGAAGTATTGGGTGACGAATGCGATCGCTGCGTAGAGGGCCGTCCAGTAGAGTCAGCACTACCATGTCGGCCGTTAAGACGAGCTCGCAAACGTGACATGGATCTGGGAGATTCTGGCAGATTGGAGGGCATGGGCGATGGAGGCCGTGAAGAGGATGATGAGCGCACATAGTATCGTGGTGTTCCCGTGTTGGGCAAAGCCGTGTCGGACTGCGCTCTGTCTTGCAACAGTGCACTCAGATTGTCCGCGGAATCTCCAGATTGCTGTTGCTCAGCATTCAGATGCGACTGAGAGGTTGCGCGACGAAGTGGACGTGAGTCACTTTGAGGCTGCCTTTGTGCAGCGTCCAGGTTGGAGCGAGAGCGTGTAGCTGGCCCAAGATGACCGGATAGGTTGCTTGTGCCATACCTGTTCCATAAGCCAGCCGATTCTGAGTTCTCTGAAGAGGCATTTCGTGCATTAGCCAACGCTATAGCATGCGCTTCTGTTGGCCGCGTGCGTCGATCTGAGTAGATACTGCTGCTTTCGCTTGGTATCCGTGAGAGCTCTGGGGTGTGGTGTACAAGAACAGGCTGAGATTCTTCTGTATGTTCTGTAGGTTCATTGGACTCCTCGTCCGCAAGTGGAATGATTGCCGATGCAGAAGTCATAGCAGTGTCGTAAGTCTCGTCATTGAAATCAGTGAGCGGTGTATCTCTCTGAAGACCATCTGCACCGATGTAATGACTCAAGTCAGGCACAGGCTGGCGCATATGCAGATCACCAATCGGTATAGCCATATCATCCCTTGTTTCACGAGGTGGCGAATGCGCCTGTGATGTGACAGATTCACCTCCAGACGGATGCGCATGCGATGTCGATGCCCTTGACTTGCTACCCGACTTGAATGGGTTTGCAAAGCTAGAGAGACGATTTCGAAGCCTGTTGACTCGCGAATCTGTTTTCCGCTGTGCACTTCCACGCGATGCTGTGGTGCGCTCAAAGCTCTCGATCGCTGTTGATCCACACGCTGCATCCAACTCCATCGTATCCTTTGGAGGCGTTCCTTGCGCAATGGAGGCTTGCGCTGATGTACTGCCTGTCATGACGAGGTCTGCATTGTGCCGACCAGACAACTCGCTTAGTCTACTGCTGCGCCGACGCCTAGATTGTGATGGCTCCCCTGCACTGGACGATGCCGTGTTGCCCATGGCAGAATGGCGTCTCTTGTTGGACTCTGACAATGCTGACAAGAGTGAATTAGGGAGGTCGATGACTGTGTGACTTGTGCCTTGCGCTGGACTATGTGTTCTCTGCGCAACGACAGTAGAGGACGTGACACACTCCACAGGATGTACCTTGAGAGCCTTGCGCGTCCTGCGTGAGCTCTAGATGGCTGCTTGATTGGGAGGGGCCCTGGCAGATGCGACTTGGCGCTGTGGTGCCGCTGGTGGTGGTGGTCTGTCTGAATCATCCAAACGCGGCTCAAAGGAGACGAGCACGCGCAGACGACACACACTCAAAGACAAAAAGGGGCCAACCAAAGAGAGAGCATAGACAAAGAGCTCAAGAGCTGTGCCTATGTCTCGCTGAATAGACAAGTCAAGTCATCTATAGCTATGTTATTCTGCTTTCGAAGCTCCAAATTAGTCCTTTTTTTGCTGTCATTGCTCTTCTGTCCCTTGGCTTCGGCCTCGAGAGGAGACCAGCTGGACAAGTTCCAAGCATGCGTCAAGGAAAACATTGCTCATCGCTGTACACAAGATGGGTATCGACTACAATCGGGCCAGCTGCCGCTAGCACTTCGCTTGACAGGGTGGACTTGTGCATCAGATATTGATTATCAGTGTCAACGTGCCATCACAGACTACATGGTCAAGAATGGAGAGGAAGTCGAGCAGTTTCACGGAAAATGGCCTTTTCATCGCGTCCTTGGCATTCAAGAGCCTGCTAGTGTACTATTTTCTATTCTCAATGGGTATGTGCATGTTCGCGGCCTGCGAAAAGTCCGCGCACAGGTTTCCAGTGCCTTTCCCATGCGCAGATTCTATGTCATCTTTGCCTACGTCGGCATGAATGCATGGCTCTGGTCTACCATCTTCCACATTCGTGACTTCAACTTTACGGAAAAGATGGATTACTTTTCTGCCGGAGCGTATGTCCTCTACGGCTTATTTTACGCAGTCATTCAGGTCTTTCAGCTATACAAGCGGCCAAGTTATCATCTCTTCCTGGTCATATGGGCAGCGGTATGCCTCGTGTGCTATCTGGCTCATATTGGCTACCTCACTTTTGTCATTTTTGACTACGGTTATAACATGCTTGCAAATGTTGTGGTTGGCAGTCTACACGGTCTCATCTGGCTCTTTTATTCCCTATGCAAAGGCCATCTCTCCCCAAAGAGTCCCGCACACGGACGCGTGGCCAAACAACCAGCGCCGATTGTCTTGATGCTGGCATGTGCCATGGCACTTGAGCTTTTGGACTTTAGTCCGTGGTTCTTCATGATCGATGCCCACTCCCTTTGGCATTTGGCGACCATACCCATCACGGCGATGTGGTATAATTTTCTCGTCTCGTACGCTATGCTCCATCAGTCAGAGGTTGATAAAAGCTTGCGTGCCTTACTATGAGTGGCCAGAGTCAGGCGAGGTACCGCGGTCAAATTCCATTGTACGAAGATCCACTTTTTGTTTTTGCGTTCAAGAACATCGTCCAGTCAAAAATGGACCTTACTCGTGTTCCCAGTATGGAGAGGATGTCGAGCGATTCCATGGCAATGGCCGTTCCTCGCGTCCTGGGCATTCAAGAATGTGATCAACAGCCACACGTATGTCCTAGATTTGCGCAATACGCTCACGGATATCCCAACGCAAGAGCAACCAGACAGACTCGCTTTGCATGATTACTTGAGATCTGCAGCACCTCCAATCTTGCTTTCCTATGTGGCACGGAATTGACAGATGCTTGAGGGTGTCTTCTGGTCCGTCCGATCCAAACAGGCAGAGGTTGCAATCGCTTCCGACGGTATCAAGCTAGCGGATTTCGAGAGATCTGCAAGCTCAAGCATGATCACTTGACGTGCCTTCCTATCCGTATCTTTCCATAGAACACATCTTACTATATTAGATATTGAGCATATTGAGAACGATCACGCTAGGTACCACTGCCCCTACGAACCTGCTTCTGCTTACCCGCGGTAATATCTATCACACGTCAGGCCTTGCACCCAACAAGTATTTGTCATTCATTTATCGAATCTGCCGAGGGCATCAGAGAGTATGTCTGATATATGTACGGGGTCGCATTTGAGACCTGAATACGCGAGAGGATTCGATTCCTTCTGTTGAAACTTGAAATGGTAGCCACAAGAATGGCTTTTACCAAGTTCCACAGTCAAGCAGGCAGGGTGACTCCCTGACTATTGGCAAAATGTCACATAACCCCTGTGCGTGGCCTGGGGAAACGCTTTGTCGACATGGTCTATGCAGCGCGCCTTGTAGTGTCTGAATCAGTAGAGCTTGAAGTTGGCCGGGGCCCGGTGGCCATGGTAACCCATCTCGTCCACATTCGAGTGTGCGACAAAAGATTGTAAAGATTGAAAGACTGCAGTTGGCCTTGAACGAACTTCACAGAACAGCCTACAACACCACATCAAGCAGAGGCAGTATAGGTAAGAGACTTACACATGGCACAAGATGACAGCTTCTCTGGACCAATGAAGGATTCATATAATGAATTCTGCAATTCTGACTAGACATGTGCAAGGCCCTTCGGATCTTATGCAAGTCCTGCTTGAAGATGCCAACACTGCTGAGGCCTTAGCAATGCTCGACTCTTATGCCCAGTTCGGGATAACTTGCTAACATGTAGATAGGAAGATTGTTGAGACTGCGACCAGTCAGAAACCATCGCCGCCAACGGAGGAAGCACTGCAAGCTTGCTAATTTTGAATGATGAACAATTTTACCTACATTACCTGAGGCGCACAAGCGTTCAGTGACGTTAGAAAAAGATTTGAGTTTCTACTGATAACCAAAATACAAGCGAGCAGCACCTCACCAAGTTGGCGGGATCGAGTCTGACTGGAGATGCGCGGCTACTATTGTTTGTAAACGGACAAGAGGTACGATGAAGAGAGCAAACGTCTATTAACCCAGCTCTTCGATCTGGCCATGACTCTACTGGAGCTTGAGCTAGACATGAGACCGACTAGTTACCTGTCTGAGAACCCTTTCCGTTTGCAATGCAGGTCAAATTTAGATCCGTTTAGTATGTAGTCATCATATGGTAGCTCTAAATGATTGAGACAACAGCAAAACAGAGACAGTGCTCACTGCGTCGTCGCTCGTGAAGTGTATTCACTCCTTGACATGGAGATGTAGCGTTGGAAGTGCTTCTCTTGGCCTGCCTCTTGCTCACCATCTTGAGCCCTGGCAGCCTTGCGACGATAGTAGATGCGCTTGCCCCACTTCCAAGCTTCCATGCATGCAATGTACAAGATGGAGAATGCAAAGCAGAGACCCCATTCCCAGCCAATACCAGTGTGCCTAAAGGCATCCGTGTTGATGACTGGGATGTAGATGACTGGCACAACAGAGATAGCACCCAAGATGACAGACCAAAACAAGAATCTGTTCTTATACCAGTCCTGACCGATAGCGACAAAGGCATTGCGTCCGCGACGAGGCTTGAGGGCAAACGCCGATCGTCGCATATCAATCATCTCAAAGGCGAGCAATAACAAACCCCATGTCATAATGACAAAGACTGTTGTACGACCACGGAAGACTGCCTCGCAACCAAAGTTGTAGCCAGCATTGCAGTTTTGCGCGCCACCAAGACCCAAAAAGCCGTCAAACCAGCCATAAACGACAATGACGAAGGAAACGACACAAAGCGCGCCAATGATGAAGCCATAGACAAACATGTCGAGAATGACTTCCCATGTGAACACACCAGTCTTTGTGTCGTGAGGCTCACGGTCCATCACATCAGGGGTCGCTTCCTCCATACCAAGACCCATGGCAGGGAACGAGGATGTGATCATGATAATCCAAAGAATCTCGACTGGCGAAAGTGGGAACACAGAACGGTCTTGCTGGTCGAGGAAGACCAAACCAATGAGGAGCGTCAATGCCTGACCAATATTACCAGCAAGCAAGTGCAGCACAAACTTTTTGATGTTGTCAAAGATGCGGCGCCCTTCTTCAATGGCGTTGAGGATACTGGCAAAGTTGTCATCCGAGAGCACAATGTCTGAGGCGTCCTTTGCAACATCCGATCCGTTCATGCCCATGGCAATACCAACATCTGCGCGCTTAAGCGAAGGAGAGTCATTGACACCGTCGCCCGTCATCGCAGCGAATGCCTTGCGTCTGTGAAGTGCTTCAATCATGCGCACTTTGGTCTGTGGCGCACATCGAGCAATGACAAGTGGCAAAACAGGCAAGTTGTCAATCTCATCCTCAGAAAGCCTGTCAAACTGAGCGCCCGTCATGACCATGGCTGAAACAACATCTGCCGGCATGGAACTCATCTTTTTGGGCAAGATGCTGACTTGTATAGCAATCGCACGAGCAGTACCAGGGTGGTCGCCTGTGAGCATGTGGACGTTGATGCCAGCTTTGTGACACTTGCGCACAGCTGGACCAGACTGTTCGCGAGGTGGGTCATAGAGTCCCACGAGACCAATGAATTGTAAATCCTTCTCCACTTCAGCACGCTCGAGCTTGTCAAAGTCGACACCAGAAGACTCGAATGGACGTTGAGCAAGCGCGAGCACACGCAAACCTTGGCTCGCAAGTGCCTCCATGTTCTTGAGTGTACGCTCCTTGAAATCCTCATCAAAGTCAACAGAACCTTCAGCAGACAAGGCCGTTGTGCAAGTCTCCAAGACACGCTCAACGGCACCCTTGGCAAAGACACTGTGCTGTTCAGTTTCATTGTTGCGATAAACAACAGACATGCGCTTGACGTCCGAATCAAAGGGGAATTCAGCCACTTCATGCCACTTTGGCTGGTCACCAGATACCCATCGTGGGCGGCCCCAGTCGAAACGGTGCGCAAATACCTGGATGGCAATTTCAGTAGGATCTCCCGTAGCCTTGTATACACCTTCATCGTTCTTCTTGATTTGTGCAAGGTTGCACAAAGCACCAATGTTGAGGAAATGCTCGAGACCTTCGGGCTTCTCCATGTCGAGTGCATTGGACTCGTCAGATTCAATTTTTTCAGAAATCTTGTTGTCCATGTCAGAAGGTGCCTTGTCGGATCGCGTGACTGATCCCTGAGTCGGGTCAATGGGGTTGTCGGAAGGACCAACAGAAAAGGTACCAGTGGAGGGAATCCAAGCACGCTTGACAATCATCTTGCCCTGTGTCAATGTACCAGTCTTGTCGGAACAGACATCAGTAACACCACCCAACGCTTCGAGAGAGTCCAGATTGCGAACAATGACATTTCGCTTGACCATGATTTGTGTGCCAACGGACATGGTAATGGTGAGGACGACAACCAAAGAAGCAGGGATCATAGCAACACCCGTGGCAACAGCGTAGACGACAACATCAGCTTGGTCGTCAAAGGCGTTGGCAGCCTCCACCACAACAGCAAATACGACTGCCACGAAGAAGAGCAACACAGCAAGTTGCGAAAGCTTGCGCTGAAGAGGTGTACCGACGTTGACACCGAGAAATCGACCAACAATATCGCCCAATGAAAGACCATAAGCGATCGGCCAAGAGTACCAAGCAATGGTACCGTCCTCGCGCGTTTTGGGCTTGCGAACTTTTCGAGGCTTGTCGCGCATCGAAGCAGCGATGCCACCAATCTCAGTCTTCATGCCTGTTGCAATGACAATACCCTTTCCACGACCCTTTGTGACGGTTGAGGAAGAAAAGACAAGGTTGAGACGGTCGCCGACAGGTGTCTCGTCAGAATCGTAAATTACATGCTCGTCCTTGGCGACAGGCAAAGCTTCACCAGTGAGCAAGGCCTCGTCAGTCTCGAGGTTCATGGTCTCGAACAAGCGCAAATCAGCAGGAACCGTGTCGCCTGTCTTGATAATAACAATGTCGCCAGGCACCACGTCCTGCGAGGGGACCGTAGCATCTTGCCCATCTCGAATACAATGAGCCGAGGGTGTACCGAGAGATTTGAGAGAGTCCATGGTTTTGGCAGCTTGGTACTCTTGATAAGTACCAACCACAATGTTGATGGCAATAACGGCAGCAATCACACCGCCAGAAATCCAGTCTTTTACGGCAAAGGACACGACCATGGCAATGATGAGCACCAAAACCATGGAGTTGACAACTTGTCCGAGAATCACGGCACCAAGACTGACGCCATTGTCGCCTTCGAGCTCATTTTTGCCAAAAACTTTGAGTCGCGAATCAACCTCTGCCTTTGACAGGCCGCTGTCGAGGTTTGTCTTGATTTGCTCATTGACGTCCTTGAAGGACAAGAGAAATGGAAGTTTTGACAGCTCATAGCCCGTTGATGATGGTGCGCCAGTGGACATACCAGGTATAAACTATTGAAAGAAGGTTGCGACGTTGATGTAGAACGAGGTTGCCCTGTAGTGATGCTAGTTTGTAGAAACGGCCGTGTTGGTTGAAGTAGCGTCCTTTGCAAGATGCGCTACGTCTGTATAGAGAACAGATCTGTCTGGCATGGGCCTCGCTTGTCTTATGTATACCGAGCGATGCATTGCCCCCCGGAGTGTGGCTGTACATGGGTCACATCGCGTTTGCTGCGGGAGTCGCATACATGCACTTTGCCCACAAACGACGCCGAGCATCGGACCAGCATCTGCTTCTTCAGGCGAGCTACTTCCGGAGGCGCCACGGATACGTCTGAGATATGCCATACACTGCTACACAAGTTGCATCTACGCTATATCGACTGATGACTGCTACTGGATGAGTCGCATAAGAAAAAAGGTTGAAGATCGATGACGCAGCCGCCCGTCAAGAATTGGGCCGCTCCAGAACATTTTTTATTTTCCCGAGATCTTGCATATGACGACGAGTCTGTACATGGACAAAGCACAGTCACACCGAGCCATGTACTTCTCTGGCTACATCCTCATCAGATCCATGCCTTTGAACTTGCTTGTAGACGTCGACCTTCCATACACAGCCCAGCGCAACGCTTTCGCAGCGACGCCTTTCCCTAATCTTCCTCCAATGAGAGCTGTGTAACCGTTTGAAGGCTGTGCAATCAAAGTTTCACCCAAACCCAGCACTTCGGCACTCGCGGCAATGACGCGCACAGTCTGAATTTTGAAGACTAAAACACCCCTGCTCCTGAATACTGCAGCTGGGCCACACACATGCACCTGTCAAAGTCGAGGCTGTGCGGAGATGCCGGCTTACCCCGAAGTTTCGTAGTCAACCGGAATTTGAATATACTTCCTGATTCCAAGCATTCAAGACCATATGGCAGACCAAGTGTCGCAATATCGCAAAGGGTGTTTGGCCTATGGATGTACAAAGAAGATTTGCAGACCCGTACTCATGCAGACCTTTTACAAGAATGGGTTGGTCTTGGCAGGCTGCTTCGGCTGCTCTTGAGACTGTCGTCTTGTAAAGGGATTGTTGTTGAAAGGGTTGTTACTTCTCGGCGACCACTGACTTGCAGTGTTAGCGGGCACTGCAGTGTCAATCGGTGCAGGTGTCGTCGAACGATACTCAGCAGGTTCATCTCCCATCTCAACATATCTGGACGACGGTCCGGACGAGCCTGGCGCTCCATCATCGCTTCGGCTGGCGTCTAGGTATCCTGTTTGATGACTCGTGTAGCCATGCGCGTGCCGGTAATCTTCAAATGCCTGATCATTCGCTGGCCACGCTTCTTGTCCCTGTCTTGACTTGTCAATAGGCGAAGGCGCGCTGTAGCTCATTGTTGGAGTCCCACCAAAGGTGTCGAGGCCTTGCCATGTATTGTCCTTTTGCTTGCCATTCTTGAGACTCTTACGCTCAGCATCCTTGTAATCCGAATAGAGCTGTAGCGTTGTTTCGATTTGCTCGGAAGCACCGACAAGCTGTAGCATCTGCTCATCAGTCAAACGAGACTCGGCATGCTTAGCCAGAATCTCCCGCCGCTTGATGAGAGACTCATACAACTCTTCATCCAAGTTTTCGCTGTCTTGATCGGCCTGCTTTCCAGCAGAATCAGAGAGCAACAGTGACATCAGCTCACACTCTGCTTTGGCACTTTGAACGTCTTCCATCAGTTGAGCCTGTCTGACTTCACGCACTGCTTGATCTCTCTCGTTCGCAGGGCGCTGGCTTTGTGTGCTTCGACGTGTTCGCGTGGCGCCAACGTTAAGCTTTTGCTGCAGAGCCGTGATTTGTTGAGGTACATCAGCCTTCAAGCAGAAGTGATCAATCAGAATTCTAGTCATGCCCTCGAGATGTCGTGCAGACTGTGGAGACGTCGAAGCTTCTCCATTTGCCATGGCCATGGCATTCCGTTCGAGCAGTGATAGGAATGTCAAATTTTGGCTGATGAGTGGGAAGAGCTCAATTTCGTTGCTATCAGACATGTAGCGTAACAGGTCAACGCAGCGAGCTTGTCGTGCAAGATGCTGTCGTTGCCCAAAATAATGGGTAATCAAGTCTAGCGTTTCGATCGTTGAGCCGAGAGCATTTTGAGAAGTGACTGAGCAAGCTTCAAGAATACTCGGCAAGCTGGATAGCCCTTGATCACCTGTGCCTTTGATGAAGCTTTTAGTAGCGTGCGCAACCGGGGAATCCTCAGTCTTGTTCTTTCCACTGAGCTTGTTTGCAAGGCGCTTCATCTTTTGTACACCAGCAAAATGGAGTTCTTTTCAGACGTGACGGTGATGTTATTCAGTAGCAGCCTGTGTCCTGAACTTTGACAGAAAGTACTTGTAGCAGCTGCACGTCTTGGCAGGAGGCAGCGTCAGCAGCTGGTGTTGCGTCTGGCTGGCTGTGAGGCGCAGTAAAGCGGCGGGGCGGCACAGAAAGATCCATTTCAGATGGCACGTCGAATCCTGCGTGGTACTAGCACCTCGGCGTGTATTGCTATAGATCTCGAGCTCAGTTTCCTGAAATTTTCCGATCTACAAAAGCTGGAGGACGGAAAAGATGCATGAAATAGCATGGACTCTTGTTTTTTCGCTTGGGTCCATGGGTCATCAGTCTTCGGCAAGACACAATGGGGTATCGATACGCAGCTAGGAGGAATACGACCGGCAAATGTGTGTAATCAAGACCGAGCTCACTGCTGTCTAATTTCCCGTTCTTTGTCTGCGGGCGACTGACAGCTATTCGCAGTGTTCGGCGAATTTAGTCTGCGACCATCTGACAAGCACTATCGGCTTCATTTCCCGTAATCAGATCCGTCATTCAAAAATAGCCAGTATTAGCCATGCTTTATGCAAGGTCGCAACTTCAGTGGGATAATTCCCTACTTCCGCCTCTCAACTTGAACACTTCGTGCACGGTGCTCAAGCTGCATGCTGCCGTGGGTGATTTCGCGATCCGTTCTCATCTGATAACTTCATTGCTCTTCCGACCCGCTTCGCTTCCATGTCCTTTGAGCGTCGCTAGCATGCCGGTACAGCTGATTGCGGAATAGCATGTGATGAGTGTCAGTAATGTCACAAACACGAAACGGCCAATCTAGCCGGTCCACCCCAACAAGCTACAGTTGATTCAATGCTTCCAAATCATACATAAGGAGAGGTCTAGCCCGGTAGGAAGCCTTATCCACTTAGCACAAGATGTTCAGCCTCTTCAGCTTGACGCTGCTTCTTAACTTGGCAAGCAGTACCCATGGCCTTGGATACATCGAACGCAACGCATGCGGCAAGGTTGCATCGACATACAAATATAGTGATGCCAACACGACCTCGAGTGCCAAGTAAGCTGCCCTACAAAGACAATCCAAGCTAACAGATAGTCTTTGCAAATCCAAAGCATTTGTTGGGACAGCCGCGTTGTGTGTTCAGGCACACGCCACAGATACGCAACAATGGTGGACCATTTTCGGAAACGCGTATTGTGCCAAGTACAAACTGCCAGTGCCAGACTTTGCCACAACTTTGCAGAACGCGACAGCCAACCTAGGCAAAACGCCGGCAAGTACGGCCAATAGGACAGCATCTCCCTTCCAAATTCCTGATGCGGCGTATGAAGCTCAACGCAAACAGCTCGACGCAGCAGGGAGCAACATGTACTGGTCAACGACTTACGCATGGCTGATGGTTGTCATGGGCGTTGCCCTCATAATACTGATTGCAATTTTGCAGCGCTTGGAAGAGATTGCCCTGCCGACAACATGGAAAGGGGCTTCCAGGGTCGTGGCAATCTTAAAAAAACATGTTGTTCTTCCGGCACTGTATGGTGGCACACATCGTCGACGCAAGACCTTCCTCGGATTGACACTGACGACTCCCTGGCGCCTACAGACCATTGTTGCAATACTCTTCCTCGGTGTCAACTTTGCCATGATGTTCGCTTCCATCAATGTGTACAACGGCAACACCAAGTACAAGACACGACTGGCCCAGTGGTCTGTCTATACTGCCGATAGAGCTGGCATTCTCGCTCTGGGACAGCTTCCTTTGCTCATTGTCTTTGCCGGTCGCAATCACATTTTCATGTGGGCCACGGGCTGGTCGTTCCAGACCTTCAATCGTTTCCACAAGCTGATCGCATGTACCTTGACTGCTCATTGTGTCGTGCATGCCGGACTGTACACGTACATTGAGTATCTGAAAGCACCACTGCATGAATTTTGGGAGGAAGAGTACGTACCATGGGGCATTGCTGGCCTGACGGCATTGATCATCCTGACGACTGGATCGATTGCCATTGTGCGCAACTTGTGGTACGATGCTTGGCTTATGTCGCACATTGTCTTTGCTGCCGTGTCTATCGTTGGCATGTGGAAGCATGTTCGCTTGGCTCACCATGGCAATGGAACTCAAGTCTGGATGCCGTGGATTTACGCGGCAACAGCACTTTGGATCTTTGACCGTCTGTTGCGCATCGCTCGCGTCGTCGTCTACAATTACAGCACAGCCATCGACAAAGATGCGCTATCAAGTGCTGTGTTGCTCAGCGACGATGTCGTCAAAATGAGGGTACCTGTTTCGCCGTTGTGGAAGTTTTACCCTGGACAGTATCTGTTCCTGTACTTGCCAAGTCACAGCTACCAGCAAAACCATCCGTTCAGCGTTGTGGATGTTGATCGAAGCACACCAAACCCTACAGCGACCATCCTGTTTAAAGGACGCAAGGGAATGACGAAGAGGACCCTTGATGCATGTCTCTCGCACTCGAGTGAGACTGGGTCGCCATTGCAGTTGCGCGCGTTGGTCGAAGGGCCTTATGGTACACAACCTCGCCTGGATCACTACGACAACGTGATTCTTGTTGCTGGTGGTATTGGCATTACAGCGATGATACCGTTCCTCATGTATCTTGCAGAGACCCCTATTCGACTCACATCGCGCTCAGTCGTTCTTCACTGGATCTTGCGAGACACTGAGCATGCGCACTGGTTTGCTGACGAGTTTGCACGCGCAATCGCTGCACAATCACACAAGAAGAATTTGCTTGTCAAGATCGTTGTGCATGTGTCAAAGAATCTAGCGTCGTCTGCGTCCTCCACAGATGGTGCAAGCAGCAAGGAGAAACACTTTGCGGTGGTGACCACACCGGTGGATCTGCCGGAGCAAGTCGTGGTTCAACAGGGACGGCCTGTCCTCTCGAGCCTACTTGCAGCCGAGTTGGAGGAGGCTGTTCAAGGCTCCCACAGTGTAGTTGTCAGCTGCGGGCCTCCTACCCTGGGAGACGATTGTCGAGCGGCCGTCATTGCAGGATTGACAGCTTCAGCGCATGTTTCTTACATCGAGGAGAACTTCAGCTGGTAGAGAGCCAGTCATTAGCATATATTGGTGTAGCATACTTTGCCTGTATCAATATCGATATCCCACTATAGCTAGCACTGGTTGTAGTGTGTTCCCTGCTTACATCATCGTTCGCGGGTTTGTTTCATGCCGACTCCCAAATCAAATTCGACTGCAGCGACAGACCAAACAATCATTAGCAAAGCGGCCCTCTCTCTTCTCTCGCATCCGTCCCTGCAGCATACAAAGCGCAGACAGCATAGTCCGGAATAATGAACGCAACGACTCAAGCAGGCCAGTCATGGCAACACGGCGATCAATGGAAGCCTGCGCCTACCTTTTCTTTTATGGATGATACGACTGCTGCACTCGTTGCGCCGATTGTCGTATACTGGACGCTCTCTACCGTCTTTCATCTCATCGACCAGACAGATCTGTTTGCGAATCGGCGGATCCACACACCGCTTGAGCTACGGTCGCGCAACAAAGTATCGCTTCCAAAAGTCATTCGCGACGTGATCATCCAGCAGCTCGTACAGACAGCATTTGGTCTATTTTTGCAGCGCTTTGACGCAGAGACGTTTGAAGACCCGCAATTGACTCTCAACAGGATACGTTATTGGTCGCCAGTCGCGTTGACGGATAAAGCGACCCGCGGCGTGGCGTACATGCTTTTACCCGCGATACGATTCTTCGTTGCCATCTTTATCCTTGATTCATGGCAGTACTGGTTGCATCGCTGGATGCACACAAACAAGTGGCTCTACAAGCACTTCCACTCGCACCATCACCGTCTTTACGTACCTTATGCGTTTGGAGCACTGTACAATCATCCAGTGGAAGGTCTCGCCTTGGATACGATTGGTGCTGGTCTAGGATATCTCATCACGGGTATGTCGACCAAGGAAAGTATCTTTTTCTATGCATTCAGCACTGCCAAGACTGTGGATGACCATTGCGGTTATTTATTGCCCTTTGACCCACTACAGACATTTTTCAGCAACAATGCACGGTATCATGATATACACCATCAATCCTATGGTATCAAAAAGAACTTCTCACAGCCTTACTTCACGTTCTGGGACAAGCTCTGTGATACTTACATGGATCCGATGCAAACACCGCGAGCGTTGCGTCTTGCGAAGGAGGCGAACGGAAGTGCCAAGATCAGTGTCGATAAGCAAATCAGCAGTGTCGGCGTCAACGGCACAAAGGGTCTAAAACAAGGCGGTGGAGTCAAGGGCCTTGCTGCTCGAAAGCGTGTCACGATTGCAGATGAACAGACTGAATACAATACGTCAGTCTTCACCAAGGACGAGGAGAAGGTGATCAAGGCGGGTGGCACGGTATCTATGTGATGGTATTCAACGGTTCATCCTTTTCATAGCTCTTATGAGCTTTGCTTATTGAATGGCGGCGCCTTCTCCGACATCTTCTGTACGCGTTGCCTGGCTTATTCGTCTTCTGAAGACCTCTGCCGGAGAGGACGGCGGACCTTCTACCTGGCTTGATGCTCTCCTGCCCGGTTCAAGTATAGGCTCTGAGTGTTTGCCTGCCTGTCGATCAGCTGGCCTCATATTTTGTCCCCATATGGACACACTCACCACGCGAGCGGAAGCAAATACACGGCCATGTGGCCATGTCCCCTGAACATGAACTTCCCCTGAAGAACTCATTCCCGAGATGCAACCATGACATGCATTGATGCTACCAAAGAGGCTCTGATGTATTTGAACGACCAATTGGACTCTACACGTCCTTCGAACCCGCTTGCGTGATTTGCGCAATGCCTGCTTTTTTGGATGGCTAGAACATGCGGAGTCATTGCGGACCTCAAGTTTCCTCCTGTGCCGAGGAGCAAACAATACTCCGTAACCTCAGGCTCATAAGGAAGCCATCGTGCCCTGTCGAATGCCAACTCAACCCTCCATTCAAAAGTCTGGGCATTCGCTCAAGCTCGAACAACAATGCTGCATTCAATCGGTTTCATGGTGGTGTGTCTATCGTTCTGCGTGGCCATGGGTTCGGTTCCTGAGAAACGCCCATGCCCAGAAGGGACAGGAAGCGCATTCCGCATTGAATTGCACAAAAGCATGTCCAATCCCAATAAAGATGAATGCATTGCCAAATTCAAGGCAATATTTCCGAAGGATAGCCCTATCACTTATTGTTCAAGAGCTGTCGAGAGCAGGGCATGTGTGGTCGCCGAACCAAATCTAGATTTCGAGCAACCATCATGCAAATACCTGCTTTGGTTTCCTTTGACGAAGCAAACAGATGACCCGGATTTTGGACTGTTCGCTCCCGATCAGCCAGATCAAACCTGCACTGCGTACCGATTATCTCAACGAATCCTAGAGCGTATAGCCCAAGGCAGTGAAATCTCAGGGGTTGCTTCGAAGTCTAGTGCTTGTTATCTGGACAGAGACCTAGACAAAGACCTGGGACAACCTATGTATCGCCAATGCGACATCGCGTACCCTTATTAGGCCTATCGATTGACTGCAATAGTGCCACGCCGGGATGACTTGCATTCAACATTGCTTAGTCCTCGTCTCAGTATTTGGCACCTTCCTCAGTCGCCTGGCATTCAACACTGTTTGGCATTGCAGGAGACTCAATTCGGCTACTTTCCAGAGAGTGTAGCGTACAGCCCTTCAACTTTTCAGTACAAGTATCGTTAGACTCAGCTTAGTATATTAATTCTATTCTGCAATTTGATGCATGCTAGCGCTTGTCGAAGTGACCCTTGGACATGCCAATTCAAGACTCCCTCAGCCTTGACACATGTCGATTGATTGCAGAAGCAGTGAAGCTCGGATATAATCGTCGTGCTGTGCTAGTCTTGGTGCTCAGTTGGAGTTCCAGTACTTCTGACTCATCTGAGCAAGTCCAACACGTGACTGGAATCCGGCGACAGTCCGAGCAAGAGAAGAGGAGCGCCAGTGACAGACCGTGTTCCGGATTCACATCGACTCCCGCAGACTTGTCAGACATGTCAGCAGTAAGACGATCGGCAGAGGCATGAGCACTAGCTCAAATGTCTCTATGAATGAGGTGAACAAAAATGCTGACCACGATCTAGCGCAACCTACAAAAGTTTACAAAGCAAGCCAGTGCTGGAGGCTTCACAGCCGAGAAGCTCTTTGGTGCCATTCCTTCGCTCGTCCTATGGTATGGCTCCTTCACTACTACCCTTTCGCGCGTCTCAAGCGCGGATTGCCGCCATATTTGTTGATTTCAGGTGCTAACAGATCCGTAGGGGCGGTGCCGCTGGTGCAGGTGGTATGCTAGGCTCATGAAGTTACTGTCTCCGCTAGACAGTCGCTATTGAATGCAACAACAAGCTAACAACTACAGTTTTGCTCTACGGACAAGGCGTGCGCAAGTTGCGAAACGACGTCCTCGAGTCTGTGCCCATTCTCAAGGATTACTTCAAGTCGACACACGAGGTGCCTGCTTCTGTAAGTGATCATCAATGCTAGGGAGACCCTGCTGACCAGACTAGGACAACCCATTCTAAGCTACAATTACGAAAAGCACCGACTCGGATAATGCATACTCATTGAAAGCTCATAGACACCCAAGACTTTTGATGCGACCGCATCGTCAAAATAAAAACGATCCGTCTCGAGTGAAGTGAACGTTTTGCCGGCATGCGCCTTGTCCACATTGTCCAGAACTTGAGACTGCTTCTTCCCATCTGTGATCTGCTTGTGTCCGAAACACCCACCCCTTGCCAGCTTTGGCAAAGATTTCCCGAGTGGTGGCCAACTGATCTTGGATCATGTCTATTGAGCTCGAGTCTTGATACCTAGGCTTCGGGTCAGATATAATTCACTAGTTAGTCTACGAAGTCCATAGGTATGCACATCGTCAACGAGTGGTGAGGAGCGGCTATTCAGATGACGACCACCAAAGAACACGAGCATGCACAGCTCGAGTCCTTTCCTCTTGCTCAACCACAAGCTGAGCAGGCGACCGAATGACCCACAGCTCCAGCCTGCCACAGCCAAGACTTCTCACATATCTTTTACATGCCAATGAAACGCTGCAGACATTGCAAGCAAAGCTGGACACCCTGCCGCGTCATACTTCGGCAAAAGAGCATCGTCTGCTGCTAGAGGACAAAATGAACGCTGAGCATCGTTTGAGAGGTCTTGAAACTACAGCTAGAGCTGCCGAGACTGTGTTGATACACGAATGCTCACCTGTGCAATTCGGGCGAATCATGCAAGGACTGCTTGATCAGGTTGAGGATCTTGCTCTACAAGAACTACAACATCACTTCCAATGTATGCTTGTGCACCAGTTGCTTACAGCACTTGAAGCTGAGTCAATTGGTAAGGGGTCTGTGCATGGTGTACTCTCACTGCTACTAAGCTTGGCTTCATGGCCTGCTACTATTGATGGCACAGTCTCATCGCTAGCGCGTCAAGCTCTATGTTCAACACCCATCACGCGGCTCGCCAAAACATTTGAGGCAGAGGCAGTATTGGACAAGAAGTCTCGACAGTCTCGCAAGAACTCCTGGCAAGGCGCCTTTTCTACACCAGCAGACATCTCAGAAGTCTGTGCAAAGCGAGAGATCGCGACAACTGACTTGGCTCTGGAGTACTGGATCATGTCTCAGGCTTGGGTGGATAGCGCCTTCTTGATGCAACAATCAATGCTCTTGGATCCTTTAGCTCAAGAGACATCTCGCGAGGGACATGGACAAGGGGCACCAGCTGCAGAGGATATCACGATTGACCAAGAAGTAATGTTCCCATCACCGCCTACAAGTCCAGTACGTACTTATCCAAACGACAATATTGACCTTGATCTCCCGGCAGCGCCGAGCGGAGCACTCCACTCAAGACGCCAAGCTATGGAAGCGGAAGCAGTTGAACAAGAATTGGACGCCCAGCGTCTCATTCAAATATATACTGGCAAACCCGACTCTGACCGCTACGACAAGGCTAGACGGCAGGCTGCATGGGATTCTGACGAATCATCAAGCGATTCATCAGTGTCTGACGACGAGTGCGAGTCCAGCGTGGCAATCAGTGATGACGAAGCGCGTGATGCCGTCGCTGAGATGCTTGCTGCTGCAAGGGCTACCATGACAAGCAGCAACGATACTCAGCCAGATGCCGGCGACAAGTCGATCGATGAACTCATCCAAGAAGCCAGGGATGCAATGCAGGCAGTGTCTCCCGACAGCGGTGAGATTCAGGAAGATGGTTTTACATGACAAGCTCTTCACTTTCGAGCCCACACTCTGCACATGTCCGCACTGTCATGCCAGTCGTTGGATCCTCGACCTCTGCACCAAAGACATGCTCATGCTTCGCTTCCAGCCGACGACTTGCGCTCTTACTGAATTTGGCTACGCGTGTTCGTTTACGCAGTTCCTTGAGCTTCAATTCAAATGCCTTGTCCTTTTTAACCTTCTTCTCTTCTGTACGACGCTCAAACTCCTCGTCGAGCTTCTCGGGAGAACCCCACTTCTTGTAGGCAAACTCTTCGACTTGGTAGCGCAGGTACAGCATCATGCTGGAGTATGTCGTATTGTGCGGATTAGGCTTGAGAAGATGAGGCATGAGCTCCACATCTCGAAGCTCTGGATCTGTCAGTAAGTAATCTTGCTTACACTCGGTCTTCGTCAAGAGGGAGTACTTGTCGGGTAGCTTGTTTTTGCAGGTATGACAAACCCGCGCTTTGAAGACATTGAAGAATTGAAAATCAAGCTCCACGGTGTTGCACTCAAAGCAACGCGCCTGCTTTGTTGTACCTGATCCATCATCCAATGCAAGTGGCGGATCATAGCGCTTCGCCTCATCTCGTAACCGCTGAAGTTGCGCTGCACGATCTTCCTGCTGTGCATCACCCGTCGCTTCATCCACCATAAAACCAGCTTTCGAGTCCTTCATCTTTGAGAAGTCATACTCGATATAACTCGACTGTACAATCGTCCCGACCGCCTCCCTTCGTTTCGCAGCAGCCGTGGCGCCATTTCGTTGCTGTGCCTGAATAGGTTCCGCTGGCGGCGCAACAGGCGCCAGCCGTCCCTCGGCGTCCATTCTCTGTCGTTTTGCAGGCGGTGGTAGAGGTCCTGCTGCTCGTAACGTATCTTCGCGAACGGCTTTGGCGCGTAGTCGATTGACTTCCATGCGCTTAATTTGCTCGGGCGTGAGCGCCATCCTTTGCGGTGTGCGTTGGTTTGGAGGAGTCTGGTGGGTTGCTAGGCTATTGCCTTGCTGCCCAGGCGGCGTTGAAGGCCGGTCCATCGCTTGCAAGTCGGGTCGGGTCGAGTGGTTGTTGAGTCGCTTCTTGACTTGTGGCGAGCTGAAGCTGAAGATGCATTTTTGATTTTTTGATTCAGGAACAAAAAAGACGCGACAAGTTGGCACTACAAAGTACGTTCATCAGACTTGCTATGTAGACAGCCTCTCATGCGTACACATTGCTCGACTTGCTCTTCTTCATCTGCACCTCTGCAATACCATCCATGAAATTCTCGTGCATCACCGTGTTCTGGCCCTCCCGCAGCGCAATCATACCAGCTTCAACGCAAACAGCCTTGAGCATAGCGGCGTTGTACTCGTCCGTCGACCTCGCCAGCTCCTCGAAATTGACGCGATCATCAACAGTCATCTTTCTTGAGTGAATCTGCAAGATAGCCGCACGCGAATCTTCATTCGGCAATGGAAACTCAATCTTCCTATCGAGACGACCTGAACGCAGCAATGCAGGGTCCAGCGTATCAATTCGGTTGGTGGCCGCAAGCACCTTGACGCGTTCATCTGATGAGAATCCATCCAGTTGATTCAACAACTCAAGCATGGTCCGTTGCACTTCACGGTCTCCCGACTTTTCAGAATCAAATCGCTTTGTGCCAATTGCATCGAGTTCATCAATAAAGATGATGGCGGGCGCCTTCTCCTTGGCCAAGGCGAATGCGTCTCTCACAAGCTTTGCACCATCGCCAATAAACATCTGGACGAGTTGTGGTGCTGCGAGTTTGAGGAAGGTGGCTTTTGTTTCTGCCGCACAGGCTCGTGCAAGCAACGTCTTGCCGGTACCGGGTGGGCCGTACATGAGTGCACCTTTGGGTGGCTTGACGCCCAACGTAACAAACTTTTCTGCCTGTTGCATGGGTAGCACAATAGCTTCAACGAGCTCTTCAATCTGTGTGTCGAGTCCACCGACATCGTTGTAGGTCTCTGTAGGTGCTTCATCCACCTCCATTGCCTTGACTCGTGAATCATACTCTGCCGGCAATGTATCCAGCACAAGATAAGAGTCCTTGTTGACGCCGATAAGATCACCAGGCTTCAAGTCTTCCGCCTCAACAAGTCCAATGAGGGGCAAAAAGACAGTTTGTCTGGTGGATGTCTTGATGACAGCCGACTTGCCCGCCCGCGCTGCATCTTCGTCTGTTGTACCACCTTCCTCCGTCTCCTCATCACTCGGCTGCATATCCAGAATCTCAACCACATTACCCACCAGGTACGGCAGTTGCTTATTGTTTTGGATCTTTTCTTCGTTATCTTTGATGCGTTCATTCATGGTCGTTTGATCATGCGTCAGGCGCTGAAACTCAGATCGCATAATCTTGATGTCATTGTCCAGTAGGCGAGTCCGATTCCTGAGCTCATCAGCGCTTGCATTGAGGATTTCCTTGTCGATGGGTTCTTCTTCCTCTTCACCCTCAGTCTTCATCGTCGCATCGCCACTTGCATCCTGCTTTTGCTCTTCGGCCTCGTTCTCGAGCCTCTCGAGGTCTTCGAGCGTCGACATCTGGCTCTCTTGACTCGATTGTGGTGTGGTGTGTCTTTGCTTGAGGACGCGTCGCCTTCAAAGAGTTTCAGACACCACAACGCAGCACTCAGCACAAGAGATACAGCCATGGATGGACGCCAGAGTCATCATCCAGCTCGATCTAGACTACTTCTATGCACAGTATGAAGCCTCCGTCAATCCAGCCCTCCGCAACCACCCATTTGCTATACAACAAAAACACATCGTCGTAACATGCAACTACCTCGCACGCGCAGCGGGTGTCAAGAAATTACAACTCCTAACAGATGCGAAACGAGCGTGTCGGGATCTGATTATTGTGAATGGTGAGGATATCACGCGGTATCGAACGTGTTCAAAGCGCATCTTTCGGCATGTTCGAGCATTGCTTGGTGGAGATGACAGTCGTGTTCAGCGATTGGGGATGGATGAACTATGGTGTGATGTCACTGCCCTTGTTGACTCGCATATGGCAGCTGGTACGACGGGTTCTGGTGCAATCAAGACATTCGTGTTGGACAAAGAGCACAGCTTTGAGTATAATTCAGGAATACTGGCTGGCCATGCAATTGGCGCCAATAGTGGCACGATCGCAGACCTCAAGCTACTCATCGCTTCACATCTCTGTGCCTACTTGCGAGGGAGCATCTATGAAGCCTTTGCGTTGACCTCTTCTGGTGGCATTTCGACATCAAAGCTGCTAGCCAAGCTGGTTGGTGGTGAACACAAGCCAGAGAGTCAGACGACGCTGTTTCCTGTGGCGCATCAAGAGTACATGGATGCGATTGAGCTCAAAAAAATTGCTGGTGTTGGCTATACGTTCCTCAAAGTCTTGTACGCCAAGTTTGCCAACCACTCTGATGCAACTGAGTCGACTGTACCGCTGCTTGAAGAAGAGGATGATATGAAAGTCACAGACACGGAGAAGTACATGCTGCTAGAAGCTTACAAGCATACGCCATTGACAGTTCTGCAAGTACGCAGCACCGTCGATAAGGCCACGCTCATCGATTGGTTTGGCTCAGAACGGGGAAGTTGGTTGTGGGATATTCTCCATTGCAAAGATGAGTCTATCGTGGTGCCTTCTTCTCTCTTTCCTAAAAGTATCAGTGTCGAAGATTCTTTTCTGCATTGCCGGACATTGGACGAGGTACACGCTCATCTGCTGGATCTGACAACAGACCTCATCTCGCGTATGGATGCGGACTTGACTGAGGCTGGTCGGTGGGTGCGGTTCCCAAGCAATGTACGTCTGTCCCCTCGATTTCGCGTGGATGCTACAATTCAAGATGGTATTCGACGCCCTCAAAAGGGGTCACGCACATCAAGAAGTGTCGCACTTCCTGCTGAAGTGTATGATATGGCGAAGTCTTGTCAACATCGTGCACGCTCGCTCGTCGATGGTACGATTCTTCCGTTGTTTAAGCGGATGGTGATGGGTCTAGATGACTGGGATCTCAATCTTCTCAATGTCGCTGTTGCGGATATGAAGGAACAACGCACCACGGCTGGCATCTCGAGTTTCCTCAAGCCTGCAGCCGGTGAAGTGGATCAACCCCTGCCATGTCCCGAGGGAATGGATGATTCCGTGTGGTCAGCATTGGATGGAACACTGCAGAGGGAAATGATGCGCGATTTGAAGCGCGCGCGTGAGGATGAAGCTGCACGCGAGATAGAGAAGCGTGCGCGTGTAGCAGATCAAGGTGCGGCTATGAATGAAGAGGAGGATGAAGAACAGGTGTGGCCGAGCGAGGAGGATGAGGATGAATTTGGGATCCAGTGTGATCGCTGCCACTCTGTTGTTCCCAAGTTTGCCTACCTGGAGCATGTGTGTCTGCCATAGGTATATATTACATATTGTAAAAGCATCCAGTCCACTCACTAGCAATATACGGCCTTCACTGATTGCGTCTTGGGCGTGCGACTCTTGCGCCCAAAAAATCGCAGCAGGAAGCAACATCAAGAAGCAAAAGGGAACAGACCATCTCTCTCTAGAAGACCCGTTACATGCTCCATAGCTGACAAGACGCCATGTCCAACAAGAACCACCATCAGCATCACAAAGCCTTCACTATAGCGCAGCACCAAGCGAGACAGGCCCGCAGAAAATCATCTACCCATGCACAACGCCCAACTCTCCACCAGGCGCCGGCTCTTCAGCAGCGGGCCTCGGTCCAGCATGGTCAGTCAATGGATATGAATGTATACGGCGACTCGGACGACGCAGATACGGAAACGGATGAAGAGCCCGAGACGGCAAAACGAACTGCTGCTATAACCATGACAGCACCTTCCGCGGCTCAGCAAGAGACGGCGAGTCCTCTCAAACGCAAGCGCGCCATGAGTATGAGTGAGCTCTTTGACTTCCCAGACTCACCGCCCGCTTCTGATGGCGGGTCTATGACGCCTGGGAGTCAGAGTCAGTATCACTTTGACGACATTGCAGCCTTGGATGAGAGCGAGGATGAGTATGACATGGAACGGATGGAGTCCGCAGAACTGATTCATGAGCGTGAAGATGATGATATGCGAGGCCACAAATTCCATGTCATGGATGATGATAAGCCCTTTGCGTATGCTCCAGAGGAGGAGGATCAAGAAGCCGCAACGCCAAGCGAGCAAGGGTCTCGCTCAGAAGAGTACTGGCTCGAAGACTTTGACGCACTCCTCAATGGCGCATCACTCTTTGAGATTGATGCCTCCAATAGCGCCAATAATCGCCATATTGAGCCCAGCCAGGATTCCCTGCTGGAGCAAGAATTCTTTGTGCATGGCAATTCAAGCTCATCAGATCAGGATGAGGACGAGGAAAATGATGATGACGACGACGACGATGAAGAAGAAGACGATGAAGACGGAGATGATGATGAGCGGATAGGCTGGGATTGCTTCTTTGCCAACGGTGACTCTGACTCTGAGACGGAAATGGAGCTTGAAGCCATGGCACAACAAGCCATAGCCGAAGAAGAGCTGGCACAGGCATTGTTTCTCACCAGTCAAGTCATGGACATGCCTGATCAAGTCGATGGCGACTCTGATGCCAGCACAACGGATGATGAAGCACCAGAGCTGCTGCTGCAACGCAGCAATTCAAAGCTCAATCCTATGACACCTGCGCGTGCACTCGTCAAGTCCAATTTGACATCGTGCATGAAGCAAGCTTCCTTCATTGACGACACAACACCCACCAAAGCAGCGGGTCAATATCTGCTCAATACATCAACAGATCTCACCACACCCAATCAAGCACCCTTGCTCGGCACCTGGACCCGCGACACAACCAGACCAGTCGCAGTGATTGATGGCTCCACCACGAACTCACCAGCGCACACACCACCGCTCCCTAAAGCCGCACCCGTCATGTCTGGCATGACAGGCATCAAGTTGACACCTGCCGCTGCCCTCGCCGCAGCGACAGAAGCGTCCAAAATTGCCAATGCGAAACTCAAACGGGCGAAAGCGTATCGTCGGTCAGAAGCCATGACAGCAGCCATCACTTCACTGGATGACATCATGTATACGAATGATTTCCTGTTGCCTGGCGAGGCCGATGCTCATGGCCACAGTGTTGCGCCGCTTGAACTAACACCAACCATTGCAGCACCTGGTGCGTTTCGTCGACATCAACAAAACCGTACAAATGTGCACAAGGAGGATTCCCTCAAGGATGAATGGATTCTCCTCACCTCCAAGAGTAAAGCAGCTCGAGATACACGGAAAGTATCAGCAGTACCTGTCCTTGGACTCGGCACAGATTCATTGTCTCGCAAGGAGAAGAGGAGACGGAAGAAACTCAAGACGGCCGCAGCGGGTGCTGGTGGACTTGGCAGAATTGGTGGTAGTGCGTTGAGTATGGATGGTGATTATTCAACAGGTGAAGATGAGGTGTTTGGTGTTGAACGAGCTGGTCTCGGTATGGGCCCACCTCTTGAGTCATTGTTTAGCTTTTGATGGGTGGATTGGCTCATTATGTGCTTTATTTTGCAATTTGGATAGACCAGCGTTAGCAAGATTTGACTTTTCCTCCTTTTGTGTGTGCATTGCTTGTAGCTGCGTCGATAGAGACGATCTGGTCGAGAGCTTGATTCAAACAGGTACTCGCATTCATTAGTCAGAAAAGCTATGAAGACATCAGACAGATGGCAGATTGCAATTAAATTGAAGAAGAGATAGATTGATATGATAGTCTAGATGACCACGACCGTGAGGCTGCAGTCGATCGATGAGAAAATGATTGCAAATGGGAGCTACTCAATGTCGTGGATTGCTGTAGTTCTCCAAAGTGGAAGCTCAAGAGGTAGATCGACAAGGATAAGCTTTCTGTGTCGTAAAGATGCTGTTGGAAGTTGGAAGGTGCAGACGAAATGAGTCTCAATATGAAGACTTCTTTCTTTTACCAGCCAGAATAGTAAAGGAGAAACTGGCGACCATTAGTTTTGCCCAATTCCTTAGGTTGGCACTCTCCAACAGTCTCATCATCTGAGGCATGTTCCATATGGTCGCTCAATAACTGCTTTATCTTCGAGCGGTCACACTTCTCAGGGGGAGCCAATTGCTTGAGCGAAATCTCGTAGTCACACACACAAACGTCCACGCCCTTCCTGTCCCTGGCCTGGCCGTTCTTGATAAAATTCCAGGTGACTCTGACCACTGCCTTCGACTTGTTCTCCTGGCAAAAAGAAACCTTGTTTTGAGGAATTCCAGCGCTTTGCAGGCCCTTCTCAAACAAGGTCTTACACTGGTCCGTACAGTGTTTTCCATAGAATCCAAACAGATTTGTCCACTGCGTAGTGAGGAAGAAATATGCACCAGTAACCCCGTCGCATTGTGGGAAGTCACCGGCCACTGTAACAGCTTGCAATAGCATAAGGGCAAGGTAAGTGATGTCTGGAGAGCGCATACTGAGAGAGACTTTGTGATGGAATGGGAGGAGTTGTCTTGCGATTGATAATTTTCAAGATTGTGTGGGCAGGCGGGAGTCTTTAAGAACTTTCCTCAATGAAAGATTCAGGAGCCTTGCCGAATCACTAACATCGGATTTCTGCGCTAGAAGCTAGAGTCTAGACCCAACATAGTGCCCCTAACCATAGACAAAATTGTCCATGATACTATGTTTAGAAACGCAGTCAAGGGGGTTACTATTCATAGAACATGCTAAAAATGCCATGCATATAGCCTTGATGATTTGTCAACTTGACTGAGCCCTAGTCGGGCGAACTGCAACATTTCAAGCTCGCGAGGCTCAACCGCAAATAATGCACAGCCACGCAGAGAGACAGCTGCCTATGCGCATGAAGTCATTCTTGGGCGAAGGGCCCGCTAGCTCTACAAATTGCAAAATATCTAGTCCGCACCAGTACGATCATTTGCCATCAATCACGGCGCTTCCAAACAATGCAGATTTCGATTTAAGTAGAAAGGAAACTCACTGCAGCTATAAAAAACCATAGTATGTGCCTCGCTACGGAGCGAGCCGGAAGCACTCAGATGATGAGATCACAAACAAAAAGCACGGCATTTGACTATTTGTTGATCTAATCCTTTGTGCGCAGCCATAGTAAAGAAATTTTGCATGCGTTTGAATTCACAATTGCAATTGTGCGTTCATGAAGCTTGAATTCCGCCCGACACATTCTCACGACTCAAAAAAAAAAAAAAAAATCTCTTATCATGTTTGATTTTGAGTTTTCAGTTGCTACAGCTTGCTGTCGGAAGATTTTATAAATAGCGTCTATACGTAAATCATGTTCATGGCAACCAGAAAACAAATTCCTCTATTGAAAATTCCATGCGGAACAAGTAGTCAGGGGCAGCCGCGTCGTAGACGCAGGCCTAGACCTTTGTCAGTAGCAACAAACAGTAACCAGGCCAAGTGCGAGATCATTGATTTGTTTGTCCATCGGAGAATGCCACGGACTCGATTTTCGCGGCCGTGCAGTCACATTCATGCATACACACACGCGCGTATACAAACAAGGCCATAGATCATATTTTCAGGTTCCGGCTCCGCTTTGTCGGATCCATAAGTGAAATGTCTTTTGCGGGATCTTGGGATACAAGCATCCAGTTCGCGAGGCGTACAAACGCGTACGACGAATTTCTTGGCTCATCCGGTCGTCTAGCCGTCGCTTCTGAGCCTCTAAACTATATGTAGAGATAAGATCAGACCTACTCATTTCCTTCCTCAACCGCGTTCAATGTTGGCAGATGCGTCTCTGTCACGGACTGACTGATCAAAGTCCTATTCTGGTTTCAGATGTCTTTTCAGATGTCTCACCACCTGAAACCCCTGGTTACATCTCGCGGCTATCCTTCTGTGCACAACCACAGCGACCGATCTAGACCTCGCCATCTAGCTCATGGAGCAACCCGTTCAGCATCTTCAACAAGTTGCTTGCTTTCTTCTGGCTCAAGTCTCCTATTCTCGCCTGACCAATCTGAGACATCTTTTGTCTCTTCGCGCGTCTGGCTAGACGTCGCCCACAGTCTTTGGTACTTTGGCCCTGTTTCTTGCCTTACTCTTTTATGGGTTCTACCTCTTGTCTTTCTTGCTTCTAGTTCTAGTCTGATGAAGATAAAAGGACAGCCTTCTGCTGCCTTGTTCTTCATTCACCAACTTCGTACACAGGTAGAATTGCTACTACCTAACAGTCTTGTTGTCTAGTGTCTCCGAAGTAGACTTGACCAGCTCTGCCTCGTACCTCGTGCTGACGTCTCAGCTTCCAACGTACCTCCGTCAATCCCCTTCGAGCCCAGTCGTTACAGTCTCGCTTCAAAAATTTGAGCGTGAGTGTCTAGAATTTGCATCTGCAGCAAGCTGATTGCGCGACTGTCTACAGTGTACTGCTTGGCCGTCGCTGCCTCGCGAGTCTCATCCTACATGATGAGCTGTGTAGGGTTTGCTCGACATATGGACGAGCACGTCTCGCGGAATAGCGGCATAATTTCGTCTGGAGCTCGCAAAGTGTCCCGATCGTGACCCCTTCCCGATGATGCTTCCATGTGTAAGGTGAACACCACACAATCCAGCGCCAAAGGCTTGTCTTCACTGAGAGAAGCCAGCTGCAGCTATCCTGTGTCATGATCGTGCTACAACCTGTCGAAGATGCGGATGAAGAGACATCAGTTTTATATGCTCTCCATCAACCGCCGTCAAAGCTAGGCCACGTCTCTCTGGACGTGCGCATCGAGTTCAACATTGCTGGTCAAGACTACATTGTATCGCAACGGCCAGAGTACACACTTGCTGGCAAGGGCGTGACAGGCGGCGTTGTATGGTCCAGTACACCGCTTGTACTTGAGATGCTTCTTCAACTACAGCATACTCCTCTGAAATGTATCCCGAGACAAGGCAATCTTACGTCAAGGAAGTCTATAGATCTGACGCTGGACCCACAGCGCAGTCTTGTTCTGGAGTTGGGAAGTGGTGGTACGGGATTAGCGGCACTGGTATTGGCACAGCATGCAAAGCTCTTTATCGCGTCTGATTTTGATCCAGAGCTGCTTCGGCAGCTGTCAAAGCATTGCTGTACACGCGATGATGTGGGTAAGAGGGTCAAAATACAGCGCAGGGAAGCTATCGATGAGGATGAATCAAAGTTGTCAAAACAGCGAAGAGATAACATCCGGGTGCTTGAGCTCAATTGGGAGGACGACTTTGCTACACAGGTGAAGCCGTCTATAGTCTCTCTGCTGGCCGAGGAGAAGCGAGCTCTGCATGACGATGACGATGAACCCAGCAAAGTGGACTATGTGTTATGTCTCGACTGCGTCTACTCATCCTATCTACTCGTACACCTCGTGTCTACAGTGGCAGCCATCCTCAAGCTCTATCCAGACTGCAAAGCGATTCTCGGGCAACAACTCCGCGACCAGTTCGTTCACCTGGAATTCATCGAGCAACTCCTCGCACGTGGATTACTAGTTCATCGCCTCGAAGAAGACGACGACGATGCATCTTCAGCAGCCATGCAAGCATTGGATGGCTATGCCATCTACATTGTCAGCAATACATGACCTTACGCTCAAGTAGAGAAACGAGAGTCGCCCTTCTTGTTTGGCGTCACTGGGTAGCTCTGCAGACTGACTGGTGACCCTGCTCGAACAAGACCTGCTGCTGAACGACGTTTTGATGGCTTGAATGGGCGGCTTTGTAACCAAGCTCGATAACCAAGGAAGCTAACGAGAACAACAAACAACGCTATTGCTGCACCGATAAAGCCAGCACCAATTGGCGAGAACGATTTGGTTGATGCACGGTCACCAGCCAGGCCACCTGAAGTCGACTCGACTTGATCGGCGAGCAACAATCTATCGCAGCCATTGATGCTGCTAGACTGGTTACAGACCTTACACCACTCGAGTGTTGAATGTATGGCAGAGCTGTTGAAGGTTGCGATGAATTCCGACATCTTGATTTGTTGCTGTCCCAAGATTGGATAGGAGACTGCTTGTGTCCCTGCATCAGAACCATTGCGAAAGACCAAATTGATGAAGAGTTCTGACGAAATGTTGCGAAGCTCAAACGCCGCCATGCTGCTATACGCCGGTACTGCCTGTAGCTCAGGTGCTGATTGAGCGGCACCAGTCATGTTGAAGAGGGAGAGGAAGGGTTTGTAGCTGAGCGAGTAGTGCTTAATCTTGCGAGGCGTCGTCGTGTCTGCAATATCCGCCATGGCCTCGATGATCTGCGACATCATTCCGCGACCGGCGACATTGCCAATGCTTGAAATACTTGAACCTGTGAAGACACGATAGGAGAGCCAATTCGCAAGATCAGATGCCTTTGCCAGTGTTGAATTATCCAATTCCTGCTTGAAAGTGGCGTTGTATATCTGATTGACATTGATGAAATCATACACGTTGTACATGTCTTTGAGTGTCGTGTTGCGCCCATCGACAATTGTCGTGAGCGAGTCTCGAAAGGGCTTTTCAAGTGCAGACTTGGCCGTGTATTCTGCACTGTTGTAAAAGGCATTCAGGTTGGCCGTGTACGCGGGACAACTGGCAAAGGCCTCGAGAAGAGGCGATTGCTCAAACTCAACAGTCTCCATGGGAACATACTGCTGTCCACCCAGAGGAGATGTGACAAGCGTTCCATTGGCCAAGGTCACATTGGATAGAGGCGATGCCGGATAGATGCCCTGCCACATGGAATAGGCAGAAAGGACAATAACATTCGCCTCAGTCGCTGCATCACACGTCACCGTCAATTGAGCGAGGTCAATTGTATCGACTGAGATACCAGTGATCTGGCTCGAGCTTTTTGCATCAATATAGCGTGAGCGTATGTACTGGCCCGTGTTGTAAGTTTGAGCTTCACCGAGGGGTGTGATGTGCGTGTTTGTGCCTGCATAGCCAGCTTCAGGGTTCTGGTAGAAGCGTGTGCGGTCTCCATGCCTCGTGAGCAGGACAACGCCTTCAAGTGTACCTTGCAGAGAAGTCATAGAGTACAAATTGACTGGAGGTAGCTAGCCAGAGGCAGGTGTAGTTGGCTTTAATAAGTACTCGGTAGCCGGGCAGAGATTAGATGGCAGCGTGTGATTGGCTGGCGACATCGCAAGTCTCCGGGGACAGTCACATATACAGATGCTGGTTCTGGCTACAACTAGACCTTCAACTGGCATACAATCCAATGGCCGATAGAAGGTTACAAGCAAGCTGCAGTGCTCCATCCACCGCTAGACCTGCTGCTGCTTGTTCTGAGACTCTGCCACTCCGAGTTTCCAAGCACGTGCACTCCAGGCCAAACAAGAGACTGAGACTGGCTACAAGCAGAGACAGACTTCTGTAGCCAGGGAAGTCAGTCAGAGGCATCTACAAGAGAGTGAGAGACCCACTGATCAGCAGCTCGGGATTTGTGAGTCGCAGGAGCTGGACTCTAGCAGCGAGGAAGCGTCACGGTACGACGTCCATTGGTCTCAGTAAGTCAAACGATGAGCTTCAGTCCCTATGGCGATTATGCACCACGACCACCGACCGAGCAAGCACAACATGGTCGTGCAGAGTCGCAATCCGGGCAAGGAAGTAATCAAGCCAATTCAACAGCCAATGTAGCACAGTCCTCGGATGGGTCTGGGTATGCGCAGCCGTTTATGGGCGCCGGTGGTGGCGGTAGCGGTGGGTCCTACAACAATGGCTCCTTCTCGGCCAGTATGAACTTGTCTGGTCAAGCGCAAGCGTTCCGGCATCAGATGCAGCAGTCATCGCTCGGACACAATCCATATGGTGCGCCATCGGGTCATCTCTCCAGTGTATGTTTGCTTTAATCGCGTCTGTTGAGTGTGATTGAATTCAGCGACCATCCAAAAGACCAAGATGCTAACGAGCTATAGGATCGTGATACACAGTACAACGCGTACTTTGACCCGACTGTCGCGAACCCTATGTCGATGCAAGGCTACAACACGCATATCGGCAGCAGCAATGGATCTGTTAGCACTGCGAACACTGCCCTGTACGGTGGCTTGTCGCTCAATTCACCACATAGCGCGTCTATGCACAGTAATGGTGCGCCACCGCAACTGCAATCGCATCGCAGTGGTTCTGTTGGCAGTAACTCTGATCAACAACAGCAGCAAGCAGATGCAGCTAAATACGCATACCTACAGATGCAAGCTGCCAAGCACTATGGTTATGATCAGAGCCAAAACCACGGCTCAACACAACCGCAGTCACAACCACAATTGCAAGGACAAGCGCAGATGAGGGTAAAGCAATCACCAGCCGTATCACAGCCACCTCAACAACCGCAAATCCCAACGCCCATCATTCCTGCATTGGCTGCAGCGAGACCCGCCTCGTCAAGTACGCCACCAGCAGCCAAAAAGCAAAAGGTTGTGGCAAAACGTGGATCTGGTTTCAGTCGCAAGACGGAAGTCAAGGATGAGAATGATTCAGATGAAGAGTACAACATGGAAGGCATGAAGACAAAGTCAGGACGCAAGGTGCATAAACCATCGCAGTTCAACCCAAGTAAGCAGACGAGTGGCAGACGTCGTGGTGGACCTCCCAAGAAGCCAGTGCTTGATTCCCTCTTTTGCAAAGTCTGCGAGCGTGGTCATTCACCGAAGAGCAACATGATCGTCTTTTGCGATGGTTGCAATGAGCCATACCATCAGCTCTGCCACTTACCAGTCATTGACAACCTCCTGGTGACGCTACCGGATGCAGAATGGTTTTGCAGTGCGTGTGATGAGAAACGAGGACACAAACCACTGGAGATGGGTTCCGATGGCGCCGACTTGACAGAAGTACAAAAGAAGACTTACCTCGCGTCTTTGCCCACCTCACACTTGGTGGATATCATTCTGGCTGCTGCACGGGACGCACCGCACCTCAAGCTCTTCGCACCAGAAACACGCAATATCCTTGAAGAAATCCATGCAAAGCAGGAGCAAGCGATTGCAGAGGAGCGTGTCAGATTGTTGGGACAACAATATGGTCCTGGGGATGAGTATGTCCCACCTGTCAGTGCCGAAGATGAGGCATGTAATGTCCCTGGCCAGCCGCCCATGGAGCAAATTGTCATTCGAGCCATCCAGACACTCGCTGCAACCAATGGATCAACAACGCGTGATATTATTGACTGGGTGGATCGCAATTACAGTATGCCAGATGGTTCCTACAAGATGCTCGTTGCTCAGCAAATTGCCAATTGCGTGCGCAAAGGTAGACTCGAACAAGTCAAGGTGGCCGATCAGACAGGTTTCAAAATCAACCAAGAGTATCGCGCTACTGTTAAAGTGGGACCAGCAGCTTTACCCTTTCCAGCGGCAACAAGTGGTGGTCGAGTAGCAACACGTCATGCGGGTGAGACGGGTGTTACTGCCTTCAGCAATGAAGCACAAATGTATCCACCTGGTTCGGGCATTCAGTTGCCGCCCGAGTCGGCTGCAGAGGATGGCTTTGCTATGGTGGAGACTGAATCCCCTGTGTTTACGCATAGGCATGGTTGAATTGACTGCATGGATTCCAATTGCTTTAGTATACTTGTCACGATTGCCGACTCGTGTCATCTGAAGCTTCCAATTCAAACACAATTTTGTTGAGCACGAGTCTCATGCATAGCGACTGAGTGCGTTCTCGATGTTGGCAAGTGACATGCAGAGAAGATGTAAATGATCAAAAGTATCAAAATGAAGACAGTCAGTATCCGATATTGCCTGCAATTCTGAAAGTTCCAATGATACCTACTGACCAAGGCTGGAGATAACTATAAGCTGCACCGATTGTTTTGACAATGTGGAGTACCGGACACATACAACGTGATCAGAACTGCCTGGAACCACAGTGACCGTGTGCCTTGACTTTGGATACCGGCCAAAGGTATAGGCTTTGAAAAGAATCATGGTGCAAATGTGCCAAAGCGGAGCCATTCATTCGTTAGTGCCCAATTCTGGTGAGGTTCCAGGCTTTCGGTACTTCTGCCACGAAGCTTGGCCTAGCACCCCGAGCTTGTAAAGTATGTTCAATCCGCTTCAGCACTTGGTAAGGAGAGCACTCTGTCCCACTTTGGAGGGAGTCGAAAGTGATTTGGTAGAAGCAAAAACAGCTTGGGCTTTGATCTTTGCTTTTCAGTCGACTTGCTAGTAAGATCCATGCTGCTGGTGACAATGAGCCCTCCTTTGGGACAGGCTGACAAGTGTCAAGCGCAACATCTGTGGGAACGAGGCTGTTGAAGTAGCCCAAACATGGTACGGAGCCCAGGCTTGTGCAATCTGCGATACTCAAGGTCTTCCATAACTTCAGTTGAAGGTGCTTTCTTGTGAACGGTGAAGCGGCTGCCGAGACGCTCTGTGTTGGATTGAGTATCAAAAAAAGGTGTAGAAGCAGAATGAAGCAGCTGCTGAAAAAGGCAGAAATGGCCTTCTGGGATCTCATCATACGAATGGGACGCTCTGACGGCTAGCCCACCCCGAAGTCTCGTACTTGGAGAGATGATGGTGATGTGTGAGGAAGTAGTGGACCGCCAAGAAGCAGGTGCAATACGTGTCCTATTCAAAATCTACTATTCCAGAAATTTGAAGTCAAGCAGGCTATCTTATAGCACAAATTTTATCAGGAGAGCGGTGGTCTACTGGCACATTGAGCCAATATTGCCAAACAGCGCATTTGTTTGTGAGCAAGCCATGTTGCTTCAGCTAGTTGAAATTTGAGCATGTACGTGTTTTTAGGAGATGTAAGCTGCAATCTTCAAGCGATCAAGGAGCACTGCCGTCTATGCCAGCAAAAGTCTTCCTATGGCTTGACGATGGTCATTATTGACTAGTCGTCATTGTCAGCCCCTGTGAGCCTCCCTGCATGATCTGACATGGTGGGTGTTGCGTAGCTGTATCGTGGTTTAAAGTTTTCCTGTATTCGAACCCGCAGCTGTCCCTCGCGGATTCCAGCTTCGGCCAGCGACACTGCAAAACAAGCCGACAAACCCTGCAGCCGCCATTATCCATCGCATCTTGACATCAAACACAGAAGATCTCATTATGGCAGTCTGTCCCAACTGCGGCTCTGGCCAGACAGAGTCCAATGCTTCCAGCGGCGCAACTTACTGCACTTCATGCGGTACCGTCATCGAAGAAAACACAATCGTCTCTGAAATCACCTTTGGCGAGTCTTCCTCAGGTGCCGCGATCGTGCAAGGCGCCTTTATCGGCGACGGCGCAACAGGAGCGCGCATATCAGGTCCTTTCCGGAATCAGTCAAGTGAGAATTCACGAGATCAGACGATGCGCAAGGGCAGACAGCGCATCAACGCGTTGGCCAATGCCATGCGTCTTTCTGAGCGTCTCGCAGAGAAGGGTGTGCGCTTCTTCCAGCTAGCCGTGAACAATGGCTTCATTCAAGGACGACGCTCTCAGTACGTGGTCGCTTCATGTCTCTATATCACATGCCGTATGGAAAAGACATCGCACATGCTCATCGACTTTTCAGATGTCCTCAACATCAACGTCTTTGTCCTTGGCTCCACCTTTCTCAAGTTTGTAAAGGTACTGCACCTCAGCATCCCGCTGGTAGATCCATCACTCTACATCACAAGATTCGCAGGCATGCTCGAGTTTGGTGATGACACCCAGAAGGTGGCGCACGACGCCACTCGACTTGTTGCGCGTATGAAGCGCGACTGGCTCGACTGTGGACGTCGGCCAGCCGGTGTCTGTGGTGCAGCGCTTGCTATTGCTGCGCGTATGAATGATTATCGACGCACCATGGCGGAAATCGTGTATGTCGTCAAAGTCGCTGAAGAGACGGTCCAGTCGCGACTGCAGGAATTCAGTATGACACCTTCCGGCGAGCTTTCTGTGGATGACTTTCGCAGTGTTTGGCTTGAACGTGAGGAGATGCCACCGTCTTTTGGACCAACAAAGAAGACTGGAAAGGGCAAGAGCAAGCGCCAGCGAGCTGCGGGTGAAGAGGGCGACGATGATGATCAAGACGAAGAAGATGGAGAAGGAGAGGCGGATGCGGATGAGCTGGAGAGGATACACCGGAGACCTAACGCACAAGACGAAGAAGCGGCAGCACGAGCACTTGCTGGCATGCGTGAGGAAGAAACGCCTGCCTTGTTCAAGAAGCCGTTTCTACCCAAAGTGCAAGGAGCACAGGCCGATGTGTTGCCTATCGACCCTACAGCACCAGATCCAGTGACGGGAGATCCTTCTGAGATTCCAAACGATGCTGTGTCGCTTGAGATTGCCAAGGAGATGGAAGGTGTCTTACAAGACTCGCAAACCAAAGAGCTTGAAGGGGAGCTGGCTGCAAAAAAGCGTTCTGAGCGAGAAGCCTCTCGGCTTGCCAATCCTGAGGGCTCCAATCTATCAGACGTTGACGACGATGAGATTGATGGAGTCTTGTTGGATGAAGAGTCGATCAAAATCAAGACTCAAGTCTGGATGGAGCTCAACAAGGACTATCTTGCTGCGCAGGAGCAGAAGAAGCTCAAGGCTGATACGGATCGTAAACAAGGAATTCGTGCACCAAGCAAGAAGAAGCGTCGCATGAAGCCACGAGACTCGTCGGCGCCCAATCTGCCAGAGAGCCCTGCTGAATCTGCGAGACAGCTTGTTGAGGAACGAAAACTTTCAAAGAAGATCAACTACGAAGCCCTAGATGCGCTATTTGCGTAGGCAGTGTTGATGGCTGGCCAGGTCGACCATTGTGAGAGATCTGCGCAGAGTCCTCGTCATTTGTCCTTCAACAAGTGTGCAGAGACCTCGACGTTGTCGCTCATTTGCAGAAGTATCCCGGGGAGACTCTGTGACGAAGTTTGACAGAATAGACGGCAAGTGCGGTTCCGCAATGTGTACGATTGCTGATGATCTCGTGAGCAAGCCAAACATATAAACTAGACGTTGAAACATTCGATGGAAAGAGTCAAATGTGAAGTTGCCGCACGAGCTTGCGGGTGTCGTGAGGCATTCTTGTGCTTTCCATGACTGATGCAAGAGATTCCTCTACTGATACTACGCCACAGGTAGCTGATACTACCTCACATCGGTGACATAATGCTACATAATAAATGAGGGTTTGGCAATAGTCGCCTCGCGGACTCCTAGGAGATGCGTTTGCAGCTGAACCGTTGGCATCAGGTACAAGGCAGAGCTGGTCGGGTCAACTTCTGAGATACTCAACAACAAGAATTGGTAGGTAGTGATAATTCTACCTGTCTACGAGGTTGAACAGGGACCAAGCCCCCAAAACTGAGAGTAGCGTCTAGCCAGACGAGCCAAACGCAAAAGGATGTTTTGAGGTGTGTATTAGAAATAGGAATTGGAGCCAGAAGAGAGCAAGCGACTTGTTGAAGATGCTGAATGGGTAATTCCATGATACCGAGCAGAGAAGACTGGACCGGCCGTTGTGCTTGCGCACAGGAGAATAGCGCAAGATGTAAGAAAGGGCTGTTGAGGCATCTGAAAAGGGTCTTGAGAGACAATTGAAAGAAGTATCAGAGTTCGGTCCGTGATACAACGGTCATCCACTTCTACTTCGGATACCAGAGTGCCGCGTCCTGAGAAGAAATACCTTCGCAATCCTGCTTGTTCTTGAGAATTTTCGCCTCACATGAAGCTGCCGGCGACTTGCTCTCGGCTGGCAGCTGCAACTGCGCCCGGACTCGAGCTCTTATTGTGGCTGGATAACAATAGTCCTGTGATTCACCTGATACGCCCTTCAGAAGCCGTCCGAGAGTCAAGGTGTATGTGCATTCGCCGATCTGAGGATCATATTGCACTTGGGTGCATACCACCCCGCCTGTAGCTTGACATCGAGTCAATGGTTTGCCTGCGGCATATGCATTGGTGAATGAATCTGTACAATACTGTATCAAGTCTGTGTGGTGCTGCTTGAATTGGTACCCGTTCAATTTTTTCTTGATGACCAGCTGTGTGCTTGCGGGACATTCCGATCTGACTAAGTTGCTTAAGTACAGCAAGATCAAGATAGCATTGAACTTTGACATAAGCACCATGACTGTTGGACTGATGTGCGAGGCAGATGCTAACAGCGGGCTTCGCTCGAAGCATATCGGAGGGATTCGATGCCCTTTTTATAAGATGCGAAAAGCGATTCAGGAGTCGACAAACAATGCCGAATACGCCGAATGAGGCCGAGAGACGATTGTCACGTTGTCACATTGAAACATGGGACGCTGATTTGTCCACAAGTCCCGATGTTTGTGCGCATAGTGGGCTAATTCAACCTGGGAAATATCAACAAGACGACAGAGGGGTGTGATGCAACGCGAATTGTGATGTACACGAGACAGGTCACAAGTTTCTGAGTCCTGGTGCACCGGACAGACCCCGATCATGGTGATGTGGGCCGTCAGCATGAACACACTCTGTCCAGCTTTAGTGCTTAGCACCTTGAAAGGTCTAGTCTCCTCGCAACTGACAAAGCTCATGAAGTGTAGCTCAGCTTCGAAGATCTCTTGGAGCGAAGACTCCTGAACTTACTGAGTGCGGGATTTTGACCCTATGCCGACCTTGCGTCAGGGGCGCGCAATGAATAGTCACAGTGTCAGAAACAAGAGGATGAAGCTCGCCCGTCTGAGGTTACCCATTGCGACATCATTTCGAAGGATGCCTAACGTGTGCGATTGACGTGCCGAAGATAACTTGGCTCCAAGCAGCAATATGCTTGTGGATCAGGAAGTCTCAGTTTCCGTCAAGTGTGGAGCTGGACCATCGGCGTCTGGCCGCCTTTTCGCACCTGGAGAGCCTTGCTCCTATTGGCATTCGCGTACGACATGTAGCCATTCCATCCAATAGCTAGAGTCTGCCCCAGAATGAGCCTTTGATCTGCTGCAGGCACAAAGCGAAACATGATTGCTTGAAAAGGGACCCAGACACACCAAGCAGATGCAACAGTAGCGAGACCGCGATCTTGAAGTTTTTCACTGATTTGGTCTTTTGACTTACCTTCGAGTATGCCAGAAGCGACAAAGAAGAAGATGACATTGCTAGGTCCGAAGAATGCCTGATCTAGGAATAGATGTGTAAACATGCGGCGACTGCGTGTTGCATTAGGCATAGCGAGTCGGGTATTGAGGAATCGGTACCAGGCAATGATGGCACCCGAATGAAAGATGCCACGTAGAGCGACCATGACACTAGCACGCTTCCAGTCGTAGTCTGGCTTACGTTCAATCAGCTTTTGAGCGATGAAATCGCCGAGCAGCACGAGAGCTGTGCCAGACGAAAGCTGAACAGTCAGAGGCCGACGGAGCAAGGCAGCTTGATAGGATGCGAAGCCAGTGCGGAATGGCTTAGCCACATGCTTCAATACCATATAGAAGCGTGCAAGTAGGGAGAAAAGCGAAAGACTATCAGAGCATGCAGTAGTTCTAGTGATGAAGCGTCAAGAAATGAATCGGTCGAGACCAAAATTTCAAGCAGCATGACTCGCACTGGCCCGTTGTGGCATTTCCACGCCGTCTACTTCAGTGCATTGAGACAACTGTAGAGCAAGAGATACGAAAGCCTCGTATGCTGGAAGAGGTGGTGTTCATAAGCAAGATTGACATGTGGATGTCATATGCAGCAATATCACAGCGCGGTAGCTGCAGAGGCATAGGGCCCACAGATGTGTTGTCTCTAGTCTACAATTCTGATTTGCGCAGGGTCTTGTCTAGCTTGGCGAGGCCCTTGAGGTCCTCTTCAGACAGCTTGACATCCTGTGCCTGGAGTGATCGCGGATGCGCGACAGCGTTACTGATTTGAAGTGCCTCGCTCCAAGGCCCGTGCAATGAGCATACGACCGGCATCGACAACGTGCTTCTCCGCTCCGCAATAGACAAGATAGTCTTGTCCTGCAGCAAGTCACTATCCTGCGAGTCAAGCAGCGAGTAAGCACTCAAGTGAGTGCCATTTTCCTTGCAGTAATCGAGCAACTTCGGCAGGGCAATGTATGGTTGCAGCTCAATCTGGTGACGCATTGTGTGATCGTGGTAGACTTAAGGAGCTGCTCATTGCAAGAGTGACAGAAGTTGCTGATGCCATTGTTGTGAACGAGACCTCTTTCCACGAGCCCCTCCATGGAACGCCAAAATGGTCTTGGGCCATTGGTCAAGGCCATGTCGATTGCCGTCTTGTCTGCTGCATTCCTCGGTGCTGATTTGTCCTTGTCTTGATACTGAAATGCTACATTGCTCAGCTCTGTAGCCCATCGGCGAGCCCAGATTTGGGCACCACGCTATTGAAAGTACCTGCGCTACAGCAGCAGCTTGCTCTCAAGCGACTGCATGGGTATCAGATACTGCGCGGTCTCCACCTCTGCGATTGTGAGAGCACAAACCATGGAGGGCCCATGATTGGGCTTCAGTCTGTTGTCCTTGCCTGATTTGTCCTTTCAGACAGAGCTGTCAGTGTTTCATCAATTAAAACGTGTCTCCTTTCGCATCTACCACTTTCCTGCAATGCACTGCTGCGATCTTGGTCAAGACTCACCGACCACTTTCAGCATGGCACTCATGGCAGACAGTCTCTTCTATCAGCGTATGCATCCCATGAAACGTTTCAGATGGGCTTTCCCAATGAAACGGCGGCCAAGGAAGCCAGAGAAGCCAGACGCACAAGCGTGGGCCAAGGGCGAGACAAGGACACCAGCATCCAAGCCTCGGCCCATCTTCGTAAGTCATCTGAGGCGCCTCGTTCCATTCACTCGATACATGCGTCAAGTCTGACGACGGCCAGCTCACGAGATTAGACTGTAGCTTGCAGCTGCTGGTAATTGATTCATGAAGAGCAAGCTATTACAAGACCAGTAATGCCGTAGAACAGTCTGCAGTACCCCTGCTGCTTGACACACTGCAAATGTAATCAATGAGACCCAAAGAACCCCGGCTCTTTGCGTTCCGGTATCCGATCTGTGAACCAACACTTGAAACTCGCCGCTAGCATACCGAAGTTTTCACCAATCCACCAAGCATTGAACCGCCGATGGTCCGCGCGTGTTGTCGCCATGTGTTCTTGATAGAAATGTGTCATTGTGTCGGGTGGAACTTCCCCCTTGGGTGGATACTGCGCTTTGAGTGCCTCGAGCTTGAGTGCATAGTCGCGATTGTGCAGAGTCCAGAAGCGAACCCATTCCTTTTGCGCTCGAACACGACGGGCTTCAATTTGCCGTCGCCTAGGCGATGCATCTGACGCAAGCGTATAATGTATCATCTTGATATTGCTGACCGGGTCCATGGGCGACACGCGCGCGAATGGTTGTAGCTCCGGCATGTCCTCGTGTGCAGATGCAGCCGTAGATGGATCGTATGTCGGCTGAGGACTTGTCGCGATGCAGCGTCTACATTGTGATGCAGCCCTTTGTATAAAGATAGTATGTTTTGACAGGACAGGCGAGCGCATGCATCTGAGCCAGGCCATCCTGTATGGAGTGTAGGTCTTGGTCTGAAATTGTCTTTTTGTGTCGTCGCGTAAAGCAAATCGACGCGCTCAACCAAGTCAACACACACATCTTGTCCTTCTCTGCATGATCTCCGACCAGCTGCATCATGCCAAACGAGCTATACTGCCAATGGCTCAAAGAATGGACCGAGCGCGCTCGCGAACAAGAGTCAAAGGGTGTTCATACGCTCAAAAGGGCTTATGACTCGATGCGTGCCTGTCCCTTTGAGATTGGCCATCCTTCACAGGCCATCTCGCTCAAAGGTCTAGGACCTGCGCTCTGTGCTCGTTTGGAAAAGATGCTACAGCAGTATTGCCAGCAGACTGGTACCGAGATGCCGACGAAGCCTGGACGGGCTGCACCGGTAGCTGCAGCTTCACTAGCAGGCGCATCGGTACCAAGTCCTCCCTCGACGGATGAAGAGAGTGAATTAGATCAGCGCCCAGGCGCAGCAAAGAGACATAAACGGACAAGTGGAGCAGAAAAGGCGACCAAGGCTCCGAAAGCTCCCCGAGCCGTGAAACCTTATGTCCCTGCACTTCGCAGTGGACCATACGCTATTCTTATTGCTCTTTCCGATCCAAACTCTGGGCGTAGCATGACGCAGGCTGAAATCATTCGTCTTGCAGAACCCCATTGCGATGGCTCCTTCCAGGTCGCAAGTGATGGCAAAGGCTACTACACTGCCTGGGCATCTATGAAGACATTGGTTGCGAAAGGATTTGTGGAGAAACAGGGACGCCCACAGAAGTACTCGCTCACCGATGATGGCTTTGCTATTGCTGTGCGCATCAGAAGTAGTGCTGATCCTTCTCTCAACTTGCGTTTGCCTGATGCAGAGCGCAGACTCGCTACAGCCACACAAGCACCTGCGTCCAGTGCTGCCGGTTCCACTCGACAAGTCGTTGATGCAGCTGCTTTTGACATCACACAGTCCTTTACACCTGTCATCATCCCAGCTGGCTCGTTCAAGGTCCAACTCGTAATTGACAATCGCGAAGTCATAACGCAAAAGGACCGTGATTTTATCGAGGCATCTCTGTATAAGAGTAACATTGAGCTCATTCAACGTTCTCTCAAGGTAGGCGATGCGCTATGGATAGCCAAATGCAACGATGGTCGCGAATTTGTGCTCGACCAGATTGTTGAGCGTAAGCGCATGGACGATCTCGCAGCTTCCATCAAGGACGGACGCTGGCAAGAGCAACGATTTCGCCTGGCAAAATGTGGTGCGCAGCAAGTCATCTACATCATTGAAGAATCGCATGCTGCAAATGTTGAGCTCTTTGCAGAGGCCATGACAACTGCTATTTCGACAATGCAGGTCGCAGATGGGCATTTCGTAAAGCGCGTACCATCGCTTGATGGGACCATTAATTACCTGGCTACGATGACCAAGAAGCTCAAGTCTATTTATGAGGTATTGTTGCGCTTCAACATGTGGAGACTGACATACAGGGTCAGACACTGAAGGCATTGCCGGATCACATGGTCGACAGTCGTGCGTTTGTCCAACTCTCTGAACACCTCAATAAGACTCAACCTGGCACCCGCTACTTTCTAAGCTACGACGCTTTCGATGGCTTGAATCAGAAATCAAGTAATATGCGTGTTGGTGATATCTGGATTCGTATGCTCATGTGTATTCGTGGCGTCTCTGCCGAGAAGGCGGTCGAAATCCAGGAGCACTTTCCTACTTTGTCACTCTTGCTACAGGCTTATGCAAAATGTTCTTCCCAGCAGGAACGCGAGAAGATGATGGCTGAGCAATGTGCTGGGTTTGGCAGGAAGAAGATTGGCAATGCATTGTCAAAGAATGTAGGCTTCAATGCTGCATGTGCACAGCTAATATACAGATTGCCGAGCATTTTGCTTGAGAGTGCTCCAGTGGCCAGCGGTATCTAGCCCTGGTAGATTGGCTTTGCTTGCGAAACCTCGATAACGTGGCCGTCGGGGTCTCGTATGATAAAGTGCTGTTGACCCCAGCCGCGGACCATGATCTCGGAAGGCTGCAATTCAGCGAGCAGTTGGCGGTACTGATCAATTCCGTGTTCACCATCGAGCTTGATGCGTAGTGTGACGGATGGAGCAGACGATTCTGACAAATTCTCTGGTGTGCTTTCTTGAAGCAAGATCTCGGGCGATCCTTTTGAAGATGAGAGGGACAGGATGCAATGTGTAGCGCTACCAGTCTGAATCTGGAAGCCAAGCTTGAGGTAGAATACTCTAGAGGCTGCAAGGTTCTTGACTTGCAAGACGGGTGTGATACTCAGCAAGCTCATGACCAGGACCCGGTGGCAGGTGAAGTGGGTCAAAGTTGTCGTCGCAGTACGCATACAGATGCCCTCGCTTATCTAATTCGCATTCTCGCACTTCGCGTTTTTGTGGCTTGACGAGATAAACTTGTACCCACCGACTATCAAAGACCGCGCTTAGGTGGAACACTGCAATTACAACTGCGCATGCTTAAGCTCCTATTCTAGCTGCTGCTCGATGCTACAGAAGACCACTCGCTTGCTCTTTGTCGTCTGAATCTCTACTTCACCATGACTGTTGCCCAGCTCCATCCATTGGACCCATTGACATGCGATGAAATCGCAGCAACGAGCAAGCTCCTCCGCAAGGCCTTTAGCAACAGCAAGATTCGTTTTCAGCAGATTGAATTCAGCGAGCCAGCAAAAGCAGAGTTGATACCCTATCTCGATGCAGAGCGACTGGGCCAGTCTCTACCTGCTGCGCCAGCGAGGCGTATGAAGTCGTACTTGTGGGTGTACAAGTCTGACCGTGACGTTGATCTCCACAAGCTGCTCGTCAATTTGACGTCCGGCCAGATTGAGAAGGACGAGATCTTGCCCGAGAGCGTTCAAGCGCCTATCCATGCAGAGGAAATGATTGAGATGGAGCAGGTCTGCTTGGCTAATCCGGCAATCCTCAAGGAGATTGAGCGACTGCAATTGCCAAAAGGATATAAGGTGGCGACTGACCCTTGGATGTATGGGACACAGGATGATACCAACAACAGACGTCGTTTCCAATGCTATATGTATGTCACGTTGGATGTGCCAGACGAGGCAGACGAGGCAAACGAGTCGAATCACTATGCACGACCTCTTGACTTTTCCCCGGTCTTTGATGGGCATACGCACGAATTGGTGGAAATCATACGCTTGCCACTTGGTCTGGACCATACAACAAGCACAGGCAAAGACCCTTGGGAGGCTGTATCTGGATGCGAATATCATGCTGATCTGACTGGTGTACCTCATCGCACAGATCTAAAGCCGCTACTCGTCAAGCAACCTTCTGGTGTCTCCTTTCAAGTCGATGGTCACCTAGTCCATTGGCAGAAATGGCAATTCCGTGTGGCCATCACCTTGCGCGAGGGTCTCGTACTGCACAATGTCAGCTACGATGGTCGGCAGGTTCTCTATCGCGCAGCAGTCAATGAGATGACTGTGCCGTACGGTGATCCGCGTGCACCTTATCATCGCAAACAAGCGTTCGACTTTGGCGATGTTGGCATGGGTCTGACTGCCAATAAGCTCGGTCTAGGGTGTGACTGTCTCGGCACCGTCCACTACTTTTCTGGCTTTGTGTCGAATGGAGAGGGCCAGGCTGTTGAAATGCCGAATGTCATTTGCATGCATGAAGTTGATGATGGTATCCTTTGGAAGCACACCAACTACAGAAATGAACGTGCCAAGGTGGTCAGGAACCGCAAGCTTGTCATCCAAATGGTTGCGACAGTTGGTAACTATGAATACATCTTCGCTTGGGAGTTGGATCTGGCTGGTGCTATACATATGGAAATGCGAGCGACTGGTATCCTGTCAACAATGCCAATCAAGAAAGACCTCATCAATGGTACGACCGAAGAAGGTCGTGCGAACGCAAAGAAGCTGGGCTTTGGCACTGTAGTTTCTGAGGGCACCATGGCAGCGAATCATCAGCACTTGTTCAACGTTCGCATCGACCCGGCAGTTGATGGACATCGTAACATCATCGTCAAGGACGAATCTGTCGCGATGCCTTTGGATGAAGAGAATCCCTGGGGCGTTGGCTACATCAATAAACGCGAAACACTTTCTCGCCCATGCTTCCAAGACTTGGACATCAGTAAGGCACGCACATTCATTGTCCAGAACCCGACAAAGTTCAATAAGATCAGCGGCAAGCCTGTTGGCTACAAGTTGCACGCTCATGCTTCACAAATGATGTTGATGCACCCAAACTCCTATTCCTTCAAGCGTGCATACTTCGCACAGCATCCAATTTGCATCACAAAGTACAGAGATGGCGAGTTGTATGCTGCTGGAGAGTTCACCAACCAGTCAATTGCGGATACAGGGTTGTTTGAATGGACAAAGCGAGATGAAGAGCTAGACACGGAACTGGGTGATGATGTGGTCTTGTGGCATACCTTTTCCTTATCACACTCGCCAAGACCTGAGGACTTTCCTGTCATGCCAGCAGAGGTGATCAAGATGTCATTGAAGCCAACATCTTTCTTTGATCAGAATCCCGCGAATGACTGTGTACCGTCGTCGCAATCAATCAATCAGAGTGTCTTGGCTGGTCTTACGAATGGCTGTTGTTGAGTCTGACGACGACTGATGTACTATATCAAATTTCAGGTGACGGAGAGTATGGGTCTCGTTTCATTGAGAAGCTTTGCAAGTAGAAATACTTGGATATGACTATGAGTCATTGCTGTACTCAGATGTAGTTATTGTGAGCTAGCCCTTCATTTGCCTTTGCGATACTTTTTGTCGCAGTGACTTTCAGGTTGCCAGCATATTCGCCTCTGCGCAACACCATTAGGATTCTTTTCCACTTTGAGGCCCTGGTAAAGCCTGTCTGAAATCCTGCTAATTGAGCAATAGTTGTCCAGCTGGCCTGAAATAGTGCTCTCGCTTAATATAACTTCGAATGTACATGCACAGCTGTCAGTGTTGACCACAGCAACAACGTTCAAGCAAGCAGGATCTTCCTTCTGACACGATGTCAAAGAGCCCCGTTCCGCCGCCTGGAGAAATGACATCTCAAAGTTTGACTGACATTGAAGTTTGCATGCATTTGCATCGTAGCTGGCGCCCGTAGCTTTGGCCAAATTCTTCTTGATCGTGATTTGTGTTGCGTAGTTGTATCCATGTCTGATTGAGGCGCCGCAAGGATCGATATTTGCTGCAGCCACAGCACCGAAAGCAGTGAGGAACACCATCATGCTCAAGCTATTCTGCTGAAGCATCGTTAATTGGTCTCCGTAGTTCCGCGAGAAGCGAACGGGTTGTAGAGGTTGCGATTGTGAACCGATGTGTCGAGACAACTTGAAGCAGTCCGGGGGAAGACAACCTTTATATCATGTCCCGCAGGGTGCTGCAGCCTTCAGGAGCTTGAGTCTCAAATTAGGCTCCCGGATCTACAGTAGACGCAAAAGCATGATTGTCAGTGGCAGTGATTCACTCAGTGCACACGATGGGCACGTTGCGTGATAATCAGGGGTACAGATGCATGTGTTTTCCATGCTGTTATCGCATGAAAATTCTGCCGCAATTTGCTTTAGCCCAGCGCTCGCGTAAGATGGCAAATGACCCAAAGGGTCTCAGACTCAGCGCGTATAAGCGAATGTACTAAAGTTGCATGTCCGCTTGTTGTGCTTAAACCGCGAGTCGGTATCTTTGCTAAGTATTTGTGCTCTGGTCAGCGATGATTGTTCGTGCTGTCTGGACTCCTGATATCAAAGGATGCGATTGATCAGAGCTCGCTTTTACGACCTGCCTCACACGAAGTACAACCAGGCCGACTTCCAGGGGCTTATACGAGACTAAAGAGCACATGAGGCGCAATGCAGCTTATTATTAGACACAGTCAAGGCGGCATTGAGGGAATTTAGACTTTTTGGTCTCTGCCAGCTCATTATTATGAGCTCTATTTGAGCTAGAGCCTGTTACGGATGACTTGTGCAAGAAAAGAGTTGTGTAGACGGCAAGCATGAGTTAGGCTTCAGATGGGACATTCTGCGCCACCTCAGCCGCAAGAGAAAAAAGTTGAAGCGACCGCAAGCACGACGCATCCACACAACAACCATGAGCTCAGCGCATTCATCCTCCTCCGACAGCGAGTCTGAGGGCGAAACAGTGCAACATCCCAAAGGCACCATCGAAGTGGTCGAAGAAGATGCACCGGCAAAGACCTTTGAATCACTCGGTGTCTTGCCAGAACTATGCGAAGCGACCGCAAAAGTCGGGTATAAGCAGCCGACGCCCATTCAAGCAGAGGCCATCCCTCATGCGCTTGCGGGAAAAGATATCATTGGACTAGCGCAGACTGGATCTGGTAAAACAGCGGCGTTTGCGATTCCCATCATTCAAGCACTTTGGGAGAAACCATCACCTTTATTTGCCTGCGTCATGGCGCCTACGAGAGAATTAGCATACCAAATATCGGAACAGTTTGAAGCGCTTGGTGGGAGTCTTGGACTCAAGTCGGTGGTGATTGTGGGTGGTATGGATATGGTGTCGCAGGCCGTTGCACTTGCCAAGAAGCCTCATATTCTGGTATGCACGCCAGGTCGACTGCAAGATCACTTGGAAAACACCAAAGGCTTTTCACTACGAACAATGAAGTACCTTGTGCTGGATGAAGCAGATCGATTGCTCGACATGGATTTCGGACCCATCATTGACAAGATTCTCAAAATCATTCCACGGGAGCGACACACGTACCTCTTTTCAGCAACCATGACGAGTAAAGTGGAGAAACTACAGCGCGCCTCGCTCAGCAATCCTGTTCGTGTGGCAGTGTCAACAAAGTACTCTACAGTTGACACGTTGCTGCAATCTTACCTCTTCATTCCTTTCAAATTCAAGGATGCCTACCTCGTCTATCTCGTCAATGAGCTCGCTGGCCAAAGCACAATCATCTTTGCACGTACCTGCAACGATACACAGCGTGTTGCCTTTTTGCTACGTCACTTGGGCTTCCCAGCAGTACCGCTACACGGTCAACTCTCACAAAGCGCACGTCTCGGTGCTCTCAACAAGTTCAAGTCAGGTGCACGCAGTATCTTGATTGCGACTGATGTTGCTTCTCGCGGTCTCGATATCCCATTGGTGGATGCAGTGATCAATTTCGATATTCCAACAGACTCCAAGAGTTATATTCATCGTGTTGGTAGAACGGCTCGTGCTGGACGAGCAGGGAAGAGTATCTCGCTTGTGACGCAGTATGATCTTGAGCTATACTTGCGCATCGAAGCGGCATTGGGTACGAAGATGCCGTTGTATGATGCAGACAAGGAAGGTGTCATGATCTTGGCTGAGCGTGTTGCCGATGCACAGCGAGCGAGTGTGTCTGATATGAAGGAATTGCAAGCGCGAAAGGGAGGTAAGCGTGGGGAGGGGATTGGTCGTGCTGGTGGTCGCGGTGGATCTGCAAGTGGGAAGCGGAAACGCGATGATATGGACAGAGCTGAATGATTATATTACTAAGATTTTATGTTTCCGGAAATCGTCTCAAGTGTTTCTCATCGTGCGCAGCGCTAGAGCTCTTCTTGGTGAGGCATACTGAGACCAAAGGTTCGCAGTCATATAAAAGATGAGTCACGAGAATTGGGCTTTTCTCGATTCTAGCCACTTCTCCTTGACCCTGTGGTGTATAACCGGGCGGAGCTACAAGGGCCAGGTGGGCGAAGGAAGGACTATGACTCTTCGAAACCGTCGCGGTATCACGAAGCGTCCCGTAGTTCCGAGATACCAGGATAACTAATGCAGCGCACAACCAAGTCGCAGAAGGTGAGTTATGCACACGCATAAAAGTGCACAATTCAATACTTTTTATTTTCTATGCTTCCAAATGGAAGGAAACAGCGACTGTTGAAGATGCCGAATGAGTTGTTCTATGATCTAGATGACGAGGTCTAGATCGGTCGCTGTGGTTGTGCACAGAAGAATAGCCGCGAGATGTAACCAGGGGTTTTAGGTGATTAGGCATCTGAAACCAGGATCTGTCAATACGTAACACGACCTATTGAGGCCCTGCTGAGTGTGACTTGGTAATGGGTGCACCCTTATTCTGAGCGATTAGTGGAGATTTGAAACAGATGATACACTTACAACGATCTTGTTGCAGCATTTGTCTGTCGAAGGGTCGCAACCGGGTACTGGTTCCCTGTTTCGGCACGGGTCTCCCTTGGGCATACTGGCCGCGGGATTCAACTCGTTGGGCTGCTTGACTGACACGGCCAAGCCATTAGCGACGTACGCAAGCAAGAGTACTGTGCTGGCAAATTGAAACTGCATGGCTGATGCAGTGCTTTGGATCATTGCTCGCAGCGGGCCTTTATACATTCCCAGTACTCAGGGGCACCGCATTTATTCACATTTGCGAGCATGTTTACCAAACAAAAATAACCTCCCCTGGTCAAGTCAGTGAACGGCAAACATCACCTTGTAGGTCTTGTCCGCATAACATATTTGTTCTCCATTCTCGTCGTCTCGTCTTGACAGCAAACTTCGAGGTATTTCACACGGAGAATGGAAAACAAACATCTGCTGCCGACAGCAAACTTTGAGGTGTTCTATACGAAGAATGGAAAACAAACATTTGCTGAGGCCAGCAAAGTCTGAGGTACTCTATCCGGAAAAGGGAAAACAAGCATCTATTGCGGACAGCAAACCTTGAGGTACTCTCTACGGAAAATGAAAACAAACATCTGCTGCGGACCGTAGACTCCATGAGCCTGAATATTGCGTCTTTGCTGGCTCCTTAATAAAGGAAACGCAATCATGGGTGCTCGACTTTTACACGCTCGGGCTCATAGCAGCAATCGATGGCAGGATGTCAAAGACCGATGTATGGCCAGTGAAGGGAGATGTGCTGGGATATTAGGGGCTGTTCCAGTCAGAGGCTTGGGGCACACTGACCTCGTGCGCTGGCACCTATTTTTTGATTGCCCTTGTTGCAGGAGATGTATGGCGTATTGAGCCTGGTCTGGATGCAATGTATGTCTTGCTGAGCCTTGCCTCTGTAATTGCACTGGCTGGTGCCTGATATCCTAGGCCTGATATCGGAGGTACCAGACTCTATAATGTGGGAGTGGGTGCAGAAGCTGGACAAAGGAAGTAGCAGGCTTGCTAGGCGTCCGTATAGACAGCTGAGAAATGACTAGATTCTCATACACTGAAGCCTTGTGCAATGGAAGGCTACTACAGGCGCAACAAGTGCTAGTCATCGAAGAAGATCATTTGCCGCAACGCGATAGCAATAGCGCAACGATGAAGCCGTTCAAGGCGCTGCAAAAGGGTGCATTCGCTGGTTCATTTGATCTGTATCCAATGCGATAGAAAGATCACAGGTTTCCAAGCATACTTGGCAGACACCCACCCACCGCCGTCAAAGCCGACCGAAATTTGTTGCATCTGCATGTCGCTCAATCACATTGCTCCTGGTCAGAGACGCTCCTTACCATGCTGGTCATTTACACAGCGCTAAGCCTAGATATGCATGTTACAAACATGCACTTATATTGTCAGGCGAGCTTTGCAGTGTGGGCCCTTGAAGCGATCTTGCTCAGCTTGTTCTGCTTGCCGTTGTTGCTCCACAGCCTGCTTGATGTCATCTGGCAACACATCAAGCACGTCCTGCTCGACATCTAGAAGGTGCACGGAAGCACCTGTGATGGAAGGACGTATAATCATGCGTTCCTCAACCACAACATGTCCATAGCGCGTCTTCTCTGCTTCTTCAGCAGGTGCTTCTTCCCAATGAAATCCTGCCGGCTGTGTGGATGCAGGATAAAACATGGCATTCGCATGGGGCTCATACACACCCCGCCAAGTAGTCGCTCGAACGCCCACCAAGTCTGCATTATAGCGTGATGCAGCTTGTGCATGTTCAAGAATCCAATTACTCTCATTGATGGCAGCTGTGCGTTGTTTACGCGTCACCATACCATTCTCACGAGTTCCGTAGCGAGAGGGAACAGGCGCTTGATGATAGACTGAGGAAGCGCCGTGCCACGCGACGTATTGGTTACGGTTGTACTCGATTCCTGGTGGTGGCAAACGGTCTTCCGGGTCGGCGAGTTCACCTTCTTTGTAGCCATGCTTCCTGTACTCAGCAACCCAGTAGTCGTCAATGATACGGCGACCACCAATGACGATGCGTGCGCCAAATTCACGAAAGACTGAACGTGCTGTGCAGACACCGATTTGTCGGGAACGATAAGAAGCTGGGATGAGAGCACGTTGGTAGAGGTCTTCCTTTTCTTGCTCATCGAGTTGAATCTTGTGGAGTGTCTTGTGGCGAATGAAGAAGAGGTAAGAGTCGCGGTAACCATTGCAACGCGCAGGCTCAGTCGAGAGCATGTACAGTCGTTGTCCACGACCTTGAATGGTAAAGGTACGTACACGGTACTCGCGACCATCAAAGAGATGTCCATTCTCATCCACCTTTTGTTCTCCATCGACATCATGATGGGAGAGGACTGTTTCGTCATTTTGTACATCCAGCGGATACTGCAATGCATCTGGCGGTACAACATTGGGACTGATGCGGTCTGATTTCTTCACAGTCGGTGGACGTCCGCGTTTGTTTTTCTTCAATAGCGGCGTCCCCTCTCGCGTATTGCTGTCTGCAGTGGGCGTAGCAGGTGCCGTTTCGTCTTCATTACCACTCAGGTCATCAAGCACACGCTTCTGAGCACCTACAGCGCGTCGACGAAGCGATGGTGGCGGTGCGATACCATCTGCGGAAATATCTTCCTCTGCAGGTACTTCCTCTTCGTCTTCCTCATCACCTTCCTCGTCCTCGTCGTCTTCTGCAGCTTCGGCTTCGGCTGCTGCAGCGGCGGCTGCTTCTTCCTCTTCTTCAAGAGCGGCAGCAGCGTCATCTATGCCTGTTCCGCGTTGTGAATTTTCCTGAATATCTGCCATGGGGCTGTCCAGCGGAGTCTCATCCATCCTGGCAGTCGAGTCTCTTTGCTTATCCTTGTGTAGCTTGGTCTTGTTGTGCTGCAGTCGCGCTTCACTCTGGGAATTCTCACGGACATCGAACAGCACTCGAGTAACTCTGTCAGAAGCTCAGTGCATTAACTAACCATCCGTCCATAAGCTCGACTCTGCTCAATTGACCTGCTGGACGCTCGCTATGACGGGCGCGCAAAGCGTTGCTGCAGCTCACATGCCTACACCTGCCTCAGCTCCTGCGTATCAAGCATGCGCGCCATCCTCACCACAACGCGTACACTGTCCTAGCTGTCATAAAGAGCAGACGACCTCAGTACACATCCAGCGTCGCAAGAATCTGGCCTCTCGCGCCCGATCCCTTGTGAGTACAGTGTCTGCTGCGCAAGACAGTAAAGTCGAACACTCCTGCTCGCTATGTAACGCACTCCTGGCGTCTGTCAAGGGTGATGATGTGCCTGCTGTGGTGGCTGCTCTGCCAAGCTATGCGGATGCTATGGTCTTTTATGATAAGCGGAAGAATGTCATACAAATTGGTTCAGCGAGTCTCTTGTCAACTCCTGAGTCTGGCAGGACTGGACCTTGAGTATTGTGGCACTGTCAGTGAGGATTGAAATCCTTCCAGGCCAATGACTGGCACCTATATCAGGTTGAGCCTTGTAACTAGCGCTTCATGAATGCAGAAGTGCTCAACTGGAGGCACAGACTGATCAACGGCTGTCATCACAGAATATAATTACAAAATTGGTGGCGAAAACGAGCGTGTCTCACATGTTGACATTGCAGTGGCATAGTCCCAGTTGACGGTTGATGGTCGAAGCAATGGGCAAGAGACCCGACGCCGTCTTGAAATGCTTCTACAAGACTCTCACCCTCCGTCCATATCAGATGATGGGTCAGGTGATTCGAGCTGCTCAAGGCATGGCTCGGAAGGCCGACTCGATAGTCTGTTGAGCGAAAGCTTCATGCCAGACATGAGGCGGGAGGGAAGACTGAATAGTGTGCTGATTCAGAGTGTGTCATTATTGTCATAGCTGTTCTGTAGTGTGCCAGATGTCTCCAAGAAATGGCCTCCAACGTCACTTTTCTTTCTTTCCCGCTGACCCAAAAGTGCAGAATTGAGCACAAGCAAGCACACAGCAGCAGCACCCGACCGGCCAACAACTCACCCAATACTCACCCACGCTGCCTCATATCCAAGGGCCCCTCCGTCCGCAAGGCAGCACGAACATCCTACAGGCATACTATCCACCCGCCCTTTTGTACTTCATCTCTCTACCTCCACCAACGCGCAAACAGATCTCGCATCCGGCCATCGCAGATTAGGCTCCACTCTCTTCCTACCCACAGGGAAAAAGAGAACCTCCATCGGGTCTTCGCAAACGACTTGTAGCACTCGATCCATCACTCTCCGGCTCGTTTCAACAGATCTGGCTACCTTATCTGCTCTTCCTCGAAACTCCTCCTCCTCCGCGGCTCCTGCAGGCCAATCTCCAAATCTATAAGCGACTCCGCCGCCACCTTGCACACCGGTCTATGGGCAGATCCTCGCAATGAAGTCCTTCTTCAACTTGACCTCGTCTGGCAGCAAAGCCAGCGCAACGCAACAAACAGCCTCGGGCTCAACAACACCCACCCTCTCAACTGTTCAGGAAGGCAATATCCTCGGACAAGCCCAACAAAGTGGCTATTTTGATAAGATGTCTCAACATTCACGCGCATCTTCATCGCAGCGTAGTTCGAATGAGGATAAACGTGAACAATCTATGCGGAGCGGACAGGCGACGCCCAAGCCGAGCATGTTTGATGGCCGGTATGATTTCTCTTCATCTGTAAAGATCGGTCGATTGGCCGTGCAGATGATACACTACAACAGGTTTGCTAACACACTTTGATACAGATTGCCAGCATTGAGTGCACATCTCCAGGTCACGCCCATTAGTACACCGCGCAACACCATGTCCGAGGGCAGTAACCTCATCCCGGCCAATATCCCAGTTGGCCCGCCCAAGGGCCGACTCGTTGTGACCATCATGTCGGGTCGTGGCCTTCATGTACCACAAGCCGATGTAAGCAATTCTCTTGTTCCCTGTACAAATACTAACACTGTGAAATAGTCCACGCCCTACGTCATTTGTACGTATGAGTCAAACGAGTTCATCACGGGAGGCCCCTGGAAGGAACAACCAAAAGATAATATGCCAAGCGCCGGTCTGGCTATCCCCAAATCTCGACAATCCTCCAGCACCTCCCTCAACAATATGCAATCCGGTCGGCCTAAATTGCAAGGCGCAGCGATGCAAGAATTAGCCACCAATCCAGTTTGGATGCAAGATGGGTGTTTTGATGTACAGATTGGTGATTCAGAAGTGGATGTCTCTGTGTATGACAAGAAGTCGCAAACATTTTTGGGACATGTGCGTTTCCACCCAAACCTCGAACCAAAACAGACGACTGAGCAGTGGTACAAGCTCGAAGGTCGCAAGGAGGAAGGCGAAACGATCACGGGTGAGATTCAAATTCAAACATACCATGAAAAAGTCGAGAAGCGACATTATGGCCCAGATGATTTCGAAATTCTCAAGCTCATCGGTAAGGGCACTTTTGGTCAGGTGTATCAAGTCCGCAAGCGTGATACCAACCGCATCTACGCCATGAAGGTGTTGTCAAAGAAAGTGATTGTGCAAAAGAAGGAGGTGGCTCATACCGTTGGTGAGCGCAACATTCTCGTCCGCACAGCATTGACTGAATCGCCCTTTATTGTGGGTCTCAAATTCTCCTTCCAGACACCCAGCGATCTGTACCTCGTCACTGACTACATGTCTGGTGGCGAGCTCTTCTGGCACTTGCAAAAGGAAGGCAGTTTCCAAGAACCACGAGCAAAGTTCTACATTGCAGAGCTCATCTTGGCACTTGAACACTTGCACTCACACGATATTGTCTATCGCGACTTGAAGCCAGAAAACATCCTGCTCGATGCGAATGGTCATATTGCGCTTTGCGATTTTGGTCTCAGCAAGGCTAATTTGACGAGCAACGCAACGACCAATACGTTTTGCGGTACGACTGAGTACCTTGCTCCTGAAGTGCTGCTGGATGACTCCGGCTACACCAAGCTGGTTGACTTTTGGTCTCTTGGTGTTCTTGTCTTTGAGATGTGTTGTGGTTGGAGTCCATTCTATGCGGAAGACACACAGCAAATGTACAAGAACATCGCATTTGGCAAAGTTCGTTTCCCAAAGGACACCTTGTCGGTTGAAGGTCGTAATTTCGTCAAGGGACTTCTCAACCGTAACCCAGCGCATCGATTAGGAGCTACACGCGATGCTGCTGAACTAAGGGAACATGCCTTCTTTGCTGATATCGATTGGGAGGCACTTGTTCAAAAACGGATTGCACCGCCCTTCAAGCCTGTGTTGGCGAATGACCAGGATACCGCTAATTTTGATGAAGAATTCACGAATGCAAAGGTCGACAAGAATGGTGTGGTGAATGAGCAAGGGAACTTGTCTGCTACGCCACTCAGTCCTGGGATGCAGGCTAATTTCCAAGGATTCACCTTGTCAGTCAATCTCTTCATGAGGCACCAAGCTAACTATCTAGTGTGGATGAGAGCAGCATGTCGCGCAACTTTGGCAACAAGGGCTCACCTATTGACTCGAGCATGGTGGATGAAGATGCTATACCGAGTGACGACGATAGTATGGATGAAGACGAGACGCGGGAGAAGATGGAGGAAGACGGCGTGTTTGGCCGGATCGAATGATTGGCCTCGTTGTCCTCTTTGCCATGTCTCTGTTTTTGGATTGTCACAACATGCAAATGCCCTGCTTTCGTTTTGCGCTTGGGGAGTTGCTTTTTGCTTGTTCCATACCTCATTGCCTTCCATGTCTCTTTCTACGTATTCGAAGCTTCTTCAAATCTGCTGCAGCTGCTCGTTCAAGCTTGTCGACTCGATCACCGCCTCGTTGCCCTTTGAAGGCGCGCGACGATTCGAGATTTGACACAAAAAAACAACTCCCAAAGGTTTGACCAAAGCCGACAGACAAATCCTTTGAACGGCCTCCTCTGAGCCCATAAGATGAGCAAAGATGCCTCGGACATCCTGAGCAAGGTATCCGACTCTCTTCAAGAATCCATCCAGCCGGCGTTCGCATCACCCACCGTCTCGACAGTCAATTCGCCAATCCTCTCAAGCAGCGATCCTCAAGCGATTCCTGACCTCTCGGAGCTCTCTGAAGTCCTCTCCAAGGAGATCAAAGTCGCAGAAGAGTCTATCAATGCTGCAGAATCAGCCAAGGCAGAGGGCAATACAAAGCTGCTTGCCAAGGACTTTATAGGTGCTATTCAACTCTACACGCAAGCCATCGATCTCAACCCAACGCGAGCTGTGTATTGGGCGAATAGGGCTCAAGCGGAGATTGCCACTGAACAATTTGGCTCTGCTATTGCCGATGCGACCATGGCCGTGAGGCTCGAACCAACGTATGCGAAAGCATACTACAGACGTGCAGTCTCTTACGTGTCCATTGCAAAACACAAGGATGCCTTTCGGGATTTCAAAAAGGTGTGTGAGCTCTTACCGAACGACAAAGCAGCGCGTGTCCGCATGCAGGAATGCAACAAGCTGATTCGTCGGCTTGCTTTTGAAGAGGCGATTGAAGTGGATGACCCACCTTCAGCGGCTGAGGGTTTGGATATTGCCAATATGGCGATACCGGATGATTATGATGGTGTTGCCCTGCCAGAAGAGGGCATGTCTGCAGAATTCATCACAGACATGATGCAGCGTTTCAAGGATGGCAAGAAGATTGCGCTCAAGTACGTCTACCAGATCATTGTGGCGGTCAAGGAGATTTTGACGACAGAGGCAACAATGACGGACCATCGTCTTGCTGAAGATGAGCAACTGACGATTTGTGGCGACACGCACGGCCAATACTTTGACTTGTGTCACATTTTTGAGACGAATGGCTTTCCCAGCACAGAACACGCATACCTCTTCAACGGCGATTTCGTCGATCGTGGCAGTTGGTCAACAGAGATTGCACTTGTCTTGTACTGCTACAAGTGGCTCATGCCAAACCACATGGTCATCTCACGGGGCAATCACGAAACTCAGGATATGAATAAAGTGTATGGCTTTGAGGGTGAATGCAAAGCCAAATACAATGAACGTGTTTATCGATTGTTTTCCGAGAGTTTCTCACTGTTGCCACTTGCGTGTTTGGTGCATGGCGAGTACCTGGTGCTGCATGGTGGTCTCTTTTCAAGGGACGATGTCACATTGGATGATTTGCGCAATATCAATCGGCATCGCAAGAAGCAACCAGGGCATGAAGGTCTCATGATGGAGATGCTCTGGACAGATCCACAACCACAACCTGGTCGTGGACCTTCCAAACGTGGCGTGGGTCTGCAATTCGGTCCGGACATTACAGCGCGTTTTTGCGATAAGAATGGGTTGCGTGGTATTATTCGCTCTCATGAAGTGCGTATGGATGGGTATGAAGTTGAACATGACGGTCGTTGTATCACTGTCTTTTCTGCACCAAACTATTGTGATTCGCAGGGTAACGATGGCGCTTACATCAACGTCACCCTGAAGCCGGAAGGCGAGCGCTCAGAGAAGGAACAGCTCAGCATGGATTTCAAACGTTTCAAGGCAAGTCCGCATCCAGCAGTACGACCGATGGCGTATGCAAATTCAATGTTTTGAGTGCTTCAATCCCTTGTCTATCTTCATTTGTTGTACATTTTGTAATGGCATTAGACGAGCATTACTAGGCATCTGCAATCAAGACCGTGTCTGGATGTGCATGTGGGATCGTGTCGTCAATTTGATCTCCTGTCAATGCTGCCACCATGGCCTTGGCAATCGCTGGACTACTGCGGACCTGACAGAATGGCCCATCACCTGTCTTTGTGCGCTTCGATGTGTGTTGATCCGTGCTTTGAGCTCCTTGTTCCAATGCATCGACCGTACGCAACCAAACACCATGTTGCTGCCAGAACTCCTTCGTCTTTTCACTCAACCCGAGTTTCCAGAGATAATCAACGAGTCCGAAATGTGAAGTATCTTCAAAATGCCTGACTGTCCAGACCCCCTTGACAGGTGGTGGTTCATGACTTATGCCTTTGCCTTGGAGCAATTCAGGTAAGAGGTGCAGACAGGCTGTTTCTGAGCATGCAAACGGATGCGCTTGACTGGCCAGAGGCACCAAACAATCGCTTTGTCGCCATGCTTCTTCTTCACCTTCAAACTGCATCGCTTCAAGTCGTGCAGACGAATACTTTTCACGAGCAACGAGCCAATGACATACAACGAGCGGTGGTAAGAGTAATGGTGGATCCGTCGATGCTGTGTAGGATCGATAATACGTTTCTGCACAGCATGTTGTGCCTTCGTTGAGTTGTGCCATGGAATCAGGAAGCATGCACCAACCTGCTGAGTCTCGAGAGAGACCTTCTGCTTTGCCATTGGAGAAGTTGAGGAAAGATTGCATGAGTGATGTGGCTTGCTGTGATGGATGTCGTTTTAGAGTCGGTCGTGTTGGCGTTGCTTCTGCTTCCGCGTCTGCGTCTGCTACTGCCACGGTACCCACTGTCTGTTCTGCATCCGGTGAGTCTAGTGCTGCTTCATCTGTCTGCATCCATTGATCTCCTCCGAAATCATAGAGACCCGTTGCCACGACATTGGCAGACTTGGCGAGATGCACCCCTAAACTCAGCATATACCCAAGACTCAACGTTCTCTGCCCAGCAAGCGGTCCAGATTGTTGACCAAGCGCAGCAACGAGAGGTGTTCCTCGAAACGGTGATGAAATGGCAGCAATCGATCGTATCATCTCTGGTGTACCTGGAAGGACAGTTCCTAGCATTTGCTGAAGATGATAGATTGTGCATCCACCAAAGGAGTGGCCTGCGAAATGGAGGGGTTGGTCGGGTGACCAGTGCGGGTAGAGACCGGTTGTGTGGGTTCTACCGTACCGCGCATGACCGTGTTCCTTGGCGTGTGCTTCACCGTAATCGCATCGACCTCCTTTCAGTGCATAGTAGAGCTCAATGGCACGATCCCAAAGAGACGAGAAACTGCCACATCTTTGTTAGTCTGAGCAGGTGATGTCAATGACAATTACTTGACAACGAGAAGACGTCTGTCAGGCGTTCCTTCCGGTTTCCCTTCATTCAAGAGAGCATCAAGACCTTCAAAGATCTTGGCAGAGGTACCAGCCGCCCAACCTTCCACAAACACAAGCGGCTACCATGTTAGCGGAGAAGAATACAGAAAAGGGTGTGAGTACAATTGGCTCTAGTGGGCGACCGTCTTCATCGAGGGACGTGAGTTCTAGGGAGCGGTCCATGCCTGTAGAGACATGCGACTTTGGGTGTGTTGACATTGGCGGGGTTGGTTGTCAGTCGCGAGATGAGAGACGTCATTCACCAGATGAGATCAGATCATATCAGATCCTATGGATACATAGCAAGTGAATACTGTAACAAGCCATAGAAAGCTACTTCATACCCAGAGTCTATGATAAAATTGAAAACGCTTCTCTATCGTTCCTCCAAATCGACAATCAAGCAAGATCCCTCAAATTGGTATGGCTCGCGGTACGGGAGGCAGGACCCTCACTAGGCCCACCACTCGACGCACTCCCACTTCCTGGAAGATGCTGCTGTTGTTGTTGCTGTGGAAGCAATTGTCCAGACGGTGGACTCACCAAATCATGGATACTCACCCGTGGCACAGGCAACGTCCGATCACTCTGCTGCGTACTCTCCAAAATATCACTCAATCGCATAGCGTTGACGGGTTGTTGTTGATGATGGTGTCGACCATACTCCTTGGGTGAATTATACCCACTACCAGGCTGAAATGGGTCGACCTCGAGCGGTGCCAATGTCGGTGGTGTGCCACGAAGTGAGAGTTGTCGAATAGATGGCAGATGAATACCATGCAACGCATCTAATTCCCTTGGATGCAACCTAGGTGAATGCGCAGGCGTCACAAGCGGCGTATGATCCGGTGTGGGTGAATGATGGTGTGCCAACAATGCAGGCGAATTAGGCGCTGTACTCAGCACTGGACTACCGGGTCTTGAACGTTTAGAACGATGTCCATCATAGCGATCATCTTCCTCGTTGGAGTGCTGTCGCGACATGCTGAGATTGGGTCGATTATAGGGAAGTTGCAGACCATTGCCATACCCGCCACCAGTATGATGACCGACAGGCGATGCAAATGTAGCATGACGATACTGTGCGGGCTGATAGGTATTGTAGTGATGCTGCTGTTGTGCACTTGCATTCTGCTTGGATCGTTCTTGCTCGAGTTGTTGAGAGGCTGCAGCAGCCAAGACGTGCATTTCATCGAAATCATGCCCTGAGCTACGTCGACTCGGTCCTTGACTACCAGCCCCATGCTGCGTTGGTACAGATGCATTGTAATGCGGCGGCGAGTGGACCGGTGAAACATTTCTAGAGGACTTGCCACTCGCTGCACCGGATGCAGTGCCACTGCCTGCACCCGTTCGATTATTGCGCCGTGCATTTGGGTTTGTATGGATGCGTGCATGCCGCGTCAATTCATCCGATCGTGAAAAGCGTTTTGGACATCCAGGAAATGTACAAGCATGCGGTTTCTCACCTGTGTGTGTTCGGATATGACGCGTTTGGTGTTCGAGCCTGTGAAAGGCCTTGGTGCACATCGGGCATTTATACGGTCGTGGGAGTTCTGTTGGGGTGGCGGGTTGTGAGGTGGGCGTGGATGTGCCGTTGGTGGATGCAGGTTGCGCTGGGGACGCTGGATCGGTCATGGGTGCTGCTGTGCTGGAGAAGGGGTTTCCGAGCATGCTGTGCTTGTGTTGCAGAGGCTCTCAGGTGAGCGCGTGAAGGGAGTCGTCGCTTGTTCAGGCCGCGGGAGGATTTTCTCTTGTGAGGCGGAGAAGAGGACGGGGTGGAGCGCTGCGTAGAAGAGGGTCGCGCACACTGGGAGAGCAGGTGGAAAGAGATGTCGAGGGTGTAGGAGTGGATGCTAGAGAGTGCGCCTTGTCTGGAGCCGGGCCCTTGCTTGGACCTGGTTGTGCGCACTGATATAGGCTGGTTGGTGGTGTGCAGTCGAGATGTTTGCTGAGGGAAAGAAAGAAAGAGAGCGGAAGAGCCTGAAGTGCCATCATCACGACCCAGATCCACACATACACAACACCTCCCCTGCCTGTATTTGCCAGGTAGCATTGTAGAGATAGTAACTCCGTACGGGCCTTCTTCGAAAATAGCACCGCATTGTGATCATGCACTTCATCTGCTCAGTGCTCACTCAATTACACGGCGAGTGACAGTTTGTCTGGGCGCCAGTCATGGAGGCTAGTCAATGCATATATAGATGATACGATGCTCTTGCTGGCCATACGATAGCATGCACGGATGGCCTGCTCCATGCCAGTCATGCCTGAGGATACATGAATCATGATCCATCGCCTCCGGAAGTTGAATTGCTCCATCCCACTCATTCACAGATCCAGCAGATGGAGCATGACGCAGCGCTCATTTCGACTTGCCGAGGTTGATGCGGCCGCAGACTTGAGATGGCAGACGCTGTACATAGCAATTGCATTGCATACATCCAGCAAACATCTGATTCCTACTGCCGAGTCAACAAATCCCTCATGGAAACCAAAATCTTATGCATCGAAGCATAATTCCACTTGCCACACGTCTTGAGCAAATCACTGTAAATGTCCAACAAATAAATCGCTCCAGCAAAGCCATCAAGTCGTTTCCCACTGAACTGCCAGGGTCCACCCACCGCAATCCATTGTGCAGCAGGCGTGCCGTTCAGTGCTGCAGCATGATCAAGGCCCACGGAACCCATACCAGCCCAGTCAAGCGGTTCAGTCAGCTCAAAACCAGCTGTTTCAGTTGCTGACACGTCTTGCTTACCCGAGCCGTTCAACATCTTTGTACCGGATCCATTCGTACTGGCTGGTTGTGACGCAAATACATACAACGTCATGACCAGGGCCGCTTGAAAGACTGCAAAGCACGCATAGATACTTCGCATATCCGTTTGTTGCTTGTTTGCCAATAATTGATACACTTGTGCACTGTGCAATAAAGCGCGTCGTGCAGCAGGCGTTTGAACCCATTTCTTGGTGTAACGCGCTGCAAACGACGCTGCTTGACCACCTGACCGACCCGCTGTGATTTCAAGCAAGTCGCTATTCATCGTGAGTGACAGACAGAGGTAATGCCAAAAAACAAGACAATTCGTGCGTTGCCAGTCTTGAGGAAAGGAAGGGAGCAGTGATTGGAAGTTGTCGATAAAGGAAATCAAGTGGTGTACCATATTCCTGCCAGTTTCGTCACGAATGTACAAGTCATAGGGGACTGGCACGAATGGCTCTGTCTCGCGATGGATGGATTGGTAGTCTTGCAGCTTTTGAGCAGCATCAGCACCTCGTAGCGACAGGTAATTAAGGACTGTGTGCAGTGAGTAGTAGTTGAGGAACGTGTGCCCAACAAGCTTGTCCAAAGAATTGTGTGATGACAAGGCTGGCATGATGATGGGATGCTCCTCACCCTGAACAATTGCCCACCACACATCTGCATTCGGTGCATCAAATAGCAAATCATCGCACGGCAGGAGCATCTCGATGTTATTGACACGAATGACAGGCGCTGTGCGCAAAAACGTGCAATACGCAGAGTCTGATCGCAGCATACTGACAATGATGCGTTTCAACGACTCAACACGACCCCAGGCCTTCCACGTTGTCTCGACGCTGGAGAATTGAGAAAACAAACCAGACGTGACTTTTCGACCATAATCTGTAAAGATGCCGTGCGTTTGAGCAATACTCACCATGCAAATATACATCATTTGACAGGGCGTCAAATGGTCGCGATCAGCAAATAACGCAGCAAGCTTGAGAAAGATGAAAGCCGTTGCGAAACCTGAAATCGCATCCAGCGTAATGCCATTGAGCTTGCCTTCCAAATCACCCATAATGCGATTCTTGAGGCCATCAAAATTGCTCTGTACAAAGTGATTGCCGGATTCAGTCTGTCCAAGCCCGAAACCAACACACGCCATGGTCATTAGTAAGAGTGGATCGCACGTTGAGATGCTAAACACACCAATGTGGAAGAAGGGCGCTTCCTTTGTGAAGCGCTCAAAGTACGTATCGAGCGCCTGATCGAAATCAGAACACGTTGGAAAGCCACTGAGCAAATCACCGGTATAATCCAGCTTTGATGCAGGATCGTAAGGATTGCGACTTTCTGGAAACAAGGCGCGCATCATGCGTAATCGACATGCTTCACTCACACGAGCACGTTGACCAGGAACCAGTGGCAACTCACACGTTGGATCGCAACTGGCAAAGAGATCTTCTGTTCCACCATGCAAGACATCGTACCAACGCTTTTCTGCAATAGCCCACTTGCCATGTGAAAAGAGACGACCATAGAATCCCTGCTCGATTTTCGCATACCGAGCATCATTGATGTTGCCATTACCCTTGTTTGACGGTGGTGGAATGCCCCAATTTGCAGTAGTATTTGGCTGACTGCTGATATTGAGGAGATTCGTGACGGGATTGTTGTGTTGGTTGAGCATGAGCCAGCGATTCATGGCAGGTTCGGAAGGTTGTGTCGACACATCAAGTGAGTCGCCATTGTAGTATGGCTGTGGCACCGGTACATACATGTTTGAGCGAGGTTCAGGAATACCTGGTGCGCTCCCTCGAACAAAAGACTCTCCAGAGGGTGCGGGCCATCTGAGCTGTTGTCGTGATTGGTCAAGCGACCCTTGTAGCTGCATGACATCGTCTGCGACGCCATGATTGATGTCTGGTGGGAAATTGACATACTGGGGTTGTTGCCACGGGATACTAGCCAGGTGTGCGTAATCAAGCTGTGTCTCTCGATTATAGGGAGTTTTGTCTACCGACAAGCTGTAGGTGGAGCGAGCCGGTATATGCGGCGAGGCAGCGGCCTCATCGAGCATAGCTTGAACAGGTTGCAGTGGTGGCGGTTGCGTGCTGGATAATCGAGGATAGGTCGTCGTGGGCGGCTGCCTGGCATGATAGACGGGACTATCGATAGCAGATCGCATCGCCGGTGTCGTCGCTGTTGTCGACGTCTTGCTCTGTCCGCCAGGCTGTGAGTCGTACGGAGACGTGTAAATGGGCTCAGCCTGTACGAGTGCTTCCATCTTGACACGCTTCTTCTTATTTTGTATCATTGCACTCGACGCAGCGTTCGCTGTCATTGTCGGCGCACTCTCACTCGTTGAGTCTGCTTCTGCCTCTGCTGCGTCTTGTTCTTTGCGCGCATGCATCCTCAAGTGCCGAGCGAGCACATCACTGCGCGCATAGGCCCTATTGCATATATGACACACGAATGGTTTTTCCTTTGTATGGGATCGCTCGTGTCGTCGAAGATGTTCACTAGTGACAAGCGTTAGCCATCTGCTTCTTGCTCACTCGTCCGTCTCCCTGCAGCGCAGATACTGGATGGCCCGGTGCAAAGATGACGCCTCGAAGTGTGTGGGGGCCTTTTCTCCGGTGGGGCAGTTGGCAGCTTGTCGTCGTCGCGATGCAGACGGGTTCCTGCGCACGGAGGATGAAGGACATGAGAAAACATACGTCTTTGTGAAGATGCGATCGCAGCCGCTGCATTCCAGATGCATGCCAAGCGTCAGGCCTGTCGCAGGATGTGTGTCTGGCGTGGGCCACTTGCTTGGTCACTTTTCCCGAGGAGAATTCTGAGATTTGGCAGGAGGTCGCACAAGAGGTGAACAAGACATGTAGTAGTAGTTGGAAGTAATGTATATGCTAGCAGGATGCACCAACGGTAAAGAGACAAAGGACAGACCGCTTCTCGTGTCGTGAAAGACTCAAATGAGCATTACTCGTCTTGCACGCCAGAAGCACGCCGACGACCATGCAGTCGGCCCGGTGATCCACTGCGGCGTCCCTCTGCCTCGGACGAACCCATCGCCCTGGCGCGTGCATCCCGTCGGTTGCTGCGTCGTTCCTCCAGTAGGCTCTCTGCAGGCCTTGCACCATCGCCTACAGGTGTACCCCGTGCCAATCGAGCCACCATCTCTTCGTTGATTTGCAGACCCCAAACAAGCACGGCCACATCTTGTATGACACCTAGTGCATGTTGATTCTCGCGGGACCCAGCAGCGATATCGTCAGCAGGTACACCTTCCGTCTCGTACATCATGTGAGAAGGTCGTGGTGGTGCTGGGTACAGAGGAACCGTTGACCAAGGAACAGCAAAGAGACCCTTTGGTGGACGTGCTGGAAGTGCTGTAGATGCACGACGTAAAACAAGGATGATGCCGTCTGACGTACAGCTAATGACGGCCTCGACATCCACTGTGCCATCGTCAAACATTGAACCACCGACATCCGATGGAGTGCCTGGTTCCTCAGAACTGCCAGTTCCATTTTGACCATTGGTATGACCATTGCCATTTCCAGCCGGTGAGTAATTGGCCGACAGCATGCGTTCAGGAGAGTGCTCTGAACTGCCAGCATGAGGAGATTTCCAGGCAAAGCGCATGTAAGCCACCGAGTCATTAGTCTTGGCTAGATCAATCGCTTCAAGGACACCATCCAGACAATCTGCCTGCACGCAACTCAACAGCGATTCCCCAACAACTTGATCAGGCCTGAGACCCACCAACTCATCCAGCGCATAGGTGGCATACAAGATGGTCAAGTTTTTCGTAAATCGATTGAGGATAAAGGCAGCACGCGGTTCTTTCCTGCGATTGCTCGCGATGCTCGTAAATCGCTCCGACAAGTGCACCAGCATTTCATAACGTGGGTCACCCACGCTAGCAGAAAAAGCTTGTCGAATAATGGGCGCTGCAAGGGCTCTTCCTATTCGTCTGTGCGAATCGTGATGGTACACTGTTGTTGCAGCAACAATGACATCGTAGACGATAGAAAACACACACTCGCAGCCAATCCACTCACCTTGCTTATTGAGGACTCGTACATATGCCAAGACACTAGCGCGATCCAAGTCAACGGCGTTTTGGTGTTCATTTCGAGCAAGTGGGACTTCATTTGGATGGAAGAAATCAAACGTCGTTTTGCCAATGACTTCTTCTGGTTCGTAGCCGAGTACGTCAGTGATGCTGTCGGAGGCATAGAGAAGGCGTGCATCAGCTGCGACGCTGTGCATAGTGATGAAGGTCAATTCCATACTTGAAACGCCTGTCGCAACGCTTCTTTTAAGGGCAGGAAGGATTGAGGATGCGCCGGCAGCCCTTGAACTATATCGGCTTCCTCAGTGTATGTCAGACTGGTCAGGAGAGGGATCGCTTGAGCAGAGGAATGAGGGGTGAGTGTGCTGCGTTGTGTGGTCGCTGTGTTACAGTGTGGGACCATTTGCGGGTCTGGACTCGGCCGAGGGATTCAGGAACAGACACTACAAGCTACATTCATATATATGTAGAATAGAAGGGACAATGAAGCAGATTGCTAGAGACACGGAAGCTAGACAAACAGCAGACTAAAGCTTGGGCTTGGCTCCGTCCTCGAGCTCAGCAGCAGCGGCAGAGATGCACAGGGCATTGCGCTCAACTACCCATGTCTGGAAGATGACCTTGTTGCCCTCCTTCCACATCTCCGTCTTGAGAGTCTCGCCAGGGAACACACTACCCACGAATCGTACCTTGATGCTCTTGATGGCACCGTACGTCTTGAGGATATGCTTACCAGCAAAGCCAAAGAAGCACAAACCATGCACAATGGGCTGTGGGAACTTGCCAACGGCTGCAAATGCAGGGTCAACGTGCAACGGGTTGTAGTCACCAGACAACCTGTACAACACTGCCTGCTCCTCTGTCGTCTTTTCCTCCACAACAGCATCAGGCTTGCGTGCAGGCACCTTGTTGGCAGCTGTTGCAGCACCACGGTCAGCACCCTTCGACTCGCCGCCAAAGCCACCGGAACCACGGACAAAGATGGTTGATTCATTGTTGAAGATGACATCGCCTTGTTCGTCCTTGGTGATGGTACGCACAACCACTGAAGCAGCTTTACCCTTGTCGAGCACTTCAGCGAGCTGCGTGTCAATCGTCAACGTACCGGCCGTTGGGATAGGCTTCTTGATTTCCAAGAATTGCTCACCGTGCAACAAGAGCATAGGGCTAAAGTTTGGCAGGAATTCATCCCACTGGATACCCATCTGTGCATCAAACTGAGGAATGACACCAAACGTTGGCAATGCCTGGAAGTTTTCTGCATTCTCATAGACATAGTCGAGTTCAGTCTTCTTGGCACCAATGCCCAAGTTGTAGAGAATGACATCGCGCTCAGTGTAGGTGAATTTGGTCTGTTCAATAGGCGAAGCAATAGCCTTGTTGACCTTGCCGAGTGGCGTGTCATCCTCTTCCTCATCACCACCACCATTAACACGGTTGTCGGCATTCGCAAGGAAAGCCATGACGGTCTCCTGCGAGCTCTCTGGGTTGGTAGGCTCGCCCTTTGTGAAGCTGGTAATGTCCTCCCACTTCTCTGCAATGTGCTCGGGAGTCATCTTGACATCCACTGGGAAGCCGTGTCCTTCAGTGCGTTGCCATCTCAGACGACCAATCCAGCCGCAACCAGTTTCATAAACCTTGCCGTTGGCAGGAGACTCTTCCGAGGCAAGTGCCACGACAAGTGGTGCGACAAAGTCTGGAGACATGGCGTTCACCACTTCCTCAGGGGCAATCGTTCGCAGCATGTTGGTTCCGGCATTGGGTGCGATACAGTTTGTGAGGATATTGTACTTTTCTCCCTCCTTTGCCACAGCCTGGGAGAAGCCAAGGATTGCCATCTTGGCAACTGAGTAGTTGGCTTGTCCGAATGAACCATAGAGACCAGACACAGAGGAGGTGTTGACGAACCTACCGTATTTTTGCTTCAGCATGTGTGGCCATGCAGCTTTAGTCATCTTGTAGGTACCGCGCATGTGCACAGCCTGAATGATTTCCCACTGCTCATCCGTCATGGCCAAGAAGGATTTGTCTCGCAAGATACCAGCGTTGTTAATGACAACGTGAACGGTCCCAAAGGCATCGATGGCAGTCTTGACAACAGCATCACCATCCTCAACAGAATGACGGTCACCAATAGCTTCTGCACCAAGCTTCTTGCACTCCTCAACAACCTTGGATGGGTCGCCAACATCGTTGACGACAACCTTTGCGCCGAGCTTTGCAAACAAGATTGCATAGGCGCGACCGAGACCACCACCAGCACCAGTCACGATGACGACCTTGTCCTTGAAGTTGACCTTTGTGTCACCTTGAGAGTTGGGAGGCATGTTTTTGGATTGCTCAAGGACACCCATGTAGTCCATATCAGCTGCGCCAGTGGGGTATGTTGGTTTGTCAAAGTTCTCGACATCATCCCACTTGGCAAGGACAGCATCAGGCGTCAACGAAGCATCGGGCTTCAGCAAAGCACCAGTAGCACGCTCCCAACGAAGTTTGAAGACGACACCACCACCGAGCTCATAAAGACCACCGGAATTCTCTTTTTGCTCAGAACACAAAAATGCCACGGTTGGAACAACAAAGTCTGGCGTAACGAGCTTGAGCTGTTCCTCGCCCATGACTGTTGCCGTCATGCGAGAAGCGGCGATAGGGGCGATACAGTTGGTGAGAATGTTGTATTTTGCACCTTCTTTGGCAAGGGTATACGTGAATGCAATTTGACCCATCCTGGATACGTTAGCTAGCAGACCATAAGGAGAAGAGCATATACTTTTGCGCTGAATAGTTTGCCTGCCCGTAGTTGCCATAGATACCAGCAGCGGACGCTGTGTTGATGATGCGTCCGAATTGCTGCTTTCGAAACAGAGGCCAGCATGCTTTTGCGCAGGAATACGCTCCGAAAGTATGCACGCGGTTGATGAGATCCCAATCCTCGTCACTCATGTTCTTGAAGGCTTTGTCTCGAAGAATACCAGCATTGTTGATGAGAATGTGGACGGTACCGAATGCCTTGACGGCAGTCTCGACAATCTTGGCGCCATCTTCGACAGAATTGTAGTTGGCGACTGCCTTTCCGCCAGCCTTGATGATCTCTTGGACCACGATGTCTGCAGCACGAGAGTCTGCACCCTGTCCTTTAGCAGAACCACCAAGGTCATTGACAACGACATTGGCGCCGCGCGAGCCGAAGAAGAGAGAGTAAGCTTTTCCAAGACCGCCACCAGCTCCGGTCACCTGATGTTAGCGAATGCGGAAGTTGCTAGCAGACATACGATGACTGTCTTTCCATCGAATCTGATTTCACCCATGGCTCGTTGCGTTTGGGTTTGGTAGATGGGGGGTGAAGCTGTGGTTGTACGACTGTCGGCTCTGTGGTGGAGTTGCTGCTGCCCCGGATTTATGAAAAGTTCGAGCCGAGGCAGAGATGAAGCTCGAGCTCGCAACAAGCACGCCGACGACTATGTACTTACAGCAGAAGCAAGAGGATCAGTACTGTGCTCTCCTGAAGTCGTGCTACTTACTTAGGCTTCTCATGCTGCAAATGCTCGTGCGATCCAGCTCAATGCTATGTAAATTGCGCTGAAGGTTGACCCAGTAGCGATGATTATCCTTCCTCAGCAAGTCTGATACCACGCCAGGCTTTCTTACCATGAGGTAGACAATGAGAACAGACTGAATTTCATTGATGAATTTACTCGACAATCGAGAGCTGTGTGCCCGCAGCCCCTATACGACCGGCAAGGGAAAATGACTCTGACGTACCAGAGATCGAGAACTATGCACTAGAGGATAGGGAAGATGATGATGACGAGGCTGACTCAATGAAGCTTGTCATATTGCTGATGCTGATAGATACAGGTCGAACCATTGTGATGCCCTGTTAACGAGTAATTTGCTCAAAGCTCTGTGTCGTTTCATGTAGTCTTTGCTCGTCGTTAGCATCATCCTTGCCGTTCAGTTTGATTTTGTTGTCATCATCATTATCTCCTCCATCAACTGCCACTGCATCGTCTGCAAGCACCATCGCCATAGTGAACTGCTGAGATGACGCCTTAAGCCATTCAAGGGGGTTCTTGGCCGCTGTAGCGTAGGTTTTGGCGAACGCGCATGCATTGATGCTGAAGAAAAAAGAAACACTTTGCCCTCCACATGCTAGTCCTGAGCTACCCAGCGCTGTATGTTATGTCTTGTTCCTGGAAGTCTCCACCTTCACCAATTTCGGTCGTCGTCCGTATCCGCCCATCTGAATTGTACCTCCAATGCCGAGCGAGGAATTCATGTCAAGATTCAAGGGGAGAAGGAAGCGTGTACATGTCAATAGATTTTCTATAAATTCTAAAGCTTGGTCATCAGTGGGTATGGAAGAATACAAAAAGAGGAGAAGGGAAGAGAGCAAGTGCAATTCAGCAAGACTACTCACGCAGCACGGTTGCCCTCAACGGGCTCAGAGACCTTGGTTGGCAAGAAATCTGAGCGGTTGATGACAGCGCCATTGCTATCCCTTGCAACCTCCTTGCGCTCTGTGTTCCAGACTTCCACTTTCATACCACCGCGCACAACAGCAACACGCATGGAACCGAGCAAGTTGTGTGCACCGAGAGAGTGATCATACACACCACCATTGAATGCAGCAGTTGCATCCTTGCCAATCTGTGACTTGATGAGTGCTTGGCCACCTGGGTGTTGTCCAATAAAGTTGGTAACATCGTGCACGATACCAGCAACGAGAATGAGATTTTTGCGGTCTTCAGCATCCTTGGCCGTAGCAGCCTGGAACTCTGACCATTCCCACACTGGCAATTGGTCAACAGGGATACCCCAGTCGAGCTTGGCGCGTTGACGATCGAGCTTCTTTTGCGCCATCATGACTTTTGCTTGGCCAATAGAGTTGGATGAGAACTCTTTCAAATCAGAAGCAAGACCGAGAGCCTTGCAGACTTGAATGAGCCACTTGGTAGGGTCGTACTGCCACCATTGAATAGCATTGCGGTAGTCTGATGGGTAAGAGTGGTGAAAGTTGTGGTAGCCTTCTCCCAATGTTGCAAAAGCAGTCAGGATGTGGTCGCGAGGAGAGTGCCTGTCTTCGAATGGTTGGTCACCGAGCCAGTGAGCAAGTGAGTTGACACAGAATGTAGCATGGTGAACAAAGACGAGACGCAAGACACCGGCGTAAAAGTATCCACCGCGCCAATCATTCCAGCCAAGTCCAGCAACAAGTGTTGGAAAGATGAATCCCATGAAGAGAGCAACCTTGCCGTAGTGTGTGTGTTGGAACATGACAATTGGGTCAGCGTTGAGGTCGGCGATATCCGTACGGCCAATCTTCTTTGGGTTTTGCTTGAGAATCATCCAGCCGAGGTGGGAGTACCAGAAGCCCTTGCGGACGGAGTATGGGTCCTTCTCTGTGTCGGTGTATCGGTGGTGAGCACGGTGATCGCGCGACCACCACCTGATGGATCCCTCAACGGCACCGCCACCAAAGGCAGCAAGCGCAAATCGAAGGGGCAATGAAGCAGTGTAAGACCTGTGTGCCCAGAATCGGTGGTATCCAGCGGTAATGCCAAGGCCAGTGAGGAAGTAGTAAAGCACAGACCAGATGGCCGTCTTCATCTGCAGCTCAGTTGTCAATGCGCCGTAAATGCCAATCATTGGCACCACGACAAGAAGTGGTATGTGCAGCCAGTTGAGGTGCTGGTACCAATTGCTGGTGGTCCATGGCTGGTCAATGATGTGTGCGGGTGCGGCCTTTGTAATGCCTGCGCCAGCAAGAATGCCAGCATCCTTGTCAATGGGCTTGTCGACGCCGCCATCGACAGGGGTTTCAGTGATGTCCATAGGCTTAGGGACCTGGTTGATATCGGTCATCTTTGAAGATATGGCGAATGACTATATAATTGAGGGGCCCTGTCGCCTTCTTATATACACGGTCGCGTCCCTTCGAGTTTGCCACACTGCCACCTGGTCTGTCCCCTGCTGGCCCTGTTTGGCTGCGTGTCCCTGAGCCTTTGGCCTCGTCGTCGCCTGGCTCGAGGTGTTGGGATCGCGCCTGGCCAATCAGATCCCCTCGAGTTTGCGATCCAGGGCTCGGCTATTTTCGGGCGAGACTCAGGCAAAGTCAAGGCCAAGACAGCGTGGGCTAAGATCAAGATATAGTCAAGCTATACGTTGACTAGGCTGACTATGCTGACTAGGCTGACTATGCTCAGGTTGCTGACATGGTACTAGCAACTATACTAGTGGCATAAATATCAATTGACCTCCTACTTATGATGATGCTAGACTATTCACCTGCTTGTCACACGATCAACCCAGTACTGAGCTTGAGGCTAGCAGTTGCAATTGCCAGCGCCTTGTACTCGGTACCGGCCTACGCTCGAGGTCCATCTTAAAACGCGTGTACGATGTACAGAGTACAGTCAATACTGCCCGCACGAGCGGCAGCACCGTAATTCGAAAGGCCAGCCCACGCAAACGTCACCGGTTTCACGGTTTCACCCGCACTCTTTGACAGCTCCTCCCGAGGTCTCGCCACGCGGGAGAATATAACCTCGAGCAGATCTATTCTTCAGATGGCCTAACTACACAGTGGCAACACTGGCAAGATATCTTCTCATGTTAAGCATCACCTGCAGAAGCCGGTGGAGTCGTCTCAATGTCAACCACAGGGGCCAAATTTGCTGATGCACCTGCAGTGACGGGCGGCGAGGTGTCATTCATGATGGATTCGTCAGGCCATGAAGCCGCAACGTCCTGCTCAGTCGCAATGACAGGCTCAACCGTCTCCCCAATTTGAAGCAGACCAAGATCATGCTGCGCCATTACCTCTTCCTCTTCCGCTTCATTCGCTCCATCAGCCAAACGCATCGATGTACGTGCCTCGCGCCTTCGCGAGTCCATAGGCACAACAGTTTTCGGCTTGCACAAGGTGAAAGCGCGATTCAGCACCTCCTTGCGCGTAATCTTCACCACTTTGGCTTCCTTGATTTTGTTGCGCCGAACAGTCGATGCGCTAGGCGATGCAGGAGGTGCACCTAGTGTATCTGCCTGGTTGTTCTCATTGTTGTCCTCAATGCCCAGCTCTGCATCAGTCATGTCATCCACAAAGTTGTAGAGCGAGATATAGCAATCAATAATCACATCATCCACTTCAGCCGTTTCATAAAGTCCACCGTTCAATTTTCGCAAGTCATACAACTCGCGCATGACAAAGAGGGAAGGCTGAATAAAGTCTGGGATGCTGACGACTTGTTCCAAGCGTTTCGCCGCCGGCACAAACTCATCGCTCATCAATGACTCCAAAAAGGCCTCTTGTAGGCCGTTTTCCACTTCATTGACATCCAACATCATTGTAATGTATTGCATACACATCTCCTCCCATACTTGCTTGTGATCCAGAATATTGGCCATCGCTTTACGCGCACGCCTCATAAAATTCTTTAGACCTTCGATATCGCCTTGCTTGACGAGCAGGTCAACATACATCATGGTGTAGCGTTTCGCATAAACGAAATGCCGACCCGGTCGTTCCGTCTCTGGTCGCCAGATGCTGAGCAGATTTCCGCCAGATCCCTTGACGGTGAATAAACTTTCCAAGCATGCTTGTGCCAGTCTTTGTGGTGTTGCCTTGACATCCTCCTCAAGCTCAAATGAACCATAGCCTTCCAGTAATAGTTGCGCTTGTCTGTGGATCGGGCGATGATGCCATTGCTTCTTGTCTGAAAGTCGAATCGCTTGAAGCGTTTTAACAATGACTTCCATCACATCGCGTTTTGTAAAAACCTCCTCATCCGTCAATGGCAAGAGATCTGCAGTGAAGGGCGTGTCTCGGAGGTATTCAATCGCCACAGGAATCGACACATCGTCCGTCAGTACATACTTGGCCACACTGGACACGAGACGAAAGTCGGGCTCAATCAAAGGTCCATAGAAGCTAGAGGTTGAACCTCGCTCTGGTGCTTCTTGAATGGCCTTGACGAAGTCATCCAGCGCAACGGTCGGTGGTAAATTGAGTTTTGCGTGTGCTTTGCCAAGCAAGAGATGACACGTCCATTTGACTGAACACGATCTCGATGCCCTCGACAAACACTTGCACGCAACACGCAAAGCCATGGGCAACGTCACGCCAGCAACTTGCTCTTCTCGGGGAGACTCAAAGCCTCGCTGGAGATAACGCGATGCATGCCGCTCAAAGACGCACATCTCAAATGGGCCGCGCGCAGCACTGTAGATTTGCAAGCCAAACTCGTAGAGAAGGTCGCAAAAGCCCACTTCAGTCAAACCGCTATCTTCTTCGCCGCGTCTAGATTGCTGAATGGCAATACTGACAGCCATCATCGAGCAAAGGAGAGCTGATTTCCGTAAATCGCAAATGGTCTTTTTATTGGCCACGATGCGTTCGGCATCAGACGATACCTCATGGTCGGCGAGAGCGCCGTATGCAAACGCCAGTGATCGCCAGCTCTCCACGCGTCCAGGTTGTAATGTGAGATCCCAGTGAAGGTAGTATCGCGCCGAGTCCAACTCATCGAAACCTTTGCCTGGTGTTTGCTTGTTGCGAGTCTTGTACAAACTCATGTGTATCCGAGCAAGAACGAGGTTGATGTCGCGATAGCCAGTCCATGCATCCATAGAGACGTCTGAGGGCTGAGAGACTTCCTTGAAAGGGAGCAATACGCCGCCAGTCAAACACTGCATAAACTCCTTGGGCACGATCTCACTGTCCAAAAACGCATCTAGAATGCTTTCGTTGCGCAGACGCATCTCATCCAACTTTAACGGTGGCCATAGCTTGTCGTGCACTTTTTGCAAGGCGGAACGCAAATCATTCTTTGGTAGCCAGAGTCCAGGACTGCGTTCTGTAACCATGGTAAAGAAGAATGGTGTAATGCGCGCAGCACTCTCTAAAGACAGTTCAATGGGCACGGCGCTATGCTCCCATGGCCAGAAATTGCCAACAACAAAGCCAAGGTCATACCGACAATGAAATACCTGAACAAGGTCATTCTCCATTTCGACGCGGTTGAGACGATAGATTTCATCCTCAAGCAGCGCCAGCAACAGTCCATCCGCCAACGAACAGTATCGACGCGTGCCAAGCTCTTCGTGAAGTGTGCTGAGCAATGCGCCAAGCTGTACACCTGCATCAGCAACCTTGCGCGCTTCCAAAGCTCGAGCAAAGAATCGGTAAGTGATGACCCAGAATTCAACGAACCGCCGACGCAGCAAGTCTCTACACTCGACCCAAACCTCGCCATCCCTCAATGCATCATCGTTCTCTGCCATGTAATCATCGTGGTAGGCAGCAACCATACATAAGGTGCCAAAGGTTGTTAATGCTTGCATGCAGCGGACACACTGCTCGAATGTAAGTGTGTCGAGCATGTGTGAATTGACAAGATGAGCAACATGGCCTACCACTTCGCCACATCGGTGCATCATCTGCAAAACGGCCTGTTGCCTTGCTGGCCGCAGTAGTGTCTTGTAGTCTTGCTGAAATAATGAGGCATTGAGCTGCTCAAGTGAACATAGCGAGATGTAAACGCCCTTGGCTTGATCTCCTTGAGCAAAGCACGCATCAGCGAGCCACTGCCATAATTGTGAACGAAAGGATGTAGGAGCGTGCTGTAAGTACTGAGAGACGAGAAGATCTTTTCCAGACAATTCGCCATTCGGCAGTAAGATTGGCTCAAGCTCGGATAGCAGACGCTCATGATGACCGGTCGCATGATAGCCAAACATCTCGTCAAAGAAGCCCATTGTCTTGAACTTTTGAATTTCGAGATCGAGTGTGTTGCTGTCGACATGCTGCATTGCAGCGACATTAGGTAGCACAATTCTAGTCTCGCCAATCATGCCGCGGAGGCTCGTCAAGTCGTCGATGAGATCTTCTGGCGTGGCACCAGACAATTGACTTAGGAGTACACGAGCCCAAGCAAAGCGGCATTCCAGATTCGCACGTCCTGGCGAGAGGCAAAGCAAGAGGCGAACCTGTCCCGACCATCGCTGCGCTGATGCCAAGATGTCATGAGCGCATTCCTGTCGATCAGATTCGACGAGCGCTAGTCTCTGCTCTTCAACCAATTGATCCAAGCGCAGCTCAAGGATAGCCTGTGCAAAGTAAATGGCATCTGTCGAATCACTCTGACCTCGTTCGACTGAGAATTGAGCCTGCTTAACTTGACGCAGTAGAAGCAATTCATCAGCCATGGAAATTTTGCGCACCACGGCGAGAAGTTGAGTAGACCACGTCCCAATTAGGTACGAGGAAGACTCTGACGCAAGTAGCCCGTGTAACCAAGAGACACCCAAAGCTCGAAGAGGTGTTGGTTCACGATCGAGCAGAGGCAAAAGTGCTGACGGCATCGAGCCTTCAGTCTGCTCCACTCTTCTAATGTCTGGAAAAGCCAACATCATGCTCGCGGCGAATGAGTCTCCAGCAGCAGTATGCGTCATTTCCTTGCTGGCTTCGTAGAGCGGTTCAGACCAGTCGTTGTAGAGGAATTGTTTCAAGTCCTCATATGCACTGGTGGGCGACTCAGTCGTGTCATCGCCATTCAACGGCGGACTCGCATCAAGAGCAAGAAAGTCATTGAAGTGAACATCAATTGGATCAAACAAGCGATGAAGCCACTCTGTAAAGAAGAGTTGCCCTTGAGCGCCAGTAAGATTCATGGCAACTTTGACGCGCTTCGGACTTGGTGGCAGCTCCTGCTCGGGAACCTCATCCTCTTCTCGTTGCCGTTTATCTGGTGAAGCTGCTTGCTCCGCGTTTTCGGCATGCTCCAAATCGGGATGGTCATCGGCAGCAGGTGTTTCAGTCGTCACAAGGGCTAAATGCTCCTCGGGCGCAACTTCATCCTCAGTAATATCGTGTAACTTGGCGTGAGGCTGATCTGACTCCAATTGAGCACTTTCCGCAAGTTGCGCCGTTTCTGGTCTTGTCATTTTGTAGAGTCGAACGCCAGCAGGCGGCAGTGACTCTTGCTCACTGTAATGCTGTAGCAGCAAATTGCCCATAGACAGAGCAGACATGTCCCGTAATTGTAAAGGAGTGAAATTGGCAAGGCGATCGTGCTCTTCACCGTTTGACTTGATGACCAGACGATCGGACATTTCTGCGTCGCCGACTTGATGAATGCAGTCCACCAGCTTGACCAGCTTTGAGCGTACCTCCTCCGCATATGGATCAGCAGCATTGTGCCAGAACAGACCACGCGTCGCTGTTTCTGCTATCGCTGTGCTCTCTAGCAAAGACTCTAGAGCAACACGCTTGACGCGCACATCATTCAATTTGTCGCCTATCTCCAGTGTACGTCTCCAAAGAACCGTATCGTCCGGGTCAAAACTCAGTGCAGTCGCGTACGAGGCGAGGACGTTTTGAAAGACATTACAGGCCTGATCCTGCGGGTGTTGCTGCAGTTCAAAGCGTTGCAAGAGTAGCGTCGCATGATTACGATAGACCAGCGCAGGGAGCTTTGCAGCGCTCGATTGGAGTGCATCGGGCCCTTCACGCCGAGATGCTGTTGTAGGCTGCGCGTGTGATTAGCTGTTGCCCTTGATACATTGTTTAGCTGCCTACCTTGTCGGCATCTTGCAGGATGGACGATGCAATCAACTGTTCATACGCGATTGCTGCATCGTCTAGATCGCCTCTGTGATGCGCCTTGAGGGCCTCCTGGTAGAGCTTGACTGCATTCTCGAGCTCGACCTCGCGAATATGTTCCTCGCTGTCGCGTTAGCCTTGGCAAACCATGGTGTAGGGAGCAGTACATTTCATGCTCAGTCTCTTCTGGCTTGTTGATTGGATTGAAGCTCTAGTAGGTCAGCATACTTCCTCATGACTTGGGCGTGCTTGCCATTCATGTGTGTCCCTGGCTCGCTCGCTGGATGCGGGATCGCGCCAAAGACAAAACAGCAGCAGCAGCATCCACACAACCACACAGCACAGCAGCGTCATCACCGTTCGTCAAGCTGCAGTGCCAACAATCCGCAGCGTGTGTCCTTCTGTCGCTCTGATCTAGGCTCCATCGACTTTGCTCCCACTCCGGCGCAAGCATGTCGCAGAATGAGTTCCTCAAAAACACGCCAGAATTCATAGAGACCAACCTACAGGAGAGCTTGCTCGCACGCCAGGAGAGCAGTGCAGCCTTCAAGGAACTCGGCCCACCAGATCTCGTGCATCTCGCCAAGTCCAGTGGGCGACCCAATGCAAAAGATGTGGGGTCTTACCATTTCGTTACGGGTGTGGATGCCTCTTCCTCTGCATCCCTGGCTGCCTATCTCAATACATTGACGTATGCACTCGGTGAAGGAAAGTACAGTGGCAAGTCTGGTGGTTGGCGCATCGCTACAGGTATCTACTGCTGCTACAATGCCTTTTCTCGCGTGGACATGCGTGTCGAGGTGAAATTCCCAGGCAAGACGGAGGCCTACAGTATAGATGATCGGGGCACCAAGCACGAGAATCCAACAGCCGAGATGTGGCTAGAGACGTACCTGTCTGCAGTGGTGCGAGCGATTCTTTATTCAGACGATGCAACGTATCGCCTGACGGGCTGGCGAAAGCTCGACCCTGTACCAGACCTCGACAGCGAGACGCGATTCTTGGAAGCTGCTGAAAAGTTGTTTGAGAATGGCTGGCAGCTTGGCAGCGATCCAGACGTGCAAATTGCAACCTCAACGACAAATCACTTGACGTCTGCCTTGCTGCAGTACTTTAGATACACAGGTCGCGGACTCAGCGCTGTCAATCTGTTTGAGAAGCTGCGAGAGCGCAATCCAGAAGTCTCTACGTTGTTGGTGAAGGCCTATCTGGACATGGACGAGGAGATCAAAGCCGTCAACCTCATGTGCGATGCCTTGCTCAAAGTCCCTCTCAACTATGCGCTCTTGGATGTTCAGTGCGACTATCTCATGCAAAAAGGCCGCGGCGATCTCGCGCTACAAATCGCAAAACGCGCCGTCAACTGTGCACCTAGTGAATTCAGCTCTTGGGCTCGCCTGACTGAAGTCTACATTCTGCTCGACGAGTATGAGCAGGCTCTCCTCACACTCAATGCCTGCCCAATGTTTACATTCTACGAAAAGGACAACTATCGACTTCCTGTTGCCAAGACTGCGTCATTGCCAACACCGCCTGCAGCAGACACGGATGAGATTGCCAATGAAGTGAATGTCGCGTCTAGTGATGCCGATCAAGCACTCCTGCGGCTACCAGCACCAGCACTTCGTGGAACATTTGCACGTGCCTATGAGCTACTCACGAAGCTTGTTACAAAAGTTGGTTGGGATGCTTTGCTCAAGTCACGGTCACAAGTTTTTGTGATGGAAGAAGAGTATCGTTCACAAAAGGCACCTGCAGCAGGCAGTGTCTCTGTCAATGGCACAACACACGCAGATGATGATGAAGATAAACCAGATGAGGTGACCTTGGCTGAGCCTGTGATTGCACACACAGCGAGTGAGGAAGAAAAGCCAGAAGGCAGTCAAATCAAAGCTGAACCACAACCCAGTTTCCAGGATAAACGCCTGTGTGAGCGCTGGCTCGACAACTTGTTTATGGTGCTGTATGAAGATCTTCGCGTCTACACCATTTGGCGTGCAGAATCAACGCACTTCAAATCGCAAAACTTGAGTTACCGCAAGACGGGGCTTGAGTGGGAGATTCTCGGTGATTTGGCATGGCGTCTTCAACACGAGCAAGAGGCGGAGGAAGCCTATCAAGCTGCAGTGGAACAACAATTCAGCATCAAGGCTTGGCGTCGCTTGTTGGAGATTTATCAAGACCGGAGTGACTATGAGAATGCCTTGACCTGCGTGGTCAAGTCTACGACGCAGCAGCACCGATGGTATCAAGAGTACTCGCCTGAGCTACTTCGACGTATGCGGCGTATGATTGATGATGAGGGACTTGTCAAGGTGCAGAATGTGATTGCCAGCAAGACACTGCCGAGGCCGGCCTTGGATCTCATGAACCGCTACTTCTCATTCGCTGTGCGGTTCCAGGTAGAGGGTGCTGCTGTGGCAAGCAATTAGCTATATCTATATAGTTGCCCAGTCTGATAGAGCCCGGCAGAATAGACTGTCGGATCTGTGCACTTTTGATGTAGTCCAGGCCTCGTGTCGGGTCTCTTTCTCCACTTTCGCTTCCTCACGCGCAGAAAAGCAAACGGCGACACTCGACTGTGACCAGCATCAGCCTGTATTCTACAGCGTCAGCCCTCTCAGCTGTAGGCCCGGTCGTTCCAATAGCAGCAGGACAATCAGCGGATAGATTTCACAGAACTTCTCCGAAGAGTCATTAACATTTTGGACCCTTGGGTCACCGTTGCACCAACCCAAAGTGTACGCACAATGATACCTTCTCGCATCGCCTATGCGCTCCGGCCCAACTTCCACAACGCCATCTTCTCTCGTCCGCCGGCAAAGCTCCGTCCTACAGCCTGGTTGGATGGTCTACGTGGTGTTGCGGCATTTATGGTTGTCGTACATCACTGGGCGGATTGTTCCCATCCAACAGCGAGTCATGGCTTTGGACATATTGATGATCCCTTTGTGGATAGAGAATGGATCAAACTACCCATTATCCGACTTCTCTTCAACTCGGGCCACGCAAACGTCGCTCTCTTCTTTTTGATTTCAGGATTTGTGCTGAGTTACAAGCCCATCGAGCTCATTCACAAGCGTAAATTCGACGCCCTGCATGCAAACCTTTCGTCTACTCTGCTGAGGCGACCTGCAAGACTTTGCCTCCCTGCATTTGTCATCACTTTTTTCGTGTGTCTTATTGTGCGGCTGCCAATACATAACAGCACAGGCCTCTTTACGTACTACATTCCGCCAAAACCAACGTTGCTCGCACAGCTCTGGGACTGGTTCACTGATCTGCCAACCTTGCCAGATGCGTTCACCTGGGACATGATTGTTTGGCTCAAATATCACGCTCATTCTTGGACACTCAATGTTGAATTGCATGGTTCGCTCTGGGCAATCATGGTGTTGCTGGCTACATCGCGACTCAATGTAGCGCCTCGCATGATTCTCATCTCTCTATGGTGCATCTACTGCCTCACGCAAATCAAGTACTTCCCGTTCCTCTTTTGTGCAGGCATCTTGCTGGCTGAAGCATGCCACATAATGGGCCCGCCTCGTGATTTCCAGAAGCAGGCTTCCAAGGATCTCGAGACGAGTGCCTTGGGCTTTGATAGGGAGGATCAACTGAGTTGGCACGATATTGGTCCGCTTGAGACCATCACTTACTACTTCAATCTGCTTGTTGGTTTGTTCCTGGTTTCTGCGCCAAATCACTCCCCTCAAAACAAGGCATACTGGTGGTCTGACATTTGGATCCGTATGCCCATCTTTACTGGACTTGAGAACACGGATCGCGACAAGCAAAGGACACTCATCTCAATTGGTGCCTTTTTGATTGTTTCCAGTATCTTTCGACTCCGCAATATTCAGCGGCTGTTTGAGAATGGATTCTGCCAGTATCTCGGTCGTCTCTCCTTCTCCATCTACCTCATTCACGGACCCTTCCTCTACACCTTTGGACAATCCTTCATTGTTGCCATGTGGACAGTCTTTGGCGTTGGCAACTTTGCAGAGGGTCGGTTCAGTGATGAACGGACGGCACACTGGGCTACGTATGAGGTTGCGACGTTCCTGGGATTGATGATTCAGATGCCGTTTATCCTCTGGCTATCTGATATCTTTGAGCGGCTGGTGGATGAGCCGTGCATGCGATTGACGAAACAGTGGGCCGATCACTTCACCATCAAGGAAGAGAGTGACCGTCGATAGTTTCTAGGTGCGTAGAGTGTAGCACATAATAGCTGTGTATGTGACTGTGGTTCTGCGGCTTCGGGAGCGGCGCGGGATGAAGTAGCAGTCACAAATTGGCTGAAATGATGCGCCACCAGATTTGACAGGAAACAAAAAAAACATTCCAAGCGCAGCAGGATTTGTATACATCAAGACTCAAGACACCAAGACACCAAACGTGACCAAAGCACATACCATATACATCCCCTACACAAGGGCCCGACTCTCATTCAACCGTCCAACACACTTCACGACCACACAACCAAAACCGCCATGCCTGCCTCGAAGCGCACACTCATTGCCGCATCGGCCTTGGCAACACTCACTTGCCTCTTTGTCTTTAACGGCGTCTTCCCAACAGTCGCCGTACAGGATGTCACAGACGCAGCCCGAGTATTTGAACAAGACGCGCTTGCAGCCTACCATCAGGCCCTTGTATACAGCACGCCAGAGACACATCTCCCAAGCTACCCGACACGTAGCAACGGACGTAAACAAGTGCCGATGCACAGAAACCCACGTCCACCTGTCTGGGATGAGCTGCCGGTTCGTATGGATGCAGACCCGCTTTCTCCCTCTGCAGCTCAAGAGACCATCCCTGTCAATCCACTCCCTTCACCCACTGCTGTTGCGCCGCTGCAAAGTGAGCCGAGTGCGTTGCAAGAAGACAGACAAATACTACACTCTGCAGAGGAGGTCACTGCGCCATTCAGCAATAACGAAGCGGCGGAAGCATCAGGGCCTCGCGATTCAACGGTCGTGTACAACGTTACACCAGAGGATCTTGAGGATTTCGTCGCTATGGCGGGTGAAGGCGCCAGCTTTGCCTTTTGAAAGGATTTCATCAACCAACGATAACACACAACAAACATGGCCTTAGAAGCCCATACGTTCACTACACCGACAATCATTTGCATAGGCACTAGACCATATAGACTTTACTAATCCTAATCATCCTTACAAAAGGACAAATACCAAAAGCAGCAGGACAAGCGAGTCGTCGATTGTCCGTGAGACGGAAGCGGCGGCACCATTGGAGCGAGTCGTGCTCCCTTGAGAGAATCCGCCGACCCCATTTTGCGAGCTTGCTGTGTTTGTCACACGTGTACTAATGGAATCAGACGGTTGCGTTCCTGAGATACCATCACCACGCTGAGCATCGCCACCTGCTGTTCCGATATTGGCTTGGATGGGGGAGTTGCCGATCCCAGCAGCACCAGTGATAGCAATGCTGCTGTTGACAAAAGTGGGTGCAGAGATAGTTGAAGGTGTGGCGAGCAAAACAGGGACAGCCGTACGATTCAGTCCAGTTGCCACAAAACTTGCAAGTGTTGTCGTGTCACTCGTCAACTCAATATCACGAGCCAGGAACAAGGTCGAATCAGGGCGCCAACGATAACTGGTCTTGCCTTGCACAATTCCCGCTGAGGCAGGAGGCGGTGCACAATCAACAGTGAGAGACTTGACAGACATGGCAAAGAACCCTTGCTCTTGAATCTCCTGCGATGTCTGATCAATGGGTCCACCCGCCCATTCGACCGTTCCGGGTGCTTGTGTTGGACCACCACCAGGCCAGATAGACAATCCGATTCTCGCTGGTGTTTGTGGGAACATGAAGATTTTGCTCGTTGCATTATAGGTCTCTGTGCGCTTCAAGACACGCACAATACTTCCATCCACAGACCACGTAATTTGATCTTCCTGCCAATCAATCGCATAGGTGTGCATCGACGCAGATGCATCGCCATTGATCTTGCCAATACCACCATTGGTGTAATTGAGCACTTGTTGCCAATAGTAATTGGTTTGCGCTTCCTGCAAAACCACATCCCCTCTCTTCTGATCACCACCAATCCACTCCGTGTCAATCTCATCCTTGACATCCGACATGGTTATGAATGCCGATACAACACCTTGACCACGACTCGTTTGCAGCGTTGCAGAGACCTTGCCATACCATACATACCGCGTCGTTGTCAACACACTACCAACAGAATCGGCAGGCATTCTCAGCTGTATGACACCATCGCTGATTTGAATGGGCCCAGAGGACGTGAAATCCGTGGCTCCTGCGTCTCCCAAGTACCCAGATCCATTATCGACCCGAGCAAGCGAGGAGAACGAATACGACTGCGATTTGCAAATCGGCATAGGCATGCATGAAGCAATACTGAAGGAAAGTCGTGGATCACAGCCACCTAGGCAGTACGACCCTGTCCCGCATTGTCCGTAAGGTGTGCAGCATGGTGCTGATGCTGGGCATTTGCTGGTCAGACAAGAGGACAGTGATGTGTTTTGAGCCCACACTGAAGAGATGACGAGCAATGTAGCTGTGAAGAATGAAGGATGCATAGCGAGGACAGTGGAGGAAGGAAGGACAGGATATAGGGTTGTTCAGATGGTTGTACGCACAGGCTCGCCCAAAGCGTCACGTTACGCCACTGAGCTCTGTTTGAACGCAGTGAGTGCTTTGAATGCAGTCTCAAATGTCTCTAGCAACGTACCCGTCGGTTCAAGCCCAACAGAGACACGCACAAGTGCCTGATCCACACCCCACGTCTCGGCCCACGGTAATTCCGTGAAATGTGCCAATAGCGTGTACGGCGATGACAGTGTAAAGTTTGTGCCAAGTGATGGACCTTTGCAGGTATGCAGAGCATCGTAAAACACAGCAGCTTCTTCGACAGAGTCAAAAGTAATACTCAAGAGGCCACCATAGCCGCCGTCAGGCGCTTTGATAGCTTCATAGTTGGCGCTTGTTTCGCCATACTTTGGGTAGTGCAGCGCTTTGATGTCTTGTTTCAGCACGAGCTCACATAAAGCTTCTGCATTCTGGTTGATGCGTTCAATACGACTGATGAAATCACGACTATTGCGCTCGAGCGTGACGGCATCCTCGACCCACAAGTTGTCTTCGTACGTCTTGGTGAGTTGATCTTTGAGTTGTTTGTAGAATAGTGCTTTGGCACTGAGGATGAATGAACCACCCATGACATTGGAGTCTCCAGAGAAGACCTTTGTCAGGGAAGAGACAATGATGTCTGCATACTGACAAACGCGAACATTGATGAAATTGCCAATTGTCTCGTCAATGACAATCAAAAAGCCATACTGGTCTGCCAATTCTCGGAGCTTCTTGAGTGGCGGTGTACGCAACAATGGGTTCGAGGGACACTCACAGAAAAGAGCCAATAGTCGCTCGCCTCCTGCAAGCATAGCCTCGAGCTTGACCAGATCTTGCGCATCGCCGCGACCGAAGAAGTGTGCACCAGGTCCCCATTTTTCGAGAATCTTGAGGGTGTCGGTATATGGAAACCCGAAACAAGCAGACTTGCGTTGAGAGCCGTCCGGTAAAGCGCTGAGAGCAAGCTGATGAGCATGGAAGATGGATGTCATGCCTGTTGGGAAAAGGTAAACGTCGTCGACACCGACGCGCTGGTGAGCAGGCGATTCTTCTTTAGCTTCCAGTGCCACTTCGGGCGAATCAGTCAAGGTTAACGAACCAGCAATCCGCCGTCGCACAGCAAGTTTTGCTTGCTCCACACTTTGCAAATTGAGATTACGGCCGTAGCGTTCTTCAAGATAGGTCAATTGGTCGCGGTTGAGCGTTTCCGCATCTCCAGCGGCTGCTGAGCTGCTATGCCGCGTAATGGATTTGTCTGTGGACGGCTGACGGCTGTAGTGTCTGTTGCTTCCGCCTTTTTTGAATTCAACAGTATCTTTTGGTTGTGCTTGATCTACTTGACGCAGATAATAGTCCGCTTGCCTTGAAGAGATGCCCTCACCTGTGTGCTGCCAGTACTGCTTGGCCAAGGGGAAGAGAGAGGCCTCATAAAGCACCACACACAATGAACTTCCACCAGCATGACGCAGTGCAGGTGATAGATCATGCAATTCTGCCACACGCACTTTTGCCTCACTGCACTTGTCGAGTATGAACAGGCGGCATCGCTCGGCACATGCCATGCTCGGGAACAACATGGCTGCTTCACCAGGTTTACCGAAGCGCGTCACGCACCGTTCAGCGAGTTTTGCGATGTTTTTAGCGATAAAGAAGCGTGGATAGCCACACTGCATCTTGCTGACGACCCAATCTGCGCCTTCTTCGTAGCCGACGTTGGCTGCCCATGTTGGGAGAGTGACGGAGATGGCATGTGGAGTATTGCCGGGGATAGGCAGCCCTGTTTCTGTGGGTATGGCAGGCATCTCCTGGCCAGTCAATCTGCTCAGCTGCAGCCGGTAGCCTTGTGTTAAGTTGTGTAGTTTGATCAGCCGATAAAAAAGTTGAAGACGCGACAGACCGCGACCTAGAAGCTACATCTATTCCTACACTAGCATTGTTATGGGCTCTCAGGCCCTTCCAGCAGAAGCTGATGTTCATATGATCATCTCAGACGTTGATGGGACTCTGCTCGACTCGGACCACAGACTTCACCCGAGAACGTTCCATGCACTCCAATGGCTTCGTAAAAACAGGCCTTCGCTGCCAATCGTCATAGCGACAGGCAAGCAACGGACGAGTGTCATAGAGATTCGGGAACCTCTCAATTTAGATGTCTTTCGGGCTTCTCATCTTAATGGGTGCGTTGTCTATAACCCAGGTGGCGTTGTTGCTTCAGAGGTCGGTCTCGACAAGGATACACTCATTCAATTGTACCGCCAATTCTCAGCAGCTGGCATTTCTACTTTTTTCTATGATCGCGAAAAGGTTTATGAAGTGCAAGGAACAGATGGTCCGATCTGGGGTGACAAATTACGGGGATACGGCGAGTCAGTCGTCTCTGTGGATGAATCCTTTGTACAGCAAATACAGGATGGCAGTGTGACCATCATCAAAGCTGCTATTTGTCAAAAAGCTGGGCCTGAGCTTGAACAGTCTCGTGGATGGCTGACGCAACAGTATGCACACAATGCCTTTACCATGGTACAGGCGCTCCCCTTTTGCATTGAACTCATCCCTACCACTGGCTCAAAAGGTATTGCACTTGCCAAGATACTCGACTTGCACGAGCCCAAGATTCAAGCCAAAAACGTCCTGTCATTCGGAGACGGCCAGAATGATGTTTCCATGTTTGAAATTGCTGGGTATGCGGTTGCCATGGCCAACGCAATGCCAGCGGCTGTTGAAGCGAGTACCCATCGGACCCTGAGCAACGATGAGGGGGGCGTGGGTGTATTCTTGGAGCAGCTGTACGGCTTTACTTATGAGGAGAAGCCATATGACTACTGGCTGTAATGAAATAGATGGATTAGACGAATCATAGACAGATGGTACGGCTGAAGAGCTCCAATGCCAAGCTGATGCAGCATTGTGTGATGGCAGGATCATATCGGCCCTTCTCATCTTCATCGCGAACAAATGCATGCTGTGCGTTGGCCAATTCCAACCAGGTAAAGCGAACGCCTGCGTTATCGAGTGTGCTGCGGATTAGATCGCGACCATCACGCGGGACATGGTTGTCGAGCTTGCCAAAGATAAGCAGCATCTCGACATCCTTGCCAATGTGTCCTTCCTTCGCCAGCCTCAGAGAATCATCACCATTTGGCGATAGTGTGCCTGAGTGGATGTCTGTACCAAAAAAGGTTACAATGGCAGACACTCGCGGGTCTTTGAATGCACGGAAGGCAAGATGGCCGCCATAGCAGATGCCTGTAGCTCCCACTCGACCATTACACTGTGGCAAGGCAAGTAATGTATCGACCGTCAAGCGCAAGTCTTCGTCGGTGGCCTCCGATTTCTTGGTGAGCTTCAATTCATTACCCAGCTTGGTGTCTTCGGCATCATACCGCATCTCGCGAGCACCTTCAGACTCATGAAAGACACATGGACTGGCTACAAGGAAGCCCTCGCCTGCGAGACGACGACAAAGACGTTTGACTGGGCCAGTTACCTGGTATATCTCGCTGAAGACGATGAGAGCAGGGAATTTGGCAGTAGAGCCATTTTGTAGCTTTGGTGTGAACAGATGCACACGCATGTCATTGGAAGACGTTTTCACATCGACAAAGCTGTCCTGTATGAGCATATCGACAAAGGCCTGTTTGGCTAAAGGACAGGACTGGCAAGAGGTGTGTTGTCGACCAGCTACAATTCAGATAAGAAAGCTGTCTGGCCTTTTGTGTTTTGCAGTGACGCCGCATCCTTTCTAGCGCAACACACACATCTCAAATTAGATCTCGGATGTGGCCGTGCCCAGGCCGCGTCTTCTTGCTGCCGGACATTGGTCATATGCATGCTGTGGTTAAGATTGGAGAGCACATGTTACCTAGCACACAAGGAGCTTTTCAGGAGAACAACCTCAGCAACTCAGCGCTGGCGCTACCCTGCTACAATCAGGGGATCCCACTAAGCTCTCGATATCTTGATACCGGTATAAGCTCTACTCTCGAAGCTGGTTGTTGCATGTTTTGTGAAGCGCAAGCTGAGCGCATGACAGCTCACTCACCGCTAGCGCTGTTTCCGAGAAGACTTGCATCTTTGAGCAGTTGTGCACTACTGTTGCAACCGGGAGCAACTTGACGCGCATGAGGCCGTGGCTACGCCATGCGCGTCAATCCCTTGTCGCTTGATTTCCATTACGCTTCTTCAAGCCATGAAACTGTACTGTGCAGCTATTAGCTTTGTATGTGTTTCACGAAGGCTGTGGCACAACATCAGGTACGTAATAGACTCACTGAAACAGTCTATGACGCGCTGTGTCTCTTGGTTTGCCATACGTGCGGAACAACAAAACAAACAGTCTATGTGGTTCGCCCGCTGAGCAGATGGCCTAGACCTATGCTTGGTGCATTTGTGATCACTCAGGAGGCATGAGGTTGTGTAAGGAGGCAAGTCGCTCTGCGCAACCGTATCCGATTTCCGCTCCCTACTTGTGCGCTCTCCATTCATAAGAGGACGCGGCTTGGAAAGTGGACTGCAAGAACCATGCCTGTCATTCGAACAGAAACCAAGGCAGCGCCATTGCAGTACAAGCTTCGACCACGAAAATCCAAAAGCCTAGCTGTACCCAGCTCTTCCGACAGCGAGGGCCGCGAAGAGGGTACAGCAAGCCCGAGTGCAAGCGACCCTGAAGTGCAAGAATCAAAGGCCAGCAGCGACGATGATGAAGATTCAGCCGTCAAGCCTGTCCGTCCTTCCAGGCTTGACCCTATCATGGCCGGCGCTGCACGTCATGGCAGTGTACGTGAAGCTGGTGCTCCGGAATTCTCCAAGATCTATTACCAAGTTCACGTCTACGACCAAGAGGGCAAGCAGCAGGATGTGTCGTTTCAGGCGAGTTTGAGCCGCGGATTCTTCCGCGCCAGAGGTGATTGGACGTGCTATCGACGGTAAGAAATTGGCTTATGGTACAAGTGCTGATCAGCAGGAACTACATCACTGTGTCTGTGCAACTCGTCGACTTACCCCAGCCTTTGCTGTTGTACAATGGTCAGACATTGGAGCACTTTGGATTCAAATTGTCCGGCTGCACTTGCAGGGACCCGCCTGAGCCTATTGACCTGATTCAGCACACTGCAAAGCGAGACAAAGGCCCTCAAGACCAGCCAGAATTCCGACCTATTGAAGCGGCCGAGTTTCAAACTCTGTGGGACCGTATCCAGTTCCGCACGGCTACTGCCAACAATGGCAAGAAACAAGAGCAGCAACAGTACTTCTCTCTACGCGTTAGTCTGATGGCCTATGCTACTGGAAACAATCTGCCTGGTGCTTGGGTGGAAATTGCCGCTCGCTACAGTGACCCTTTGGTGGTACGTGGCCGATCTCCTGGACACTACAACGACCCTCACGATCGACCAGCCTCATCTGTGTCTCCTGAACAACCGCAGGCTCGCGTCGTGCGTCCAACGCGAGCAAAACGTCCTCATCAGCCCATCGCACCACGTCCTCCACAACCGGCACCCACGTACGCAGGTCCAATTATGATGGACGCAGTGCCAGCTCTTCGGCAGGCCATTCGACGTGGTGAGCCGTATCCTGTGCCAAGGCACGTTCATCTAGTCTATGCTGGAAATATGCGCTTGCCAGCTGAGCAGTATGTAAGCTCAAGGACTCCACAGGATCACGGCAGACCTGTGCATCAAACAATGACGCTCCCTCTGCCGCCACCACCGCCCATGCAACTACAACTCCCACCTTTGCGATTGGAAGGCTCTGGTAGCAACGAAGGTTCACGCTTGCCTACCTATGATGAGGTCATCCAAGGATCCAAGTCGCCTCGCAGTGGCACTGAGCATTCGACACCTGTATCGCTCGTCAGCCTGCCACATGGACAGGAGACTGCAGATGCGCCCCTTCTGGGGGACTTGCCTCCATCGCCGCCAGCTGATCATAAAGCAGCGGGGCTCAGTGAATCACGATGCACCACTGACACTGGTCATCCGCTTCTTGCTGGACATACTAAGCTGAATGATGGCAGAGTCAGAATCGACCAACTCTTGGCAGGCAAACAGTCGCCAGCTCCTGCTACAATGGACACGAAGAAGAAAGACAATGGCAAACCCAGTTCAACGTGAGACGCTGGAATGATTCTTTTTCTCGTATAGCATAACTATCTATCTCTTGATTCGATGCTCGCCTTTCATGTCGAGCGTGTTGATTTGTACTGGTTGCAACGTAAGCGATGCTGTACTCGCCTCAAGCAGATCCACCTTGGCATCCATCTGCTTCTCGTACATGTCTCTCAGCTCGGCAAGCTCCTGCCTATGCCTCCTTTCCATCGCTGCCATCATTCGCTCTGCCTCGTCCATGAGCTCCTCACGAATCTGATTTTCTACTGTGACTCGTTCAGCAAGCAGGTGAGTGGCGAGGTCACGCCAATAGTCCAACGTCTGATCAACTTCCTCGCCGTCGCTATCTTGCCGAATCTCAAAAGAACTTTGACCTCGCGAGCGGGTCGACTCTTGTTGTGAAGTAGATCTGCAAAGTCGTTCGACTAATTCAAGTTCCTTTCCTTGAATGGCATGATTGCTCAGCTTGGGCCTGCCAAGACGACTGTTCGCTCGAACTTGATTGGCATCTGTTGCATACTTGAGCATTTGTACATTTTCATCATAAAAGCGTGTTGGATCGATACACATCAACATCGCCACCTTTTTGATAGCAGTAGAGCTGCTGGACCAGAACCGCCCATCAAACAGCAATTCAGTCAACTTTGATTGACGGGCTGGAAACCGACCTTCTCCTGGTACCTTCAGTGCTTCGAGACATTGTCCCACTGCCATGAGTGACAGATTGATGCGTCCAGCTTCGCCTAGTCGCGCACCGTGTGTCCCGGCTTGTTTTTGTCTCTCAGAACCAGCCAGATCCACCAGCGTCAATGCATGGCCATTCAGGTGGAATGTCAAGATTGCATGAGAGCGAGAACTGGTGTTGTTTGCTTGTGTTGCGTATTCTCTTCTATTCAGACATGCTTGTTGTACTGTATGGCACGTCTCGCTTGTTGATCTGATGGGAAGGTGGTCTAGGCCTGCGATTTGACAAGCCTCAACACCTGCATGCCTTGAGCGCTTAAGGGATAGAGGTGCTGTACCCGGATGTAACAAGTCCCAGAACTTTTCATTGTAGAGTTCTGCCAAAGTCATGGTGATTGCGCCATGCACAAGGGTATTTTTCTGAATCGCTTCCAATCTGTCCACCAAAGCCTCGCCTCCTGCGGGTATGTCGTCAGAAAGAGAACGTGTGAGTTTGAGTAGTGCCCATATCGTCATTTGCACAATACCAGCTATGCCATCGTCTCCAAACATCGTATAAGACTTGCCAGAACCCGTCACGCCCATGGCAAAGACAAGTCCATCTGTGCCATCCTGAACGAAAGCAAGTACTTTTGGTAGTATGGCAGTGAGAAAGACATCAGCTTGTGTGCAAGTATCTTGCAAGACGCGTGAAAATTGTAATACTTGAGCATCATTTGAAGCGCGACTGCGAGAATGACTGAGCGGCGTTTGCAGCGTCACTGTGGTCTCTGGCTTATCTGAAGAGACTCTCAAGAACGGCACTTCGCCTGTATGAGATGCCAGCGGAGGTCTTAGCCGTAGGAAGGTATCCATGATGCGAGCTACGGCAAGAGCGACATCAAGACGTGGAGTGTTTTGGTTCCTCCTTTTACAGCAAAAACAAACGTCGTCAAAACAGCAACGACAAAGACAAACACGGAGCAAAGACAGAGGAGATTGGAGATATACAAAGAATGTGAACACATCTACGCCAAGTGCGCGTGCGTCGTCATACGAAGTTCGTGAGAAGAGAAAGAAGGGTAATGGAACAGGAAATGCATGACCGACGAATCCACGAAGGTTGGTTTTTTTGAAAAAGAGCAACGACCCATCGCTCAGCGTGAGCTACTGCCATGTCCACGCGGACCTGTTGGTGGAATTGCCCCATAGGCAGCTGAAGAAGCTGAAGAAGGTGGCGGTGGTCCTCTACCGCCATGCTGTTGCTGTGGGGGAAGTGGATGCCCACCATAAGGCGCCCGTAATGGTGGACCAACAGGTGAAGGCGGATGAGGGTATCCACCATAACCGGCACCATTGGTTGGAGGAGGTCTAGATTGACCCTGTCGAAGTGGCGGAGGTGGACCATTTCCATACGGCGCATAGGCATGATCCCTTTGTGGCGGTGAGATGGGTAATCGCGCTGGTCCCTGCGGTGGCGACAACGGCCGACGAAGCAATGCAGCAGAAGAAACATCTTGTGCAGTATCAACAACTTCACCATCCGACTGATCACCCTCTTCCTCCTCCTTTTTCAAGGCTGCAGAACCAGCTGCTGGTTGTGACGATGACGCTTCCTGAGCCTCTTTTTCTTTGCGTTGCTTCAAGTACTCACTGACACTCAATTTTCTCACAATCTTGGGTGGCGTCGGCGGCTTGGGCTTCTCGGTAGGCGTTGTAGAGACAGGCGATACTGGTGGTGCGGTCGCAGATGGGATTGCAGGAGACGCAGGTTTGTCGTTGGGTAGCGGAGGTGGTCCCATTGTTGTATTGATAGCAGTTGGTCGAACAGGCGCCAGCGTAGGTTCATGCTTCACCGCAACCACGTCCGAGGGTCCGTTCGTTATAGTAGCTTGTACAACACCAGCAGGTATCGCTGCCGTTGCAATGGGCGGTACAGGAGTACTCCCCGGAGTTCCTGCAAAGTCACCCCAAATCTCACGTTCCCGTGCACGCTGCAATGCCTCTTTCGCTTCACGTTCCTTCATCACCCTCAATTCCTCTTCCTTCTTCGCCGCTGCTGCTTTTTGTTCTCGCTCAGCAGCCGCAGCGGCTAGCCTTCGTTGTTGCTGTTGTCGCTCAATGCGCGCTGCTGCTTCCTTCGCTTGCTGCTCAACAGCACGTTTCGCTGCTGCTGCACGTTCTTGCTCGAGGAGGTACATTTGCAACCATCGTTGTTTTCGTGGCATCGTCAACATGGCTTCATCTGGACTCGGTGACCGAATCAACGTTGCGCGTTTTGATCGTGGAAGACGCGCTAGTTTTGCTGGTCGGACACGTGGCTTGACGGGGGTTGGTGGGCTTGGTGATTGGAGCAGTTTAGGTTTCGCACCTTCTTCGAGCATCTCCTGGATGACTGCAGGTGTGACGGAGATTGTTGTCGTGGGTGTCGTGGGTGTTTCATCCTTGAAGCCAGATGGACGACGACTATGCGTCGGTCTGTGAGCTGGTGCAGCCGCAGTCACAGCAGGAGTCGCTTGTGATAGTTCATCACCTGTATTCCGCCGCCGTCGTTTCGCTTTCGGTACCTGGGCATCTGATTGCTCCATCCGTGCAATAGCCATTTGTATCTTTCGCTCTTCACGCGACAATGGCGCATCCAACAATCCACCTGCTTCAACAGACGCCGCACGATCCGCCGGTGAGACACCTCTTGAGTCTGCCGACGGTGATCGTTTCGGAACACCATTACCGGTTTGTAAGTATCGCGCCACTTGACACTCTCGCGCCCCTTGACCACACGCACACTCCCCCAATACATCCTGTACCTGTTGTGCAAATCGTGTTTGCGCTGCAACATCCTCTTCCAAGCCTGGTATCCGCTCAATCTCAGGATTTGGCCATCCATACCCAACCGTCAACTCTGAACCGACGGACAAAGCCTCACTCAACACCACAGTGAATCGTAATACGCGTAAATCTGATTTTGAACGAGGTGCAACAGCCAAGGGCACGATACTACAATTCGGCCTGCACGACTTGCGACAAAAGCGAAAGACATTTCCCGAGACCCGTGCATCAATGGCCAAGACGGTCTGATCCACAAAGACAACATGTTGTCGGGGTCCCTTGAGTTGTTGGTAGAGGTTCTCTTCTTTTGCGATGTACTGACTTTGTAATTCCACAATACCGGTGAGATGTCCGACTGACGCACCTGCGGGTGCTGGACGATCTGCAAACAAGCCATACCGTACATGTGCACCACCGATTGATTTGACAGTTGTTGACAAGTTATCCGGAACGGCATCTGCTGGACAAATGGCGAATGTGTCCAACTTACTCGTAATGTAGAGACCTGCTTCGTCACTCACGATACATTCTTCCATGAGGTTGTAGTCGCGCGCATGAGTCAATGTCAAGCCACGCTCAAAGAGCGGTTGTCGCGGTGATTGTGTGCGTTCTTGGTGCATTGTTGATGAGGCTGTTGAGGGGTGTGCGCCATGTGCAGCACCGCGTGAAGAACGTCCCTTACCACGCCCACCACCTCCTGCGCGTCTGGTCTTAGTGATGGGCTGTCGTTCTTCCTGTATGAAGCGCTCAATATACCGTTGTGCAGCAGCAACGTCGAGTGGTCTTGGATCACACACATGGCAGTAATAAGTGAGGTTTTCGAGGTCATCTGTGAGTGGGTCAATGCCAACACAGGGCATATGCTGCCATCTGCCGCATTTATCGCATTGAATGGTTGCATTATCGTCAATGTCGGATCCGCAGATACAAAGAACTTGAGTCAGTAAGTGGGTCTCGTTGAGCATTGAATATGCCGGGGATGTACCTTGCTCGTTGAGTGCTTCTGGCGCTTGCTCTTGAGGTTGCGGGATGATGGGAGGGGAGTTGGCTGAGGGTGGAGGGGCTGCAGATGCCGACTGTGAGAATGGCGGTGCGGCGGCGTCAGGCATAGACCCGAGCCCTGCCTGTGTGTGTGTGTGTGTGTGTGTTGTTCTCTGATGCGCCTTTGTGGATGATGGCTTTAGTGTGCTGGTGTGTGCTGGCGGAGATGTTGCAGTTGCGGCATTGGTTGTGAATGAGTATGCGGTCTACTCGATACACAAGTACAAGGTGAGCACAAGGTGTATTCACTGTGTTGTCTGTGTAGTTTGTGCTCCTTGCAACTCACCTGCGCAATTCTTTCTCGTGCCGTATACTCGACTGCTGTTACTACACATACTAGACTATACTAGACTATACTACTACTGCTGCTACTGCTACTAAATTATACTCTGACTGCTGCTACTACTGCTGCTGCTGCTCAAAATTGGCTACTACTACCACTGCTCTACTCTAAATCAGCTCCCTACCATGTACTAGCATGGTCTTTGTCCTCTCCAAAGTAGAAGATGTCATTGAACTCGCTCCAGACACATCCAACACAGACACAGCCATCGCCCTCACCTCCGCCATCAATGCCAAATATGCAAACAGAGTCATCATGGACGTAGGACTCGCAATCTGCCTCTTCGACCTCCTCTCCCAATCAGACGGCATCGTCAAACCGGGTAATGGCAGTGCCTATATGACGGTTGTCTTTCGAGTCATTGTCTTTAGACCCTTTCTAGGGGAAGTCCTGACTGGCAAGATTGCCTCACAGGATGCATCAGGCTTGAAGATCACACTGGGCTTCTTTGATGATATCCAAATCAGCAGTCATCACCTGCCAGAAGGCTCAACCTTGTATGCTACTCTTTCTCCCTTGGTCTTCCACTAATCCCCAGTGACCTCTCTGAAAACATCTGGATCTGGGAAACAGACGGCAACAAGCTCTACCTAGACAACGACGAACAGATTCGCTTCAAGGTCGAGCATGAACAATTCATTGATTGTACACCCACACAGCGAAATCCACTCCAGGCAAGTAATGTCCCCTATGCCTTGCAAGCCAGTGCTGCAACGCCCGGTCTTGGTCTGATGAGCTGGTGGGAGGACTGATCATAATACCTATGGTATCTACTGTATTATACACTCACCCGCTTGCTCCTCGACAGCCTGTACATGCAACTGCATCTCCAACATCCCAGCAACACCAAAAAACGGACTCTCACCAAACACCAAGGCTTTCCAATCTCTATGCTTATTGAATGGCACAGGTCCACACCACGCAACACTGCCATCTGGTTGTGGCTCTCGTGGTTGTTGAATCTTGCCAAGTGCAATGAATGGTGATTCCATGGATGCCTGTGGATGGCGTAGTCGTATCTGTGCTCGAAATCCCATCATCTCACCACTCTGCATCATCAATTTGATACCTGCTTCTTTACTCTGTGATCCTGCTGGTGTGGAAATGGCGGCCAACCCCGCATACACATCTTGACCGAGTTGCAGCACCCATTCTCGATGCCGACACACAAACCGTACTTCCACCGTTCGCTGCGTTTGTAATCGTTTCCCAAACTCAACACATTTGATGCTTGCTAGGAATCCCAAATTTGGCGATTCAGTGAGGATCAAGGAGACGTCATCACATTCTTCCTCCAACCATCGCACAGTCGATGGCGCATCCTGCTTCATCCGTGCTCGAATCAATTTATACAGCTGCAAATCATCATGCACCAACGTTGCTGCAACCGCTTGTCGTAACATCCCGCGTGTCGGCGCAACCAATGCATTCCGTTGAGAAAGCAAGACTTGCAACGTTCCTGGCATTTTCGACGCATCCACCGTCATCCAATAAATCGGATCTCTTCCTTGTATCACACTACTGATGGACTTCAAGGAGATACCTGCACGAACACAGGTATCCAAGATAGTCTTAAAGACATCACAGGTTGCTGGTGTCGGATGGGTGAGGATATCGAGATACAGGGATGAGAGGGAGTGGGTGATGTCGCGTCGGTTTGCACGGGAGGTGAGATTTGTTGCTGGTTGATGGAGACTTGTGAGTGGTACACTGGATCCATAGGAGCGTGCGCTTGTACTGGTAGAAGCACTGGAAGGGCCTGCAGCATAGCTGGCCGCGTCATGAGAGTCTTGTAATGGTCGCTTCGTGTCTCTTATTGGGACACTTGGTGGAGGACCATCATACGCTGGAGGCGGCGGTAGCGGAGGCTGTTCCTTGTCCTCTTGCGCCTCGACTGCCTTGCTCATCGCATCCTTCCAGCAGCAGCAAGTTGATGAGCTGGCGGTGGTCGTTGCTCAAACAGAAAAAGACAGTCAAGACAACACTTCATACACGAAAGGGACCTGTTGCATGACGACGAACCAGCCAGGCCCGTTGCTAGCGGCATTACAGACTCTCTATGGCAACAGCGAACGGTCACAGAAGGAACAAGCGAGCAAGTTCCTGGAAGACTTTCAAAAATCCGTAATAGACCACGCTTGAGTAGACTGTATAAGGCTGACCATCTAGCAAGAAGCCTGGCAACTTGCACTCTCCCTTCTACAGGAGGATGCCTCTGTTGAAGCGAAACTATTCGCTGCTCAGACACTGCGTATGAAAATCGCACTCGATTCGCATCAATTGCCAAGCACAGCACTTGAACCACTCCGCGATAACCTGGTGCAGCTTATTGTACGCTATGCCACAGGGCCCAAACCGATTCTGACAGCGCTTTGTGTGGCTGTTGCTACACTTGCACTACAGCTCTCTCAATGGACAACCATGCTGCAAGATATGATGCAAGTGTTATCAAAAGACTTAGATTCATGGCAAGCGCTACTACTCTTCCTCTCCATCCTACCAGAAGAACTCAGCGAAGACCGTAAATTGGGACTGTCCCAGCAACAACTGCAAGAAAGAGTCGAACAGCTCTTGACGGGAAATGCAAAGACAGTCTTGGAATTATTGTGTGTCTATACACAAATGACACAAAAAGAAGGACGTCGACCGAGTCCACTCCTTCTGACATGTCTACAAACATGGCTTCGAGAGATTCCCGTGATTGACATGATTCGTTCTCCATTGGTCGAATTGGCCTTTTCGGCACTAAGCGATGATGACCTCTTTGAAGCTGCAGTCGACTTTCTATGTGCAGTATTCGCAGAGACGAGTGAGGTGAATGACTCGACAGTCGTGGCGAGTATTGAGATACTATTTCCTTCACTCATGTCACTACGGCCACGTCTCGCAGCCTCAAAAGATGACTCGGATGCATTCAGGGGATACGCACGATTATTCTCCGAAGCAGGAGAAGCTTGGGTCATCTTGTGTGCTCGACAACCACAGCAATTCAAAACACTCGTTGAAGCAATCGCAGAAGCTGCCGCCGTGGATGAAGATTTGGAAATCGTCAAATTCACATTCTTATTCTGGTACGACTTGAAGCAGGCGTTGCTATCTGAACGGTACGCAGAGGCAAAAGCAGTCTATGCACCCATCTATGCTGGGCTTGTCGATATCCTCATTGCGCATCTACACTACCCCTTGACCAACGATGATGATTTATTCAACGGCGACAAAGAAGCAGAAGAGACATTCCGCTCATTCAGGCACGAAATGGGGGATGTCCTCAAAGACTGCTGTAATGTCGTTGGTGGCTCCATCTGTCTCGGCAAAGCCTTCACAAAAGTCCAACAACTCTTGGCGTCACCCTCAGCGCAATGGCAACAAGTCGAAGCACCTCTATTCTCTATGCGTGCCATGGCGAGAGAGATCAGTACAGATGAGGAAGAAGTGTTGCCACAAATTATGGAGACGCTGTTGTCACTTCCTGAACATCCTAAGATCAGGTATGCAGCGACTCTTGTTCTCGGACGTTATACAGAATGGACTGCACGGCATCCAGAAGTCCTTCTACCGCAACTGAACTACATCACTTCGGGCTTCAAGCGCACCGATCGAGACGTGACATCAGCTGCTGCATTAGCACTCAAACATTTCTGCCAAGATTGCAGCACGCATCTCGTCCCACACATCGCACAATTGCATGGCTTTTACGAGCAAGTCTTGCCAGAACTTGACTTTGATTCAAAGCTAGAAACCACTGAAGCGATTGGACACGTGGTCCTTGCACAACCTAGAGAAGCACTACAACAGTCGCTACAACCATTCTTACTGCCATTCAAGGACCGATTGGCTGCTGCTGAATTACAACAAGTGGCAGATGATGTCGAGTTGCTGACTGTCTTTTGCTGTACTGTTGATCCCTATGTCGAAGCAGGCGATGCACATCCGTGTGTGGCGGCATTCAGTGAGCTATGGCCAGCCATATCCACGCTACTTGATCGCAATGGGAGTCATCCACTGATTGCAGAACGAACCTGTCGCTTCATGAAGGAGTTTGTTAGTCATTATCGACGTCATGCACTCCCATTGCTACCTGTCATGGCTGAAAAACTTGCTGCTGGCTTTGCAACACATCAGCAAGGATGCTACCTATGGGCGTCTGGTGCTTGTATTCGCGAATTTGCAGATGCAGAATATAATGCGCCAGAGACGGTCGATGCAGTCTGGTCATTTGTTGAGGGACAGTCTGTGGGGATGTTTAAGCTTCTGTCCACAACCACACCAGAGAGTATTCCGGATGTTGTCGAGGATTTCTTCAGATTATCCATGGATGCCTTATTGGGCAATCCAGATCGCTTCCTTCAATCTGCCTACCTGTCGACTTTTATGCAAGCTTCGTTGGCATGTTTGTCGATGGAGCATAGAGACGCATTGACAGCTGTCCTCCGCTTCCTGCGAGACTTGAGTGTCTGGTTGCTCCCGGAACCACCAACATCTGGTCAATCCATCTCAGATCCAGCACGACAAGCACTCCAACAACTCATGATGACCCAAGGCCAAGCACTAGCGACGGCAGTCTTTGTCGGACAAATTTATACCTTCCCACGCGATTGCATCACGGATGCATCAGGTGTGCTCCTGACACTCCTCGAATGGCAGCCAGAAGCGACTTTCTTGTGGATTGAAGCAGCATTGTCGACGCTACCGGCTGGTTCCGTGTCAGCGGATGAACAAACGGGACTTCTCGGAAAAGCACAAACAGCACTGCAAGAGCCCGGTGATGCTCAAGCGCGTGTAAGGAAAGTGAGGAGTATACTGCAGGATTTCACGACGTTGTATCGACGACGTATGGTCAATTCAAGGCAAACGATAAGGCATGAATGGCAATTCCGTTTCTAAGTAGAAAATGGATGAGTGTCTACCACTCTGCGTCTGTAAGAAGTATAGCTAGAAAAGAAAATCTTTACTGTCAGGCCCTTGGAGCAGACATATAAGCCCAAGCAGTATGGTGAGCTTCTAGCGGCTGTTCCTAAGCCTTGCTTTGTGTTCTTCCTTGGGCTTTTGAGTTATCTTCCTCAAGTGTATAGCAATCGCACGACAGAAAACGGGCAGGATCTGACACTCATCGAGTCATTGCCGATAGGCTGCTGCGTATCGCAGTTCTCAAAGCGCCTTGTGGCAACGCGACGCTTTGCCGGCCCCTGTGCGCACGGCATACCATCTCAAATTTCTTTTTGCAAAAGTTCAGGGGGCAGGGGTGGCCAATTCTGTCAAATTTATTAGGTTGGCAACTTGCTTCTCCTATGAACACGTCAGCGTGCCCCTATATAGGAGTAGCCCCTGACCACACGTGTCAGCAGTCACAGCTCCAGCATCCCCTGATATCTCTAACAAATTCCCGCCAAGCAAAGATAATCGAAATTGGCGGATATGCGAGGCTGTAGTCGTAGGTGATAGACACAGCTGCAGGCACGCAGGGCAGCTGCAGATAAGACTTGATTCGAATAGGGGACAAAGTATAGCACTCTTGCCAGCTAAGACTAAACTAAAGGTCACGTGCATGGGCGCTGACGTGGCAGAGAGATAACAGCGGAAGCAAGTGATCAGGGGATGCACTTGAATTCCTAACAAAAGACCTGTGGCTGCATTTGACTTTCCAGGATATTCCTGAAGGGTGCAGAACGTGATAAGCCAGCACTGGGGATTCGGTGACGCATCGATTTGCTCCACTTCTCTCGCGAGTAATCCATAATGGCTTATGCTCATGGCTGCAAAAAGTCCTCTGGTACCACTGTCACTAATAGACTGCAATGCTCAACTTTGAAATGGGAGTTGCCACACTCCTGAAACTCATCTCCCTTTTTTGAAATGAGGTGCCATCGAAGACATGCAAATAAATTGTCTCTGCAGCTACCGCTACAGGAGGCCAGAGCATGCTTCTAATTCTGCCATAACTATGCCAGCCTGTCAAGTAGTGCGGAGGCTGCAGACAGCACAGCGTAAACTCAACGCGAGCGGATCAAGTATCAGTAAGATCAGCAAGTTGATGGCATCTTTCATGACTCTTGTGCCGTGCCACGAATAGAGACTATAGATTGCGTTTCATTGCCTGATTCTAGCACCGAAGCAGGCCGACACTGGCCATGGCGCCAAGCATATGTTGATCAGGAGTCAGCATGTGTTGTCCCAGGAGTCTGTCAGTGCAGGCGTGAGATGTTCTATAGAGCATAAAAGGGTGATGTGTGCACGTTAGCCTTGCTCATCACAGACTGTCTCGTATACACACCTACCTAGCAACTGCAGAACAACACCGTATCGCCTACTTTCGCTGAGGCCGAGCCCTCTGTGAACAGCCCTCAGTTCACTGCATTCTGCCTTTCCAGAGCGCCTCTCACCTGTTTCAGTCAATCAGACTAATACGATCGCGCCTCATCTCGACTCGGACCTTCATCAACGACAGAAGACAGAATCGACATGCTCTGGCAATTTGTGATGCATATAGCCTTACCTGGGCTCGGATGCGTTCTTGCGCAGCAGGATGGACTTCATGAATGTCGTGAATCGGAGAATCTTTTTAAATTGGTTTCACCACTTCCGCCCGGCGACCACTGGAGCAACTGTGGAGAGTTTTGTGATGAGTTAATCGCGGATTTTGCTAAACGTTTGGCAAAGGCTGGCCCAGATATTTGCCAGTACGTCACGGGCTCTTTTCCCGATCCCACTTTTGACAATCCCTATGGATGGGTAAGCTGGGATATCATTCTTTACAGACAACGTGGATTCGACTCGGGTGGTCAGGCAGGCCCCTGCCGTTCGATACCACTGACCCAATGTACCTGTGAAGTCAGTGTTGTGCTGCATCGTACATACAAAAGCATCACTTTTGAACCTTCTTATGGAAGCAGTTCAAATCCGGGCTCTCTTGCAGGCCTTCTTGCTTCGGGGGTCAGCTGCGAGCTAGATGACCTTGGAAGCAGGCGGCAAGGTAACCTCCGTCTTCAGTTCCTTGCTGTTTCAGCCGCGGAGGATAATCAAGATGACCGAGATGATCAAGGTGACCAGAGTGACCAAAATCGCCAACACACATTCTTCAGGCAGGCAGACATTGCCTGTAGCACTTGGACCAATCCTGTCCAATTCCTCGAGCATGGCAGCCTTCACCTTATCAAATTTGGTCACACGGGGCACAATGACGGTTTTGTCATGATTAGCGACCTCAAGAAGTACAATTCCAACGGGGAACTGGTGTCTTCACGCCGATTTCAGGTTACACCTCGCCGACTTTAGGTTACACCTCGCTAATTCAGTGGCAAGCACATCTGATACAAAATAGAAGTACATCTACACAGTGGAACATTTGTCGGACTGAATGCAGCGGCGGTTGTAATGTGCGCACTCTTCACCACTACATACTCTGGCGACCGCATTGTCTTTTGCTCCAAAGAATTCGCCTATCGACACCGCTCAGTGCGTTATTTCTGCTCGCTATCTGACTTTTTGTCTTCTCAACAACGTCTTCAACATTGTCCCCTGATCCGTCTCTTTTCTATCTCGCAGATCTGACATCTCCGCGCCGGCATCTTTCTATCTTGTGTCCTCTTCTCTATCAGCTTCCTCGCTCGAGTCTGATAGATATAAAGGGCCTCCTGCAGACTTATTCTTTAGTTCACCATGCTACAGTTTATCATCTACACCTGCATTTCTGTTCAAGTCTCGTCTCCAGCATGGGCGTTCTCTCTTTCTGCTCGTCCGTCCCTTGCAGTTCAATGCGTTCTTTTGTTCGCCCACCAATCTGTTAGCCCTAATAGCCTTGCTCCACGCTTTCTCCTTGTGTGTGAGCCGTATGACGGTTATTGTCTAAGAAAGCCAAGAGATGGTGCTGGTCCGTTTTGCCCTGTCGCTGACGAAGCTGTGGCCTGTGGTTTTATTAGAGCCGTAGGGCGATTCGACCATCCATGAAACCATCATCGGGCATGCCCATGAGACTGAAGTAGCTTCACGAACAATCTCGGACAAGGGGGACGTCATCAAGTCGGATGACGTCCTTTTGCAGGTTATTGGCATTTGCAATGACAAAATTCAGGGGTACCGACCTCAGCTGCAGCGACCACAGATATTTTGTCACACTTGCCTATGCCACGTTCTCCTGAACAATGCTCAACACTGGCCTTGAAATTCGACGCCATAGCCCGCATACCTACAGGCTGTAGCAGCTATGACTGAGCTCCTTACTTTGCTCTGACACTTGTCTCCCTCCGCTGCAAGTGCTGCTGACGAGGCACAGACGACAGCTTTAGTTTTCCTTTTGCCGGGCTATCGTATCTCTCTGCTGCGTGTGCAGAACGTATCATTGCTCAGGATAGTTCTCTCTGCTGCGTTCGAGAAAACGAGCAAGGTGTCGGAAACCCCTCATCAACACGTATACAGCTGTCTCTCGAGCATCGTCTGGGCCTTCTCTGTCCTCATTGAATCATAAACGGACATACTCTGGTATCTCACGATACATCTCGCTCTGCTCAGGATTGTCTATGCTGAGCAGCAACAGTGTCGACAAGTAGAGATGCAATTCATGTATTAAGCAGCAGCAAGATCATGCAAAGCACTTTGTGACCGGCGTATCAACACCTTTGCCAGAGACTCGGCGAAGAGTGGTCCAGACATGTGCCAATACACAACTGCTGCAGCGCCGCGACAGCTGCCTTTTCCTCATCTCTATCAATTGACTGGTGATATGAGCTGGGATATTGTCCTTTACAACAAAACCTACACGGCGGAGAAACTGCCCAGTTGTGGTGCAGAGGCAGCATCTTGCGTTTGCCAGCTCAGTGTGGCACTTCATCGCACAATGAAGGAGACCATCGCGCCGGGGTCTTTGTTCGGAAGCAGCTCAGGCGACTTGACGGCTCAACACGGTGCTTCCACCAGCACACAGGACAGCTGCATCTTGAACAATATTGTCAACAGATTCGAATTGCAGGTGACATCCTGGAGGGCTCAACATGATGACCAAAGAACCCAGTTCAGCTACACAGACATTCCCTGTGATTATTGGTCAAATCCATACGTTTATAAAGTCGAGGAAAAAGAGCTTTGCATCATCAAGTACCAGCGGCAAAGCGACTCAGACGGCATATTCGTGGAGGGCACCGTCAAATGGATCAATCAAGATTGGTCTGTGAGGTCAGAAGACAAGTTTCAGGTACGGCCGAGTCTGCTGACGTCCGTAGTAGTACCTGAAACAGCAGAGACGGTGCCGATGGACATTGATGAGTGGACGCCATACTCGTACACATAGTCCAACGCTGATGGGTCGATTGTGAGCGAACATTCAAGTCCTCTGTTGCACGCTACGTACTTTGAAATGGCCTGGAGGCACGGAGCAGCTTGAATTTGTCGCCTCATTGTGTAGAAAGTTGCTACATACAATGTAAGCCATTGTTGAACACTTTGCCTGAACATCGCTGAAGGCCATGCCTTGCCAAAGCACCTAAGCTTGTGAGATTTAATTTACACGAGGAAGTGCGAGTGTGTCCATAGTACCGGCAGAGCCACGGCCACTATCGAGTGAGCACTCAATCTGCCAATTCTGCGAGCATGTGCCAGGAAACGACCTGATAGCTTGACCTATGTACCAAGCTTGTGGCATCGAGCCAACATGATGGCCAGCTCACTTGTCTGGCCTATTGGATGATGTGAGGGCGTAACAATGACGGGGTTGGCAGAATAGCTCTTGGTCGCCTTTCTCCAAGCTGCAATCTTCTACCACGGACGACACATCCTTGTGCATCATCTTTGTCTGTAGGACACTTGTACCTCTCGAGCACTCGACAGCAGGATTCTCAGCATGTTCAAACAAGTCCTTCGACCCTCCCTGCAGCTTGCTCGAGAGGCGTCTGTCAATGGGCGAGTCACGTTATTTGGTTCGTCATCACCAGCAGCAGTTGCTGCCCATCCTCGTTCCTTCACCACTACATCAGCAAATATGGGTGTTGAGAAGCAGACACTCAAGGAAGGCGACGGCAAGAACTACCCCAAGAAGGGAGACAAGGTGTCCATCCACTACACCGGTACCTTGGACGATGGCAGCAAATTCGACTCGAGCCGTGACCGCGGACAGCCATTCGAGTGCACCATCGGCGTTGGCCAGGTGATCAAGGGCTGGGACGAGGGTGTGCCTCAGATGTCTATCGGCGAGAAGGCCATCTTGAACATCACTCACGACTTTGCCTACGGTGAACGAGGGTAAGTGAATCACATACAACGTGACGCAGCATGCTAACAAGGTAGATTCCCTCCCGTCATCCCTGCTCGCAGCAACCTCAAGTTTGACGTCGAGCTGCTTAAGATCAATGGCAAATCTTCGTAAACGTATAGCTTCAAGGCGTATACAGAATAAAAGGTCAACTAAGCTTCAGCGTGTTAGTAGTCTACAAGTACTAGCTTTGTATCATGGACACGACGCTTGTGCATGCAAATTGACCGCCATAGCTGCTCTTCCACAGCCGTATCTTGGCATCATCTCCAGCAGATGATAGAATCGTGCCTGTGACATTGAAGCTGACCCGCCAGACGGGTTGACCGTGATCATCAAAGTCGCCAATACACTGCGTCTGCCACCGCCCTTCCGACTCTACCAGCTTGAAGATACGCACATGTCCATCTTTGCACGCCGTTGCGAGTTGATGCCATGACCTGCCCATACTCGGCGCCCATGTGATGTCTCGTATCAGTGCCGGATGGGAAATCTCACCTGCCGGTCGCCATTTCCCAGAAGCACCATCTTGTACGTAGAGACGCACCGTGTCCATACTGCCCACCGCTAGACTGGGTTGAGCGAAGCGCGACGGACACCATGTCAAGCAAAAGGAAGCCTCTGATTCACGCGGCGGCATCTTGACCACAGCCATCTCTCCGTCGTCCTCTCCACCACTACCGTCCAGCACTGAAAAGTCATCCATCAGCGTCCAATGACTCAGATTATTGGGCTCAAGCGCTTCATAGATTCGTACAATGCCGTCTGCAGCGACACTAGCAAGTCTCAGACCTTGATGCTGTGGAGCAAACCATATATCATGAACGGCAGCGCGTGCGTCGACAAGTCGCGCGCGTTCAACCCAGCGCTTGCCCTCGCCGCCCGTCTCTTCAAAGATACGCACGGTACGATCGAGGGAACAGCAGGCAACGACTTGACCATGTTCTGGATGTGCCCAGACGCATTCCAGGATGGAAGCGTCGGCTGCTTTCCATGAATCTGTCATTTGCCAGGCGCCTGCTGCATCAACGTCAAAGATCTTGAGGGTGCGGTCGGATGAGCATGCGGCCATGCGCCGGCCGTAGTAATCGTAGGAGACATCGTGAATCAGGTCTGCTGCATCGGTCTCTATCGGCGTCCACATTGCATCTGCTGTATGGTGTTTTGTGTTGTCTATGGGCTGGTTCGTTGCATCCTCAACTTCTTTTACTTTCACCGCGCATCTCCCTCACACATTCATCATCATTCCCTTCTTTGCATGCTCACAGGCTGCCTGCAAGGGAGGAGGCCTGTAAGACATTTGTGATCCACTGCGACTTTACAGCTTCGTATCGCGTCACAAGCAGCCTGCAATGTCCAGGGCAATTGCATCTGCCTGCACCTGTTCCTGAGCTTCAGCATACAGCCTAACACACGCCTCCGTCCCACTCGGCCTAACAAAGCAGCGTGCATGCGGGTGCTTGCTCACCAAAGCATCAATCTTCTCTTGCACCTGAACAGGCTCTGTCAAACGACGCTCAGCATCCGTAGTCTTGTAGATGCTTGGATCCTTCACCACCACGCGCATCAACCGATTAGGCAAGTCAGTATAGCATGCATCCCACTGCGCGGCAGTCCATCCCTTATGTGCCAAGATGGCTTCCACCATGAGTAAATCAGACAAGGCATCACCAACTGTTTGGTTGATGAGCTCTGACATGGCTCGCAAGCACGCCAAGGCAGATTGCTGTGCAGGGCTCTGTGCTTCGTGGGCTTGCAGCGTTGCTAATGTGCTTTGTGAGAACAAGACGGTGCCGTGGCCGTTTGATTCAAAGTAAATGCCAATGTCAAATTGCTGTGCAGCGTGGTGCGAGTGCTTGACACCTGTAGGCGTACACAAGACAGGGACACCGAGTGATTTCTCGAGATAGGCTGTTGATGCGCCATTTGCATAGGCTGTCTGCACGACACCAACACCAAGCGAGACACCAGCTTGCTTGGACAAATCCTGGATGAATTCTGCTGCGAGCGTGGCAATCTTGTCACCATCGAGAATGCAAAACTTGTCAGTCTCTGGGTCAACGTAGTAGTAGACCAAACGGTCTGCATCGCCATCAAAAGAAGCACATCGAGTGCCTGCAGGCACGCTCATGCCAGCAGGCATCTTGAGCTGTGTTTTGCAGTAATCGGCACCACAGTTCAAATTGAGCACAGTTGCATCGTCAATCTTGTCATTGACCACTTGAATATCAAATAAATCATCACCCACGACCTTTTTGAACTCCTTCAATTTAGGTGCGCCGACGCCATTGGCACAATCGATGTAGAGCTTGTCTGCTTTAGCTTTGCCCTTCATCAATTGACGAAAGGCAGTTGCAAACTTGAGGTAATAGCCTTGCTCCGTTGGCTCACCATAGCTTGCTGGTGTATTCTCCGTATTGACGCATCGCACGAGGTAGTGAAGCTGCGGTGTCGCCTTGAGTCCAAAGTCTTGCGGTGTGCCGCCCAGAGCGACAATGCCTTCAGCGAGGCTCTGTGCCAAGGGTATCGAGGATGGCCGCGTATCAACACCGTAGATGACTTTAGCTTCCACGTCCATATCAATCTTGAATTTGTCAATCAGCATCTCCAACGTCTTGAGAACTTGATTGTCGGCTGCATTGGCAAGCGTATTGGCATGCGGCTCCCATGCGATATCGAGCATGTCGCCATTCGGGTCAATCATCTTGCATCCATTGTCAATAGCGGGATTGTGCGAAGCTGTAATCATCACGCCGACTACTTGGCCATGCAGTTTCTTTGACCGCAGCACAGCCAGCATGCCGACACGGAATACGACGCTGTCAAGGAGATCAGCTCTGTTTTACAGTCAGTCTACTGGATGCGTCGCGTCTCAATGGAGGGTTCATACTTGGTCCTGAAGCCAGAGGTGCCATAGCTGAATGTATACGCTGGCTTTGGATGTTTGCTTGAAGCAGCCTGAACGCGCGCTGTATCGAAAGACATGATGCTTTCAATGTTTGTATATATTGTAGGGGTGGTCAATTGATTTGTGTGCTATTCGCTGATATGACGCCGACTCGCATCCACCTCGACAACCAGACCACCACGACCCACGGCGCCGTCTTGCTTCTGCAGGAGGAACCGCGGAGGCTCAACGACGCCATTGAATAAGAGCGTCGCATAGACAAGAACAGCAAATCCAAGCAGCTGCAACGCCTTAAAACTCTCCCAACCCAATGCTAATGATGCAGCCCAAATGAATAATGTCCTGCATGCATCAATGGTGCTTCGACTCGTCGCCGAGACGCTCTTCGTCACACTCAAACCAAAGAAGTTAAATGAAGGAATACTGATTGCGAATAACACAAACGAGAGCCAGATGTGCCGTTGCTCAAGAATGGTGATAATCCCTGAACCAATATCAAACGTCCCATCTTGTCCTGCACTTGATCCATAGAAGACATAGGCAATGACCATAGCTGTTGTTGTAAGGATAACACCAAAGACACCTTCGAAGCCAGCGACTTTAAGCGGCTCGACTGCATATCGAGAAAGGATATAGTCTTCAAGCACAAACTGTGAGGCGCTAAAGACTTGTGCACCAGTGATGAGCAAGACACCAAGCAGTGTATGCTGTGGCTTGCTCGACTTTTCATGCTTGCCCGTCAGGCTGCTCAGTCCGACGAGAAAGACACCTGCTGTTACCAGAGCGAGTGCAGTCCATTGATGCAGCAGAAGACGACGCTTGAGAAAGATGACTGAGAAGAAGCCCACAAAAAGGACAAGAGCGCCTCTCAACATCTGGAATGTACTTGCTGTGGTCAATAGTAGGCCAACAGACATGATGGTCGTGCCGCAAATATCAAAGAACGCGGGGAGTGCGAGATAGAGCGTCGCTAGACCTTCGAGCGGCGGATTGGGTGAGTCCTGTTGCATACTCGCAAGCAGCACTGAGTCTGCCAAGTCCGTGTCGTGCTCTTCATCTTCTGGCACTGGAGACACACCGATCGGTACATAGCCACGATCTCTTCTTGCCCAGAGCCAGATCCTGACAATACCAATGACGGCAAGGCATAGCGCTTCGCCCATGAACATGAAGAAACTCTGCCATATGGGAAACGACGCGCAGCCTGTGAATGCACCGTGCCTCTGTACTTGATTACAGCTGAGCCCTTGATATTTGAGGAGTAGCGTATTTAAGCAGCCAGTCAGGAGCATCCCTGCCACCAGGACAAGAATAGTCGCCTTGGCCATCTTTATGCAGAGTTAGCCTCTTCACAGTAGATGCTGTTTAGCTAGCTAGCTACGCCAGTGCGCGTGCGACACCAGCGAGTGTGTGGTGGTGTCTGTGCTTGAAACATTCGCTCTCTCTCACAAAGCTCAACTCATCAGCTGGCATGGCCAAGAAGAAGGAGCAAGAGAAGGGACAGCTCAAATCATGCATGTCCATCAAAGTACGGCATATCCTCTGTGAGAAACAGAGTAAAGCACTACAGGCCCTTGAACGGCTCGATGCAGGCGATAAATTCAATGTCGTAGCGAGTGCCTTTTCAGAAGACAAGGCCAAGACGGGTGGTGATTTGTATGGACCATGCTGCTTGCTGCTATCTAATCAAGGCTAATAGCAAACAGAGGTTGGATGCCGCGTAATACGATGGCAGGTCCGTTTGAAGAGACAGCTTTTGCATTGGCCATTTCGACCATAGACAAGCCCATCTACTCTGGCCTGGTGAAGACACAATTCGGCTATCACATCATCATGGTCGAGGCCCGCAAGTAGCATAGTCAGCTACTTAGATACATGCCTGTAGACATCGAGTGGTGGTCTGTTGCCAAGTCGCGTCAAATCCAGCGCAGAAGAACGAGAGCGCACCCTCAAACACTTCTCACAACACGCAAGCTAGAGCTGCTGCTGGGATGTCTGCCATTAAGAGGCCAACAGAAGAGTGAGCTAGCTCTGTTATATCTCATGCATACCACTAACATGACCAGCGCCTCTGCAAATCCAGCAAAGAGACTCAAAAATGGCGCGACACCGGGAACACCGACTGGCAACGCCTATGCTTCTGGCCCACCGACGCCAGGTCTGATGGGTCCACCTGGTGCAAGTGGCCTGTACGCAGGAACGCCCGCAACAGGCAAACGGAGAGACGATGGGCTCGATGCAGGCGATCCAAATGACATGTTTGCTCATGTCGGCATCAACTTACAGGATGAAGAACGTAACATGGTGTCCTTCGAATTACCTGCCAATGCTGCAGCGATACAACAACAACGATGGATGCAAGCGCAATGGCAGCAGCAACAGCCTCCACAGCAGCAACGACAACAGCCACAGATGCGTGCTGCTGATTTACTGGATAAAGCAGCCTTGACTCGTTTCCTCAATAAGACACTCGAGTCACAGGGATTGCGGGCTTTTGATTCTGATGTCTACAGTGTGCTAGGTCTTGCGCTGACAGAGCGTCTAACACATTTGCTGAATAGCATGGTGGTGCTTTCGAAACATAGAACAGCGCCGCCGCCTGCTGGACCAGGCATTCGTCAACGTGATGATATTGGCAGGACACTACGGGCTCTTGCAATCAAGGAAGCAAACGAGGAAGAGCGCAGGCGGACAGTAGCTGCTGCACGGAGACATGAAGAAGAGCTACGAAAGAAAGAAGCAGAGGAAGCCGGTGCGACTGCAGGTCAGCGTAAAAAAGCACAAACTGCAGCAGCAAAAGGCTTGAGTGAGTCTACTTTGGCACGGAATGCAAATGCAACGGCAAACTTGATGATGAATACAAGTGGAGGCAAGAAGTACAGCTGGATGACGGGTGGTGCGAATACTAGCCAGATGCCGAGACGGCAAGCGACAGGGCCTGGAGCTGTGGCTACGGTTTTCAAGCCTGGCCAAGCAGAGGAGAAGGGCGTCTTGTCTCTGAAGGACTACATTGTTGCTGCTGAAGAGGAGGAAGAAGCGGTCGGTCGTGGTGGTCGTGCTCTGCTCAAGGCGTATACGATGCTCAAGGACTAAAAGAACAAATTTGTACCACACATCATCCAGTACTAGCGTAACTAGCACCCCATCTGCATTGATAATCTGTCCTATGACGCGGGCCCTCATCTTCGGTTCGACAGGCGCAGTCGGCAAAGCTCTTGCACTTGAATTAGCGCATCACTCAAAGTACACCGAGATCAGGGCGGTCGTACGTGGTGACATCTCCTCACAAGATTACTACGCCTCCTGTCCCGGCGCTCAAGCTGGCCAAGCTCCTGCTCACTTGCATGTCATCAAGCTTGACTTTAGCTCCCATGAGAAGCTGAGAGAACGAGCAGCGCACTTGCAGGGCTTTGATGATATCTATGTCAGTCTGGGCACCACACGCGCTACAGCCGGTTCAGCAGAACGTTTCCTGGAGATTGACCAGGAGCTGCCTGTGCTCCTTGCACGACTTGCAGTCAGCAGCGGCGATAAGCAGCCGGCCAAGCAGCACATTCTCTACGTGAGCTCCAAGAATGCCAATGCATCATCCTACTTCCTGTATCCAAAAAGCAAAGGCGCTACAGAAGAACGGCTCAAAGCACTAGGCGGGACAAACACACACGTCAGTATCTTTAGGCCAGGTTTGCTCGAGTTGCAACAATCAAGGCCAGAGAGCAGGATGGCAGAGTCCATCTTTGCACCCATCATCACGTCGTTTCGACACATCGGTGTTCGCTCCATGAGTGCCGGTGTGGGCGAGGTTGCCAAGGCAATGCGGAAAGTCGCTGCAGGTGAGGGTCAAGCGGGTTCAACGTTTGAGAATGCTGCCATTTTGCAATTAGCTAGCGAGTAATGAGTCTGCTATTGTAGATGCGTCTATTCCTCCTCGGCGGGCTTGCGCTTCGACTCCATCAGTAGAATGAGCGCAACGAGTTCCAAGCCAAGCATTGTGATGAATCCCCACACTACTGAGTCAGTCATTTGTTTTCTTTGAAGATACACGTACTGCCAATGTACTGGCCCTGTGCTTCTGCAGAGTGCATGGGGTTCTGGAACTTCCGCTCGGTTAATGTACGACCATACAGTTCGAGACGAGACTCCGTGGTGTGGTGGCGTGTGGCACGCACTGATTGAAGCCTGAGTGCAGGCGAAACGCGCATAGTGCGAACCGAGCGAGCGAGGACGTTGGCAATCATGACTGGATCTGTGAGCCCTTGTAGAGTCTTAAGCTGCAGTTGCTGGTGGTGCTGCTGCTGACATTGCGGCTCTCGAATTGCTGGGGTTAGGGAGCAGGTTGAGATGGGCAGACACTCACACAACAAGGATGCCCAATGTGCTTCATGTACAGCATCTATACCTCCCTCTCAACTAAATCATCCTCCCGATTGAGCGTCAGTGCACGTGAGACCTTGCTTACTCCCTTCTTCAGGCCATTCTTGACCCACGCCGCGGTGCGAATGGGTTTCTTTTGCATGATACCCCTGTGCCGTCTATGCCTCTCACGACGTGCAGCGGCTTTATCTTCAACCCACTCAGACATGGTGCGATGTCCCTTATCCGCATCCGAGTCACTATCCATCCAATCCTCATCCGGTGGCACTTCTTGTGCCTTGTTGGGACCTGTTCGTGGCGTATCCATACTAGCAATCGATACACCAAACGTCTCTGCCGTAGACAACCGTTCTTCAGTCGTTCCCTTTTCCATTCGCAAATCATCACGCATACGCTTTCTGAAAGATTGTTCCGTCTCCCATGCTTCATGCGTTTGTGCGAGATCACTGGATCGTTTACAAAAGCGGCGATGCACAGGTGATAGACCTGATGTCAAGCAACAATCCACCTCGAGATACCCAATTTTGCGCAACGACGCATCAGACTCACTCAAAGAATTCTTCTTGAAGCGTGCATAGTCCGCAGTTTGAAAGATTGGAATTTTGAGGATCGAGCGTTGATTGTCGTCAATGGCAGATAGGGCAATGCAACAACTGCCATAGATTCCCGAAAATAGCCCCTTTTTGGTGAACGGCACACCACCACGATGCATCTCAATACTCAATGACGTCGCATGACGTCTTCGGATGGGAAAGATGAGCTTACGTGGCATGTCCCAGGAGACATCACCATCTCGACCAGCATGAATCGCACTGATGGTCTTGCGCTGTAATTGCGTATCAATCCTCAAACTGCAGTCCTGCAAGGCAGCTGCATCTTCTTCTCCAACAACAGCTTTGAAGGAGTACAACTTCAATGTACCCAGATTCCAGCCTTGTAAGGCCCGTGGTAATTGAAGGTCGATATTGCGGAATAAAATGGAGACGCGCATGACGCCGTACCCAAGACCTTCAGCAATGGGGAACCAACGCGTCACTTGACCTTGATCTTTGAGAACTTCCCCTAGATCAAGTGGTAGAATGCCAATGATGGGATCATCTTCTCTGAAACGCTGGTCACGCACAGTGATACGAATCCTGGTATCTGTGCAACAACGAATGAAACGCTCAAAAGAGGCATTGAAAATAGGTCTATTGGTGAATGCCCGTGTGCGTGTCTTATAGACAAGTTCGTCATTCAGACTGATGCAGCAGTAACTGGAAGGCGCTGATTTTGACTAACGTTAGCAAAATCAACAATTGAAAAGGAGCTTACATCGTCCTCTGTAGCAACCTCAACAGCTTCTTCCGCAATCACATCACCGCTTTGATGGTGGAAAGATGATTTCACAGAAGGAATACCAAGGTCATTGATTTGATGAATCTGGATGGAGAGAATACCAGGATAATTCATATCCGGTGGCAGTCGGCAAATTAGCTGTTCCTGCTTGCTATCCACCGTCCAAGCAGGTTGCTGTTCTTTGAAATAAGGGTGGTCTCTCAAATCAGGTGGGGTTCGTGTATCAACAAGGGGTGGCACCGGTTGATCTGGAATGGTTCGTTTACCAAAAAAGCCGATGGACCAGTGTAAATGTGCAGTTTTTGTCCCAACAATCTTATCATTGCGTCGTTCAAAGTGTCCAGCTTGCCGAACCAATGTTGGCAAGTCCAACTCCACACGACCAAGCAAGTCATCAGCCGTGAATCGATCACTATCCCACAAATTGACTCGAATCTTTTCACCAGCTGTCGTTAGCATTCAGAGAAGGAAGGTGGAGAGATACCTTTGACCGGGCCAGGTAGGATAGGCAAGAAGCAAGTCTCCTCCCAAACAGGCTCATGATCCTGCTTGATGACACGTGTCGAGTACGTCGTCTTGCCAAATTGAGAGTACTGCAACGTCAGGTATGGATCCACCTTTGCGCGCCCAGGTCGATGATCAGAGCGTGGAACACCTGTTGCATGATGAAACGTAACCATAAGCACGCCAATGGCAGCTGTTTCCTTCTTGACATCATCACCCACCATGAGCTTTGAAATATCAAGGGTGTACGACCGCGGCGCAATCAAATCGCGTGCAACGATTTTGATGGCAAAACTAACGAGTTGCGAGACAAACGGCAGATTCATGACGTTGAAGAAGCGTTGCGATACAGGTGTCGTTGAAAGTTCAATCTTTGGCATGCCGAGTAATGTCAGAGTACCATTCTTCACGAATGGCGGGTCAGGTAATAGTTGGATACGCACACGAGCCTTGCCGACGATTCCCTGTACTTCCACCCAAATCGGGATCGGAATGCCCAGCACTTTACGCAAACCCACCTGAAACCACACGAGGAGATGGATGTGTTTTGCCTTTGCAGAGAGAGACTTGTCCGTCTTGCCACCTCTGTAACCAAACGACACTTCAATGTTGGCGTATTCACCCGCATCATCTTCGTCTCTGGCATGTCCGTCATCGGGTAAATATCGCATACTCAAGATACGCAAGGGCACCGAGCCTATATCGAGATCACTGACCTTGACAGTATGCACAATCGATGGCACTTGCTTCTGCATGACATCTTCGAGCAAGTCAATTGGGCCGGCGAATAGCTCCGGGTTGATGGTGGGCCAGATGGTTCGAACGATATTATTGAGCCATTCAACTGATTCGGGGACTTGGCTCAATGTTGCATTCTCACCACGGACACGCTCTGCTTCGTGGAAGGTCTCTCGGAAATGTGATGTGACGTTGTTGCGTACCCAAACCAAGGAGCCGATTGCCAGAATGGCATGGATCCAAAGAAGCCAGCCAATAGGAAGGAACTTAGTAGAGAAGACAACTTGCAGGGTCAGCGATACAAATACAACCACGTTACCCCACTGAAACAACGCTCGCTGCGATTCTTCCATGAGCTCGCGCCACTCTGGTGGTTGCATTGGGTAGAAGAGGACATTTGTGGGATCTTTGAGAGGTACTTTGGATAGCATAGACAGGATACTTGCTGTTTTTGCTTCATCTGACGCTGCCATTTTGCCGTACACTGGCTTGACGATACCTTGGTTTGCCATGATGCGTTTTGTTGAGCCTCGAACATGTTCAATCCATATTTCTCGGCCCGTAACGGGATCCTTGACCAATTTCTGTCTTCTGCGTGCTTTCGCTTCCTTGCGCTCCAGCTTGCGCTCTTCCTTTGTTAAGCGCACACTGCCGTTGAATTCCTCGAGGGGTGTACTCGGGGCAGATCTGTAGATACCCTCGGGGTCAGTCAAATCTAAATCAGAGTCCGAATCAGGCTGTGATATCCTTCCTTCTTGATTGTCCTCATCCCCAAGAACCGACTCTTCTGGAAAGACATGCCCGCGCCCAATATCGCCCGTATTCGAGTTGGTGTCTACCGTCCAATGCGTTGATTCTGCCGCTTTTGTATTGATGCTGGGTTCCGGCTGTCCCTTGACGAGCTGAAGTCGTTTTCTATCTTGCTTCTGTTGCGCATGGGTAGGAATGTCTGTTTCCCTTGGCGTTGCGTCAGAGGGCGCTATATGATGCGCATTGGGTGGTGGAGGTGCTGCTGCGCGCTCTGGCTCGGTTGGATGGATACAATGTTCCTCTGAGACTCTGTCGAGGGCCGGTTCTGTCATGCAGCTGCAGGTCTGGCTGCCGGAGTAGCTTGGTGCTGTTGCTGGCTGTTGTTGGTTGTTTGTTTGCGGTTGTGGATCTCATTTTGGATCTGGATCTGGTTTGCATGTGAAGACACAGCAGAGCACAAATAGCCACAAGAGCATGAGGGCTCTGAGGTGTGGATGGACAGGGAAGGGGCTGGCATGATCGCGCTAATGGTGACTGCTTGGAAGAGAGTGCTTGACTCCCTGGTGCGTGCAGTACATGCTTAGTCAGCAACCATCCATCCGCTTGACTATCTATCAGGCTGATCTGGGTATGTAGCGGGCCCTGTCATATAACCAAGCAGTACTCATAGTAATCCAGCAGCAGCAGCATCAGCCTCAGGTTGCGAGTGAGTTTGTGTCCCCGCATCAAACTGGGGCCGAGATGACGTGAAGCAGCAGAAGCAGCAGGACTCGAGATCAGGCCTGGGTACCGGGCACAGACAAGCTCCTCCCTCAAGATACAAACCACTTCTGCTCCATGTCACCGCCCTCTGAACGACTCGCTCAGGTATGTCCATCTCCCCTGCTTCAAGTCAGCAGCCCCCGCCCCCCTGCCTCGTTGCTGGACCCTTCACTCGATCTGCATCTCGGCTGCGACACCACGACGCCATTTCATCCATTGCCAAAGACTAACACATACCTTGTAGCACTCAAAAGCCATGAGTACACAAGAATCCGCCTTTTCCGAACTGCCGCTTGCCCCAGCAGATGCCATTTTCGCATTGACTGCAGCGTACAAGGCAGATTCATTCAAGGATAAAGTCAATTTGGGTGTCGGCGCATACAGAGATAATAACGGCAAGCCCTATGTTCTGCCAGTCGTTCACAAGGCAAGTCTCCAATGCTGATGAAGACATTTGGAAAGCTAATCCTTCAGGCCCACCAAATCATCGCAGCCGACAAGAATCTCGATCACGAATATCTCCCTATCGCAGGTCTCCCAGCCTTCACGGCTGCCGCTGCAAAGCTCATCTTGGGAAATGGCAGCAAACCACTTGCTGAAAACCGTGTTGCATCTATTCAGACCATCTCCGGTACAGGCGCCAACCATCTCGGTGCCCTCTTCCTCGCCAAGTTTTGGAAAGACGCGACCGTGTATGTCAGTAACCCAACTTGGGCCAATCACGCCGCTATCTGGCAGAATGTCGGTGTCCCCGTCCAACAGTACCCATACTGGGACCCTAAATCGCGTGGCTTGGATTTCGCTGGATACATGAAGACACTCGAGACGTGTCCCGAACGCAGTATCATCTTGATTCACGCATGTGCTCATAACCCAACAGGTGTGGATCCCACACAAGACCAATGGAAGCAAATTGCAGATGTCATGGAGAAGCGTCGACTCTTCCCCTTCTTCGATTGCGCCTACCAAGGATTCGCCTCTGGTGACCTCGAGAAGGATGCTTGGGCCACTCGCTACTTTGTTGAGCGTGGCTTTGAGATGTGCATTGCTCAGTCGTTTGCCAAGAACTTTGGCTTGTATGGTGAGCGAGCCGGAGCTTTCCACTGGATCGGCAAGACTGCTGACTCAACAAAACGCGTCAACTCACAACTCGCCGTGTTGCAGCGTAGTGAGATTTCCAACCCACCTGCGTTTCCCGCGCGCATCACATCGCTTGTGCTGAATGACGAGGCATTGTTTAAGCAGTGGCAAGGTGAATTAAAAGGCATGGCAGATCGGATCATTGCTATGCGTACGGAACTCTTTGGTCACTTGCAACGTCTGCAGACTCCGGGCGATTGGAGCCACATCACCTCGCAAATTGGCATGTTTTCCTTTACTGGCTTGACACCAAAGCAAGTTGCCTTCCTCACAGACAAGTATCACATCTACCTCACCAAGAATGGTCGTATCAGTATGGCTGGTCTCAATACAACCAACTGTGAGTATTTTGGCAAAGCAGTCGATGATGCCGTTAGGAATGCATAGTAGAATGGTATATTGTCAATCATAGACACACAAGTGGGTTTATATCATGCGGGTTTTTGTTGTTGCTTGTACTTATGCGGTCTTTGATTCTGTAGAGGCCATCTTTTCTCGAGCACGCAAGATGGCATCCTCTTTACGCTTCTTGAGCGTTGCTTCGCGTTGTGCACGTTCTTTGGACCAGGTATACTTGACGTCACCTGTCTCTGCTGAACGTCCCTGTAAATTGAATCGCTGCACCAGATCAGGATGTTGTTGCTGCTGCTGCTGTCCAGAAGATACAGCTGCATGACCTCCTCGTGTTGCTCCCGCAGCCGTACCAGACGCTGCCGACGACGACGACGCTGAAGTCGTCACACGATAACTGCTATAAGGACTGTCTCGTGGACACGCCGGCAAGGGTCGTTCAGCAAGTAGCGTCTCAATTGTCTGTTCGACATTCCTCGTCTTTGACAAGTCATAGGCGATGGCAGCGCGGTCTATTTGAGGAAACATAACAGCGACGTGGTCAATGTTGCGATCGACCCAGGATTTAGCCTCGTCTTGTGAAAGAGGAGATTCCTGGGTGAAGTATTTTAGGAAGAAGAAGAGAATAGCTGCTGCGACGAGGAGTAAGACCCAGCTCATGCCTTTTGAAGTGAGAGCAGACGAATGAAGCGCTTTTGGTGGTGGTACACTGCAGCACTGCAGGAAAGCTACTTGGGTGGATTACGCGCCCTTCCAAGAATTTCTGAATTCTGCGACGCCGACAAAGGACAATAGACACCTGTTACATCTAGACGACATCCATCAACTGCATGCATAGAGCGATAGGAAGGGCCTTTTCTACTGCCAGGCGGCTTCAAGCAGTTCAAGACCCCTATAAAACACTCGGCGTAGATAAGTCCGCCGACAAGGCAAAGATCAAAAAAGCCTACTTCAACCTTGCGAAAAAGTATCATCCCGATAGCAACAAAGATCCAAAAGCCAAGGACAAGTATGTGGAAGTGCAAGAAGCGTATGAGATTCTAAAAGATCCCTCAAAGAAGGAACAATTCGATACATACGGCGCCAATGGATTCGATGCAAATGGTAATCCGCAAAACAATCCATACGGCGGCTTTGGAGGGTTTGGCGGCAACCCTTTTGGTGGTGGTGGTGGTGCAGCTGCGGGTGGATTTAACTTTGAAGACTTGTTTAGTGCTTTTGGTGGTGGTGCACGGCAAGCAGGTGGAACGAGTGGACGCAGTCAGATCCTCGTGGGTGATGCGGTGGAAGTTGCTGCAACCATCAGTTTCATGGAAGCTGCAAAAGGAACAGGCAAGCAAATCACCATTGAACCTTTGGTCAAGTGTCGTCCGTGTACAGGCAGTGGCTTGAAACCGGGAGAGAAGAAATCAGCGTGTTTGGCGTGTGGTGGTGCAGGCACGCGTGTACACATCATGCAAGGCGGTTTCCAAATGCAAATGACGTGTGAGGTTTGTCAGGGTGCTGGTATTGTTATTCCTCGTGGGAAGGCATGTGGTACGTGTCATGGCGAAGGTGTCGTACGGGAGAGAAAGACCGTAAAGGTGGATATTCCTGCTGGTATCGAAGATGGTATGCGCTTGCGTGTTGCAGGGGAAGGCGATGCACCACAGACAAGTGGAGCGCCGCCCAATGTCTCAACACGCAATGGCGACTTGTACGTGCACGTTCGCATCCAGCCATCCAAGGAAGGCTTTGCGAGAGAGGGCCCAAACTTGCGGTACAAAGCTACGGTGCCCATGACAACTGCTGCCTTGGGTGGTCACTGCAAGATTCCCACACTAGAGGGAGATGTCAATATCAAAGTCACTCCCGGTACGAGCACCGGTGATGCCATCACCATGACTGGCAAAGGGATGCCTCGCATTGGCAGCGATGCGAGAAGTCGTGGGCCCGGTGACTTAACGGTTGAGTTCAAGGTCCAGATGCCGAAACAGCTCGACCCGAAGCAACGCAGTCTATTGGAGCAACTTGCTCAGAGTCTTGGTGATGCGACAGCACGGAGAGACGACGGTAAACCAGCAGAGGCTCCCAAACCGGGAGAGAAGGGTATTTTCTCGTCCATCTTTGACAAGTACAAGACAAAGGACGAAAGTGCGTCTGGCGGCGAGACGAAAAAGTGACAGCATCATTAAGCGACTTGACTTGCACCCCACTCATCACATAATAACTCTTAGAGCATGCACATTACTCAGTCTCGAGCATCATTGACCTTGGAAGGTGCACGTCTTGCCACTGCAGCGGCAGAAGCGCATGCCAAGAAGATTGGCGTGCCTATGAATATTGCTATTGTTGATGAATCCACCCATCTCTTGTCCTTTTCACGCATGGCCGGTGCAAAGCTGACGTCTATCAGCATTGCCCTTGACAAGGCCTTCACTGCAGCTGGTCATCGGCTGGCAACGCACCAATACAAGGACGCGGTTTGGCCGGGCGGTGTTGCTTTTGGTATCAATTGGTCGAATGCAGGCAGGTTTCAGACGATTGGCGGTGGCATCCCCTTCTTTGGGCTTGATGGACAGGTCATTGGAGCTATTGGATGCAGCACAGGCTCACCTGCTCAGGTACACAGGCAGAAGAATGAAGGATTATGCTAACAAATAGGATCAAGAGTGTGCACAAGCGGGCGTCGATGCAGTGCATGCCTATCTACGCAAGGACTTGCCTGCCAAGGCGAAGCTCTGATTATGCAAGCTGAGGATGATCCAGCTACTAGGTTTATACAAGTTTATACTTTGTCATATGCATAGAAGGTCATCATGCCCGGGAAGCTGATAATCCCCCAAAACCACCACAACAAATACCATGGCAACCCTCGAACGCGTCTTCATCGCCGCTGTCCTCGCCCCAGCGATCGGTCTCGGTTTCTTTCCAAAGCTGACATGCGATGGCTTCGGTGTTCCTAATGCAACAGGCGCGACACTGCACTTCTCGCGTTTGATGGGCGTCCGTGGCATCATCTTTGGTCTTGCGATTATTTTTGCACCGCGAAATAGTGCTGAGCGACAGATGGCTATCAAAATGGCTGCATTGTCAGAAGCCTTGGATGTTGTTGTTGGTGCAATCAGTTACATGCAGGGTGATATGGCTGGCGGGCCTGCACTGCAGTCAGCTGTTGCTGCTGGCATTGTTGCGTTGCTTGGATACTTTTCGCTCTAGCAAGGGGCAGGATGGCCTCGAGCATATAGCTGTTTATGATCCTAATATACCTTACTAACACTTCTACGATCACGGAAACGCACAGATGCCTCTGCAAGTCAAGCTTAAACTGTCTTCTATTTCCCGAGATAACGGCCCCGCAGTTCCCCAGATCATGCAGGTATCGTCATCGCTGCTCGTCTAGCGGCCAGTCGCTGACCAGGCAGAGTCTCTTGCCAGTCTCTTGCGTGTTGCTCAATGACAAGTAGAGGCAACTACTGTTATAAAGACCAGGGGTTTAGCTATGTCCAAGCAACCGCTTCCTGTGGCGGCAATTTGGAATGGCTGAAGAGCGATTAAACGTAGGACCAGCTATGCATTGTCACTCGCCCTTAGTGGAACCGAGTCCAACTTATGACACTTGAGTTCTAGCTGCCGCCCGCTCTGACCACGAGGGTGAGGACACACCAATTCATGATGGACGAGATCTAGCCTATTCAGTGCCAGGAGTGCTTCATCGCACTGCCGCATGCGTTGCACAGCCGCCCGGATATGCGATGTTGCCCTTCCCCCTGAGCCATGTCGTAGATGCTGGTGACAAACAGTGGACCAGGTATAGAGTACCTTTACCTGGTCCATGGGCCACTTGCGCTGACTGGTTGGGGCGTATGACGTGTGATTGGTCAGAGAGCCGCAGCCTTCCCTTCCCCCCCTTCCGACGCGCAACCGTGGACTGCGGCGACCCTCCTCATCCCCAACCACCCTCTCTCTCTCTCTCTCTCTCTCTCTCTCTCTCTCTCTCTCTCTCTCTCTCTCTCTCTCTCTCTACTCCTACTCCATCATAGCCAGACAGCAGGATGGTCCAGTACAAGTTCTCCCTCGGTATGCAGACAAACAATGTGCGCGCGCGCGCTAACACTTCCATACAGAAACAGACGAAGTCGTGCCGCAGGGACACGGCAAGATCAGGCGCTCCATTCACGCCGCAGACCAGCTTCTGACGCAGCCACACCCTGATATCCACACCATCTACGATATCATCCAATTCGCAGCAAAGTCATTCGGCAAGAAGAACGCAATTGGCTGGCGCACACTCATCAAGGAGCATGTTGAGGAAAAGACAATCACCAAGAAGGTGGGAGGTGAAGACAAGAAAGTACAGAAGAAATGGACGTACTTTGAGTACTCAGACTACAAGTACCTCACCTTTGTGGAGCTCGAGGAGCAGGCGCGACAACTCGGTAGTGGATTACGACACATTGGCTTGAAAGCAGGCGACAAGCTCGAAATCTTTGCAGGCACAAGCGCCTTCTGGATGCTCATGGCGCAAGGCGCCAACACGCAGTCCATGCCAATTGTCACTGCCTATGATACGCTCGGGGAGGAGGGTCTCCACCACTCGCTTATGGAGACTGAGGCCAAGGCAATCTTTACAGATGCACCACTGCTGAATCAACTACTTAAAGCGTGCAAAGACACCAGCATTCGTCACATTATCTACCGCGGCACGCCTGCTGAGGGCATTATTGACAAACTTAAGAAGGCATTCGACGTCAACGTCTTGTCCTTCGAAGAGCTACTCGAACAAGGTAAAGCCAACATGGTAGACGTGGTTCCTCCAAAGGCGGATGACTTGCTATGCGTCATGTATACCTCAGGCTCAACTGGTGTGCCCAAAGGTGTGCTTCTCACCCACCGCAATGTCATTGCAGCCATTGCCGGTGTTGACAAGGCCATGAATCGCTACATCAACAAGGAAGATTTCCTTATTGCCTTCCTTCCCCTTGCCCACATCTTTGAGTTTGTCTTTGAAAATATCACGTTGTACTGGGGTGGTACTCTGGGCTATGCAACAGTCAAGACACTGACAGACACCAACATGCGCAACTGCAAGGGCGATTTGGGTCTCTTCAGGCCAACCATTATGGTGGGCGTTCCTGCAGTGTGGGAAATGGTGCGAAAGGGTATTGTTGCAAAAGTCGCTGATGCACCTTTCATTGCACAAAAGTTGTTCTGGGCAGGTATTTCCGCAAAAGGCTTCCTGAGTGCTCTTCACCTACCGGGTTCTGGTATCCTTGATGCTGTCATTTTCAAGAAGATCAAAGCAGCGACCGGTGGTCGTCTACGATACTGCTTGAATGGTGGTGCACCCCTCTCAAAGGAAACACAAATCTTCCTCAGCAAAATCTTGTGTCCTATCCTTGCTGGGTATGGACTCACGGAGACTTGTGCTACATCGACCATTTTGCCGCCAGAGGGTTGGACACCTGGTGTTGCTGGTGCGCCACTTGCTTGTCTTGAATGCAAGTTGGTGGATGTCCCTGATGCAGGCTACCTCACCTCACACAAACCACCACAGGGAGAAGTTTGGCTGCGTGGAGATTCCATCACTGCTGGCTACCTTAATCGCGATGAAGAAAACAAGGAAGCTTATGAGGATGGTTGGTTCAAGACTGGTGACGTTGGACAATGGGAACCGAATGGTCTCTTGGCCTTGATTGATCGCAAGAAGAATCTCGTCAAGACACTTAATGGCGAATACATTGCGCTTGAGAAGCTTGAAAGTTCTTACCGGACATGTGCATTGGCTGCGAATGTCTGTGTCGTTGCCAATGATAACCATGCAAAGCCTATTGCCGTTATCTTTGTGAATGAAGTTGCGCTCAAGAAGTTTTGCGATGGCAAGGGACTCACTGGCAACCATCAGGATGCCGATGATATGGTCAAGGATAAGAAGATTCGCGACGCCGTGTACCAAGAAGTCGTCACTGCTGGTAAAGCAGGTGGTCTCAGTGGCATTGAGCTCGTTGGTAATGTTGTGCTCACAGACATCGAACCGACACCACAATCGAAGCTCGTGACGTCTGCTCAGAAGCTACAGCGCAAGCCTATCCAGGAGAAGTTCAAGAAGGAGATTGAGGCTGCTTTCAATGAAATTGATTGAGAGTGTGAAGCAACATCAACACATGGGACTCTATGGTTCGGGGATGGGGAATAAGGACTCTTCTTTTTTTCAAGTGCAAAACGTGTTTGTCTGGCTTTCTTCAATCGTAGGGTCGTCGTAGTAAGTAATGTGCTCACTGCTTATCCCTCACTCTACTACTGTACTTGTTTTCCGTCAGTAGTCTGACAACTCACGTGTTTGCGGGGTCTGAAACTCGGCAACTGCCGCCTTTTTAAAAACTTACGCGCCCCTGCATCCATCGCTCGCACAGAACCGTCGAGACGCCGAAGCCTGTAGCTAGCTATAGCTTTCTTCACAAGCCTAGCAAAGGCATTCTTGCCCAAATATCGTGGTTGCGCATGTCGAGTGTCTCGACGGTTGCAGGATCCGGTAAGGATCTCGCGAGCCAATCTGTTTGTTCAACAGAAACGCGTTGTGAGCGGTTACCTGTACAAAAATCATGGAAGCCCTGGATCAGAGCGTATCATGCAACGAGCGATCTCCTCAAATATCCATATCCTGGACGGGGAACACAAGAAGATCCATTTGTGATTGACTTCCTCCCTGGCGATGTCGAGAATCCACTCAATTGGTCACATGCATACAAATGGTTCGTGTCGATGCTTGTATCGATTGCATTGTTTGCCATCTCTTTCGACTCCTCAGCGTATGCAGGAGGACTCAAGGGTATCATGGAGGAATTTGGTGTGAGCATCGAGGTTGCAACAGCAGGCATCTCACTCGTCTTGCTGGGTTTTGGGCTAGGCCCTTTGCTCTGGTCGCCACAATCAGAAGTCTTTGGCCGACGACAGACGTATGTCGTGACGTATGGTGCTACAGTGTGCTTCCTTGCCGGCTCAGCAGGCGCTCAAAACATTGAAACACTGCTGCTCATGCGCTTCTTCACAGGTGCATTCGGCGCGAGTCCGCTGGTCAATGCAGCTGGCGTCGTTGGTGATGTATTCGAAGAGTCAAAGCGTGGCATTGCATTCAGCTACTTTGCAGCAGCACCCTTTGCTGGACCTGTTGTCGCGCAGATTGTTGGTTCTTGGGTCGGTCAGATTGAAGGCTGGCGATGGGTGATGGGCGTCATGTGCATATTTACATCCGTCATGTGGATCATTGGTTGTTTGTTTGTGCCAGAAACGTATCCGCCTGTTCTCCTTCGAGCTCGAGCAAACAAGATGACAAAGGAGTCTGAGAGCTTGTACATCTCTCGCTATGATGCAGCAAAACGTCTCGACCTCAAAGCACTCTACAAAGTAGCACTGCTACGACCTTGGGTCATGCTCTTCACCGAGCCGATCGTCACGCTCCTTTCAGTCTACACGGCCATTGTCTATGGAGTACTGTATCTCTTCTTCACTGCTATGCCTATTGTCTTTCACCAAGATCGAGGCTGGTCGCAAGGCATCACGGGTCTCTCCTACATTGGCATCACTATTGGTATCTTTTGCGCCATCTTGTACTCTGTCTGGGATGACAAGCGATACCAACGTTGTATCGCGCGAGCTGCATTGACGACATTGCCAGGTCAAAAGCCAAGAGCGCCGCCAGAGTCACGATTACCACCTGGTATGATTGGCAGTGTCATGATGCCCATTGGTCTCTTCATATTTGCCTTTACCAATCGCAAAGAAATCCACTGGATTGTGCCAATTAGTGCAACTGCTTTGTTTGGTTGGGCTGAAGTGGCCGTCTTTCAATGCAGTCAGACGTATCTGGTCGATTCGTATGGGTTGTACAGTTCGTCTGTTTTGGCTGGCAGCACACTCCTTCGGAGTCTTGTCGGCGCAGCATTTCCACTCTTTGGAACAAAACTTTACACAGCACTTGGCAATCAATGGGCCTCCTCGATACCGGCATTCTTGGCATTGGCATGTGCACCATTCATGTTTGTCTTTTACAAAAAGGGACCAGAAATTCGTCGACGATGCAAATACACTGCCGAGGCAGATAGAGTGTTTCACGAGTCATTCAAGGCAGATTTATCAGGGGTGCCTGATTTACAACGGAAACGTACAAGGGACGAAATGCATGAATTGCATAGGGTTGTGAGTGTAGTCTGAAGGGTGGCTTATTGTAAATTCTAGCCATATATCAAGCATTTAATGAAGTTTATGAATTTGTGAACGACACTTCGGCTTCTTCGCACAAGCTAGATAGCCGGAGTCTGGCAGCTCAGGGTCTACATCAAGGTTTCGAACAAGTCAGGGGTAATTTAGTAAAATTAAAGCCCTGGATAAGAACCCGGCGATATCAATATTGAGCTCGCGAGCTTGCAAATCTAAGGGGAGAGGATACATGCAGTGTCGTTATGGATGCTTTGAGGAACCGCAACTTGCTCTGTTCATCGATGATGTTCTCCACCAGTCCAGCTTTGCTGTTTCCACACCTGCAAACATTCATTCGGCCTTAGGCCAACAATCGATAGTTTCTCAAACTCAGACCGGGACACGCAATATTGGCAAGCTTCCCTACTCGGCAAATTGCCTGTTGAGGATTGATAATCATTGAGTCGCAATGACAGAGCCAGTAGAGACCAACGTGCTGGCCTTCCAGTTCGGATGTCAAATTTGCAAAGAAAAAACGACGCCGACCAGGCAGGAAGACGTTGACAGAGTAATCTTCTGGATAACAGAGTAGGAATCGGCCATTTGAAGACCAGATGACTGGCAGACCGGGCATAATGCCAATGTAGTCGCACCAAAGCCATGTATGAAACGTTTCAGACGTATAGTATGCGCCTTCGTTGTTGTAGACTCTTTGCGGTTCCAGCTTCTTCAACGGCATAGCATTATCTGCTGCAGTGAAGTTCTTGACTTTCAATGGTCGAGATGCAACTGTGATTGAGAGCTGCAGCCCGATGAGTAGCAAATGAAGCATCATAGCTTTCTGCCGACCTTAGGAAATGGCACAGTAAAGTTCTTATAGCCCGACAGTTGCACTTCCCAACAGCAGCTGCATTCAATTCTCAGCTTGCGACGCATCGCCAAGGTAGCATAGAAAGGGCCTCTCAAGAAGCAACCCAACGAATTGGGTCGCAAGATCAGCTGCTGCAAGGCTAAACCAGCATGACAGAGTGTGGCCTGGGCATACGCTGCATCTGATTTTGAGCGAGGATCGAACGGTTGCTCTACATGACAGTCTTGAGGCTATTGCGAAATTATAGGCCATGTTCAAAGCTGGAAGATTTTCGCCTGCAACGGTTGGAAATTGGAATGGGGGGCCGTTCTCTCTTCGGGAGCACCAAAAGCAAGAAACATGAGGTCGCATAGCCAAATATAGCTAGAAAACGGTTGAGACAAGCTTCAAATTGATCCGTCGTAAGTACTATCGACTGAGCACTGGCTCAAATTACCCGGCCTCGATATCGTAGACGCTTGTTTGCCCGGTGAGCACGGCTGATTGAGGGAAAGACAGATGTCCAGCCAGATGGACTTCCTCGATTTACTTTTGCTTGCTTTTGACGACGTGTAGCCACTTATTGAAAGACGTGATCTTACCAGACCCAGCACCACATGTACATGGGTATAATCAAGTTGTCATTCTCAGAGCTGATGCCTTCCATCAGACTAGTCATAATTGCACCCACAAGAAAACGTGCTCGACTCGATGCAGTTAGCGGTGTGCCCGTCCAGCCAAATGCCGCTGCAATCGCCCCACCTAATGCGACGGCGACTATAAAAGCTAGCGTGCCTTCCAAAGATTTTTCTAGACCCGGGTACTTGTGCTTGCCAAATTTCTTGCCAACGATGCTTGCCGCTGCATCACCGACACCGAGTGTCAAGACACCACTGAGAAGAGCAATATGCGGGGAGGTCGAATCCGTCAGAGAGATCCAGACGGGCGCGGAAACGCCGAGGAGCAGAAAGAGATGGCTGACGACGAGGTGGCCGGCGTGGTCACGGGTATCTGTGAAGCCACTGAGAAACTTGTGAATGGGAATGCCAAACGGCGCTACCACAGCAACGCGGATGACTTCTTCGAAGATGAATGCGGCCGTTGCGAGACTGAGTGCCAGATAGCTCAAGGGTGGATCGCGATTGAGTGTCGGCAGGAACAAAACGACAACTAGACCGTGAAAGAACTTGCGACGTCGGTCGAGTGCACGCGATCGACGTTGCTGAGTATCCTCGTCTTCAAAGAATACATCGTCATCTTTCGGTGCAAGGAGCTTGATGGCATTGCGTGGAAGACCGGAAAGACCGCCAACGGGTTTGCTGCCCCAAAAGTAAATAACCACAATGACACCAGTGCCAGCGACAGCAAGCCAGTAGGCAATCAGAATAAGACGAGGCACGGTCAAGTAGCTTATGAGCCAAAAGAAAGGATCCTGACCGAGAGTTTTGCCAAGCCAAGGACGTACAGCGAAGAGAACGACCAGCACCATGACGACGTATGCTTTTGCAGCTGTCGCCAGCTTGAGCTTTGCACAATGCTTCGGCCGATGTTGTGGCCTGATTTTAGCCAGCTTGATGCTCTGCTGCAGGAAGGGTGTCGCAGCTGTGCAAGCAACTAGCAGCCCCCAGAGCATGCCGAATAGCAAAGTTTCGTAAAAAGTGCAGTCTTGATGAAGGTAGCGCCAAGTGAAGGCAGCAAAAGCCTGGCTGATGAGCGATAGCTCGACCTCCTTGAGTGATGTACCAGCAAGCACCTTACCAAGGGCGTGGATCTGAAGCGAGAGCAAGGGCCTCAGCGAGTCTGAAAACGTATAGCCCAGCAGTTCAACAAGCGTTGCTGCAGAGGGTGACCATGGGCCAAGTGGCCGAACGTGGTTGAAAAAGGTGTATAGGAAGGGGATTGCACCGAGGAATGAGCTGCTGCCTCGACGATAGGCTATAGAATGAGGCAAGACGACCCTATAAAGCAAAAGACTCGTCCAGCGATGCCGCTCCGCGTTGTAGAGACATACGGCAGAGGTTGCCAAAACGACGGCTATAGCCCAACAAAGAGATTCCCCGTCCCAGACAGCAGTCCCCGGCAGTGCATAGATGCTGAGTATCAAGGCCCATTCGCCCAGCTGGTAGAAGACAGTCCTCATCTCATGGCTCGTGGAGTAGTCTGCCTACGGGCGTTATGCTACCTCTATCTCGCTATTTTCTTGTTCACTTTTCTCGCGCTCGCCCAAATCCAAACACCTGCGCAGCACGCCCTTCAACTCCTCGGCAGCCTGCTTCGAGCCAACCCGCATTGCTATCCACACGCCCTTGCCATCCTCGACACCAAATAGCTTGAGCGTCTTTTCACCCAATGCTTCGCCGCCGTCCTCGAGCTTGTATGTGTTCCGAAGTGGCATATTGAGAATGACACGCAGCACAGCATCAGCTCGCATCACAAGTCGACTACCGCGCTTCTCCTTCCCCTCCTTGTCAGCTTCGAGTACTCTCAAGGTACCCAGCCCGCGCTCCTTCCAGCCTTCATTAGCAGCTTCGGGATTAATGGCATATAGCTTTGCCTTGACGGTGTGAATACACGTTTCCCCTTCCTCGCCAGTTGGCACTATTGTCCGCTCGAGTCCGCGCACGGCAACGTATTGTTCGTCATCTGCCGTTTCCTCTTCTTGCTCGTCTCCGCTCTCTTCCTGCTTATCGAGAAGATTGCCAAAAGTGCTTGAACCAGATTGTTGTCCAAGGAGTGATCCAAATCCCGTAGCACTGGATTGACTCTTGTCGGCGCCAAAATTGAAGCCTGAGCTAGAGCCAGGCGCACTCGCAAAGCCAGATGCGCTGCCAAAGCCACTGGCAGTAGCAAATCCAGAAGCGCTGCCGAAGCCAACCTTTGGTTTATCTGTTGCAGGTGCGGTGTCCTTCGTGACCGAGAGGTCCTGGTCTGCAGGCTCGTTAGCAGCCGGCGCATCCTTTGGCGACTCTTCCGCTTCCAGCGTCACGGCAGGCTCTTCAGCTTTCGATGAGCTCGACCCATTGGCAGAGGTAGGAGGTGTCGGCTCTTTTGAACCTGTGCTGGCCTCTTCGGGAAGCTCAGCCTTGTCCGTGTCAGTTTCTTTTGCAATATCAGCATGTAGTTCGGACGTCCGTTTGAGCTCTTGCGACTTTCTCGCTTCCGCAACACTAGGACTCAATTCCCGCCGTTTCGTACCCTTCATCTCTGCTCCGCCAGCAACAGTGGTCTGTCCAGCACCACTCGCATCATCCTCGTCTTCTTCCTCGCGCTGCCGTTTTTCTTTAAGACTTTCAGACAGGATGGCGTCTTTGCGCTCTTGGAGGGTTGTCTCTGACATGGGCTTTTGGATCTTATCCGCCATGGTTCAGCGACGTCGAGGGGCCCCACACCTGGGGCTTCTGCAGGTTTTGGGTGTCGGTTTGTAGCGAAATGCGTGGGCGTTGTTGAGCATCGAGGCGCGAAATTGCCGACAGACTTTGGATGACAACCTCAAGCAAGCTGCAAGCCTTTGAACGTCAATTGTGCCATTATCGTGAGATGCTCTGACGATGGGAGCAGGAGCTTCGCAGGGACAGGAGTGGTCGGCTTGTAACAGCACTCGAGATGTATGAAGCTGCTGCTATCGGACTATGCTTGAAGCTCCTCATGACCGGTGGGCCCTATCTGCATCATCGTGTCTTCATGCTCATGGCAACCGGTTGAACCGGACGCCTACAACCCCAGGCTGTGTCATTGCTATATTGAATGCTTACCGCTGCTTGCTCAGTCACGCCTTTCTACATGTGGGAAGATCTCAGACTTGCTTGAGAGCCAGCTGCAATCCGAGGACTGTCATTCCAAGGGTTGCTTGCTCGACAATCAGTTCTTGCGATACCATGCACTATGCACTATGTGATGCGAAGCGTGGTCTTGGTCGAGGATGAAGAAACTTGACCGATATTTACGGTACATTGCAAATTGACACGTATGTTGCTGCCAGTCTGCAGCTCTTGAACTTGTGACGCCCTGCTCCTCTAGACATGATGATCGTACACGCAGATGAGGCTGTTTCCCCCGTAGACGTAGATGCTTACCTCATCCTTCCTGAACTTTCCCTGTGTGCACGTGACGGAGAAATTTCTTTCAACAAAGATGCAAAGACGACGACATCACCAGCTACATCCCCCATACAATCATGCTGTCTGCTCGTATGTTCAAGCAGAGCGTAGGCAGGACTCTCCTCCGTCAGCCTTATGCACGCAGAGCCATGTCTGAGCAAGTCAAGGGCCAAGTCATCGGCGTGGATCTTGGTATGTCATCACATCTCACAAGAACATCATGGAAGAGTATGCTAACAGCGATTGTACAGGCACGACCAACTCTGCAGTGGCTGTGATGGAAGGCGCGACGCCTCGTATCATTGAAAACAGTGAAGGTGCACGTACAACTCCTTCCGTCGTGGCGTTCACAAAAGATGGCGAGCGCCTCGTCGGTGTTGCTGCTCGTCGTCAAGCAGTCGTCAACCCGGAGAACACGCTGTTTGCCACCAAACGTCTCATTGGTCGGCGATTTGATGAGCCAGAGGTGCAGCGCGATATCAACCAAGTGCCATACAAGATTGCAAAGCACAGCAATGGTGATGCTTGGGTCGAGGCACGTGGCCAAAAGTACTCTCCCTCGCAGATTGGTGGATTCGTGCTTGGTAAGATGAAGGAGACTGCCGAGGCTTACCTCAACAAGCCTATCCAAAATGCTGTTGTCACTGTTCCTGCTTACTTCAACGACTCGCAGCGTCAGGCGACTCGTGATGCCGGTGCTATCGCTGGTCTGAACGTGCTCCGTGTGGTCAACGAGCCTACGGCTGCTGCTTTGGCGTACGGTCTTGACAAGGATACCGACAAGATTGTGGCTGTATACGATCTCGGTGGTGGTACTTTCGATGTCTCCATCCTGGAACTGAACAAGGGTGTGTTTGAGGTCAAGTCGACCAACGGAGACACTCACCTCGGTGGTGAGGACTTTGACATTGTCCTCGTCAGGCATATTTTGGAGCAATTCAAGAAGGATGAGAACATGGATCTCTCCAAGGACCGTATGGCCATTCAGCGTATCCGCGAGGCTGCTGAGAAGGCCAAGATTGAGCTCTCCTCTACTGTTCAAACTGAGATCAACCTTCCATTCATCACCGCCGACGCATCAGGACCCAAGCACATCAACACCAAGTTGACCCGTGCTCAATTCGAGAAGCTCGTAGAGCCAATGATCAAGAAGACCATTCAACCATGTGAGAAGGCTATGAAGGATGCCGGTGTGAGCAAGTCTGAGATTCAAGAAGTCATTCTTGTTGGTGGTATGACACGTATGCCAAAGGTCACTGAGGTCTGCAAAGGCATTTTCGGTCGTGATGCAAGCAAGTCTGTCAACCCTGACGAGGCTGTTGCCATGGGTGCCGCTATTCAGGGTGGTGTGTTGTCAGGTGAGGTCAAGGACATCATCTTGCTCGATGTGACACCACTTTCGCTCGGTATTGAGACGCTCGGTGGCGTCTTTACCCGTCTCATCAACCGCAACACCACCATCCCTACCCGCAAGTCGCAAACCTTCTCGACTGCCGCTTCTGGTCAAACTGCCGTCGAGATCAAGGTATTCCAAGGTGAGCGTGAGCTCTGCAAGGACAACAAGTTGCTCGGTAACTTCCAGCTTGTCGGTATCCCACCTGCGCCCAAGGGTGTTCCTCAGATTGAGGTCACCTTTGATATTGATGCTGATGGTATTGTCAACGTTGCTGCCAAGGACAAGGCCACCAACAAGGATCAAAGCATCACCATTGCCGCATCATCCGGTCTCACAGAGTCTGAGATTCAAAAGATGGTGGATGAAGCTGAGCAAAATGCCGGTGCTGACAAGGAGCGCAAGGAACAGATTGAAGCTGCCAACCGCGCGGATAGCGTCATGAACGACACGGAGCAGTCACTCAAGGACTTTGAGGCGCAGATTGATAAAACGGAGGCTGACAAGATCCGGCAGTCCATCACTGACTTGCGCGAGGTGATTGCAAAGGCACAGGCTGGTGATTCACCTGCTTCTGCTGCTGAGCTCAAGGAAAAGACGGATGCCGTGCAGAATGCATCGTTGAAGTTGTTTGAGCAGGTGTACAAGAACAAGGCTGCACAAGAGCAGGAGAAGAAGCCTGAGGAGCCAAAGCAGGAGGAAGAGAAGAAGTAAAGTGTGGAACTAATATGGCGTCAAAATCATAAAAGATAAATAGCATATCCCCAATCCCTGTTCAACTGCTTGCCTTGAGCCATGAGGATGCAGAAGGACCTTTGAAGGTCAGCTGGAAATCTTGAGATTGCTCGGTCGATCCTTTGTGCTCTGCCACTGAGAAGAGTCCTGCACTCATGACAGGTCCTGTGGGCTGAATGATGTTGATGTTGATACACCTCCTTTGACCACAGCAGTTGCCGCGGTACTGTCCGAGCTCTGAAGGCCGCATACCGGCGATATGATACCGCACGAGGATCTGTCTAGGAGTGTCTAGCTCCTCAAATCGTCTTCAGGGTCTAGACTCTAGACCTCTCGTCTGCGCAAATTCAGTCGCTCGCGATTGTTGTCTTGGCAAACAACTGTGGTCTTGGCAGCAAATAAGTTACCCCTGAATATGTAACTCGGGATGGAAACTTTCCACATCACCATTTCTGTGCGGAAAATCGAGATCACACTTGCAAATATATGCGTGCCAGAGTGTCAATACCTTTCCACAAGCAGACAGAGACCGATCTAGCAGCTCCTATCGTTGCACGTATCTAACCTCCCTGTGATTGCGGGAGGCTTTGACTCTTCAGCTTCCCCTGTTGGGCAAATAAGTCTCTCTTGCGAGATGATCAGGGGTTCGCACAATGCACAGCAAGGGGGATTAGCAGCCCTGATCCGTGGCCTTCAAGTTGCAGCCCGAGTATAAAACGGGAGCCTGTCCTCATCGTCTCTGTTTTTGCTTGTAGGCTTCCACGGGTTAGAATCACCGATACACAAAGGCTGGTCCTGCTCTACAATCAGCCTGCTCAATCACAGTTGTATTTGCAAGCCCAGCAACCTACTCACATACGCAATATGTTGTTCGCAGTCTCGCAAGCTTTGTTCATTCTCAGCCTGATTCAGGAACACCTAGCTGATCAGCCCGGAACTTGCCCTCGCCGACTTCCTTATCCATCTCTTTTTTTGGACGACGGGACTTGTTACGATGGTGACTTCATTCTCATGAAGCTCGGTCTCGTTCCAGACTCCCTTCCATGCACGGTGTGGTGTCACGGTCAAGCTCAGAAATACCTACAGTCCCTCACGGTGTCTAGCTTGCTCGTCAAATCTCCAGTCTCGCTATGCAGCGTCGGCAAGCAGTCACTTTCCTATCGAACCACATACTTGTCGTTTTCAACCATGTTCGGGTTGATGGACGGCTACGAGCGCTACATCGCCCGCGTGGCTGCCAAATATAAGGCCTCCATTTCCGGGACTCCTCCACCTTCGACGCTCGGCAAGCGGGCGTTCCAAGACTCGAAAAAAAGTGACAAGCTCACTGGCTCTTCCAGGCCTCCATTTTCACCATTTTCGGCTTTGACCTTATATCGCCTCCTTTGGATGACTACATCAGAATTGATTCGTCATTACTGGGACATGGATTATATCAGGCAATTCACGGTCAACTTATACCGGCAGGAGGAGGAAGAGGGACGCGCTGAATATGCCGAGTTGGGGTCGCGATTAAACAATTATCTGGGATACTTGAAAAGGTCTGCCGGTCTAGAGGAGCTTCCCACAGGTAATGGCGATGCCAGCAAAGCTAAGAGCAAGGAAGGCGAATCAGGGTCAGTTACAGCTCTCAATTGGAGGCTTTGCAAGTGTGAGGTGGCCATCAAATTCAACCGCATGCTCTTGGCTACGGGTCCAGCTGCAGATCCAGCAATTGACCTCTTGTTTCAGACTCTCTGTAAGCCTCAATACGTGAGCCAATACCTCGCAAGTCTACCTTACAGCTGGAGTCTTGACAAAGCTAATTCTCTGATCATTGACAGCAAGGAGACTTATCCACCACAGGCGAAAAGTCTGACGACGTTTCTAGCTGATGAAAACCAGCAACGAGGATTTTCCTGTGAGACTGCGAACGGTCTTTTCGGAACCGACAGAGTTTGTCAGTCTATGCGTCGTCCCGGATGGGTGCAGCTGAAGTGCTGGGATTCTCTCAAGCTCGCTACGAGAAAACAAAGGGATCGTCCACAGCCAAATTGTCGTAATCCGATGCCGCTACTGAGGGATCCGAACCCTTACTTATAGGGCTTCGCAATGACTTGCAATATGAGGATAGTCGACGAGCGATTTACAATTGATCTTCTGACCTGAGAGTTGGTAGTTGTTTGCTTAATTTAGGAAAACTGGCAATTGTGATCAACGTCGATTGCAAGCTTCTTGTAACAACAGGGCTGAGGCGTGACGAGGCAGAGCAGAGCGTGTCCACGTCGACGACACCACACCACAGGGAAACTTTTGAGAGAGGCGGTTTTACCAACTGAAGAACAAGGCAGCAGAAGGCTGTCCTTTTAGCTTCGTAGGCTAGAGCTAGAACCCATAAAACAGTAGGACAAGAAACATGGCCAAGGTCCTAAAGGACTGTGGGCGGCACCTAGCCAGACGAGCCGATAGACAAAGAGATGTCTCAGATTGGTGAGGCCAGAATGAGAGACCTGCGCCAGATGAAAGCAAGCAACTAATGGAAATGCCGAACGAGTAATGCATGATCCAGGTAGGATCTAGATCGATCGTTGTGGTTGTGCACAGAAGAACAGCCGCGAGATATAACCAGAGGTCTCAGTTGATGAGGCATATGAACTCATGAATAGGACTTGTTCAGTCAGTCCGTGACACGACCCTCCCCTGAGCGCGTCATCTTCGTTGCGCAAAAGGTGGCCTTGGAGCAGTGGGATTGCGTTGGTGGAAGTGGTGGACAAGCAGAGCCATGTTGGCGTAGACAAACTCGCTAGGCGCCCGTTGTTTGTGAGCGTCGCTGTAGCCTATTCTATGAAGAAGATACTTCCACCGATTGTTGTCGATCTTACAGTCCACGATAGCATCAACTTCCCATCCGCTGTGTCGCCGCTGTGTCGCCGCTGTGTCGTTGATCTTTGTAGGTGGCATCAACTTCACATTCGCTGTGTCGTTGATCTTTGTAGGAGGAGGATGAAGCTGCGAGCGAGACAAAGCAGCTCGGCTCCTGGTAGGGCTCGAGCAGACCAGAGGTGTGTAGACAGGATGAATCAAAACACCGCATGGGAGGTCAAAATTGAAACCAGTGTCGGTAATTGAGCATATGAAGCGGAAAGCTCCGGCGCGAGTCATGTCGAGCTTTGGTGATGGTCGATAGACGTACGATTATGACTGGTGTGTAGCCAAACTTGCTTGCCAGGCTGTAACTCTGAGGGAACTGGTGGTCGAGAACGACCGGCATATTCCTTGTACTTGTCCTGTGCATCTTAATGTGGATCTTGAGCTCGTCGTGCATAGACCTCAAACGAGCAGCCATGTCGTAATTTGCAGGGAAAGTGCGAGAATCAAGTTGAACAGTAAAGCGAAAGTGCCGGCCACGTTCAGCGAAGAAGGGAGACGTCTTGATGGTGTCTTGGTGACTATTCTTGTGGCAGAACTCGGCTTGAGGAAGAAGACAGCACCAATTTTCGTGGGCGTGGTTGATGTAGCCTTGCAGAAATTGTTCGAGTATCGACTTGACACGTTCAGCCTCAGTCTGAGCATGATATGCTGTAGACGAAAAGGACGTGACTTGTGGGGCAAGTTGAAGGAGGAGTGTCTGCCAGAGGGTGTAGCCACATTTAGATGTAACAAACGTTGAGAGGCCATGATTCGAGACGATACGATCCATGAAAGTCATTGCGAAGGTAACTGCGCCGGCAGCCTCGAGGTAAGGGATGAAGCGAGCTTTCTAGAGATACAGTTCACAGAAACCAGAATGGAGTCATAGTCGGACAAAGGAAGCTTGGTGACAAAGGTGTGAGAGAATGCAGACCATGGAGTGTCGGAGATTCGGGAGGGTTGAGCTTGCCATAGGGTTTGTGTCGAGTTGCCTTGGCGCGTGCACAAGTGTAGTTGCGAATAAAACATCGATAGCCGTTGGCAAAGGCGTTATGGCCCGAACATTCTTGCTTGACTTGGGTATTGACCAGTTGAGAATTGAGTCGACTTTGCTGGCATCCATTGTGAAGCCAGAAGGTGAGATCACATAGCCCAAAAATTCCACTTGATTGCTGTCGAAAACACACTTCTCTGGTTTGACATACAGAGAATGCTTTTGCAAGACTTCAAGGACAGAAGCAACATGTCGATCGTGATCTGACTGACACTTGGAGTAGGAGACAATATCATCCAAATAGCCGACCACGAAGACATCCAAGAATGGTTGCCACACATCATTCATCATGCTTTTTAAAGGCGCTGGAACATTGATCAGACCAAACGGCAGGACGTTGTATTCGCAATGGCTGTAGCGCTTCGGAAAGCTGTCTTCCACTTATCACTGGAAACAATACGCAGGAGGTTGTAAGCACCGCGAAATTCCAGCTTTTTGGAGACACGAACATGATAGAGGCGACACAAGATTTCTGAAACCCGCGGAAGTCGTGCTCGATTCTTGATCGTGATATTGTTGAGACCACAAGAGTCGATGCACAGACGCAGAGAACCAACCCTTTTCTTAACGAAAAGGGCTGATGTTCCTGTGGGAGTTTCCGAGGACAAGATATTGCCGCAGCAACTTCCTTTTCCAAGTATTCTTTCGAGACATGTAGCTCTGGTGCGCTCCTTACGTACAGGACCATGGTAGTGTAGAGCCTTTGAGGAGAGGAACCTTATGGTCGTACTTGAGATGGGACGGATGATGCGCAACTTCGTCCGCAGAAATGTCTTGTGCGAAAACAATGGTAGTTCTTGGGGACCATTGTTGATCTTAGACGTAGTGCTGGACAAGACGTTGAAACTGGAAGCCGAACTTGACGCCAGCTTCGCACTGAGGTCACTGGGATACCTGGGAACGTTGGGAGACGCTGGTTCACTGGGAGAACGGAAGGCACTGGGAGCTGGATCGATGCCTAGGAGATCCGAGGGACGAAGCTCATTAACATCGTGCGTGCTAGCTTGGCCTTGGAAAGTAACGGCTTCCAAAGTGCAGATGTCGTGAGCTGTGGTACTGAGAGGAGGTGACGATCGACCGATCCACCTCGAGACACCGACAAGTGTTCCGAACACGAGTCGGGGAAACAAATCTTGCTGTTGGCCCAATCAATAGAAAGATCGTAAAGTCGAAGCCAAGGCGAGCCGAGAAGAACCTCGTACCGTCCTGGGTCCGAGATCACGAAAGAAGCATGCTCGTGATGTGTGGCAACAGAGAGTTGCAAAGGAATTGTAGCATGCGTAAGCGGAGCGAGCAAACTACTGTCGATGGTCTCAAGGTGCACTGGTAGTTCCAATTTCCCAGGGCGTTTGTTGAATCCAATGCGCGAGATAAAAGCGGAGTCGACAAAATATTGCTCGTTGCACCACTGTCGACCAAAGCAAACGATTCGCCAAGTTGATCGCCAATGGAAAAGACGACAGTAAGCACACGATGAGCAGCAGAGAGCGACCAAGACAGAGCGATAGGGCTGAGGCAGAGAACAGGCGGAAAGCTGAGCGGACACGATTGCCTATTTCCTATCGCCTAGCACTTTTGGACCTGCTGGCCTCTGTCGGCATTCTTTGAGTTGGTGTCCGGGCTCACCACAATGGAGATAGATTCGGTCGTCAATCCTGTACTGGCGAGCGGCCGCATGATCCTTGCTGGGTGCCACAGCGTCCATCTGCATTGGCTGTGGGAACGTCGTCGTGAGAGGAGTGCTGGCAGTCGAACGTGGGCGAATGAGTGATATGGAGCGGGACGCACATGACGGTTTCTCGTAAAAGCGTGGTGCCTGACCGAGCGCGCATACGCTCTCCAAGAAACCGTTGTCGGCGGCGATACTGGACTTTGTCGATGCCGGAAATTCAGCGAGGACATTCTTGACCTTTTCGTTGATATAATGGCGCAAGGACAAGATCCTCGACTCCTCAGACATGTTCAGAGGAGCGATGCTCAAGTTGATGTCAGCAATGTGCTACGTTGCTGCCTTGATACCCTGACAGAGACGTTCGAGCTTCTGTGTTGCCTCAGACTGCTCGTCGCCTACCTGAAGGCAAGCCTCTCGTTTGCTGATTCGAACCAAAGGTCAACCTCGCCACGGTGGGAGTCTGTCTTGGACTGTTGCCAAAGGCTAGCGGCTTCGCCTAGCAGACTGGAGACCCACAACATCTTGTCGATTCAGGATGTCAGGCGGTAGGATGGGCTGACGTGACGGGTACGGCAGGCTGCAAGAAAGTCTCGGACGTCAGACCTGTCTGGCAATCACGTGAAGGTCTCGGGATCCTTTGTCTTCAGGCGAGACTGGGAAGAGGGTGCCGGAGGGTGCCGGAGGGCTCGGCCAGCTACAGCTTGAGCACCGAGATGTTCCTGTCGGAGGGTCTGCAGCTCGATTTGATGAACATGGCGGAGCTGAGTGATGTCGTTGGCCAAGGCGTCGACCTGATGATGAACTTGGTTCTTGTCGGTGGCCACGGCCTGAATGGCTTCTTCGGGGGTCATACCCACAGGGATGATTGGGTCGGATGATATGAGTTGTATTGGTGTTGTTGTCCAAGTGTGATAGAATCTGATATGGGTTCAGCGAAGTGTAAGGACTGGGCTGAGAGGTGTTTAGGCAGAGCAGAGCGAGCCCACATCGAAGATACTAGACAACAGGAGAGGTAGATCATAGATGACTCTACCAAAGTACAAAGTTGGTGAATGAAGAACAAAGCAGAAGGCTGTTCCTCAACCATCATAGACTTAGACTAGAGATAGAACCAAGAAAATAGTAGGACAAGAAACAAGAACAAAGTCCTAGCCAGACCTGCCAAAAACCAAGAGATATCTTAGATTCGTGAGGTGAGCATAAGAGATTTTAGCCGGAACACTGTTGAAGATACCAAACGAATGACTCCATGATCATGAGATGTGGTCTATGTAGATCGGCCGCGAAGATTGCGCACAGAAGAGTAGCCGCGAGATGTTATCACGGGTTTCAGGTGATGATGCATCTGAAACTATCGATAGGACTTGTTTAGTCAGTCAGTGACACTTAGCTACCCACTGGCCTAGCTATTGCCATGAATTGCAGCAATAGGCACCCCTGCAGCCCAAAGTGTCTAGTCATGGCCTTGAAGTTGCAGCAACAAGCACCTCTGCAGTTTGCAGTGTCGACAGACTTTGCCGGCTTTCTTCGAGATTGATATTGACGCCATATGCATTGCACTGAGGCCTGCTGCCGCAGCTGCATACGGCAATTTATAAGACACATTCACAACAAAATTCATGCGTGATAATTTATGAAACCCAATTGACGTGCATAATTGCGACAAGGATGTAGAGAAGTGGGAATTTCCACGATAACCTCAGTCTCAGAGCAAGTATGGCCGGCTGCTATCTTACTTTGTCACTGTGTAGACGTGCCAGCGGGTAAGAGCGAGGCTGAAGAGAACACGCCCCGAGGTCGTGCATCCTTTCTACTCTTTGTATAGGACATCTCTCACTTGCGCCGATGGTCCCCTGAAGGCCGACGCAACCCAAATCTAGTCGTCCGGAGCACGTGGCACCAGTTACAGCAGCGGGCCTACTTCGGCGCTATCGGCAATGGAAAAGTTACATAAGGTTCTCATGCAAGCCAATGAATACCATCATGCAACTGCTGGTGCATCAAGTTGTAGCCTGAACCGCTTTTGAGCTGAATCTTCCGCCAGGCTTCAGGAGCCGTCTTAGAATCCCGCTGTTGCAATCGCGTTTGAGCAACCCAAGGCTCGACTGCAGACGCATCTGAAATTGCTCTCCTGCATATCGACCGAATAATTTCGAGCCCCTGAAATCTGCGGCGTTGTTTGATCAAAATACGCGTCAGTCGCAAGGATAGGCCAAAATAAGTTCAACAAGCAGTCCCATCCCCTGTAAGCCGTCCGTTATGTGGAAAGCAGATCTGCTATTGAGCTCTTTGTCTCTATGTCTGTGGCTCTTCTTGAAGCTTGGCGCAGCGGAACAGTCCACGGCCGTGAATAGCAATCTCGACAGCGATAACTGGCAATGGGTCGACAAAGGTCTCTGTTACAGCCTGGAATTCCAGCTCTTCAAAGTCACAGCACTACCTGAACAGCTGCCCTGTCACGTTTATTGCTTTTCAGAAGCGATCATCTTCCAGACATGGTTTCAAGCAATGAGGCAACTATACACCTCCCGGCTTTTTGTCTGCAGCGTTGGATGGGAGAGTCTCCACTGGGCTTGGACTACTGACCCTAAGTCTCAAGCTAGAGCTAGCTCATCAAAAACGGATTACGAAGATTCTGAGCCAGATAGCGAATCATTTGATACGATCAGCGGAAATCAGTTGAGCAAGCGCGGGAGTAAGTCTGATGGCGCAAAATGCGCACTCGAGATCATGCAGACCCTCATCTACAATCGTCTTCTCTTACACGTTGCGGATCTTGTCACCTTGTCGGCTGAAGTTCTTCAACTCACGAGGAGGCACCCTAGCTACATTGGCCGCGGATGTGCTCCTGCCTATCGAATGAATGCAGCAAACTCGACGACGTGTATTCTTCCAGTGGATGCTACAGCTTCGAAGACGGAGAGGCTCATTGAACCGAATTTATCCTTTTGTAAATGCAGCTTGGCTCTCAACTTTGATCGCATCTTGCAAATGGGACACTTTGGGTACCAATATCAAGATAAGATACAGTCTATGTGTCTGGCAGAAAGTTTCGCACACGACATCGCAAACTTACCTAGAGGCTGGTCACTAGACAAAGTACACGGAACTTGGGGTCATGCTGCAGATTTGGTTGCTTCCACGCATCGTACAGGCTTTGTGTGCAAGCCTGAAACCTTGATGTATCGATCGCCAACAGACCAATGTTCAGGATTACATCCGGAGGAAGAAGGTTGGTCGGAATTATTGTGTCAAGAATCTTTGAAGCTTATGTTGGCAACTCAGGCAGCCGAGAAAGATGCGGAACTCGACAATTCCAAACGTAAGAATGGTTATCCTGATTCTTCTGACAGTTGCAGAGGTCCAAAAAAACCAAGAACATTCTTATAGCGGAGAAACACCTCTAGCTACAGCAGTAGGGGCCTTTGGTAAGCCGTAGCTCGCAAGGTTCGCGCAAATTACAACTGCAGCTGCCATGTGATTTCTCGCCATTGCAGTAAGACACAGTCACAAAGAAATTCTTTATGGCCAGTGGCCACACATTGGCACACAACCATAAGCTGCAGGTCAGCAGGATTGTCTTTCGACGATATCCGATCAGCGTATGCATGATGTTCCTGGAACATCAGTACTGTAGCAACTGCAGCTGACTTGTCGCTTGCAACATGATTTGCTACCTCGATTGTAGCAAAATTTGCAAATGTCCACATGCAGAAATTAGAGCGTTGCAAGCGCCTGCAGCAAATTTTGATGTGACATCTAAGTTTACAATACACAGCTTACAAGTATAGGAGCAGGGCCCCTTGATTGGCCCGATACGTTTCTCTCAACACCATGTGGACATTCAAGCTAGTGTGTCATGTCTTCTTTCTCTTGGGCCACTTTGGCGCATGTGTTGTGCAAAATCACGCAGGCCCAGTGTGTGTGAGCAGAACAAGCTACGTCAACGATGGAACTTGTTATGACCTAGAATTTGAGCTCTTCAAAATTTTCCCATTGCCTGAGTGGTTGGATTGCGAGATTTACTGTGAAATAGAAGCTGAGAACTTCGAGTTGTGGTATCTAAAGGTGAAAACGCTCGAACAAGCACGTCCCTTTGTCTGCAGCGTTGGATGGGAGAGTATTCAGTGGAGCTCAGAAAGTATTCATGGATTCGTTTTTCCAGATGAGCATTCGTCTGAGTCTGAATCTGGCTCTGCTTCGAACTCTAACTCTGAAAGTGAGCCAGACACACCGAGGGAAGTGGTCCAGCTGAGCAAGCGTGAAAACAGCCCTGACGATCATTGTGCAGCCCTAAAACCAGCAGAGCTGATGCGCCTACGTGTGCTGTTTATTTCCGTCATTGTGGATCGATTATTCGCATCCTTGGGACAACTTGCTACTTTGATGAATGCGGTGTTCCCGGTCGCGGGCAGGTTAGGTGAATACCTCAGTTTAGCTCCTTCGAACAACGGGGCTGAACAGAACGCAGAATGGCCATTCCCAACAAGCCCAACAACATCTTCTCAAGAAGGATTGAACCACTCAAGTCATTTGAACCAGCCTGGGATGTGTATACCCTCGACAAAGGATGCAGCAGCAGAAACAACGAGCCTTGACCTACTCAGCTGGTATACATGCAATTGCGGACTGGCCTTTCGGTTCAATCGCATATTGATGACTGGACCCCTTGGCAATCCTCGAGATGACAACGAGGTCCTACAGTCCGAATGCAATGCCGAAGACTTTGCAAGGGATCTCGCAGGATTACCAACTGAGTGGTCCTTGTTGCCAGATTCTGTTGTGAAAAGATGGACCAGCAGTTTTGATACTACAAATGAAGAAGCACAAGTGGCTTCCAGGCTTGAGATCGGCTTTCTGTGCCGAACTAGGGATTTGGTGCGCGAGGGGTCAGAGGCTTGTTCCGCACTGCTTCGGAAGGAACCAGAATGGCATTTCTTACTATGCGAAAGGTCTGAGAAGCTACGGAAGGCAAGAGAAGACGAACGCCTGAAACGCTCAGGTGGATATCCTGATCCTTCTGACCAATGTAGGGATCTAAAAAGGCCGAGAGCCTTTATGTAGGCACAACGATAGAGTCGTGTTCGATCATAGCTGAAGCTCCAGTCAAACGAAAGGATCACAAAAGAATGAGGCCTGTGATGAAGTGTGACATTCGTAATGCCGACGGTCAATACTTAAACTAAGTTCAAGCTATAGGTTGTCTTCAGCTGCCGGTAGTATAATCAGCAACGGTCATCGTAGACTCCATGTACTTGATAAATGCCAGTCTTTAATTGGTTTTTGTCGGCGGCCTAGGATGGTGTCAGCGTATGTTTCTCCTACTACTGTTGTTGCTGATGTTGGTGCTGTCGCGGCTGATCTCCTATAGTCTAAATGACTCTGCGAGGTTGTGCAGCTCCGCAGTTTTGACAACGTCGTGATAAGCTGCAGGTCAAGTCCTCGACTGAGTTCATCTCTTGCATCATCAATTGCATGAAGGTTGTCTCAACCCTACGGGAAAATCGCTGGTGAAGACGGGTGCACACTGGTGATTTGCGGATGACTTGCAGGTGATAAACCGGTAGCGCTGGTGAAATACTGGAGCAAACCGGTACACCACTTCCAGACGCTGGTGTAAAAATGGCGATCGACGGAAGTCAAACAGCAGACGCTGGTGATTTCTGTAGCTTGCACTATAGCTATGCATCTAGATAGCACGTCCGAGTAGACACATACGCTGGCATTCATCCAGCTCATGCGCAACTATTGAGAAGCAATCCTATCTACGACGTGTCCAAACCACATGATTCCCCGATCTGCATGGCATGACTACCCTGCAAATGTAATTATCGCTCGATGCAGATCGTAGAAGCATGTGGTTTGCTAGACGTCAGCTATCCTACGAGAGCGGCTTTGTTCCCAAGGCTTCAAGGATTAAGGAAGTCGAGTCGTCGATGTGATGTGCTCGTCGTGAAGTTGGATTTTGTTGATTTTGAGCTTTGGCCACTCTGCGCATCTGAGCCTCGCGCTACTCGCGACCACAGTACGCAAGCGCTCCACTCTAGAGGCGCATCTCTGCAGTCTCTTCCTTCGATTCTGTCTCTCAAGTGCGTCTGACCAACAACGTCAGATCAATGCTGTCCTGCGTGGTGCGGTAGAGTCCAACCTGCCAAGCAAATGAGCAGCCAACATCCTCAGCCTTGGCTCTGCAAGAGCGAAGCAAGCAGCGCGTCTACTAGCACATGCAAGAGATGATCAGGGTTCTAGAGTTTTGCTCAATACCCTTGATTCAAGCGTTTTCCCCGCGTCGTTCACGGAACCAGCTCAGCAGCCTCAAGGTGGCATCGCAGCAGATACGGCCAACAACGAACCCATGGCTTTATCTAACAGCGTCTCTGTCTCTTCTGATACATTACGCTGAGTCTAACGCATTCAAGAGGACGATCTAGACTGATTTGAACGCCTTGCACACGATACACGCATGACAAAGGAACCAGCACGACTACGACGCGTGCCAAGGGATAATTCCAAGCGCACTGTGATCCAGGCTGTCGAACCCATTTTCAACACGTTGCCGATCTAAAGAAGACAGTCCGTCGTCTTGATCGGAACTTCACGTCCCTTGCCAGGGCGCAAGCGAAGCGGATTTCCATGGCTCTTCTCAGCATGCTGCCAAGAATCTGCAAGTCGCCGTACGTGATGACGCCCAACAATCTACGCAACGGGTCCCTGCTGACAACAGTAATCGAGGCACACCAAGCGTCTGCAGAGGCAGAGGCTGAGCAGCAGGAGATCGACGACGACAACGACACACAACAAGGACCACGGACCTTACGGAACATCGCGTCACGCCATGGGCAAGACGACGACAGCGATGTAGAAGCCCCACAGCCACCTCGTACGGTACACTCATTCTTTCGCTGGTCTTGATTTATACTGACTACTACAGGGCAAACGCAACCGGCCGATGACGGCGAAAGCTCAGCTTCTCCAGGCTGCAGCGAATGACAGGAATGACCGCGCCGCCGCTGCCAGCGAGGTGAAACAAGCGCGGGAGCGTAGCAAGCGTGCAAGGCACCTTGCACGACAGTTGTAGGGTGGACGTAGTAAGCCTTCGTTGCTCTAGAGCTATCCCTGAACTACGTAAAGCCCTGGCTCGCCACCTGCAGCTCGCTGCGTACTAGTCACCAGCGATCGCCGGTTCTCACCCGTAAATCACCGGTTTACTACGCGTCAATCATCGCCTGTTTGTCACCAGCGCCATAATCTCCCGTTTGTCTTCCGTTTATCGCATGGCGTCAGTCTTCCGTTTATCACCGATTCACCACCCGTGGAAATTTCCCGTATTTGCAAATAAATATGCAAATTAGCTTTTACCGCGGCCGCAGGTGGTCAGTAGCGCCGTGAGCCGCTGAGAATTGCACCTTCCCACGGGACGATTGTCAAGAATATGCAAGTCTGAGGCAGAAGCCCTACAATTGCAGCAACTGTAGACACAGATCCTCTGTGATCTGTCGATGTGGAGAGTAGGGCAGCTCTCTCCTTTTCGTTCGTTGTTTTAGAGCCTCTTGTGCCTAGGCGCATACAAAGCAGGAATCCACGTCGGTCCTGTCAATTCAGAACTGGCTCTGTCAATGATGCATACTCCTGTGGCTCGAGTTCGAGCTATGTAAGCTTCGGATCACACCTGAGTGGTCATCTTGTGACATTTATGGCAAATTGGAAGCTGAGATCTTCAAAATGTGGTCAACCACCAAAGCAGCACAGCAAAGAGCAGCTGACAATATGTACGTGTATACCTCCAGCCGAGAAGGCGCAGCAAAGACAAGACCGAAGAGTCTTGTTCACGCCAAATCGAAGATTTGCTAATGCGTATTATCCTTGAGATTCAAGAACATACCGTACAAAGGGAGCACTGGCAATTCTCATGATGATGAGCTCTTTCAGTTTGTGTGCAAAGCCAGAGTTTTGCAGGGGACCTCGCAAAGCTACCGACGGGGGCTGATATGGGATGAATGGCTCTGCAGCTGTCTAGCGTCGATGAACTGAATCTAGCTACCCACTCGAAGAGACGAATAGAATTGGCTTTTCATGCCAACTGAGCTATCTGGTGCACGAGCAATTTGACGTCGTATGTGAATTAATAGGCCAAAATTTACTCAGACGCAAGGGAGTACAATGTTGTTGTGCGAAGCGTCTGAGAAGCTGCGCTTGGCCCACGAAGAACGAGAGCTCGCGACATTATATCCTGGCTCTACTGAATCCTACAAGAAACCAAGATTGACACCCTATTGATAGTGAGGGCAACAGCTTGTCGTTGTGCTGGTGATGGCCTAGCCATAGTCTCAGCGGTTTATCAAACAAAACTATCAGCCGTTGCGGTAAATTCAAGTACTTCTACGATTGCATGCCTCACGCAATGATTTCCGAAGAGCCTTGCAATCGGCGGGCGATAGCTAGACATGTTCGTAGGTGTCCTTGAATTCTCTCGACACCGTTGTGAGCTGCAAGAGCCAAGAGTACAGCCAGCTCTTTCCTGCGATATCGATTGGGTCACATTCTACTATTCTAGCATGCAAATGAGCTGCTACATCTAGAGGTTGACGACCTTGAGCCCCTGGAAATTTCTTGCGAACTCACACGTGGCAACCTTCTGTTCAGAACCTTCACAGAATGTAATTCCAACCTCAGCAAATACTTCAGTCTCAATTGAATGATGTTGAAAACGGAATTGATCTCTCACCTTTCCTTATGGATAAGTCTTTTCGATTTATCCGCTGCACAAAATCACGCCGGCCTTGCGTGCGTCAGGACTAGCTATGTCGACGATGGAAAATGTTTTGCTTTAGACTTTACCCTCTACAAGCTTGTACCATTACCTGAAGGGCTATCCTGCGCTGTTTATTGCAAATCAGAAGCCAACATCTTTGATGTGTGGTATCAAACGATGAAGAAACTCCCAAATTCCCGTCCTTCTGTCTGCAGTACTGGATGGGAGCTTATTGAGTGGTCTTCATGGACGCCGGACGAGACTTTCAAGGGCAACCCCTCATCCACTGACTGGCCAATTGAGTTTCAAGCTCAATCAACCACACCTGAGGAAAGCCAGTTGATCAAGCATAAGCGGGGTGTGGAAGACCATTGCACAACTCGAAACTCGCAGCAGCAGCTCAGACGCAACAAAGTGGTGTTGATGGCTGCTTTCACGTATCATCTCATCATGTCCATGCATAGCATCAACACGCTTCGGATCACCGTCTTTGAGCAAATGAGATCCTTGTCTGGCAGGTTTGGATTTGCCGCTCTTGTACAAGATGCAGAATCACAATCGCCAACCAGACCAACAGATCATTCCAGTCATGGACCTCAGTCAAGCGAAGCAGGACTAGGAGTGTGCATCTCTCCAGCGGCCACGGAAGGCACAAATACGAAAGCGCAGAGCTTGACTCGACTGAAGTGGACCTCGTGTGGATGTATGCTGTCCCTAGGGTTCAATCGTTTGCTGCTGAAAGGGCTCGATGGCGTCGACCCTGGATCATCAACTCAGTATGTGCCTTCGAAGACTTCGCAAGGGACATTGCAAAATTACCGCGCGATTGGCATCTGAGGGAGGATCTCATCCAACGCATTCCGAGCTCTGAGAGGACCGGATTTGATTGCAGACTCAAGAGGTCCGTGAAGCAAGACTCAAGTGATGTGTGCCGTGTAGGCAAATTGCTTTGGGAGGATCCAAGCTGGGAACTCGTGTCATGCACGATGTCTGAAAAGCTTCGATTGGCAAAACTAGCCAAAGCTCAGGCATCCGCGATGGCCAAGGGTCCCAAACGTAAAGATTTCTATCCCGATCCAACTGATCAATGCAGGAATCCGAAGAGAGCGAGAGAGTTTTGGTAGGAAGGATAAATGGCTCTCTTGGATCTCTATGGTACATCCATGGACATGGCCAGTGTCTTTGTGCTTTGAATTGCGATCTAGTCTGCTTTCTGCTTGATAGGTTGAGATTCTCTCTGCGATGCACTTTTTCAATACTATTACTTTTACGATTGCATGTGTCATGCAATAACATCCAAAGAGCCTTACAATCGACGATCAATAGACATTTTCTTAAATGCCCGCCGATTCTCGCGACATCTTTGTGAGCTGCAAGAGTCAAGATCACAGCTGGCTTTTGGTACCGATTGGGTCGCATTCTAGCATGCAAATCAGCTGCTACAAATGGAGGTCGACGACCTTGAGCCCCTGAAAATTTCGAGCTCGCACGTGGCAACATTTTATTTGAAACCTCCACAGAATGTAATCACAACGTCAGCAACTACTTCAGTCTCGATTCAACGATGTTCAAAACGGAATTGATGCCTCACCTTTCCTTATGGATGAGCCTTTTCGGCATTTCCGCTGCATCAAATCACGCCGGCCTCGCGTGCGTCAGGACTAGCTTTGTCGATGATGGAAAATGTTACGCTTTGAAGTTTACCCTCTCGAAGCTTGTGCCATTACCTGAAGGGATACCCTGCGCCGTTTATTGCAGATCGGAAGCCAACATCTTTGATGTGTGGTATCAAGCGATGAAGAAACTCCCAAATTCCCGTCCTTTTGTCTGCAGCACTGGATGGGAGCTTATTGAGTGGTCTTCATGGACGCCGGACGAGACTTTCAAGGGCAACCCCTCATCCACTGACTGGCCAATTGAGTTTCAAGCTCAATCAACCACACCTGAGGAAAGCCAGTTGATCAAGCATAAGCGGGGTGTGGAAGACCATTGCACGACTCGAAACCCGCAGCAGCAGCTCGTACGCAACAAAGTGGTGTTGATGGCTGGTTTCACGTATCATCTCATCTTGTCCATGAATAGCATCAACACGCTGCGGAACGCCGTCTTTGAGCAAATGAGAACCCTGTCTGGCAGGTTTGGATACGCCCCTTTTGTACAAGATGCAGAATCACAATCGCCAACCAGACCAACAGAATCCTCCAGTCATGAACTTCAGCCAAGCGAAGCAGGATCGGGAATGTGCATCTCTCCAGCGGAAGGCACAAACACGAAATCGAAAAGCTTGGCTCGACTGAAGTGGACCACGTGTGAGTGCTTGTTGTCATTGGAATTCGATCTTTTGCTGCTGCAAGGGCCCCCTGGTACTCAGCCTGAAGATGATGCTATCATCAACTCAGTGTGTGCTTTCGAAGACTTTGCGAGAGACATTGCAAAGTTGCCGCGCGATTGGCAATTGAAAGAACGGTCCATCCAATCCGCCTTTGGCTCACAGGGAAATGGATTTGATTGCAGCCTCGAGGAGTCAGTGAGGCAAGACTCAAGTGATTTGTGCCTAGTAAGCGAAATGCTTTGGCAGGATTCCACCTGGAAACTCGTGTCATGCACAATGTCTGAAAAGCTTCGATTGGCAAAACTAGCCAGAGCCGTAGAAACTGCCAGGGCAAAGTTCATCAGGCACTTCTATCCCGACCCCACTGATCAATGCAGGAATCCAAGGAGAGCGAGAGGACTTTGGTAGGAAGGATAGATGGCTCTATTGGTTCTCTATGGCACAGCCATGGGCATGGCCAGTGTCTTTGTGCTTTCAATTTCAATCTAGTCTGCTTCGTACTCTTAGATTCTCTTTCTGCGACGAACCCTTCCAATACTAGAAGCTCACACGAGCAGCAGTGGTTGTCATTTCGCCAGATGGAGAACAGTTCCATCTCGTTGCTTTCGCGTTTTTGTTTTCGAATTTGATTTGTTGACACTTTCACAGACAACAACAAGACAACAGCAAGAAATCCTCATGAAGTCCAAGCCAGCTGTGCCCTCAAGCCCAGCCGCATCGGATGCTAGTGGCAGCGACGTCTCTGGCGTGTGCGACTACGACACATATAAAGAAGCCGTCGAGGCGCAATTTGAACAGAGCCAGGAAGTCATTGAGACGCTCGAGTCCCAAGTGACGCGTAGTGCGCGCGAGATCAGCAGGCTCAAAGCAGCCCTTGATAAAGCTCAGCGACAGGTTGCTACGTTAACTGGCAAGTTGGATGCGCGTGGACAAACGCAGCAGGTGCCATTGCTCAAGGAAGAAATCTATCAAGACCTGACTGGCCTTGTCATTCAGAGTGTCAGCAGAGAGGACGACGAGACAGTGTTTAGCTGCTTGCAAACTGGCAGGAATGGCACTTTTCACTATAAACTTGCCTGGCCGAAGGCGCGAGATGAGCAAATCACATTTACGCCGATGCTGGATGCTGAACGCGATGTGGATTTGTCGGCGGTGTTGCCGGACTATCTGACGGAGCAAATCATGTTTGCACAGGACCAAGCGAGCCTGTTCGCCTATCGCCTGTGGACTGCGATCCAGAAGAAGTGAGTGGCTGTCTCTTCTCTTATGCTTTTGTATATTTCCTTTATTGAAGCCTCCTGGCGCATATCGATGCTTGATCAGGTCATTTGTTCGAGTGCACCCCGGGCCTGGGGGACAACTTCTTGCAATGCTGCTCTGAGGTCTTCTCCCTGCGAACGGAGAGTGTTGCTGCTGAGGAAGAGCTTTTGCATTGCAGCAGTTGTGGTCTGCGAGAAGGAGTCTTGTTTGGCTGCCTGACGGAGGAGCTGCTTCTCTCGAGCACTGGGCCAGCTGGACATTGATCTTAGCTGTAGCTTCTCTGCTAGCCTATAGCCTCGAGTGGTAGCTGTAGCTGGTCTTCTTGCTGCTGCCCAAAGAAAAAGACGACGACGACGACGACACCCAACAAGCAGAGCGACATAAGCACAAACACCGGATCATGGACGCAGCCTCCTCCTCCTTCGACGAGGAAGAGGCCCTCAGCGCACTCACCGCATCTACACGCAACCTCTTTCATCTCCTCGTCCGCTCCTTCTACCGCATCCCAGGCTCAGACATCCTCATCCGCTACATCAAAAACTCGCACCAGAACGACCCCATTCGCACCATCATCGAGATCTTTCTCGTCATTTTCTTGATTCTCTTCATCACGGGCAAGACGTATCATCCAGACTCTAATGCAGTCACGCTCAGTGAGCGCGAAGTGGACGACCTCGTGGACGAGTGGCAGCCAGATGAACTCGTCAAGGCGCCCTCCCATGAAGACCAAGCCCTCATTGATCGTATTCCAACGATCCACGGCGCCGTTGGACCACGTACTCTCGTCAGCTGTCCTGCTGTCTTGCAAAAGCCAAAAGAAGTCATTCATCTTGCCTCCTACAACTTTCTCGACTTGCTCGGCGATGCACAGCTCAAGGAACAAAACATCACCACGTTGCGTAATTATGGCGTCGGAGCGTGTGGACCACCTGGCTTTTATGGGACACAGGATGTACATATACAGATGGAGCGCGATATTGCAGATTTCTTGGGTACAGAGAGTTGTATTGTGTATGCACAAGCGCTCGGCACCATTGGCTCTGTCATTCCTGCCTTTGCAAAGCGTGGTGATGTCCTCGTTGTGGACAAAGGAGTCAACTTTGCTATTCAGAAGGGACTACAAATCTCGCGGTGCACCATCAAGTGGTATAATCACAACGACATCGATGATTTGGAACAAGTCTTGAAGCAAGTCAACAAGGAACAGCAAAAGCGAGGACTCACACGGCGTTTCATTGTGACGGAGGGCATCTTTGAGAATCATGGTGACTTGGTCGATCTACCACGTATCGTTGCGTTGAAGCAGCAGTACAAGTACCGTCTGATCCTTGACGAATCTTGGTCAATCGCAACGATGGGTAAGCATGGTAAAGGTGTCACTGAACACTACGGCATTGACCCGCGTAAAATCGATATGCTCATTGGTAACCTGACGGGGTCTTTCTGTTCAGGTGGTGGCTTCTGTGCCGCTTCTGCAGAGATTGTCGACCATCAACGCATTTCTGGTGCTTCGTACGTGTTTAGTGCTGCACTTCCAGCCATGCTCGCTACGCAAGTCTCAGCGTGCTTATTGCGAATGAAGCAGCAACCACAGCTCTTTACACATCTAGCAGACAACGCAAGACTATTCTTGCAGCAAGTCCTGGTGGGTGGCGGTCGTCAAGGTGGCGATATTTTATGTGAAGCATGGCCCGGTAGTCCCATGATGCACTTGCGGCTAGCGACACCGTTGGCAGACGATGAAGAAGAAGTCCGCGTCTTACAGGCGATTGTCGATGAATGTCTCGTCAATGGCGTCTTGGTGACGCGTGCAAAGCAAGTCGATCAGGAAGGTGTCAAGGGACTTGGCGAGTGTCGGCCGAGTCTGCGCATTTGCGTGAGCGTAGGTCATACAAAGAAGGATCTCGAAAAGGCGGCGAGCGTCATTCGTTCGGCTTTTGCCAAGGTCATCAAGGCGAATAGATAGGAAGGGCGAAGTCATTACTGTTCGCTTCCAATGTGGCATAGCTTGATATCGGTCTTCTGTAGCGCATCACTTGTATGGACTGACGTCTGCATTGCGTCGCCACTCTGCGAACTCTGCAGGTGTCATGCGTTTGCCCCAAGTGCCTGTCGCTGCAACGGCAATTTTCGGTGTCTGAGGCTTCTCTTGAGGTGGGGTAGCCGGCTGACGGGCTTCTTTGACATCTAAAGCAGCCATAGCACTCGTAACGTCGTTTGTGCTTTGAGATTTTGACTTTGCAGACCTCGCTGGTGTAGCATCAGATGATGCACTTTTTGACGCTAAAGCTGGCTTCGCTGGACTGACTAAATCAACAGTCGCCAGTCGCCCTTTTGCAATTTCCCGCTCAGCACGCATCGCTTCGTGTTGAGAGGAAAGTATGCCGACGAGTCGCTTGTTCCGCGCACTTGGATCTTCTGGGCCGCGTACAGAAGGCGGTGGCATGGGTGGTTGATGCCACGGCGGTTTGAGATGCGCTTTGATTGTTCCTGACGCAGATGTATCGTCTCTTGCGGTTGTAGCCTGATTGCTGGGTCTCTTGTCATCCTGCGGCATGTCAGGAGCATTGTGCGTGTCCAGAAGGTCTGCATCCCGATCTGCTGCGCCCTTGATATCAAGGACTTTACTCTTCTGAGTAGATGCTGACCCGTGCGAGGTGCTCAGCCGTCCTTGGCTGTTGCGATTGGTCTGTACCTGGTCATCACCATGATCAGTTCTCGATCTCCCGACAAGACCCTCTGCACCTCTTCGCGCCGCGCCTTTGATCTGTAACGTCTTCTGCGGCTTCTCAATATCTAGTGCTCCAAGCGCCTCGGCCAGCTCATCCGTCTCGGGCAACACAGCGCGTCTGCGCGGTGGTTTATATCGTTCTCGATCTTCCTCTGGCACATAACCTGGCCGTATTTTGATCTCCCTGCGTGCAGACCCATCTGCTCTTCTTGAAGAGGGTACAACGTTGCTGCCGTCGCCGTCTGTGGTGATGCCAGAGTTGCGAATGGCTTGATTGCGCGCTGTGGACATGGCGTCCTTGCTCAAGCTATTCGAGCGTAGTCGTCGCGCACTTTGCCAACCAGAGACATCACATCAGCACACTGCGTGCTGCATCCACAAGACTAGAGCTCAGATATTGCTACTGCTACTGCTACTGCTACGACGACCATGCTGCAGACACTTTCCCCACGGGAAGAGACGGCTGTCCACAGACAAATGCAGAAAAATGCAGCAGTCGCCTGCAAGGACATCATCCAGGAATTTGTCGCCTGTTCACGCGATCGTACCGTGTCCATGGCCTGGGCTTGCCGTACCCAGCGGACAGCAATGGTGGAGTGTATGCATCAACGGACAAAGGAGGATGATTTGGCACAAGCGAGGGAAGACTATCTGAGAGAACGACAGCGTGCGCGACGAGAGCGGCAAGCAGCCGTTGAGCAGAAGGACGACCAGATCTAGATGTTCTGCAATGCATCTTGACTCTTGCCTCCATCGACTGCATGTACGACATGTGCAGACATCGCAATATCTCAGGCTGCACTCAGCCTACCATCAATTCTGTGAATACATTCCGTGGTTGGAAAGCATGACTGGCGATCATGCTCACTGAGGACACTCTCCAGTGCGTCTGATCACAACTCAAATTATCGACGCTTCGCAACCGAATCCCAGGGTCTTTCTAGCTACAATATGGACGACAGATCTGCTGCACACGATTCTCCGTGGATAGGTCTCGTTAGAGTCACCAATTTGGCCCTCAACTTTGATCAATACCCACCCAAAGTATGCTTATTCAATGTCACGCCTTCCTCGTCGGAAATGTCAAGCAGAGTATCAATCTCACAAAGACACCCTCTTTTTGGGCTTGTGCTGTCGCGTCCCAATCGTGCCTGTATACGACTCTCGAGTATTGCGATCCAGTTCGCACCTCGGATACATGTTGGCGAGGTATTGCTCAGCACATGAGTCCGATCAGACTAATACGCGGGGGCTTCTTCAGCAAGACGCGATTTGGCATTACGAGAAGAGTACGCTTGCAAGCACGCCACTGCATGCGAAGTAGTCTTGCCACAGCGATTCTTCCCAGTATTCTGCATCGGGGCTCATCAAGTTCAGCCTGTGCTGTTGATGAACGTGTTGCCAGATCTGTGCCTCGTAACACTGGTCCTTGCCCGCAAGCCCGGAAGGGAGAGTTTTGAGGAGCTCGTGACATTTAGCCCTATATTGGATGCGACATTCGTCGACTTTGCAGGAGGACGTCAGCGAGACGGCCAACTTCTTGAGCTCTTTACGCAGGCAAGAACCTAGAACAACAGAAGCCTGCAACGTGACATGAGAACCGATGAGAATGATGGCAAGGGTGTTGCTGCAGGAAGTCGAACTGCCCTTGCGGGATCTTGTCCGCTCAGCGAAAGGCCCGACTGCTGCCTTGTACGCTGGCAGTGGAAGTTAGAATCGAAACATGTTGGCCACTATCCAATGCCGTACTTTGGATGATCAAGGCCGACGCTGCACATCTGCTACGGCACATCCTTGATCTCCGTTGCTGCATCAAAGAAGATTCTACACAGGGGACCCTCTGCGTAGCTACTTGTATAGCCTGCAAGGAGTTCGGTCAGCTACAGGACTGAGTGCGAGCTTGTGCTTATACAGCACGACGTGAGTCTAGTGGCACGTGCCAGTGCCAAAGCTTTCCCTAAGGCTGAATGTCAAGTCGGCAGAGTAGCGTCAAAAGGACAGACCATGTGAAAGATCGTCAAGAGAATACACTCCAGTAGATGTGGTGGGGCGCAAACAGTATTTCGTGGGTTGTGATGCAATGGTGGACGTCGCAAAGTCGAGTAGTCCCATGACTGCGCTATGGGCAATCAACTTCATGTGATTCATTCTGCTACAGCTGTATGCTGCTGTGACCGGGTCCAGACCTACGAATACTTCGCAACTACGAATGTGCATCGACGCAAGCCCCTCGAAAACTCGTCATCACATCCTATCGCTAGGATTGTAGGCGTAGCCGTAGCCGGCAATGGCCTTGGCTGCGGCGATCGAATAGCACAAGGAGTGTATCGCCTGGCCATGGGTAGGACGTCACCGTTGCCAATGGTGCTGCAGCTGGAAACTGAGACTTACGAAGGTAGTAAGTAGTCTATACAGCAGAAACAGTGAGATGGCAGATGCATCAAGTCTTACTGCAGACCAGGGAGGTAGGAAAGGGAGCAAGTGGGCCTCAAAGACCAAGGTCGCATCGACAGAGCTATGGAAAGCGCTAAGAGGAAATGCAGAACACAGGTGTATTCTAGTCTGGATACTGAGTTGAAGTAGCTGTTGTTGAGCAGGGTGTGACTGGCGAATGCCAGGAACGCGAGGGGACTAGTGTGCATTCGGCATAGCGACATGGCTCGAAGCCGCGAACGACGGCGCAGAAAAGCAGTCCAGCTGCGATCGACTTCACCAGTAGGGTTTTGGCGGACACCCGTGGGGAGCTTGATCCTGTTGTAAGGTGTTGCTGTGCTCCGGCTGCAAGGTCTCAATAAATGTGTCGCCTGTAGGAGCTTGCTTCCAATGCTCATCTCGCAAAGTTTGGATGCAATCAAAGCCAGGCTGGTCAACTGGAATCGCCGGGCGCGTGATGAACCATTCAGATGCCTCTTCTGGCATGCCTTCGAATTGTTCGAAGTGCCTAGAGAGTCGTTTAGGTACAGCGGTCTCACCATAAGTACCACTTGTCTGTTCATAGGCAAGCGTCCATCCGGAACTGATCCTGCTGATGAAGGAGCTGAACTGAGGCAAATCGCACATGTGCTTACTCCCTGGCCGATGGGGTACTCTAGTGAATGTAGCCCAGATTCCACATCGACAAGTCTGTAGCTCTTCGTCTTCGGTTCCCTTTTCATTGGATGGATAAGACTCGAATGCAGTAAATTCTTCCACCATGCTTCCCAGCCAGGCATCCTCCAAACTGAAACCACTTGCGAATTGCCGAAAGAATGCAGTAAAGCGAGGACTGTCTGCATCGAGACGACCGTATTTACCATACTCATTTAGCATATTCACAAGAACAGCTTTGACATTCGAATACGGCCCCTTCCCTTCTGTCGCGTTGACGTATCCTGAATTCTGGCAGAAGGAGTCGTATGAGAAATGTGCATATCCGCGATTGCAAAAGGAATGTGGAACATCCGCTTCATCCTTGCTTTTGTAGATCGCGACAAACGCATGCGCGTGGATCCTACAGAGATTATCGCAATGAATCTGCGACTCGAGGATGGACGCCGATCGAACCAGACGGATCTTTGCCTGATAGCACTTCCCCGTTTCGAGTGCTTCGCCAAAGGTAGGGTCGCCAGGTGAAGCGGACTCTACAATGGTGTTGCTCGATTCTCCATGTTCAAAGTTCTCCGGTCTAGACTTGGATCCCCATAACTTCTTCAGCTTTTTGGAAAATCCACCAGCTGCTGAGCCGACAGCAATGAATGTGATGAGTAAAGTGAACAGCAGCCGCAGGGTTATCGAGACCCTCATTGTAAGATGCGTGAAACTGTATGGAGAGTGATGGGCAGGAAATGGATGGCAGGTGGACAGGTCGCTGATGTCTTGTGCACAGTGCATTCCAGTCGATGGCAAACTTTTTCACACATCTGACAGGTCGAGTGTACACGTCGCAACGCCATGTGATAAAAGTCGACGGGAATTTCAGGAGACGAGGAACTTGGTGTGTGAAAATGAGGCTTAGACTGAAGAGAAAGTGACCCGTTGTTGCAAAAGGCTCGACAAATTTGACTCTTCTGGCAGGTTGAAGATACGTATCACATCTGCATGTGCAAGATGCCGGACTTGACTCAGAAACTGGGCAAGTTCGCGTGAGAACATAACCTCATGGGGCTTGGATTGAACAAAACTTGATCCAATTTGATCCAAAGCAGCAAAAGTCTCGCAAACACGACTGTCGACGCTTTACCCCAAGCCCAATCGGATGGAGCCAATTCGAAGAAGTCAGGAGGCGCAAATTGGTTTATAAAATTGCTCAAATAGCCACTCTCAGGGGTCGAACGAGGTCCAATCAACGCAGCTGTACGCAGCTGCACGCAGCAAGACCGACCTGTGATGCGAGAGAGCATCAGATGATTAGAATCTCAACTCTGAGAGCTCAGAGCGCAAGCAGCAAGTGCCGAAGAAGACCACACGGGGGGTGTGCAGCAATGAAAAGTATTTGATGCGCCCAGTACACTGAGAATCAGTCTGCCATCTTCAGTCTCATATAGCAACATACCGAAAGAAGTCTGTCGTTTGTCCGGGAGTCTGGAGCTGGTCAGCCGCTGTGTTTCCTGAGGGCTCTCTTCGTCAGCTCCGTCAATTGTACTAGCTTCGGGCCCGGTAGCATCATCCATACAGCCAAGAGTGCAACAAGCAGCGCCACGAGAATGGGTGGAATGGCTTTTGGTCCACGCGAGGTGGCAATGACGCCAACGACAAGTGGAAAGATTGCACCACCCATGGACCCTATGGAGGCAATGAGTCCAATTCCAGCGACGTGAAGGCGAGGTGGGAGGTAGTCTGTAGCAAGCTGTATGATGAGGGGGAATGTTGGGCCAAGGAAGAAACCCGTCAGGGCAATGCCAATACTTGAGCCAACATAGGTCGGCGCAAGCCAAAATCCCAATATGCAGAAAAGGCTCATCGCAGTGAAGAGTTGGCAACCAAGCCAGGCTCCAACTATGTTGGCGGCCGGAGTCAGTAGAAATCGACCAAGTGTCAAACCCAGCCAAAATCCAGTGTTGGCGTAGCCTGCAACAGGTTCAGACGCACCGCGGACGTTCGTCAAGAAAGTGAGCACAAAGCCGCCTGTCGATATTTCCATGGCAAGATAGCAGAACATGTAGAAGGCGCCAACAAGACAGAACTTATTTGTTAGGGCTGCCATGACTGGTGTCTTTTGTCGACGCGGCGTATCCTCTGGCCCAGTCTCTGTCGATACACCCTTCTCTGAATCCTGCTCATTAGAGTCAGATGCTGTCCGTTTGGATGGTAAGGCACCGGCGGTGAGATCTGTGTGGCGTTTGGAGGCCAGCGCGTCTTCGGCAGCACAGTATGCTATTGAGTGCTTCCTGAATGCAATGGCAATCATTGTCGTCATGAAGCCAGCAAGACCGAGCAAGACGGCATACCAACGATACCAAGGCAACCCAGCTGCGATCCATTGCGTTACTGAGATGGGTGCAACAGCAGCTCCAAGACCATAGAATCCGTGTAGGCAGCCAAGAATGACATTGCTCTCGCGAAAGGAACCAAAGAAGGCATTCAAGATGGACTCAAAGAAGCCTGCAGCAAAGCCAAGTAGGATATAGCCAAGGACGATGCCAGCAAAATGCGGTGTGTTCGCTGTGAGGATCGCAAGGCCCATCATGAAGAGGGCACCACCGGCCAAGACACCCCAGAGTCTGCCCACTCTGGAGAGCACGTACGTTGAGCCGAGGCCAAGGATGCCATAACCAAGAATTTGACAGAAGAAGATGAGGGACACAACTGTGTAAGAGACGTTGTAATCCTTCTGAATGCTAGGCAGGAGAGCACCAGTCGTACCGTCTGACAATCCAAACATGAGAAATGTGAACCATGTCACGACGACTGCCAGCTTGTTGTCCCATGCAGATGGTTTGAGGGTTTCGAGTGTAGAGCCTTCAGGGTCATTGCTGACATTGGATGGCGCAACATTTGGATCTGACGTCGCGGGGTACTCGTCAATGGTTGTTTCCACTTCTTTCATTGTTAGGATGGCCTTTTTGCGAACACAGAGTCTTGACAGCAGCGTAGAGATAGCAAGTGGCACTCTTGTCAGGGTACAGTAAGCTCGGCGCGGAGAGAAGCAAGAATGCCCGAGATTGAGCTAGTAGCAGAATGCAGTTCTGTATTGATACATCAGGTGACAGTTCCTATAGCTGTCTAAGTCGAACCGAGCATACTGAGCGTTGGAGAGTCCATTATGGACCGAGGTCTGCATGAGCTGGAGGGTCTCCCGAAAAGTTCGCGAATGAAGGTTCATATCGGGCCGAGCTGATTCAGATGACATCGCATTGTACTATTCGTCTACAAGTACATTTTTACGCAGAATCCTTGACGACATCCAGAGGGTTTGTTGTAGTTGAACGTGACTTGATCCATTCATCCACACCCAGCCTCCACCTCTCACCAAACTTGACCACTAGTATGGTAAACACACCAGACAGTACAAGTAAGGCGGCAGCGAGAGTATTCGCCCACCCAACACCGACCGCATCAATGAGCGGTAGAATGACAGCACTCGCCGTCGCTGCAAATACATAGCGAATGGAATAATTCGCACCAACCACTTCTGTTGAGCGTTCTTGCATGCAATCGACACAATACGTGTTCACGCACGTAAACAATACAAGCTGAGCAATACCATTGAAAAACATGGCAATGACAGGGACTGCGATACCTCCCTTGCGTTGATCAATGGACCAACCATAGATGAGTGCCGTGCCTGGCAATACGAGCAGAAGCACCCAGATAGCACTGCGTAGTCGGTCTTCAGGGACGCGTCTGCCACGTATCCGTACCCATTTGCGTACTTCATAGTCTGCAAATCGGCCACCGACAAACGTTCCCACCAGATAGCCAAAGCCAGGAGCGAGATTGAAGAGACCTGAGAGTGCTGGTGATGTGATACCGAATCGTGGATTGATGACATAGCGAATGGGCGTCAGGAGACTATACATCATCCAGAGCACAAAGGAGCTCACGAGTCCCACAAGGGCAATGTTGGGGTAGATGAATAGACAAAGTGGTTTGAGGGGATTCACCCAAACAACCACAAAATGACCTTGCTCCTTCCGCAAGTCATCGTGAATGCGGTGATGCGACGTCTCTGGCAACACAAACAAGCATAAGAGAAGCGCAACACCACCAAGCCCAACAGTAAACCAAAAGACATCAGGCCAAGGTCGCCAATTGATGATGAGTCCTGCGATGAATGGGCCGAGAGCAGGACCAATGACAGTGCCAGAGAGGTAGTAACCCATGGCTGTACCACGACTACGCGGTTCATACATGTCTGCAATGATGCCTGCACCACATGCCATGAGCGCTGACCCAAACAGGGCACAAACACAACGAAAGACCACAAACGTCGCGAGGTTTTTGGAGAGTGCAGTGCCCATCGAGCCGACCGTGTAACCTAGCGCTGCGGCGGTGTAGATGGGTTTGCGACCATACACCTGTGACATGGGACCCCACCAGAGCGGCGCAATGGCCATACATAGCAAATAGGCCGTGCTCGTGATGTTGATGACTGTACCCGTGGTTCCAAATTGCGCTGCAATCTCTGGAACGGCTGAGAAAATGCAAGTTGTACTGAATGGTGAACAAAGCGAACAAAACGCGACAGCCGTTGTCAATATTGTCTTTCTGCGCTTGCTGAAGCGGTTATAGACATCGACATCCTCCGTTGCAGTGGTGATCTTGGCGAGAATGTTGGGCTTGCTTGTCGGGTAGTGATGCTCCGAGGCATGTGACAGGACATGTTGAATCTCATCGCCAAAGAGTTCTGGTGGTGCTGCGGCGGACTGGCGTCGTACGCGCAAGGGAATACTCATACAAAGATGATAAGAAAGGCGACAAGGCCTGCTGAAGTGCTATAGCGAGAAGGACTGATGACGGACAAGGGCCGCATGAGGGCCCAGTGAATGTTCCACTCTGCAGATGTAGAAGGGGATCCGGATCGCATCTGGTTCGGTACTTGCCATTCAGATGGAGAGGGGCAATCCTACACAGACATCTGCATCTTGATGGCAGGCCATGCCTCATACCCTACCACGACCAAGTCTTCATACTTGAAATCATCGATATCCCGTGGCTCAGCTGCTGGTTTGATCTCCAGTTTTGGGAACGGCTTGGGTTCACGCTCCAGCTGCACACGAAGCGCATCAATGTGGTCCTTGTAGATGTGCGCATCACCCATCGTGTGGATTAGCTCACCGGCATCCATATCACAGACTTCCGCTACCATCCGCGTCAACAGTGCATAAGACGCGATATTGAAGGGCACGCCCAGACCCATGTCACACGACCGCTGGTAAAGCAAGCACGACACTTCGCCTCTTCCTCGATCAGTTGCTGTGGCTTTAGGAAAGGAAACATAGAATTGGCAAAACATGTGACAGGGTGGGAGAGCCATCTTGCCCAGATCTGCTGGATTCCAAGCAGACAAGATGATGCGACGATCATAAGGGCTCGTTTTGATCTTGCGAATGCATTCAGCGAGTTGATCCACGCCTTGGCCTGTATAGTCTGTGTGGCAATCCTTGTACTCTGCACCGAAATGCCGCCATTGAAAGCCATACACTGGGCCCAAGTCGCCTTCTGCGCGGTTCGTGAGACCAATGCTGTCGAGGTAGGCGCGTGAGCCATTGCCATCCCAAATTTTGACTCCTAGATCTGCGAGCAGCTTGCCATTGGTGCTGCCCTTGACAAACCACAATAGTTCGTGGAAGATGGCCTTTGTGAAGACCTTCTTGGTTGTCAAGAGCGGGAAAGTACCATCACGCAAGGAAAAGCGAAGCTGGGACGGGGCAAAGAGAGATAGGGTGCCTGTGCCAGTTCGATCGGGTCGATGCTCACCCCTGTCAAGGATGTCTCTGATGAGGTTCAAGTACTGGAGCTCTTCATGGGCCATCTGTTGCGCTTGTTGTCTTTGTCGCGTCGTTTTGAATTTTGACTTGGACGCGAAAGAATTAGAACTAGAGTGCTATATCTGAAGCTGAAAGTGAAGAGGTAGAGATGAGACTAGGTGGAGCTCAGTTCAGAGGAGGAAGAAAGTACCAGGCAGACTGTTTCGAGCGAAAAGAAAAGGGAAATGCTTATGTGACTGCTACTACACCCGACGCGACTTCATAACAAAGCAACAGGCGCCAGAACCAAACACCAGATACACTCACAGCTGCAGATGCGCATCGAGTCCCTCGTCATCGACGGATTCAAGTCCTATGCCGTCCGCACAGAAGTCTTCTTCGACGCGACATTCACTGCCATCACAGGCCTCAATGGTTCCGGCAAATCTAACATTCTCGACGCGATTTGCTTTGTCCTTGGTATCACCAATATGACCACCCTACGCGCTCAGAACTTGCAAGATCTTATCTATAAGCGCGGACAGGCGGGTATTACCAAGGCGAGTGTCACGATTGTCTTTGCGAATGATGTGGAGAAGACGTCGCCCGTCGGTTTCAGCTCAAAGGATCATCCAACCATCAGTGTGACGCGACAGATTGTCATGGGTGGTACAAGCAAGTACTTGATTGATGGCCGACGTGCGCAACAGCAGTCTGTGCAAAATCTCTTCCAATCCGTCCAGCTCAACATCAACAATCCCAACTTCCTCATTATGCAAGGACGAATCACAAAAGTCCTCAATATGAAGCCCCTTGAGATCCTCAGTATGATTGAAGAAGCTGCTGGTACACGTATGTTTGAAGAGCGGAAGGAAAAGGCTATCCGGAATATCGCCAAGAAGGAAGCCAAGGTACAGGAAATCAATGCACTGCTCGCTGAAGAAATTGATCCAAAGCTTGACAAACTCAGACTTGAGAAGCGTGCATGGCTCGAGTTTCAGCAAACCCAGATGGACATGGAACGCACATCAAAGCTGGTTGTGGCGCACGACTATGATCACTTGACGAGTATGGTCCAAAATGCTGGCGAAGCGCTCCGTCAACGCACTGATGCCATTGTAGCGCTGGAAGCAGCTCAAACGCGCATGAAGCACGAAATGGGCAACATTGAACAGCAAGTCAAGGAGATTCATGCCAAGCGCGACAAGGAAGTCCGCAAAGGTGGTCGCTACGCCAAGCTGGAAGAGGAAGCCAAGGCACTCTCACATGAACTTGTCAGGCTCACCACCAATATTGAGTTGAAGCAGGAGAGCTTGCGGGAAGATAAGAGCGCAGCCAGCAACGTCGAGGCTCAAAGGCAACAGCTGCAAGTCCAAATGACTGCCAAGCAAGCAGCATACAAGGCAGCTGAAGTCAAGCATGTCGCCCTTCGAACTGCCTTTACAGAAACCGATGGTGAGTGCGCAAAGAAGGATGAGCTACTGCAAACCCTCTCGACTGGATTTGCCGCAAAAGAAGGCCAAGATTCTGGCTACCTCGATTTGCTTGCTGATGCACAAAAGCGAGCAGCGCAAGCGGCTACAGAACAAGAACAAGCCAAGCTCAAAATTGCCCATTGCGAAAAGAGCATCAAGGAAGCTGAGCCAAAATCCAAGCTAGCTGAGCAGCGTAATCGCACGTTGCGCAAGGAGCTCGATGTGCTACGTCAAGAAGTTCTGGCACTCGAGAAGAAGCTGTCCAAGCTTGGCATTGATCCTGGAGCACAGTCGCAGATGCAGACACAACAACGTGATCTCAAGGCCAATATCAGACAAATGACTTCTCAGGCCGATACATTGCGTCGCAAAGTGGCGAATCTCGATTTTTCCTACTCTGACCCAACACCCAACTTTGACAGGTCTCAAGTGAAAGGTCTCGTTGCACAGCTCTTTACGCTTGATCAACAACATTTCGCTTCGGCTACTGCACTAGAAATTTGCGCCGGTGGTCGACTGTATAATGTCGTTGTTGAGAATGAAAAGGTGGGTTCTCTCTTGCTCTCTGGTGGCAAGCTTCGCAAACGCGTGACCATCATTCCACTCAATAAAATATCGGCGATGCGTGCTTCTGCCGAAAAACTCGGTGCTGCGCAACGGCTTGCTCCGGGTAAGGTCGAGCTGGCTCTATCACTTGTTGGGTATGACGACGAAGTTGCAAAAGCTATGGAATTCGTGTTTGGTACAACACTCATCTGTGCGGATGCAGAGACTGCAAAACGCGTCACGTTTGATCCGCAAGTCAAGCTCAAGAGTGTGACGTTGGAAGGCGACGTGTATGATCCATCAGGCACGCTGTCTGGTGGAAGCAAGCCCAATAGCGCAGGCGTTCTCATCACTTTGCAACAACTCAATGAGGTGGGTGCGTCTCTGTCAGCTGCACAAAGTCAACTGCAGCAACTCGAATCGCAGCTTGAAAAGGACGCCCAACGCCATGCTCAAGCTGCTGAGCTCACCAATCAACTCGACCTCAAGCATCACGAAGTATCTGTTCGCGAAGAGCAAATTGGTGCGAACTCTGATTCTCGCATCCTGACAGAAATTGATGAGCTGCGGACATCCATTCAAGCATTCCAAAGTACCATTGCAACTGCCAAGGAGGCGCAAGAGATTGCCAAGCGCGATGTCAAGCAAGTTGAGCGTGATATGGCTGAATTCAAGAGCAACAAGGGCGGCAAGCTCTCTGCACTCAAGAAGGAAGTGGAGGCATTGCGCAAGACTGCAGCATCCCAAGGTATCGCTGCAAAAGAGGCTGCCAAAGCCTATCAAGCATTGCAATTGGAGCAAGAGCAATTAGCGAGTGAAGCAGAAGCTGCCCAAGAGCAATTATCTGAAATGAAGGCTTCCTTGGCGCAGCATGAAGAAGAACTAGCAACGCTTGCACAGACACGGAAGGAAGTTTCAGATCGCCATGATGCGCTAGCTGCAGAGCTTGCTGATGAACGTAGCCGACTCACAGCGTTTGATACAGAATTGGAGGAGCTCAACAAGACGAGAGAGCTCAAGGTCGCTGCTGTCGCGCAAGCTGGCTTGGATTGTGCCAAACAGAAGCATCAATTGGATGAGTTCAAGAAGGAGAATGGTCAGGTGGAGCAGCGGTTGCAAAAGCTGGTCGCAGAGCAGCCTTGGATTCCGGAGTGCGTGGACGACTTCGGCAAGCCTGGTGGTATGTTTGATTACCGTGCGGCAGACCTCAAAACAACACGCGAGCACTTGAAGACATTGACGGAGCGGTTCACAGTCATGCGAAAGCGTGTGAATGCCAAGGTGATGAACATGATTGAGGGTGTCGAGAAGAAAGAGACGAGTTTGAAGCAGATGGTGCGCACGATTCACAAGGACAAGCTCAAGATTGAGGAGACAATTGTTTCTCTTGAAGCGTATAAAGTCAAAGCACTTGACGAGACATGGCAAAAGGTAACGGTCGACTTTGGCAACATCTTTGGAGAGCTCTTGCCTGGCAATACTGCAAAGCTGGTACCACTAGAAGGCAGAGATGTGACTGCTGGTCTCGAAGTCAAGGTTTGTTTAGGCAAAGTCTGGAAACAGTCATTGACGGAATTGTCTGGTGGTCAACGATCTCTCATTGCCCTTTCTCTCATCATGTCCTTGTTGCAGTACAAGCCAGCGCCCATGTACATTCTCGACGAAGTAGACGCTGCGCTCGATCTCAGCCACACCCAAAATATCGGTGCGTTGATCAAGTCTCGCTTCAAGGGCTCTCAATTCATCGTCGTTTCCCTCAAAGAGGGCATGTTCACCAATGCCAACCGCATCTTCCGGACCAAGTTTGTCGACAATACGTCGGTTGTATATATAAGCAATCAGTAGTCTTTAGCATGAATGTCGCGGCCCATAAGGTCGATACCCAGGGCATTGAGTCTTCGTGAATGTTGATTCTCGAAGCAGTGAACACCATACTCGCCTTGAATGCGTCGTCCTTGTTCGCGATCCACAAAGGGGACGCCTTCGCCACTGATACCAGCTTGCCAAAAGACAAGGCATTCACACAGACCTTCGTGAATGACTTTGGTTGCGTCCCATTGATTGAGGTTGTTCATGTGAGGGATACTGTCGGTGGTGTTGAATTTGCCAGGTAAGAGGCCCCTGAAGCTGCTTTCGATGAAGGAAAGCGCCGTGTCGTCTGGGAGAATAAATGATGTCGGAAAGCGATACCAGTCTGAGCCCATGCAATATTCCTTACCAGGTGGCAATCTTGGAAAGAGCAAAAGTGGGGCGCGGTAAGAGAGCGTGACATCGGTGATGCGATAGATGCTAATCAGCGCACTCAAGACAAGAACAAAGAGCTTCATCGTCCTTGGCAAGAGATGTTGCGGTAAACGCAGCTGGTCTGTCATCAAATCTGTGATGCGTTGGGTGAATTGGAAGAGCAACTCCAAAGAGATGCTTGCAGAGAGCACAAGTGCCGGGTAGGCTGGGTACATGAAGCGCTCCTCTTTGTGCGGCTGCAGTGTGAAGACACTGAACCAAAGTGCGAATCCTGCAGTGCATTGTATGTAGAACTTCTTCTTGGACAGCATAGCTAGTGGCAGACCTAGGAGTGCCAACGGAAACAAGAAGTTGAAGTTAAGAAGCAGATTTTTGAAGTAATAACTCCATGCTTCTACTCCAAACAACTCGGGTCCTTGCTGAAAGACGTTGTAGAGGATGATGTTGAGAGGAACAATAGCCCAGCGCCTGTAGAAGAAGTAGTCGATGACCGTAGCGATCAACAGTACCTGAAGAGCAATGATTGTACCTCGCACGTAGCTGTAGAGTGGCTTCATAAAGTTGATTAGAACCAAAGGAATGAAGAGCAAGATACTGAAAGGCCAGCCAATGATGACTCCAATTGCAAAAGCTGCCGTTGATAGAGTATGATGCTGCCGCAAAAACAAATCGAGACCGAGTGTACAAGTGTATAGCGTAAATGTGCTTGGCAGCAATGCTGTACTCGCAGTGAACATGCCTGCACTTGTCAATAGTCCCGCAAGTGTCAGAAGGCCAAGTTCTTCATTCGCTTTAGAGATGGTCATGACGAGAGATGCCTCAATAAAGGCACTGACAGCACCCAAGATGCATCGCAACAAGTAGAACTGCTGCTCACGCGAGAGGATATCTTTGAGCGGATATAGCGGCAATGCATGCAAGCAAATATATGTCCAAGAGCGTATAGCGTAGACTGGCGAGTACTCCCACGTCTGAAAGCCTGTCCCGTGCAAGAGGAAGTGGAGGGGCTCCCAATAGTTGTAAGTTTCATCTGTGTCGTGGATGATGTTGTGCTGAGCACTCAAGAGACGAGGGATGAGCAAGAGAGCCAGTACGAGTAGATAGCTCACATGCAGCTTCTTTGCAGCGGGCTTGGCATTGTACTCCTCTATACGAACCATGAGCTGGGATAGCTTAAGTATTACTAGTACCAGCTCGCCTTCAAAGGCACGTCGAGCAAGGTTTAAAATGATAAAAATGATCTAACAGTCACAAGTGGCCGTCTATGAAAAGGTGAAGGGGTAACTAAAATGTGGCAAGGATAGCCATGGGCAGAAGTAGCAATGTCCATGCCAATGGAGTGATGGTCGAGGCAGACGAAGAGCCTGGCAATCTAGCATGACCAGAAGGCTGAGGGGGAGCCAGTCCAGAAATTGTCGGGTCGACACTTGGAAGGCCAGTCTCACCGGGGTTCTCAACGTCATCAGGGCCAGTTGCAACACTTCCGTCGCCATTGGCAAGGGTGACGCCACCTGCAGAAGACCAGCTGGTAGAAGTAGTGGTCGTCGTCGTTGTGGTTGAGGAGTAGGAGAAAGTGGTGGTCTGGTGAGACTCAGCTGTGATGGTCGTCGTGGTGGAGCTGTTGCCAGTGATGGCAGCGACGACGGCTGGAGGAGCCAAGGCAGGCACAGCAGCTGAGAGCTTGGGAGGCTGAGTGACAGTTGTGATAGTTGTAGCCTGGCAATTTGTAGGGGCTTGACCCGGGTAGGCGTGAATCTCCATATCATCCGTCTCAGTCGAGCAATAGTAGAATTTGTAGCCTGACAGGGTAACGACATTCGTTTGGATAGAAAAGCCAACGACAATGTGAATGTTGAGGTCGACCTGGCTTGATTCAATGATAATGAGCGCACCACCACCCTTGACCACAACAACCACTGTGGAACCCGTAGACCAGATTGCGCCACTGCCCTGAGAGACAACAACACAAGTTTTGCCAGTAACGGAGCCGCCTGTGACACCAGGAGTGTTGCTGACCTCTGGGTTCGAGGCAGGAGGGGTCTTGGTAGGAGTAAGCACAGAGCCAGTGGGGACAGCTGAAGAGGTAGACTCGGCTGGCGATCCTTCAGTGCTAGTACCGACAGTGCCAGTAGAGGCGGGTGTATCCGTCTTATCACCATCGTCACCATTGATGCCACCCGATGTGCCGTGTCCCTCCTTCTTGGTGCCATCATCGTTGTCGTCGTTTTCTTCGGTGTTGCCATCATCCTTGCTGCCGTCCTCTTCACCGTCCTTGTTGCCATCGCCCTTGCCTTTGGTCTCCTCAGTCTTGGACTTGACATAAGGAACCTTGCAGATACCAGTCTTCTGGCCAGGCTTGTCAGTAGGCAGCTGGTGCCTACAGATCTGATTCTTGGACCTGTCGGTGACTGGCTTCACATAGACGCCGTGCACGTCTGGCTTGCCCTTCGTTGGAGCAACACATTTGCCAGAGGAACCATCGGTAGCGATGACCTGCACGATATTGTTGATGGTCACAGAGAGGGAGAACTGGATTTGGGTCTGGGACTGGACGCTCGTGGTGGGTCCAGCGCAATTGTCGCAGGAGAGGGCCCCTCCTGCTAGTAAAGAGAGTAGTGAGAGAGTGGCTGATCGCATCCCTGTCTTGAGCAGATGTAGAAAAGATGAATTACTCTAGACGCGTTGCTGGTTGAGAGGTAGGAGCATTGGTCGTGAGGAGCGGCTTCTTATAGCTTCGCCAGCCTGGCGGAAGAGGCAGTCAGGGTCAGTCGACTAAGAATAGCATCAATATGTTGACAAGCAACATCACACATAGATCACATTGCTTGCGAGCCAGGCAGTGAAGCGTGCCATCGAGCCATGTGTTTCTCGGTGTATGGCAAATAAGGAGCAGTGCGCAGCAAGTGTAGGCCAACAAACAATTATGGTTTGTCGTGAGTCTCGGGTGGGATAATGTTGCAAGTCAGCTGGTTTTCTCCTGAGCCAATATGAGCACATAGTTTGTGCTGTTACAGACAGAGTGCATTCTATACGCAGTAGCCTGGTCTGTGTCTATGCCAAGCGAAAGGCGTCACATGAGCTGTGTAGGTTGGGGTGTCTTTGGTCAAAATTGTGTTGTTGAAAGCGAAAGTTCAATTTTGCGAGCACTCAGGGGCAATTGAGGTTGATCTACGAAGGAACGCGACGTCTCAGATCAATGCGAGGCCCAATATAGAAAGACTCATGGCACCTGCCAGGAGAGCCGTCAGTGACAAACTGCTGCCTTGGCCAGGGATGATTGAACGCGAGATGCCTTGCATGCCGGACCTGCTCGATGCAGCAGCCAAGGTGCTTTGGACACCCATGGCGCCAGAGCCTGAGCCGGATGCGCCCGAGGCTGCAGCAAGCGAGCCACCATTCATACCACCCGCAGCACCGGATCCAGAGGCAGCGGCCAGTGAACCCATTGCGCCAGCTGCTCCGGCAGTCGTCGCTGCACCACTGCCAGCATTACCAGCAGCAGCGGCGCCTGCAACAGCAGCACCGCCAGCGACTGCACCGCCTACAGCAGCGCCCGTACCTGAACCAGATCCGCCTGCAGCGGCCATGGTTGTCTGCTGAGCATTGGCAGCTGCTGCAAGACCATTTGTGGCAGCAACAACGTTACCAGCTCCAGCGACACCAGCACTATGCATGTTAGTTCAAATGCTCAGCCCATCAAGCTGAAGACATACCCAGTCGTGGTGGCGAGCAGGTTAGCAGGGGAAGAGCCAGAAGCCCTTCTTGCAGCGTAAGCAGCACATGCGGCACCGTTCAAGCTAGAGGTGGTGGCAACATCTTGAGCATTGCATGAGGACAAGACACAAGGCGTGACGGCTGCATTGAAGGCAGGTGTACAGACACAGCCAAAGTCAAGTTCGCTGGCGCAGTTGAATTTGGAGAGTTGGGCCTTGACGCAAGTGTCTGCACAAGCAGGAAGCGCTTGAGCAGTGACCTGGGAGGCTGCTGCGAGCAGGAGGGTAAGGAAAGTGGTCTGCATTTTCGATGCTGGTATGGAGGGAAGAGGTGAGTAAGAGGCAGGGATGCTGCTGCTGGGCTTATATGGCGCAGAGCTTATTCTGGCTGCCCCTCACTTTCATCACCGTGTGCTGGCCATGGCTCTGGCCGTCTTCCGCTCTGGCTGCCCTTTTCCAAGACTTTGTCCTTCAATTGGCCCGGGCGCCGCTTTGACAGGTGCAGCCGTTGGACAGCGCAAACTCGCCATTGGCTCATCTGCCTGGCCTCAATCTCGTACACTCAGCTCAGACTCAGCTGCCAACTCTCCTTCTGTCCAGTACCTGCCCCGAGGAAAGGACGTAGCGTGCGTACATAGCTTAAAGCAGCTTCATCTACACACCTCTACTTGGGCTTCTTGCTTGGCAGCACCGGGCATAATCCTCCGGCACGAGCTCATGGCAAGCAAGCGACGGATCCAGCAGACGGGCGGGGTCAGCTGACACGTGTCTTGCGGCTTGGCACTGAGGCTGGTGAACGTCTCACGCTTCCATCTCAAAAAAAGTTGAACGGCCGACAAGAGGCAGAGAGGTCTAGCAACCGCGTGTGGATCGAGTGTGCAGGCAGTCAATCATGTCTGGCAGGAGAAAATTGGCGCGGCAGGCAGGAAGAGGGACTGCTCCTCGCCCGGCTGCTTCTTCTAGCGTGGCTGGGGGTCGCAAAGCGCCAAAGCGGAAATCGCAAAATAAGTCGCAGTATCGTGCGCAGAATGCATTCAATCTCGCAGCGCAAGGCGATGATGATGGCGAAGAAGGCGATTCAGATCAAGGGCAAGTGAAGGAAGACGATGACGAGGAAATTGATTCTGACGATGCATTTGAGTCTGGCGATGAAGAGCGCTTCAGTTCATTCAAATTCACGGGATCTCTCAAGAAGAATGGAACGCCCAAGTCTGTACTCGACAAGAAGCTCCAGAAGGAGGTGGGAGCAAAAGAAAGTAAATCAAAGAAGGTCACTTTTGCGCGGCGGGAAATTGATTTGAATGAAGACTCGGACGATGCGCTTGAGGCTGCATCTGACGAGAGCGAGTCTGAGGACGATGACGGGGGAGTCTCTGCGTCAAAGCATGATGCAGAAGAATCAGCCTCTGACTTTGAAGAAGATGATGGACAAGACCTCATGGATCTATCAGAGATGCTGGGTGGGCCAAAGGAGAAAGCAACGGAATCTGACACAGAGGAGGACACGGCACCTAGCGGTCCCGATCTGGATGAGATTCCCTACAAATCAATGCCAGACTCCGAAGACTCTGAAATGGACTCGGCCGACATCCTCAGTGAAAGTCCAAGCGACGAAGAAGGCAACGAGGATGCTCTCGAACGCTTCATCCAACAACTCGATGCCCGCAAACGACAGAATGAAGACACGGAGACACCCAAGAAGCGCGTCAAGCGTGATTTGACCGAGGTCAATGAAGCCAACACCGCTTCAGAGCACAATGCAACCACCACCAATAAGCTGACAATGGATGATTTATTGGCTGGTATGAGCGACAAGCAGGCAGCTGTACTTGGAAAGGGTGAAACACTTCAAGCACCCCTTGCTAAACCCATCCAAGATCGCATTGATCGCTCAGCTGCATATGACACGGTCAAGGATCAAATTACACAGTGGCAACCTGCAGTTCGGCAATTACGTGAAGCACCAGTTCTCAAGTTTCCTCTCCAAGAGCCAGCAAAGCCCGTCAGCAGCACCAATACGCTCGCAGCAGAGTTCAAGCCATCCAATAATCTGGAGCATGAAATCGACTCCATCCTCAAGGAGAGTGGTATGCGCTCCGAGAAGCAAGTGGCTGCGTTTGAAGACTTGGCCATGGCATCCTTGTCGGTTGAAGAAGTGGCTGCTCGACGTGCTGAGCTTGCCATTATGCGAGACTTGATGTTTCGACAGGAAATTAAGGCGAAGCGACAGTCCAAGATCAAGTCAAAATCATATCGTCGCATACAGCGTAAGGAAAGGGAGAAGCTTGCTGCTGCGCAAGAGCCAGATGGGCGACAAGTGGAGGAGGAGAGGGCTAGAGAACGGATGGAGTTGCGGCATCGCAACACAGGTGCTTGGGCGCAGAAGATGCTCGGTCGTGCACATCATGGTGAAGGCAGTCGACAGGCCATCACTGAACGTCTCCAACGTGGAGAGGATCTCGAGCGCAAGATTCGTGGGGACGATGAGGATGTCTCTGAAGAAGACCAAGCTGACGATGCGGAAGAAGAAGCGTTGCCGAACAAGGGTGTCTTTGCAATGAAATTCATGCGCGATGCAGATGCTCGCGAAGCACGAGATTTGGACGCAGAGGACGAAGAAGAGGTCGAGGGTCTGATTGAAAGAAATGCTGGTCGTCGGCGTTTTGCTCCTGCTGCTCAGGCAACACCAGAAGAGCCGCAGGAAGCGGTATCAGACAACGATCCTGACGCGTCTGCGAGACTAAATATGGTCGAGAGACGCAGCAAGCCAACGCCATCGTCCCGCGAATTGCCAGATCCTGAAGCGGATGATGATGAGAACCCCTGGCTCACAGCAACGCCTCGCAGAGACAAGTCACATGTCAGTGCAAAGGATGACGACGCATCTCACAAGTTTGCAGTCAAGCTGGCCAAGGCCAAAAAGGCAACCAAAGCACCCAAGCATGCTGGCAATATGAAGCCAGCGCTGGACATGACAAAAGTCTTGACCATTGCAGATGACGCGCAGCCTGCATTACAGCAAGATCTCGTTGCACAGGCCTTTGCCGGTGATGATGTTGTTGCTGAGTTTGCTGCTGAAAAAGAAGCTGCAGAGCAAGCAGATGCGCCGCAAGAAATTGACGAGACGTTGCCTGGGTGGGGATCATGGACAGGCGCTGACATTAAGCGAAAGCCCAAGAAGCGCTTTATTCGCAAAGTGGAAGGACTGGATGTGGAGGCACGCAAGGACAAAGGGTTGGCGCATGTCGTGATCAATGAGAAGCGCATGAAATTGGCTAAACCACTCATGACGGCTGCAGTGCCCTTCCCGTACGCAACAAAGGAGCAGTACGAGCGGTCTTTGCAGATGCCGTTGGGTAAGGAGTGGGCTACGAGGAGTACCTTCCAGCGCACAACGATGCCCAAGGTGGTCGTCAAGCAGGGAGCTGTTATTGCCCCGATGCAACGGCCTTTTGCATAGAAAACAAGCTCAAGTGATGAGAGTAGCTCAGTATTCAGATGGCGCATCTTTGTCCGTGAGAATTTGGCGCTTTTTCTTACAACAAGCTAGGAAGCATTGATAGAGCAACCACCGCAGTGTATACATGCCGCGTAAGAAGTCGGCAGCCAAGAAGGCGCAAGCCAAACCCAAGTCGCCTGAGCCAGAGGTCAAGGAGACTGTGCTCTTTGATCAGGACGAAGCAGAGGATGAGGAGGGATTCACCATCAATGCTGAATTCGCACGGCGCTATGAACACAACAAGAAACGCGAGGACTTGCATCGCTTGCAGGAGAAGTACAAGGCAGAGGGTAGCGAGGACAGTGATAGCGAGACGGAGGACTCAGATGGTGAGCTCAATACGCCGCAAATTGATGCAACCATCTTGAAGGTTCTCAGCAAGATTCGGAGAAAAGACGCCGACGTGTATAAGAGCGATGTTCAGTTCTTCGACGAGCCTACAGAAAGTGCCTCGAAATCAAAAACGAAGGAGGCCAAGCCAGTGACCATTGCTGATTTGCACAGGCAAACGCTTTTGACCGGCCAAGGCAATGCTGAACATGATGGCCAGGATTCAGACGATGAGATCCCGACGCATGTGCAAGAACAAGCAGAATTACGAGCTGCTTTCAGAACAAAAGAAGGTCAAGCCGATAGTGACGATGAAGTTCTGGTACGGCGAAAGAAGACGAGCGATGAGGTGGAGGAAGAAGATAAGGCGTACAAGGACTTCTTGGCAGAGCAACTCGCCGAGTCAGGCGATGCAGATGTGCTGCAGAAGCTTGATGGTAGTGATGCTGAGGAAGGTGAGGCCTTCTTGATGGACTATGTCTTGAACCGTGGCTGGCTCGACAAGGATGCTCAAAAGCGACCAGATTACAGCAATCTTGTTGGCGATGAGAGTGAAAGTGAAAGCGACTTTGAAGAAAAAGCAGAACAATTCGAGACGGCGTACAACTTCAGGTATGAGGAGCCAGGTGCGCTCGAGCTTGCGTCACACCCGCGAGATGTCCCAAGTTTGCGTCGCAAAGAGGAGAAGCGTAAGAAGGAGCGAGAGAGCAAGCTGGCGAAGCAGAGCAAGCAAAAGACTGAACGCGAGGAAGAGCTCAACCGCTTACGCAACTTGAAGCGGCAAGATCTGGAGGACAAGATTGCGCAGATTGAGCAAGTGACAGGCACCAAAATGGATTTCGCTTTGGAAGACCTTGAGGCGGATTTTGATGCGGACGACTGGGACAAGCGGCTGATGAGCAAGTTTGACGAAGCATACTACAATGAAAAGGATGCAGAGAAGCCAACGTGGGATGACGATATCGAGCTGGACGACTTGGGCATCGCCGAGGATGAGGATGCGGTTCAAGCAGACGTCGAGGAAGATCCAGCGCCAAAGAAGCAACAAACACTCACACATCGAGAACGCAGGGAACGGGCTGCCAAGATTGACACGCTCGTGGACAAAGCGATTGGCCCTGTCAACCCACTGGGTGATGGCACAGTGTTCAAGTACCGCAAAACAGCTCCAGAAACTTTTGGCTTGAGCATAGAAGACATCTTGTTTGCAGATGACAAGGATCTGAATGAGTTTGCAGGACTCAAGAAGCTGGCTGCCTTTAGAGATCAGGAGAAGCGCGAAAGAGACCACAAAAAACTTGGTGCAAAGAAGCGAGTCAAGCGATTCCAGAAGCAACTTTGGGAGGATAGCAAGTGGGCATCACGCGAGGTAGCGCTTGGAGAGAAAAAAGAGAGCAAGAAGCGGAAGCGTAAAGAATAAGCTGCTCTAGTGTCTCATAGCAACCGTTGCAAAAGGTGAAAAGTCGCGTACGATGGGGATCTCTGCAGAGCCATCGTCCTCGCGATGCGTCTGCTCTGGCGAATCTGAGCGGTCGTCTGGAATTACATACTCCTTCTCGTTCAAGAGATTGTACTCCCTTGCCACAGCTTTGTAGTGAAGTGCTCGACCCTCGACGTCTGCGTACAACTCTGGATGGTGGAAGTAGGCATGCGCATAGATGCGATAGCAGCGACGCACCATAGCAGCCAGTAAAGCGATACGTTCAGGCGAGTCTGCCATCCTCCTAGGAAAGTGCTTTGGGTCCATCAGCATGAGTGAAGCTCTATCGAGCGTGTGCATCGTGTAGCTATTTGCCGTGCATGGTACTGGTGCGCCATGGTGCACTGCGCACACATACTCAAACGGACCAGCATGCATGTCTGTGCAGGTACAATGGTAGAAGAGCGAGACGACAAGTGTATTGAGCTCCAGCAAGAGAGTACGAACAGACTCGAACAGGCGTACTGCTGATTGCTGCTCTGTATCGCAGCTTGGGTCCTGATTCATGCTGAATAGATTGACACTCGGCACTGGATGTCCTTGCGTGCTCATGCGAGACTTGCTGGTTCTTCGTGCATCTGACTGAGCTTGCAGCAGCTGTCAGGGGTGCGATCGTGTTTGTTCAGCGTGTAGGGAGGGAAGCTCCTGAGGTCATCGACATGCCTCTACGTATACAACCCAGCTGGATGACTACATGTACAAGAGCAAACGCAACGACACAAACTGGCAGACGACGTCCGTGCTCTCGATTCTGACCGTCCATCAGAGTTGTCAGGATTTGCCGGCGCCTGTCAAGATTCGGGAGGGCACGTGTGATGATCGCATCGCATCCAATCTAGGGTGTCGCACGGGCAGCTGGGCACGGATGAAGGGCTCTCGCCCGGTCCGCCTGCCCGTGAAAATGCCTTTGTCCGCGCCCGCCTGCCATTTGCCCGTCTGCCCGGGCTTAGGAGCAATTCACGAGATGACACAACGGACAACACTTTCGACGACGAAGATTGATTGATATAATAGTGGTTGATAACTTGATATGCTCTATCGTTTTTTGGATCTCCAACCTTGCTTCAGAATACCTTGTTTAGACCAATTTCCAAGGCACATGAGCATCGCCAGGGAATCGCCTTTCATTCTGTTTCGAACATGCGGAAGCAGAAGACGTCCCGCCGAGAAGGCTCGCTCTGAGGAAGCGCTGCGCTGCCACGCTGGCAAATGGAGATTTGAGCAGTCTGAGACTCTGAAGGCCAGTGAGTGTGAGTGGTGCTATTTGGGACACACAGGTGCATGCTGCATGCACCATCTACAGTGTACAGTCTCGCTAGTCGCGACTCCTTTCAAGATTGTCCGTTTCAGTCTTTATGATTCCGGAAGGTCAAGAACGTCTCGTGTCATCGGCGAGGCAGATGTCCGGAGTCACTCACAAGATGGCTCTCACGGGCGAAGTTTGAGGGCGGGCGAAGTGGGTTTGCCCGGACCCTCCGGGCACATTTGATCTTTTGTCCGTGTTCGTCCGCGGCGCGGGCACGGGCATACGGGCAGAATGCAGGCGGGGCCGGGCAAATTTTGCGGCACGCTACGGCACAATCTGCCGGCGCGCATGTCGGATAGAATTGTCGAACCTCTGTATGTGCAGCTAGAGCTAGGCTACTGCTAGAGCTTTGGCTGCTAGAACCTTGAAGACTGTCGGCAAGAGAGCAGCTTGTACACTTGAGGTCATCAAGCGACATACGTCGCATGGAAGAGCAACAGGCGCACACTAGATGAGTCGAGGATCTTCTTTGCCCTTCGAGGCCGACATGAATGAGCGTACGCCAATTCCGCCGTTTTTACACAGAGACAGCTCGAGCCTCAGTGCAGTCTTTGCCGGCGGCCCTCGAGGGGCGCCTTCAGACCTTGGGTCTTCCTTTTCAGACTATTCAGAGGTCACCCTCTTGTACGCCGCGAATCATCTATACGGAATACGAGCACGGCATAAGCTGCGCGACGTTAGGGTCTTCATCAAAGCAGTCTTGCATCTGCATCATCTAGACGCAGTAACGCGGATCAGACATGGCAAGTCAGATTGCACCGTGGATCATACTAACTCCAGAATGGTACTGTCAAACACTCATCAGTGATTTGCCTAATGTCGGCAAACCACACGCAATGGAGCCCTGTAATAATGGACATGGTCTCATGCTAGTCTTTTTTGACGGCGGCGAACAATTCTCTTACGAATACTTTGAGCGGGACATCGCTCAAGTGGACATGCTGACTGCCAATTTGTCCGCACACGAGCCCAGACCTCTTGACGTGGGGACGTTTCTATCTTTTGCCATCGACATTGCGACCATCCTGAGTAGTTTGCACGCAAAGGGTATCACACATGGGAACATATCGCCCTTCAGCTTGGGCGTGGACCTGGAACACACTGGCATGATCTATGACATGACTTGCTCTTCGCAGCTTGAGCACGAGGACACCTCTCACGGACACATCACGGCTCAACACTTGCCCTTCATCTCGCCGGAAGCTTCTGGTCGCATCAATCGATCCACAGATTATCGCAGCGACTTTTACTCACTCGGAGCAACATTCTACTTTCTGCTGACCGCACGATGCCCATTCATGTCTGAAAATGCACCGGAGCTCATCTATAAACACATTGCGCAACTTGCAATCGAGCCACACATCATCAGCGGGAGTATTCCACCCGTCATCTCCGCCATTGTCATGAAGTTACTGGCGAAGACGCCAGAGGACCGATACCAGACTGCAGCGGGGCTACTCAGCGATCTTGTCATGCTGAAGGATTGGAATCACTCAGATCTTATGACTACAGATTTTGTGCTTGGTCATGCAGATTCAGCATCGCAGTTCACCATTCCTCAAAGACTTTTTGGCAGAGATGCAGATGTTCAACGACTTCTCAGTTGCTTTGAAGCAGTCAAAGAAGGAGGAGCCAATGTAGTTATCGTCAAAGGCCACTCAGGTACCGGTAAAAGTTCACTTGTCAACGAGATTCACCGGCCAGTCATGAAGGCAAGTTCCTTCTATGCATCTGGAAAGTTCGATCAATATAAGCGCGGTTTGCCATTCTTTTGCCTACTACAGGTAGCATCTGAGCTTGTGCGTCAAGTAATTGCTCAGCCAGAGGGACAGCTCGAGTCTTGGAAAGCACTGATCATGGAAGCACTTGGTCTAGATGCTCTTTCCATGTTTGAGGTCCTCCCAGAGCTCTATTCCCTATTCGGCCGGGAAGTAAGGCTTCCTGATCTAGCAGATCTTGGTCCTGCCGGAAGAGAACAACGGTTCATCGGCGTCTTCTTGCGTTTCCTCTTGGTCTTCGGCCGGAGAGGCAGTCCACTTGTACTCTTCCTTGATGATGTCCAGTGGAGTTCGTCAAACGAGTTGAATCTACTTGCGCAAATCGCCATTGCAGCTACGACGGACCAACAACATAGCCTGTCCCTCTTCATCGCGTACCGTGACAACGAGGTTCTCGAGGGCCATCACGCATTGCAGATGCTCCAAACGATTGAGGCCGAAAAGGTTCCGATTTTCGTGCTGGAAATTGGCAACATGTCGTACGCTGCTGTGCGCGAAATGGTTTCTGCAACCTTGAAGCTGCCAGTAGACACAGACAACCCAGAGCTTGAGACCTTGGTCAAGTTGGTGGTTGCACAGACTGATGGTAACGCATTTTTTGTTGGACAGCTCCTGAAAGACTTGCATGCTCGCGGACGTCTCTTTTTCGATTTTGATACCAAGCAATGGCGCTTCCATTTGGGCGCTATAATGCAAGAAGAATTGCCAGTCAATGTGGTCGACTTGCTCGTAAGGCAAATTCGGAATCTAGGAACGCGAACGACGCGCATCCTGCAGCTGGCGGCAAGTATTGGTTCAAATCGCTTCTCATTACTACTTTTGTCTGTCGTCTCTCGACAACGCGTGGCGGAGACATCAAAGGACTTGTGGGACGCTTTGCAAGCTGGACTCGTTGTGCCCGTCAATAGCATGTACAAGCGTCCGTTAGCTCTTGCCGACTTTGGCGGAGAAGCAGCAGACTCGGACGACTCAATGGATGCTGTCTTTCGCTTCTTGCATGATCGTGTGCAACAAGCGGCATATCAGCTCTTGCCAGACGCTGACCGGCCACAGACCCATTTGGACATTGGCATGCGCTTGCACGAACACTTTTCCGCAAAAGATGATGTGGATGCAAACATTTTCGAAATCGTCAATCAAATCAATCGTGGGCTTTCTGTCCTGCAAGAAGAGCAGAAAACGTTTGTCATTGAGCTCAACATGCGTGCTGGACAGCGAGCACTCCACTCGACTGCATTTGAAGCTGCTCTTGCCTATCTCGAAATTTGTAAAAAGCTTGTTCCGTTGTCATGGTGGGAGGATAATACAGCACAGATGCTCAATATTCAGCTTGCATACGTGGATGCCATGTACGCTTCACATGACTACGAGCGTGCGGTAGAAGCTCTTCGAGATATCTCCACAAAGGTGCATGGCAATAGCCGACGCGCGCGTATCCTTCATCGTCTGGTCAATGTCTATATGGGCCTGGACCAACTGCAACCTGCAATCGACGTCGGAGTTGAAGCACTACAGCTTCTGGGTGTTCATGTTCCCATGTCGGGTGCAAAGGCCTCTGCCATGCTGAAGGAAATGTCGCCGAGGCTCGACTTGTCTCTTGAAAAAATTGACAAAATCGCAGACATGCCAGAATGCACGCAACCGGACGTCCTCTTGACTCAGACGCTGATGGCTGCTGTCTTGTTACCAATCTACCTTTCCAGACCAGAATTGTTACAATGCTTGTGCGCGATTGCTCTGGACCTGACACTCAAGGACGGCACGATTGCAGAATCTGCTGCCTATCCAATTCTCATGTACGGTGTCACGATCACATTTGCCGAGATGTCTGCCAAAACACGCGCACAGGGTTACCATTTTGGACAAGCGTCTGTCAAGGTTGTTGACCGTTCAACAGCCATTGCGGTTTCACCCATTGCACCGAAAGTCTACAAGGTTTTTTCTTCGCACATAAGCTGGTGGAACGAACCAACAAGGGCATGCTTGGTGTACTTTAATTCTGCGATCTCTACGGGTCTTCAAACATTTGATGTGGAATACACTTGTTACGCTTGGACAGAGTCTTGCACATACGCATTTTGGGCTGGTGAGCCCTTGACAAGCGTTGTGAAACGTATGTCTACGTATATGCCATTAGTTCTGCGTTACAAGCAGCGAGCTGGCATTTGGTACATGGCGATACAACTGCAAGCCTACGTCAATTACTCGTCCGAAACAGCAGATTGCTTTGAAATTGAAGGCGACCACTTCTCCACCAAAAACGAGATGGAAGCGCTGCTTGAAACGAATTCACACCCTCAGATTTTTGCGTTGTACCTTTACAAACTCATGACGGCGACCTACTTTCATGCGCCTCTTGCGACTGCGCTCGAGCAATCCAGTGAGATGGAGAAATATGCCCATGGTACGCAAGGTGTGTGCTACATCGCGAAATGGTCATTCCTCTTGTGCTCGTGTTTGGTGCGCTGGTACAAATCCCTGTCGCCGACTTTGCTTGCTCTATTCGATTCGCACCTTTCGAGACTTCGGCATTACAACACAGGAATCAGCAGCACATTCCAACACCAACTCCTCTTCATCGAAGCCGAGCTTTTGCGGCATGAGGGGCGTGATCTTGATGCACTCGAGAAGTGGGAGTCCGCTTATGAAGCTGCACTAGAAGTTGGTAATGTGCATGAGGCAGCCCATATTGCTGAGCGGTTGTGGCGTTGGCTCGAAGTCAAAAACAAGAAAATTGCCTTGCGTCACCTCTACAATGCGTATGATGGGTTCCGTGTAGCAGGCTTTCGTGCCAAAGCACGACATCTTGAGTCGCTCTATCCCGACTTGTTCACAGCTGATACAAGGGAACGAGCTGTTGATCACCTCGAACCCTTCCGTCATGTCAATATGCAATACAATCGTGATGGGACACTCGGGAAAGTGGATCCAGAAGCTTTGTCTGTTGACCAAGTTGACCCAAGCGAACGCAGTCTTAACGAAAGCAAGAGCAGCGTTCGCAATAGACCTGCGGTCTTGGCTCGGCCTTCGAACGCTGAGAGCAGCAATTTAAGCGCACCAGAGGGCCAGAATTCTGGTAGTACCCAATCGCAGTTGTCCAAGCGAATCACACATTCGACTCAAACAAGATCCACAAAAGTGTCTGAACCGGGCAGCGATCCACATCGACGACCGGCCGACATGGCAGAATTCGACTTTGATGTCGCCCTGAGGGCTAGTGTGCTTATTGCTGATGTCTTGCAAGTCTCAGAGGTATTGACACGATTGGTAGAGTCGGTACTTACCAACGCGGGAGCCGACTATGGTGCTTTACTCTTGGTTGATCATGGGAGCCTCTACCTCGAAGCCCGTGGTCAAGGCATGGCCGGCAGCTCCAAGGTTGACATTATCGAACATGAACCGTTGCAACTACATTCTGCCATCGTTCCTTCTTCCCTTGTCAACTATGTTGCTCGGCTTAGAGAAGCTACGGTGCTCGGGACTGGTCAAGATCATCGTTCATTTCAAGCGAAGTTTGGACAAGATCCTTACTTCAAAGGTCGTCGGCTTCGCTCCATCATGTGCATGCCCATCCAGACCAATGTCAAGCTCATCGGCATCCTGTACCTGGAAAACAGTTTTACAGCGTATGCCTTTGGCCCACGTCGCGTTGAGTTGCTCAACTTTCTGGCTTCGCAGGCTGCTATAGCCATTGAAAAGGCAAGACTCTATTCTGACTTGGAAGTGGCAAAAGATGCAGCACAGGCGTCAAATCGCATGAAATCTGAATTTTTGTCAACAATCAGTCATGAAATCAGAACTCCCTTCAACGCAGTCCTAGGCATGAGTGGATTCCTTCTAGACACGCCACTCACGCCTATGCAGACTGACTACGTGGAGACCATCCGCAATTCCTCAAAAGAGCTTTTGCGTGTGATTGATGACATTCTGGACTTTTCCAAAATGGAGCACGGCACGTTTGAATTACACAAAGAGGAATTTTCTTTGCGCGAATGCATTGAAGGCGCTTTGCAAATTACGGCTGAACGAGCTGCCTCAAAGAAGCTCGAGCTGGCATACTTCAATGACCATTTGGACTTTCCAGATGTGCTTCTGAATGATGCGACACGGTTCCGGCAAGTGGTCATCAATCTACTGGGCAACAGCATTAAGTTCACAGAAAAGGGTTCAGTCACCTGCATGTCTAATGCTACACTGCTGCGCGAACAAAGTGCACAAGGTCTGGCCTTGTACCGTGTACAAGTAAGTGTTTGCGACACTGGAATTGGCATCGCCGAGGAAGACCACAAGAAGCTTTTCAAGCTCTTTTCCCAAATTGACTCGTCGCTACAACGCGCCTATAGTGGGACCGGTTTGGGCCTGGCAATCTCAGAAAAGCTTGTTCATTTGATGGACGGACAAATCTGGTGCGAGTCTACAGTGGGAGAAGGCTCGACATTTCACTTTACCATTGTCACGGAAGTGAAGGCAGACATCAAACCTCAGCCGCATCCAGCTACACAGCGACTCACTGGTAAGCGTGCACTGATCCTGGATGACAGTGAGGTGGCCATGCGTGCATTGAGTGAAAGTCTTGAATGGCTGGGCATGCAAGTCACCAAAACGAGCGACATCGAAGCATTCAGAGAGGCGATCCAGCAACCATCTGGCACATATCAAGTCGCGCTTGTGGACCTCCACTACGGACTTGCAGAATCAATGCTGACCATCCTGACCAAGCATGACCCGCTTTGCAAAGTACTTCGTCTGTCTCGCTTTGGCGACCGCCAGGAATTCGGAGGGCATCTATTTCTCATCAAACCAGTCAAACGCAGGCGCTTGGCCAAGGTCGTGGCGGAACTACTCTATCCCCAAGTCCGCGTGGCCACCACTCAGCCGATACATCAAGACAAGCTTAATCCGGTCAATATGGGCGCATGGCATCCGTTGCGCATTCTGCTTGCCGAAGACAACCTCATCAATGCTCGAGTTGCGATGCAGCATTTGAAGCGCATGGGATACGGCGACACGGTCCATGTCAAGGATGGCGAGTTGGCTGTTCAAGAGGAAAATGCCAATGCTTATGACGTGATATTGATGGACATTCAAATGCCTCGTCTCGATGGCTATGGCGCGACGAAGATCATTCGCGAAAAGTACGCTGCTTCTGGGAAGCAGGTTCCAACAATCATTGCACTGACGGCCAATGCCATGAAGGGTGATCGTGAGAGGGCGATAGAGGCCGGTATGCATGGATATTGTGCAAAACCAATTATTGCTGATGTGCTGGCAGCCAGCTTGTTGGCATGCCAACGGATATTAAATTAGTAGACTAGACAGGTACTCTAATGAGGTGACAAACAAGGTCAGTAGACCTGCAATCACAAAGCAAGAGATGCTGCTACCAATCTCGAGCCAAGAACCTTCATCCTTGACGTGCCAAAAGAAGACGAGCGTCGCTGCATCGCAAAATATGAGAACCATACTGAAAATGGCAGACTTTTTGATGTCTAGACGTTTGTTGAGGGCGCCCAAGTTTGCCGATAGCACAATGAACGGGACCAGAAGCTTGTAGATTAATAGCAGACCCATGGCAAACGGATTGAAGATGGGCAACAGTCTGTAGACAGAGTCGAGGGTGAATGCCGAAACGGATGCAATGTTGCCTGTGCTGAAAAAAGCAATTTGAATGAGGGCGTAAAAGTAAAATGCAATGCGCAAGTCCGACGGCTGTAAGGGTGAGCTACGCGGCACACACGACTCTAGCTGTGTCCAAGTCAAAAGGAGTGCCCAGAAAGTGAGATAAAAAAAGCCCTCGTAAGAGACGCTCAGGATAACAAATGTCGGGCAGAAGGTGAGAAATAAGACCATGAGCCGATCTGTCGGTGACTGGCGACCATGCAGCAGCGGGAGACCGAGAGATCCAACAAGGCATAGCCAGCCAACCACCTGATTACCTGTAGATAAGCCTTGCTTGGCAGCAAGACTTTGAGCTGACGAGGCAGTGACGCAGACCGTCAAGCAAATAAGGCCGACTTGTCCGCCCACGATGGCGTTGCCACCGTCATACAAGATCCATGCTAGACCGATGAGAGACATGACGATACCGGCTGCTACTACGAGCGCAGTGTTATTTTGTTGCACAGTCGGCAGAAGAGTGAACGAGGCCATGACCAAACAAAGGACAGCCCATCTGATGGCAAGCCGAGCCGGGACTGGATAAAAGAGTGGCGTCGTGCTTGCAAATGCGAGCAGGACTGAAAGAGCGCGGCGGTCTGTATATGTTTGGGTTGCCGCTGCGACAATGAAGAGACCGAGGGCAATGGTGCCGAACAAGGGCCGCACATCAAGTGGCTTTGCATAGCGAATGATGTGGTGCCAGAAGAAGAGGGGAAAGATGGCATAGGCGTAGTAGCTGATGGGCGCCGAGCGTTCTAAAAGATAGGCAGCTAGACCTACGGCCAACAAAGGTATTGAATTGCTTCTGCGGGACGTGAGTGGCGAGATGAATTCATGCACAACGAACAGCAGTGCCAAAAGCATCCAGCCAATGTAGCCAAGAGAGACGGTCGTTCGCAAAAACAGCCAGTCGTATCGCTGCAGATAGCGCATTCCATTGAGAGATTCTGCAATCCACTGGGAGGCATTTGGACTTGCCATTGCTCCAAAGTCTTGGGAAAAAGTAAAAGGCCTGACCTGGGTCAGTCTCAGCTGCTTTTTCTTGAGTGCTAGCTTTGCAGCGTACTGTGCATGAATCTGGCGCGCATTTTGAAGTAAGGCGTCCCGTTTCTCCTCTGCAGAGAGCTCAAGTAAGTCCACAGGAACCGTTCCTACGTTATTCTTTGGCAGCGGCACTCCAATGGCAAACGCCATGAGTGCCGCGAGGTCGGCTTGGGCAACATCTATACGCGCGCGGCTCTCGACGTCCCAACCAAAAGACTCTCCAACAGTGTGGTGTAGTTCGAGGGACGCGTGTGGCTGAGGTCTATCTGGTCGAAGGAAACCTGCACCCCATGCGATGTAAGGTGTCCGCGTATTGTCCGGATGACCATCGCCGTGACTGCCCCAGTCACTCATGCCATGATCTGCCGTGAACAGAAAGGCAGACTTGGCTAGCTCATCTGGCGTCAAGACAGCTTCTAGTGTCTTCTCGAGCGCTGCCAGGCCCCTATCGACTGTGCCAATATTGTGTAGGTACTCTTTTGAGTATGGCCGATGGGCATGGCCGGCAGTGTCCAGCCCAAGCAGATGCAAGAAATAGATCGTTTTGGGCGGCGTCGGCGGCCTGTTTTCAAAATAGGCTGTGACACGGTCAAAGACCCATGTATCTAGCGCGTCTGACTGCTCTGTAAAGTCTTCCTTGTGCGCATCGTACATATTGCAATCAACGCGGCCTTTGTCTGATGCGCCTTCTCGAAACATGGGCAGAATATCTGGCGAACCCCATGCGTGTGTTTTGTCGGATTGATTGAAGACTGAATCAAAATGGACTGGATTTAGCTGCCAACCAGTTGTTACGCTAGATACATCCTCATAGAGTCCCGCAATCAATGCGACATGACCAGGCCGCGACTCGGTCGGTACGCGCGTATGACTAATTCCCCATCTTCCGTGATGCAGTGCCTTGCTGTGTAGATGAGGCGCTAGCTCTGGATGCTCAAAGAGCTTGTCGGCGCGTAACCCATCGCCAACAATGAGGAACAGCCGGTCTGCGGCCGGGGTAGGAGTCGAGAGGAATTGGCTGTCGAGGTGGACGACGGGCGATTTGAAGTAGATGTCAAAGATGCTGCGGAGGTAGACTAGGTGGAAGAGGACGCCGACCCCGAGCAGCTGCGCGCGCGAGAGCATGCTTTGGTGGTCGTCGCGTCCAACGAGAATTCAAGCTTGCAAGTCGCTACCACGACACTACACTGTTGAGCTACCTGCCGAGTGCACCTGGGCGACAAGATGGGCCCGGGCCAGGCAGAGCTGCTCAGTCTACTGGGTCAAGTTGCTGGTAAAAAGTCTCTTCTCGTAGACAAGACGCTCTCTCCATTGATCTCTTCTCTCGCACCCTTTAGCCTGCTACAAGAGCATGGCGCCGAAAGCGTACAATGGCTTGATGCAACGGCCTTCAGTACCAAAGTGCTTGTTATCTGTCGGCCTACACTCGATTGTGCTGCTCAAGTCTGTCGCATCGCCGCAATGCCCGGGAAGCAAGTCACACTCATTCTTGTGCCGCGTCAGACGCTGCAATTTGATGAGGCCATACAATCAGTCTCTGCTAGCATCGATATTTGCATCTTGCCTGTTCATCACTACCAAGTCGAGCAAGACCTAATCATGATTGACGGCGATCACGTCTACAATGCAGCAGTCAGCCTCGTTGAATTGCAACAAGAGTACGGCTTACTACATCGTCTACTTGGCAAAGGCATCGCTGCACAACAGCTGGCCAGTCTTCTCACGCAACTGCGAGCAGACGTTGCGATTGAGCAAAAGCAAGAGATTGAGCCAGGAACGTTAGGCGACTGCATCATGATGGATCGTCAAACAGACTTGCTCACGCCCATGCTCACACAATTGACGTACGAAGGCCTCTTGCGCGAGACCTTTACACCTGCAGAACTACAAGGCAAAATGAATGATGACATTTTTTACGATTTGCGAGGTGACAACTTTTCCAAAGTGGGACCAAAGCTCTCTGGCAAGGCGTCGACTCTTGCTGCTGATTTCGATGAACGGCATGGCGCAAAAACAACATCGGCCCTCAAGGCGTTCGTTAGCAAGATTCCGACATTGCAGGGCTCGCAAAAGCAGCTCAAAACGCATGTGGAATTGGCAGAGGCTCTGATGCAACGGACACGCTCACCAGAATTTCGGCGCGTGCTTGAGCTTGAGCAAAGCATTTATAGTGGTGAGCCAGAAGCCTCCATTGTCCAGGCCCTCGAATTGTTGATTGCTCGACAGGCGCCCTTGCCAGCTGTGTTGCGTCTCCTATGCTGTTGGAGCCTGGTTCACAATGGCATCAAAGCCGCACAGCACGACTTCTTTGTTCAACGCTTAGCACAAGCATACGGCTATCAGGTTACTCTGACTGTTCAGCGTCTTGCACATCAAGGTATGCTTGTTGTTCGCTCACCTGCAGCCGATCGTGGTCGTGGCTCTTGGCTCTCCTTCTCCCGAAGCTGGAACTTGCTGACGGACAATGACGAAGTTGACCTGGGACAATTGTATTCTGGGTACATTCCACTTAGCTTGCGCATCTTCCAAGGCCTAGTCAACTATTCGGCGGTCGACAAGTTTGAGACCCTCTACAAGGCTTTGCATGGACCCTCTGTCAGTATCAACCAGTCTACGGGCCGTGCGCATGCAGAAGATGTCATGGTTGTGGTGTTTCTTGGAGGCTGCACGGCTACTGAGCTTGCAGGTGTACGGCTGTTGGCGCATCGTATGGACAGAGAAGTGCTCATCTTGACAAGTAAAATTGTAACGGCGAACGAGATGCTTGTATGAAGGGCGCAACAGTTTCGCACTACTCTTGAACTCTTCTCTTTTAGCACCACCGCATTTGGATTACTCGAAGTTTCCGCGACCCTTCTCTCTCTCCTTCATTCGATGGTTTCAGCGACGGAAAATGATGACGCCGACACCAATTTCCACCTCTTCAGAGTCTGATACCTTCTCTCTGTACAAGAATGATCTGATGGCCTGCTTTCATCATCCAAGATCAAATTGGCTGGTCCAGTTTCAGAACTTCGCTGCTTGAAAAGGCAATCTCATCCGTAATGTCAATGCGTTGCACCATCTTCCAAACAGCGTTACTCTGGTCACTCAATTGCAAGTCAATATTTGCAATTTACGACACAACATCAGAGCAGGCATCGAAGTTATCCCTACCAGCTGTGCTCTTGCTTGTTCTTGTTCTGGTAATTTTCAGAGCACTACACAACAATTTGGTCTGGCGAACACAGACCCAGCAGAGTGGCTGACCGCGAGTATCGCCACGGCTGCTGCAATTAATGTTCAGGCCACCTCGTTGGCTGTTGCCAGAACAACCACCACGCTTGCATTTGCCCGGCCAGACCCTCGATCTCGGCCACGTTAAAGATTGTTATCGTATCCAGGACCAAACAGGGCCATTGCGTCGCGGTCGTCACAGCCATTTCCGTAATGGGCGACGGCGCCAGTGTCCCTTTCTGCAAGTGGGATATTTGAGTTGTTTGGGTTTGGTGCTACTCGAGACGTTGAAGATGAAAGCGAAGACAGACGACCGCTCAGAATTGAGGACACTGAGACCGATAGGAGAGTCGGGAACACTGAAATTACTGAGAGGCCCGGGAAGTTGAGATATAGCTGATAGAACTGGGAGTACTGATCACCAGCTGCAGGAGCGCTTGAGACAGTGGAAGCAGATTCGTTGCCTAAAAGATTCGTAAGACGAAGCTCATGAACATCGTGCGTGCTAGCTAGGAGTCTGAAAGAGCAGCTTTCATAGTACAAGTCCAGGGCGGTGATGCCCGACCAGATCCTCCTCGTAAAGCCGAAAAGTGTAAGGAAACACAAAAAGAATTTTGATGAAGCCTGGGGGATTCGAACCCCCGCTCTTTCGAACCAGCGCCTTAAGCTGGCGCCTTAGACCGCTCGGCCAAAGCTCCTTGGATGCACATGTTTGCAAAAGATCTATTATAAACTTCAGAATTGACCTTTTCCGGCGCGCTTACATAATCAAGTATCTTCCCGATCCCTTGCTTTGCCGCTTCTTCGTTCAAATAGACCATTTTAGCTACACTGATTGATTTCGACTTCGGCCACCCGGGAACACATCTGAACTCATGCTTGCGGACAAAAGTCAAGTCTACTGCGAAGACACTGGACAACAAGGCTGGAAAGAAATAGTAATTTTGCCTGTGACCAAAGCTAGTGAGTGACGAACAAGGCATCAGAAGGTTGACCGTTAATCTTCATGACAATAGAGCAAGAAGAAGGAATGCAGTAAGGCAGGAGAGACACGGTAATAGTCTCAAAGACTGCGATGAGGAGCGACTAGACAGGCGCGCCGTAAGATGCTCTGTGCTCGGGTAGCGAGAATAAGAGGTGATACCTGAGCCAGAATAAAGAAGCAACCAATGGAGATACTAAGCCAGGAACTCCATGATTTGAAAGACAATGTCTAGATCGATCGTTGTGGTTGTGGACTTAAGAAAAGCCGCGAGATTTAGTCAGGGGTCTCAGATGATGAGGCATCTGAAATTGAGACTAGGACTTGCTCAGTCAGTCCATAACACCGGGAGACTGTACATGCACAGGACTGTGTGTCTTGCTTGAGTTGCTGTTGCAGAGTTCTGTTGCAATTGCTCAACTCCATCTTGCAAGGGCTCGACACTCTCCACCCCTAAAAGAGCTCTTCCAGTGATGACTTGCTTCTATGTACAATCTTCGGTATGTTCCGCCGCGCCTTCGTTCGCAACAGACCTCATTACCGACCACGCAAAGCGCGGCGCCCTCTGCATCAGGTCTCAATTTATACACTCGCCCAGGTGTGCAGCTTTCGACACAATCCTCTACGACAAGCTACAAGTGTCCGCCGCGTGTAAGCATTGTGGCTGCATGTCTCATTTCAGGCCCTTGACCAATCTGCATGCAATAAGTCGATCGCTATTGAGCATGACATGACAGACTGTCACTCAAGATACTTGGCAGCCAATACAGGCACCATCCTCTCCATCAATGGCACGACCCATGATCCAGCCAACGAATCCCTTACAAGACGCCTTATCAAACAGTCGTCAGTGAGCTGCCGCGGATCGCAAGTGCCAATCAACCTGACAAGGCCCATAAACTAATCGGCATTGTGGGTGAAGCTAGTGATGATGTGCCTGATGAGGCATCTGATACATGCAACCTAGATAGTGCGAAGAGGATTGTTACGGATGAGGAGCAGAGCAGAGGCTCAGGCTCCCTGTGAAGTAAAGAGTAGAGAAGTACAGGGCGTGACCATCACGTCAAAGTACGCGATACGATGCAGAGAGCCAGAGAGATATGCACTAGCAGCTACATGACTTGACTGCTCAACACCGAAGGTCCGTACATACATATGGTGTCAGCGATGTTGTATTAAAAGCCTAAACTCTCGCGTGGCCCAGCGCTTATGACTGCCGAGCCCAGGAGTCAACATGGTCTGTGCTCTATAGGAGAGCCTCGTACCATTCAGTTCGCTTGTCACTAGCTCATTCGTGAAACCACTCATCTGAACCTTATGGCGACACACATGTTCTATAGCTATGCATGGTTATGAAGTGATGTAAGACTCCTGATCGCAGCTTAATCGACGAATAGATCAAGACTAGGGGGTGTTAGCCTCAATCGGCGCGACTTTAAGGCCCTTCAGTCTAGAAATTGCTTATATAAGCAAAAATGTGATTTCCTTTCATATCGATACTAGCGTTTGCTCTCACCCACTGGTTGTATAGTGTAGTGGTTATCACCCTCGGTTTTGATCCGAGTGACCCGAGTTCGAATCTCGGTATGACCTTTCGTTCCTGCATGCACTCACGTCATTTCCATTTTTTTTCGTGGGCTATGCATTAATCAACCTCTCGAAAGACATCGCGCACTTTCGGGCTCATGAATGTTTGTTTACAAGCCTAGAGACTCGGTTTTCTGTTTGTTTCCGCGAGCAAGACAGCTTTCCACTCGATCTGGCCGAGTAGCAGCCGCAAGGGAGCATATCTGTTAGGAATTCAAGTGCATCCCCTGATCACTTGCTTCCGCTGTTATCTCTCTGCCACGTCAGCGCTCATGCACGTGACCTTCAGTTTAGTCTTAGCTGGCAAGAGTGCTATACTCTTGTCCCCTATTCGAATCAAGTCTTATCTGCAGCTGCCCTGCGTGCCTGTGTCTATCACCTACGACTACAGCCTCGCATATCCGCCAATCTCGATTAGGTTATGAGCACTGTTGCTATGCAGCAAGACGCTACTGCTTCGGGTCAACGTTCCGGCCCGTCTAGCAACGCGGTGTTAAGGAACACCAAGAGGATCAGCAATGGCCTAAGTGCTTGGAAGGATGAGCTGCTGCTTGTCGCTCAGCAGGCTGGCGTTGAGACTTACATCTTTCAGGAGATACACGCACGCCGCGTCAAAGCAGCAATACGCTGCGCAGACGCCATGCAGAAGGCCGACGAAGACGCTGAGGCCCGTATCGCCGCTCTCGAAGCCCTCATGAAAGATGACAAGCTTAAGGCCCCAAAAGCCTATAGCGCCCCCTCGACTCGCTCCAAGTCCAAATCGATGGAGGAGGAATCAAGCGAGGATGAAAGCACAAAGCCTTACACTGGTCCGTGCTACATCAACTCTGAGGGGTATCTTGCACCTGCGACCTTTGAAGAATGGTCGCATCTTGAACCAACTTGGGACAAGAACAGCAAGGCGCTTTTCTTGCTGAAAGGAGGTCTCGACAGGTCTGACCTGGAAGCAATCAAAGACATCGCAGTCGCCTGCGTTGCTTTCAAGACTGTCTTGTCTCGACACAAGCAGCCTGACACTTTGCGAAAGTTGCAATTGGTCACGAAGCTCAATAAGCTCTCTTTGCCTCCTGGCAATACCACATCTTCAGCTATTGAGACCCTGATGGTGGACGTTCAAGCCACCATTGCCCAGTTGCGCAGCCTTGATCCCACCGGCAAGACGTTTGACGAAGACATGGAAATTGCCATGATCTACGCCAAACTCCCAGGCGATTTGCAGGACCTCACGCTGCACACACTCTCCTCGGATGGACCACACTCTATCCGCAGTTTTGTGCAGCAAGTGCGCTTCAAGATACAGTCGGATGACTATCTCAAGACGCACGGCAAGCACAAGTCTCTGGCAGACTCAGCCGCTGACGCTTCCCAAACCCTTTACCAATCATCAACGGAAAAAGGGATGCTCGCTCAAGAGCATAAGTCTCAATTGAAGCAGAAGTCTTCAAAGAAGCCGAGGAAAAGGCATTCTCTTCACAAGCCTTCATCTGAGACGAAGCAAAGTAGCCCTCCAACTGAATCAAAATCACAGTCTGAGGGCAAGCCAAATCCCAACACGGCATACTTTGCTCGCGAAACAACCCTAGCTGAACGTAGCTGGGTGATCGACTCCGGTGCCACGTCGCATATGACACCGTCGCAAGAGTTGATCTCTGATCTCTCTCATGATGCTTCCATTAGCATCACGTCCGCCAATGGCGAAGAGATGATCTCCGCTGGTTTTGGGCATGCTGCATTTGCCGTGCCAGATCAAACCAGCTTGGTGCCCTTGTCCAAAGTTTGGCATGTGCCAAATCTCACTGAACATCTTTTATCAGTGAGCGCACTCAATGAGGACGGTTTTGACGTACTGTTCTCGGCCAAACATGGACCAGCCCTCCTCAAAGACAGTGTTGTCGTCGCTACTGGCAGGCGTGTCGGTAAAGGCTTTGTCCTAGACGGCACAATTGCTAAAGTCCAGCCTCAGGCAAGTGAGTTTGCCCTTTTCACAAAGGAAAAGGCACCGACGGATGCCCTTGAGTGGCACCGACGACTTTGCCATATGTCCATCAAGGACATGAAACGACTTTCGAAGTTTGTCGACGGATTTCCCGACGATCTGGTCTACCCGGAATACTTCGATTGCTCTGGCTGTGCAGCTGGAAAGAGCAAGCGCTCGAGCTTTCCCTCTGTGGCAAATTCTGCCACTCAGCGGCTTGACATAGTCCACATTGATGTTGCTGGACCAATGCGCACCAATTCTATCAATGATGCACGATATTTTCTCATCATTGTTGACGGGTTTTCCAAGTACGTTTGGGCGTACATGCTGAAAGATGTCACTGCAGACACCGTCTGTAACATCTACAAAGCTTGGGAAACTGTTGCCACCAATCACGTTGGCGACAAAGTCAAAATTGTTCGCTCTGATGGAGGTAACGAGTTCAAGGGGAGCTTTCGCCAGCACCTCATTACGCAAGGCACCACTCACCAAACAACTGTTCCGCATACGCCTGAGCAGAATGGTGTTGCAGAGCGCCACATTCGCACTGTTGTCGAAAAGGCTCGCTCATCGCTTCTTGATGAGACGGTTGGTCCTCTCCCGCGCAATTTATGGGCTGAGTTGACCTCCACAGCCGTCTACGCCATCAATCGTTTGCCTCATACTGGTCTCGACAAGACGCCATACGAACTGTGGTATGGCAAACGACCAGATTGCTCGCATATGAGGACTCCTGGTACCATTTGCTGGTCACACAACCCGCGAATCAAGGACAAGTGGGATGCGCGCGCCAACAAAGCTATGTTTTTGGGCTACAGTGATACTTCCAAAGCTTGGCGAGTCTTAGATCTTGCCACTGGGAAAGTTGTTCTCAACCACTCGGTCATTTTTGATCATGCTGTGGCAAAAGAACTGTCTGTCAACAAGGATGTCGATCCTCGTCAGCTCACAGACGCTCAGCTCGAAGCTATAGCTAGCGGCAATGCTGCAAGTGTCAAATTTACTGACGAGCACCTCGAAGCTATCGCTACTAGCGGTCTTGACGTTACTACTAATGATGACGAGCTTGATGATATGCTTTTATGCTTACTGCTCAAGATGTTCTCCCAGCTCCTGTAACTGTCAAACAAGCTTTATCCCGCTCTGACGCACCTGAATGGCGTGCCTCTATGGAACGCGAGCTCGCCTCTCTTGAAGGCAAAGGAGTTTTTGAGTACGTCGCTAAGCTACCTCCAGGCCGAAAGGCCATTGGGGCACGCTGGATCTTCAAGAACAAGATCCTCGCTGATGGCACTTTCGACAAGCGCAAGTCGCGTCTTGTCGCTAAGGGCTATTCTCAGAAAGCTGGCGTAGACTACAACGAGACGTATGCTCCAGTCACTCGACTGGAGTCTGTGCGCATGCTTATCGCACTCGCTTCAATTTACAAGCTTCATCTTCACCAGATGGACATTGCCACCGCTTACCTCAATGCAAACCTGTTTGAGGAGATTTTCATGATCGCTCCTCCAGGTTTCTCCAACGAGAACTTCCCGTTCGTTAGGCTCAAGAAGGCTCTCTACGGTCTAAAACAAGCTGGCAAAGCCTGGAACGATGATTTGCACGTCACCCTCACTGCTGCTGGCTATGAACGCTCGATGCACGACTTTGGCATCTATCAGCATCAGACAAACGCGTCCTTGCTCTGCGTCTACGTCGACGACATTCTGATGGCTTTCTCGGACATCGCGCACAAAGAGCATCTTCTCAAGGCTCTTACCAAACGCTACGAGCTGTCCGATCTCGGCCCTGCCAATTCCATTCTCGGCATGCGCGTCTCACACAACAACGGCGTATACACTCTCGATCAATCCACCTATATTGAATCGATCGCCACCGACCACGGCTTAGCCAACTGCCATCCAAGGCACCTGCCAGCCAGTGTCGGCACCATTCTCACCACTGACGGCACTACCCACCAGCCGACTGACGACCAGCCGGCCAACAAAACTGCTTACCAATCCATTGTTGGGGAGCTTCAGTGGATAGCCATCTCGATCAGACCCGATGTTGCCTATATTGTCGGTGTTCTAGGTCGTTTCTCTGCCAAGCCGACTACTTCTCACATGAAGTTGGCTCGTAGCGTCCTCGCGTACCTGTTCACGACTCGCAATTTGCGACTGCGATACGACGGAAACGACGAGTTTGCTGGGTACTCTGACTCTGACTACTCAGGGTGCCTGGATACAAGGAAGAGCACATCTGGCTATGTGTTCATGCTTGGGGGAGCTGCAATCACCTGGCAGTCAAAGCGCCAAAACATTGTTGCCACATCGACCATGGAAGCCGAATATATTGGCCTCTCCAACGCGTCAAAAGAGGCTCTCTGGCTGCGCGAGCTCATGCTCGGCATCAAGATCAGCAATGTGCTCAACTCCGACGGTTCCATCAATTTATTTGGGGACAATCAGGCTGCGCTGAAGTTGGCACACAATCCTGTGTTTCACGCCAAGAGTAAGCACATCGAAGTGAAGTACCATCACACTCGATCCCTGATTGAGCAAGGCAAGATCAAGCTACACTACGTCGGCACAAAACTGCAAAAAGCCGATCTCCTTACCAAGCTCCTTCCACGTCCTGCATTGGAGACGCAACGACTGCTTCTCGGCCTCGTCTAAGCACTTCGCTTTATCGAGATAGAGGGAGTGTTAGGAATTCAAGTGCATCCCCTGATCACTTGCTTCCGCTGTTATCTCTCTGCCACGTCAGCGCTCATGCACGTGACCTTCAGTTTAGTCTTAGCTGGCAAGAGTGCTATACTCTTGTCCCCTATTCGAATCAAGTCTTATCTGCAGCTGCCCTGCGTGCCTGTGTCTATCACCTACGACTACAGCCTCGCATATCCGCCAATCTCGATTAATATCAGTGTCTTTTGTGTTGAAGAGTTTCAAATCTGTCACGCAAGGTAGCAGCTATTCATGCATGCCACATTATGTCGATCAGGCCAAGAAGCAGCCGCAAAGGAGCATTTCTCGCGTCTGTTGAAGACTTTTCAAACTTGTCACTCAAGGTAGCAGCTGTTCATGCATGCTACATCACGCTGATCTGAGGCAAACAATCAATTTGCCCCTGTCAAAGCCTGGAGTTTGCGAGTTGCGAGTTGTTGACGACAAATGATGACAATTGTCACGATGCCACGGGAACGAGCGTTTGCTTACAGTGCATGCTCTCCATACCATCTCGCTCGCAGGCTGTCGAAGCTCAGCTCAAGAAAAAGCCGTCCATGCTGAGGATGCTCTCGTAGCCCCTGTCGATGGTGCCCCTGACTTATTTTGTCCAGACTGCATTGCTCTTGCATCAATGTCGTAAACGCCCTTGTGCTTCATTTTCAAGCTGAAATGCCAGGCTGGCAAGTGCATAAAGGACGGCGAGGCCCATTTTTCCTCCAGCAGTTCATCCAAAGCTTGCACACTCAAGCAGAGACACTGCACCATGAAGCTCCCAGGCTTCTTATTGCTCGCTCAGCTCATCCACCTGTCATCTGCACAGTTATTCAAGCGCCAAAATTACGCTGCCGGATCAGCAGCCAAGGAAGTCACCATGTTCAACAAGAGAACGGACGCGGTCTGTGTTGACACTCAGGTTGTTTTGACGACTTGGGGTCAGCCCAGGCTTTCGCTGACCTTGATCGGAATGGACCTTCGTGACGAACAGGCCTTTGAAAACTGGTCAAAGTTTGGTCTAAACATCTGGCTGGGACCTATTACGAATGAGCAGCTCCTCGTCGCAATGGAGACGTATCCTTGGATGCCGGTCCAGCTGTGGTTTGTGTTTGAAGGCTTGATGCTTCGCGCCGATTTGGGCACGACTAGAGAGCAACAGCTCCAGGGCGATGGTGTTGCAAAGTTGTGGAGGGAATGCAAGCTTCTGAAGGAGGGAAAATTGGAATGCGTATGCGACACGGCTAACACTGGGTACAGTGCCCTGGGAAGTAGTTGAGAAATTAGAGTTCAGATGATTGCTGAGCAGTTCAATGCATGCTGTGTCCCGACCTAGATTTTGCACCAAAGTGAAGCTCAGTATGCCCATCTCGAGCTGAAATGTCTGTGCACGTGCATGATTCGGGCGATGACTCAGCTGAGCTGCTCAGTGGCAGTGACAGACTGACACAGTCTGACAGTGAGTGATTCAGGGCGAGAATGCAGAGTCCCAATTTTCAGTTTCACGGTTGAAATTCACCTGGGCAGGGCAACTGGGCTGCTGCTTGGGCGGAGATTCAGTGAAGAAGATTGAGAATATTCAAGAAGAGACTTTCCTCCAGCGACCACGCTCGTCTCTCAAGCAGCTTCTCGCCCTTCCTCCTACACGGCCCAGGACTCGTACTCTTCACTGAGCATACGTTTCCGTAGAGATACGCCATAGCAGAGAAAGGACCACAACGGCCACTTCCCGTTGACTGAGCATGGTCCAACCCGACTACTGGCGCCTACCAGCGCCTGCTCCTGCTTCCAGAGGGCTTGATCCTGGCCCGATCGCCGGCGCAGTCACTCGCCTTGCTCCTCCCGCAGAGGAAGACATCGGCGGCGTCTCAGCAGTCTTGGATTACGACATGCAAGAAATGTCCATCTTCCTTGCCTCCCAAGTTCAGGCCATCCTCAGCGTCGGCTCCATGCAGCGCGACTTTGGCAGTCCACCTGCACTCATCAAGTTCGCTCTTCAGCTGCTGCATGCCACACGGCTGCCTCTCTCCACCATCCTCGCCGGCCTTGTGTACCTGGAAAACAGGCCCGGTTACCTGCAGATGCTCACCAACTCGAGCTACTACGCCATGACCACTATGCTCGTCATCAGCAACAAGTTCATGGACGATCACACATTCACAAACAGATCCTGGTCAGAGGTGACGGGCTTTGACCTTTCCCTCATCAACCAGCTCGAGCGCGACTGGCTTGTGGGAACACGGTTCTCCCTCACCATTGAATCCAACGGCGGCTACGGTCGCTATCAGCGTGCTGTATCCCTCTGGCAGGCCTTTATTCGCCGCCACGTCTACACTGCCTGCGCATGCCAAGAGTGTATCGCTGCTTGGTTCCCGATTGCTGTGCCATGCCAACCGCAACCTCTACCTCAGCTGCCGCCAGTCATGCCAGCCATGGCCTTTGCACTACGTGCCTAGACCTGTTCTCCCTCTCAAAAAAGCGTTTTAGAACATCTTATATACTCCCTAGCTAATCTCATCGATGTGAATCCTCATGACAATTTGGCGACAACGACAACGACAGAACACCACCCAACCGCGCCAAAAGCGACAGTCGGGCATGCCAATCCATCAACTCAGCTCCAGGCAAGCAGCAGGCTCAAGTAGTAGTGTTGGCCATGCAAGCAGACAAGCTCCTCCACCACATCTCGCTCGTCAAGGCTGGTCTGCTCACACGAGTCGTAGTCCACCACGCGCTCTACAAACGGATGATTTCCCTGCACTCGGCGGCAGCAGTAGTCAAGCCCCTTCCTCCAACGGTACAGGGCAAAACGGCAGCAATGACTTTATGGGCTTTCGCTATGATGCTCAGTCAGCGCCGCAACAACATGTGCAACGACAAGATGAGTTTCCCGCACTTGGCGAATCCAAAGACTTGCAAGCGCATCGTAATTCACTCTTGGGAGCCATGACGGGCGGTCGATCCACACCAGGTCTACCTGCAGCGACAGCGGGGAGAGGGCGAATGCAAGCGCCGCCAAACCTATCACTCATGTCTGGACCACCTGCATTGGAAGCGCCGCAAAAAGCAGCAGATCGCGATGGTGTTCCCATGCCAAGTCATGCACCGGGCCTGAGTTCTTTAGGTCCACCACCACAAGCGAGTCAAGAGGAACCTCTCATGGATGAAGCGGATCGGTATACGATTCGAGGCTTGTTGCCCATCATCCGCAACCCACAAAGTGACCATGCCATGCTCAGTCTTGGTCTGGATTTGACGCACTTGGGTTTGAAACTTGGTGCAGAGGATGATCGTTTGCTCTCTTCACTATGGCTATCACCGTTTGCTGAACCGAGCGCGACTGGTGGGATTGGTGGACAAGTACCGCTCTCCAATATTGATGCACTTGCGAATCGTTTCACACCACCAGCGTGTTATGTGATGGGTGGCATCTCTGCCGTCTTACCGGAAGCAAGCAATAAGATTGGGAGTTTTGCGGAAGAGACACTCTTTTACATCTTTTACACACAGCCACGGAGTAAGATGCAAGAAATCTCTGCACAAGAATTGACAGGGCGAAATTGGCGTTTCCACAAAGTACTCGGAGTCTGGCTCACAAAGGAACCCGGTGTTGAACCGAGTGTGCGGACGGCCACCATGGAGCGGGGTCAGTACATCTTTTGGGATGCTGCTAGATGGGAACGCGTCAAGAAGGTCTTTGAGCTCTTTTATGAAGATTTGGAAGACCGTTTTGCTAGTGCCGGCGCAAGCGGTGGCAGTGGTGTTCCTGTTCAAGGTCAACCGCAAGCACATGATCTATAGCACTATCAGCCATAATCAATCCTCGACAGCTACGCAAGATACCATAACTTGGTTGCAGAGCTCCCCTCAACCCCAATCCCTGTTGTTGTACTCTGGAATGTAGTGGGCGGGAATGTAGGGTTCATGCACATGACTTTCCGAACAATAGGTGCCTTTCGCACCGCATAGACAATCATACTTGTGTGCCTCGCAAGTCTTGTTGCCCGCCACCCTCAATTCATCCTTGCCATCGTAATGCATCACGCCCCATCCGTCCCGAGTGAAGCCATTGTAGTAATTAGCACCTCTGGCAACACGCTCATACACTGATTTGGCGTCACATTTGTAAGGTTTGGCTTTTGACATGTTGGGTGAAGGGATGCGCGTAACATTGACGATGCGCTGGATCTGAAAGTCGGCCCAGCAAAAGCATCGCTGTAGACTGAGTGGCGACATCTCGAACAATGGACCAAGGTCGATTATTCCCAAAAGAGAGTCAACTTGTTCAATGAGTGGTAATTCATGTGCATGATTGAGTTTGATACACAAACCCGTCCCTGGCATCATGCAAGGGTCTCTGGCATTCCATAACCAATAATCAGTTGCTTGCCTGCGTACTTCAAACATGCATTGCGTCCAACAAGTATGCCTGAGCAAGCCACGCGTGAATGGATTGACGCCGCCAAGGACTGGTAGTGTCGAGTGTTTAGTGGCAGAGAAAGACAGGGAATAGCAGGTCTTTGTCTCTTTCAGTCGTTGCATCAGTGCATCGTAGTTATGTGGGTAAAGATGACCCCGTTTCGTGAGGTTTTGCGTGAGGCTAACGTTGTGTACGAGGCATAGCTGCAGTAGCAGATGAAGGATGGATGGCCAGCGCAGCATCTTGGACGCTTGCACACCTAAGCATGCAAGGCCTGGTGCTGGAAGACAAGCAAGTGTCGTTGCTTAAAAGGCGAACAGCTGGCAATTGCAAATCAGGAGAACTGCAGGGGCAAATGAGGATGAGGGCTGCAGGGGTAGGTTGAGTGAGGCAGCACGATCGAATTGTAGAATCAAGACAAGTCTCCGGGTTCAGTGCAAGCCTGTGCTGAGTATAGCAGTCATATGCGAGTTGCCATGCATGTGCAATATGGCACATCTGCCAAATCAAGAAGGACTGTCCATGTGGCCACGGAATTATGAGCGTTGCAGTTGGATTTGTGTTTCGATCAAGAACACTAGCTGGGATGGCGCCCCCGTTGGGGGCGGCGTCAAATGAAATTGCTTATTGATCTATATGAATCACGTCAATTGAATAACACTGTGGTATTCTACCGTTCTGAGAAAATGTCTATTTTCCGTCGCTTCCTTGGCGTAACAGGACCGAAAGAACGGCCTGAATCTGAGATGGAGTCGTCGATGTACCCATATTTCTTGACTTGGTCTGCTTCAAGCTTGGAGCCCGACACTAGAGTACCTTCATACGCCGTCAGCAGAAAAGTGACTTTAACGACGTCTCCGGTCTTTAGCTCAGACGGCGCCATTGCCTGGTTGTCTTCATCGTAACATAATGGAAATGCGCCACCGTTGATGTAAAAATTCTTGGGTAACTTCTTGTGAATACGAGCAGGGTCTTCGACAACCTTGCCTACGCATTTTGTACTATCCAGCGGTCGTACTTGAGTACTGCCTTTCGTTAGGCAGCAAAGGAATTGTTTGAACACCAACGTCCATTTGAGTACATGGCCATGGTCTTGATGGCCCAAGGTTTTGCCAGTGCATCAGCAGGTGTGTTTTTGAAGACTATCATGCCGGCCAGATCATTAGTTACTTGCCCCATAGGCTTCCATGCTTACCAAGTGCTTTGAGTGCCTAGTCATAGGCGTCTTCCAACTCCGGGTTATGAACGTTGACCTGAAAAGAAATGACCGCTTTCTCCAGGTCGTTGATGTCTTGCAATGAAGGGTCGAAGCTTCCGTAGGGCCCTAGCTGTGCACCTTCGCGGAAGGACGTTGGTGTTCAAGCAATTCCTTTGCTACCGGTCGAAAGGCAGTACTCAAGTAAGACCGCTGGACGGTACAAAATGCGTAGGCAAAGTTGTCGAAGACCCTGCCCGTATTCACACGAAGCTACCCAAGAACGTCTTCATCAACGGTGGCGCATTTCCGTCATGTTACGATGAAGACAACAAGACAATGGCGCCGTCTGAGCTCAAGACCGGAGACGTCGTCAAAGTCTCTTTTCTGCTGACGGGGTAGGAAGGTAATCAAGTCTCGGGCTGCAAGCTTGAAGCAGACCAAATGAAGAGATACGGGTACATCGACGACTTCATGGCTTCTAGCTTGCAATGGGACCCAAAGCCTGCAATCATACCGGTTGGCGGCACTTTTACGTACCACAGCAAAGAGTAGGAACAGCATGCAGGCCAGCGTTGTTGAGGAGCTTTTGCTGATACAGCAAGAAAACAGAGTCAGCGCTGTTATAGCAAAGTGAAGCTGTAGCCGACAATCAATTTGACTGACAGTATCTGTTCTTCGAGAGAGCTCGATCAGTCTAGATGTCTGCACTCCACGCGGCAATAGCATCATAGCAATGACCTGCAGCTCAAACAGGCTTGCAGTAGCTGAGCACTGAGCAGAAGCAGCAGGCAGAAAGCTTTGTCAAAGGGTCATTGCTGATGCAGCAAAGAAAAGCTGGAACATACAGAGTCAGCGCCGCTCTAGCAAAGTGAAGTTGCAGCTCACCTGTAGCATACATTCAGCGCTGCTCTAGCAAAGTGAAGCTGCAGCTTGCAATCATTTTGACTGACATTATTGGTTCGTTGTGAGAGAGTGTAAGGCCTTAGGATCCTTACGTCGCTGCTCCTCCACTTTCACCACTCAAGCGACTATACGTATGTAGTAGGCCTGAGAATGAGATGTGGAAGAGATTAAAGTATGGAAAAAGTAAGAAGAGAGCATATAAAGGAGTTGCCAGCACAGCAAGTCCGGGAGCACGTGCCATGCCATCTGATCGGTGAGGCCTCCGAGCCGACGTGAGCTCACCCTGCGCCTGCGGCCTTACAGAGAGATCGCATTCTCAGCAGCGCAATTTGATTTCCAGCAGACGTCCCGCAGCATGAGCAGCAGCCTGCATTTCCGATGGTTTGACAATTGCATAAGCATCTGCAGTCAAAGGGAGCGGTATCTGAGACCCGCTTTTGAGAGTAGCAAGGTTCTAGCAGTTTCCTTGATGGTCACGTGGTCATGCTGGCAGAGAAGGCTTCTGAGAGCTTGAGAAGCCAATCGATGAAGTTCGTTGCCTGTGCGCGTCGCTTAATCTTTTCGAAGGCGGCGATTGTTGCCTTCATTCCAATATCAACAAATACATTGTAACAGCATCATCTCCTCAAATCTACGACGTTTCTATGAAAAGCTCCTAAAGATTGTGCATCCCAAGCTGCAGTTTCTCAAAGTCCTTTGGGTGTGTTGAAAGTCTGAGATGCTGTTCACCTGGGCCTTCTGCTCTGCTCTTACTGAGGAAGGACCTTGCTCCTCAAAATGGCAGGTGACAACGACGGCGGCATGTGGCAGCGTTACCATGAGTATCTCTCGGTCGAGATCTCAAGAAGATATTGCACTCCAGCAGTATATGCATTGGAAACTACTGATAACTCCGTCTATACAATGGAACTGCTGACTAAGTAAGATTATTAGATCATATGTGTTCTAAGCTCGCGGCCTCTGATTGGTTCTTTGGCCGAGTGGTTAAGGCGCTGCTTTTAGGCAGCAGTTCGATTTTCGTTCACGAGTTCAATTCTCGTAGGAACCACTATCCCTTTTTCACATCAGCATGTCCTTGCTTTTTGCAAACTGAAGCTTTACATTGTATCGTAAGGCTAAAAGGTCTATGAAACAAGGTCTATGGCCAAGAGTGGGCGCGAATGCCCTTTGCACGCAAATCACGGAAAAGCTTGTACGATGAAGCCAGATTCCCTTCCTTCTCTTCTGTTGAGTGCTGGAGTCCCCAGGGACCATCCATGGGCTTAAACTTGACGTGGTGTTCAAACATCAGCTCATCGATCAACGACGACACGCCCGTCTCTGGATCATCTCGAAGCAACTCGTTGACAATTGGCATTTCGATGGGTGCAGAATCAATGTCGAGCTTAAAGACGAAAAAGTCCTCCTTGTTGACGGTTCGACGAATGAGATCCATGGTGTTGTACTTGTCCTTGTCCATAGAGAGACCGATGTTGATGAGGTTGTACTTGCCAATCAAGTCTTCTGGCACTTGCTTGTATGCAGTTGCCGGGTCCAGTGGCTCCAATTCAACAGCGGTGAACCGATCAAAAGGCTGACCACGCGCATGGTAAGTATCGTAGAACCATTGTCCCGAAGCTGCTGCATTGCGTTCGCCTGATCCCATGTTTGTCCAACCACCGAAATACGATGATCCGAGATCAAGATGCACAACTTGTGGTTGACTGAACGTCAAGAGGTTGCCATCCTTTTGTGGCTTGAGGGTCTTGTACCAGGGTGGAATACCATGCTGTCGCCACCCGTGCTCGCTGCTGCCATCCAAGGAATACGTGTATGGCGCATAGCCTTGTGGCAAGATGTGCAGCTTTGATTGACCGCCGTCCTTGAGGACGTAGCCAGGGGGTTGACCCGCTGATTGCTTGCTCAGATTGTCCTCGCCACACCACCAATCAAAGGGATCCCTCAACAAGCCAAAGAGTGGTTCAATGAGCTGAATACCCACACCCAAGGCAGGTTCAAACTCGTGCTTCTTGGTATTATAGCAAACACGTTTGTAGTAAAACTTTGAAAAGAGCGAATCATCGACGTGTGCAGGTTCTGGAGCGGCGGTATCGATGCGAGGCCATTGAATGGAGTGATCCAAATTAACGAGTCCAACAACGCGTTCAATGATTTTGTACATCTTGCGCGCATGTGCTGGTTGTGCGCTGACTTGGCAGACTTGGTCATTGACACCACCGTTTGTCAAGTCGAGCCATTCTTGTTCATAGGGAGACGATTCGTAGCGGTCAAAAACCCACTTGCAGTATGGCTGCTCCTGTGTTGGCTTCCAGGATGTTGTCACTTTTTCATGGACGCTGTATGCTGCATTCTTGACGGCTGCTTGGGATGGGCTGTGTAGGGAGATGAAGAGGATGAGAGAGGTTGCAGTTGCGCCGGCAATGACGACCTGCTGCTTGGAGAACATGATCAGACCTCTTCTAGTAGACTAGAGGGTGATGCGCTCAAGAGAGTGAAGAGCGTGAAAGGCTGTGTGGTTGCGGGGGGTGGCCTGGCGAGTGGTTTTGTGTGCTGGAGGACAGTCCCAGGGGTGTCTGAAGGAGTCAAGGGCTGCTCACCAGGAGTATACAATTATTGCCCCTCGACGGCGACTGGGTCTTGCAGTTATGAACTTATGAGCCCGCATCCAGCCAGCTTGTTTCACATGCAGATAACGGCGGGGCCGTTCCTCGCCAGACAGATAGTGACGGATAGCAGCCACTTACTCGGAGTTACTCCTCTTGACTGTTCTCTACAGTCCATACGCTTTCTATGTCTGCCTTTCCGCATGACTCTTCTAGTCATAGTAGTCACTCTAGAGTCTCGTATCGAAGCACTCTAGTTTATGGCCGCCGTCGTCGTTTGATGCTGATCCTGGCCAGGCTGCGCCCCCGAATGTGGGGAAGGACAACTTCACACGGCAAGCTCCAACTAAACTCCAGGGTCCAGACTTCCCAACTATTAACGAGTCTCACGGTACTGGTCTACTCTATTGTCGACATGGCTTGTCAGTTCCTAGAGACAGGTACAATTACAGGCACAGGAGAATCGAGGGACGCCCAACAATCAGGGCCAGCTATTGACGTTTGGACAAAGACTATAGTTAGCTCGCCCTGAAAACCTGTAACACAGGGCTGCTCAGGTCATTCTCCATACTGTATAGACTGTGCTGATTCTGCTGAAGCACTTCGTTACCGCACGCGTATCAGGGCAGGGGCCAAAGCGTCGCTTATGAGCTAGTCTCTACTTCACGATTGCAACCGATTCCTGGTTATGAGACAGAGCACTCGGAGGGTAACCAAAGGCTTCGCTTCACCTACAAAGGCAGAGTGACTTGCCAGCGTAGAGTCAGGCTCACATTGTGACATTGCTGTAGCTAGCTTGCAAGCGCAGTTGTATGGCCATCGACTCAAGCTCTAGCAATTACACAGCCGCTCTTGTATAAGCACGCAGTATTATGGAAGCTCATCCATGACTCATCATGGCATGATCATGCTCATTGCTCTTAATTCAAGTAACTTGGCTAAGTTGGCTTGCATCGTGCTGATCAAAGCAGGAAGTCGCCCAGGTCCTGTCAGTCAGCAGTCACAACTAACAAGCTGAAGCATGAATCTGCATGATTAATATCTCTCGGCAGAAAGCAGAGCCGCGTGTTGTAACTTGTACTCTGGGAGGCTGTGACTGTTTGTCAGACTAAGTGCCAGGCTAAACTTGTCAACGCATCAAGTTCCTCAAAACGGCAACGGGCATCTGCTCCTGATTGGTTGGGCAAGACGCAGGCATCAAGTTGCCTCAAGCGGAAATCTCATCTATCACTCAGCAATAGTAGATTAAGCAGTAGTAGAACAGTTGTACACTGTAGACAGTATACTGAGTATAGATAGGAAGCAAAGACGCAGGGCAAGCCGGCATATACTTCCTCCGGAGCTGATCCAAGCCGAGTATGATGCAGCATCAGGCCATGTCGCATCGTTGCCCTCCGTGCAGCAGACGAGAAACAATGCATAAAGCAGCAAAATAACAGATTCAAGTAGATCCAATAGATTCAAGTAGCACCACTGCGACACTCACGCCAACTGCACTCCTTCGCCTTCGAAGCTGCCTCGCAACATACACACCGTCGCCCTCTCTCCGACTGAGCAGCCTTGCTATCGCTATGACGGCCCTGTTTCCGAGCGGGTATGCACATCTCTTCCCCTTCATCACTAACATCAGCGTATCCACCGTGCTCGACAAAGAACAGAGTGATCAAAGCATTTCCTCTGCTGAAGCGAGCGAGCAGCGTAGCAGAGATGTCGCGGACCTCGCAAAAACATTCACAAAAGACTCTCATCTCACCGTCAATGGTGCGACACCATTTGACTATGCGCCCAACTCGCCACTCGATCCAAATGGCGATTGCTTCAATGCTAGGGCGTGGGTCAAGGCTATGTATGCCATGCAACAGGCATCCAACTCGGAAACCAGATCCCTTGGTTACAGTTTTGATAATCTCTCTGCATACGGATATGGCAGTGATACAGATTTCCAAAAGACTGTATCGACTGTTGTTTTCGAAGCAGTCAATGTCCTCAAGCGTATCGTTGGCATCAAAGGTAATCGTGTACAAATCTTGCGCAACCTCGACGGCGTCGTGCACGCGGGTGAAATGCTCGTTGTGCTCGGCCCTCCGGGTGCAGGTTGTACCACCTTTCTCAAGACCCTGACGGGCGAGACTCACGGCTTTCAAGTCGATGCCGATTCGCACATCAATTATCAGGGCATTTCCTACAAGGACATGAGTACACGGTATCGTGGCGAAGCCAGTTATACTGCAGAAGTTGATGTTCACTTTCCAAATTTGACGGTTGGCGAAACACTCTTCTTTGCGGCCAAGGCAAGAGCCCCTCGTGTCACCCCTGGCGGTCTCGCTCGAGACAAGTGGGCAATAGGGATGCGTGATGTCATGATGGCGACTTTGGGAATCAGTCATACGGTCAACACAAAAGTCGGCAATGACTTTATCCGTGGTGTCTCTGGCGGCGAGCGTAAACGTGTCACCATTGCCGAAGCAGCGCTTTCTCGTGCGACGATCCAAGCTTGGGACAATTCAACGCGTGGTTTGGATTCTGCCAATGCTATTGAGTTCTGCAAAACATTACGACTTCAAGCAGACTACTTTGGCATCACGCCGTCTGTTGCTATCTATCAGTCTCCTCAAGCGGCATTTGATGTGTTTGACAAGGTACTCGTCTTGTATGAAGGTCGACAGATCTACTTTGGTCGCACTACCGATGCGCAGGCATACTTTGAACGCCTCGGCTTTGAATGCCCAGCACGGCAAACCGTTCCTGACTTTCTCACATCCATGACTTCTGCACAAGAGCGTCGTGTCAGGCAGGGCTGCAGCAACGTACCAGAAACGAGCGACGATTTTGCAGCTGCGTGGAAAGCTTCGCCGGAATACCAGCAAGTCACCAAGGAAATTGCAGTGTTCAACAAGGAGAATCCTGAAACGGGCGACTCGCGTCGCAACTTTGAAGCATCGAGAAGATTGGAAAAGGCAAAAGGACAGCGTATTAAGTCGCCATACACACTTTCCTATGGTGAGCAAGTCAGGCTTTGTCTATGGCGCGGCTTCCGTCGTCTGTTCGCTGAGCCCGGCCTCACCATCTTTCAGATTGTCGCGAATGCCATCTTTTCGCTGATCATTGCGAGTGTCTTTTTCGACCTGCAACCATCCACCGTCGACTTTTTCAACCGCGGTTCGCTTCTGTTTTTTTCGGTTCTGATGAATGCGCTGTCGTCTTCGCTTGAAGTCCTGTTACTGTATGCGCAGCGCGATATTGTTGAGAAGCACGCACGGTACGCCTTTTATCATCCATCTGCAGAAGCGTTTGCCTCCATTCTCACCGACATGCCTTACAAGATCTGCAACAGCTTCATCATCAACATCATCCTGTACTTTATGACGAACCTTCGAAGAGAGCCGGGCGCTTTCTTCTTCTTTGTGCTCGTCTCATTTCTGCTCACGATTGCCACTTCACAGCTATTTCGAACATTGGCGTCTTTTAGCAAATCGCTCTCGCAAGCGCTCGTCCCAACGGCCATCATCAACTTGGCCATGGTCATGTTTGTTGGATTCGTCATTCCAGTGATTGACATGCTTGGTTGGTCAAGGTGGATCAGTTACATCAACCCTGTTGCATATGGCTTTGAATCGCTCATGATTAATGAGTTTCACGGACGCAACTTTGATTGCTCTGCATATGTCCCCTCATATGGCAATCTCGCGTCTGGCTCGCAAATTTGCAGTACAGTTGGGTCGATTGCCGGTCAATCTTTTGTTGAGGGTGAGCGCTTCTTGAATGAATCTTATGGCTACAAGCATGAAAACAAGTGGCGCAATGTCTACATCATTTTCGCATTTGCCATCTTCTTCTCATTCACTTACCTCATTGGCGTTGAGCTCGTGCAAGCGGCGAAGAGTAAGGGTGAAGTGCTCGTTTTTAAGCGCAATCACAAACGCAAAGGAGATCTTGAGGTGGGTCGTGTCAACAAGACGCAAAGTCATGTACCAGAAACGATTCAGCGACAAACGGCCATTTTTCATTGGCAAGATGTGTGCTACGACATTCAGATCAAAAAGGAGACGCGTCACATCCTGGATCACGTCGATGGCTGGGTCAAGCCTGGTACGAGAACAGCATTGATGGGTGTATCGGGAGCTGGCAAAACAACACTCCTCGATGTCCTCGCATCGCGTGTAACGATGGGTGTCATTGATGGCAAGATCTTGGTCGATGGGCAGCCCCGTGACGACTCGTTCCAACGCAAGACGGGTTATGCGCAACAGCAAGATATTCATCTCGACACCTCCACCGTACGAGAAGCCCTCATCTTCTCGGCACTACTGCGACAACCTGCTCACATTCCACGCAAAGACAAGATCGCCTATGTGGACGAGGTGATTGACTTGTTGGATATGACACAGTATGCAGACGCCGTTGTCGGCGTGCCTGGAGAAGGGCTCAACGTTGAGCAGCGCAAGCGGCTGACAATTGGCGTTGAGCTTGCAGCGAAGCCTGCGCTCCTCCTCTTCCTCGATGAACCCACCTCTGGTCTCGACTCGCAAACGTCTTGGGCTATTTGCGATTTGCTTGAAAAGCTGACGACTGCCGGACAAGCCATTCTGTGTACGGTCCACCAGCCGTCCGCCATGCTCTTTCAGCGCTTCGACCGACTCTTGTTTCTAGCAAAAGGTGGTCAGACAGTTTATTTTGGCGATGTTGGTGAGAATTCCAAGACGCTTGTGCAATACTTTGAGCGTAATGGAGCGCATCCTTGTCCACAGGAAGCCAACCCGGCAGAGTGGATGCTTGAAGTCATTGGTGCCGCCCCTGGCTCACACACCGACCAAGACTGGCACAAGGTATGGCGAGCATCGCCCGAATACGAGCAAGTCCAAGCAGAGCTTGAAGACCTGGAACACAACTCCCATCCAATCATCTCGAAAGATGCCTCTCAGTACAACGAGTTTGCTGCACCGCTGCGCACGCAAATCATCGAAGTGACGAGGCGTGTGTTTCAGCAATATTGGCGATCCCCGACTTACCTCTACTCCAAGCTTGCTCTGTGCTCACTTGCAGTCTTATTCGTTGGGTTTGTGTTTTACAAAGCGCCCAACACTCAACAGGGCATGCAAAGCCAGCTCTTCAGCATTTTCCTCGTCTTTACCGTCTTTCCGCAACTCGTCAATCAAATTATGCCTCACTTTGTTACACAACGCACCATGTACGAGGCGCGTGAACGGCCGAGCAAAGCCTACTCGTGGAAAGCATTCATGCTTGCCAACATTGGAGTCGAGCTGCCCTGGAATACATTGATGGCAGTAGTTGTTTTCTTTTGTCTCTACTACCCGGTCGGCTTCTACACCAATGCGACATACACAAACACCGTGCACATTCGCGGTTTCGAATTTTTCCTCTTCACCTGGCAATTTATGATGTTTGTGTCTACCTTTGCCTCACTCATCATTGCTTTTGCGTATGTTGTTTTTTATCTGCTCATCTGCTAACGATAGTCCCGATGCGTCTGTCGGTGGTAACCTCGCACAATTGCTCTTTGCTTTGTGTCTCATCTTTTGTGGTGTTTTGGCATCTCCCGATGTTTTGCCACGATTCTGGATCTTCATGTATGCTAGCCAGGCCACATGAACGCGCTAACATCAGGTACTACTGTAGCCCATTCACCTATTTGGTCAGTGGCATGATCTCAGCTGGTCTCGCCGACGCGCCTGTGCGTTGTGCCTCTCGCGAAGTCTTGCGTTTCAACGCACCCTCTGGGCAGACATGCGGCGAATACATGGCTCCATGGATCGCTAGCACAGGTGGTTACCTCTTTGATTCAGCCACATCGACTTGCGAGTACTGCCAGCTGGGTCAAACAAACCAATTTCTGGCTGCCGTGTCGATTGAACCAAGTTCTGGACGGCGTTGGCGCAACTTTGGCATCCTCTTCATCTTTCTCATCTTCAACATCTTTGCTGCGACCCTCTTCTACTGGCTTGCGCGTGTACCCAAGAAGACTAAGAAGGTTCGGCGAGAGGAGAAGGCTCGTAAATTAGAGTTGCAGGCGCAGGCAGGCAAGACTCAATAATTGTTTGTACAGACGTGGCATATAGACTGAAAACTGATTATTTACGGATGCTGTGACTCTGTGAGCTTGCAACTGAATGTTGTAGGCTTGTAGCTAGCAAATAGCGTATATGTCGCTGTTTCGAATTCGAGCTCAGCCCAGATTCGATCTGGTGGCTGAGTATTGACACCCATTGACAGCACGAACCAATCTCGAGCGCGCAAGTGATCAGCCCGCCCGCCCACTTCAAGTATGGAGTCCAGAGTCCAGGCGCGAGCGACGCGACGAATCCGGAACTGCTGCGGAGTGTCGTATGTTGCCACAACACAGATCAAAATATGCTATAGCACGACTCGCCTTGCACAGCTACACTCCTACTAGCTCCTGAACAATAGATGTCGGCCTTGCACGAGAAGCAGCTGGCCGACCTAGCAAGGTCATCGTCGGCCGTCGAGAGCATCTCGCCATATCATCCAACACAAGGCTCGGCGCTCGACCCAAACAGCGCTGATTTTGATGCTCGGCAATGGACACAAGCCATGTACAGACTACAGCAAGACGCTGGAAAACAAGGCCGCTCCCTTGGATACTCCTTCAGGCGTCTGAGTGCTTTTGGGCATGGCACCGACATGGATGTTCAAAAGACAGTATCTAGCGTCTTCCTCGAAGTAATCAACGTCGCAAAACGGCTTATCGGCATCAAAGGACAGCGTATCGATATATTGCATCCGATGGATGGCTTGGTCCGTGCCGGGGAAATGCTCGTAGTGCTTGGTCCGCCAGGCAGTGGATGCAGTACATTTCTCAAGAGCATCACGGGTGACACAGATGGCTTCATGCTTGGTACAGATGCAAAGCTCAACTTCCAAGGCATCTCGTACCGTGACATGACTTCGCGCTACCGAGGCGAAGCCAGCTACACTGCCGAACTGGACGAGCATTTCCCAAACTTGACTGTCGGCGAGACCCTCTTCTTTGCAGCCAAGGCTCGTGCGCCCCGCAAGACTCCTGGCGGTCTCTCTCGTGATGCTTGGGCGTCGTTGATGCGCGACGTCATGATGGCTACGCTCGGCATCAGCCACACGCTCAACACCAAGATTGGCAATGACTACATACGTGGTGTCTCTGGCGGTGAGCGCAAGCGTGTCACCATTGCAGAGGCTGCCCTCTCGCGTGCAGCAATTCAAGCTTGGGACAACTCGACACGCGGCCTTGATTCTGCAAATGCCATCGAGTTTTGCAAGACCCTCCGGCTTCAAGCTGATTACTTTGGCATCACGCCTGCAGTGGCCATCTACCAAGCCCCTGCGTCGGCCTTTGATTTGTTTGACAAAGTATTGCTTCTCTACAATGGACATGAAATCTATTTTGGCCCTGTCAGCCAGGCCAAAGACTACTTTGAGAGGCTCGGCTTTGAATGTCCAGCACGTCAGACGACACCAGACTTTCTGACGTCCATGACTGCACCAGATGAGCGTCGTGTCAGGCCAGGTGCTGCACCTCCTCAAACGCCGCTCGAGTTTGCTACTGCCTGGCGAGCATCAAAGGAGCGTGCTCAACTGCTGCTAGACATTGCCGACTACGACGCGATATTTCCGATCGGAGGCCCTGTACGAGATTTGTTCGAAGATTCGCGCCGGGAAGAGAAGGCATCCGTCCAGCGTGCCTCATCACCATACACCTTGTCTTACCGCGAGCAAGTTGCGCATTGTCTGTGGCGAGGTTTCCGCAGGCTCGTGGCTGAGCCCACGCTGACTCTCTACCAGCTCTTGTCCAATCTGCTGCTGGCCATTATTGTTGGCACTGTCTTTCTCAACCTCAAGCAGGAAACCAATGGATTCTTCAAGCGCGGCTCTCTGCTCTTCTTCGCCGTGCTGCTCAACGCGCTGGCTTCGGCTCTGGAAGTGCTTCTGCTGTACGAACAGCGCGATATCTGTGAGAAGCATGCACGATATGCATACTATCATCCATCTGCAGAGGCTTTTGCCTCCATCTTAACCGACTTGCCCTACAAAATTTCGAATGCAATTACCTTCAATGTGGCACTGTACTTCATGACCAACTTGCGGCGCGAGGCTGGTCCCTTCTTCTTCTTTGTCCTCGTCTCTTTTCTTGTCACACTATCAACGTCGCATTTGTTTCGAACACTCGCTGCCGTCAGTCGCTCGCTTGTTCAGGCTCTCGTTCCCACTGCACTCATAACCTTGGCGCTCGTCATGTTTAGTGGCTTTGTGATTCCTGTCGTTGACATGCTTGGCTGGTCACGCTGGATTCACTGGCTCAATCCACTCTCATATGGGTTTGAGTCGCTCATGATCAACGAATTCCACGGGCGAGACTTCAGCTGTGACAGCCTGATACCGACCTATGGATCACTTGTGGACGGCACGCAAGTGTGCTATACTGTTGGATCGGTCGCTGGTCAAGACTTTGTGAATGGTGCCAGCTACATCGAAGCTGCGTATGGCTACGTACACGACAACAAATGGAGAAATGTGTATATCCTTGCAGGGTTCACAATCTTCTGGGGCCTCACATATCTGATTGGTGTCGACTTTATCCAAGCCAAGAAGAGCAAAGGCGAAGTACTCGTCTTTCGCCGGCGTCAAAAGCGCAGAGATGTCGAAGCAGCATCGCCCGTCTTGCCCTCTGCCAAAGCACAAATGCAGATTCAGCAGCAGACTGCCGTCTTTCACTGGTCCGATGTCTGTTATGATGTCCGCATCAAGAAAGAGACACGGCGCATCTTGGATCACGTCGATGGTTGGGTCAAGCCAGGCACTCGAACAGCCTTGATGGGCGTTTCAGGTGCCGGCAAAACGACCTTATTGGATGTGCTTGCATCGCGTATTACGATTGGCGTGGTTGGAGAGATGCTCGTTGATGGTCAGATTCGCAATGCGGCGTTTCAGCGGCAGACGGGATACGCTCAGCAGCAAGACTTACACCTGGACACTTCGACTGTTCGAGAGGCTCTCACCTTTTCCGCGCTTCTCAGACAGCCGGCGCACATCCCAAGGCAAGACAGAATCGACTATGTTGACGAAGTCTTGTCCCTCCTCGATATGGTGGATTATGCAGATGCTGTCGTTGGCGTGCCTGGCGAAGGTCTCAATGTCGAACAACGGAAACGTCTTACGATTGGAGTGGAACTGGCTGCACGGCCAGCGCTCTTGCTCTTTCTTGACGAGCCAACCTCTGGTCTCGATGCGCAAACATCGTGGGCTATCTGTGACTTGCTCGAAAAGCTTACCAAGGCCGGTCAAGCCGTGCTCTGTACAATCCATCAACCATCCGCCATGCTGTTCCAGCGTTTCGACCGACTGCTCTTGCTTGCTCAGGGTGGACAGACTGTCTATTTTGGCGATATCGGCGAGGATTCTCAAACACTAGTTAGCTACTTTGAGGCGAATGGTGCGCCGAGCTGCCCACCCAAGGCCAATCCGGCCGAGTGGATGCTCGAAGTCATTGGTGCTGCTCCCGGCTCCCACTCAGATCGTGATTGGCATCAAGTCTGGCATGCTTCTCCTGAATACCGCACAGTCAAGGCTACGCTGCATGATTTCGCATCTGCTACGCCAGGGTCACTCGACGTCCAAGATCAGTACGCTGCCCCGTTGTTTGAGCAATTCAAGGTGGTGACACAGCGTGTCTTCTCCCAATACTGGCGTACACCCACATACATCTACAGCAAGCTCCTTCTCTGCGTCCTGGGCGCCTTGTTTGTTGGCTTTGTCTTTTACAAGTCACCCAACAATCTGCAAGGCATGCAAAATCAAATGTTCGCCGTCTTCATGCTCTTCACGACCTTCCCGCAACTGGTCAGTCTGATGATGCCTCATTTTATCAAGCAGCGCTCCTTGTACGAGGCTCGGGAGCGACCGAGCAAAGTGTACTCGTGGAAAGTCTTCATCATGGCAAACATCGTTGTTGAGCTGCCATGGAATACATTCTTTGCTGTGCTCATGTTCTTCGCCTTTTACTATCCAGTTGGCTTTGCCAGAAATGCTGAATTCACAGGCGCCGTTGCAATTCGTGGCTTCCTCTTCTTCCTCTATGTCTGGCAATACATGCTCTTTATCTCGACGTTTGGCAGCCTCATGATTGCTGCACTCGACAGCGAATTGGCCAGCAATCTGGCGGAGCTGCTGTTTGCCTTGTGTCTCATCTTTTGTGGTGTCCTCGTCAATGTCAAGAGCTTGGGCAAGTTTTGGATCTTCATGTGAGTTGTCCCACAAGTCTGTTCGATGCTAATATCAGGTACTATGTCAGTCCTTTTACCTATCTGGTGAGCAGCATGCTGTCAGTGGGTATCGCCAATGCGCCCGTCACATGTAGCCAGGTGGAGCTGCTTCGCTTCAACGCCCCAAGCGGCACATCATGCGGTGAATTTATGAACGACTTCATCACAGCCGCAGGTGGATATCTTGTGGACCCACTCGCGAGCGTCTGCGAATACTGTCGAATTTCGGAAACCAATACGTTCCTAGCGGCAGTGTCGAGCAAGTACGCGCATCGCTGGCGAAATTTTGGCATACTTTGGCTATACATCTTGGCGAATATCGTCGGTGCCATCTTTCTCTATTGGCTAGCACGGGTGCCCAGGACTCGAAAGGCTCAACCCCAGCTGAAATGAATTTCTTATATCATACATGTATAATACTTCTCATGAGATCTCTGCGGACTCCCCGTTCTGACGTTGCTGAAAGCATTTGAAATGCACATGGTGTTACAAGGGGCCTTCGCCCCTGATTTGTTAGTCTTGAAGACTTGAACAAATTTCGCATGTGGCCATCTGCAACATTTTGACCCCTGAAAGTTATGGTCCGGCCATTTGCTTCACTTGGACTTTGCGATGAGCCACAACAAGACACTGCTGGCAGGATGCTACTGAGTCGATGGCCCTCATTGTTTGCAACCGCCCTACTCATGGCTCGCACTGGTCCAGCTTCAACGGGCCGTGGCAATGCTTCGCCAGCTTTTCCAGGTTCAGGTGTAAAAGCGTGTCAAGGACTGGTGCTCAACTACACTTCGATCGTTCGCGGACAAAAGTTGTTTTCTGTGAAGTATGTTCCGCAGCCGGATGAGCCTGTGAACGAAGACTATTGCAATGCCTGGTGCCGGGACAAAGTAGTAGACACATGGTTCGAAGGAGGCTCGTGGCGGCTATTGAAGGTGCCTCCACACAAAGTCAAGCCAGAAGCATGCTTGGCTGGTGACTGGATGTGCATCGACTCGCCTGCCAGTCAAGCATATTTTGCCGTGGACAGAATCGGGAGTTTCGTCATTGATATCACATGTTATTGTACTGTCGGACTCGTCCTGGAGAGAGTGCACAAAGAGAATCAATTTCACAAGGTGAAAAGCGAAGATCCTTCAGGCGGCTGGCGAGACTTGTGGATCAACGTCTCATGTCAACCTGAGGAACTTGGACAGCGAATAGCCGTGAACGGGTGGCAATTGAAAGATGCTCGCAGCACCGGAGACGCTGACTGCTATCACGAGTATGGTATAGACGATTGCTGGTGCGACGATACAGGGCTTGACACGTGTGAGAGATTCGACACGGATCTGTACTTTATTGGCAACAAGTACCAGGGAGACGAGATCCGGACTCGAGACAGGCCGAGCATCAAGGCGCCATCCATAATCACACCCCGCGATGAGATACGACCAATTCAGGATCTCGACTTCGTCACAGGCTGGGACGACTTGTGGACAAGACCAACGATACCCCACGAGCTCGAGACTGAACAAGAGGAGTGGGACGCTCTGAGAATTTGGCAAAAGCACCCCGACGAGATCGAGGATGCCGTGGCAGCTGCTGCTGTAGAGCAAAATGATGGAGATGGACAATGATGATGGCGCTTTTGCATCTATTCTACTGTCCTGAGTCTCTTGGAAGAGTCATTAGTCTATTCAGCCTTAGTCCCTGACCATCTCATACTTCAGACGAGCATGCTCGGGCTTTGCAATTTATACTTGATGTTGGTTGCTGGCGTATTTACGAACTACGTCATTTATATATTTGGCCAGTTGCAGCGGGTAACACAACGCCAAGTACATGTAGCCCACCATTGTCTCTGTATACCATATATACTAATCATGCGATTCACAAACGCTCTCCTGGCCCTCGGCCTTGGCTGCTCAGTCAACGCTCAAATTCTCTCCGACATCGTTAATGCAGGCAACGTTGCCGCTTCAGCCGTAACCGGCGCTTTCGGGGCGTAAGTCTTGCCAAGAACCTTTGCAGACCACATACCTAACACAGAACAAGTGCCACCTCAGGCGCTGCTTCAGTCGGTCAAGTCATCACTTCCGGTGCTGGCGGTGCACTCAACACCGTCACGTCCGGAGCTGCATCTGTAGGCCAAGTCGTTACTTCGGGCGCAGGTGGTGCATTTAGCACTGCTACATCCGGTGCGGGTGGTGCTTTTTCAACTGCAACATCCGGTGCCGCTGGTGTCGCAACCGGTACCGTTGCCTCGGGTGCCACGGCACTAGCTTCGTCGGCCACGCGTGTGCCTAATAACGTTGCAAGTGCCGTTTCCTCAGCCACGTCACGAGCAGCTGCTAGTGCCGCTCCTGCTGTCCAGGCAGGCGCCATGGCCGGTGCGGGTGCCATTGCTTACTTCTTGCTTTGAGCAAGAAGTTCACTAGCCAACTCAGAACATGTAAACTTGTAAGAATGATAATAAAAGCTGATTGTGCCGATCGCTAAATGTATTCCGCCGTCGCCTGCAACGGTCCTGGTGCTTTTGCGAATCCTGCCCGCCGTTTGCCAGTCTGCCTGTCTACGCCAATATCGCCCCATTGAATCCCGTTTACCGGAAGCTTGTTGTATGAGGCCAATTCCTTGCAAGCAGCAAAGAGAACCTTTCCATTGCCGTACATGACGGGCTGTTTGCCCTTCAAGGGCCACCACCAAGCACCAAGAATGAAACCGACAACGCAAATTGGAATCGTGTAGGTCACGTAGCCCCAAGCATCCTTTTGCGAACCATATGTGAAGCCCAGGATAATGATGTTGGGTCGGACCAAGACTTGTGCAATGTCTTGCTTTTGCGAAATAGCAAAATGCGCAAGCACACCCGTGGCGAAGAGCATGAACGTCATGAGGTACGTCAATTCCATAAATCTCAATGGTCTCGTCCCTGCAAGATGGCTCTCGGCCGTGCGCGGCTTCTTGACTTTGCGAGCATAGGAGCGCCACTCAAATTCCAGTGCAATCTTGACGAGCAATTCGGTGCCAAAGGCAAAGAAGACGGAGAAGATGAACTGAGGGATATTGGCTGCGATGATGACCCAGATTTGGGCTCCAAGCGTCTCACCACGAGGCGCACTATAGAGTGCTTCAAGGTCGGCGACGAGTGCACCATAGCAAATGGCCATGATGATGAGTGGTCCGACCTCGAGCCAAGTGAGGAAATGAATGATTCGCTTGGTCTTGTCTGGGTCAGCCTTGATAATGGTCTTTGATCCTTTGCGGTCCACCAGACAGCCCTCATCCGGCACGAGGTGCGGCTGGCCAGGCACAATGACTAGGAAGTCGCCCATGAAATTATATCGTTTGAGGCGCCAGTGCTTGCGAGCTACCAGGAGAATGACGGCCGCTTTGACAAGGATGATGATGGAGACAACAAACGAGACCCATGGCCTGATGACAATCAAACAAGTTCCTGTTGAGATTTGTGATGCAAGATCCTTGCGTGAACGAAACTCTAAGGATTCCCCAAAGATGGCGTTGAGCAGCAGATGCATTGGCAAACTAGTCACAGCCATAATGAACCACACAAAGATGGCCGGCCGATGTTTGCGATGAAACATGGCGAACACGGAGTTGGTACAGAACGGCAGTGACGAACCGGGCGTTTGCAGCTCGTGCTCGATATCATTCATGGTTGGACTAGTACAGAGCTGTTGAACACGCCCAGAGAGCATCATAATGAAGGTTCCAAACATGTTGAGGCCGAGCGAAATGAAGCGCAACGGCCACTGAATGGAGTTGCACGGCTTCTGTGTCAATGGCAACGAGATGCGATACCAGTTGAGGGATAAATTCTTGCTGGCATCCGATTTCAGCGCGTTGGCAGCCAGGCAGATTGTCAAAATCAGAAAGGACAGCCCACACAAGACGAAGCCCCAAGCAATGTAAGTTGGGTTATCAAAAAGCTCGCTGATGCGCTGCGACGTTCTCATTATGCGCGCCCGGAGGCTCGGCGTTGAGACGCCTGCTGAAGAGACGGTCGTCACCGTCGTTGTCGCAGCATTGACCTTGATGTCGATTGGTGTCACAGGCGTGATTAGGACAGTTGGGTCCGGTTTGCTCGTCGTGGGCAGCACCGTAACGATGCCAAGGCTCTTGCTCATTGCCCCAGCAGCGAGACAGGCAGCACGCGTGACGCTAAGCTATGGGACTTGAGTAGATATCGAGAGCAAATGCATCGCGCTATGATTGTTGTGAGCGAGCCTCTTCCATCGCACGGGTCTGCGAGTCCCTAAAACACAGAAGGGCCAGAACCTTAGACTTTTGCATGAGGCCGCGGCGACGATAAAGTGGAGTCGTGGTGGTGTACCCGTGGGCGCGGTCAGCAATTGGATCGCTGTGCCGCTTTCCGCACAGAAGTTTCTCTTTTCGGCCTCCCGATTTGCAAGATCACGACGGCAGTAAGCGAACCGTTGCGCGCTAGCTTCAGCCTGCAGGTCACAGGCGACGCGTACGTGCTAGAATCAGTACTGCCATGATGTGCTATCTATTTGGCCTACGGAACAAGGTAGCTCGAAAGCCTGGAAGTAGGACGATTGGGGCATCGAGACAGACTCTTAGTGGTCTTACAAATGAGGGTCTGGTCGAAATCTTGTAACCTCCTCCATTGCCCAGTCAAGTTCCATTTTTTGACAGCTGCGGCCAAGTTGGCCCATGGATCTCGGGTACTTGGCTCTACGCTGACCATCCATGTACTCTTCCGTCGACCGAACGATTCTGCCCGTATGTCGCTCAAAGGCATCTACATGTTTGGATTATGATCCACTGGCAGTTCCAGATTTGACGTCGAGCGCTAGCCTAGCACAATGCATGCGTCGGGCGTTTTCATTTGGCAGCAAGAAGCCTTATAATCTATGAACTGCGGATCCAACTTTCTAAAGTTCGCGAACTTCGCTACTCTGGAGAACAACTTTTTGGTGCTTCCGTTCTCGTTCACGCTGAGTATATATGCATGTTGGTCGGCTGGGCTGGAGACTGAATGTCTATCAGCACTAATCTCTCTCGCATCTTACAATGAAGGCTTCACTCAGCTGGACTGCGGTGGCTCTATTCATTCTCGATGCGCGAGCAGCGATTGAAACACTTGAACAAGCAAGAACAAGGATCCTGCTCGAGGAAGCATCGAGAATGAAGCGACAATACTATGGTTACTTCGGTCCTCCTGCTGGATCTATCGCAGTGCCTCGCGATTGTCTGCCTGGACCCCTTTCGCCTCAACAACTCAGTCAACTTTCCGGTCAACTAGGTCCTATGTATCAAGTACCCTCAAATGGTTCTTCGATGACAGCAAGAACATCGAGATCGTTTCCTCCTTCCTCCGCCGCTTCTTGCGGCGACACTGTGTTTGTCGGTGATATCGGACCCTATCGCACACAAGAATATGGCAACTACAATGGAAAATGGGTTCCATGGTGGATGGAGCCTCATACAGGCATGTACTGGCTCGTGGATGCACAGACAAATTTTCTCATCTACAACACTGCAATCAGCAACATCAACAGCACTTAAAGCTACGGGCCGACGATCGTGAATGCCAAGTACATTTCCAGGAATGTGACTTACTCTAGTCCAGTCTTCAGAACTGCTTCGACGACAGTCATTGAACAAGCATGTCAAGTAGGAGTTCGGTCCTGCGGCTATAGTCCACAGTTTCAGAGGTCACAGACGCCAAACTACATCGATCGCGGATCACTCGCACCCATGCAGACCTTTACTTGCAATTCTCCCATCACCATTGCCATCGGACAGAGACCATTTCCTCAGGCGCAATTCCTGGATGGCCGTACCTGCATCGTTGCAGCAGATCTCGTCTACACATATGACGCTCAGGACACAGACGACGAGTATGTTTTGGACGGAGTGCTGGTCCCCGGCCAGCGACCTGTGGAAACTGTCACCAGGGGCTATTACCAATCTTATGCACAGTGCAATACTACAAGAACATTCTATAGCTCGCTGAGCCTGGTGTCTTGTCCAGACCCAGTTGCTGGCGGCTTCACCAACCCGCTGATCGACCCACGGGCACTCAAAACACAACCTATTGATGTCCCAACGATCCAACTTCAAGCGGTGGCCTTGCCCACGCCACCCAGTCTGAGACCCCCTCCTCTCTTGATACCCAGTCCTAATCTTGGTGGAACTGAATCTGGCTCTGGCAGCAATTCAGGAATTGGTGGAAGTGGTGGAGCCGCTCCTGAGCTAATCCCAGCTCCTGATCCGGCTCCTACACAAGCTGCAAGCTCGCCAGCTATTGACAATGGTTCTGGTTCTGGTTCTGGTTCTGGTTCTGGTTCAGACTCAGACTCAGGCTCAGGCTCAGGGTCAGGCTCAGGTTCTGTGCCACCAACAGGCGACAGTGGGTCCGTTGCACCTGTCCAGGCAAACAATGTTGCTCCTGCAGGCGGCGGCGGCAGTTCTGCTGCTGGATCAGGTATCGCTTCCGGCAGCGGGCAGACAAACGGTAATAGCAACAGCAACAATGGCAATGGCAATGGAGCTGTAGCAGGTACTGACAGCTCGGTCAACAATGGTGGCTCGAAACCGGTAGCCAATGCAGCTGCGGGCGACGGGCAGGTCTCGACCAACAATGGCGTTTCGGCCGGCACTGCGCCTGGTATTAGCGGAAATAGCGCCCAAGCCGCGCCAGTCGCCGGCAGTGCTGGTACGTTCGCCTCAAGTCCTGGAAGCGGCCAGGCAGGTTCATCTGGGTCAGGTGTAGGTATCGCATCTGGCAACACTGGCAGCCAAAACTCGGGTCTCGCAGGATCCACAGGCAACACGGTTTCAGATGGTAGCGGTCCAGTCAACGGTGATGTACAGCGCAGCGGGGTCCTTGCCCAATCGTTGCCCGAAGGAGCCTTACCCATTGCACCAGCTCTGGTTTCTTCGGCCAGTAATGCGGCAACTGCTGCGTCTCAAGCACTCGCCGCGGCAGGCATTACACCCGCCCCTAAGCAACAGCAATTCACTGATGCCGCAGGCGCGATAGGCAATTTGCGGTCTGCATCAAGCCAGTTGGCATCAGTAGCAAGCACTGCTACTGGAAGTGCCTTGAGCTCTATTCGTGCCGCTCAGTCTTCCATCGCCGCTGTACTTTCTTCCGTTGACGCAGTCGTCGCCACTGCAAGTGTATCGATAGCCAGAACAACGACCAATGCGCAAGGGTCGCGCATCACTACATCATTGCTGGCCGCCGCGACTGCTCTTTCTTTGCGTACTTCTCTTTCAACAAACAGTGCTGGCATTGTTTCTACCGTCGTAGAGACGGATATTCTTACGAGCTCACCGAGCGCGACAGTGCAAGCATCTGTCAGTGCCACTCGTTCTTCTACATCTAGAGCAGGTGCTCAATTGACTCATACTTTCCACGGCACACACCTGTCGGCTGCCATGTATGGGCTGTTTGTCTGGTGTTTGGCTCACTTTTAAGGCTAGTGACCAGCTTCCTGGCGACAATCTGTAATTTAATAGATTTGTATAACATATGACCGCTCTGCGGTCCATCTTCAGTCCCCTGGTTGCGTTCTTGACGGAAGTGTATTTGAATTCGCGGATACGCACGGGTATTCTTGCCCTGACCTGTACAGCTGCAGTTGTCAACGAAAATGAACCGAAGCGCGAGTGCCCATCTCGAGAATTTTCACTTCGTTCGAACGCCAAGAGCTAGCGCTAGACCTCTGAAGAGGTACTACAAGCGAAGGCCTAGCTAGAGAGGGATGCGCGATAGTCTACTTTCCAGAGACAGAGCTATAGCTATACCGTTCGGCGTCTCGCCGAAAGGTCCTTCTCTCGGGAATTCAGATACTGTTATCACGAGCGTCTTGGTGGCCACAGTTGCAACGTCATGTCTGATTCTTTGCTTGAAGTCGCCAAAGAAGGGCAAGGCTGCCGACGAAGAAATAGATCCTGATGCACGCTATAGTATACGGTTAGAGAAGATGGCCTTGGCCTTTGTCCTAACGCTTGGCCTCGCTCTGTTGATGGTTGAAATAATCCAAATACATCACTCGCCCTTGATGGCATCAAGTGTTGCTTGGCTATACCTGACTCTTCTCATCGTATTGCTTGTCTTCTCTGCCAACTATAGGCGTATCTTCTCATTGGCAATTCATGTTGCGACGGTCGGTATCATCCTCCATCTTGCGGAGCTGGCAGCGGTGTACAAAGCCCTAGACCGGCTTCCGCCGCTTGACTTCATGACGATGCTACAACGTCAATCGGTCTATATGCCCCTTATGTCAGCATCAGTTCTGCTTCTCGTTGTCGGGGTAGCAGTCGTGATACCACGAGCGCCGCCAATGCAGTACAACGATAAGCCGGTTGCTCAAGTTGCGAATGCTACGATATGGTCGCAGCTGGTTATGGGATGGTGCTGGCATGTCATCAAAGTATGCAAAAGCAATCAAGATGCAAATCAAGACGACCTCGATGAGCTCCTACCCGAGATGCGGGCTGAGCAACTTTTTCTGGATATGCAAGCAACTAGAGGGAAAGGCTTGCTCATGGTCCGCTTGGCAAAGCTCTTTCGTGGCTACTTGCTTGCCGAAACTATCATGTGTCTTGCTGCTGCAGTCTTCACCTTTGCACCAAACTATTTCCTCTTGGAAATTATCAAATTTGTCGAGCGACCCACAGCTGCCTGGCGTGGCGTGGCACTTGTGATCGGCCTGATCCTGACTGGACAGGTTCAAGGCTTACTCACTGCTCAAATATGGCATATCTCTGCTGTTCTCATGCAGCAACAGAGCAGAGCAGCTGTCAGCATCGAAGTTTACGAGAAGACATTGAGGAAGCGCAACAAGGTTGGCCAAATTGAAGAAGATCAAGGTAGCAAACAGAATGCCGTCAACTTGATGAGTCTGGATGCAGATCGAATCAGCACATTTTTCTCCTACAGTTCCTTCTTGGTTCAATCGCCCGTCGAGATTGTCATTGCGCTTGTATTTCTATACCAGCTGGTTGGATGGACTGCCATGCCTGGTGTCGCCGTACTTTTGCTCTTTCTGCCCGTTACCGCATGGACTTCGAAGTTGTACTTTAGCTCACAAGAGAAACTCATGCATGTGCGAGACAAGCGAATCGCACTCATGCAGGAAATCCTGTCTGGACTCCGGCAAATCAAATTTCAAGGCAATGAACAGCATTTCATCGAGAAAGTTGGCAAGGTCAGAGCAAAGGAACTATGGCAGCTCACAGTGTCTTACATTGGCTATGTTTCAGTCGAATTCGTCTACATCATAGCCCCTGTGTGCATCATCAGCATCACCTTCGCAATCTACACGGTCTATGTCGGCAATTTGACGCCAAGCATTGCATTTACTGCTATTGCTGTCATGCAACAATTGCAGTTCGCCATGAATATCATTCCTGAGATTGTGGTGGACGCCATCACTGTTTGGACATCTGCACGCCGTATCGACGCTTACTTGGCTGAAGATGATTTGCCCTCTTCAACGAGCGGTGAATCAATCGTCACGATAAGAAACGCTGACTTATCTTATGCTGGTTCCAAGACCGAGGGCAATCCCCCCATCTTACAAAATATCAGCGCTTCATTTCCAGTAGGAGAGCTTTCTGTCATTACTGGCAATACTGGATGTGGAAAGACTTTACTGCTTACAGCAATCCTCGGAGAGGCTCTGGTACTGAAAGGATCTGTTATGGCACCACGTTCGCCACAACAAGAGCACAGTCTCTTTGTCGCTCCCGGCGACTGGGTCATCCCAGAGATGATAGCTTATGTCGCGCAGACCGCTTGGCTTGAGAATAAGAGCATCAAACTCAACATTTTGTACGGTTGTCCATTTGTCGCATCTCGGTACGCTCAAGTACTTGAAGCCTGCAGTCTCAAGCGTGATCTTGAGATTCTCGAAGACGGTGATGAAAGTGAAATTGGCGAGCGTGGTTTGAATTTGAGCGGTGGTCAAAAGGCTAGAGTCGCACTTGCTAGAGCGGTCTACTCTCGAGCCGGGGTCGTGGTCATGGATGACGTTCTCTCTGCGCTTGATGCGCATGTGGCAAAGCATGTTGTTGAGAAGTGTTTGAGTGGGTCTTTGATGCGAGGAAGGACTCAAATTCTCGTCACGCATCAGGTATCGCTTGTGCTTTCTGTCGCAAAGTATGTGCTAGCCTTGGAGAATGGTACCGTGAAGCATGTTGGACCGGTCGATGAGCTCAGGCGGACTGGGTCTTTGGAACAGCTCGTCGATTTGTCCGTCAAGCAAGTCGTCCAGGAAGAGGAGGCAATTGAGCAAGTTGGCAAGCCAAAAAAGTCGACTGCCAAAAAGTTGGTACAAAAAGAGGTCAAGTTTGTTGGCATGGTCAAGATTCGTGTCTACTTGCGCTTCATCCGGGCTTTGGGGCCTTGGCCGTTCGCTGTTGCCATCCTGGTTCTCATTTTAGCAACGTTGTTTCTCGATGCGGCATGCTCATATTGGCTGCGACTTTGGTCTGCCAGTGACCCTAACCAGTACACTCTGGGACACTGGATCGGCGTCTTTGTTGCACTCGAACTCTCATCTGCAATCGCGAATCTCGTCTCGATGGCGCTCGTCTTCACTGGTTGTATTCGAGCAGGACGAAAGATCTACATGGAGATGCTGGAAACCGTGATGTATGCTCCACTTCGTATGTTGGACACTGTCCCCGTTGGCAGATTCGTGAGTCGGTTTTCCAAGGATGCCGAGGTCGTTGATTCGGATCTTGGCAAGGCCTTCTTTTACGTCTTGCAGAATGGTGGCTATGTTCTCCTCACGATTGGTATCTGCGTTGCAATTCAGCCAGTCTTTTGCTTGCCCGCTATCTTGCTCGTTGCCTTTGGCATCTGGATTGGGCGTTACTATACCGGTGCAGCACGAGCTTTGAAGCGACTTGACTCTGTCAATCGCTCGCCCATGTATGAAGCATTCTCAACAACCATCAGCGGTATCACTACATTACGCGCCTTTGGTTCCCAGACTCGCGCACTTAAGCTGTTCTTCAAGCATGTCGACAACATCAGTCGTGCTCGTTTCTTCAACATGGGTATCAACCGCTGGTTGAGTGTACGCTTCACGTCTATTGGCAATCTGTATGTGTCTGCGATTGGCCTCTTGTTGGTCCTCAATGCCCGACATGTCAATGCCGGTATGGCTGGGTTTGCAATGTCATTTGCCTTGCGTTTGCAGATGCAGTTGATGTGGGCCATTCGACGATACGGTGAGCTCGAACAACACATGAATGCGGCTGAGCGATGTTTCGAATACACTGATATGCCAACAGAGGCGCCACACTATCTGGAAGAGCCGCCAACGGATTGGCCTTCGCAGGGTGTCATTGCATTTGAAGAAGTTGAACTCAAGTATGCTCCTGATCTGCCCTCTGTCTTGCGCCGCATTAGCTTTTCCATTAGACCTCAAGAAAAGCTTGGTATTGTTGGACGTACCGGGAGTGGCAAGACGACTTTGACGTTGGCTCTATTCCGCTTTCTCGAATTGCATCATGGGAAGATTATGGTGGATGGCATTGACATTTCGACGCTTGGCTTGCATGACTTGCGTTCGCGCATGACCATCATTCCACAGGAACCCTTCTTGTTTGAAGGCACACTGCGGAGTAACTTGAGCGAGACTGCGACTGACGACGAACTGCACCTTGCATTAGCACGCGTTCATTTGACGGGCGCTGTGTTTCGCAATCTCGACAGCCCAGTAACAGAATCTGGCAGCAACTTTTCAGCTGGACAACGGCAGCTTCTATGTATGGCTCGTGCACTCATCCGAAAGAGCAAGATTCTTGTAATGGATGAAGCCACGGCGTCAGTAGATGTGGAGACAGATGCCTTGATTCAGCAGACTTTGAGGGAGGCCTTTTCGGAGTCGACGTTGTTGACCATTGCGCATCGGCTTGCATCCATCATTGACTATGACCGTATCTTGGTATTGGATCACGGTCAGGTGGCAGAAATGGGCACGCCCAGTGAGCTGATGGCGAAGGAGGGCGGCGTCTTCAGGGAGATGGTGCAGGCTGCAGGATTGGTGTGGATTGACCCCATCTGAATAGAGCCTCAGCGTGGGAAGAAAGGGAAGTTGGGAAGATAAAAAGCAGGAAGCGATCCATAGAAGGACTTGCTCTGGGACGCCATACGGCTGCAGGTAAGTTGCATCAGCGATGAGCAAAGACGCAGGGCAGGCAGTATAGCGAGATGAATTTATTGCTATTCTGGCACCTCTTATACTAGATCCCTGCGCCTTCGGGTGTCTGGATCGATGAATTTGAACTCTTTCTGATACGACTGCCTCTCTCGAGTCCTTTGCTCCGTGTCTCCATACAGCTGCTGACCGACAGAAGCAATGATTTCCAGAGGCAAGAAGAAACACAGAGACTGAATGTGGCAACACGATTAGACCTAGGTACCAGATGCCCACGAAGGACTATACAACCTTCGCGAGCAATGCTGAACAACTTAATTGTTCCTTATGATTGCCAACAAGCAAGGTCGCCGTGCTGTTTTCTTGCATTTGAGAAGCACTCCATTTGGAAATGATGAGACGCATATTGGCAAAGCGTACTGGGAACTTGGCAGTGTTTCGTAGGCCGCAAGGTCTGCGTGATGCTGTCATGGGAGCCCCAGGACGCACTGAAGCTCAAACATTTAAGTCGCTGATCCATACCAACGCTCTGTAGTATCGTAGAGTCTCATGAAGACTTCTCTTGCCTGCGAATCTCAACACGGTCAACCGCGTACTTCATGCGATTGCGTTCCTGAAAGCGCTGGAAGCGACATCCTTCAAAAGTCGCGAGGGACATGGCCACGAATGTGCCTGCACCCCAGTTGAGCGAGTGGCCTACTCTGCGTGTCCAAAAGAATTTCGTAGCACCAAGCAGACACGCTGAGCCCACGCCGTAGAGTAGCGCTTGTCGCGCACAGGGCACTTCATTGATGTGTGCCAAATCTTGAAGTGTGATGGTGGAGATGGCTTCCTTGATGGCCGGTTGCTGTTGCTGCTGAGTGCTGTGTTTGAGTGCATCGATAGTCTGCTGCCGCCGCCTATCTGCCTCTGTCGCCTCGTGACCCTTATCCATGTGCGTCTCTCGAGCTTCTTGTCTTGGTTTCTCTCTTGAAAATGGTCGCCGACGACATCGCGACGTTGGACCAGACCACAGACAAGCACAGACAGAGGAAATGCCGAGCCAGCAGCTGGCAAAGTCATACAGGCGCAAGTATAAGAAGCTCATTGATCAATTCACCCTCGTCACAGCACGCCAACACCACCTCAACCTACAAGTCACGACGCGTGCGCAAGCTGCTCTCAAACTACAGGCGGAGCTTGATCTCTTGCTTGATGTCCTCTTCGACGGCAATGCAGTCGACTTGAGCGCTATCAAGGAAGCAGGGAGTCATGCGGATTGGGTCAAGGAAGTGCTGGCTGCGCATGAAGCGACAGCTGCAAAGAAATCTGACGCTGCCAATGGGGACTCTATCGATTCATCACTAGTGATGAGAGATACTGCTGCTCGTAATGCGGAGCCAGTAAAGAAGGATAAGCCTCAGACATCAGCTGGCCTCGGCATAGATCAGGGACAAACAACCCGTGTGCCAGCCTCAGAAGGAGGTCCCTCACAAATTCTAATTGACCTGGCGAGTGCAGCACGCGCCATGCTGGCTGAACAGCGCAAGATGGAGTTATCTGTGGGATACTGGCATCAACCGCAACCGCCGCACCTCGCGGATCTACCATGGGATCTGGATTTGGAGAGTAAGACGGGGAGTTATGTGGAGGATGTCCAAGCGCAAGTGACACGATTGAAGCAAGAACGCGCAACGGCTGCTGCAATGATGGAGAGAACAGATGACGCATCGCCAGTCATCAATCAGTCTGCGAGTAAGAAACGTGCTTCTGGTGCTGGCAAGAAGCGCGTAGCTATGGACGACGAGGATGACTTTGGTAAGCGTAAAAAGAAGCGTCGACCTGGAGTCTGAGACCAACTCCTTCTCCATGCTGTATAAATAGACAAAATAACGACCTCATGTCTTGCCTACATGATGGTTTGCTGTTCTTCAAGAAAAGCTTGCCAGTTCTCGCGAAGGCCTTCTTGCACGAGATACCCGGCATCACCCAAGACGGCCTGGACACGCGCCCGATCACCCGCTTCACCTGCAGCGATGCCATCTGCTTCCGTCACATTGACATGGCCTTCCCCTTGTAATGCCAAGCAACACCAGCCAATGACAAGCATGCCCGGTGGTCGTTGATCGCCGACTCGTTTAATGGCTTCTTCAATACCAGCCAGCGTACTGAGGACCATGCGTTGGTCTTTACTTGAGCCACGCTCAATCAAGGCAATGGGGAGGTAGGGTGGGTATGCATCGCCTTCTCTTGTTGTTGTAACGTTCTCTGCATCTTGCACAGGGCTGCCCGTCAGGGCTGTCAAGAGCTCGCCAATCCTGGCAACACCCATCAGGACAATAAGTGTGCGTGCTCGTTTATAGCTCGGCATAATGCTTGTCTTGCCAAGCCGTCCAACACCTGTGCATAGGATCAGAGAATCAGAGACACCGCGCTGTGTGACTGAAATGTCAAAAAGGAGTGGTGCTGCGATTGCTGAAGAAATGCCAGGAATGACAATCGCATCGATGCCATGTTTCCGAAAGAAGAGAACTTCTTCACCACCCCGACCATAGATGTATGGATCACCTTGTTTCAAGCGAATCACGGTGCCCGTCTCGTGTTCTTGACAAAATTGTAAAGCGAGTTCTTGTAGTTCCTGTTGTGCGCGTTCTGCATTGCCAGGGAACTTTTTGGCAATGATGAGTTCTGTGCTCGCTGGGACGAGGGCGAGGACAGCACTCGGAACGAGTTTGTCAGCGAGGATGAGGTCTGCCTTTTTAATGGCATTGTGTGCAGCAACTGTCAAGAGACCAGGGTGTCCTGGACCACTACCAATCAAGAGCACGCGTGGTGGTCCGTGCGGTTGAGCTGGACTGGGTGCCGACAAGTTGAGAGCATGCAGCGTCCCTGGCGTTCTCGGCAGCGATGAAAGCTGTGCGTGACTATTCGAGCGCGAAATCATGGGCGTTGGATTCGCTGTAGGCGCTTGTGGCGTACTCGCACCGTCGAAATCAGCAAGAATGCGATCCATGTCTTGCTGGCGTAGTCTACCCAGTGTCTTGATGGGCCAGTACTCTGAAACTTGCGCAACCCACTTCATCCGTCGAATCTTGACCTCTTCTGGAGATTCCTGCTGGAAGTAATGATTGCCAGGTGAAAATTGTTGGACAGGAGAGTTGAGGGGTGCTTCATTGTCTTCCTCCTCTTCAACTGAGAGTTCTGCAATCTTTGTACGGATGGCAGCCACATTGTCGACAGCTTGGCCTATTTCAGTAGGAAGCGCAGAAATGATCTCCCGCTTGATGCGTGTCCCGAGTCTGCATCCTTTACCAAATGTATTGACAGCTACTTGTAGAGCATGTCCCGTATTACCCGTCCGCCAACGATGCGTCGCAGGAAATGAGATGGTATTGAGATCTGTATGATCGACAATATTGAGGTGAATCCGACGACGCTTGCAGTAGTCTGAAATCTCTCTACAAGACTCGCTGGATCTCCGTTGCGGCATGTTGGACAGTGTATCTGTGACGCAAACGACATCAAGCTGGTCGAGCTGTGAAAGAGCAACGACCGCTTCTGTTGTTTCTAGATAGGCAACCTGACCTTGTTCTATCCGATATAGAAGCTCGGGGTCTACAGGCAGCCCTGGGGCATAGGAGACGTAGGTCTTGTAGCTTGCTTCAAGAGCAGAGAAGCAACGTGCAGCTGCGAGCCTGTTGTGGCCAATAACGAGAAAGCAAGCCGTGGCAGCGGGCTTTAGACAGACAAGGAGAGAATCATGGGGTGAGACGGTAGGGAACATGCAGCGATCTTACGGCAGAGTAGCAGATTGGAAGCGAGCTAGGCAAGTTGATTGTGGTGAGTAGTCAGCTGCAGTGTCGAGTTGCCAATTTCGAAGGATTCTTATCTCTCCCATTCGCGCCCCAGGCGGTTTATATAGACGTTTCACGAATTTAAGCGGCAGCACTAGCCGTCGCTCATCGTTAAATGTAATGAACAGTACCCTTGAATCAGTATTGAAGCTCCGTATGATAATCAATCATGTTGGTGACTGCTTTTCCCCAATGAACTGGTGGCCTGCTTCGAAGCGCAAATGATCAGATGGCTTGGCTAAGGATGTCTGCATCTTCCACTACCTATCAATCCCCTGAACAAAAGGGCTGTAGACTATCCGCTCCTCAATGTATGCTTTCAGTACATGCTTTAGCTATACACGGATCGAGTAGTAGTAGTATTCACAACATTATGGATGTTGTCCTGCACGCTGATGCTATTCACCGTGGTGGTGGTCAAATCATTCCTACCTGCAGGCGTGTCGTGTATGCTGCTCCGTTGCTTGTTGAGCCAGCGCTCCAGGAAGGCATCCGGAGCGTAGTGTCCTCTGACCAGCTCTAAGCATGCGTACACCGTCTCAGCGGTCTCAACACCGTAGGCAGATACTGCAAGTTGGGTGATGATACAGTGCCATAGTGTGTGAAGGCTGACCAGAACCGCATCATCGCCGCACGCAGCCAAAAAATCAGCCGTTGTTGATACCGGCAGGAGCACTAACGGAGACGTGCCAGAATTCTTGATGGCATAAATTGCCTGCCTGATGAAGTCATACCAGTTTGACCCATATTTCTTGAGCGGTGACTTGCTGAGCGTGTCAATCGCCAGGCGCAGCGTCGCTTTGTCAGGTTGCACACACCCGAAGTATGACGGATTCCCGGGAATGGGAAGTCCGATGATGGGAACCATAGACCAGATGTGGTCATGAGACTCAGGCTCCACTGGTAGTGGTGGAGCACGAACAACTCGGGACGGAGTCGCGAAAGAGGGAGTCTGTTGCTCCAACAGGTACTGCTGTACAGCAGCTTGCACTGCAGCCTGCATATCAGGCGTCAAACGCTGCATTGGTGCAGCTTGGTCGTTGGCTGGGGTTACCGGCCGATTTTCTGGGGATACCAGTCCGTCTGGGATTACCGGATGGTGAGATGACATGAGAAACAACGCGACTGTAATCTGGTTTTTATCTGAGCGAACGAACAAGCACTGGCGTGAAACACCAAATGAGTTACTAGATAAGAGAGTGCAGATGGCCTGTGATATAGTGTGTCTGCGTCGGCTCATTTCGAGAGGGGTGACGACTCACGCCTTGCTCAACAGTAGGTGGAAGTTCGGATCGCTGTTGTCACTGTACACGATGAATATCAGAATATGCCTATGAATCTATGAGACTATCTATGACTATGACTCTGTGAGACTATGAGTCTACTCTACTGTCTAAATCTATGATGCGCTGCAAAGGACATCGCGACAATGATTGGCTCTTATCTTTACTTTCCTCGCAGATGATTGGCTCTTTAGCACAAACCTCGCTCAAATTAAGCGCTCTCATTGGATCTCTCATGCTCCCGATCATAGGAAGAGTGCCAAATTCTTTGATTTTGGCAAGTCTAATTATTGTCGGCACTTCTCTGAGGCTCCACTGGACCTCCAGGATTTGAACTTTGCCGATATCAAAGGATTGCTCGACCTGGAATCCTTTGAATATCGCAAGTCTCGAATCTGACCCTCAAAGACGCGTCCAACAGAGCACACACAACCCCATCGAGCAGGCCATGGACACGCCCACCACAGCTCCCTCCAGTGTCGATGGCAGGACGAGCAAGGAACGTCGCCAGGACGCACACAGCAACCTCGATGCCGCAAAATCGGCCGACTCTGCAAAGCGCTTTGCCTTTTTGCTTGGGCAAACAGACCTCTTCCGCCATTTTATCGACTTGAAAGGTTCGTTGCTTCTATGCCCATACGCGTACAAACTGACCAGTAGCAAGCGAAGACGCAGAATTTGCGGCAGAAGTAGCAAAAGCAACTGCTTCAAAGACCTCAGCCAAGGGCAAGCCAGCGACAGGTGCAGGTAGGCACCGTAAGTCTGAGAAGGAAGAGGATGCAGAGCTCCTCAATGATAAGGACAGCGATCGTACCATTTTCACTGAATCACCGCCGTATGTACATGGGCTGTTGCGCGATTATCAAGTACAGGGCCTCAACTGGCTTGTATCCTTGTATGAAAACGGCATCAATGGTATCCTTGCAGATGAGATGGGTCTGGGAAAGACTTTGCAGACCATTTCGTTCCTTGGCTACCTGCGCTACTTTAGAAGCACGCCAGGGCCTCATCTTGTGCTTGTGCCAAAAAGTACCATGCACAATTGGTCGCAAGAGTTTAAGAGATGGATCCCAGAGATTAATGTGCTGCTGCTGCAGGGAGAAAAGCAGGAGAGGCAAGAGCTCATCAAGAATGAATTGATCGATGGAGACTGGGATGTTTGCGTGACTTCTTACGAAATGGTCATTCGAGAGAAAGCCGTCCTTCGCAAGTTCGCCTGGGAGTACATCGTGATCGACGAGGCGCACCGGATCAAGAATGAAGAGTCACTCCTCTCCCAAGTCATTCGCATGTTTAATTCACGCAACCGATTGTTGATTACAGGTACACCTCTGCAAAATAACATGCACGAGCTCTGGGCACTCCTGAACTTTTTACTTCCCGACGTGTTTAGCTCATCAGAGGCGTTTGACAACTGGTTCTCACAGCAGTCGGCAGATCAAGATTCTGTCGTCCAGCAGCTACACAAGGTGCTACGTCCATTTTTACTTCGTCGCGTCAAGGCTGACGTGGAAAAGTCACTCTTGCCCAAGAAGGAGGTCAACTTGTATGTCGGCATGAGCGAGATGCAGCATACTTGGTATAAGCGACTCTTGGAGAAAGACATTGATGCCGTCAATGGCGCTGGCGGCAAAAAGGAAGGCAAAACACGACTGCTCAATATTTGCATGCAGCTACGCAAGTGCTGCAACCATCCTTACCTATTTGATGGCGCTGAACCCGGGCCACCTTTTGTTACGGACGAGAAACTCATCAATGACTCTGGAAAGATGGTGCTTCTTGACAGACTTTTGCAACGCATGAAGGCTCAAGGCTCTCGCGTCCTCATCTTTTCACAAATGTCGAGGTTACTCGATATCATGGAAGACTACTGTTTCCTTCGTCAGTACGAGTATTGTCGCATTGACGGACAGACCTCGCACGAGGACCGAATTTCTGCCATTGACGAGTACAACAAGCCGGACTCGAGCAAGTTTTTGTTTTTGCTTACAACGCGCGCTGGAGGGCTCGGCATCAACTTGACTACAGCCGATGTTGTGGTTCTCTTTGACTCTGATTGGAACCCTCAAGCCGATTTACAAGCAATGGATCGTGCTCATCGAATTGGCCAGACTAAGCAAGTATACGTCTACCGCTTCGTCACGGAAGGTGCAATTGAAGAAAAGATTCTTGAGCGTGCCGCTCAAAAGCTACGACTTGATCAACTCGTCATTCAGCAAGGCCGCGCAAAAGTTGACAAGAAGGAGTCGAAGGATGATTTGCTCTCCATGGTGCAACACGGTGCTGAGCAAATCTTCCAACGCAAGGGCGATTCCATTGGTGCTGCGGATGACAACTTTTTCGATGAGATCCTCAAGAAGGGTGAGGAGCGCACTGCTGAGCTCAACAAGAAGTTTGAAGGTGTCAATGTCGAGGACTTACAAAAGTTCACCAGCGACAACACCTACGAATGGAATGGCGAAGACTTCACCAAGCGCAAGCAAATGACGGGACAACTCTGGATTCATCCTTCAAAGCGTGAACGAAAGCAAGAAGGCTATTCGATTGATGCGTACTACTCAAAGGCCCTCAAGACGGGCTCACACCAACAAAAAGCACCACCCAAGGAGCGTGCACCTCGTCCACCTCGGCAAATTCACATTCAAGACCATCAATTTTACCCGGCGCGCTTGGCAGAGTTGCAAGAGCAAGAAACTGCATTCTTTCAAAAGGAGCAAGGGTACAAGGTCCCTGGTATTGAAGAGGACGCGCAGCTTGGCGAAGAGGAACGAGCTGAAGAGCAAGCACGCATTGAAGCCGAGCAAGCTCGAATTGACAATGCTGTTGCCTTGACAGAAGAAGAACAGCAGGAAAAAGAGGAACTGGCACAAGAAGGCTTTGGCGATTGGCAACGTCGTGATTTCCACACATTTATACGCGCTTGTGAGCGTCATGGTCGAAACGCCTATCAAGCCATTGCACAAGAAATGGAAACGAAGACTGAAGAGGAGGTCAAGACGTACGCTGAGGTCTTCTTCGCTCGCTATGATGAGGTGGATGGACATGAGCGGTACTTGCAGCAGATTGAAGCCGGTGAGCATCGTATTGCGCAGTCCGAACGACAAGCTACATTGCTGAAAAAGAAGATGGCACTGTATAAGAACCCCATGATGCAAATGCGTCTTGTTTATGCACAAAACAAGGGCAAAGTGTACACGGAAGAGGAAGATCGTTATTTGATGGTTCGACTGCATCATCATGGTCTTGCACGCGAAGATGTGTATGACTTGTTGAGGCAAGATATTCGCGAGTCGCCACTCTTCAGATTTGATTGGTTCATCAAGTCGCGCACGCCAGCAGAGTTGCAGCGACGATGCCAGTCATTGCTCAATATGATTGTCAAGGAGATGGGCGATGACAGGAAGCGTGCAAAGGATGAGGAGGAGAGCGAGAGTGAAACGAGTGAGGTGCTGCCGAAATCAAAGAAGCGCAAGGGTCTCAATGGACAAGCAAGCGGGACGAGTACACCCATCACGAAGGGTAAGAAGAAGGGTGCCGCTGCCTTGAGTGCTGCAGGAACGAGGGAGAGCACGCCGAAGCAGCAAAACAAGTCAAAGGCGAGCAGTGCAGCCAAGCAACAGGCCGCTGAACCTGAACCTGTGGTCGAGCTGCCTCCAACCCTCTCTGGACGTGTCAGGAAGCAAGCCCGTCGCTGAGACATTGATGCTCATCCTGTATAGCTGGCGCCGGTGCCTTAGAGATGCATGTAGAAATTGTGACTGTTGAATCTCTGCTACGCGTCACTTTTGGGCACTCAACTCAGAGCAGCAGCATCCCATTGTCCAGCAGCCATGGCGAGTGCTCTGCTGCAAGCATATGAAGAGGGCGATACAGCTACATTGATTTCATTGCTCGAGCAAGAAGCACTTTCTGCCTCTCAACAGGCCGACGCTGACGCCTATTCGAAAGCCTATGCGCAGCTCGCGCCTCTGTACGCAGCGACGCCCTACACGGCCTCAACCACAGCTGCAACGACGGCACCAGCAACAAAAGGACGGAAGCGTACGACACGCGCGGCAGCTGCTGCGTCGATCCCTGCACAAAGTGGTTCGCAACGCCCACTCATCACAGCGCTGCATTTACTGCTCTTGTTGACGCGTCAAGATATCGCTGCCTTTCATGCGGCTTTGGAGTCACTACCACAGATATTGCTCAGTACGCCTGAAGTTGCTTGGGCTGCTCAATTAGAGCAAAACATCACAGAGGGCTCGTACCAAGAAGTACAAACATTGTTGTCGTCACCACCTCAGACTGCATCGCCTGATGCCTTTCGTGCATTGGCTGAGCAAGTCTCTGGATCTATTCGGCGGGAGATTGCAGATTGTGTCGGGAGTGCGTATGAGTCGTTGCCCATTGTCAATTTGGCGGCTTTGCTGATGATGCCGGATGGGAGTAAGCAGGCCATCACGGCCTTGTGTGAGGAACGCGGATGGCAGTTGGATACAGGGAATGGCAAAGTACATTTCAAGCAAGGCGGCAATGTAGGTACGGCTACATCGACGACACGATTGGCAGGGACAAACAATGTTGATGCAATGGCGGTGGATCATGAGGATGAAGCAGGAGTTTCCTCTGCAGAGATGGAAGCATATGGTGGAGATGCGCGGCGTGCGATGCTCTCGCAGACCTTGGGTTATGCGCGTGAGCTCGAGAGCATTGTGTAGTTTCCACAGACATCAAAGCATTCACAGAAGTTGAGAAGGGATGTTTATGCATATGCTAGAAACGAGGCTTACTCGTTGATGACGGCGAGAATCTCAGACTCTTTGAAGAGGGTGAACTCTTCTTCTCCGACATTGATGGGTGTTCCACCGAAAGCAGGGAGCAAGACACGCTGGCCGACAGTCAATCCAATCTTGTGTACTTTGCCACTGTCGTCGAGACCGCCAGGGCCAACAGCAAGAACGGTTCCTTCGTTGAGTTTCTTTTCTGCTTGTGATGAAGGCAGGAAGAGACCTGATGCTGTTTTCTGGAGGGTGTTAGCTTACGACGTGAATGTAGCTGGTTGCATACTGTTTCGGCCTTGGAACGCTGAATCAGGATGCGATTAAGGAGCGGCTGAATCGCCTTGGCAGATTTGATGGCGGTTGACTAGAATCAGCTTCTGTAGGTGATGAGCTCAAGCAAGGCCTTACCATGATATCGATGTTCTTTTAGGTCAGCTCGATGTCGTCGTCGCAAGTTTCAGACTACAAAAGACGACGAGGAAATTTCGAGAATCAGCCGCGACACACAACCATTTTGTCGCATTCTGGGCCTAGTGTACAAGATGGTCATTGCCGTCAATGTTTGGTAGACTCATGACTGTTTCTTCAGGTGAGATCCTAGACCGTGATTTGCTGCTTGATTTGAGGGTCTATGATTGCGAGACTTCAGGGTGCCTCTCGCCATAGAACATGCATGCATATGAATAATGCGATTCGATATTGTGCAAGATCCTCAGCTAGCAACATGGAGCTGTTCTTCGCCGTCACAATGTGTATAAAGAAAGAAACTAGAGGGCTTCTGACTGCTTGAAGTCTCGCGTGCATGCTTGTGACAGCTGAGAAGACTATAGCTACTGACGATTGTGCTAAATCTCCGAAGGCGCGTGTAGGCCTCCAACAGAAGCAGACAGGTCTTGTTGTATTTCCATAGTATTTCAATTACTTCAGCTCCGCTGCATCAGTATCAGGTTGAGTCGCGACTTTTGACTTTTGACTTTTTTGATAGCGACGACCAAGTACTTCATAGCGACATCATCATGTTCAGCACGCGTCAGACCCGGCCGCTTCTTCCGCATGCTCGCACTCTCTTTACGCGTCGAAAGCCAGCTGGCCCCATTCGCTCAACCATCACAACAACCCTCACAATAACAGGTCTTGTGCTTGGCGGATACTACCTCAGCGATTCACGCGCTGGCTTCTACACGCATATCGCTATGCCTGTGCTTCGTGCAACAACAGATGCCGAGACGAGTCATTCACTTGCTATTCGTGCACTGTCTATGGGTCTCACTGCCCGTGACACGGCGACTCTCTCCCAAGAAGAAGCAGAACGGCTAGGATTCTCTCTCTGGGGCAGGGACTTTGAATCTCCTATCGGCTTGGCTGCTGGGCTTGATAAGCAAGCTGAGGGAATTGATGGTCTGTTCAACTTGGGCTTCAGCTATGTCGAAGTAGGATCCGTCACACCACAGCCGCAGCCAGGAAACCCCAAGCCACGATATTTCAGGCTTCCCAAGGACAATGCAGTCATCAATCGCTATGGTTTCAATTCAGAAGGTCATGCCAACGTTGCTGCACGCCTTGCAGCACGTGGTGATCGGAAAACCCCCGGAAAAGTACTGGCCTTGAATTTGGGCAAAAATAAGAATGGCGATGAGGTGAGTGATTATGTTCGTGGTGTTGAGAAGCTTGGGCCGTATGCAGATGTGCTTGTCATCAATGTCTCTTCGCCCAATACACCTGGCTTGCGAACGTTACAGCACGGAGATGCGTTGTCTTCGCTCTTGGGTGCAGTCAGAAAGGCACGAGATACACATCCCAACAAGCATGTTCAGGGTGTACCGCTGCTAGTCAAGATTGCACCAGACTTGTCGACCGAAGAACTCGCTGGTATTGCGCAAATTTTGGTCAAGCAGGAGATTGATGGATGTATCGTCAGTAATACAACCCTGGCGCGACCTTCTAGCTTGCAGCATCAAGATGTTGCACAAGAAGCCGGTGGATTGAGTGGAGCACCACTCAAGCCAATGACGATGCAAGCACTCAAAACGCTCAAGTCACACTTGAGGCAACAACAAGCGGGCGACAAGGTTCGTTTGATTGCATGTGGCGGCATTTCGTCTGGTCAGGACGTCTTGGACTATTTCGATGCGGGGGCTTCCTTCGTTCAAGCTTACACGGCATTTGGATATGAAGGACCCCGCTTTCCTCGTCGGATCCGTGAAGAGTTGTTTAGTCTACTCAAAGCACGCAACACAACAGTGAGCGAGCTCATTGCACGATAAACCAATTCGGACTACAAAGATGAAATCACTTTACAAATAAATGGAGATTCATGTCATCAGAGACTCGCTTGAAAGATCTTGCCAACTTTGTTGAGTTGGGCGCTGCAGAATGCTTCATTGATACGTGAGAGCTCGCAAATCCTTGTCGAGGAAGTCAAGCATGCCCTTGTCGTCTGATGTGTATACTTCGTCAGCCGGTGCTCGTCCGGGAGGGGGTCGTGGCCAGGCGAACGACTCGTCGAGTTGCGTCTTGTCTGCAAGTGGTTCTTGTTGCTCGAGGTTGTACCTTGTGACAGGTACATTATACTCCCTCATTGCGGAACCGCGAATATCCCTTTCGCTGCTGGCGTATGCATGCGAGTGACCCGTATCAGACATGAAAGGCTTACTATTGAAGCTCCTGTCATCAGTATGTGTTGCCCAGGGACTAGGCGCTGAAACTGGTCTGATGTGTTGCCACGGTGGCGACTGTATCTGCTCGCTGACTGTGTACGCTGCCTCGTCCACGGGATACGGCGGCCTTTTCCAAGGATGTGCATGCTGAACCTGCCGTTGTTGCAGCTGCACATGCTGGTGCTGCTGCTGCGGATGTTCATGCTGGTGCTGCAATATGGATTGACCTTGCTGCATTGGCCCTCGATGATGTTCCTGCATCCCTCCTATTGGACTTGCCAATGGCTGCTGTTGCGGCAAGCTATGCGCATGCACGCAGCTGTTGCCAAACTTACAACGATCATACATCCAGTACCAACACGTAATCTTCTTCTTATCCACACGCCTCTGTTGCTGTTGCGCTAGATTAATGGATGCTTGTGTCGGAAGACTGCTGGCCGCCATGCCTCCAGCATAGGCAGGTTGATTTTGAGTGGGTATTGGATGTGCTCGTGTTGCTGTTGGCGATGGGATGTGCTTGCTTGTGTTGCGGTCGCGACGGTCGCCTCTCGAATTCGCATGTTCGCCTGTCTTGTAGGATTCGTGGATCCAATTACTTGAAGATCGATCCATGGTTCTCTTATCCTGTGATGTCGCTTTGTGTCCCTTTCAAACCTCTCTGTCCGCAATCTGGGGCCCGGATGTCACCAAATGTATTGTGTGACCAGGCGGTGGTGTTGTGGCGGGGCACCCTTGTGTCTGCGTCGAGCCGTACCTATATAGGATCTCTGTAGGGTGATTAGATGGATGACATGGTGCTCGGTTCGTCTCTCGTCTGTTCATCTGTTCAATCTCGACCTCCCATCTGTAGCCGTGTGTCGTACCTCGCCTAGTCAGTCGGAGCCCGATTTTTGAGCCCGTGCGGCTATCTCGGAGGTAAAGATTGCTTTTCCAGAAATACTCCCGGGCCTTGCCCGCAAGCGGCATACGTGGTCTACGTACATATCATACATAGTACAAGGCCTGGTCACTAAGCAAACTATCCCCTTTCTTCTGCTCTCCTATCTCGGTCTGCGACCCAAATTGCAATGGATGGGAGGCGATCGATCGAAAAAATGCAAAAGGAGCGAGCGGGTTTGATTAGGCGTCAGAAGTTCCAGTCCCAAGGTACCGGCCACGCTTGCAAGCTGCCACACGTGACACGGCCTACAACTTCAGGTTAACTAGGTCTGAATCTCTGCTACTAAGTCTCATATCAAACTGCCTTGCCTGCGCAAGTGAATGTCTGTATATGGATCTCAATCTTGATCGCATAGTCAGCAATCGTCATATCAACCGGGTAGGTGGCAAAATGCCACTGGCAATAGACCCCACGCGTGTGCGGCAGATCGGCAGTCGTGGCTTGTGAAGTTGTGTGTGTGAAACCACAGAATAGACTCAAGCACTGGGATTACAATGCCCTGACTCATCTACTGGCTTTTGATTCGTACCATCTTTTGACGCTGCCCGTGAACAATCTCATCCAATAGGGCATGAATCAAAGGTAGCACAAGATTCAGGCCTACAAGGATCGCCAGTGCCAGCCAGCCAAGCACGGGTAGCAGTGACTTGGGCAAGACTCCAAATGCCAAGGGATCAAGAATCAGCTCAAACGTTACAGCTGGCGCAGATGACAGTTTTTGTGGTGTCACAAAATCTGGTCTAGCCTTGATGAGCAAGTAGCGATGTGTCGTTGCTTTGGTCATGTTGGCATGGAGCAGTGTTGGCTTGGTGTTCAAATGATGATGAACGCCAAGGTCATCAAGGACGCGTAGGTCAAATGCTGTAGGCATCTACTGTTAGCCGTTGTTGGTAGTTTGCATACATATACCGTTGCCGGCCAGCATAGACGAATCTCATAGTGCCAATTGGGTCGAAGTCCCTCCAGCACGACAAGCTGCTCAGTCCATGGAACGCTTTCTTCGCCGTCTGACCGATCAGGCGTTGTCAATGTCATTACAAGCCTGCCAATCTCTGAAATGTCAGGCGACATGCGCGCTGATACGAGCGGCGATTGGACATAACTGACAGACGCGGGTCCTTGAAAGACGGCCTTTTCAGTGTTGGCGGCAATCAGCGACAGAAGGGATAAGAGCAGTAGACGCATCAGAACGAAATGTGACTGCGCTGAGGTGGCTCGCGGAACGGAGTCGGGTCAAACAGGAAGACGCTCGTCTTTACGCGAGGAAGTGGGCGAGTCCTTCCGATAGCGAGTAGAAGACCCCTAGTAGGATGCTGGGGTTCTGGAGCCTGTAGTAGGAGAAGAAGATTGCAGAAGAGTGCTTGACACCTGTGTTTGACAAATAAAGGGCTGCTTCAGTTCCGAGCGTTGTCCAGTGGCAGCAGCAGCAGCAGCAGCAGAGGAAGAGGAAGCGTGGGATTCCGTTGCAATCAGCAGCAATTCCCAACGACACCGCACCTCAACACCAAGACCACACTCTAGATACTCAATAAAATGGCAGTCAAAGTGTCAGATTGCCCCTTATAGACTAGCAGGATGCTAACAACAGAGGAATTAACGGTTTCGGACGTATTGGACGCATGTAAGACCATCCCTCATTGTCAAATACGAGATGCTAACGTCAGTGTCCTGCGTAACGCTCTCCTCGCTGACGATGTCGAGGTTGTTGCCGTCAACGACCCCTTCATTGATCTCGACTACATGGTCTACATGCTCAAGTACGACTCGACCCACGGCCGATTCCAAGGCGAGGTCAAGGCCTCTAACGGCAAGCTTGTCGTGAACGGCAAGGAAATCACTTGCTACGCCGAGCGTGACCCTGCCTCCATTCCATGGGGCAAGCACGACGTCTTTGCCGTTGTCGAGTCCACCGGTGTCTTTACGACCCAGGAAAAGGCAGCTGCTCACTTGAAGGGTGGCGCAAAGAAGGTTGTCATCTCGGCTCCTTCTGCCGATGCACCCATGTTTGTGTGTGGTGTCAACCTCGAGGCTTACTCGAACGACATGACTGTTGTGTCCAATGCTTCTTGCACCACCAACTGTCTTGCTCCCCTCGCCAAGATCATCCACGACAAGTTTGGCATTGAGGAAGGTCTCATGACAACTGTGCACGCCACCACGGCCACACAAAAGACAGTCGATGGTCCCTCCGGCAAGGACTGGCGCGGTGGTCGTACCGCTGCAGACAACATCATTCCATCGTCCACCGGAGCTGCCAAGGCCGTCGGCAAGGTCATTCCTTCCCTCAACGGCAAGTTGACTGGTATGGCTTTCCGTGTTCCTACCACCGACGTTTCGGTTGTTGACTTGACCGTCAAGCTCGTCAAGGAGGCATCGTACGATGAAATCAAGCAGACCATCAAGGAGGCTTCCGAGGGTGCCTACAAGGGTATCATGGGCTACACCGACGATGAGGTCGTGTCGCAGGACTTTATCGGCGAGACATGCTCGTCTGTCTTTGATGCCAAGGCCGGGATCCAGCTCTCCCCCAAGTTTGTCAAGCTCGTTTCTTGGTACGACAACGAGTACGGCTACTCTCGTCGTGTTGTTGACCTCGTCCGTTACATGGCTTCAAAGCAGGTAAGTGCTCTCTAATGTTTGATGTGAATATGTTGCTGACCGCGTAGTAGGAGTCGTCGTCATCTAAGCTTTAAGCCTTTGGATCGTGTGCTTCGTAGTGAATCTTAAAAATTTTACATTCTCGCCGCATGAACGTCTATCTACCGTATTTGTTGCCTTAATGGCTGAAGGGTAGAAGTCTAAGGGAAGGGAGAAGTAGTATCTGCTCGATCACTGTCTGCCAGGCCGATTTGAGGGGAGTAGAAAAAAAGCGTCACCTGCAGGATTCGAACCTGCGAGCGCAGAGCGCACGACCTTAGCAAGGTCGCGGAGTAACCACTGTCCCAAGGAGACAAGTTGCACAATTCAAAGGAATGGTAAAATATGGACTTTTACAATATCTTCAAAAGAAGCAGTCACATATTCTTCCTATTCATCAATGAATGTTCTCAAACAAGGCGAAGCACATTCTGTTGATGGTCTAGCTTGTAGGCCCTGCTCCAGGAGAATCTCGCGGAAGGCGTCAAATGATTTCGCCAAAGCTGTCTATTCGATGAATTCGATCTCGGGGCTCCGCAGTCTCCGAGCTGGACCCCACTTCAACTGACCAAGTATCTCTACTACTACTTCTACTAACACTTCTATCAAGACTGCTCAAGATGAAGGCAGAATACACCCAGCCAAACTTCAAAGTCTCCTTCCCAAGCGAATATGTCCTGCACGTCCAAATCGACCGTCCAAAGAAACTCAACGCCTTCAACGACGCACTCTGGTACTCCCTCCGCGCCATCTTTGACGCAGCAGCCTATGACGAAGATGTCCGCTGCATTGTCCTCAGTGGGAATGGCAGAGCATTCACAGCTGGCCTCGATATCGAGCAAGCGAGCATTGTTCAAAAAGAAGACTTGCCAGACGCTGCACGCCAAGCATTCAAGATGCGTCCACACATTCTCGATTTCCAAGATGCCATTACGAGTATTCAACGTTGTTTGAAACCTGTGATTGCTGCTGCACATGGCATCTGTTATGGTCTTGCTATTGACATCTTGTCTGCGTGTGATATCCGGTATGCGAGCAATTGTGCACGTTTATCCATTCGTGAAGTCTCCATCGGTCTTGCTGCGGATATTGGCTCGTTGCAGCGATTGCCGTATGTCGTTGGTAATAGCTCTTGGTTGCGCGATATGGCCTTGTCGGCGGATGAATTTTCAGCGGATGAAGCACTCAAGCAAGGCTTGCTCTCGCGTGTGTTTCAGGGTCAACAAGCAACCATTGATGGTGCGCTGCAACGGGCTATGCTGATTGCTGAAAAGTCGCCTGTTGCTGTGCAAGGCACCAAGTACCTGCTTGACTACTCGCGCGAGCATACTGTTGCAGAAGGTCTCGAGATGTCTGCTGTCTGGAATGCCAACATGCTACAGACCAAAGACATGAAGGACGCCATCACGGCCGTCTTGCAAAAGAAGAAGCCAAAGTTTCACAAGTTGTAGAGTCAATTAGCTGCCTATAAGCGCTTTCAAATGAGCTTCTTGCGCTGGAAGAAGGAACGCAGATACCAAACTTGCCAGACACCACTCGCCAGCAGAGTCACCATACCAAGCACAGCGAATCCCTTGACGCGCTCATTTGTTGATTCATTCGTGTCCCGCAACTTTGCCTCTCGTTGCTTCAAGTACTCCATCTCACCCACGATATGCGAGAGTGTCTCCTCTGCCCTTCGCAAATCTCCCTCCAAGGGCTGTAGCTTTTCTGCTTTTTGAATGGCAGCCCAGTCCATGGCATCAGCACCAATATCCACATCCAACTCCACATGCCTCACTGCACCCTGTTGACCATTCGACTGCAATTCGTTGTAAAAGCAAACAAGGATATGTGTATCCTGATGCACAGTGAATGCTGAACGACTCTCACCAGCGACGTTACGGGGTTTGTTGTATTGATTGCCATGCAAGTCAGTGATGGTGATGTCCACTTTTTGACCATCTCCTTGTGTGCCTGAGAGATGAGCCGTCACCACAACCATGGTATCTGCACCGACATAGTCTTTGATGCAGCGCGGACGGTTGTAGCCTGCTGGCTGTGCTTCAAGGTCAAACTTGACTGAGCGTGTTAGGCAATGAATGGGAAGAAGGAAGCGTACGTGCTGTGCTGAGTGAGACCAGCGACAAGAGGGAGAGGAGGAGGGAGCGCATGGCTTGTGTCTTGTAGGAAGGGTGACCACGTCGTCTTTGTGTCTCTTTCGCGTCTGTGCAGTTTAGCCGAATTCTGTTCACCAACTCAGTACCAAGTCACCACTCTCCCAATACTTGTGTGTTTGTTATTGGTCTAGCTGCTCAATGAGCTTTCGTATGCTGCTAAGCTCTCATATTCTGCTTCATTTGGTCTCTATGCTCGAGCAGACTGATGCAGGTGTGCTACGTGATAGCATCTGACCGACCTCTCTCCTCAAGCTAGAAGCGTCCTGGCCTGCCAAATGCCTCTAAAATGCCTCTCTACACAAGTTCCCAGCAAAAGGCTGTAGAAACAAGTATAGCTCAGTATCTCGAGCGATGTCTCTCTTTTCTCTCAGTTGATGCTCCGATTGAAGCACAGTCAACAAGGACAGCTTGCTATGGATCTACGCGGTTGGGTCGGCCTCGAATCTCAATGAGCAAAAGAGCTGGACTGACGCGAGTACCATGAGTGAAGCAAGCAACAGCGATGGCATCTAAGATCGATCGATCGGGCAACGCAGTGACAAAAGCATAGGGGAAGCAAGGCTGCCTTCTCCCTTTCTTGCACAAAAACCACGAATCATGTCTACCTCTTTGTCTTCAGCTGCCAAGTCAGTCTTGCCGGAGGCCGTCCAGCACTCAGTGAGCCTCTCAGACTCCAACAAGCCACAGCAGAATAACGAAGATGCCAAGTCCTCGTCTGATGTGCAAGACAAATCGAGAAGTACTGCCTTCGATAAGGGACAGCACGATACTTTTAACAATTCTACAACTTTTGATCTCACTTCTGGCTCTGATGTGTTTCTCGACTTGGAGAACTCTGGCAACAATACGTCGTCGCTTCCAGCCAAGGACACAAACACGCAAGGTCCGTTGCATCTCCGTGATTCTCTTCTAACGACTAGTCAAGACATCCACATCAAGCGCACAAACGTACTTGCCCAAATTTGGTCGAGAATTCGATCCAGCGTTGTTGCAGAGTGAGGTCACCGAGTATGCCAGTGCAGGTGGTCGTGGTGCCGACTATACTGTCGAGTGACAGCGGCACTAGCCTAGTAATGCTCGTGTGTGTCTTCATCATAGCAGATATCGATTCTCTAGCTCAGCATCATAACTCATACTGACAAATTACCCCTGAATTTTGAAGTTCACAGACTGAGTGATGAGAGCTTTCGGCAGCGGTTACGGGACACTGTTGAAACAATAAACTATATACAGTAGACTACAGACTCCAAATCTCACTCGATACAAGCAAGCAAGATGCGTTCAAAGTCGCCACTCGTCTCGCCCTTGATACGCTTGGCAAGATCCTGCCTGTACAGCTGTGCATACACCTGCTTGACACGCTGCGTGTGCTGCCTATCCCAGTGCATTCGCACAATCCTGTACGCGAGTCGTTCATCCTTCGTACCCATCCCAGCCATACTTTCTTCAAGCAACTTGGCATCTCGATGAGCACGATCCACGGCACCCTCGACGGCATGCAAAAGACCTTCCTTCATATGACCAGAAAACTCAGATTTGATCATATCCGGCACAGTCGAGCGGTAGGCATGCTTGTACGCCTCATTCAACGCACGGAGATAGTTGTCTGAGCGAGAGAGTAAGATGCCACACACTGCAATCTCATCTGTTCCCATGCGACCAGCCGACGCTTCATAGAGTTGACGCACGTCTGCGCCAATACGGCCTTGATCGATCATCATGTTTTCTTCATCACGTCGACCAGTCAATGCCATATTGAACATACGTTCTGTCTTCATTGACAAATCGCCTTGAACGGTAGCCAACAAGTCTTTGTTGTATTTCTGCTTGTAAGCGTACTTGAGGGCATCCATCTCTGCATTGGATCGACCGATGAGAATCTCAGTGAGCAAATCTTCATGCGTACCAAGACCATCCATAGCACGATGCAAGAGATGCACATCAAATTGTAATGGACCAAGGGCACAACCCAGCAGTGCAAATCCAAACCACCTGCCCGTTTCAGACTCAATCACCGACGCGAGTGATTTCCCAACAGTCTGTTCGAAACGCTGTTGCAATTGTTGCGTATGCACAGGTGATTTTTGGGAAAGAATACGAATGAGTTGCTTTTCATCCGTTCCGAAACCTTTTGTGGCTTTGCGAATGGCAGCAACATCGGCATCGGCATTATAGCTTGGGTCAAATGCTGGTTGTGGTGGGACGTAGCCGGCTTGTGGTGCACCGTAGGTTTGTTGAGCGGGCGCACCGTAGTGTTGGGTTGGCGCTGCACCGTAATTCTGCGATGCTGGTGCCCCATAGTTTTGCGTCGCTGGCGCACCATAAGCTTGCTGAGGTGGAGCACCGTAGTTTTGCTGAGGCGGCGCCCCATAGGCCTGCTGTGGTGCGCCATAGGCTTGTTGAGGAGGTGCGCCATAGGCCTGTTGCGGGGGTGCGCCATAGTTTTGCTGAGGAGGAGCGCCGTATTGCTGCTGAGGAATTGCGCCGTAGTTTTGCTGGGCAGGCGCACCATACTGCTGCTGCTGAGGAGGAGCGCCGCCATAGCCTGGCTGGGTATTGTATGGCTGCGACGAGTAGGACTGCCCAGCTGGTACGCCGCCGTACGGTTGCTGTTGCTGCTGGCCCTGTGCGCCGCCGTAGTTTTGCTGGGGATAGCTGTTGTAGTTCTGCTGCTGGTTGTAGTTATTGTAGCTCATGCTTGAAGGTAAACTGTACAGTACAAGGGAGGCGGCCTCGGCGCGCCTTAAGTAGGCTCGGTTCGATGATGGTGGATGAGTCGATGCTGCAGCCGTTGCGCAGAGAAAGTGGCTGGGGAAGGCTCAGCCGCAGTCAGATTTGCCAAGATTAGAGTTGACCCAGATTTAGCTACGTACTATACATCGCAGTATACTCTGGAACTCGGGCCTGAAGCACTACCGCTATGTAAGCCCGTTCTAGGTGCTTGGCTCCAAAAGAGCTGCGACATTGAGTAGCCAGCCGAGCGTTGACAGGACCAAGATCTCTGTTCCGACAGCAGTCTGCTCAGTACCTGTCCCCTGATAGTAGACCGCCTCCTCCGCCGACGATTCGAAAGCACAAGTCGATGAAACAGAGTACAAGCCCAGTCAATCTCCAGCCAGAACAGGAATGGGCTGGGCAAGGACAAAAGAACGCACCTGCCCTGACCCATTAGAATCGAGAGTCTCGCTGACACCGATGAGGGTGTATCTGTACAGGTTTGTCTGTCGCCACACCTGGAACGCCTGTTTGCCTCCCGAGTATCCATCGAAGAATGTTGCAGAGACGATGTTGCCAGCTTGAGGGACGGTATACGATGTGCCGATCGTGACGCGGTCGGGCTGAATGAAATCGAAGCCTGCATCGGCGTTGTAGGCGTAGGCGAAGCTGTCGCTGGGAATGCACAAAACAGCATTTTGTCCTGTTGCAACTTGGCCGAGTGCAATTGGAACTGAACCTGCAGCGGCACTGGTCGATGAAACTGCAGCGACACTAGTCGTAGTCGTGACTGGAGCAATGCCAACACAGCTGCAGGCACTTGAAAAGCGTCGCGCACGCTTCTCAACACCCTGACCATCACAGACAGATGCTGCAGCAGGTGGGGCTACCGTCGCAGTCATGGTGGCTGTCACAGTGCCAGAGATAGAGATTGTCACTGTAGACAGCCCAGTTTAGAACGCAGCCATGTTGGCCGCGGATGCTTTGGCATTGACGCCAAAGAGACCTCGGAGACAATTGTCTGCATTGCACTTGGGAGATGGAGGCTGCGTGACGACGACAGCTGAAGCAATGCAACAAGGTTGAAGAAGTTGCCAAAGTGCATGATGAAGAAGAGATTGATGCTGCACACGGAGTACCTGCATGCTCATCTTATACTCCAAGTGTCTGCCAACGCAACGATATGGTGAACGGATCGAGCCACCAAATCTAATTGCCATGCAATTCAACGTAGTAGCCATGCAAAGTCCGATACGACGCCCTGTGCCATCCGACTCAATAATGTTCCGCTTTGGCCTGTTTGATTCGTGCGGCAGCTATGCGTCCTCAGCCAGTTTATCTATCACCACTGCAGGCTGCAGCTGACCGGTAAGGCTTGCCTGTTTAGCACTTGATCCTTGACAAGCGTAAGCGAGGCTCTCTTGGGTGGTCCGAGGGTCTGAGATTCATTCACTGAACCTCCTCTGGATGCTTGAAGATAATAGCATGAATATTCAAGATCCGTGTTCCTTTTCATGGAGTCAGCTGCCATAGCTTGGTCTCTGTACTAGTCATGCCTCTACTAGAGACGTACACCGTCAACAGTATAGGTAGGCAGCGAGTGTCAGCTGGTTGTCCACCCGGTCAAGTTATGATACAACGGCACAGCAACAGCTTATCGTGTTGACGTCGAAGCGAGCGCGCTAGCTCTAGTTTGAACTTTGAAGTCGTAGCGTCGAGGCTGCGTCTCACTGGCCAGTACTTGACAGCTTGATTTGAATGCAGCGGGGACTCCGCCTGAATTGTATGCCTAGTGGGCTGAGTAGTAGCCTACTTCATTGAAAGCTACGCGCCTGTGGTTACAACCAGAAGCCCGCAACCATAAATTTAAGGCTGGTCCACTTCATCACCTTTTCCTAGCCTCTGGTGCCGCAGTGGTGCGTGGTGATTAGTGATTAGTGATGAGTGACTATGACAGTACCATGGCACTGGTGGCAGACAAGCTAGTGCCCATTTTGAACTACCTAGGCAATGCTGCAATGCTGCAATGCTGCAACTCCAAGCTTGAGTTTGGCAGTGAGATGGAACAGCTGCATACTTGTCCCGATCCCAGCTACACAGCTGCCAGCGTCTACTGCTGAATAGGTGCAGAGCCTATATACTTTCTTGGTCACATGCGGCAACTCAGACTGGCTAGTATTGCTGCCGCTTACCTGGCTATCTTGCAACCAGCACGCCTTGAACACATGTCGTACGCTGATTCTATCATCGCGGACTACAATGGTATGGCCTGAGCATGAGTATTTCAGGGCAACTACACTTTGTGACCATCCTTTACTGGGCTGTCCATCTCGAGATCTGCCCCCACATGCGAAGCGACCAAAGACTCGACAAAGAGCACAGACAAGAGACGGGGACACCTGTGCGCCCTTGCTCACTGGCACTTTCAGCAGCTATGGGATTCCTTGTTAGCTTCAAAGACCGCGTTCTGACTATCGAAGAAGGTGCGCCGCTCCATATTGCTTCTCACAAGACTAATCCTGCCAAGGAGAGACAGTCTTGATTGGTCGCCAGGATTCCAGAGACGGCGCAAAGACTGCAGCTCGAGACAACATGCTCTTCAAGTCTTCTGTTGTGTCGCGCAATCATGCGCAGCTCCATGTGATCAATAATCTTCTCATCCTGCAGGATCTTGGATCGACCCATGGAACCTATGTGAATTCCGAGCAACTCACAGACAAGTATCTCGTTACCACCATTACAAGTGTCACAGGACTCTCAAAGACGACGCGAAAAGCTGTAGAACTATCTTCAGGTGATACTCTCCAGTTTGGCACAAACGTGGTCAAGGGTGATGGTAAGTCTCTCTCATTGTGGAGATAGCAGCTGCAGGTACTGACGTTGTCTAGCCAACTATCACTGCATCTCAGACATCGTCAATATCTCTGCAGCACCTCAGACGCCGCCTCGCCAGGTATCCAAAGCAGCAGAGCCATCGTCGACCAAGACGCTCACTCCGCCACCTCGTTCGTACGGCTTGCCTGAACCTGAGCAGCAAGCCAAGTGCATCAATCGTGCTACCTCGCCAGAAGATCCTCACGATGTGTCAGAATCATCGTCCACCAAATTACCGGCTGCCACTCGTGACGTTACCTGTGGTGCAGACACGTCGCGTGCTGATGCTTCCTCCGAAGGAGCTGCAGGACCTGTAGCAGCAACACCACAGCACGAAACAGTACCACCTGATGAAGAGAATCCAGTGGACACGCCAAGTGAGATGACTGCTGAAGCACAGCCCAAGCTTGCAACCAAGGACGTGGATTTTGATATCCTGGCCGCAGAAGATCACGACGACATGGATCAGTCGAGCGACCAAGACGAACACACGGACGAAAACATGTCTAATACTGATGAGACATCCGGGTCTGCGCCTCAATCATTATTGACAGGTCAGTTGCTCGCAATGTTCGGATACCGAGGCTGGCAATTGTTAGAAGCGTTCGAGACACTCGACGAGCATCGCAAATTCAACTTCTTGGAAACCGCCATCGATGCTGTTTGGCATTTTCTCTCGCATGCCAAAGTTCCGTGTAATGAGGACGAGGGTAATGATGAGACGGCCTTTGTCGCATACACAAATACTTTTGGTCCGATGCTGGAGTATCTACGCAAAATGGAAAAGATGAGGCAAGACAGTGACAGCGGCGACACTGAAGCGAGTAGCCAGACGACTCCCTCACCCAGCGGATCTGCAGTGCACCAGGTGACGCACCAGAATTTGCACGATTCTGCCCTCGTGACGGTGCTCAATCATAAGAAGCGAACGATTGAGGAAGCAGAGCTTCCTGCTCCTGAAGAAGAATCCGAGCCTGATGTGTCTGAGATGGCAGTATCCATCAAGATCCGCGAGAAGTCTGCTGACTCTGCTTCGCCATTCAAGAAACAAAAAATCATTGACTCTCCCGGCAAGCACTCATCAGCCAAGTCCTTTGCAACCGGAATGGTCTTTGGCGGCGTTTTGACACTTGGTGCGCTCATTTCCTTGGGATAGATGCGGAGAGATGTCTTGACTTGACGCGCTGAAGCGATTGCGATGGTACCTTTTTTCCCTTAGCGTGTCTTTGTCGTATTTGCTATGAGAGTGTTATTTGTCTTATTTTCCCCGTACGATGAGTATCCTAGATTATGGAGGAACCCTCGTATCTTGTCTCTCAGGCTGCCGACCTTTGTTGTGACAGCTATTTTGCCTGCCCATCTCGTCTTCGTTGGCCCCTTTCAGGGGTAAATTGCCGGCGCGAAAAGGCGAAATGAATGTATGAAAATGAATGTGATCGGCAGCCTCTTGTCAAGTTCCTCGGACGAGTTTGAACGGGAAATCTCTGATCAGAGTTTACATTTTGAGAGGCCTGTTTCTTTAAGTACGCTTATAGTTGAGAATATGTTTCAGTGTCAATAAGCGACTTGAAAACATATCTCATCTCGTAAATTCTCGCTTTCAGGGGCTTCAAAGGCTGCAGCTGTCTACACACGCGTACGTGCGCGTGTCTTCGTCTGGAGACATCATGTTGAAGCGGCTGACAAGCTGACGCAAAACTGGACGAGATCCACAAATTGTCTGAACGACAACATCAACCACAAAGTCTTAATGCCTGCCATGATAAGCAAGATTACAACCAAATTGACGTCCTGCTTTCTCATTCTCGTGCATTTGCATGCTTTCGCTTTGCACACTTTTGCAGGCGGCGGCAGAATCGAATTGTCGACAAATCTCGGTGGTCAAATGGTTCACTACAATCAGTGGCTATGAGTCTATCCTGAGAAAGCCAAGTCTGACGATGTTTGAGGAGAAGAAGGACAACTGTTACGAAGTCTGCCGTGACTACGTCCACGCTCTCTATTACCTTCCTGAGTACGCGCCTCCTCTCACAGACGATGTTCTTCACGACTCAATGCTACGGGCGGCTTACAACTTGTCACATGCACAGCAAGCATACCTTGACAATCCAGATCCTTGTGCTAGTCTCACATCCTTTTCGAAAGGCCCATCAGCTAGTATCTGTCTTCATTTTTGGGGTTGGACGGAGAACAAAGGGACAGTCGATCAATCATGCTCTTGTGGCGCTCTGTTGCAAGCAGTGCACTTGCGAAAACAAATGAGTGGCGTCGATTGTTCACTTGAAGCAACTCAACGACGTCTTGAAGCATTTTTCAACCCCTTTGGATTCTGGGTCTTTCCAGGAGCAAGTGCTGAAGACGCGACTTGTCCAGTTCCGCCCAGTTCTGAGTCGAAGAGGGATCCTGGCCGCTGCTCAACGGTGGGTACATGGTCGTGGGATGGAGTTTGCCCACGAGAAGATCCTCCATCTCCATTGCAGCGAGATTAGCTGCTCTTCCGTCAGCCTTAGACAGTGAAAGTCATTCAATGTCAATGACTTGTCCTTTCTGGTCTTTTAACTGGTTGTGCTCTTGATCATCGCAATGAGCTAGCTGATCCACTATAGCTTTACGTACACGTAGATGTGACTATGCATCGGCACAAGCTTCAGCTGTGATGGTGATCTTCACAAAGCGTGAGAAACTCATTTTGACCAGAAGCCCCTGAATTTTGCTGCCACCGCATCGACATCAAGCTTGAACATTCTAATGCAGACGCACGTCCTCAAACGCAAACCAAGTAGCCCACGATCAAAGATGTCTACATACCTAGCTGCTTGGATACTGCTTCTGTCTTCAAGTTCTTGGATGAACACCTTCAGGACTGTCAGCTGTGGAGCTATGGAGTGTCATCAATGGCCGATGGTGAAGGAAGTGGCAGACTTCGCTTTGATAAAACAAACAGTATGGGACTCTCGAGCGGCATGGCCAAGCAACGCATCAGATTCAGTTAGCTCTCCTGCATGGGCTGACATTGAATGTATTGAACGATGCCGCGACAGAGTCAATGCTATAGCCCTTGCATCATGGCTCAAAGTTGCCGACACGTCCTCAATCCAGTTTATTCAAGCACAAAAAGCATACCTTGACAGCGAAGATGAGTGTGCTGCTGATAGTGGAGCATGCTTGGATTACTATCATGAGCAGTACCTTGAAAAAGAGACCTCAATTCAAAGGTGTAAGTGTTTTGCATCCATTCTTCTTATGCGAATGCACAAGCATGGGCAGAACTGCAGTTCAAAGACGCTGGAAGCGCGATTGAACCAAAGATTTGGGCAGTACGGCTTTCAATATGAGAAGAAAGCCAGTGCTGGAGCCGTTCATTGTGAGCGCCGAGATCAGAATGTATGCAAAGACATCAAAGGCTTTTCTCATCAAGGGTTCCGATCTGATTACCATTGCACGACCCGAGACTACAGTGTCTAGCCTCCGTTTTGGCAGCTAAGTATGGTCAATTACAGCTCAGTTTAGCTTTCGAGAGCCTCTTTACACCTGTGTCTACAATCGGGCAACCTTCACTCAGCAATCATCTTTCAGAAGCTAAATACCTAAAGCTTAGCTCCAGATCTTTATAAACTCATATTTACAGCTGACCTCTGCCATTTTTGACTATCATCTTGTATCTTCCTAATAAGCGTTGCAAGTATCCTAGATATATAGCTGATTCAAGCAAACCTGAATTCCCAGATACTGGACGACTGTACAAAGTCCCATGGTCATCTCTTCATTATCTATCAAGTGTACTTGATCACTGACTCTGATGAGCACCCCCAAAACCGTCTCTGTCCGTTCAAACTATGGTTGCTAATTTGCAACTGCCCAGGGGTCGCTCACCCTTTTTGCGTGTTTAGCTATCTAAAAGCGGCGGCCACAACAGACCGACATCTTTGGCGCCAACGACACTGAAACCAGCGACAGCACATGCGCTAGCACTCATGGATTTGAAGCTAGAGCAAGTCGAAGTTCATTCGCGCGACATCTTCGTTCGATATATGAGCGCCAAAGCAGGCCAGTCTCTCTACTATAGCATCAAGCCTGAGCGACACTCCATCTGCTACGGCCTTTACAAAACAAGTCGCGAACGCGCCGGCGCCAGCTCCCTCAACGCGAAGCAAAAGTCAAGCACCAGCCTTGCAACTGGATTGAGTCTCGGCGATAGATTGGACTCTGCTGGTCTTCGACTCGTGCAGAATGGCGGAAAAATCCCCGGCGGCAAGGTGACAAAGGGCACATTTGCATGTCAGGAGGATGGCATGTATGCGCTCGTGTTTGACAACACCTTTTCCAAGCAGACTGCAAAGCGCGTGCTCTTCATCATTCAAGTCGAATCGACAGCTGGAGTACATGCGCATCCGTCCAATGCGCAACTCGTGGATGACGACCGCTGGAAGGCTGAGGCTCAGGCAGATCACTTGACGGGATACCTGCTCAAACGACGACGAAAGAAGCTGCAAGGATGGGCAAGCCGGTACTTTGTGCTTGACTTTGGCGACAATGCACTTCATTATTACCTCAATTCGTCAGCAACGGCACAACGCGGTGCGATTCCACTCAAGCTCGCAGTCATTAGTGCAGATGCAGCACGACTCGAGATCAATGTCGATTCTGGCGCAGAGGTCTGGAACTTGCGGGCGCGCAACAGTGGCGCATTCAGTATGTGGTGCCAAGCTTTGCTAGCTGCTACAAAGATAAAGGATGTGCCGCGTGTGCAGCCGGGTGGATCACCAGCTACGGCGCCAGACAAGCAAACTTGGCTCAGAATTGGCGCTATATCACAATCCTTGACAGAAGTACAGGCTAGCCTGCGTGAAACTCTCAATGAGGATAAATTGGACACGCCCAAGTCTGAAACGGGCCGACCATTTTGGCCGCGCCGAAAGTCGCAATTGGAACCCATGGTACCCTCCGCAGACGATGCGTCTCAGATGAAACTGAGCCTGACGAAGCGGACAATGCTGATCAGCGCAGAAGCACAGCTGAGTCATGCTGTGCAAAAGCTCAATGCGCTCTTAACTGAACACAAGCTCGGCATGTCTTTCGCTCCTCGACTGTCGATTGATTCCACACGCAGTGTAGATGATGTCTTTGAGGATGCCAATGAAGTGTGGACAGATGATGGCTTGCTCGTTGCACATCATGACTCGGACGATAATTCTGACATGGATACAGACAAGCAAGACTCGGACGGTGAATCAGACTTGGATGTTGCAGAAACGTTGCTTTCGCCACAACTAGCACAGCCCGTTCATCAACGCGACTTGTATCCCCTCAACGAGTCGACACCTACGCGCCGCAGCACTGTGCCGCCGATCCTTGATCAGCCGCCGTCCTTGGCTGCCATGCTGCGCAAAAGCCTTGGGAGCGACATTTCAGCACAATCAGCTCCTGCAGGCTCCAATGAACCACTCTCGCTTGTTCAACGCGTAGCTGAAGACTTTGAGTATGCTTCTCTTCTCGACCAAGCTGCTCGTGCAAAGACAGACGACGGGTCTCGCATTCTGCTTGTTGCTGCGTTTGCCGTCTCTGGATTCGCAAGTATGCGACACCGTGTACGTGCTATTCGCAAACCCTTTAATCCACTACTAGGCGAGACGTACGAGTTGTGTCGCCCTGAGCAAGGATTCCGCTTGTTGGCTGAAAAGGTGGTCCACCGTCCAACAGTCGGTGTTGCCCTGCAGTGTGAAAGTCGGCAATGGACTATGACACAGTATGCAGCGACGTCTCAAAAGTTTTATGGCAAGTCGCTAGAGCTCATCACGCAGGGACAGACAACAATTGCAATGGGCGATGATGTATTTAGTTACGAGAAGCCGATTTGCTATTTGCGCAATGCTGCCATGGGCGAAAAGTATCTAGAGCCTGCCGGTGAAATGACCATTGCCGGTTGGAATGGTGACAGAGCAGTAGTGCAATTCAAAGCAGGAGGCCTATTTTCTGGCAGAAGTGAAGAGGTCACCATCACGGCTGTCGATAAATTCCATCAAGCATACGACAAGTCGCTCACTGGTACTTGGACATCAAGCTTGCGATGGAATAGCACAGACGATCATGATGGCCACATTGCGTGGCAAGCCGGAGCATTGTTGCCAGAGCCTGAAGAACACTGTGGCTTCCCAGTCTTTACGGCGCAACTGAATGAGGTGACGCCCTTGGAGGAGGGTAAACTAGCACCAACGGATGCTCGACTGCGTCCAGACTTGAGGGCAAGGGAGGAAGGTCGTCTTGATGACGCTCAGCGACTCAAGGAGCAACTGGAGGGGCAGCAGCGACAACGGCGACAGGCTGGACAAGAGCTCACCAAACCACTATTTTTTGAGCCAGCTGAAGATGGACAGCAACAGTCTTGGCGCTTGCGAACAGATGCCGATGGAGATTATTGGGGCCGGAGGAAACGAGGAGACTGGCAGGGTCTGCCTCAGATATTTGAATTGAGCTAGCGACGTTGTATGATGATTCACTTGATATTGCTCACATCTTTCTGTGCTCTTATGGTGTGATGAGATTTGGTCATGATTTGTGACTGCTCTTTTTCCTCCCCAAAATTTTGCAATCAAATTCTATCCAAAATTTGCGCCGATAAATGATAGCTTGGCTCAGCCTGCACTGAACTGCGCAACCTGGAGTTCGAATCGCCACTGTGTCCGAGTGGTTAAGGAGATTGATTTGAAATCAATTGCTTTCGAGCGCATAGGTTCAAATCCTGTCGGTGGCGATATTTTTTGTCCTGCTATCGAACACGAAGAGAGCATTGAGCCATCAAGGCGAAGGGTGCACGACTTGCCTTTGAGCTTGACCCTGCCAGTATGGCTCTCGAGATGTATGGGAAAGGTGACATCAAATGCGATCGAGATGGCACGGCGTCTGTACTCCTGCAGGCCGTTGTCAGTGGCGCTTTCGCGGATGTTGCATAGACCGTATCACTTGTGATTTAGTGGACCTGAATAGGCGCGTGTGCTTCAGGAATCAGGACTCTACAAAGCGATCCCAAGGTTTAGAATCCCGAACGGGTCACGTTTATACGGCCTGACACCTAAAACTCGAATTCTCCCCTAAACTGCTCGACATCAGCGCCTGATACCGCAAGCTTGCTCAAATCAGGTCTGTTCATCCCAACCAAAAACACGCGACGCAGCGTCTCCCATAAATTCGTACTCAGATTGACACCACCGCCACGATCACCCATCGTTTGATGCATCGCGAGACCCGAGAGCAGATGCTGTGCGGCTTCCTCGTATACACCAATATTGATGCACGAAACACCGAGATTGTAGCGACAACGGACAAATGTGGGTGAGATTTCAAGTGCGCGTGTATACGCCTCGATGGCATCTTCAGACTTGCCAGAGTTGGCGAGTGTGGCGCCCAGCCTATTCCAAAGCAGTGCGTCGTCTGGTCGGATGCGCAATGCTGCCGAGAAGCAGTCGACAGCCTTGTCGTACTCTTCATCGCCATAAAACAAGACGCCGAGTCCAACTTGGACATCAGCATCCATCTCAGCGCCTGCGGGTGAGAGCTGCGCAGCCTTGATGAACTGTGAGGTGACCTTTTGGTGCACTTCCTTGCGGTTCGAAGTGTCCATGGTGATATCACTGACGAGATTTGGATACTTGGCCACGAGCCACTGTTCAAGGGAGAGGTAGGCTGCGGTGTCATAGCCATCGTTTGTGTAGCTGACTGCAAGGCCCATGAGTGCTTCGAGGTCTCCGGGATCGAGGCGAATGGCATTTTCAAGCGCCTTGATGGCTGCATCCTCCTTTTCATTCTGTGCTTGGCAAAGACCAAGCTGACACCATGCCTTTTGCTGGACATCACCTTCCTCGCGCTGGCAGACAGCCTCAAAGCACAATGCAGCCTCTGATAGACTGCCACCGCCATTCTTCAGCAAACGCATACCTTCCTCGAAGGGATTTGCATGCTGCATGTACTGATTATTTGGTTCAAATAGATACTCGCCCAGATTGGGCTTGCCGCTCGCATCCATCGGTTGTTCAAACTCAGTCGCCCACTCTTCCGCGAGTGCTGGGTTTTCCTCCTGCATCTCCTTCCAGATACTTTCGAAATCCCGAAAATCTTCTTCGGGTTCAGCTTGCTCTTCAACTTGTGCTTCGGGCTGCATATCGAGCGCCTTGAATTGCTCTTCCCAGTTTTCAGAGGAGAGCTCAACAAGCTTCTCCTTGCCTTTTTGTGAAGGTTGCTGCATGGGCATAGGCTGCATTTGCATTGGCATACCGCCCATCATGCACATACCACCACGGTAACCCATATTCATATTCATGCCCATGCCGTACCCTTGCTGTTGCGCATATCCTTGATCTTGCATCGGCTGCTGATGTTGACCATCCATGAAATCCTGTCGCCACCCCGAAGCCTGTTGCTGTCCTCCTTGCTTTTGCTGCTGCTGCTGCTGTTGCTGCTGCTGCTGCTCATGCATAGCAAACGCACCAAACTCATTTTGCCACCCGTTCGAAGCACGATGTTGCTGCTGTGCATGCATCGCCGCTGCCGGTTGCTGTTGCGCAAAGACAGGAGACTCCGATCTCGCCCTACCGCCTGAGAAATCCTGCATCATCTGTGCTGCATCCTGCCGAGCTTGCTGGCTCCCTTCGCGAAAACCGCCAGGTTGTTGTCGCGCTTGGTTGAGGCGGTCTTGTTGTAAGGTGCGATCATGATCGACATGCTTAGAGAATGTCTTGAGTGCGTTGGAGGGCCCACAGGCTGCTCCTCCCATGATGCCGGACATGTCTAGAGCAGCTCTTGGGTGGTGTTCGTCTTGCGTTGTGCTCTCGGCTCATTTGTGGGGCGACGAGGCCGAGGGATGGCACAGTCACAAACAGCTGGCAGGAGGTGAAAAGTGGTGTATTCATGGCATGCCCTCTCTATAAACCGTCTATCGCCGCAAATCCATCCCTCCAGCCAGTGCAGCTTCGAGGTCATTCTCCTGCATTCGCTCGTCCTCTGCACTCTGCGGTTTAGGCGGCTCCTCAAGCACACCTGAGCCAGCGGCAGCAGCAGCAGACGCACCCGCAGCAGCAATCTGGATACCCGATGCTGCATTCGCTGTAGGTATCGCATGACTCCGAACTTGCTGCCTAAATGACACGACTTCTTGAGAAATCATGCTTCTCATCTCATCAATATCATCCACCTGCTCAAAGCCAAAGTCAAATACTTGTGGGCATACGGGCTCCTCTGCTGGATCATGCCATACAGCCAGATACGGATGCGCAAGGGCTTGCTCAACGTTGATGCGATCAGCTGGATCAAATTGGAGTAACCTGGTGAGCAAGTCAATGGCCAGTCCTGAAGCTTTGGGAAAGATGCTAGCAAAAGGAATAGGCGCCTTGAAGGGAAGGCCTCGCACGTAGTCTTGGGCTCTTTGACTGCCGATGCGATTCAATGTTGGTTCGGCAGGTGTACCGAGCACATGCAGAATCTGATTGAGCTGATCGACATAGTCTCGTCCCTTGAAGAATGGTCGACCACCGAGCAATTCAGCCAAGATGCAGCCCACCGACCAAAGATCAATGGCTTTGCTGTAGGATTGAAACGAAAGCATAATCTCTGGTGCGCGATACCATCGTGTAGCAACATACTCTGTCATGAAGCCGGCATTTTCCTCTGCAACATCCGAATAGCCACGAGCCAACCCGAAATCACAAATCTTGAGCTCACAGTCTGCATTTACCAAGATGTTTCCCGGTTTGAGATCGCGATGCAGCACATTGGCAGAGTGAATGTACTTTAGGCCGCACAAGATTTGGTAGATGAAGCTCTGGTAGTGCGCATCCGTCAAGGGTTGACCACTGCGAATGATCGCATGCAAATCCGCTTCCATGAGCTCTTCATACAGGTAAAGCTCGTTGTAGCGCGCATGATCGACAATGTCCATATCATAGAGACAGGTGATGTTTTTGTGGTCGCGAAAGTGCTGCAGGAGCTTGACCTCACGGAGACAGCGCTTGGCTAGGATGCGCTTGCTAAACACATTGGTGACCTTCTTGATGGCAACAGACTCTGCGTCTCCCACCATATTGCGGGCAGATCTAGGGAATTAGCGGCTTGTTTTACGAAGTGCGCGACATACACGACGATGCCATAGGCGCCTTGACCTAGCTCTTTGATGATCTCAAAGTTGTCTTGCACGACAAAGTCTTGGCCTTGAATGGTGAAGGTCTTGCGGCCTTGATTCGGCATGACGGCCTGCAAGCGCTGCAGCTGGCTGCGTGTGCTGTGAAGATGGAGATGTGTCGTTGTCGCAATTGAAGTCGAAATGCGGGAAGTATTGACAATGTTGACTGGCGGGAAGGGAAGTATTGACAATGTTGACTGTATACGTACGAAAGATAGACAATATCGCAAAGGACTACATCAGCGAGGTGATGAGCTTCGAGGCGACATCCAGAAAGGGAAACGCAGAAGTCGCCTCCTTGTCACTTTCAGCCTTGTGCCCACCATACGACTCATCCTTGACGAAACGATCAAGACCTTCTCCCTCGCCTTCCCGGACACGTTCATAGCCAGCACACTTGAAATCCACCAGGAAGTTATTGGGTTCGAGCTGATAGAGCTGGACGTCCAAATATACCATCACAGACCCTTCCTCATGTGCCTTGAGCCACCGCGCCGTAATCATAAACGGATCCGCTTCAGGACCTCGATCAATCCACTCTGCACCCATCTGCTTGAGTGCTCGATAAATTTCCAACATGACATCCAGTGGACTACTGCGTGATCGAATACCGAAATGCCAGCGTTGTGGGCGTTGCTTCTTTCCGGCAGATCCACTGAGTGCAGCAGACGTTGCATGCGTGGAGATATGCAAGGAGCGCCGCGCTCCAAGTGTCGGCTCTTCCGCTATGCTACCGACATCCTCCTTGTGCATGAGTGCGCGGTGATAGACTGGTATACTTGAAGGAAGAATACTGATGGTACTGTGTTCGTGCAAGCTCTCATGAACAGGTGACATGGGCTGATCCGGGGTATTCATTTGACTGCCCACAGGTGAGAATGTTTGCCGGAGCGTACCTGGTGACTTGGAAGACGAAGCAGTCCATGCTGGAGGTGATTGAGCCAGGAAAGATTCCATTTCTTTACCAACCTTGGCATGTTCCCGCCGCATCAGGTTGTTTTCCGCAACAATCTTGTAGGCTTCCTTGATTTCACTGACGCCGTCATGTTGTAGAGCTTCCTTGATTTCCGCTGGTTTGTAACCCATGGCCTTGCCAAGCTGTGTGACGACCTTGTCATCAACACGCTCGAAACTTTCCTCAGCAACGGGCAGCAGATAGTCTGGCAGGTCTTCTTTGAACCAGGCATGATCGCGAATTCCTTCAATCGTGATGCGATTCATTGGATTGACCACCAGCATCTTTTGCAATAGACTTTTTGCACCAGAAGATAGATAGGATGGTAGATTGTAGATACCACCATTAATCTTTTTGAAGAGGGTTGGGATAAATTCATCGTCAAATGGTAGACGACCACAGAGCATGACATATAGAATGACGCCGCATGACCACACATCTACTTCGGGGCCAGCATAGAGCTTACCCGAAATGACTTCTGGCGCTGCATAGTTGGGTGAGCCACACGACGTCTTCAGAAAGTTTCCGTCCGTCATGAAATTGCTCAAGCCGAAATCGGCAATCTTGACGTTGAATTGGTCGTCTAGCAATAAATTCTCTGGCTTGAGGTCGCGATGGACAATCTTGTGTCGATGACAGTACTCAACAGCAGAGATAATTTGTTGAAAGAAGCGCCGGCCTTCCTGCTCGCCCATCTTGCCGCGCTTGACAATATAGTCAAATAACTCATTGCCTGCATATTCAATCACCATAATGATGTCTGTTGGCGTATTGATGACCTCAAAGAGCTTGATGATGTGCGGATGACGAAGCAGTTTGAGATATTGAATCTCGCGCTCTACCCGTGAGGCAATATCGTTGTTTTGTATCATCTTGCGCGAGATGATCTTGAGCGCAACGCGCTGCTTCGTCACAAGATGTTCGGCCCTGATTGATTAGCCTCCTTGTGCGATGCGCAGACACATACAGCTTCACCTTGCCAAAAGAGCCTTCTCCAAGTGTCTTGACAATCGCATATCGGAATTCTATCGTCAGCAAACATAAAACATCATCATTGCGCCTCACCTGGATTGGCACGCTTGAGATCTTTTTTATTACCATCGCTGAGATCGACGGCAGTGTCGATATTGGTGCTCGAGCCATGCAAATCTGCGGCGTCCCGCTCGGGACCGAGGGAGCTCATGGCATACAGGGCGCTTTTGCTATTTGTCGTGTGGTGTGGGTGGTCGTCGTTGTGCCAAAACCTCAACTCCACAGAAAAGAGTTGACGGGAAAGACACAGAACCTGGGGAAAGCAAGAGAGGAGTTTTTATGATGCCTGTTTCGAACGATATACCCGCTAGCTACCATCTCACTACGCCCGAGGACCTGCCATGGCAGCCATCTTGGCCGCTAAATCAGGATACTTGCGTTCCACCTCCAACTGCGTCCGTGTTGCCTCTGCATAACTCAACGCATTGATAATTTCCGCCTCTGTCCGTGCGACCTGTGCAGACCGTTCAAAGTACTGCAATGCCTCTTTTGCCTTCCCTTGCGTCAACAAGAATTGCGAGAGTGTTGCAAGAGCCACGTCAGATTCAGGGTCAAGCATGAGTGCCTTGCGACAGAGTTCCTCAGCTTGGAAAATATCCTTCTTCCATTGATACATGCACAACGCTTTGTTGATGAGAGGCATGACGTTGGGTGCTGCCCGTGAGTTTTGAGCACGCTCCAAAGAAATGGCCGTGTCAAACTTGTCAACGGCTTCCTCGAATTTGCCTTGGTCAAGCAGTAGCTCGCCAAAGTAGTTGTAGACTTCTGCGCTTTCGGGGAATTTCACAAGAGAGCGTCTGAAGGTCGACATACTCGATGGGATAGAACCGAGCTTGTACTGCGACACACCGAGTTGTACATGTGAAAAGACAAAGTCAGGGTCCAGGTCAATAGACTTTTGATAATCCTTTGCTGCAGTGGCATAGTCTTGCAGAATGAAATTGCACTGTCCGCGGTGGTAGTAAATATCGGGGTCTTCCGGGTTGATGTCGATGGCCTTGTCAAAGTCTGCCAAGGTCCTGTTACGGTCTCCCATCTCCATGTGCATGCTCGCGCGCTTCACGAGTGAGTTTGTCAAGGTCGGTTGTAGCTCAAGTGACCGGTTGACATCCCGCATGGCTGACTCGACATCTGCACGGACAAATTTGTATGTAGCACTCGCATTCAACGCTAGTGCTTCCAGTTCAGGTGTAGAGAAGGGCTTGCCGTGAGCTTTTTCCAGATGCGCCACAGCTGCCTTGTAGTCTCGCGCAGTCGTCGCTTCCATGGCACGCTTCAAGTGCACATCGCCTTGTGCTTCATCCTCGCTTCCGAAAGTCGGCATTTCCTTGGGCCTGAATGCATCGAGGTAGGCAGAAATGAAACTGACAGAGGGCATACGATCTGTTCGCGATGAAAGCATATCTTTCGCCTTTGCCTCTGCCACATTGCGCAACAGCCTTTCAATAGCCTGTCCAGCAGCAGGATTGGCGAAATTGTCCATAATGCTGGCTGCAGTGTAATCCAGTAGCGCTTCCTGGTACCGCTCTGCGTGCTCGTATGCCTGTGCACGCCGATTGAGCGCCTTGACATACGACGGATCCAAACGCAAGGCCTCGGTTGTGTCACGAATCACTGCTTCTTCATCCTTGAGTGCTGCGTGACACGCACTGCGGTTTGAGTAATACACGGGGTCCGCCACCACCTCAATTGCTTTACTGTAGAGCGCAATGGCCTCGTTGTAATCCTTTTTGGCGTATGCCGTATTGCCGTGTTTTTTAATGAGATCCGCATGCTTCTTCTTATCCGCTCCACTCGCACTCGCTGCATCGAGTGCAGGAATCACATACTCGCTCTCCTTGTCTGTAGTAGGTGCGCTCGATGACGGTCCAGAGGCAGCCTTGCGCGTCTTTTTACGCTTCCGCTCCTTCTTCTCTGCAGCAGATTCGCCATCTAGCATGGGTGAATCGGATGCGGGTGTGGAGGGCGGTGGTGGTGTATCTCGCTTGCTGTAGAGGTAGTACGACCCGCCTGCAACAATCACAAGGCCGCCTGCTATCGCAAAGACAGTGGCCTTGTTATCGGCTGTCCAGGTTGAGATGCGGTCCCAGAGAGAAGCAGGTGGAGCTGTGACTTGCGTCGGCACGGGGACGGAGGCCGAGGGGATGGTCTGTGCGGAGATATCGGCCATCCTCAGTAGATGCTATGTATGAGGAGAGGAGCCCTGATGCTGTCTGTAGCTGGTCGTCGTGCTCTTGCTGCTTCTTTGTCTTTTTTCGATTTCTATTTAGCCGAGCGAAGTTTCACAACTCACCACAGCGAGACTTAGCTAGTACTGACACCAAGTACTCAGACTGGCTGTGGGCTCATGCTCTCGCACAGGAGGCTCCATGAAAGAAGTTTGCACCAGCTCAATATTCTACCATAAAGAAAACCTGCCAGATGACGAGGCAGGATGGGAACAGCGCATGCTGTACAGAGTCTTCCTTCGCTCAGACTATCCCAGCTGCATATGGCGCTACGGCGAAGCCCAAGTCTTGTATTTTGGCTTGATTAATGAAATGTCACTGTATCCTAGAGGTGCTCTGCCTATGCATCTCCGCACGCCCTGTCGCGTGACAATCATGCTTGCGGATGGAACGCCTGCTGACGATGTGCAAGTGAGTTTGTCTGGTGTAGGTGGAGGCTTTGCGGGTCTTGTTGGTGGGCGAGGCAGCTGCTCAGTCACGCTCACATCGTCAAAGCACAGGACTGTGCAAATCCTTATCTGCATTGCCGTGTCAAATGCTGAAGTCAATTCTTCGCCAGTTCATGTCATGCCTCTCGTATTTGGCCCATTGACGCTCACCCAAAGTGACCAAGTGCCTTCTGGGGACGAGTTGCTTGAGTTTTATCGACCACTCGGGCTCCCTTGCTCAATCAAACCACTTCTGATTCGAGAACAACCGGAACTGGCCATCCCAGGCAAGATTTGGGACTCGGCCTTGTTTGCGTCTGAGCTGGCACTAGAACTCACGCTTCGCCATCCAACAGACCAGAATTGCAACATTCTGGACCTTTCTTGCGGCACGGGCGTATGTGGTCTATGGCTCGCAGCCGCTCTCGACACCCGGAAGCGCCACGCAAAGATCATTCTTAGTGATCTTACAGAAGCTCTACCCGTCATTCAAGCCAACATTGCTCAGTCAGCGAGTTTTCTCGATGTCGAAGCCTTGTCTCTTTGTTGGGGCAACAAAGCAGACCTACAGCAACTCGAGGCAATTTGCACGACAAGGAACGTTACCGCAATTGATGTGGTCATTGCATGCGACCTGATCTATGAGGCTGAACTGCTTCCCGTTCTTGCCAGTACACTCAAGGATATTGCAACAATGTCGCAACGTCCAACCACCATCGTCATCGGCTACAAGCAGCGAGGCCTTACTCAAGCTGAAAAGGCCGGCTTGTGGCGTACGTTTGAAGAAGCTTGTGGATTCAAGGTGGCGAGAATGCAACATGTCGCTTGCACGTCTATGCTCGCAGAGAAGGTCGAGGCCGATTTTGTCGGGTTGGAGCTGTGGCTACTCACTATGTCTGGTTGATGCTACTCTTGACAGTTCATGCTCATGAGAGGGATACTGAGGATCTGGCTGTTTTATAGATCTTGAATCCATCTCAACCTCTTGCGAGAATACAACACTGCAAGCACAACGACGACTTTGACCCCTTTCTCACCTTCATCGATCCTCACATGTCAGTCGTTGTCTGCTTTCAAGGCCAGACAGTCGCACTTGAAGATGGTGCATCCGCACTCATCGGATACGCACAAAATGAGACGAGCAAAGCCGCTGGGTTCCACTTCAACAACCCCGACTTGGCCATTCTACATGCCCTCATCTCCTTGCGCGACGGCCAGCTCACAATCAAGAACTTGTCGCCACTGCGACAGACCTTTGTCAATGGCAAGCGCGTCGAATCAGAAGCAGTACGACTTCGTCTAGGTGATACATTATCCTTGGGCCCGCAACGATCAGCGACGAGTGGTGGTACGTTGCCGCGATGCCTGAAATCAACTGACGTGCAGGATATACCAGGAGTATCAGTGGGCCTGTAACGTGGACCTTCTCGTCGGAATTTATACAGCTCTATCCTACAGCATTACTGAGCGATGATGCAGTGAAAGACCCCTTGTCCGAGTCGTCCATGCTTGACAGCTTGCCGAGTCTCGAGTACAATAGCTCTGTCAGCGGTGCAAGCGATGAGCATTCAGGCACTGCAGAGGCAGATGAATCAATGGTTGTGTGGTCGGATTTTGACGAAGCACAAAGGCAGCTATTGAAGCATTCGTCTCCGCCAACTTCAACACGTAAGCGCAAGTTGTCAGAGTCTCTGGAAATCTTGTCGCCAGAGGAAGATGGACTGGATTCGGCAAGGGACGTCCAGCCAGCACTGAACCGATTCGAGTGTAATGCCGGTGATGAGACCCATCAAGCGTTCTTTGATGTCAATCAATTTGAAGTGCTGGCAAGCCGCGAATATCGTCGTTGTTGCGACGGATTATCTTCCAAGAATGACGAGTCAAGTCAATTGCGTACAAGCTTGGACCAAGTAACGAGCATTCTGGCTTCGTCTCGGTCATTGATCTGGCATCTTTGGTCCAAGCAATGTCAACTCGTAAAAGTCTGGTGTCTTCATCACTTTAGTCTTCTCCCAAGTGCAAATCAACGAGAAAGTAGCCCAGCGCCAGGGGACATCTGGCTCTCAGATCAGCAACTGAAGTCTCTTGCGGATCTGTGCCGCGAGGCTCTGCATAGGATGATGTGGGAATACGCGGATCAAGGCATTGGTATGCAAGCTCTATCGACACGCTTCTTGCGCTCGACCGAGACTCTAATGGCCTTGCTTGGCCGTACGGCTGTCGACATCTGCTTGCATCATAGGTCCGAGATTTTCTTTTGCCTTGGGCTCACATTGGGTTGTCTTGTGGGTTACGTACTGGCGTAGACTTCCCAATCATGATTTGCTTGACTTCCAATGACCCTGAGCTTTGCCGAACAGTGTAATCGGGTCAAGTTCGTATGCTCCATGGGCTTGCCGATGAGCTGATGATGTTGTCTCTGCCAGCATCATACACGGAGTGATTCTAAGTGTTGCGTGCAACCATAGACCCATCTGAAGATCCAGTCGACCGAGGACGCCTCGAGCTTGGAACTGAGAGCAGCTGGTCAACGCTACCGAGACTAACCAAGCTTGCATTGCCAAGTCACACCAATGCTGCTTCTGAAGAGCGCTGATGTAGACCTCCTGATAGAAAATCTCTCCATTGACGAAATCATGCAGCTGTGTACAGAATCACTACAAGCCATACCCCACGCCGACCACAAAACCTGCCCTACTAGACTCGTCGTTGAGACTGATAAGTACACATCTTTGCATATGCCATGCGCCTACAAGGGAACAGTCTCGGAAAAGGTGGTTGGTATTTCCAAAGCTGGTCTATCCGCTTATTTGACTCTGCTGAATGCCGAGACTGGCGCAATCCAAGCTCTGATGAACGCTAAACGGCTGACGGCACTCCGGACAGCTGGTTGCTCACTTGTGTCAAGCTACATGGCTTTCAAGGCCAAACGTGAGCCGACAAATCTTGTCGTCTTTGGGTCTGGAGATCAAGCACAAATGCACATTTCCCTGCATTGTAGGTTGTTCGAATCCAGTCTGAGTAACATCACTGTCATTGTTCGCGATTTGACTTCAACAAATTGCCTCAAGTTGAAGACTATCTGGTCTCAAGCTACATTTCTTCTAGCAGAGGATGGTCGTTGTCGAAAAGCCGTCCAAGAAGCAGACATCGTCTGCGGCTGCACGCCATCTGTTCAACCACTCTTTGACTCTGCCGATTTGAAGCCCACCGCGCATGTGACGCTGATTGGAGCATACAAGCCCAACATGCGAGAAGGCGACACCAATCTGTTTAAGCATCAAGTTTTCGTCGACTCATTGAAGGACTGTCTGCACGAAGCGGGCGATCTTATGGCGGCCATCGAGGCAGGGGTTTGTTCGGCAGCAAATCTCACACAGCTCGGCGAGGCAGACAAAATCTCAACAGGCATCACCGTCTATAAATCTGTTGGAACGAGCTTGATGGACGCAGCCCTCGCACAAACCATTTTCGCTAAAGCAAAGAAACTCAACGTCGGTACAATTGTCGGTGATTTTTAAGCGCCGGGAGTTCCGAATCCCGCGCGCAGTGACCCCACACCTGGAAGACACTCTATCTTCAAGCCACGTACCACATTACACACGCGACAAGATGCTCTATCCGGACTTTGTGATTCCTGAAAAGGACCTGCTATCGGTATGTTAATGATGCTGTTACTTTGTTCTAACTGTAGTACATGCTCGATGACCAACCGGTGCCAAATGATAGTCCGCTCTTCATTGAAGCTGAAGACGAATCCAACTTCATCACGTATGGCCAATTCAAGCAAAACGTCGGCAAGCTTGGCCAAGGTCTGCGACAACTAGGCCTGAAGCCTCAACAGGCAGTCCTCATTTTTTCCCCAAACCAGATTGCATACCCGTGGATGGTCCATGGTATTATTTGCGCTGGCGGACTGTTTACTGGCGCCAATCCCACGTACACTGCGAGAGAGCTGGCTCACCAGATTACACATTCGCAATGCGCATACTTGTTTGTTGATAGTGCACTGATTGATACTGCAAAGCAGGCTGCTGCACTAGCCAAGAAGCCACTTAGCGACATTTTCACCATTACACCCGTGGATGGATTCCGATGCGTGACCGAGCTGTTGGCTGACCGCGAACTGCAATGGCATCGCATCACGGACCTCAAAACGCTCGAAGAAACGACATGCAACATCATGTACTCATCCGGCACCACGGGTGTCGCCAAAGGAGTCGAGCAGACGCATCGTAACGTCGTGGCTAATGCAGCCCAGACCTTATACTTTCGCAGCAAGGTCAGTCCACCCATCTCTGCACCCACTATTGCACACTTGCCTTATTATCACGCCTATAGCAATGTCGCTTACGGCATCCATGCCATCGTCACGGGCCAGCCACACTTGGTCATGCGCAAGTTTGACCTGGAGCTCATGCTCAAGCTGATCCAAAAACACAAGGTCCAATATCTCTCAACTGTGCCACCCATCATTGTTGCGTTGGCCAAATCGCCATTGACGCTCAAGTATGATATTTCATCAGTCCGTGCCATCACCTCTGGCGCTGCGCCGCTTGGCGTGGATGCTCAGAATGCATTGCGAAAACGAGCACCAAACATCAAGCTCCAGCAAGGCTGGGGCATGTCTGAAGTATGCTGCGGTGGTATCATGATGACGCCTGCCGACGATGATACGACTGGCTCGTGTGGGTACTTGTTGCCTCAGACTGAAGCGAGACTGGTGGATGATGATGGCAAGGAAGTGACTGAAAAGATGGCGCGTGGCGAGTTGTGGGTGCGTGGACCACAAATCATGAAGGGCTACTTGCGGAATCCTCAAGCAACGGCTGATACCATGGAGGGCGACTGGCTCAAGACGGGTGACATTGCAGTGACGGACGGCAAGTGGTTCTGGATCGTGGATCGGAAGAAGGAACTCATCAAGTGCCAGGGCCTACAAGTCGCCCCGGCGGAGCTCGAGTCTCTACTGTTGGCGCATCCCAAAGTTGTAAATGCGTGTGTGGTTGGCGTGCCATATCGCGACGACGAGGCGCCACGGGCATATGTCGTCCGAAGCGACAGTTCACTGACTGAAGAGGTGCTCGATGCATGGTTCAATACGCAAGTTGCCAAATTCAAGCAACTGCGTGGCGGCATTGTCTTTATTGAGGCAATCCCAACCTCGCCAAGTGGCAAGCTACTTCGACGCGAGCTGCGCGATCAAGCAAAGCGCGAGATCCAAGCCAAATTGTAGATCAGACTTTTGTCGTACCAAATCCGCCAAAGCCCATCATCCGCGACATGTCAGACTCCTCTATCTGCTCTTCCGCCTTGACTGCATCCCGTTTTGCTCGCTTCGCACTTCGCGCTGCCTCTCTGCTCGCAAGCTCGTCTTGCCGACGTTTCTTGAGCTCTGCCTCAATATCATATGCCTGCCTTTCTGCACTTGCCGCTTGACGCTGTTTGAGCTTTTCCAAGTGCGCCAGACATTCTTCAAGCGTGGCTCTTTCTTGGTGATAGCTTTGACCCGTCTTTTGAAGATGCTGCTTGCTGTTGATGTGATCAATCCACGCATTGTTGTCCTTGTACGTCTCATTGCAGGCCTCGCAGTAGAAACCAGCGCCTCTGCCTTTTCGTCCGACTGAAGCACCTAAAGGTACGAGGTACGACTTGCCCGTTACCTCTGACCAATCCTGCTTCTTGCGTGCCGTGATGGCCCGTGTCGTCTCTTCTGAGGCTGCCTCCTGTTTCGGCTTGATGCCCATCTTTGCTTCATACCGCGCTTTGGCTTCTTCACGTTCTCGCTCTTCACGCTCCCTGCCGAGCTCTGCATACTCTGCTCTGTCCCATTTCTTGCGAAAGTCTGTGTCGCCGCCCCTTGCTGCATTGTTGTATGCACTCATCTTGCAAGTCTAAAGTGTAGCACGAGCAGTCCAGGCGAATAAGCTGAAGAGGTCGCGGGTTGCGTTGAGTTTGACATTTCGGTCGCGTTCCTGCCATGCTCCTACTCCTGGCCGCAGCTGGCCTTGTTCTAGCCTGCATTGTATGGGCCTTGCTACGAGTGACGACTTGCTAACAGGCAGACCCTCGTTCTCTATAAGCTCTCTCTAAGGCCACGTCCAGCGTTCGCGCAAGAACGCAGCTGCACGACAAATAACCATGGTCGACGCGTCGAATGCGCGCTGCCTACACTGAGTGACGCGCCTACTGTCCATCTCAGCGTCGTCATTCCTGCTTACAATGAATCAAAAAGGCTTCCTGCCATGCTTCAAGAAGCAGCAGAGTATCTGGAAGCACAAGACGAGGACTACGAGTTGCTGATTGTCGATGATGGCAGCTCTGACAATACAGCGGAGACGGCATTGGCCTGGGCCGCAGACAACAAATTGAAGCATGGCACGCTCAAGGTGTGCAGGCTATTACAGAACCGGGGTAAGGGCGGTGCTGTTGCCCATGGCATGAAGCATATCGCTGGTCGATATGGCATCTTTGCTGATGCAGATGGCGCGTCCAAGTTCAGCGATGTCGCGCTGCTCTTCTCTCACTTGAAGGAGGAGAATGGGCTTGGTATGGCGAGTGGCAGTCGTGCGCATATGGTCTCGACGGACGCTGTGGTGAAACGCTCACCACTCCGTAACCTGCTCATGCACGGCTTCCATACATTCATCCGACTACTGGGTGTACCGCACATCAAGGACACGCAATGCGGCTTCAAGCTCTTCACGAGGCGTACCTGTGCACTGCTCTTTCCAAACATGCATATTGAACGTTATGCATTTGACGTCGAGCTCTTTGTGCTGGCTGGCTACCTACGTGTGCCTGTCGAGGAAGTGGCCATCACCTGGCACGAAGTTGATGGCAGCAAGATGCACCTTGTCCAAGACTCCCTCAGCATGGCAATGGATCTTGTTCTAATGCGTCTTGGGTATACCCTCGGCCTTTGGCGCCACTCGTAAATCTGACCTTCCCTAGCATAGAAGCATAGACGTGCATCAATATCGTTTAATGATGTTGCGCTTGTATGCGTGACCCTCGCCCTCAAACACCTTGAGTCGCTCCAGCCTAACATCTCTGAGCCTGTTTTTCGGCAGCATGGCGCTCACCGCCCGCCTGAGCACTTCACCACCTCCCTTCTTCTCCATCACCTCCCGCATCGTGGCAGTCTTGAGGTGTCCAGGTTTTGTTGAATGTCTGTAGTACAAGTGCTGGTCCAGCTTGTTGCCTGTGGTATGCAGCGCCGCGCAGTTTGTAGCAACGACATAGTCACCACAGTCTGTCGCTGGATGATAGATGGGTTTATGCTTGCCCATGAGGGTCGTTGCTATTGAGGTTGCAAGACGACCAAGTGTCCTATCGCGGACGTCGACGTGGTGCCTGTCGCTGTTAGTCTTTGCTATAACATGTCACAAGCTCACCAGAGCCGCGCGTATGCTAGCCGCGTGTTGCCTATTCTCACAGACATCTCTTCCTCGCGAGTTGTACGGGCTTTTGGTGAGTGTCGCCGTTGTCCTTTTTCGTCCTGGATGCACACACGCTTCTCCCTACGCGGCGAACGCGGGACAGTGCAATGGCGCGGCAGCATCGAGGGAGCTCCATGGCTCGGAATCGCATGGGATGATCCTCGCAGAGGCAAGCATGATGGTGTCTATCAAGGCGCACAGCTCTTCACCTGTCGACCTGGTACGGGCTCCTTCTTGCGAGAAGGCAAGTTCAAGCCAGACCCGACCGTCTGTTTATCAAGAGCACTTAGGGAGAAGTATCAAGAGGCAGGGAATCTACTTGCAGAGATGTCTGTTGCTGGTATCGACCGTGCTGCTCAACAAGTTGGTTTCAGGCGTGCTCAGGAACGGTATAGCGATGTCCAAGCGCTGAAGCTCGTCTCGCTTGAGGCACGTTGCATTGATACACTGGATGAGGTGGACTTGCCATGCTGCGAGGATTTCGATCTCTCGTGCAACTTGATTGACGACCTCGATTGCGTGGCGCGTCTCTGCCTGTCCCTGCCGCGTCTGAAGTGCCTCAGGCTTGCGTAGGTTCTTTCTAGGTTGGACACTGACTGACTATCTAGTGGGAATCGCTTTCGCCAGCTAGAAACGAGAGAAGTGACAGTAGAGACGCTGCATCTCGGTGATACAATGCTGTCCTGGGATGACATTCTCATACTCTGTACACGCTGGCACGTTAAGCATCTATTCCTCGAGCACAATGAGCTCCAGGATCCTGCAGCAAACCTCAAGACGGCGCCAGAGGTGCAGTCTGTTGAATTGACAGGCAACTCCATCACAGACGTGCACAGCATCACGCGCGTCTTTCCTTCTCTAGAGTCCTTGTCTCTGACTGGCAATCAGGTCGCTGCCATTTCCTCTGTGACGCTGTCGCACCCGCTAAGACGACTCGCCCTCCAAGATAATCCACTCCCTGTCGATGCGCTGAGTGCATTGCCATATCAGCTCATAGAGCTGTCCATGACGCAGCTGGCTGATCCAGATGCTGACCTGGCTCGGCGGCTCGATATCCTCAAACACTTGCCCAGCCTGCAAGTACTTAACAAGACACGCATCACGGCACAAGAAAGACAAGATGCACTCGCCGTTGCTGCACCGAAACGCGATGCCATGCTGTTGGCGCATGATGTCTTGAATTTAACACTCGCCTGGGAGGAGGATATGGTTGAGGTGCGCGTTCTCAAGTCACAGACAGTCTTGCAGATGCGCAACTTGGTGAAGCACATCTGTGGTGTCCGTCCTTCCAGTACTCTGCAGGACGACGCGACCCTCGACTCACTTGGGCTTGAGTCTGGTGGGAGACTACTTTTTCATATCCATGGCTCAGGTTAGTCTTTTCAGATAGAACTCCTTCAATCATACCTGATGTATAGGTGTTCTCCTCTAGCAGGCGATCAAGCTCTCTGCGAACGTGATCAACCTGATTTTTCGTGACGAGGATGCGGTAGGCGTCGAGGTCTTCCAGCAAGATGGTATGGCCTGCCTGTTCGTCCAGCTTGAGGATGAGCTGCTTGACTGTCGGATCGCTGCTCTGTCAGCATCTTGTCTGCCCGCTTGGTGACATACCACTCGATGAGGACGCCTGCCTGCGCTCTCGGCATCTTGGTGGTCCGGGGGCAAAGTCGCGCAAGAGCAGAGGCGACGACAAGTGCAGACTGCTACAGACACGCACCCCGGGACTCACTTGACTTGCTCCTGTCGCTGCCATCCAGCCAGACTGCCGCATGGCAGACCTCAGCAGCCTCAACAGTCTACTCTGGCAAGTCCCCGACCAACAAGCAGCAGCAAAGGAGACACCCACGCCACAACGCTCCTCTGGCACGCGCACCTTAAGCTTGCATTCTGGCGCTGCATACTCTTCAGCGACGCCTGCTGCAGACGCATCGTTTTCCGGCACACGCACAACTAAATGGCCATATAGCAGTCCTCGCGTGAGTGTCAGGCTCAGTTCTGCAAAACCATTCAATGCTACGAGCACATTCACACCAGCTGCACCGAGCGCATCGCTTGGGCTCGCAGCGCTTCCGAAAGCATCACAATCATTGGATCAAGATGATGGAGATGGTATGAGTTCTGCAGGCAGTACAGCACTCCGATTCATTGCACTCATTGTGATTGCCATTGCAGCTGTCGTCTTTCTCTGCTTGCTTCTACGCAGACGTCGCAGAAAGGCCAGCAAAACGGCTAGAGAACGGCGGTCTGTCACGGCACTGCGCAGAGATGTTGAATTGGGCAGGTGGCGGATACCGCTACTACGACATGCGGGGATTGGCACGGTCTCACAGGTGGTCAAGGAAGATTTGCCGCAGTATGAGGGGAAAGCGCCTGCGTATCCAGAATCAGTGCAGGCGCGAGAGGACGATGGTAGGGAGAGTTTCATGTCTCGGGCGAGTTCACATTCAACAGCTTCTCTTCAGAGTAGCCATCAGACACGAGGTGTCGAGACATATGGGCCACGCTGGGCGGGCGCCCAGTCGATGGAGGCAGTCGCACTCTCTGGCTTGCAGCATTCAGACACAGACTCGTTGGCGTCTCGATGACGAGGGGAATTGGCATATGACTTTAGCGCTTGGCAAATGTGATTTGGGTAGAACTCTTGAAATTCTCCTCTTCGACTAAATGCATAAAATCTGATTCATTTCAAATATGGTTGACGTTGATTGCTGGTCCACAATGCTGGAGCTAAGCATCAAATTAGTGACATCTGCACATCATCATTCAAACGGGGGCGAAGGGCAGCTAAAGATACGTCTTGCCTCATAATCTATGTAGCCACCCGGGGCAACTTCCGAGCGGCTTGATTCTGCTCTCACGGATGCTGCTCATAAGCCCGTGGCTTCAGTATAGTCGCGTGTTGGATGGCAAACATCCATTTTCCTGAAACCCACTAGGTCGCTTAGTGTGCACTCATTGGCCCCACGAGCGCCGCAGTGTACGTCATCCTTGATGGCGTCCTTGTTGAATTGAAAGCCATAGGGTGCGAAGCCGGCATTGAGTCGCTTTACAACATCACCTGTATCACATTTCTCCTCCTTCAAGTGCTTGTGTACTCGCATGATGAGAATCACAGCAAAGCAATTGCAGGTTGCAACACCGTGATCATTGAACTCTTCGTAATAATAGTCAAGACAGGCTCCACTATCCCCGGCGCACGGGTCTGGGCTGGAGAGGTAGGCTTTTTGAGCTTGAAGCAAGTAGATGGCATCAGCACCAAGGAAACTGTCACCTGCAATTGCCGAAATGAGAGCTACCGCATCGACCATATCCCGGCACCTCAGAGCACATTCACCTTCTTCCGAGCCTTTTGAAGCCAATGTTGCACCTGGAGGCCAGTAGCTCTGTGATGATTTATTGTATTGATGAAGTAGGGTGAAATTGGCGATTGACCTAGCCATGGCATATTGTCGGCATCCCAAGTGATCCTTGGTAAAGCGCGGCGCCGCTTCCGTTTCAAATGTCAGAAGTGAGATAATCCAGCAAAAACACACAACAATGATGCGCAGATGCGAGGACATCGTTTGCTGGTGCCGTAGGTTTATGACTATCGCAGGAGTTGGATCAGTATTAGGATTCTGTTTCGTACGGAGAAAGTCATGATCAGCTGATGTTTCACGCACCTCTCACTGTGACCTTTGCATTCGCAAACAAATACGCCACGTGCTTCATGGCAACATCAAGTCAGTCTGTCAGTGGATCTTGTGCAAATTCGTCGAAATGGACTTGCACTGTGCAGCTGAACAACATCTCAAAAATGTGCTTCCTAAATGCACATATGCAGGGCGAGATTTAGCTGGTGCACACTATTGGCAACCTTCACATGATACTCGCATACGGCTCAAGCTGGATCCAAGCAATGCGTGTAGAATAAGTCCAACCTATCTGTCAGCCGTATTTCCGGCAGCTGCAGACCACCATCAGACTTTATAAATATCAGCTCTTGTATACGCATGATGGTGCTTTGCAATGAATTCCCAAGATAGACAAGACACAAAGACTAGAAGCTTACGATGGAAGTTGGGCGTCCTCCTAACTATGCATGCATCAGAAATGCGGCTGATGGCAAAGTCTATGTGCGCTGTTGCAGTTGTCACGAACCGAATGAGGCAAGTCCTACTCGCGGTTTCAGATGCCTCATCACCTGAAACACCTAGTTACATCTCGCGGCTATTCTTCTGTGCACAACCACAGCGACCGATCTAGACCTCTGACCTCGTCATCTAGCTAGCTCATGGAACACCTCGTTCAGCATCTTCAACACTTGCTTGCTTTCTTCTGGCTCAAGTCTCTTCTTATTATCGCCTGACCAATCTGAGACATCTCTTTGTCTCCTCGGCGTGTCTGACTGGACGTCACCCACAGTCTCTAGGACTTTGGCCTTGCATTTTGTCTTCCTGTTTTATGGGTTCTACCTCTAGTCAATGGAGATAAGAGGAGAGCCTTCTGCTGCCTTGTTGTTTATCACCAACTTTGTACTTTGGTAGCATCATCTCTATTTACCTATTATATTGTCTATTGTCTTCGATGTGGACTCGCCCTGCTCTGCCTAGTCATCCCTCAGTCCAGTCAATACAGCAGTAGTCGAGGGTCCTCTGCTTGATTGGATAACTCGCACTGCATACGCGTGGCCTGCGCTCTGCAGCTGGCAGAAGATCCAGATTACATGACAAGCAAAATATATTTCAGCTGTTCATCGCGCTCATGTACAGTTCTTTTGTCATCTGTCATCTGCAGTTGCAGCTGAAGTCGTCATCATGTGGTTGAAAATTGTTAGATATGAGCTTCGAGATCCTGCGGGATCTGAAGCTGGGTCCAGGGGGTATCTCAGCACTGACTCCTGGCAGAGGCCTTGGATTGGGGGTCTAAAGAGCTGCAGCTGAGTCCTCTAGGGATTATTCACTTTTGTCTCAACGAGAGTGCGATGTGGATTCCAAATAGGTCTGACAAGAATCCCTACGGAGAATCTCCGCGGGTGGTAGACCGGTGATAAACGGAAGACTGATGCCGCGTGATAAACGGGCGACAAACGGGAGATGCTGGCGCTGGTGACAAACAGGCGATGATTGACGCGTAGTGAACCGGTGATTTACGGGTGAGAACCGGCGATCGCTGGTGTTTAGTACGCAGCGAGCTGCAGGTGGCGAGCCGGACCTATACATAGTTTAGGGGTAGCTCTAGAGCAACGAAGACTTACTACTTCCACCCTACAACTATCGTGCAAAGTGCCTTGCACGCTTGCTACGCTCCCGCGCTTGTTTCACCTCGCTGGCAGCGGCAGCGCGGTCGTTCCTGTCATTCGCTGCAGCCTGGAGAAGCTGAGCTTTCGCCGTCAACGGCCGGTTGCGTTTGCCCTGTAGTAGTCAGTATGAATCAGGATCAGCGAAGGAATGAGTGTACCGTGCGAGGTGGTTTTAGGGCTTCTGCATCGCTTTCGTCGTCTTGCTCGTTGTGTGGTGCGGTGTTTCGTGTGTTGCAAAGTACTTGTCGTGCCTGCGAGTCATCCTCTTGCTCATGGCGTGGTGCGATGTTCCGGGCGTTGCGTCGTGCTTGTCGTGTATGCATGTCATTCCCGTCGTCCGTCCCCTGCTGCTCAGCATCTGCCTCTGCCAGGCGCTTGTTGTGCCTCAATTCAATTGCTGTTGTCAGTAGGGAACATTGCGTAGATTGTTGGACGTCATCACGTACGGCGAGTTCTTGGCGCCATGCTGAAAGATAGCCATGGAGATCCAATTCGCTCGTGCCCTGGCAAGCGACGTGAAGTCGCGTTCAAGATGACGGACTTGCGTTCCTTAGCTCGGTGACACTTTGCGAATGCATTCGACGGCCTGGATCTCAGTGCGGTTGGATTTATCTCTTGACACGCGTCGTAGTCGTGCTGGATCCTTTGTCATGCATGTGTTGTGTGCAAGACGTCTAAATCGGTCTAGGTCGTCCTCCTGAATGCATTAGACTCAGCGCGCTGTGCCAGAAGAGACAGAGACGCTGTCTGATAAAGCCATGGATTCGTTGGTGGCTATATCTGCTGCGATGCCAGCTCGAGGCTGCTGAGCTGGTTCCGTGAACAAGGCAGGGAATACGCTTGGATCAACGGTATTGAGCAAGACTCTAGCATGCTGATCATCTGTTGCAAGAGCTAGTAGACGCACTGCTTGCGTCGCATTTGCGGAGTCAAGGTTGATGATGTTGGCTGTTCGTTTGCTTGGCAGGTTGGACTCTACTGCGCCACGCAGGACAGCATTGATCTGACTTTGCTGGTCAGACGCACTTGAGAGACAGTTTCGAAGGAAGAGAGACTGCAGAGATGCGCGTTTCGAGTGGAGCGCTTGCGTGTGCAGCGACTATGAAGCGTACTGTGGTTTGTAGCGATCGCGAGTAGCGCGAGCTTCAGACGTGCAAAGTGGTCAAAGTTCAAAACCAACAAAGTCCAACTTCACAACTTCACAACGAGCACATCAAACTGGCGATTCGACTTCCTTGCCTTTTGAAGCCTTGAGAACAAAGCTACTCTCGTAGGATATCCAACGCCTAGCAAAGCACATGATTCTACGATCTGCATCGTGCGATGATTACGTTTGCAGGTAGTCATGCCATGCAGATTGGGGAACCATGTGGTTTGGACACGTCGTAGATAGAATTGCTTCCGTCTCAATAGTTGTGCATGAGCTAGATGAATGCCAGCGTATGTGTCTACTCGGATGTCCTATCTAATGCATAACTATAGTGGAAGCTACAGAAATCACCAGCGTCTGCTGTTTGTCTTCCGTCGATCGCCGGTTTTTCACCAGCGTCAGGAAGTGGTGTTCCGGTTTGCTCCAGTATTTCACCAGCGTTACCGGTTTATCACCTGCGAGGCATCCGCGAGTCACCAATGTGCACCCGTCTGCACCAGCTGCAGTGATTTTCCCGTAGGGAATAAGTCCAGCTGTAGGAGCTCGAAAACGTAATTCTACTAATCTATAGCTGTTGCTAGGTATAATTAGAAAGAAACAGTCTTACTTTGGTTGTAGCTGTTTATCTCCTCCATTATCCTTGCAAAGGTCGTTACGCTGCCAAGTATCGGGCGAGGCACACTTCTGACCATCATCATCATATCCATTTTCAAGACAATCGACGTCATCATTGTTGGCAGCAGGAAAGAGATAAAACCCATACGGTTTGAACCGATCTTCAAATCGTTGCTCCACCATTGTCCGGGAGCAGTTATAGCTTATCGCCTCTTTCTTGATTCGTAATGCCCGGATGATGGCGCCACAAGAGCAAGATGCGTCTGCTTTATGTGCATTCTGAGCCCATCCCCAGAAACTCAAGCAAGCTGTGGCAGGGGCGAAATCGCAGTGGTCTGGTTCATAGAGATAGTTCTTTTGAGCATTGACGAAGTCGAGCCCCACAGCAATGAGATCATCGAGACCTGCGTGGCCTGTCGGTGCGCTTGCAAATTTGGGTACGTTGTAAAGAGCGTGAACGTAGTCGCGACAGAGCACGCGGCAATGCTTTCTCTTTCCCTCGAATATCGAAGCGCTTGGCTTTCTCAAGAGCGTCTTCACATAGCTTTCAGAGACATTGAGCCACTTGACGACAGTGACTTCTTGACACCTTTTTGCTGAAACTTGTAACTGCCAGATGGAGATTTGCACTAGCAATAGAGCTAATGCCCAAAGCATTGTGGGAGTGAGAGTCGTATGAACAAGAGGTGTCGTTGCAGCGACTATCTTGGAGATTTTGTTCATCCTAAAGTCAGGGGTCAATGACTTGCCACGTGCACATGAGGGCACATTTCAACATATTTGTCATATGCTAATTGTAGTAGCTACTGCCTGCAGCTGCTGCAAATCATTGCGCATGGTCTCACTCGCATTGTAGCCGTATTCTTATGCATGTGAAGTCTGCAAATCTGTCACGTTTCGTAGGTCGTGTAAGCCCGACTGTTGCGACGGAAGTATTTCTTTCTCCGCCTGGCCATAGAGCTTGGCCTTTCAAACACAGCTGCGTGCAAGCGTCAGTATACGAAGCAGACAGAACTCGTAATTCAAGCGCAGAACTCAATTTTGTCACAGCGTCTGCTATCTGTCTTCCGTTGATCGCCGTTTCTTCACCAGCGTCTAGAAGTGGTTTTCCGGTTTGACCCAGTATTTCACCAGCGTTACCGGTCTATCACCTGCGAGTCATCCGTGAGTCACCAGTGTGCACCCGCCTTCACCAGCGATTTTTCCGTAGGGTTACTGTAGCTATAGGAGCTCGAAATTGTATTCACTGATTGGAAACTATTGCTAGGTCTAGCTGGAGAGACAAAACCTCAGTACAGTTGTAGTTGTATGCTTTGATACTCGCAAAGGTCGTCAGCTTGCCAAGTATTGGCTGCGGAACATGCCGGATTATGGCAATCGACATCATCATTGTTGGCAGCAGGGAAGAGGTAAAATCCGAACAGTTTGAAACGATCTCCGAAGCGTTGCTCCACCCTTGCCCGCGAGCAGTCATGGCCCTTCAACTTTTTCTTGATTCGTTGTGCCCGGATGACGGCGCCGCAAGAGCAAGATGCATCTGGTGTACCTGCACTCTGAGTCCATCCCCAGAAACTCAGGCAAGCTGTGGCAGGGCTATTATCGCATTCGTCTGGAGCAGAGAGATACTCTTTTTGAGCATTGACGAAATCGAGCCCCACGACAATGAGATCATCAAGACGGGCGTTGCCCGTTGGTGCTCTTGCGAATTTGGGCACGTTGTAAAGAGCGTGAACGTAGTCGCGGCAAAGCTCGCGGCAATGGTCTTTCTTTCCCTCGAAGATTGAGGCGGTTGGCTTCCTCAGGAGCGTCTTCACATAGCTTTCAGAAATGTTGAGCCACTTGACGACAGTGACTTCCTGACACCTCTTTGCTGCAACTTGTAACTGCCAGATGGAGATTTGCACCAGCAATAGAGCAAATGCCGCAAGCATTGTGGGAGTGAGAGTCGTATGAGAAAGAGGTGTCGATGCAGCGACTATCTTGGAGATTTTGTCCATCCTAAAGTCAGGGGTCAATGACTTGCCACGTGCACATGAGGGCACATTTCAACACATTTGTCGTATGCCAATTGTAGTAGCTACTGCCTGAAGCCGCTGCAAATCATTGCGCATGGTCTCACTTGCATTGTAGTCGTATTCTTATGCATGCGAAGTCTGCAAATTTGTCACGTTTCGTAGGTCGTGTAGGCCCGACTGCCGCAACGGAAGTATTTCTTGTTCCGCCTGGCCCTAGAGCTTGGCTTTTCAAACGCAGCTGCGTGCAAGCGTCAGTAAAAATTTTATGCGAAGCAGACAAACCTCGTAATTCAAGCGCAGAACCAAATTCTGTCGCTACTGACGATATGTGCCACTTGGTCGCGGCCAGCTGCAGTGCCCGTTGGCATCAGTCCGGTTGGACCCCGAGGCTGAACAAGAGGAACTAGCTCTCGATGTTCTTGATGCCCTGCAAACGTAAACAAGTTCGGCCTTCAGCCAAAAGCCGATGTCAAAGAGGCCAGGTGGGAGACGCTACCCATTGCCCGTCTACAGAAGCAGCGTACTCTACAAAGACTTCAGTATTCTAGTGCTGTCAGTATGCTGATGCCTAAATTCTCGATGTCCATCACTTTCAGCTCAAGCCTAAAGACACTTGTTGTGCCTATTTATAGCTATCGTTTGCAGTCGTTGCCATATCTTCGCCCTCATTCCCGCTCATGGACTTGACATTGGCCCCGTAATTATGTTCACAAGTTCCCGCGCCTTGCACTCTCACTCGCCAAACCTTTTGTAGGAAACCTTGGCAGTCACTCAACCCGCATACCAAGATATTCTTTTGACCAGCGCGCATTACGAGCTGCAGATCAGGCGACACCGGCCGCGCAATGCAATACGGCCTGGCACCACTGCCGATAAGCACAACGCAGTGCAAGTTCGTCTCAAGATGCGGATATCAAAGGAATATGCAGTGGCCATAGAAGCGAAAAAATAAAGCTTGCATGCTGACATACATCTCAATAAACACGCCTGTCTGCGACTTCGGCATCTTGGTGCTTCGAGAAAGCGATCGCGCAAGAGAAAAGGTGACGACAAGTCCAGACTGCTCCAGATACGGACCCCGGGACGCACTTGACTTGCTCCTGTCGCTGCCATCCAGCCAGACTGCCGCATAGCAGACATCAGCAGTCTCACAGTCTACTCTGGCAAGTCTAACACTCTTGTCATTTGCTATAGGCATGATCTTCAACCGGATTTTGGCATCACACGGTTGAAAATTACTGCAGCTATAGAAACTTCAAGATGTAATTCCGCTAATCTACAGCTTTTGCTAGGTGTCGCTGGAAAGGCAAGGTTTCAGTATGGTTGCAATCGCTGTCTGTCATCCTTGCAGAGGTTGTCGAGCTGCCAAGCATCGCTTACGGGACATGACTGATTGTGCTCATCCAGGTGTTTATGATAGCAACCGACATCATCTTTGTTGGCAGCAGGATAGAAATAAAATCCAAACGGCTTAAACCGATCGTCGCTCCACATGTTTTTGCGAGCAGTCATGACTCTCGGCTTTTTGAGGATGCGTAGTGCCCGGATGATGACGCCGCAAGAGCAAGATGCATCTGGTGTACCTGCATTTGAATCTATCCTCAGAAACTCAAGCAAGCTGTGGCAGGGCTGTTATCGCACTCGTCTGGTGTAGATAAATACTCCTTTTGGGCATTGACGAATTCGAGCCCCACGACAATGAGATCATCGAGACGGGCGTTGCCAGGCTGCAGCGCATGACAGGAATTACCGCGCCGCCACTGCCGGCGAGGCGGAACAAGCACGAAAGCGTAGCAAGTGCGCAAAACACCTTGCACAACAGTTGTAGGGAGTACATAGTAAGCCTTCCTTGCTCTAGAGCTATCCTTCATTCATGCAAAGCCCTGGCTCGCCACCTGCAGCTCGCTGCGTACTAGTCACCGATCGCCGGTTCTCACAGGTAGTTCAAAATCGCCGGTTTACTACGCGTCGATCATCGCCTGCAGCTGTTAGTCACCAGCGCCATAATCTACCGTTTGTCGCCCGTTCATCGCACGGCGGCAGTCTTCCGTTTATCACCGTTTTACCACCCGTGGAAATTTTCCGTAGGGTAACTCTCAACCGTGTGATGCCAAATTTCAGCTGCAGATCATGCCTCAAGTATACTTGCAATTGAGCGCGATCAAAGGCTGAGACACGTTTTGCCAGTGATGTAGCCTAAACCATGGGCTAGCTACAGAGCACAGGCCACGCGTATGCAGTACAAATATTCCTGCCGACCAAAGACCCTCAAATCCCGCAAAAATGCACATAAGACTTCGTCAACAGCCGCGTTTCTAGTGCATGCATAACTAGATGGAAGCCCATATAACATCGTAAATCTCTTGTCTTTGTGTCTTGTTCATCTTCGTGATATATCGCAAGCACCATCATGGGCATACAAGAGTTGATATGTGGCTTATCAAAAAGTTGATGATTGTTTGACGAAAATAAAAATTTTTACGGCGAACAGACAGATTTGAATCGTATTCCACGTGGTGATTGGACCCAAGCTTAAGTCCTATGGGAGTATCATGGGGAGCTTCGCAGCTAGTGTGCACCTGTACTTTGTCCTGCTTTTATGCGCATATAGGAAGCACATTTTTGAAATGTTGTTCAGCTGCACGAGGCAGCTACATGTACATGTGAACGTATCTGTACAAGATCTGCCTTAGTCTCCTGACTTATTGTTGATGTCGAGCACGTGGGCTTGTTTATTTGCCCATGCAGCGGTAAGTGTATAAATTGGCTGATGCAAGACCTTTTCCTTTCGCTGATAGAGTCTCAACACTGATCAAATTTCTGTGATAGTCGTCAGCCGACGGCATCAACAGACGGCATACACATGTCCTCGCATATGCACATCTTTGTTATGTGTCTTTGCTGGATGATCTCGCTTGCGATATTGAGTACAGAAGCACGATTCTGGGGTAAAGATATCTTGGAATGCCGACAATACGCCATGGCTAGGTCAACTCCCAATATCACCCTACTTCGTCAACCCTATTTTCCAGGGAAGAAGTACTGGCCTCCAGGTGCGAAATTTTGTCCAATTCGCCGAACTTGGGACGAATGTCCTCAGAGGTGTCGATATATGGTCGAAGCGGCAGCTCTCGTTTCGGCAATTGCAGGTGAGGAACTTCTTGGTGCTGAGGCCATCAACTTGCTTCAAGCACGAAAAGCCTACCTCTCCGATGAAGACTCGTGCGCCGCAAACAGTGGCGCCTGTCTTGACTACTATTACGAGAGTTTGGTTGATGACAACTCTGTTGCAGTCTGTAACTGCTTTGCTGTAATTCTCATCATGCGAGTACACAAGGGAGGAAAAAATTGTACGAGAGGTGATGTTATAAAGCGACTCAACGATCGCTTTGCACCATTTGGATTTCAGTACAACAAGGACGCCAACAATGATGACGTACATTGCGGCGCTCGTGGTGCCAACATGTGCAAACTGAGCGACCCAGTGGGTTTCAAGAAAACAGATGTTTGCGACGCTTGACAGATATATAATTTGCCTTAGTAGGATTGCGCAGCGTCCGCGAGATCAAAGAGAAGCTGCTGTGAAGATGCGCTGGGCGATACCATAGAATATTGAGCAAACGTATCTTGAGCTGTCCTTTGACCCCGTTTGAATGATGTTGTGCAAATGTCACCAGTTCGATGCTTGTGTTCCAGCATTCAGCGTCAACCATATTCAGGCCCGGGCTTGAGCTTCAAGCCCTACGGAAAATTTCCACGGGTGGTAAAACGGTGATAAACGGAAGACTGCCGCCGTGCGATGAACGGGCGACAAACGGTAGATTATGGCGCTGGTGACTAACAGCTGCAGGAGATGATCGACGCGTAGTAAACCGGCGATTTTGAACTACCTGTGAGAACCGGCGATCGGTGACTAGTACGCAGCGAGCTGCAGGTGGCGAGCCAGGGCTTTGCATGAATGAAGGATAGCTCTAGAGCAAGAAAGGCTTACTATGTACTCCCTACAACTGTTGTGCAAGGTGTTTTGCGCACTTGCTACGCTTTCGTGCTTGTTCCGCCTCGCCGGCAGTGGCGGCGCGGTAATTCCTGTCATGCGCTGCAGCCCGAAGCAGCTGAGCTTTCGCCGTCATTGGCCCGTTGCGTTTGCCCTGTAGTAGTCAGTATGAATTAAGACCAGCGAAAGAACTAGTGTACCGTACGACGTGGTTGTGCGGTTTCCGTATCGCTATCGTTGTCTTGCTCATTGCGCGGCGCGGTGTTTCGTGTGTTGCAACGTACTTGCCGTGCCTGCGAGTCATCGTCTTGCTCATGGCGTGGCGCGATGTTTCGGGCGTTCCGTCGTGCGTGTCGTGTCTGCATATCATTGTCGTCGTCGGACCCCTGCTGCGCAGCCTCTGCCAGGCGCTTGTTGTGCCTCGATTACTGTTGTTAGTAGGGACCCGTTGCGTAGATTGATGGACGTCATCAGATACGGCGACTTGCAGATTCTTGGTACGGCGACTTGCAGATTCTTGGTACGGCGACTTGCAGATTCTTGGCACCATGCTGAGGGATGGCCATGGAAATCCGATTCGCTTGCACCCTGGCAAGCGACGTGAAGTCGCGATCAAGATGAAGGACTGTCTTCCTTAGATCAGCAACGTTTTGGGACTGGATTCGACAGCCTGGATCTCAGTGCGCTTGGAACTTTCCCTTGACACGCGTCGTAGTCGTGCTGGATCCTTTGTCATGCGTGTATCGAATGCAAGGCGCTCAAATCGGTCCAGATTGTCCTTCTGAATGCATCAGACTCAGTGCGGTGTATCAGAAGAGATAAAGACGTTATCAGATAAAGCCATGGGTCCGTTGTCGGCTGTACTTGCTGCGATGCCAGCTCGAGGCTGCTGAGCTGGTTCCGTGAACAAGGCAGGGAATACGCTTGGATCAAGGGTATTGAGCAAAACTCTAGTATGCTGATCATCCGTTGCAAGAGCTAGTAGACGCGCTGCTTGCTTCGCCTTGCAGAGTCAAGATTGAGGATGTTGGCTATTCATTTGCTTGGCAGGTGGGACTCTACCGCGCTACGCAGAAGAGCATTGATCTGACTTTGCTGGTCAGACACACTTGAGAGACAGAATCAAAGGGAGAGAGACTGCAGAAATGCGCGTCTAAGTGTGAGTGGAGCGCTTGCGTGTGCAGCGACTATGAAGCGTACTGTGGTTTGTAGCGATCGCGAGTAGCGCGAGCTTCAGACGTGCAAAGTGGTCAAAGTTCAAAACCAACAAAGTCCAACTTCACAACTTCACAACGAGCACATCACATCGACGACTCGACTTCCTTGATTCTTGAGTGGGAACAAAGCCGCTCGCGTAGCTATAGTGCAGGCAACAGAAGTCACAGCGTCTGCTATCTGTCTTCCGTTGATCGCCGTTTCTTCACCAGCGTCTAGAAGTGGTGTTCCGGATTATGTTGCGACCTTGATGGCGAGTGCCGTCTGTTTCGTAGATGGCTGCAAGATGGCATGAAGTGTGTCTGTCCCTTGCAGCTCGGGGCAGGCTTGTGAGATCGTGGCCTGCACATCGGCATGATCCGGACAATCCAGTAAGGCGTGCGCCAGGTCCTCTTTTATTTCAAGGGTTGGGCGGCAAGTGCAATGGAGCAACTCTTTTGGAGATCTTGTCCATCCTGAAGTCAAAGGTCAATGCTTTGCCATGTGCATATGAGGGCACAATTCAACTCTTCTGTCATATGCTAGTTGTCGCAGCTACTGTCTGCAGCTGCTGCAAATCATTGCGCATGATCACAACTGCAATGTTGTCGCATGCGTCGGCATATGAAGCCTGCAAATATGTCTCCTTCCGTAGGTCGTGTTGGCCAAGCTGCTGCAACGAAAGCTGTTAGGAATTCAAGTGCATCCCCTGATCACTTGCTTCCGCTGTTATCTCTCTGCCACGTCAGCGCTCATGCACGTGACCTTTAGTTTAGTCTTAGCTGGCAAGAGTGCTATACTCTTGTCCCCTATTCGAATCAAGTCTTATCTACAGCTGCCCTGCGTGCCTGTGTCTGTCACCTACGACTACAGCCTCGCATATCCGCCAATCTCGATTAGGTTATGAGCACTGTTGCTATGCAGCAAGACGCTACTGCTTCGGGTCAACGTTCCGGCCCGTCTAGCAACGCGGTGTTAAGGAACACCAAGAGTATCAGCAATGGCCTAAGTGCTTGGAAAGATGAGCTGCTGCTTGTCGCTCAGCAGGCCGGCGTTGAGACCTATATCTTTCAGGAGATACACGCACGCCGCGTCAAAGCAGCAATACGCTGCGCAGACGCCATGCAGAAGGCCGACGAAGACGCTGAGGCCCGTATCGCAGCTCTCGAAGTCCTCATGAAAGATGACAAGCTCAAGGCCCCAAAAGCCTATAGCGCCCCTTCAACTCGCTCCAAGTCCAAATCGATGGAGGAGGAATCAAGCGAGGATGAGAGCACAAAGCCTTACACCGGCCCGTGCTACATCAATTCTGAAGGGTATCTTGCACCTGCGACCTTTGAGGAATGGTCGCATCTTGAACCAACTTGGGACAAGAACAGCAAGGCCCTTTTCTTGCTTAAAGGAGGTCTCGACAGGTCCGACCTCGAAGCAATTAAAGACATTGCAGTCGCTTGTGTTGCTTTCAAGACTGTCATGTCTCGACACAAGCAGCCTGACACTTTGCGAAAGTTGCAATTGGTCACGAAGCTCAATAAGCTCTCTTTGCCTCCTGGCAATACCACATCTTCAGCTATTGAGACTCTGATGGTGGACGTTCAAGCCACCATTGCCCAGTTGCGCAGCCTTGATCCCACCGGCAAGACGTTTGACGAAGACATGGAAATTGCCATGATCTACGCCAAACTCCCAGGCGATTTGCAGGATCTCACCCTGCACACACTCTCCTCGGATGGACCACACTCTATCCGCAGTTTCGTACAGCAAGTGCGCTTCAAGATACAGTCGGACGACTATCTCAAGACGCACGGCAAGCACAAGTCTCTGGCAGACTCAGCCGCTGACGCTTCCCAAACCCTTTCCCAATCATCAACGGAAAAAGGGATGCTCGCTCAAGAGCAAAAGTCTCAATTGAAGCAGAAGCCTTCAAAGAAGCCGAGGAAAAGGCATTCTCTTCACAAGCCTTCATCTGAGATGAAGCAAAGTAGCCCCAAAACTGAATCAAAATCACAGTCTGAGGGCAAGCCAAATCTCAACACGGCCTACTTTGCTCACGAAACAACCCTAGCTGAACGTAGCTGGGTGATTGACTCCGGTGCCACGTCGCATATGACACCGTCGCAAGAGTTGATCTCTGATCTCTCTCATGATGCTTCCATCAGCATCACGTCCGCCAATGGCGAAGAGATGATCTTCACTGAACATCTTCTATCAGTGAGCGCACTCAATGAAGACGGTTTCGACGTACTGTTCTCGGCCAAACATGGACCCGCCCTCCTCAAAGACAGTGTTGTCGTCGCTACTGGCAGGCGTGTCGGTAAAGGCTTTGTCCTTGACGGTACAATTGCTAAAGTCCAGCCTCAGGCAAGTGGGTTTGCCCTTTTCACAAAGGAAAAAGCACCGACGGATGCCCTTGAGTGGCACCGACGGATGCCCTTGAGTGGCACCGACGACTTTGCCATATGTCCATCAAGGACATGAAACGACTTTCGAAGTTTGTCGACGGATTTCCCGACGACCTGGTCTACCCGGAATACTTCGATTGCTCTGGCTGTGCAGCTGGAAAGAGCAAGCGCTCGAGCTTTCCCTCTGTGGCAAATTCTGCCACTCAGCGGCTTGACATAGTCCACATTGATGTTGCTGGACCGATGCGCACCAATTCTATCAATGATGCACGATATTTTCTCATCATTGTTGACGGGCTTTCCAAGTACGTTTGGGCGTACATGCTGAAAGATGTCACTGCAGACACCGTCTGTAACATCTACAAAGCTTGGGAAACTGTTGCCACCAATCACGTTGGCGACAAAGTCAAAATTGTTCGCTCTGATGGAGGTAACGAGTTCAAGGGGAGCTTTCGCCAGCACCTCATTACGCAAGGCACCACTCACCAAACAACTGTTCCGCACACGCCTGAGCAGAATGGTGTTGCAGAGCGCCACATTCGCACTGTTGTCGAAAAGGCTCGCTCATTGCTTCTTGATGAGACGGTTGGTCCTCTCCCGCGCAATTTATGGGCTGAGTTGACCTCCACAGCCGTCTACGCCATCAATCGTTCGCCTCATACTGGTCTCGACAAGACGCCATACGAAATGTGGTATGGCAAGCGACCAGATTGCTCGCATATGAGGACTCCTGGTACCATTTGCTGGTCACACAACCCGCGAATCAAGGACAAGTGGGATGCGCGCGCCAACAAAGCTATGTTTTTGGGCTACAGTGATACTTCCAAAGCTTGGCGAGTCCTAGATCTTGCCACTGGGAAAGTTGTTCTCAACCACTCGGTCATTTTTGATCATGCTGTGGCAAAAGAACTGTCTGTCAACAAGGATGTCGATCCTCGTCAGCTCACAGACGCTCAGCTCGAAGCTATAGCTAGCGGCAATGCTGCAAGTGTCGAATTTACTGACGAACAGCTCGAAGCTATCGCTACTAGCGGTCTTGACGTTACTACTAATGATGACGAGCTTGATGAATATGCTTTTATGCTTACTGCTCAAGATGTTCTCCCAGCTCCTGTAACTGTCAAACAGGCTTTATCCCGCTCTGACGCACCTGAATGGCGTGCCTCTATGGAACGCGAGCTCGCCTCTCTTGAAGGCAAGGGAGTCTTTGAGTACGTCGCCAAGCTACCTCTCGGCCGCAAGGCCATTGGCGCTCGCTGGATCTTCAAGAACAAGATCCTTGCCGACGGCACTTTCGACAAGCGCAAGTCGCGTCTTGTCGCCAAGGGCTACTCTCAGAAAGCTGGCGTAGACTACAACGAGACGTATGCTCCAGTCACTCGACTGGAGTCTGTGCGCATGCTTATCGCGCTTGCTTCCATATATAAGCTCCATCTTCACCAGATGGACATTGCCACCGCTTACCTCAATGCAAACTTGTTTGAGGAGATTTTCATGATCGCTCCTCCAGGTTTCTCCAACGAGAACTTCCCTTTCGTTAGGCTCAAGAAGGCTCTCTATGGTTTGAAACAAGCTGGCAAAGCCTGGAACGACGAGCTGCATGCCACACTCACTGCTGCTGGTTACGAACGCTCAATGCACGATTTCGGCATTTATCAGCACAAGACAAATTCGTCTTTGCTTTGCGTTTACGTTGACGATATCCTCATGGCTTGCTCGGATCTCGCTCACAAGGAGCATCTTCTCAAGGCTCTTACAAAACGCTACGAGCTCTCTGACCTTGGTCCAGCAAATTCCATTCTTGGCATGCGTGTCTCACACAGCAACGGCGTCTATACTCTCGATCAATCCACCTATATTGAATCGATTGCCACCGACCACGGCTTAGCCAACTGCCATCCAAGGCACCTGCCAGCCAGTGTCGGCACCATTCTCACCACTGACGGCACTACCCACCAGCCGACTGACGACCAGCTGGCCAACAAAACAGCTTACCAATCCATTGTTGGGGAGCTTCAGTGGATCGCCATCTCGACCAGACCCGATGTTGCCTATATTGTCGGTGTTCTAGGTCGTTTCTCTGCCAAGCCGACTATTTCTCACATGAAGTTGGCTCGTGGCGTCCTCGCGTACCTGTTCACGACTCGCAATTTGCGACTGCGATACGACGGAAACGACGAGTTTGCTGGGTACTCTGACTCTGACTACTCAGGGTGCCTGGATACAAGGAAGAGCACATCTGGCTATGTGTTCATGCTTGGGGGAGCTGCGATCACCTGGCAGTCAAAGCGCCAAAACATTGTTGCCACATCGACCATGGGAGCCGAGTATATTGGCCTCTCCAACGCGTCAAAAGAGGCTCTCTGGCTGCGCGAGCTCATGCTCGGCATCAAGATCAGCAATGTGCTAAACTCCGACGGCTCCATCAATCTATTTGGGGACAATCAGGCTGCGCTGAAGTTGGCACACAATCCTGTGTTTCACGCCAAGAGTAAGCACATCGAAGTGAAGTACCATCACACTCGATCCCTGATTGAGCAAGGCAAGATCAAGCTACACTACGTCGGCACAAAACTGCAAAAGGCCGATCTCCTTACCAAGCTTCTTCCACGTCCTGCATTGGAGACGCAACGACTGCTTCTCGGCCTCGTCTAAGCACCTCGCTTTATCGAGATAGAGGGAGTGTTGGGAATTCAAGTGCATCCCCTGATCACTTGCTTCCGCTGTTATCTCTCTGCCACGTCAGCGCTCATGCACGTGACCTTTAGTTTAGTCTTAGCTGGCAAGAGTGCTATACTCTTGTCCCCCATTCGAATCAAGTCTTATCTGCAGCTGCCCTGCGTGCCTGTGTCTGTCACCTACGACTACAGCCTCGCATATCCGCCAATCTCGATTAAAAGCATTTCTTTGCCTGCCTAGTCATAGAGCTTGACTTGACTGACAGCTGCAGCAAGCAACAATTACAGCTATTCTTTGATCTCATCATATTAGCTGCAATCAGCTCAACGGACGCTTGTAATACTCTATCCACAACAAGACTTCGTCGTTCCAGCTACCCTGCTGAGACTGCTAAAACAATGCGTTGCAGAATCTGAGCTAAACTTCTGTTTCAAGCTTTGTGGGTTCCTTGCAAGTCTATGATAGCGAGCTTTTCTCAAACTAAGTCATAGACAGCTACAGTGCCTTGATTACGAGAAAGATGGTGATGACCGGTAAAGCACAAGATCAGCAGGTGTCAGCTACGTAGTGTGCTGGAGAAAGCTACCGCATTGTGGAGTAATCCAATTTGGGCTATCCCAATTCTTGGTGATGACTGGTCCAACTTTGCAGTAGACTTGTGAACCATTATATTTGCCGTAAGAAGCTGGGCTAGGCAAACCTCCACCCATTTGGTTCCCCCAGCCTAAGACAAGCGCTACCTGGATAGAATCCTGCTCTTTGCCCTTGTCGTCTTCGATCGAAATCCGAGTCGTCCATCCATTCTGGATCCAATCAAACGTGCTTGGGACAGTATGGTGGCTAGCGACAACGAGCCACAGAAACGGCAGCTCTTGGTTGTGAGTCAGGAAACGAACTGAATTGTCGATCAGATACAGCGCCTCCACCAAAGCTTGGTCAGCCTTGATAAAAACTTGATGGTTTGAAGAGTCCAGACGAACGATGCCCATGGTCGAGATGTTTAGCGTTGTGGGCAATGGGACGTGCTCTGTGAAGGTCCATTCGATTGCAAAGACGCCCAGGAGATCGATGCTAAGGAAAGCAAAGAGCAGTGAAGTCAGACTGAACATGGATACTTTGGCGACTTTGCAATGCGAATCGCGCCTTGTCAGTGACTAGGACCGCTGCAAGGGATGTGTCGGGATATGGTTGAGTGGTTGATGCTTGGGAGCGTCCCAATGGCACCTTTTTCAAACTTTGAACGAATGATAGCTTCAATCAGGGGTATATGTCAAGACTTTGTCAACAGATTGCGAGCTGCTGGCTGGCAGTGTTGAGCTAATCCGAGTCCAGTCATTCTCAATTCAGGGGCGCAAAGCGCTGACATGCTCGTAAATCATCTTGACCATGCATCTTGCTCCAAGCAAGAGTAAAGGAGACTCATTGATATACTGATGACAGTCAAGCAGATTTGAAGGCTGCTGGAGGCTGTTCATGGCGGCCAAAGACTTTGTAGCAGTAGCGTCTTCCCTCATTGACTCTTCAATTGCTGGCATCCCCGAGCGCGTGGAGATTTGTTTGTCAGCGAACTGCTTCATGTGCGAAGTGAAGTGTGTTAGATATAAATGAGCTTCGAGATTCTGCGGGATTCGAAGTTGGGTCCAGGAGGTGTCTCCTGACGAGCACTGACTCCTGGATGAGGCCTTGGATTCGGGGTTTAAAGAGCTGCAGCGGTGTCCTCTAGGGACTAGTCACTTTTGGCTCAACGGGAATGCGAGGTGAACTCCGAATAGGTCTGACAAAGTGACATGAGATATACGATACACATTGGCTAACGCTTGAGATAGGGCATGTCAGTCGGACGTATGCATCATCTGCCTCTGCAGCTGGTCATGAGAGCGGGATGAGTCGAAACCTGAGTTCAATGCCCTGAACAAATCGAAGTTGGTAGATGACCTTGGACAACATATCATGTGCAAGCGACTGCAGGGAGTCTGAGCCCACTGGGGAGCCACAAATGAGTGCGAAGCGCCCCACCACGGTGACTCGCCACTGGTCGGAAAGTTTTACAAGAGTGCAGTGATCGGGCATTGGAGTATGACAGGCCGAGATGGAAATGCAGGCAGCCAAGTGAGCCATTTGATGATCCGCCGTACCGCGCACGTCTCAAAATTTGAGCACTAAGGACTCGGAGTGGAATCAGACAGTGTCGCACCGCACTTTTACTGATTGACCGGAGGCTAGTCAGCGAGGCCGTAACATGGCATGGCAGATGGAAGCAACTAGTCATCAGCGTAGCAAGTACCAGTGTAGGCAAGCTTCGACCTCCCGCGGGAGCAGCGAAGTCTCAGGCTTTGACGGACCTCGCGAACACATCGTCGTAGTGATGGCGATCTGCCGACGCCACGGCTTACCAAGTAAACATGATCAGAGCAAATTCGGCTTCCTGAGTTTATAGACTCTAGCTCATGCCGATCCTCAGATGCACCTTAGTTTTACCTTTGTGCTACTTTCGTGACTGTTACTCAACTCGCATACCGGAAAAATTGATTTTTATTTTGACCAGCGTGCACCAGCCAAAGTTCAGGCGACACGGCCTACGCAATACGGCCTTGCAGTGGTGCCAATAGGCAAAATGCAGTAAAAACGTGTATCAAGGTGGAGATGACGTAGGAGTGTGCAATGGGAGAAAGAAAAAGAAGCCTCGCCGGGGATCGAACCCGGAATTTCCCGTTTCGTAGACGGACGCCTTGACCATTGGGCCACGAGGCCTGGTTCGAACTCTCGACCTCATCGCAGGTCCTCCAGTTGCACCACAAACTCTGTTGAAGAACGGCCGGCTTGCTTAATTACATCTGCAATTTCAAATTCTTGAAAAGTAGCAGTCACGTATTTCATACTCCATTAGGCATGGCATGGTCCTCATTCGATGTATGCGGCACAGTATGCCATGTTAAGACAGTGAGTTGTGTTTCAAAAAGCGCCTCATTGTATTGCTTTGTTGAGTGTGCAGGCTCTGAAAGACTCACGAGTTTGCCAGACAGACCCCTTCAACAACATGCAAGTCTCGCTGCCACCGCCTCGACTGTGCAAGTCAGGGCAATCATTCAGCGCCTCGTGTGCCGGCAGATGACATGCTCCTCCAAACATCGACTTGCTTGCCTTCTGCACCTGAGTCAACGTCAAAGAAACGTGTGTATGGAACGTCAGTAAGTAGCTTATCGCCAACTGCAGCTCGAGATAACAAGCAAAGCGCGCTGCCCTCTACTCCTCTCATGCACCAATGCCAAATCACCGTCGGCCACGCTACTTGCCCTCAATTCGTTATCCAGGCTAGGATCAGTGGTGGCAATAGCTGTCATGCAAGAAGAATTTGGTGCGCTAGCCGACATAGTTGGCAGCACGTCCTCGCACCAAAACATGCAGCATGGGCCTATAAACTTTGACCAACGATTTCGTGTGCGCAAGCACCTCAAGACGTGCGAAACTGTGAGACCGATCGGACGTTATTCACGCATCGCTGCTATCGCTCCAAATGTGCAAACAATTCAGCGATGCTAGACCCAGCACAAGTCGAAGAAGCTGTGACCTTAGGCCTTATGGCAACGATGGACTTTGGGAAAGCATACGATCGCATCTCGCACAAGTACTTGACAAGGATGTCAAGCTAGTGGGCTTCGGTCTCCGAGCTATCTGCTGGTACACAGCTTTTTCGGTCAATCAAGCTTCACAGGACTATTTGGATAGTAGGCTCCTGGTTGTCTCCTGGAAGCAGTGCAGGCGTATGAGAAGGCAAGCGCCAGCAAGGCTAGTGCGTCAAAGAGCTTCTTCCATCCGATCCGCACGTTCCGCGTATTAAGACGCAACGCCTGGCGTGGCTGGAAGATTGAGAACGAGCCAATTCGATACCTTAGCATCCGCGGTGGCACGCAAAATGACTACACAAACTTCTGGAAAATCCAGCTATTGATCGCCATGCTCTCAATCATCAAACAGGCTCTCCAAGTCATCCGTATCCTTTCCAGACAGCTCTTCTGGCAGTGCCGTCAAGTCCGGTTCTACTTGCAATTGGGCACTTATCTTTGCGGACTCGAACGGCAAGCGAAGCAGATCGATATCACAGTGCATTGCTCGCAGAGGCATGATTGGCAGCGTAGGTGAGCCACCATAGCCTTCCGTAGTACCAAGAAATTCTGGAGTGTGCCTGTGGAACAAGACCTGGCGAGTCTGGGCCTTGGTAAATCCACCAGCGTCGAGGGTACTTTGAGGCAAGTGTTTGACATCGCGCGTGGCACCGCGACGGAAGGCATGGAATGTCGGTTCAGTTTGCACACCGCTGACATTGATCATGTCCTTCAAGCCTGTAACGAAGTGTTGGCGACGTGCTGCTTTACCATCTTTTTGTTGAAAGACTGGTTCGTCACGGCACCATTGCACAAAGCCATCTGCAGTGTTTGACGCTGCCATCAAGACCGATTCTTTCCCACCAGGAGCCACCACACCACGACGCGATGCCAGTTCGAGTAGAAGTGAGAGCATGCAAGCATGCGGATGTGTCGGCAAGAACGCGACTGGTACGACCCATTCTGTACCTCGAAGCTTCAGTCCCTCGGGTGCCCTCGGCTCAACGAAAGTAGTCACCTTTGAAAGATCGTGGTTGGCTTTGAAAGGGGCAGGCACTTTGATCTTGATGTCACTAAGCAACAGGCATGCATCGTCAGGTTGACCAGCAGCGACAGTGACATCGCCAATGTGACAGGCAAGCGTACTGAGCGTCACAACGACAAGCTGTATCTGGAGAGCCTCGTCAGACATGGATGCAAGCGTCGGTCCTCGGGCATGCAGGTATGCGCGTGTCATCTTGCTGAGTGTGGCAAAGCCTGCTCGCATGTCCTTAGCTAGTAAACCGTCCTCGAGCTGTCCTGTCTTGGGAACAGTATCAGCTGCTGCTTTGATTTGCCCATAGAAGTGTGCATCTGCCTTGAAGTTCTTGAAGATGAAGATGAAGTCCTCAATGATGAATGAGAGCCCCTTGAGCAAACGCTTGTGCTGCGGCGCCCTTCCCGCAGATGCAAGGAAGTGCTGGATGAAAAGGACAACATGGGAGGCAGTTGGCAGCACGCTTTTCTCAATATTCAGCTTGGCTTTGCGGAAGGTTTAGAACAAATTGACCCACTTGTCCTGTTCATGCTGCTGCTGTGGGCTGACCTGCACAGGCTGTAACGAAGCTAGATAGTCTTCTGCTTCAGCTGGAGAGAGGAAAGGCGTATTCATCATTCTGTCGACGGTACGTTTGCCGGCATGTACGTTGATCTTGCGTGGGCGTACATCAGCTGCAGGCGCGTACTCGTAGGGGCGCTTGCGAGAGGAGGATCCTTCTTCAGACATGGTGTTCACTCAAGTGAATGCTGGTGCGTAGGAGTAGGGTCAAAAGCACTGCAGTGAAGTGGTTGATGAATGGGAGGAAGGGAAGAGCGGCAAAGAAGGCTTGAAGAAGACATCTTGACTTGGGCTCGAGCTCAGCGCGGCCGCAACCGCTGAAAAATTCAGGGGTCAGTGCAGCATCCCTAACCCTGTCTGCCACCTCAAATCCAACACCGACGACCGACCAAAATCAGTTCAGTATCACGCTTGGATGGGCTGCAATTCAATCAGAGGCCATTATGATTGCTTGCTTTAGTGGCATGTATCGTTCGTTCAAGTTTCAAGGCAAATGTTCCGAAAAGAATCGCAGATTATATAAGATGACGTGGGCAATCATCGCGGTTTGCTCTTCGCTCTATATAGGGCAGAATTCGCTCGAAGTCCTGCTTTCCAAGCGTCCTCTCTTGGTATCTACGTCTAGTCAGCTATGTCTTTGTTCAAGGACGTTGGATCTCGTTCCATTTTCAACAAGTTGACTAACTTAGGAACAGACAAAGTATGGGTTGCGCTCTCTCAAAACGAGCACAACTTCACTCAGGCTAACTCAGCGCCTGCTACGATCAAGATTTACAACTATTTCAGTGAGCTGTACAGTACCTTCTCCACTCAAAAGCTGGGCCAGTCCGATCAGCCACCAACTGCCCCTTCGCTTGTGCTATTCCTCGAGCATTTTCTGACCATCGTTATGCAAAGTACTGGACCTCCTAATCGACAGTTGTTGCTTCGTGGTCTACGTTGCATCCTTCAAGCAGCAACTCAGCGCTTCACAGCAGAGCAGTTCACACTTGAGCCTCACGACTTCTCTATGCTCAAATCTTCCGTCGATACAGCGGTCCATGAGAAACGAATGCGCATTGGTCAATCGCGAAAGCTCACACGCGTCAGCTTGTCCCACTCGACCGCATGATTTTGCAGTACCTTGCATACAAGCTTGATCTCGGAACAGACTCATGGCGTCGTGTTGTGCAAAACCATCTGATGATGCATGCCTGTTTCTCAGCGAGGTCAAGATCAAAGCGCCTTTTGCAGCAGATCAGAGCATCTAAACATGTCGGCAGAGGCCAGAAAGTGCTGAGTGAATAGGATGACCTGGGAGGCGGTGGGTAGAGCGGTTTCCTCCATTTCCAGCTTGGATTTGCGGAAACTGTAGAACAAATTGACCCACTTGTCCTGTTCATGCTGCTGCTGTGGGTTTACCTGTATAGGTTGCAGCGAGGCCAGATAGTCTTCTGCTTGAGCGGGAGAGAGGAAAGGCGCATTCATCATTCTGTCGAGGGTACGTTTGCCGGCATGTACGTTGATCTTACGTGGACGTACTTCAGGCGCGTACTCGTAGGAGCGCTTGGAAGAAGAGGATCCTGGATCAGACATGGTTTTGGCTCAAGTGTATGCTGGTAAACAGGAAGAGGTAGAAAAGTACTCCAGTGAAGTGATTGATAAATGGGAGGAAGGAATGAGCAGCAAAGAAGGCTTTTTCTACTACCCGTGTCCAACATGGCGAAAGGCATGGTGTTTGTTTTCGATGGGCCACGGCAATAGAACAAGCGCAAAGACCTCGAGTTTGAACAGCAATAAGTGCTCATAGTGGCACAGCCTCGTCAATACTCTAGCACAAGGTCTAGTTTTGTACTCCTATCACTCTGTATTTAGCTTCAGTAGATGTCATATGAGGTCAGTCTCCAGATTTGGCCTGGTCACTAAGATTTAAATTCTGACTTCTCACGGCGCAACTGCAATAGAAGCGCCAGATAACATTTCATCTCTCCCCTCATGGCAGACATGCTATCCGCGGATCTACCGCTGCCTTTAGATGCTCTGACCATCGATGGACAATCCGCGGGACAAGCAGAGCAAAACATCACACCCTGGGAGGTCGAAGGCGCCATTGTGGACGGCAAGCAAGTCGCTATTGACTATGGCAAGCTCATCAAGTCCTTCGGCACCAAGGCCGTCACTCCAGAGCTACTTCAGCGCTTTGAAACACTAACTGGTCATAAGCCGCATCCACTCCTTCGACGAGGCGCGTTTTTCTCACACCGCGACCTCGACTTGATATTGGATCGCTTTGAAAAGAAGGAAAAGTTTTACCTCTATACGGGCCGTGGGCCAAGTGCAGACAGCATGCATCTCGGACACATGATTCCGTTTGCCTTTACTTGCTGGTTGCAAAAAGTCTTCGACTGCCCACTCGTGATTCAGCTCACAGACGATGAAAAGTTTCTCTTTAAGCAGAATCTGACGCTTGAAGATACGCGGCGCTATGCATCAGACAATGCAAGAGACATTATCGCTGTTGGATTTGATCTCAAAAAGACATTCATCTTTGCCAACACCGACTATGTTGGCGGTGAATTCTACAAAAACGTCGTGCGCATCAGTCGCAGCATAACCATCAACCAGTCCAGATCCAGCTTTGGCTTTGAAGGCACCGACTGTATCGGCAAAGCGCACTTTGTTGCCGTTCAAGCAGCACCGGCCATTTCAAGCAGTTTCCCGCAAATCTTTGGAAGAGGTGGGCCCAACCTGCCCTGCTTAATTCCATGCGCTATTGACCAGGATCCTTACTTTCGTCTGACGCGCGATGTGGCTACTCGTCTGCAAGCACCGAAATGCGCCCTTCTACACAGTGTCTTTTTCCCCGCGCTACAAGGGCCCGGTACGAAAATGTCGGCGAGTATAGAGACGAGTGCCATCTTTATGAACGACACGCCAAAGCGCATTAAGGACAAAATCAACAAGCATGCCTATTCTGGCGGCGGCGATACACTCGAGCTTCATCGCCAAAACGGTGGCAACCCAGATGTTGATGTACCCTACCAATTCCTCACCTTTTTCCTAGAGTCAGATGAAGAGCTTGCACAGCTCAAAGAAGGCTACAAAAAGGGCGAAATTTTGACGGGAGAGATGAAGAGGCGGTGTATCGAAGTGCTGCAAGAATTTGTCTCGAGCTTCCAGCAGCGACGTGCCGCAGTATCGGATGAGTTGCTTGCACAGTTCATGGATGGAACTCGTAAGATTGAGCTATAGACTAAGCATCACTAGGCAGCGTCTCTGCTGGCACCTCGTTTTCTCCAGGTACATTCATAAAAGACTGTTCCCTGACTTTTGTCTCCCAAAAGATGCCGTCGACATCGTCAAAGCCGAGCTTTTGCCATCCATTCTCCTTGACGATATAGCAGTTGAGAAAACCTCCAGAGTATGCATCACGATGCGTCGCTGCCAAGATACTCCGCCGTCCAAGTGCAATGGCTTCTTCATCTTCCATATCAAACCGGTAGGTGGCGTCCAGTACACCATAGGCGAATGTGGCTCCGGATCCAACACAAAACAAGTTGCCCTTGCTGCGTGTACCATCGGAATCAACATAAAACAAGGCTGGTCCAGTCTTATCCCACCCAGCAAGCATAGTGCCCATCGACAGACCCATGCCTTTGTAATTATAGACAATGTTGCTGAGAATCTTGGATGCGGCAGCCACGGAAATGAGTTCCTTGTTTTTGAGCTGATGCAAGCGACATTGAATCCCGAGGAAGGTCTCCCAGTATTGACAATCTGCAGCACCACCTGCCATGGTACCGAGTAGGTATGGATTGATTTCGATCACCTTCTTAACGGTCTGCGATGCGATCCATGAGCCGGCTGTTGCACGACTATCTGTGCAAACCACAACACCGCCCTTGAAGCGAAAGGCAAGAGTCGTTGTACCGTGCGCAATCTTGATCTTACACGCTGGATTAGCCACACTAGCGTCAGTAGAGCTCAAGCAATGAGAAAGCATACTCGTCCGTGTGCATCTTTAGAAATGCGCCAGGATTAGCGAGCGAAGGCAAGTCATATTTTAGGAACTGAATATTGGCCCTAGAGTCATCTGCATAGTCGTCCTGATGTGTGCTATGCGTGTACTTGCCGACAAGCGCGTCCATGCTTGTTGGTTGTGTGGAGGGTGACGCGTCGACGTCGCAACTTGAATCACGACGACGACTCGAGAAAAAACCTGTAGACTAGACCGACCAGACAGACTGTCTAGACATGGCATCGAGGCTCACTTGGAAGAGCCATGTGGACAATACTGTCCAGTTCGTGCTATGGGCTAGCTTCGGCTCAGCAGCCATCCACCTCATCAACATCAAGCAAGCCTATGCAGAAAAAGAGCGCAAGCTGGACACAAAGATTGGCATCCTACGCAATGTGATTGACCGAATTGGCAAGGGAGAGCAGGTGGATGTAGGGAGGGAGCTCAAGGTCGGCAAGACGGAGGAGGAGCGAGAATGGGAAGAGATGATGGGTGCCTTTAGAGACGATGCAGACAAGACGCTTCAACGGCCTGCTACAGATGCGCCTGCTGTGCAGGATGCTAATCTTGATGCAAAGAGTTCACAGCCTGATCCAGCTTGCCAGCCTGTTCAAGCGCAGCGAGGACGCTTCTGGGCCTCCTGAACAAACAAGGTCTAGGAGTCTTTTGCTAATTAAAAGATCCAGCAAAGCCAAAGCAAGACAAATCCTAGTAGTCAACTATGGGCTTGTTTGGAAAGAAGAAGCCACCCATCAAGCAGCAATGGGTTGCGACGCCGACCAGGCAAGTCTCTGCAGAAGATGGTGGTCAGGAGCTCTTTGACCGGCCGTCGCTTCCAGCCAGAGATTTAGAGCCGCTGCTCGTCGCGTGCGCGGATCAGTTGCGCAGTCGAGGTCTGGAGACGCCTCTCCTCTTTCTGCCATTCAGACCAGCAAGTGACTTGCCTGCGACGAGAGCCTTCATTCGGCAGTGGCATGCGTTTGGTTGGCAGGGAGACGAACTGCGCAGAGAATTGCTCATTTGCGATGTCCTTGTTCTTGCAGCACTCTTTCGATGGGGCATGACACGCATTGACGGCGGCTTGCTTGACTGGTCCACCTACCTCTTGTTCAGATCAACAGAAGAAAAACTGCGACAAGACCGAACAGCCTTTCAACAAATTGTGCCGGTTCTAATTGTTGATCCAGCCAAGCAAAGTATTCTGCTCGCCTTTTTGGAGCTGCTCAGCGCAGTCGCTGCGCATGTAGCTGTCAATGGCCATCCAGCCAGGAAGCTTGCTCGACAATGTGCTGCCTTCTTCTTTGGACACGAGTTGGCGCCGCAGCTCGACGCAAAGCCAACACCCTTTCAAATTGCTTACACGCGCTGGAAGACAGCTGCAGCCGCTAGTGAGCACTTACTGGTATCCTATCTGCGTGGCCATACCATGCTGCCCAAGGCATTGGAGAAAATGCTCAAGGAGGACGCGTATCCCCTGCTTCCCACATCAGACAACAATGTCTGCTTCTGGACGTCTCTGCAGTCTCCCAAGATTAGTGCCAATCCGCGGGTCTTGGCACAACGCATACTGTTGCACCTACAAGCACGTCGCGAAATTGCGCCGCATTCAGATCCGTTGGATACGCTGACTGAAGAGTCGCAACGCATGTTACGAGGTTTTGAGCAAATTAGTTCAAACCACAGTGAAAAGGTTGGGGAGAATGCGACAGAGATTGATTGGCTTGAGTAAGTTCTTTGCTTGGCTGACGCTGCTAACGCTAGTTTTCAAGATTTCGGCTTTGACGCCAAGTATTCGAATGAAGCACGCAGAAATCGGGATGAACGGGTCGTTCAGACTGCTCGTCCAGCGCCTCATCCTCACACCATTGCTCCCTCAAGCGCCAAACCGGCACACATGCCAAACTGGCAGCAATTCATGGAAGTTGGACTGTCTGGCACTCTTGTGTACCGCCAGCCTATCCCTCGCTCAGACTTGCTTGCTGATTCCGGACCCCTGGAAACGTCCATTGCAGTCACCTACCATTCTGTCCAGCAAGAGCAAGCAGCTTTAGACAAGGGTCGCGTGGATGCTGGGTTTTGGGGCGCTTGGATGAATGCCATGGCGGGTGAGTCTAGTCCATTACATCGCAGCATCTTTGGTCGCAGTCTTGTGGTGAAGCTCAAGTATCCCGATGCAGTGCTTGTGCTTGAAGAACTCTTCGAAAAAACAGCCACTGTCGAGACTGTCCCTGACAAGCAGAAGAAGCGTTTGATGAGTTTTCGCAAGGAGAAGCCTCCCGAGAGACAGCCATCTAGTGTTCGCAAGACGATTGATGGTGGCAGGGCACTTGCAGACTCAGACTTGGTTGTCGCCATGCGACTCAAAAAGTTGCTTGATGACCACAGACCAGAACAAAAGATGCTCGATGCTGGACCACAAGCCTATCGTCCTGTTGCTGTCCAGACTGTTCACCGACGGGAGGAGAGTGTGTATGATGACAGCATTGGGCAAGATGTCAAAAAGATGCTTAGATGGGCAGAAAAGTCTGATGCTGCGGCGAGCGCCGAGCTGCCTACGCAAGTGAAGCCTGTGGATGCATCGCAACGCAAGCCGGAAAGAAAGCCGGTTCTCTCGCCTGCAATGGATGTAAGTGTGCCCGACACTGCTTCATTTCGAACCAATAGCCCGGTGCCGGCGGTCAAGGTCGAATCACGCCAGTCTACGCTCCGTGGGCAACCTCCCGGTTTCTCGCCTTCACAAGTGATGACGACCATCAACTCAAGTCAGCTGCTCGCAACGCAAAATGGAGGCGGCAGAGATGTCAGTCCTTCTGGAGAAACAACCTTACCGAAGCGTGAGTCTAGGTCGCGGCCTTCTACCCCCCGGCAACGACGGGCTGATGGTAGGATCCAAGGAGATATGCCGCTTTACCCTCAAGTCAGCATCTCTTCCCACAATCACCCGCCTCCCCCACCCATACCTGCCGATCCACGGCCTTCCAGAGATTCTACCGTATCGCAGTCTGCTCCCAAATTCAATCGTTTCTGGCAATCACGCAAGTCTCAAGGAGACATCAAGCAAGTTGTCTCTCAATCACCTGCAGTCGCGTACGCAGAGCCACCCATTGTCCGTCGCCATTCGCCAGAAGTGATGATGGCAGAATCATCTCCATTACCAACACTGGTTCCCAGCAAGGACGCCCATGCCTCTCAGTCGACTCTTGCGGCACACAATCGAAGTACGTATGAGCCAGCCATGTCATTTGAATTGGATGAACCAGAAATGCATTGGAAGAATGAGTTTGATCCGGCTGGGTCACACATGTCTGTTGCACCATCGCGCACGCGTAATCGCTTTGCGGCCATTGAGGACGAAGCCAATGCTTTGCAGCGGGAGCTGTTTGGCGATGCTGATGAGTCGCCTTTGCATTTGCGCAAGGCTTCAGATGCTAGCAGCAGGTACAGCGATGGCGGCGGTGATGGGTCGAAGCGCAAATCATTGATTCGTTCAGCTCATCAGCATGTCATTCGAAAAATGCTTTCTCAAACGCCAGAGAATGCAGACGAGCAGCCTATTCCTGAGCCGCCGCGAACAGAACAGTGGGAGCGAAGGGAAAGTATGGACCAGCGTATGGTGCGACATTGGGCGAGCATCAAGAGTCTCGCAAGTGCTGCCATGGTGCCTGTTGACTCGCCAAAAGCACGTCAAGCTACAGAGCCAACAGAGACAGGGCCTCAACATCAAAAGACCGCTATGAATGGGCACTGAGGCCACCAGCAAGATAATAGTGACATTTGAATCGTATCATTTCTAGCTTAATCGCTCATCTTATTTCTACAAGATTGCATTCACAATCGAACTGCCAATGGTCGCGCCAGCACCAAAGATGACCGCATTCCCGAGCTTGCCACCAACTTTGTGCATTTGCCCAGTCTTTTTGTCTTGCACCACCGTCACCTGCTGTGGTCCACCTTGCGCATACGAGACTGCGTCGTACCGTTGCGGATTGTACTGTTCGGGTGCGAGTGATGGGAGTGCAACTGCTTGCTGATAGGGAATCGTCTGGGGAAGCGGGACTTGAGGATCAGGAACACCTGTAACAGCAGTCTTTTGAACATAATTGCTCGGAAACAACCCAACACGACCCATCCCTTTTGGTACCGGTTTTCCATAGCCTGTTGCTGGACCAGGTACATGCTGACCTCGCCACCAATCCGCATTGCAGTATTCTAGTACGAGCAATTTATCACCTTTCCGAAACGGCAAGTCACCGGCATCCTCCGTGCTGTAGTCATACAGCGCATCGCACTGCGCAATGCCAAGCAATTTTGGTGGTTGAGGTGTTGGCGCTGGCTGAACAGGTGTTGGCGCATGAGAAGGTGCTGATGGGACTTGTCTGCGATCATTGCGATCAGGTTGTATATGATTTTGAGGTTGCGCACTCGCTGCAGCTGTGATGGCTGGCAAGGCGCCTGTATGTCGTCTAGGTATCTTGGACGTGATGAGGTTGTAGTCATCTTCGCTCAAGATGCCGACATCAACGAGATAGCCCAGGTCAGTGTAGATTGCGCCGAGTGTTCTATTGATGAAGGCCGTGTCTGTCATGGCAGGGCCTGTTGTTAGCTGTCAATACGCGGTTGTCTAGCATTTGGTCGTGAAATGTCAAAAATAGCTGGGAGATCTTGCCCATCTGAATAAATGTTGTCCACGCTTCAAGAAGTCAAATATCAGCTCACAACTTACGCGATATAGCCATGATCTAGTGTCAATGGAGCTTGCAATTGCAGAGGCACGCGCATCTGACGCGCCTGTATTAGCAAAGATAGCTAGAAAGCATGGAATAAGTCGACCAGCCCTCAGCCGTCGATTCCATGGCCTATCCACCTCTATGGCCCACAGGGAGGAAAACAAGCAGGCGCTCTCCAACCATCAGGAGAAAATGATCATAGATCAGATCAAGCAATTGAGTGATCTCTGCGTTCCACCCCCACCAGCATTTATAACCTCGCTAGCTTCGAGTATGGCTGGCCGACCGCTTTCAAAAAACTGGGCAAGTCGATTTATTCAGCGCCACAAGGATATTTTGGACAGCCGATATCTTCAGAATGTTGACCTAGCTCGTCACCAGGCTGACAGTCTCACTAGCTATGAGTCGTTCTTCGATGGTTTGGCTGCTGTTATCGAGAAGCACGACATCACGGCGGAGAATATGTACAATGTGGATGAGAAAGGGTTCATGATTGGAGCTTCGCAGAAGGCACGCCGGGTGTTTGCTAAGCAGAAATCTGAGTTCAATGAGCCTCCCAGAGCTGGGCAGGATGGCGACCAAGAAGGGTTCACTATCTTGGCGACAATCTGTGCAGATGGAACAACTTTATCGCCCGCTGTTATTTACAAGGCTGACACCGGGGACGCTCAAAATGTCTGGATCGAGAATTTCAAGACAAATCAGCACAATTGCTATTTTGCAAGCTCGCCCGATGGGTGGACATCTGATGAGCTTGCCATGCACTGGCTCGTGGACATTTTCGACAAGGAGTCGCGGCGCAAATCCAAACGCTCCTGGAGACTCTTATTTCTTGATGGTCATGGCTCGCACTTGAACACAAAATTTATCAGCAAGTGCACTGAACTGAAGATCTATCTTGCTTTCTACCCGCCTCACTCGACGCATAGATTACAGCCTTTGGATAATGGCTGCTTCAGCTCTTTGGCCGACCATTATAGCCAAGGCCTCGATCAGATGGTCACAGATTCAGGAGGACAGTGCTCGATCGAGAAGCGAGACTTCCTCCCCAATTTTTGGCTGGCCTATCAAAAGACCTTTGTCAAGAAGACTATCGAGTCTGCCTGGGAAAAGACTGGCATTTGGCCATTCAATCCAGAAATAGCCCTGGGTCCTTTGCGCAAAAGGCCAGCGACTCCATTACCCGCTCAAGCCCAGCAACACAACGACGGTCCAAGACCACCAACTGGAGTATGTACTGTGTCCAGGCCAGCGAAGCTGCGCCGATTCTTGGCGCAGACATCTGTCAATGCTGATCCAAAAACGAGAAAGTCCCTCCAATTTCTGGCGCACCGGCTTTCTGAGGCCCAAAGATTGCATGATTCCGTAAAGCTGGAAAATGCGCAGCTAAAGTTTGCTGCCATGCAAAATCAGCCAAAGAAGAAAAGACAGCTGAAGATTGGGGAGCAGACGAGGTCGGATGAACGGACAGGCGCTTTATCTGTTGACCCAGTCGAGGTACAGCAGGCACGAGACATTCAAGCCAAGGATGCACAAGGAGGAGACGTGCTAGTCGAGCAAAGGGCGGCTGAAAAGACATGCAGGGCTCAACAGAAACGCCAGGCTCGCGCTGCAGCTAAATCAGCTACAGAGGCCGCGGCAGCGGCAAAGAAGGCTGATTCTCTGGCCAGCCGTGCTGTGAAGCAAGCTCAAAAGAGGCCCAAGCAGGCTTACAAGTCAGCTGTGGTAGGGCAAGAAGAGAAGTCAAGGTCGAAATTGATTGAGACTGCGGGTGCTATGGTTCAGGGGAAACTTGTAAGTGCAGAGCCTGGAAATGTCACCGTCACACGATCTGGGCGCCTCAGTACGAGGCCAGCGCATAAGCGCCCTTAAACAGATATTTCTAGATAGATCAGATAGTATTCTTAGCTCCAGCAAAGTTAGAATTGATTGAATTCACTAGCGGCTGAGATACTGGCCTTTGCATTTGTGGTGTTTCATTTGTGAAAGCGTGCGCTTCGCCTGGATGTTCGTACCACGTGGACAACTTTCATCACACCGCTGACAAGGAAGACAGTGTATGGGTCTACCTCAAGCATACTACGGGGAGATAAGAGACCTAGTTAGGACCAGATTCTTGCTTTGATACCTGGTGCTCTCAGTTGCAGGAACGGGGCGACTAAGCGCCGCTGTGTCCAAAACAATGCCGGAGGATAAACGATAAAGCCTTGATCTTGCTTGGGAAGTCATGGGTCATGAGAGCTCAGCTGAGTGGCCAGCTCGAGTCTAGTATTTGGTGATAAATATTTGTGTTGGCACTCTTGAAGCTTTCGAATTTGCTGAGGCGAGTTTCTAACGTCAAAGACAAGGTCGTGGCTAGAACTTGGTCAGGTCCATGTCGTTAATCAGCTGCTCTCCAGACTTGTACCTCGCCATGTTGATTTTGAGCAAATCAGCGCATCGAGTCTCGTACATTGTTGTCGCTCCAGTGATATGAGGTGTGACTGTACAGTTCTTGGTTGTCCAGAGGGGGTGGTCTTTTGGCAAAGGCTCAGGGTCCGTCACGTCGACGAAAGCGCCTGCAATCTGCTCATTTTCCAATGCCTCAATCAGTGCGTCCTGGTCAATGACAGCGCCGCGAGAGACGTTGACAAGGAAGCTCGACTGTTTCATCTGCTTCAACGTAGACGCATTGATGAGATGCTTGGTTGTCTTGGTGACTGGACAGCATAGAACAACGACATCTGACTTTGCCCAAAAGTCCTCCATGGCTTCTGCATCTCCTGAGGGATACCAGGCTTCTGGCAATGATCCATCGTCATCTCCTGTGCCAGCAATCGTGTATCCACGAGCAGGAGCTTTCCTACCCGTCGATGAAGCAGCGAGCACCTTCATACCAAATGCCGTTGCAAGTCGTGCTACATCGCGTCCAATACAGCCATAACCAATCACACCAATCGTGTGGCCTCGAATCTCTGGAGATCCTGCAAGACTGCCTGGAGGAACATATAATGTCCTGTTCCAGGAACGGGCTGCTTGGATCTTGTTCAACACGCTCATCTTGTGAAAATGGGCGAGGATATGCATCAGAATATGTTCGGCAATGGCAGAACTGTGCACACCGGCAGCAGATGCAAGCTGCACCTGCTTCTTGACATCTGGGGAAGCGAGATAGGCAGATCCGTCAAAATGTTCAATACCAGCAGACATGGTCTGAACGAGGCGTAGGTTTGGTGCTTGCTCAGGCGACTTTGGTAGCCAAAACATCGTCATGAGAACGGTTGCCCTTGTCCAGCATTCAGCGGGAATCTCAGGTGGTTCATGGTTCCAAAAGTTGTCTGGGTGCTTTGAACCCACCACAAATTTGGTGGGATAGTGCTCAACAGTTTCAAAGAGACCACAGGAGCGAAGGTCTTCCACGAGATGCTGTTCAAGCGGGAAGCTGATGAGAAGATGCTCGCCTGACATGGTGTTCCTGCCGTACAGATGAGGTTATCGCAGGGAATAGACGCGCTGTCAGCTCGATGCACCGGCTTTACCGATGGATGGGCCCCTTCAGATGGAAACGGGGAGGTAGGCAGCAGCTGCACAGTCGAAGGATTACTGTAAACGAGTCTATGGAAGCCGTGCCTATTACTCTTATGAAGACTGATCCTCATCATCTCTCAGCCATCAATGCAGCATGTGATGGCTGCCTTGAGGTCATATGCGTTCTTTGGACATTCTCCAGCAATCAGTCTGGCCATATTGATTTTGAGCAACTCGGCACACCGCGTCTCATACATGTTTGTTGCTCCAGTAACATGCGGCGTGACTGTACAGTTCTTAGTTGTCCACAGCGGATGGTCTTTCGGTAAAGGTTCAGGGTCCGTCACGTCAACAAAAGCGCCTGCAATCTGCTTATTCTCCAATGCCTCAATTAGTGCGTCCTGGTCAATGACAGCGCCGCGAGAGACGTTGACAAGGAAGCTCGACTGTTTCATCTGCTTCAACGTTGACGCATTGATGAGATGCTTGGTTGTCTCGGTAACTGGACAGCATAGAACAACGACATCTGACTTTGCCCAGAAATCCTTCATGGCTTCTGCATCTCCTGAGGGATACCAGGCTTCTGGTAACGATCCATCGTCATCCCCTGTGCCAGCAATCGTGTATCCACGAGCAGCAGCTCTCCTACCCGTCGATGAAGCAGCAAGAACCTTCATACCAAACGCCGTCGCGAGGCGCGCCACTTCACGACCAATGCAGCCATAGCCAATCACGCCGATCGTCTGTCCACGAAGTTCTGGAGACACACCAATCTGCCCTGGTGGGACGTACAAACTTCGGTTCCAGGAGCGACTTGCTTGAATCTCATTCAATGCACGCATCTCGTAAAAATGAGCAAGAGTGTGCATCAAAACTTGCTCTCCAATCGCGCTACTGTGTACGCCAGCAGCAGAAGCGAGCTGAACCTGACATCGGACCTTGTTTGTAAAGAAATCCTCTCGAGTGAGATAGTGCTCAACGCCTGCCGACATGGTCTGGATGAGTCGCAAGTTGGGTGCTTGCTCTGGTGATCTTGGCAGCCAGGCGTTCGTCAACAGCACCGTCACCTTTTGCCAGCACTCGTCTGGAATCTCTGGCGGTTCAAACCCCCACAACTGGTCGGGATGCGTAGAGCCTTCCACAAACTTGGGCTGAAAGTGTTGAACAGTCTCAAAGAGGCCACACGAACGCAAGTCCTCCACCAGGTGCTCCGCAAGGGAGAACCATATGAGGAGATGCTGACCTGCCATGTGTTCAATGTCGCAAATGGTTTTATTTTAGTAGACTTGGTCAGCGGTCAGAACGCGAGGGACAGGTGCCAACACACCTGACAGGAGCATGAGTGGTAGTGTTGACGTGGCGACATTCGTAGATCTCTGCCCCTGGCGATGCTGACCAAATTTGGTATGCGAGCCTCCTTGCGATGCATGACATATCACTCGTTCAAAAGTTAACAAAGAGAGCGTCTGTGTAGCACTATCAGAGTTGCATGAGTTTGTCCAGTTCTTCCAAGTAGACCGTTTCAAGCACTAGTTCGCTTTGTTCTTCTCTTAGCAGCGTATCGCGCCGAGCCATGAGCTTGAGCATATCTTCTTGCAAAACATTGAGTTGCGTGATGGTGCCAACCTGTCCCTTTGAGCGTTTCGCCAGCTGTTTCAAGATACGTGTCATGAGAGACAGGACGATCTCAAGCTCCAAGCGATGATCAATATGCGCGAGCAGCCTGTAGTGTACCAGCGCTGGATGCAGCGTGAGTTGAAGCTCTACTGGCAGCACAGCGCTTTCTTCATGCTCCTCCTCACTCTCCTCTGAGCTTTGCATCTCAACAATGGCAGGCTTGTTTGACTGACCACCTGTCTTGAGGAGCTGGCCTAGAATGGCGCCCTCGTCTGCTGCAGCCACAGAATCGTCACTTGAGCTGTCTGTGTGCTTCTTTTCCAAAACACCGAGTCCCAAGTCCATCTCGATGTAACTTGTCGCCTCCTCTGGCGCCTCTATTTGTATAGAGGATGTGTCTGACGGCAGTGCATCATTCGCAGCCTTGAGGTTTGGCAGAAATGTGCCAAGCCGTGATCGAACTGCATGTGAGCTAGCTTCTTTGCGGCGAATGCACTTACCGGAATCAGCCGCAAAGACGGGCTTTGTGATGCTCGGCTTCTTACTGGGCAGAGCATCGCCAGCATCGTCGGGCTTGACGGGGTCAAGCAGAAACTAAGCTCATCAGAAACAGTGTTGCATGGAAGTTTGTGGAAGCTACCTTGCTGGCCCTTTTCTGCCTTTTGGCGGGCAATTCGAGCAGCTCTCGAGCAGTCATGTAGCAGTCTAGTAGCTACAGTAAGCTCAGTAGCGAATAGCCAAGCAATAGAGGGAGAGTCCTTGTCTTGGTGTAGAAAGCGTTTAAAGTTTGGAGATCTGTGAACGGCGGCAAAGAAAAAAAAGACTCAACGAGAAGCATCAGGGCACACGACCAACAAGGCGCCTCCCTCTCTTGTTACCTGGATGAACAAGGAGCACTCAGTCTTGCCATCAGACTCGTCAAGTGGCTCGCAACCGCTTCATGGCCTCGAGACTGGAAATGCGCAGGCGGTCGCAGGAGTGAAGGGGCAGACCAAGAACAGAGCTGCAAAGAAGGCGGCAAAGAAGCCTAGCAGTGCGCCTCCTGCCATCTCAGGTTCAGCACTTGGTGAGATTGCAAAGAAAGATGTCTCGAAGGCATCAGTGCCGGTGGCAGCTCAGAAAAATGCTTCCAAGGAACGTGGCGAGACGCGCGACAGCCTTGTGCGCAAAGACCTAGCGCTGTTTAACGTTGACCAAGCATCGAAGCGCAGTCGATCGATGATTCGCGTCAAGGTGGACAAACGCCCAGTCAAGGTACTTTGTCTGCGCATGCCAGTAGGCACTGCACCAACACCCGAATTGCCACCGCTTAAACCCATCAAGGTGCAGTTGCCTGGACAGCCTCAGCACGCTATATGCACAGCTTCACCAGCACAGTCAATAGCAGCAAAGGAGAATACGAAACAAGAGCGTGTACGCCGTAAAGCGGGCAAAGCTGGTAATGCCCTTGAACGCAAGCTCAGTCAAATGATTCTCTCGCATCAGCATCCGCGTGCAGCAGAGAGGACGCCCTCCGTGTCACGCAGTTCGTGTATGGAGAGCGCACACTCTCGTTCCATGTCGCCGGAAGCAGCAGGCTTCCTGAGTATGATGGAGGCAACGCCGATGCCCTTTACTGAGGCACCGGGCCCACTATCATACGGGTATGGTCCACAACCGCCGTTGATGATGCAAGGCTATCCACCTGCCATGCCAGCACAGCATCATCATCATCACCACTACCCGCCTTCCATGTCGTACGGCCAACCGTATCCAATGATGCAGCATCAGCCTGTGTACATGGCGCCCAACATGGAATATCAAGCAATACACGAGCGTAAAAGATCGTCTCTCTCCGGGATGCCAATGAATGGTATGGTCTACTACGATGATATGACGCCTGCTCCTGTGGCGATGGCAGGACCTGGGTCATACTATGGTATGTCAGACTATGCAGCGTATGGCTATGCGATGCCGCCGCCCGATTACACCAACGCAGCGATGCATGGGTCTTATGAGGCCTTCTCGCCACCGCAGTAACGTCTCTCACCCTCTTGAACCTTGGCCTTTTGCACGTAGTCCTCTTCAGTCTTCATAGCGCGCGACATTTTCGCATTTCGTCACCTTACAACAACACCACAACCAGCCTCTCATCCTCTCTTCCAAGACTGGCCTAGTTATCTAGTGTCTATAACCAACTAGTCAGTCAGTCAGTCAGTCATGGCAGAGAAGCAAAAACTCCAAGCCCTCCTCAAACAATCCGGCAACAACACATGCGTTGACTGCGGCGCACCCCATCCACAATGGGCTTCCGTCACCCTCGCCATCTTCATCTGTCTTGAATGTTCTGGCGTGCATCGTGGCTTGGGCGTTCAAACGTCCTTTGTACGCAGTTGTACTATGGATCGCTGGCAGCCTGAACAAGTGGCCAAGATGGCCTTGGGTGGGAATGATGCTTGTGTTGCATTCTTCCAAGGGTATCCTGGATTTTGTACGGGTATGCCCATCAAGGAGAAGTACGTCTCTGAATTTGCTCAAGATTGGCGGGAGAAGCTGGTTTGTGAGGTCGAGGGTAAGACATGGGTGAAGCAACCCTATCAACCACCTGTACAAGCACAAGCACAAGCAACAGAGGGAGGACGGTCTACAGCCGGTGCAGCCCAGACACGTACGGCATCTCCACAAAAGGCAAAGAATGAGGCATACTTCTCAAACTTGGGACATGCGAATGCGACACGCTCAGATGCACTACCACCCTCACAAGGTGGCAAGTATGTTGGATTTGGATCATCTGGCGCTGCAGACGATGATGAACATCTTAAATCTGGGAGACGCGCGCTGGATGCGTTGACGGAGGATGGTATACCTGCACCACTCGATGATCCACTCGCAACACTCTCTCGTGGTTGGGGTTGGTTGAGCAAGTCTGTTGCATCTACAGCCAAGACGGTCCAAGCGAATGTGATTGCGCCTACTGTTGAGCGACTCAATGATCCAGGATTTGCTGAAGATGCGAAAAAGTACGCAGTGGGACTTGGTACAAAAGTGCAAGAAGATGCAAAGTATGCGTATGAACGGGCGAATCGCATGATGGAAGGCGGGGTACCTGGTTCTGCTAGTGCAACAGGGTCTGCTACAGAACCGATGAGTGCACCGGCTGCCGCTGCACCGACAAAGAAATACAAGGACTAGATCTCTCCTGTATGATTGTTAAGGATAGCATTGTTCATCTATAGAATGCGTCTAAGCAGCGAATTTGGGCTCAGGTGTCTTTCCCTCTGTGTATCGCTTGACTTGGTCAATAAAGTTATCAAACAAGTATGCCGGATCAGACGGACCACCTTTTGCTTCTGGGTGGAATTGAACACTGGCAATCGGTCGCGTCTCATGCATGATGCCTTCATTGCTCTGATCATTCAAATTGATGAATGACTCCTTCCAACCCTGTGGCAAGGTCTTGACATCCACTGCGTATCCATGATTCTGCGACGTGATGGAGCATTCACCCGTTACGGTATTGAGACAAGGGATGTTGTGTGCGCGATTTCCATACTTGAGCTTGATGGTCTTGCCACCTGCAGCGAGGGCGAGCAATTGATGACCTAGACAGATGCCAAAGATGGGGCCGTCAAAGACTTCCATGGTTTTGCGCAGGTTATACACGGTTGCATCGCAGTGTGTAGGATCACCAGGACCATTCGACAGGAACAAGCCATCAAACTTGTTGATGACCTTTTGAATGGGATAGTCGAATGGGAAGACAGTGACATCGGCACCACGAGCAGCCAGGCATCGCAGAATGTTTTCCTTGACACCGCAGTCAATCAAGGCAATATGCTCTTTACCACCAGCAGCAATGTGGTAAGGATGCTTGGTGGAGACTTTACGCACCAAGTTGATGGCAGCCGGATCCATGAAAGCATCATCATCCTCTGCATCGTACTCCTCACCCACATTAATCTTGGCAAGGGAACTTCCTTGTTCTCGCAGATACGTGACAATAGCGCGTGTATCAACGCCAGAAACGGCTGGGACACCTTCACGCGAGCACCAAGCAGACAACGACTCCACAGCCGTCCAGTGTGAGTACTTTGTAGCGAAATCAGAACAGATGATTCCCGCTGCCTGAATACGACCCGACTCAAAGTATTTGAGCAAGTTGTGCTCATCGCGTGCTTCACCAGAGGGAACACCATAATTACCAATCAAGGGTTGTGTAAAAACGAGGATCTGGCCGCGATACGAGGGATCCGTCATGGATTCCGGGTATCCCACGACGGAAGTTGTGAAAACTGCTTCACCAGAGATATTTCGCTTTGCACCGAATGAAGTGCCCTTGAAGACAGGTCCGTCCTTGATGGTGAAGGTGGCCAGGTCATGCTTTGCAACTGGTTTTTGAGCAAATTGACGTGGATGGATGTAGTTGGCGTGGTCTTCTGGGAAGGCTCCTGTTGCAGTTGCCAGGGCCCGTCGTGTTGCTGGGAGACGGAGCCCTGTGGCTGTCTTGAGCAGCATGTTGAGATGAGAAGTGAGCATGATGTTGCTGGGATACTTAAAGCAGGTTCTTCCAAACTAGAGATGGATTAGCCGTCTGTCCACGTCAAGATAAGGGAGTTCCAAGATAACGACTTGGTAGGCCCGATGGGGTTCACTTACTTGCGTCGGAGATGTAGTCTGCGGATGTCCTTGAGGTGAACAGTACGGTCATACAAGAGCTGCGCTGGTCCGTGCTGGATGGGAGGCTCTGTCTGTGTTGGTGAGTGTCCTGGTTGCTGCTTGATGCTGGCGGGCGATAAGAAAAATCAAAAATCAGAAATCCGATTTGAAGCGAGGACGGGAAGTGACTCTACTGAGTGTCTACTGCTAGGCTACTAGTGTATTGACGATGCAGGCTACTGGCCCATGATCCTCCCAAGGTCATCCACAAACTGGCCAGGCTTCAAGATCGCCGTACTGCCATAAATCACCCGTTTCCCCCTTCCAGCCTGCTCTTGCCGACCACACCAGTCCAGCAAATTGCCATACTCCACGTAATTGCCTCCGCCCACCGTAAACACCACTGCCTCACCGAATGTCTGTGGCTTGGCTGGTTTCGTGACGGGCTGCTGGCGTTGTCTCGGGTCAAAATAGAGGTAGCTGTCCGTAAGGCTCTTTGCTTGTCCCGTATACGAAGAAGCACCCGTGCTTGGCTCCATCAAGGATTCAACAATCCGTGTGATGGTCAAATTACTGCTGCTTGGCAGGAAATTCTTGACACCTGAAATGAGATTGTTGAAGTTGTCCGAGATACCAGCTTGCTGTAAACGCTCCCCAAATTTGCTCGACAAGGAGGAAAATCCACGGAAGAGCTGATCTGCACCTCTCTGTTGCGCAGGGACGGCGGGTGCTGCTGCAGACACGGCAGGAACACTCATTCGTGTCAAGTCGCGCAGCTTCTTAAGAGCATGTAGTGGCTTTAAATCACAACCGGCTTCCGTCAGTGCTGCTTCGTATTCTGCCAAATCAGGCTTCTTGACTTCTTCCTGGCTGAGATAGTAAATCATCAACAACCGCATGCGATCTTCTGGCTTCCGCTGTGTATCCCTCAGTGCCGCAAGCAGTGTCGTTTTTTGCATTCGAGCAATCGTCTCTTCTGACTCAACAAACTTGTCAATTTGTCTCTCCTGTACACCCTTGAGCAACGCCGTTGCAATGGTCATGTGCATATCCAAGGTTTGCTTCCGCGCTTGCATCTCTGGTAATGCCTTGAGGGCTGCTTGTAGATGAATCGTTGTACCGGCATTCAAGGGATCCAAGTCCTCAATCTCAGTGACACCCGTTGTACGAGTGAGTTCTGCCTTTTCACGCGTATACCGATCGAGTTCTGCTTGCAAATTTTCAGCAACAGAAGGAAAGACGGTATTGGCATTGGATTGCCAAAAGAAGTCAGACGGGTCGAGATCGTAGGCTTTACGCGCTTTTGCAGAGTCTTCTGCAGGGAGGGTGATGCGATTGAGGTGCAAGTCACACAAGTCGTGAACGAGTGCTTGGTAGGTCCATGAATGGGACAGCATACTGACCAAATCCATGGTTCGATCCAAGATGACGAGGACTGGCCGTTGATAGGCTTGCTGGGCAGGTCGTGTCCCGGCTGTTTGTCGAGTATTGATGATGTGATCTCTGAGACGCGCATCGAGCTTTGAGGCAATCATCTCTGCAGCATTGCCAGACGGACAGCGAATGATGGGAATATTGTCGAGCGTCAAAATAACAGAAAAGAGACCCGAGACGATCCGATCAATGTCTGATTGTATCTGTGCTTCCGGGACAGCCGGTGCATTGAGCTTGTAGAAGACATCGCGCATACCCAAACTAAACAAGTCTGGTTCAGTGACGACAAAGTTGAGATGCTGATCCACCACTTTACTAATATTCCCCGCTGTTTCCGCTTGTGCTGTTTTACTCGCAAGATCCTCAAGCAAGGGTCTTGAGATACTCGAAGAGAAGTTGAGGAAGGCAGCTTCATAGAGACCTTTTGCCAAGTCAGCCACGATCCGATCGACGTTCTCTTGTGTTGGTTCAACGAAATACACGGCTGGCACATCACCGATTGGTTGCCTGTCTGCTTTCAGCTGCATATGCACGGTGACGCCTGCTTCCCGCAGGTCACTGACGCGCAAGACGGAGGAGATGACGTCTTGGCCCAGTGCATCAAAGACGAGGACTTTCCAGACGCCCGGTGTGACTTGTTGGGCATCTGCTGCATCCAAGGCTAGCATGCGCTTGATGCATGCGATCTGTCTGTCTCTGAGGGAGCTCATTGTGGCATTTTGTTTTACTTTAGTGCAGTATATGTTTTGTCTGCTGCTGTGAATCGCTGGCAGTTGAGAGATTCACGTGATGTTGCCGGAATCAAAGGAAATCGGAAATGGCTGCGTGCTTCATTCTCTTCCCAAGACAACGCATCCAAAAGCTGGAGAGAGAGAGACATCGTAGCTAGTGACTAGTATCTGCAGAGACTCAAGTAGCGAGAAGGCAGAGAGAAGAAGAAGAAATGACAGACTACGACGCACTCAAAGTCACAGAACTGCGTCAGCTCGCAAAGGAACGAGGCATCTCAAGCAGTGGCAAGCTCAAGAAGGACCTCATCAAGCTGCTCAAAGAGCACCCTGCACCAGCTGAACAGGATGCTGTTCAAGAAAAGACCACAAATTCTGCTGAGCTGTCGACTGAGCAGGAAGCTACTCCTCAAGAGCCCACAAATAGTGCTGCTTCCACTGCAGGAGAAAAAGATTCAGGTACGCTCAACGTTTTTACGTTGCTACACAACCGCACCATCACCCTCAATCCTGACTACTGACATTCATCATAGCTCAAACTGACAAGGAACACGCACAGCCATCCAGTGACATCCACCAGGACAAGCAAGACTCCGACAAGCACGTCCAACCTGCCAAGTCTTCAGATGACACAGCAGGTAAGTCCTGCAATCACACTTCTTCTTATTCTTACAATAGCAGCTGCAACAGATGAAAAAACATTGACTGAACAGCTCATCGAGCAGATTCATCATCCAGAAGAGACAACACCTGTTGAGATTCCTACCCTCCAGAAGGACCCAAGTCACGTTGCCATGACGACTGCTGCTCCACCTGCTGACCCAGAAAAGGACAATGCCATCCCATCCAATGATGCACACGCAGCATTACTCGGTACAGCGAGTGAAAATGCCATGCAAGGGAATGTTCCTGCTGGTGCTGAAATTGCTGATTCTGAGCGTGTTGTGGATTCCATGGCCATACCCGAAGCTGCTGTGCCAAATATGGATACGGGTGCTGGGAGCATTGAAGCAGGTGCTGCACCTGATAATGTGGAGGTGATGGTTGCCAATGAGCGTGTTGATGAAGAGCCCTTGGCATTTGACGCCAATGACGCAGATGCCCTATTGAAGCGTCGTATCGAGGAGGAGAAGAATGTTGAGGATCGTGTAGCGAAGAAGGTGAGGATGGAGTTGGATGTTGAGCCTATCGGTGGCAGTGCGATGCTCAAGTGAGGTGGTGAGCAAGCTTGTGATGTGGATGAAGAAACCTGGCATATACTAAACCCTTGTGCACGATGTGACTCTGATTGCTACCTCTTCTTCTTCCTGCCATGGACCTCGGCCTGTATTGCTTGTCGCCAACGCTGCCACTCCTGCTCAACCTCCGTCTCATACTCCGTATCGCGCACAAGAAAGACAGCAGCAACTTGTGTCTCACAAAGCCATCGAACAACGCCAGCTTGCTTGAGTTGCTCATACACCATGAACCAGATACCGCCAAAGACCATGCCGATACCCACACCGACCAAGACTTGTGCAACGGTATGGTAGGCGAGATAGATACGACTGAGACACACTGCAAAGCTAACAGACACAACAGTCCCTGCACGTATTCCGTGTATCCAATCTCGCCATCGCTGGATATCAGTCGTGGCAAGTCTCTGTCGGTGCCGAAGAAGCAGGATGCACGATGCATAAACGCAAAAGAAACCCATGAACTGCGCATGACTGCTCGGCATACCATATCCTTTCCCAATTCCAATCACATCTAGCTTCATCAGCAGTCATTCATTCGTTTTCAACAAAAGAAGACGCACGTTGAGGACGGTCTTGCTTGATGGCACGCTTTGAGATCCAATTCAGCGCTTCGCACGCAAGTTGTCCGGCGAATAGCCAAGCAATCTCTGCTTCCCTGCGACAGTAAAGAGCCGTCGCATAGGCAACCAGGAGAGCTTGTGGGATGAGTGCTAGAAAGGCAGAGAGCAGGCCAAACGAGGAGTCTGGGTCGTAGTATACATGTGTCAGTGCTAGCGAAGCAAGATTGTCTGCTGGCGATGCAAGAGCGCCCATGTCTATGCAGGAGATATGAGCAGAGGAGCTTGTACAAGTTGCTACTAGATGGCGACTTTCTTCATCAACGAAGCTCAAGCAATACTTAGCAATACTTGGACCACTTGGTCGTCTTGAGAAGCAACGAACGGGTCGCGCGACCAAAGAGAAACTTCAGCTCCCAGGACGAACCCTCGTATCCAAACAGGCATGCAGCTCTCTACAGTCAGCGCCTGCAAGGTCATCGCTACACTCGGCCTGGGCACCATTGCTGCGTTCCACACACAACTCGCGGCAACCACATTATCAGCACTACACAACCAAACTCGACGTGAACAGATTGCGCGGGATGCGCTCAACCCCCTCCACCGCATTCATCTCCTTGCAGGTGCTAGCGTTTCTCTATCGACACTTGTCTGGATCGCTTATGCAGCGTCATCGCAAAAAGGACGGCACCCGTATTTGAACTACGTCGCTGGCTCAAGTCTTATCGCTGCAGCAACAAGTTTTCTGGGAACTGGCAAGATTCTACGCGTTTTGGCTGGGCAGACATTGGCGCTTGATGCATTGTTGGATCAAGTCAAGACGAAAGTACTGCATGGTCTCGGACGGAGAACAACGGAGATTGATTTGGAAAAGGGACAAGCGACTCCTGTTGGGGAACTGAATGGCGAAGTGGTTGATGCTGCGCTGACACGAGCTGAACGGCTTGCTTGGACAACTGCAGGCTTGAGTATCGTCTCCTTCCTCATGAGTCTTGCGGGTAATCTGGGTGATCGCTACTAGCTGCGGCAGTACGCTCCCAAAGAAGTCCTGCTTGCCTGGTAGGCATGTATGTACATTTACGATCCTTCATGTGCTTCCACCGCATTCACCACTGCTGTTGTCCGGCTTCAGGAAAATAGTCTCCGCCGAATTCTAAACTTGAATCACCTCGCTCTTCACTGCTGACGAGCGTCCATGCATGCCAGGGTAAAGTACGTCGATACGCCTCAATTTTGAGTGTCGCTTCAAACGATTGTGTGCAGAATCGTGGTCGATGACCTTCAGGTAGCGGTGCTGATAGCGTGAAGAATGTCTCCTTCTTTGCTTCTGCATGGACAACTAGACGTTGACGGAATGTGGCAACGTCGAGGATGCAGGTGGATGGATCCGTCGAGTTGCTGCTTGGAGATATCCATTTGCGCTTGACTGACAGGAACGGTGACCACCCAAAGACTGACATGCTGAATGGAGGACGGAAGGTGAATGCTTTGTTAGCATCCTTCCTTGTGCTTCTCGCTGCAGCAAGTCCTTCTGGAGAGGGACGATAAGTCAACAGATAGGCTTGAATGCCAAGCATTGCTTCACCACCAGCAAAGCACAGACCATCGCCAGGCTTTCCCTTTTCACTCCACGACTGTACCCATAGATAGCCATCTGGAAAAGAAGCTGCCCAATTCTTTTCTTGATGCATGGTTGCCATACCTTCTTTATCAAGCTCGTCGAGAATAGGATCTGCCCTGCCTTCTGGAGTCTCCAAGGATAAACTGACCATACAGTCCTGAGATAATGCTTGAACATGCCACTGAATAGGTAATGGCAAATTTGCGAACACGCCCGCAGGTGTACTCTGCTCATCTCCCTGAATATAAGGATCGCGCGTATCAGGCTTACTTGTGCACTTGAGCTGAAAGCCAGAAAGGCCCTCGCGTGTGTCCGGGAGTGCATGTAAATCATAATGCATACCTTCTTCATCGTACTTCACTACGCCATGTGGCTCTGCAGTCGAATCTGCGGCCAGCACATCAATTGTGAATGCAGTCTTTGAAGGGCTCGCACGATATACATTTTCCTTGGCCCACACTTCGCGCTGCCAAGAACGCTGTACCTCTTTTTCTTGTATGTTTAGCTTTCTTGCAGTTGCAGCAACATTAGCGGAGGAGAGAACATAGGTCATAGACACCATATGCGCGCGCTGAGGCGCACCATGGACAGAGCAGACAATGAGGGCAAGATGATTGCCGCTCTCAAGGCGGAACTTGGAGTAGTAACCTTCGAATTGACATCGCTTATGCGGAAGCCAGTGAGCAGAGATTGTCTTTCTTGCTATTTCTACACTCATAGCAGCAGCTTGTGTGGTTCAAGTCATGAAGAGAACGACGACGTCACGATTGTACCAAGTAACCATCTGAAATATATTTAGCCAGGAATACTAACCACTTTGACTTTAAAGCTTAAGCTTCTCCAGTGTCTCGTTCATCGTCATCTTGTCACGCGAGGCAGGCATCGTAGATGGCATCTTGGGAGCGTTATCCAAAATGGCTTCCACCTCATCCATGATCTCTTGGGTCAACTTTGGCAGCATCTCCAATGCCTTAACATTCTCAGTGATTTGCTCTGGCTTGGTAGCACCCAAAATAGCAGTAGACATGTTTGGATTCTTGATGAGCCAGGCAAGTGCCAAGTTGCCCATAGTTCCACCAAGCTTCTCTGCGATTGGGGTCAATTTGCGCACCTTTTCAATCTGTGCCTTTGTCTCTTCCTTTTCAAACTTGTCTGCTGAGGATTTCGAAATCTTGCCATAGCGAGAGTCAGCCGGGATGCCGTCATTGTACTTGCCAGTCAGGATCCCCTGGAACAAAGGCGACCAGACAGTTGTACCGTACTTGTAAAGCTTGTACAGCGGTGCATACTCAGCCTCGGGACGGTCACGCACCATCATCGAGTGCTGACACTGCTCAGCAATGGGACCAATCAAACCCAGTCTAGTAGCGACATGCTGGGCATGTTCAATCTCAAAGGCACTCCATTCACTGGTTCCCCAGTAGAAGGTCTTGCCTTGCTCAATGAGGTAGTTCATGGCACGCACCGTCTCTTCCATAGGTGTGCACCAGAAATCTGCTCGGTGGCAAAACACAACATCGACATAGTCGAGTCCGAGACGTTCCAGGGAACCAGTCATACCTTCAATGATGTGCTTGCGAGACAAGCCGTGGTTGTTGGGAAACTGGTTCGTTGTACCAAAATGCAACTTGGTACTCAAGACATAATCTGTCCTGTGGAAGTTGGCCTCCTTGAGCGCACGGCCCATGATGACTTCTGACTGACCTTCTGCGTAGATTTCAGCAGTATCGAAAAAATTGATGCCGTGACTCCATGCCTCTTCGAGGCATTTCCTGGTTTGCTCTACCTCTGCAACACCATCGTCACTGCCGTACGTGAGCCAGCCGCCCAGAGAGAGCACAGAGACCTTGAGGCCTGTGTCTCCGAGGAAACGGAAGAGCATGTTCTTGGGGTCAAACTGTTGTCAGCAAGGACAGTCTGCAGAGACAGTCGTACACGCTTAGTGGAGGAGCTCATCTTGTAATACGATTACTTCTAATGGTATTTGGTTGTAGACTAGAAGTGCAGGTTTAAGTATACGTATGAATCGGCAATGCCGTCATGGGGATCTGTCATCATCTCACGCTGCGAATTCGGCAACATCAACCGATGCATCTATAGGAGAGGCTTAAGCAGATACAGAGAGGAGATGATGATGTGTACTTGTGAACAACGCAAAAGGCTGGAGGACTACTCGCTCTCTTCCTCAGACTCGTCCTCGGCCTCTTCCAGCCACTTGAGGAATGGCTCTGCAGCCTTGCGAATCTTCTTGCTTGTATCACGGTCAACGTACTTCTTGCTGGCCTTGGCACCCCACTTGGTCAAGACTTCTTCAGACACAAGGTCATTCTCATACAGCGTCATGAGAATTTTGCTTGTGCCCGACAGCAAGTCTGGGTTCTGCTTGCCAATGACACGCTCGATACCTCCAAGGAGGGCCTTTTCGTGCTTCTCAGAGGTGTTCATCTTTGTCAAGAGAGCGGCGTACTTTGGAATTTGCTTGAGAATGTTCTCGTCAAAGACGCATTGAACGATGACTGCAAGAGTGCGATGTTTAGCCTCAATGCCAAGCTCTTGGGCCTTCTTGAAGATGTCAACGTCAGAGGGCGTCTTTTCCTCTTCGATCCAGCTGCCAAGGACATCGTAGCTGGTCTCACCAGCTTCTTCCTCGTCATCATCGTCAAGTGTCAGCTTCTCCACACCAGCTAAATCTGCGACACGAGCCTTGACGGCAGCGTCGGAAGTATCGACCGTCCACTCTTCATCCTTGACATCGGCATTGTTGGTTGGCAAGGAAGCAGCAGCCATCTGGATAGACCGTGTCAGCTCATCATCACTGTCAGCGGCAAGCATTTCTTCCTCCGCTTCACCTTCGTCCGATGCATCCTTCTCCTTCTTGCCCTTCTTGCTCTTCTTCTTCTTCTCCGGTGGATTCTTCATAATGACATTGGCGAGTTTGTGACGCAAGTCCACCGGTGTGATCTTGCCACACGCTTTGCAATCCCGATTGATGTCTCCCGTCTTGGAAATAACGAGCTCCGTTTCCGGGTTCTTGCAAGCACGGCACAGGACAAACTTATCGATGAATCCATCCAATGTGTCTTGCAGCTTACCGGCATCGTGTGCGCCATTGACGATGTAACGATCTACCTCTGCGTTACAGATGACTTGAGCACCGAGCTCAAACCCAAAGTACTTTGTGGTGTACAAGGGAGGCCGCGCAAGCGCTTTGGCGATATCGGACATGTTTGGGACGACAGTCTTGATGCCATTGCCTTTGCCTTCAATCTTGGACTGAATTTTGGGCATCTTGTAGCGATAGAAGGAGTCCTGGACATCGCGGCGAATGTTGATCATGCCAGACATGATGGAGATGGCAGGGTTGGTTTCAAGAACAGGCTATATAGGCTTGATTGTGGGCGTGATGAACTCCTCTGTTTGGATGGCACAAGAGCATACAGTCCTCCTGTCGTTGATGGTGCGCGTCGGGATGCAGATTGAGCGAGTACTGCACAGAGGGGATGGTTAGTTGGAGCTTTGTCGGCCTGTGCTCCGTGAAGTCTTTTCTATGAGGATTCACGTGCGGCATCAGATGGAGAGTGGTGTAGTAGAAGTAGTAGAAGTGGAAGTAGTAGTAACTGTACAACTAGTAGACTATAATCTACCACTCCGTAATGTCATCCACTTCCCCAAACTTGCTAGGCCGCACATCCACCGTCTCTTCCTGTGCGCTTCCCTCACTCTGCTGCTCCATAATGTCCCGCAGAAACTCGCGCTGGAACCGCACGACCTTGTCATTCATCTGCCCAAACTCCAACAAGAACCCATCATGTCCCTCAGGCGACTCGATCCGATCTAGTCTGGCATTCGGCATGTATCGTGCAATCTCCTCTTGCTCACCGAAAGTGAACAGTCCATCTGATTCAATGCCAATGACTAGCGCAGGTTGTGAGAGCATACCGAGTGCTTCTGCTACAGACCCGGCCCTGTCCCGTGACACATCATGCGTATCCAGCTTCCGTGTGATGCTGATATAACAATTCGCATCGAACCGCTTGACAAACTTTTGTGCTTGATAGCGAAGATACGACTGCGCAGAAAACTGCGTCGCCACAACGCGTGGTGCACCCAATGCATTGAGACTAGCAGCCAGACTGTTATTGCCGCTGCCGGCATCAAAGCTTGATGACCGTGAGCCTGGTGAGGGTGGCCTACTGGATGAGATGGAACCAGAACGCACTGCAGGCCGTTTCGGTAGTCTTTTGGAGTGTCCTTCGTTGTGTGCGACCCAATGCGCGTCATCTGGAGAGGCATCTGGATACGGCTGGCTGGAGGGCTTCGCCATGGGTTTCCTCCCGAAGCGCGACTCGAATGAGTTTCTGGAGCGATATGTCAAGAGAGCAGACATGCGCGCAGCTCCGAGTCCAGCAACAGGCGGATCCTCGTACGGATAATATCCATCTTCATACTTTGGGTCGCAGTATATGCTCTGCCGTTGCGTCTCACCCCAAGAGATATTCCACGCACTTGCATGAGCACTCGTAGCAACAGGCACGAGTGTCTTGACAAACTCAGGACCATAGAACGCCCATTCAAGGACCAGCATGCCGCCCATGGATCCGCCCACCACAATCGCAATTTGCTTGACACCCAGGGCATCTAGTATTTGTCGATGTATCGCCACATCATCACGAACGGTGACTAATGGGAACTCTGGTCCATACGCCAGTCCTGTAGCAGGATTCATTGTACATGCAGAAGCACTGCCATACGGTGAACCGAGACTATTTGCACAAAAGATAAAAAAGCGTGAGGCATCAAACGCCTTGCCAGGGCCAAACAGCGGTCCCCACCAATCCTGAGCATCCGCAGATCCAGTGAATGCATGACAAATGACAAGACAATTGTTTGCTTGTGCGTTCAGCTTCCCCCATGTCTTGTACGCGACGGGAACATCATGTAGCGTGACACCTGATTCAAGCGTGTAGTGGTCGAAGCGTGCAATCTTTTGGTCTTCGACAATCGCAGCAAATGGGTTCTCCGGTTGTCCATCAAAGTGCTTAAGCTCTGCCATCAAGCGGCCAAGATGCTACTCTGTTATCGAGTCGATAATCTCGTCGCAGATGCAAGCACGTCAGATCGTTCGCAGAGAAGATTAAACTACACAGTCACATTTCTCTATGGCATACGTTTGAGAGCAATCAACGCTTCCCTGGACAGTTCTCTCGCATCAGGATGTGCGAGAGTCCTAGACTGCCGCGCAACCTCTGTATAGCGTGCTCTCGCCTCATCAGGCTGATTCAAGACTTCAGCAATACGACCGAGATTGAACAAAGCCATTTGCTTGCCGTAGTCACATTCAGCTTGCTCTTCGGCAGACTGACCTTTGACCTTCAACTCTCGTGCTCGTTGAGCCCATAGCCTGGCATTCTCTTGGACAGGGACTTGGCCACTTTGCGATGAAAGCGATGAAGCGACATTATTCATGAGCATCACTGTACGACAGGTTGGTGTCTCACCATGTGCTTCGAGGGCCTTCAGAAATAGAGGCAAAGCAAGTTGATGCCGTCCCTCGGCATAATAGTAATGTCCAACACGCTCAAACAAACTCGACATTTCATCAGGCCCAAGCCAGTTGTAGTCGCCATTCTGTTTGGTGGTTGTTTCCTTGAGTGCAGTCTCCAGTGCCCAACTCAAAGCTGGCTCAGCCTTCTCCTTGTATCCTGGTACTTGCGCAGCGAGCTCGCCAATCTTGACAGATGTACCAATTGCTCGCTTCAGCAATCTCAAGCGATCCTCTTCCTGTAGCTGCATTCGCAAAGGAGCCTTCAGCTCACCCAGGAGGCCAGAATAGACACGAATAGCAGAGTCCAAGCGACCAGCTTGTTCATAAACTCCAGCAATCTTGATCTTGAGACCAGTCATCTTATCTGACGTCTGGTCAAGACCTAATTTTGTAGCTTCTTCTAATGCATCGAGATAGTGCTGAACAGCTTGCTTGGCATCTGCACCGGCGCCTTCATAATAAAGTGCCTTGCGGAGATGCTCCGTCACTGTGTCAGGGTACGGCGATGCAGGCAGCTTGTAGTAATGATACACACCAAGACTCAAGCCCACGCCACCCGCGCCAATCAAGGCATACGCGAGGACTTTCGGGGCCGTGGGGAGATTGGCAAAGGTGCCAGCGAATGAGCTTGCATGCCTTCTCGGTCGTAGAGGCCTAAGACAGGTTCTTGCCTGTCGAGCAGTATGTCTGAGCAGCATGCAGCTCATCAAATGTAGCGAGACTGGCTTTGTAGGAGACAGGAATAACAGTCACATAAATATAGAGTCGTATATCACCTCACTGAGCTCCTTCCATACGCATCTCAAGCCATCCGTCGTGTACGTGTGCACCAGCCGACTCATAAAATTGTATACTCTTGACGTTGCTCGCCTGCACACTCCATTCAATTCGCCCAGTCCCAGCCAGTCTCCTCAACTGAGCAAGCAGTGTCTTGCCGTGTCCCTGGCCTCTGAATGCAGGATCGACGAAGAGATGTTCCAAGAAGAGGTTACTCTTGCCAGACCATGTAGAAAAGGTGCTGCTGTAGATCGCACTCCCCGCCGGTCTGCCTTCTTCATCCAGCGCAAGAAGAGCATAGCACGGACCTTTTGTTAGGGCGGTGCGTAATGCTGAAAGGGATAAGTGGAAATCCTCTTCAGCGTTGTGATAGCGAGCCAGCCTAGCACAGTGTTCGTGCAGGATAAATGCATCATTGACTGTAGCACGGCGAACGCTAGGTTGCAGCGAACACTCGCGCACACTGACCGTCATTGCAGGTTTTAAGTCTTGACACGTAGAATCCAGAGGAGCAGCGGTCTTCATCAATGCTGGCATGATTGCAAAATATATCGTGACGTTGCAAAAGCATCAAGGGCACTCTGCATCCTAAGTAGCGCCAGCAAACACAAAAGGCTTTTCCGATTCACGGAATCTCCATGTGGGAGTCCAAGCTCAATACATCGGCTTGTGCTCAATGCTGAAGCTATACAGCTCAAAAGGCCTATCCTGGCATTTTGAATGCAATTCCAACTTTAGGCTCGTGAGCGAGAGCAGTTCACGAGCGATTTGAGCAAGCTAGCGTGGGTGGTCGTGACAGGCGGTCTGATCAAAGAGACGCTGCTGCAAGATATGTCGTCGAGATCGCCTAACCCTGGATCATATACACGCGACGAGTGCAGTACAATCAAGCGAATGCCAGGCACCCTCATCTAGCTACAATTGTGTGCTGAGGATATCCGCTACATGAGTCGACGTGGCCATGTCGAATCCTACTATTTCGCTTCCCTTCACAACGCTCGATCTTGAGCGGAATCGTCCTCAATCAGGCTGGTTTGCTAGCTCACGATTGCGCAACCGCGTCGCTGTCATTACTAGCTCTATATTAGCTCTCTTCCTCTTCTTCCGCTACTGGAACCATGCAGTGCATCGCACATCCAACCATAGCACTGCTTCAACACTACAGCCCCTGAGTCCCATCTACGAGGGCGTCGAGATCTCCGACCAACTCGCAGGAGTCACCCATCTCATTGTGCTGGCTGGTCATGCCATTTGGCTTGGCGGACAGAGTTATCTGCAAGACAAGGACTGGATCCTTGAACCCTATCAGCATGGACAAACTGCTTTATTCGCAGCACACATTGTTCGTGGTGCAGAGCTACTCGCACAAGATGCGTCTGCCCTCCTTGTCTTCTCCGGTGGTGAGACGCGAGCAGGTGCAGGGAGTCGCACTGAGGCACAGTCGTATGCGCAATTACTCGATTTACTCATGTCAGAGGGTAAAGTCGCTGGTGTCCCTGCGACCGAGCCGGGACAAGTCTTTTCCACTGAAGCAAGTTCACTCCAATTTCGCGCAACGACGGAGAACTTTGCTCGCGATTCATTCGATAATCTTCTATTCAGTCTCTGTCGCTTTTACGAGGTGACTGGCCGGTACCCAACCAAAGTATCAGTCGTAGGGTATCAATTCAAGGCAGATCGCTTCCACAATCTGCATCGCGCGGCGCTCAAGTATCCCGAGACTGCATTCGTCTATGTCGGGTTGGACCAGGATGATCCTGCAGTTGCAGCATTGACCGGTCATCCAATTGACAAAACAACCCTGTCGATGCAATCACAAGACAACGTTGATAAAGCCAGACCACAATTCGAGCGTGATTTATATGCGTGTCACGACCCGGAGCTCACGCAGAAGAAGAAGCATAGAAATCCTGCACGTCGGCGGCATGGTTACGAGTTGAGCAATCCGCTTCTGAAGCCACTCTTGGAATTTTGCCCATCCAAGGCAGCGACGTCACTTGATGCGCAGTTGTATCCAGCGAAGTTGCCGTGGAGCTAGCTAGCGTGTCTCATCCTCATCCATCTCCCACTGTTCCTTTGCATCGTGATAAAATGCTTTGTTTGTCTACATTGCTTACTATTCACGTACATGCAAATAGCCACACTGCTCGTCCTTGCGGCACTGTCCAATAGGCCAAAACTTGCATACCTCTCGATACTTACCGCCCGTATTGTACTTGACCCACGGCCGTACATCTTGCAATCCTTCACCCGATGCACCTCGAGCAGCTTTCTCCTTGCCATACTGCTGTGGAGGTTGCTCTTGTCGATGCGGTGGTTGTTGAAAGGGCGTTTGCGGTTGTTGAGGCATGTGTGGCAATCCAGGCATTGGAGGCATCCCAGGAAATCCAGGCATCCCAGGCATTCCCATAGCAAACGGATCAAAGCCTCCAGGCATCATAGGCATACCCATAGGCAAAGGTGGTTGCGGTAACGGTGGTGTTGGTGCAACCGATGCAGCTTGTGGGACGGGCGACGCAGTTGATTTTTGCTGATTGGCAAGCATCGCAAGCAGCTGTGTGATGTCTGGCGAGGCTGCAGCGACCGGTGCTGAAAATGCATTGGTGGCTACAGAGGGTTCTGCGACAATGGATGTGGGCGCTATCGCTGGGGTGTTCGCAGCAGGTGGTGTTGCATTGGGTCCAGGTAATGCGAGTGAACCCAAGACCTGTCTATTACGAGGATCTTGACGTAACTCTGTGGGCAAGGGAATCATTTTTGGTGGATTATTCTCCTTCCCTTCATCAGTCGCTGCGTTGGGCTCAGCGGGAGACGGTGGGATCTCGTTGATGTCTGTGTAAATTGTGAGGAAGACACCACGTTCGCGCTCTTCTTGTATTTGTGCTTCCTTTGAATGAGGAATCAACGTACCAGCCCGTTTCGGACCTCGCCTCGCTAGATCTGCAGCGAGTTCGCGTTGTGTAAAGGCAATCAGAGGTGGTTCTTCCCAAGCCAAAAAGTCTTCATCACGATCAAAGGCAAGACCTGCATGCATAAAGGCACCTTCCTTACGGTCGAGATCCCGTGCACTGCCATGCTCACCAGCAGGTTCTTCAGGGTACTCCGGCTCTTCTTTTTCGAAAATTTTGACTTGCTCCAATTCATCATCCGGTCGCCACCGAACACGCTTCAACTTACGCCGCTTTTGTACGGGTTCTGTGGATTCTGGCGGTGGTGTGGTTGAGCTTGGCAAAGTTCTCTTAAGTCCCTCGACCAGCGTTGAGATTTTGACTTGTGGTTTCGCTGGAGCTGCTTCGACAGGGGCAACATCAGATTTCTTGCGAGCCTTCATACCGGCGAGTGCACTGAGGACGCTATTTTTGGTCAACTCTGTACCTTTTTCCTCCTTTGTAGGTGCTGCTTCCTTATCCTTCTTGAAGAAGCTGGTATTGATTTTAGCTTCTGGCTTCTTCAACTCGACCTTTTTGACTTCAGCCTTCTTGGGTAGTGATGCAGCTACCTTTTTGACAGGCCCGACTTTACCTGGCACTTCTAGTTTTGGTGCCTTTGAAGCAGCCGCAGACTTCTTTGGCTTTACATCATCAACCAATGCCGGCGCTTTCGTACCTTCCGCCTCAAGCTTGGCTTGCAATACAAGACTCTGTTCCGCCAATCCAACCATTTTCCCCAACACCTGCTTCACAAGCGGATCTGTTGTCTTTCGAGCAACAATCATAATGGGTTTACCAAGCTTGACATGCGCCAATTTCGCAGCATCTAAATCAAGACTTGCTAGAACTTGAGCAATGCCTTGTAACACGGGGATATGATTCTCTCGTTGTGCCTTGACGAGCCAACCGCGTAATCGTGCACGAATCGAAACATGCTCAGAGAGTTCTTGTACCATGGATGGGCGTAACGAGACAATCATCGTGCTGAGTAGTACAAATTGTCTGTTGAAATGTTCCATGCTTGTACTAGCAGCTGGTTTAGAAGGGTCTGGCGACGCAGTTGCTGCCGTCGTAGAAGCAGCTGGGTCGGCAGGTTGATCACAGGTCGTCATGAGGCTTAAAAGTGTTGCTGCACATGCTTTTGGATCACGCGAGGTATTGTATTCACTTAGGCATTGCGATACATCATGACGAAGCGCACCCAATGGATCCTGTATTGTTAGTATGACTGTATTGATTTGGGATAAGCAAGCTTACGGTTGGACGTGGCGGCGACGTGGGTTTCACTTGTGTTTTCGCACCTTTCGACTTGATCAAGACGTATGGCTTGTTTTGCCCAACCACGGCTGTGGTTCCTTGCGCTTGAATGGCACCTGGATCGATACTCTGCAGACGCATTTGTTGTGCTTTTTGGACTTGCTGTCGTTGCTCGAGGGTGGGTTGCCATTGTTGTGCTTGTGGTCTGTACCCACCACCTGGCGGCTCATAGTGGACTTCATACTGTGCACCGCCAGTGCTTTGTAGTCGTGGATGTGACTCGTAGTGTGCGTAGTCCTGTGAGGCGTGCAAGGATGGATCGAGCTGCTGCTGCTGCATGGGCATGGGTGGTGTTTGTCCGTATGGATGTGAATACTGCATTGGCAAGACTGGTTGTTGACCATACTCTACACCATACCCATCATGCTGCACCTGATACGACTGTTGCTGCTGCTGCTGATGTCGTGGATCGTAGGAGGCGTACTCTGTTTGCCCGGTACCGTCATGATGTTGCTGCAATGTCGGTTCTACGGCGAATTGCGGGTGGTAGGATGTATGCTGTTGCGGGTACACGCCTTCTAACTGTCCATCACCGCCATAGAAGGTGCTCTCAGCTTGTTCCTGGGGATTATCGTAGAAGTGTTGCGATCCGGCGTTGTTGTATGGCTGCCAGTTGTGTGTATCAAAGACATCTTGCTGTTGCTGCTGCTGTTGCGGGTGATGCTGCGCTGCTATCGCTTGACCTTGTCCATCATGATCATGACCAGCAACCGCCGTATGACCTCCGTCACCGGGCGCCCAGTTTATGTAGTGGACCGCGTCCATTCCTTAGGACCGCGCAACACCGTCGTGCTGCCTAGGCAAGGCAATACAGTCAAAGTCTTTTAAGGGATTGGAAAACGCGGCGAGAAACGGGAGAGGGATTCTTAGAGTCAAGACAATTGAGAGAGAGGAGAGAATGTGTCCTTATGGACCGTGCTTCAGTGGTGGGTTCTCTCTGCCTTGTCTTTTTCTCCGCTTTCAAAGACACACTTAGGTACGATCGCTCTGTCTTTCTGTTCCTTGGCAGTCTAGGGAGAGAAGCACGGTTAGATCCGCTGCTTGCCCCCGCTGTGTCTCCTCCTTGTAGGGGCCTGCTGCCTCTGCTCTGCCTGTGTGGATGTGAGAGTGTTTGCGTCTGACTTTCTTCTGTTTCGCGGCTGCAACTCAGATGGACACTGCTACTTACTACTTACTACTACTTATACTTATAGACTACCGCCGTCGATTCTTCGCAAACATACCGCCTCTGTATGGCTTGCCGCCACGACTCTGCTGCCGTCCTCCTCGATCATCATACGAGTCCCTCTCCCGACCATACCCACGATCAGACCCACGACCGCCTGAATCGCGACCCCTGCCACCGCCTGATCCAGACCCATATCCAGGTGCACCCCGTGGATAGCGCTCTGAAACAACTTCAGGACGCTGGTACGGCGTATAACGCCTCTCATTCCCACGACTAGAGCCATGAGCAGATCCCTTGGAGGTTTCTGTGTAATGTGCAGCCGGTGCTTGAGGGACCGACCCTCGGCTCCTCTGCTTCTGATGCTGTGTCGCACGCGGTTTCGTTGACTCTGGTTCATTGGCAAGACAAAATGCAGAAGGTTCCAAGAGTCGTGTGCGATGTGGTAAATCACAATCATCACCGTAATGTCCCTGATCTGCGCAGTTATAGCAGTACGGCGTCACAGACCAGTCTGTACTATCCGCATTGAAGTGAACGTCTGGATGATACAGACGCCATATTTGAGGACACGAACGAGCGAGATGAGAACGAGATCCGCATTCTTTGCAGTGAGAACCAGATTGGCGTTGTGGCTCTGGACATGCGCTCGCCAAGTGTCCCAGACGCGCACAGTTGAAGCATCGCTGTGTGAGCGGACACCGGACCGTGTCATGATCATCCAACGCGCCACACGTACGACACAGTGAATGCGGACAATCTTTCCGCTTGTGTCCTATGCCTTTACAGTTGTGACAGCGTTGTGCATCCGTCGCTTCATTAGGGTCACCAAAGTAGCGCCCTTTTGAGATATCAGCCCAGTCTTCTGCATCTTCCGCGTCGCTTTCGCTGTCACCTGCTTTCTCCGCTTCACTTGTAGCTTGCTTAGCAGGGCCAGCAGCGTCGTTAATAGGTTGCCGCGCCTCATGCGTGTCATTTTCCTCATGCTTGTCGACATCGACCGTGAAGAGCACCTCTTCTTCTCCGCCTTCTGATAGAGCAGCAGCAGGAAGAGCGACTGCTGGCTCTTCCGCCGGCTTTGCTAGCAGATTGAAGCTCATCGAGCACACACCGGTTCCCTTCTCTTGTAGTCACCAGGCGCTTCAGTCTTTCTCTGCAGAATTCGGAAATTTGAGCAGCGAGACGACGACGACGCAATCGGACATCAGCCAAGATCACCAAATAGCACCAGGGAGCCAGCGCATCCACAAAGCCAATTTACAAACGCGCAGGGGATCAGACTGTGTACAGAGACTATCTCATGTCGACTGCACACGCCGCTCTATCCGCAAGCAGGACATTGCGTGCAGAACCCACCAAAGAACATGGGAACCGCAGGCGCTCATCCTCTCTTGTTCAGGTAATTACCTTCTCTTCTCTACCGCGGGAGCATATAACTAACATGCTACTTCCAGGTAATTGAGCCGAGTACCTTTGACGAGCTTCAAGATCAAGGCGCAGAAAATAATCACAATTCCGACTGGGTGAGCGGCAAAGGCGCGTGGTCCATCCATATCGTTATGATCCTCCTTGCCAAGATCTTTTACAATACACTACCTGGTGTCTCTCAGGAACTTGGCTGGACATTGACTAATTTATCCTACATGGCGGCCAGTTACCTCATGTTTCACTATGTCCGTGGCGTTCCCTTTGACTTCAACTCTGGCGCCTTTGATCAACTCAATATGTGGGAACAGATGGATAACGGCGTTCAGTATACGCCTGCAAAGAAGTTCCTGACGGCTGTGCCGATTGTGCTGTTTTTGCTGAGTACACACTACACGCACTACGATTTCACGATGTTTATCGTCAATCTGTGGGCGCTCCTCATGGTGCTCATTCCGAAATTGCCATTTGTATGAAGATCCTGCAATGCATAGACACATGCTAACGATAGGCTCACCGGCTACGCATCTTTGGTGTCAACAAGTTTGACCTGAAAGTAGCAGATGAATGATTGATGAGGGATATTGGGATCAGGATCAAGTTCACTTCAGTATTCAGTAAATCATTTATGCGAGCAGCCAAAAGGATCATGAGACTACGACTTATCCGTCTTGTTGTCATCCGTATATAGCCTGCTCATCAAGAAGTGTGCAACATCCACATCCGACCAGTATCCAAGATGAGAATGCAGTGCAGAGATGTAACTGCTACCAATCAAATCTTCTTGAATCGCATAGTCGATCCGAGAACCTTGCCGATTCAATGCCTTGAGTCGTCGTTCACCCTCCAATTTACGTCGTTGCCCTTGTTCACTCGCTGAACTACCAAAGGCCTTGTCAAACGATGCAAATAACGTTTCATCATGCTGTCTTGCCATTTCCCCTTGAACGCGTGCTTTATCTGCCGCATGCTGCTGTTGACGTGCCTCTTCTGCTTCCTCCTCTGTTACTTCGCGTTGTGCTGATGCAGCACCAAAATCGCTGTACCCAAGACTGCGACTAATCACACTATTGGTGATGGAACTTCGCAGTGCTCCCCAATAAGAAGAAGCACCTTCCAGTGCACGCTGAGGGATACTCGACAACCCAACAAGTTGTTGCCTAAATCCAGCTTTCGTGTATGGTATTGGGTGCGGTTTCAATTTAGCAGCATGTTTACTGACGAGCGGTTCGAGACGATAAGCCACAGGGTCTGAAGGGTGAAAGATGTTGAACAAGTTGTTGACTTTTGGGTAACTTGCAGGTTTGCCATCTGTTTGTCTGGGTGGATGCTCAAAAGGTGATTGTCGAGTAGCACTCGCAAACGGTGTCACAGGAACCGTATCTGTTTGCAACATTGCTCGTGCTCGAATCTCCTTACCACGCAACATTTGAAAGAGACCCACGGGACTACCCACGCAGTACAAGTTGTCCACATCGAAAGCGAGTAAATCAGCTTCTGTGCTCTTGGTGCGCTGCAACATGACATCTGTTGGTTGCCGACAAACAATATCAAACGTAATCGCCGACCCTAGCGAATGGCCAAAGATAGAGACTTTCCCATGAAAAGATGGATTGCGCTCGCGAAACAAAGTATAGACGCGATTGAGCTCCATTGCCACAGCTTTGATGATCTTTTCCCGGTAACTCGGTTGGTAGAAGAGCAAGATATCCAATAACGCATCTGAGATAAGGTGTCGAATTGTCTGAACGCCTTCAACAGTGATGTCTTGCAATGTTGCATGCTCCTCCACTTCTTCCTCTTCCAGATAACCTTGCGCCAAGTCCTGTTCGCCACGGGCAGACGTGCCTCCCTCAGCCGGCTCAGATGCCATGCCAAATTTGATCTTTTGCCGCCACTCAACAGGCAGTACTTGCACGCCGCAATTCAGCTGTTTGCCATCAGACGACCCTGAAGGGCCGAGCATCTGCAGCTCCTTAGACTGCGAATACGTCTGCTTGATGGTGCGTCGAAGTACATTGACATCATGGATGAAATTGACACTATCCAACCGTTCACCCAGTTTCTGACCAATACCATGGCAGCAGAGAATCAAATGATCAATTTGTCGTTTGGGATTCTCACCTTCATCATAATCTGTGCCCGGTGCTGCACCAGTCCCGACATCTGCCTCTTTTGCAGTTTGTGAAGTCGTATCACCCACCGCTTGCGCGGCAGCCGCTTCAGCAACTTCAGCAAGTCCAGCGGCCGGCTCCGTCGTCGATCCCTCTTTGTCCTTATCCTTCACTGATGTATTAGCAGTCTTGGACTTTTCCTTCTCTGCTTTTGCATCGGTATAGCCGCGCATGAGCTTCGTTCCACCCATATGTACGCCACGCGTTACAGATTGGAAGAAACTTGCACTGATTTTGCCATACAAGTCATCTGATAAGAGCCATGCAGTCGTCTTGCTCGTGTATAAGACGTATTTGCCCGCATAGCTACCAAAGAGTGGCCGTACAGATGCACGATTGGGATCTTTGCGTCGCTCAATGGAAGATTTGCGTGAAAGATCTGCGGCTTTGCCATCTTTGCTTGTGTTTGACTTTTCTGGTGTAGCGAGTAAGCGTGATTGACCAGAGACATCGGATAGCTTGTCTGCTGAAGAGACGCTTGGTGCAGCAATGGGTGGTGTCTTGTTCTGTGCTCGATCTGCTTGGCTTTCAGCAGAGTCAGCAGTACTCGACTCTTGAATATCTGCTTGCGACATCTCCTTCCAAGGCTTGACCTTCAAGTACCCATCTTCCACTTGAGTTGCGAGATTCTCATCACAAGGTTTCAGCGTTGATCCATCAGCGACATGCCATGTCCCCCTTCTGACAGAGTAGATGGGTCCCCGCCAATACACAGGTCCCAATTCTCGTTCTTCAATGTCCACTTCAAACAAATGATCCTCATTGACTGGTACTTTCGTTCCCGCAGACGGTGGTCGACTTGCATCGCGCGTGCTTGAGCGTGACCGCTGTAGGGACTCTTGAAAAGCCTGTTCAAGCGCATGACTATCCCGCACTGAGAACGGAACAAACTTATCCGCTACTTTTACAGGAACCGTCTTGTCCGTCGCTGTTGCAGGAGTCGCACTAGTTGGTGCAGTCTTGGTAGCAGCTGTGGAGCCAGGTACAGGCGATCGTGCTCGAGCGGGTGATTGTCGGCCACTGGCTACAGCAATGTCCTTCTTGGCAACAGCAGGCGCGCCTGGTCGTCGTTTCGGTACATCGACCGCATAATGCCACCTCACGACAATAGGTGGCGCATCTCCTGCTTCGTGCGCTAGAATATGACGATGTCTGATTCGTTCAAACGGAAATGGATCTTGTTGAAGAGCTGGTGGGTCTGTTGCATCATTATCTTGGACGTGAATGGTGGGCGGCGTTGCGGCCATGCGAAGGAGTAAAGTGAGTGGATCGATTGGCCTTCCAGAGACAGCAGAGGCAGCGGACCTGAGGGCCGGCAGGAACTGACGTGCGACAGACTTGAGAATAGCTGGAGCGCCCTGTTTGAGAGTGTTGTCTTGTCTTGGTGTGTTGGATTGTTGGCGCGTTTTGAGTCAGTCGTCATCCGCAACCAGCAGCTGCCAGCAGCATGATGCATGACAAGTTGACAAGTTGTAGAAAATACAAGCCAGATCACTTGAGATGAGTGAAGAAACGGATGACTTTTGGTGGCTATGAACAGGCTATGAGAGATGCGACACAGAACCTCTCTAAAGGTTCTCTGGACGCAGCTGTCGCACAGTCTTACCGGCCTTCCACATCTCCATGTTGTCAATGATGTCGAGCTCCTTTTGCAAGTCCTCGCGGTATGTTTTTGAGCTGTTGAAGGTCAACGAGCGCCTTGTCTCGCTACCATCTGCGACGGCATCATACAGCTCATTGAACACAGGCTTGAGGGCCTTGTAGAATTTGGGGTACCAGTCGAGCGCACCACGACGAGCAGTCGTCGAGCAAGCGTTGAACATGTAGTCCATACCTTTACCGCCCACAAGCGGGTAGAGTGACTGTGTGGCTTCCTCAACAGTCTCGTTGAAGGCCTCGGAGGGAGAGTGACCACGCTCGCGCAGCACCTCGTATTGTGCCATCATCATACCTTGCAAACCACCCATCAAACAACCACGCTCTCCGTACAAGTCGGAAAAGACCTCCTTCTCAAATGTCGTCTTGTAGGCGTATCCCGTACCAACGGCAACAGCCATGGCACGAGCCTTCTCCTCAGCCTTACCAGTCACATCCTGGTGGATGGCAATGGAGGCATTGATGCCACGACCTTCCTTGAAAAGCGAACGCACAGTTCGGCCGGATCCCTTGGGTGCGACAAGGATGACATCGACGTCGGTCGGTGGGATGACCTTAGTGTCCTCCTTGTAAACCACGGAGAATCCGTGGGAAAAGTAAAGTGTCTTGTCCTTGGTGATCAAAGGCTTGATGGCGGCCCAAGTCTCAGACTGAGCGGCATCAGAGAGGAGGTTCATGATGTATGTTCCCTTCTTGATGGCTTCCTCAACAGTGAAGAGGGTCTTACCAGGGACCCATCCATCTTCTTGTGCCTGCCTCCAGGATTCACCATCCTTGCGGACACCGACAATGACATTGAGACCATTGTCGCGCATGTTGAGACCCTGGCCGTGTCCCTGAGATCCATATCCGATAAGCGCCATGACATCGTCCTTGAAGAACTGCTGCAGCTTCTCACGAGGCCAGTCAGAGCGCTCAAACACCTCCTCCTTGTGACCTGCAAAATCAAGAGTCTTGACACCGCGCGTTTGCGAGATGGGTGCAGCGGTGTTGGAGGTTGCTGTCAATCTCGGTGCTGCCTGACGGGTGAGCGCCGTAAAGGCACGGGCCTGTGAGGCAGACTTGGCAGCCCTGATGGCAGACCTTGCAAAAGTACGTCCCGACATGACTTTTCCTATGGTATGTAGGGGAATGAGTCTGTTGGATCTAGTGACTAGTTGCTTGGGGAGAATTGTTGTCGTGTCGGGGGACTGCTCGGGCGAGACTTTCACGTGCAGGTAGCGGGTCCCACGGCACTGGCGGGATTCTCTGTGACTATTCTATGTGGATGGAGCAGGAGAGATTAATGCAGCAGCACCATGTCAAAGGCCTCGTTGCCCACACGCTGGCCCGCCATTGACTGCTTCACCGCCCGTCTGAACCGTTCTTTGTCCCGGTTGAGCTCATTCGCAGCATCTAATAATTAGCCTTCACGCCGGAGCCATTGACCATAGAGACAAACCTTTATTTAGAGGATCCGATGCATTGGGCTCAATGAAGAGAAACTGCAGGCCAACCATGATGGAGTTCAGGTTGAGCACAGGCTTCCAATCCTCCCGCAAAATATTGAGGCAAACGTTGCCCTCCAAGTCAATATTGGGGTGGTAAATCTTCTGTAGACATTTGACCTTGGGCGGCTCATGTGGGTAGTTGCTGTTGACGTGAAAGCTGAACCGGAAGCTGCCACCTTTGTACATGCCTTCGTCTGGTATGATCGTCACCTCAAAATTGAGCAAGTCTTCTGCATTAGGGAAGTGTGTCTTCATCGTTGAGGAGAGAGGCAGCTCAGTAAGATCCTTTTGGATGCGGATTTGAGCAGCAGAGATCTTTGGCTTCTTCTTCTCTTGCGCTGCTTGGTCCTGCTTCATTGACCATATTTTCATCATCTTGAAGGCGAATTAGCTGTGTTTTGGACAGAGCCTTGAGCGCTTCTAGCTGAAGTGTATCTCCAAGCGCAGAAAGAGCAGCAGCAGTCAGTATCACTAGAAGCCTTGTCCTTTTGAGCGTGTGTGTTGGTGCTGGCTGAGTGTGGAGTCGCCTCAACCAAAATCCCGCGCATCGACTCTCATCGACATCCCTACAGCTCAGCGCTTTCTCTCCTACTCCAGGCCGAGCTTCCTGCGCATTGCATCATGTAGGCCCATCTCATACATCTTATCTCAAAGCCAGACAACTGACAGCAGGTCTGTTCCGACAAATGCAGCCACCAAGGCCGCAACACAATCAACCATCAACAGGCTGTACGTTAATTCCATTGACTAGCAAGCGCGTACTGACATCGTCTCTAGGACGACTTGGATGAAGACACCCGATTTCCGCTCCTACCTCATGTCTACACACTTCTGGGGCCCTGTCTCCAATTTCGGTATTCCCCTCGCTGCAGTCCTTGATCTCAAGAAGGACGAAGAACTCATTAGTGGTCGTATGACGGGTGCATTGGTCATTTACTCATCTGTCTTTATGCGCTATGCATTGGCAGTGACACCCAAGAACTATCTCTTGTTTGGATGCCATGTCGTCAATTTCTTCTCACAAGGCACACAGGGTGCGCGATGGGTCAATTACTGGTATATGGGTGGCCGTGAAGCTAAGAAGGGTCTAGCATCGACTGCTTAGTTGCTCTTTGTCACCTGCTGAAGCGATTTATTTCCGAGTCTTTATCTGCTAGAATTCCTCAGCAGCAGGCTTATCTTGCTTCACTGAGCCGTGTCTACATGTATGTACACTGCCCCTATGCCATCCTCTACCATCCATCTGCTTCCTTGCCCCTGCCAACATTAATCCATGGCTGTCGTGCACCTGAATGCCTCATGATCGCGTCTTTTCGTCTTTGTGGTCGCGCGCCAGAAGACAACGACGCGCAGAGGAAGAAACCACATACACAAGCAACCCATGCAGCCAGCTACTCAGTCAAGCAGGACGGCTTGACCTGTGCCCATCCCCATTAGCAAAGCGCATTTAGCGTACTTCAAAGTGATACTGCGAGACGCTTCTCAAAGAAACGCAATATGGACGTCAATCAGCCCATTTGCATAGACAATGGGTCTGGGACCATCAAGGCCGGTTTCGCAGGCACCGACATGCCTTCCTGCTTCTTTCCATCCTTGTACGCACCGTTATATACCATTGCACACTCACTTACGCGCAGTGTCGGTCGTCCGAAACATCAACGAACCATGGCAGGCGCACTAGAAGGTGACCTCTTCATCGGCCAACGCGCTAGTTCCCTACGTGGTCTCCTGAAACTTCACTACCCACTGCAACACGGCATGGTGACCGATTGGCAAGACATGGAACGTCTTTGGCAACACATCTATATGGACGCCTTACAAGTCAGTCCAGAGGAACATCCTGTTCTTCTAACGGAAGCGGCGCTGAATCCACGAAAACATCGTGATCAAGCGGCAGAGATTTTCTTTGAGACATTCAATGTACCGGCGTTATTTGTGAGTATTCAAGCAGTCTTGGCGTTGTATGCAAGTGGACGAACAACGGGCATTGTGCTGGATTCAGGAGACGGCGTCACGCATGCAGTACCGGTGTATGAAGGATTTGCTATTCCTTCTGCCATTCGACGCAATGATCTTGCCGGTCGCGATGTCACTGAACACTTGAGTCTGCTACTACGAAAGGAACAAGGCTTCCGTACCACCACCACGGCAGAATTGGAGATTGTACGGGAAATCAAGGAACAAGCTTGTTTTGTTGCACTTGATCCAAAGCGAGAAGAACGCGATTGGTTGGCAACACGGCAGGGTGATCAGTACAAGTTGCCTGATGGACGCATCTTGGATCTTGCTCTTGAACGCTTCAGAGCGCCTGAGATTTTGTTTAATCCAGAATTGGTTGGCTCAGAAGCAGAGGGGATTCCTGCATTACTGGTAGGGAGTATCAATCAAGTGGATCTCGACCTACGAGCAGACTTATATCAAAACATTGTTTTGTCTGGTGGCACCACAACGACTCGAGGATTCGGTGAGCGACTCATGCGTGAAGTCAGGGGACGCGTCCAAGAAGGTGCGACTGTCAAGATTTACGCACCGGCTGAACGACGCTATAGTACATGGATGGGTGGGAGTATCTTGGCTGGACTGAGTACCTTTCGTCGCATGTGGGTCTCGAATGAGGATTACCGCGAGAACCCAGAAGTCATTCACACGAAATGTCTGTAGCATTGCATGTGCATTTGCGTTTTGACAGAGTAGGGTCATCATGGAGGATGTACAGCATTAGTATACGAAGAACCGAAGATTCCAGGATGATGGACACCAGTGCAATGCTTAGTGGTGTATGACGCATGCGCCCTTGCAGTGGGAAATCGTCTTTGCTCATCGAGACCAGCTCGTCTTCGTCACAAGCAAAGAGGGAAAGGGCTCCTTCAACAGATCAAGACGATCAAGCGACTGCAGTCTGCTGTGGTCCCATCGAGCTGCTCAGCCGCCGCTTCATACGACCAAAGAAGGAAGACTCTGCAGGCGCACTACGCGTCGAGGAGATACTCGAGCGAGAAAGCCGTCTACCGAGCTGCGACAGTCGTCCACTCGATCGCACACTTGATGTCTCATCATCGACAGCTTCATCAGCTATGCCTGCATCAATACGTCGCACTTGAGACGCCCACGCGGGTCGTCCGTCTGAACGCGTACCACTGGGTCCAGCCGCAGCCGCAGCAGCAGCTGTCTGACTATCAGCCGCTCCACTCGACATACTTCTCAACTCCTTCACCACAGCATGTGACACAGGCGCTCCTTCCAACGTTCTAATATTCCCCGCACCACCCCTCCCTACGGGTGCCAAGAAGCGTTTTGGAGCGAGTTGCTCTTGTTCACCCGCTTCCTGTGGTGCAAAGACTTGTCCTGTTGGTAAGAAATTCCCCGCTCCACCACGTCCCGTTGCAAAGCGTGCGCCTTTACTAGATTTTGTTGCAACGCGTGTGAGTGCTGTTTCTTCGAGTTCCTTGCGAGTGACGATGTCTTGTTGGGAGTAGGATTGGACGAGTTGGCGATGGGTGGGACGGGCGAGGGTGTTGGTGTTGGTGAGGACGAGTTTCTTGTTGCCTGCACCGCCGCGGCCTGATGAGATGTATTGTGTGTCTGCTGCTTTGACCATGCTGTGCTATTCTAGTGAGAGACGGAGAGAGAGAGCAGGCCCTGGAGACTTGAGGTGGAGGAGGTTCGCGGTGTTTTAGCAGAAGTTTCGCTTGTGTCAGGTGATGAAGGTGCTCAGCAGGGGAAGAGAGGAAAGGGTCCAGGCGCAGCAGAGACAGAGACAGCAAGGGTCACTGCCTGTGGATGATGGCCTGCTGCCCTTTCCTTGCTCTGCTCCGTCTCATCTACTGTGCATCTACAGCTTCTACATCTGTCTGTGTGACTGCCCCCTTCCCCAGGTTTTCATCTCGCTTCTCGCCGATAGACTCTCACTGTCTCACAGAGTGGACATGGCTGGCTTAGATAACAAGCTACAGAATACACACTGCATAGCCTACAGACGAGCCTGAATCTTCACGTAGCGGTACGCGCCAATCAAAGCACCCAGCGTCAAAGTGAAGCGAAGGATCTTGACGAGTCGCGAACGCTCAGAGTAATCGGCATTCCAAAACTTCTTGGGTGCAAGCGCAGCGAGTTGCTTCATCTTGCTAGGCGTATAGGGTGCATAGCGTACACCAAACAGCAATTCAAGCCAGGCTGGTTGGTTGACGACCGTGCGCTGGTGCGTAAAGGCATTGAATCCATAGATACCATTGTGCGCACCCGTTCCAGATTCACCAACACCGCCAAATGGCATACTCGTCAATGCACAGTGTGACAAGACATCATTGATCATAGCGCCACCGGACGTCACGCTGCTCAAGAGTTTCTCAGACTCAGACTTGTCAGAGGTGAAGATGTATAGAGCAAGGGAAGCGTCTCTGCCTTGCAAGAAGGAGATGGCCTCATTCAAGCTCGACATGTTGAGCATTGGCAACACGGGGCCAAAGATCTCTTCAGACATGAGAGAATCTTCGGGTGTGCAGCCAGCCACCAACGTAGGCTCAATCAAGCGCTGTGAAGCATCCGTAAAGCCACCACTGACAACACGACCGCGGGTGTCCTTGAGCAATTTAGTGATGCGCTTGTAGTGGTTCTCGTTAACAATGCGCGTATACTTGCCTGGCTTGCGCCATGCTTCACCGGGGTAGAATTCGGCAACAGACTTCTTCCAAGCAGCAATAAATTTCTCCTCCAAACCAGTATCGACAAACAGGATAAAGTCAGGTGCAACACACGTCTGACCGGCATTCGTGACTTTACCCCAGGCAATACGTTTGGCTGCCAAATTGAGGTCAGAGTTCTTTGTGAGGATGACGGCATTCTTGCCACCGAGCTCGAGTGTCACGGGTGTCAAGTGCTTGGCTGCTGCAGTAGCAACAATACGGCCGACGTTGCCGCCACCGGTGTAGAAAATAGTACCCCATTTCTGAGCAAGCAGGTGGGTCGTCTCTTCGACGGCGCCGAGCACAACGCGGTAGGCGGTTGGGTCGAGATGTTTGTGAATAGCGCGCTGCATCACGGCTGCAGTCTCAGGTGCTAGCTCAGAAGGCTTGATCACACAGGGACATCCAGCAGCAATAGCACCAATCAAGGGACCGAACGTCACAAAGAGTGGGTAGTTCCAAGCACCAATAATCAACGAAGCACCCAAGGGTGTCTTTTGAATCTTGGGGCCAGCAAGGTTGAAGGGGAAATTTGCATGACCCTTCTCGTCCTTGATCCATTTAGGCAAGGCTTGCATGACTTCAATCGCCTCTGCTTTGAGGGTATTGGTTTCCGTCAGGATGACTTCCTCAGGAGGCTTGCCGAAGTCCTTAGCAAGAGCCTGTTGGAACTCAACCTCATGCGCGTCCATGGCCTCCCAGAATTTCTTGAGCTGAGTACGACGATACTCAAGCGGCTTCGTCTTGTTGCTCAAGAACGTCGAGCGCAAGGTGCTGACGTAGGCATCAATCTCAGCCTTGGTGGTTGCAACGTAACTAGAAGTTGTTAGTACACGTCCCTTTGAGCAAATCTGAGCATCACGCACCTCATGATGACTAGTTACACAAATAACAAATATTGAGGAAAAAAGATGGATGGCAAAGAGAGATGGTTGAGTACTGTGGAGTTGGACTATAGGCGAATGCGGAGTCTCGGGCTGCCACCGTGAGAGCCGACTTGCTCGAGTTGAGGAGTTCGAGCTTGAATGTTCAGATGGGAATACTAAATCATTACTTTGCTGCAAATGTGGAATACAAAAGATGTAAAAGGCACAAAGATCATAACACCACCTAGCGATGATTGCTCATGGCGCTGCTTGGACGACGGCACAACATACCCACATCATGCTTACCTCCACAACAACTCCGAACATTCTCCAAACCTTCATCTGCAAGATCATCCATTGAAATGCCAGATCCACCAATACCACCTGTTTCTTGACCATGCTGCAGTCGGTACAAGCTAGAGACACTGCTCTCTCTTGAAGCACGATGCATAGACGACGCACACGTACTCTGTGCTTGCACGCTGGGTCGCCGTTCTCGCGAAGCAGGCTTCTTGAAAGGTGTCGATCCGGCTTTATACTTGCCCTTCTGCGAAGTCATCTGACGATTCGGTGACCTGAAGATGGAGGACACATGCGAGCTAATGGATGTACCGAGTGTGTTCATACTCGTTGATCGACCTACACCGCGAGAAGGGTGTGCTCTCACTGTACGCTGAGAGTCAAACGGCTGTGTTGATGATGATGACTCCTCCGTGCTTGTAGGCGTCTCGGCTGCAGTCATGTGCGTTTGAGGTTGCTGCAGTGGCTGCTGTGGCTTCTCTTGCGGTTGCGCCTGCTTCTTGGTCGGACTCGCATCAAAATCTGCCATGATGCTGTCCTGCTGCTTACTCGTAGGAGACCCATTGATGAGATGATCGAGCGCACGCATCCAGTCTTCATGGTCACTCGACGAGATTGCAGTCACCTTTAATAGCCTTGTTGGTGTCTCGATACAGATTGTTCGCTGCTGAATGCCAGGTGGCAGGGGATTATAGTCAGCTTCAGTGTACAGTCCAACAACAGGCGTCGACTTGATGACTGCATTCTCCGGTGCATTGACAGGGTTAAAGGCAGACCAGTAAAGCGTCTGGGTATACGGATTCAGCCAAAAGAATCGTTGATGTCGTTTATCAGATAGACCCTGCCAACCAGGTCGTCGCATGTATTTATACAAGCTCATGCCAATCATGGTGCGTTTCACAGCATTCATGGTCTGCGAGTCCAATCCATCTGCATCCACAGCAGCTTCATTCGGCTGCTGATAGTTGCTTGCAAAGAATCGCGCATTGGCTTCGGAACCACACGTAGAGAAGCTCGAGACACTTTGGTGCGAGTGAGACCGCACCACGGAACGACGATCACCATTGGTCATTCTGCCTTGGTGAGAGCCAAAGTCGTTGGTTGTGGGCGACAGCGCTACATGACCAGAGTGCCTTTCCGCAGAGATACTTTGCTGCCTGCTTCGCAACGTATCCCTTGCCGTGGATGGTTTAGCAGGTGGAGCCATGACATGTCCGGAACGGACATCCTCTTGACTTGCTCGCATTGTGTCCGATACATACTTGGAAGACATAGGCGACGCTTCCGGTGATTTGCCAAGAATTCGCTCAGCTTTCGCTGTGGGTGACTCTCGTGCAGACTTGCCTCGGTGCACGCTGTATGGCGAGAATGGCAGATCACTGCCGCTCTCCTCCTCAGCATCCGAATTAGCAGTCGGAGGTGTCCAGCAAGACGTGTCAGACGCATTGTCGTTATCTTCAACGGCAGCTGAGAGACCTTTCACTCGCAGGTGATCCACAGTTCGCTCAAGTGGATGTCCGAATGACACGAGAGACGAAGCAGTCTTGCCGGAGGATGCTGGCTTTGAACTCAGAATTGGAGGCTGTGCAGGAAGCGGCTTCTCCAACAATGCTGCCTTCTCGCGCGTGAGCTGCGCAATGGCTTGCTGACTTGCCACCAGCTCAGTTTCCTTGCGAAGTAGCTCGCGAAGTCTTGCTTCACCAACAGCCACGTCGCTCGAGATACTGCCGCCATCTGAACCCTTAGGCAACGGCGATGCGCGCAGTGGAGGTGCATTTGCAAACGGACTAGCCGCACGGCGTGCAGATTCTTGAGCCTGTTGTAGTTTGCCATCTCTATCCTCGAATGCCAACGTTGGCGAATCCGGAGCACCGTGACCATTTGTCGCAGGATGGGTGACTTGAGCAGCAACCTTAGAAAAGTCGTGCTTTGCGAAATATGACTTTGGTGCTGAGCTCTGGACGGTGTCGGCGGTGACGCCAATGACGTGTGTATCCACTGTGTCCCTTGCTGCCGTCAAAGCAGAAGGCGTAGTCGACACTTGAATGCCTTTCGAGTCGACATCGACGCCAAAGAAGCGCTTCGCCTTAGGGCTCATACCAGTATGCTCCTCTCGGAATCTCTCAGCTTCAGGAGTCATGCAAGTGGCTACATCCTTCGACATGATTGTTGCTTGAACTTCAACTGACGTGGTCGATTTCCGCTCAGCATCTGTGCCTGCGCTTGTAGTTTCTGCGCGAGCTTGTACACTTGTACTTGTCTGTTCAGGCCTGGCAAGAATCGCGGCATTGGTAGACGTCGATGTAGCCTGAACCTTTGCGTCTGTTGTTGTAGTTCTTGGTCGCCATACAAATTCCTCAGAATTGGCTTGAATACCTGCATTGGAGGTCTCGGGCTTGTGCCTGCCGGTAGATTCCACCACCGGCTGTGGAGCATCTGGATAGACGAAGAACTGACGTTGAGGACCTGCAGGACCAGCCAGGTAGTTCTGCAAGTGCCAGTCGCTAGACTGCACTGGATCAGGCTGTGAACCACGATCCACCATAATTTTGTTCAATGCAGGGGACGCAGAGCGGTCAAATGTCTCAAAGACAGGCAACGGCAACAAAGGCATTGGCGTTGACGGCATAGGTGGTGGTGTCGCCTGTCGTGAGCTTGCAAGAGACTCCCTGCTTGCTCGACTTTTGAGGCTTTGCAATGAAGCCGACTTGCGACGGAGCGGTGCAATGACACGCTTTGCCAGAACGCTCTCTGATGCCTGCTCTGCACGGTCTTCTTCCTTGACGCCCTCTGCAGAAGCCACACTCTTGGTTGGACTTTGTCTTAGTGGGGAGCCAGAGACTGCAGATTGCTTGATCGAGCTGATGGCTGGCAGCGGTGTTGCAAAGCCATCTTCACTCTTTCTCAAGGGAGGCAGCATGGCCGAGGAGGCGAGCGATCGAACAGGCTTTGGGGAAAGAATTTGAGGGGATCGCCACTCCGAAATATCACGAGTTGGTGCGCTAGGGAAGTCTTCTGGCCTCTCATGCACGAATGCCAACTCTGGTCCAGCAGACGCCTTGGGCGTGCCTGGCAAATCTGGCGCATTTGATGGATCCTCTTGAATGAAAGTCAGGGTCGATTTCAGTGCGCGTGGCGTGTCTGGCTCATTTGCTGGATCCTCATAGACGAACTGAGTCGTGATGGGCTCATGCTTGGGTGTGTGTCTCCAGGGCGCTGTGGTCATTGTACCGGCATCCACCATGTCTGCATGACTCGCCATCGAAAACTTGCTCGGTGTGTTGCTGTTGGACCCTGAAGCGCCACGTACAGTCTCGGGCGAGTGAGTAGAGGATCCTGCCATGGACTTGCCTTCCAATTCGGCAAATAGTGGTCGCGAAGAGGCAAAGACTTGTGAAGCGCTCATGAGTGCGTGCGTGCCAAGAACACGACGACGACCATCGGGTTGCTGACGATGAGGCGAGCTAGAGCTCTCATCCAAGTCGCTTTCAAAGGCAAAGCCATCGCGCGAGAAATTGACCCGAGAAGCCGGCATGCTATAGACAGACTCATCTGGCTCAATGCCACGATCACTGTCGGAGCCATCGGCTTCGATCCATCCTGCGTCTTCCTCGGAGATGATGGTCTCAGTGGTGAGTCGTTTCGAGTCGACTGTGCGCCCGCTACGAGGTCTTGTGCGCTCGGTTTCGCCAGGTCCGCGCATGAAGCGGCGCCTGGGCATCATGCTTGCATGCATCTGCTTGAGTTCCTCCAGCTCATCAAGAGCTTCCTTAAGCTGACGACGCAATTCAATCTTTTCAGCCTTCTCCTTTTGTGCAGTCTGCCTGCTGTGCTGCAGCATACGGTGAGAGGACAGCAAAGAACCCTTCAGTGTTTCTGCCTCAAGTGTGACGTTTCGAGACGGCGTGCCTTTGATTGGTGACATGCGTGGCGAGCGATCAGGAGTTGTTGGTTCTTCCTCGCTGTCGATATTCTCCAGTGTCTGTTTGGTTGGGCTGCGATTTTGATCACGAAGACGAGACAGCTTCTGATGTTCTTCCAGCTCCGCTGCCATCGCATCCAAGCGGTTTTGGGTCTCTTCAAGCTCACGTTTGACGGCATCCTTATCGCCACGCAAATCTGCTAGAGCTGCAGTGTGAGCTGACTCTTGGGTAGCCAATTGCTCCCGTAGTCGTGCCTCTGTCGCCAGCTGCGCGTCTAGCTGCTCAGTCTTGGTGTCGATGAGAGCATTCAGACGCTTTGCTTCGCCAGCTTGACGCGCTTCGGATTCACGTAAATCACTGACTTCACTGTCTGCTTTGTGCAAGGCCACTTCGAGGTCCCAATTGACACTCTTCAAGCGTTCTAGTATTAGCAAATATCAATAAAGTGGAAATGACAAACCTGCTTGCGACAATGCCGTCTTGACTTCTGTTTGCATGTTTTCAAAACCACGCTCGCGTTTCTCTAGTTGTACAAGGAGTTCACGAATCCTGTCATCTTTCTCCGCCAATAGCTGTTGCTGAGCTCTTACTTCTGCTACAAGTTTGTTGCCAATTTCTGTTGCAAACTCGATATCATGGGGCCTTGTTCCCTGAGCCATGTTTTGCCGTGCGCGCCGTGCAGATTGTGCCATCCTGGTGGGTGAAAGGATGCTGGAGTCTTGGGGCCTGTTGGGTGCAGAGTCTGATTGCTTGCTGTCCTTGTACGTGGCACGAATGGATGATCTATTGACGCCAAATTCTGTCAGTACAGCATCAGACTCACGTTGCAAGTGATCCAAGCGATGCGTCAAGACGGTCGGTTGATTTTCTACGTCTTTACCAAGATCGTATGCTTGGAGTTGCGCCTCTAAATGTTTTTGATGCTCGAGCAGAGGCTGCGCCATGTCCATGATACGGTTCAGACCTTTGCCAGTCTCGTCGAGCTGATGCTGCAAGTTCCGCCGCGTGTTCTTTGACTCCTGCGACAGACTATTCCGCTTGGAGGAAACAGGAGACTCCATGCTACACGATGGTGTGTTTGTCTAGTTTTGCGATGTGACAACGCGCGCTCACGAGGACACCTCCTGACGGTCTGCTGACTTGCTGATGCGACCTGCTGACCTCGCGAGACTGCAGCTGGTTGGGCGTCGATGTCTTGTTGTTGTTTGGATTCCCTCCCACGTCGTTGCGAAAATGCGATTTCCTGCTTGGGCACGCACAGACGAGAAACGCACGGCCAACAACCGCTACTACAAGCTTCACACTGCGTGGACCATCATTTAAGACTGCTCTCATACTATAGTCAGCTAGACATATGTTGCTGGTGCTCCTGACTCCGAAAGCAGCGTTGACTGCAAGCTAGCCACACTGCTGGCGCATCAATCAAAGATCTCGGTTTAGGCAGAGTCAATCAATCCTTGCCCATGAATCAGCATGATCTCAGGCTCCTCATACCAGCCTGACTGACGCGAGTCAGAGCCCTTTTGGCGCAATGGGCCTGTGCTTCTGCGTGAGAGGCTTTGAAGTCTGGGCTATGCCTTTTGAGCTCCTGAACTTGCAAATAGAACTAGCAATTCTCCGTCCTCCAATACGAGGCCCAGACAATCAGGGGCAAATAGGGTGCTGTTGACTTGAGCCCTCCTATCCATCTGCGTACATGATCTCTATGGGATGATCCCATTCAAGTGGACTGACACCGTCGAGTCATCGAATGCGGCGCGGGAACCAAGTACAATGGTATAATGCCTTTTCTCTGTCGAACAGGTTGCAGCTGATCAGCAAGCACTGATCAACCCTTTGTTTGCTCGCGTCTTAGAGTCTAGACTCTAGAACGGGTATCTCCTGTATTGTCCATATGGACACAAACATCGCACCACTCTGGCGCGGCTATATTCAGAGCATCCAGTTTCTATAAGAGGGGGTTGACTCCCATTCTGTAATGTCGCGGACCAACTACTTCCGGTGGCTTTCACATTGGACCCTTGGACTCATCTGTCGCCCACCATGCTCTTACGATACTGCCTGTTCATTGGCACGCTGGGCCTATCTATCTCTGCCAAACCCGAGTCGATCCACATCAAATTGACCGATGAGTACATCCAAGAGCTTGAAGAATTTTGGACGGCCGACACGAGGCAGGCTGCTCGTAACAACTCTTTTCAGAACCATGGTGGCAACGACTCTGAGGTCGACATACCCGCTGGACACCTGGAGCGACGAAATCCCCAAACCTATAGTCGCGACAGGTCTCCCCGCACTCTGAAAGCTGGTGTAGAGCGAATCCCTGGCCAACTTTGGGTTGGCTGGCTTTACTTTTTGGCCGATGTCGATGGAAAATCGCAAACAAGAGCGTGCATTGCCTCCATTGTCGCGTCGCCATCTGGAAGTGTCATCGCCACTACAGCGGAGTGTGTCTTTGACCGAAGCACATGGAAAAGCTATTACAAATTTGCGTTTTACCCCGGACACACCGATGATATGTGGCCAGTGCCTACAATTTTCTATCACTGGCAGTATAAGGATAAGAAAGGACGGGAGGCCTATTCTTATAAATGGAATGTGGCTTTTGCCAAACTAGGCAAGCGCTATGACAAAATGCTGGCCGAAACGTATAAAAACCTTGCGCTTCCTCAGCCATCTTTCAAAGGCCCGTTTCTAGCTGACAAGTCGGATATGGTGCAATTTTGGAAGCCGGCGGGTCCCCCAGTAGTTTCATCGAAACAATGGGAATCCGGGCCATCCTCTCTCTTGCGCTGTACGTTCCGTACTGATTCACTTGACCATGAAAGGGACGAACTTGCGCACATCTATTGGATTCCATGGTACCGGGCATTTGGTGTTTGCTCCGTGAAGCACAATGATGTCGGCTCTCCTGTCACATATCAGTATTCTAGTAGCCCGGATTCCCTGGTGCAAATTGGCACCTTGATGACAGGACATGAATGGCCATATGAAACAGACTTCTTTGTCTGGTGGGATAGCGATGCCCAAGCTTTGTTTTATCTTGCGGATCAAGCGAAGCCTGCGGACTAGTCAAGCTTCTAACAGAGGCATCACTTGCTACAGGAACGTATTCTTAGTTCATTATCCTCTTGACATCTCTCGTGATATTTTGATGCCGTCTGCAACTGTTAGATACTCGATTGCTCTGCCGGCGTGGCAGAAAGCTGTAGAGATGGGACAATTGCATTGTCTACTTTGTGAAGAGCACCAGAATCAGCTGTATGCACAGGTGTGCCTGGCACATTTGCATTTTTCGCAACATTGGTAGGGACATGCCGATCTGCGTCCACGGGCTGGACGTAAGGTTTCATGACGCCACACCAGTCTGCAGCAGCCCGTTCTTCTCCAGTCTTGTAGGTCAAGAACCATTATCAGCCGAGTACGATAGGGCACGGAGGAGAATAAGCAACTCGCCCATACGCTTTTCGTGGCGACCAGCTTGAGTGAGCAGATTTGGGAAGCAGTCAGTTTGAGAAATAAGCTCAGCTGTATCTTGGGAAAGAGCAGGTCTAAAGAGGACTAGTAATTTGCAGAATCAAGCAGTTGATACCAATGAGAAAAAGCAGTTGTGTGGTGTTGCGATTTTGCGCCTTTCTCGCGCCTCGGGACTTGAGAAGCAGGCATGATTTCAGGCTCCTCAGACCAGCCTGCTTGACTTTAGCCAATCCGATTTGGCTTAGTGGAGCTATGCTTCCGCATGAGAAGCCTTGATGTCTGGGCAATGCCTTTTGTTTTGCATATAAATGAGCTTCATGGTTTTGCGGGATTTCGAGTTTGGGTGCACTGCACAGGACGGATCTCCTTGCAGCCTTGTTCTCCGGGAGCTATAGACTATAGCTAGTAGCTTTTGGCTCAATGGGAATGCGTTGTGAACTCCAAATAGGTCTGACACAATCTTGAACCTCCTGAACTCGCAAAGTAGCAATTCTCTATTCTCCAATTGCAAGAGGCCGAATTAGTCAGGGGCAATTCATTTAACAAAATGCTGATGACTTGAGCACCCGTACCATCTGCGTACATGATTTCTTTGGCATGATCCTATCCAAGTAGCCTGACACTGTCGAGTCATCGATTGCGGCACGGGAACCAAGTCCAATGTCTTTTCTCTGTCAAAAGAGGTGCTGCTGATCATCAGACACTGATCACCGCTTTGTTGGCTCGCAGCGTCGCATCGTAGAGTCTAGACTCTAGACCGGATAAGTCCTGTGTCATCCATATGCATGTGAATGTTCCCACATCATATCGTTCTGACGTGTCTGTATCTAGAGCATCCAGTCTCTATAAGAGCGAGATGACTCCCATTCCATAACGTCGAGAACCAATTACTTCCAGTAGCTCCACAGTTGTCACTTGGACTCATCTGTCGCCCACCATGCTCTTACGATACTGCCTGTCCATTGGCACGCTGGGCCTATCTATCTCTGCAAAACCCGAGTCGATCCACATCGAATTGACCGATAAGTACATCCAAGAGCTTGACTTATTTTGGACGCTCGAAATGAGGCAGGCCGCTCACAACAACTCTTTTCAGAACCAGGGTGGCAAAGAGTCTAATTTTGACTTACCCTCTGGACACTTGCACCGACGAAATCCCCCAACCTATAGTCGCGACAGGTCTCCTCCTACTACTGCGAAAGTTGGCGTGGAGCACATAGCTGGCCAGGCTTGGGTTGGCTGGCTTTACTTCCACGGTAATGAAGCTGGGAAATTCAAGCCAAAATCCTGCATTGCCTCCATTGTCGCGTCGCCGTCTGGGAACTTAATCGCCACTGCAGCGGAGTGCGTCTATGACCGACGTACAGGAAACACCTATGATGGTTTTGTGTTCTTCCCCGGAGGCACACATGATATGTGGCATGTGGAAAGCCCTTGCTTTCATGGGCAGTATAAGGACGGACGGGATGATCAGGCTGCTAGATGGAATCTGGCATTTGCCAGAGTAGCCAAGAGCAAGGAGGGAACGTTGGGCGAATTGTATCCCTACCATCCTCAGCCATCCTTCGAAGACCTGCCTAAAGCTGCCGAGTCGTCTGTGTGGATGGTGCAAATTTGGAAGCCAAAGGGTCCTCCAGAATCTGAATCGCAGCCCCGGTATTCTGGGCCATCCGCTCTCTTGCGCTGTACGTACCGTTCTCACGGATGGCTCCGTAAAGTGCTTGGACTGACGCACATCTTTTTCACCTCCAAGTCGTGATACCTTCCTAAATGCGACGTGAGGGACGTCGGCTCTCCTGTCATGCACTGGTCTTCTGGTGGCTCAGATGCCCTTGTGCAAATCGGCGTCCTTATGTCAGTAGACCTTGCCCCTTTTGAAGGCAACTCGTTTGTCAGGTGGGATAGAGACGCCGAATTTTTGTATAACTACGCGGATAGAAAGAAGCTGGAGGGCTAGTCAAGCTTCTGACAATGGCATCGCTAAACACAGAGCACGTATTCTTAGCTATTCATCCTTCTGACGTCTCTCAAGTTAATCTGGAGTCATCTGTGACTGTTGGACATTCTGTTCTTCTACCAGCGTGGCACGAAGCTGTAGAGATGGGGCAATTGCATCATCTACTTTGTGAAGAGCACCAGAACCAGCTGTATGCACAGGTGTGCCTGGCATCTTTGCATTTTTCGCAACATTGGCAGGGACATGCCTATCTGCCTCCACGGGCTGAACGTAAGGTTTCATGACGCCGCACCAGTCTGCAGCAGCCCACTCCGGCTCTTCAGTCTTGTAGGCCCAAGACCCATCATCCGCCGAATACGATAGAGCATGTAGGAAAATGAGCAACTCATCTTGCGAAGGGTCAGAGTAGAGTGGCGCACCACATTCGCTGCAAGATTCACCCGTGAGCAATTCGCCCATACGCTTTTCGCGTTTCGCAATGGACTCTGCTTTAGTATCGATGGTGACGAATTCGTGCTGACGGCTTTCAGTGACGATGCGTGGTTCTTGTGAAGTGGGTGCGTAATCGCCAAAATCGGCAACTTGTGAGCGACCTAGACGATTCAGCTTGTCTTCCAATTCTTCGTCGGTTTTGGTGTTGGCTTGCGACATGTCATCGCCCCAGACGCGCCTATTGGCGTAGATTGGATCATTAGCGATCGGGTGACCGAGCCATTGAAGATGCACACGCAATTGATGTGTGCGGCCGGAGAAGGGTCTGCACCAGACTAGACTCGTTACTCCATTGTATGACAGCTTGCGAAACATGCTTTTGGAAGGCTTGCCATCTGGATGAACACGATTGAGGCCGTACATGGGATTGATGCTCTTGAGCGGCTGATCAACAATAATGTCACCTTCTGGGAAGTCTCCGACAACGCGAGCCAAATACTCCTTTGTCAATTCGCGATCAAACAGGTATTGACACATCTTTTCGGCAGCACTTGCGTGTTGCGCAAAGAACATGAGACCAGACGTGAGACGATCGAGTCTGTTGCACGGTGCAATAGTCGGAGCAAAGTTCTGCTCAATCGACATGATGTTGAGGACTGAGTTGTGCCGATAGCGACCAGCTGGATGGACTGGCACACCCGCAGGTTTGTTGATAACGATAAGATCATCGTCACAGTGAACAATCTGGACGGGGCGCAAGCTGACAGGTGGCTCGTGACGATGACTCGTGTGTGTCATGACATCGCCATTTTTGAGAATCATCTCACCGTCAGACGGCTGTCCATTGACACGTACTTTCCCATCGATGATGGCTTGTTTCTATAGTCAGCAGCTGTTGAGTGACTGACAAAGTACATACGTAGTACTCTGCATCGCGATCGCGGAACTCGGTGGTAAAGATCTCCGTCAAGGTCTTGCCGAGCCATCTGCCTTTGACCCAAGTTTTGAACTCAAAATAGTACGGCTTGACCCTTCGCAAGCCCTTTTCGTAATCATAGATGTACTCTGCTCCTTCGAGAAGCTGTGAATTAGGTAGCTTGGGAGATACTTGGACCTTCTTGACCTTTGGCATGATCCCTTCAGGGATGGTCTGGCGTCGACGAGGAATAGTGCAGTAGCTGCGGCCTTTGGTGACCAGCCTAAGTGAGCAGATTTGGGAAGCGTTCAGCTTGAGAGATGAGCTCAGCTGTATTGGGGGCAAGAGCAGGTCTATGGAGGACTAGTAATCTGCAAAATTCAGCAGTTGCTATCGATGAAGAAAAAGTAGTTGGATTGTGGTGTTGCGATCTTGAGCCTTTCACGCGCCACAGGACTCAAGCGGCAGCAGCAGCAGCAGCAGCGACAGAAACTACAGCAAGACCAGCACAAACAGCCAAACAGCAAACGGCAAAGGGTACGGCACAGATGCCATCCTAGCGCCGTCTTTTATCATTCGGTGCAGTCCTCATCTGTAAAGTTTAGAACCATGGTGCGTTGCTATACCCCTTTACAAGTCATTGGCGCTGACAAGCTAGGCAAAGCAGGGCCGTCGCTCGCGCGATACGCAGAGCAATTCAAGCAGGGCATCTCCAGAGGCAGCGCCAATAGAGACAGCTGCAACGAGTAGACGCACAACGCGTGCCAATTCCATCAATAGCACTCGTTCGCAATCCGCAGCTGCCATGTCTGGCTCAGAGTCGGATGAACAAGCCTTCCCTAGAGCTGCGTCTCGAAAGTTGGCAGGCAAGCGCATAGCGAGTGACGGCAATGGCAGGGCTACCAAGAAGGCTCGTATCATGGTGCGAAAATCTTCAAGGCAACAGGACGATGCAGATTACGCAGAGGAAACTCAGGAGGAAGAGGATGAATTGAGCCGCACCAATTCGCCGGCGAATGTCAAGCAGGTCAAGTCGCGATCATTTACACCCGTCACTACAAAGAAACGCGAGCAGCCTGTCTACTTGTCTGACTACTCTGAAGAGTGGGAAGAGCGGCACTGGGACATTTGCGAAGCGTGTCGTTTAGGGACCACAAAGAAACTCATCTACTGTCAAGGCTGTGCAGTTGCTCTGCATCAGGAATGCATCTCTGCCGATAAGAAACACAACATTGTGCGCATTGATACCGATGCATGGGTGCTACAATGCCGTCACTGCGTGAGCAAGGCCGACAAGCCGAGCAGCAATCGATCGTACATCACCGGCAAGGTTGGACCAGCATGTCAGCCTCTCATGGCTCCCAAATCAAAATGGCAACCACCCAAAGAAGGCCATGTCGTTTCGGACCCTGAGCAAGCGGCACGCGATGCAGACGCTGCGCGCGTATTGCAGGAAAGGGCAGATTTGCGCAGCATGATTCATATCCCTGAGAACGTCATGTTTCGATGCACACGATGCTTACGTCCAGCCTTGTATGAGGACTTGCCAGCAGATGACGGGACGGATGGCGACCCCTCACAGTGCCTTGAATGCAATCTTTATGCAAAACAACGCATTCATCTCGTCCTTGGCTGGCGAGAACTCGGCGAAGAGCGATTAGAGACGCTGGAAATCACGAGAAGTGAAGCACCATCAGATTGGTTGCGAGAGTACCTCGTCAAGTGGCAAGATCAATCATTCCGCACAGTCGAATGGGTGCCTGCTACATGGCTCGCTGGCGCCGCTTTTGCAAAGAAGCGCAATTTTGATCAGAAAGAGCTGGAACCTATCAGGGATATTGCAGATGTTGTGCTCGATGACTGGACCAAAGTCGACGTCGTGCTCGATTGTGAGTATGAAGAGCACAAGCGCTTTGACGAGATGGGCTTTGAGAGCGAAGAGGAAGCCTTTGCTGCAATACACAAAGTCAGTCGCATGTATGTCAAGTGGCAGCAAGTGCAGTACGAGGATGTCTGCTGGGATGAGCCGCCAAGTGAGGCCATGGACACTGAAGGAATTGAACGAGATCGCTGGACTGCCTTTGAGCGTGGCTATCGCGATTGGGTGCGAGGCTTCTATGTCATGGTTGACAAACAACATGCAGTCAAGTCTGCCAAGCTCAACGACTTTCAATTTGTGCGCCTCGAAAAGAAGAAGCAACCTAAGAATCTTGTCGGTGGCGAGCTCATGCCATACCAGATGGAAGGGCTCAATTGGCTTTACTACCAGTACTTTCGACGCCATCCAGCAATTCTCGCAGATGAAATGGGACTCGGCAAGACCATCCAAATCATCTCCTTCCTCAGTGTTTTGCACAGCGACTGGGCGATCGGCCCTTTTCTTATTGTCGCCCCCAACTCTACCATCAGCAATTGGAAGCGCGAATTCCAAAAATGGGCACCTCACATGCGAGTCGCAGCTTACTATGGCACATCTGCAAGCCGGACTGTTGTTCGTGATTTCGAGATTGTGCACAATGACACGTCAGGCAGGCCACTGAAAGTGCATGCGCTCATCACAAGCTACAATACCATCGAGCAAGATGCGGCATTTTTGAAGAAGTACACATGGGCTTGTCTTGTTGTGGATGAAGGTCAACGTCTCAAGAACGATGAGAGTATTCTGTTTAAGCTGTTGTCAGAGTTCCGCGTCAATCAGCGTGTCTTGCTCACTGGCACGCCGTTGCAGAACAACACAAAGGAATTGTTCAACCTACTCCAGTTCCTGGACCCCGACAAGATGGATGCAGCGACGCTAGAAGCACATTACGATATTGAGAAGCAAGAGTCTCTTTCCGAGCTGCATCAAATGCTGCAACCCTACTTCCTACGACGTACAAAGACACAGGTGCTCAAGTTCTTGCCGCCCAAGAATGAAGTCATTGTACCGGTGACAATGAGCGCGTTGCAAAAGGAGCTATACAAGACCATTCTCAGCAAAAATGCAGAGCTCATGCGGCTTGTCATGTCTCGTTCTTCTTCAGGCAAGCCAATCCAGAACTACAATAACACGTCGCTCGGCAATGTACTGCAACAGATTCGCAAAATACTGTCGCATCCTTTCATTTATTCGCCAGACATCGAAGAAAAGGTGGACGATGAAGCAGTCTCGCTTACGAACCTTACAAACGCATGTGCCAAGCTTCAGCTACTTAAAGTCTTGCTACCACTGCTCAAGGCGAAAGGTCACCGAGTGCTCATCTTTTGTCAATTCATCATGATGCTTGATATCTTGGAAGATTGGCTGGTCGCTACTGGTATTCAGCATGCACGCATCGATGGCAATACGCCGTCGCCTGAACGTCAAGAAGCCATCGATAAGTTCAATGCACCCGAATCAGAGCTGACTTGCTTCTTACTAAGTACACGAGCTGGTGGTGTTGGTATCAATCTCGCCACAGCCGACACAGTCATCATTTACGACGCCGACTTCAACCCTCATCAAGATTTGCAGGCTGTTGCGCGTGCGCATCGAATTGGTCAGAAGTCCAAGGTTGTTGTCTTCACGCTCGTTACGCGGAATACCGCTGAGGAGAAGATTCTGCAAATTGGTCGTAAGAAGATGGTACTCGATCAGCTCATTATTGAAAACATGGCGACCAAGGAAGAGAATGTGCCTTACCAGGAAATTTTGTCCTTTGGTGCAGCTGCGCTTTTTGAGGAGGAAGCCAAGAATGAGCTTGTCTATGATACAGCTACTGTCACGAATTTAATTGAAAGCTCGTATGCGGATGTCCCTGTTGTTGAGGAAGAAGCAGACGACAAGAAGGATTCCTTTGGTTTTGCCAAAGTTTGGGCAGGCGATGCCCTCGCTGATGATGATCTCGGTGAAACGGAGGGTAAAGAGGCGACGGATGATTTGTGGGCCAAGATTCTTGCTCAACGTGCTGCTGAAGCCAAGGCGGAAGCTGACAAGAAGTCTGCTGAATTCTCAAAGGGCCGAAAGCGCACTGTCAAGGATTACAGTGAGGCTGCTCAAGGCAAATCAATTGAAATGATGGCAAAGGGTAAGAAGAAGACTGCAGTGGGTGGACTTGTGGTGGGCGACAAAGCAGGCTCAGCGACAGTCACACGAGAGTCGACGCCTGAAAAGCCTGAAGAAGCCGTGGCTGAGCCTGAAGTGGAAGATTGGTACAGTTCGGATTATGTCTCTGAAGGCGATGATGACGAAGACTATGAAAGAGAGGCTGTCCCGCCTGAACAAGTTGCACTGGAGGCTACTGCTTTAGCAGCAGAAGGCGGAACGACTGCTGCAAATGGCACCGCTGGTTCAGCGACTCAGGCGAGTGTTGCGCCGCGCCTTTTGAGGCCATGTAAAGTATGTGATGCTATTCACGCTGGTGGTCAATGCCAGCTACGCAACATCCCCATTGAGGTGTGCTCTTTGTGCAACACGCCTCATTTTTCCGGTGGTCGGACACACGCCTCTCAGCAGTGTCCAGTCTTCTCTGATATCTCTGCAATGCGCAGGATTCTCGAGGATCTGAGGTCTTCCAATGAGCCAGCTGCGGTTGTGGATAAAGCTACCACGTATATCCGAGGAGCTATTGGGCAAGTCACGAGGCAGGAGCGTGATCGAGTACACAAGGAGTTGCAGCAACAAAAAGCCGCACAGGCTCTTAAACCGCAAGCAGGCGTGTCATCGGCTAGTCCATTGACGCAAACTCAGCCAACCACTACATCGACCACTCCAGCTACTGTGGGTGTGCCTGTACAAGCCCAAGGTAATGCTCCACAGATCGCTCAACCCCAGCCTGTCATCATACAGACTCAACCTGCAGTACTTGCACAGCAACAGACCCCTGTGGACGTTGCCCCGGCATCGGTCGTTCAGCAACCAAACCCTGTGGCCAGTCCTCCCCCACCTCCACCCGTGCAACAACCAAAGCAGCCGCACACTGTATCGCAACTTTTCCAGCAATCTGCGGCAGGTCCTTCAATTCCGCTTGTTGTCGCACAACAGCCAGCAATGGTTGCGCCTGCACAAACAATGCCGCCCTTCCCAAAAACGCAGTCTACCACGAGTCTTGGGATAGGTCCAGTCCAGCTACCATTCAAAACGGGACCATTGCAGCCTTCATTACCGCCTGCTCGGACGCATCCATTCACACAGTCTAGCGGACAGTCTAGTGGACAAACCATGCCTGTTCCTGGAGCAAGTCAGACTGTCGCGCGTCCGTCGAGTGTGCAAGCATTATTGGAAGCCGCGATGCGCAGACCACCTGCAACGAAGGAGCCATGAGATACTCATTTCAATGACGTTACTTGAGAAGACGCACGATGGATGCCTTTTTTAAATCTTTCCTAGTTCTTCTGCAATGATGCGATTGAGAGACGTGCCATCGCTTTTTGGTAGATTGTTGAATGCTCGCTTTCGTTGATTTTGCAAGGATTGTAAAACGCCTGGTAGAGAAGTGGGTGATGCAGCGAGACAATAGTCTTCTTTGACGAGTGCATCGCGTAGTTCCACCTGATGATTATCCATCAACGTCTCATTTGCAACGACAATCAGAATCGGCTTGGTCTTCAAGCGTAGACATTCAAGAACTGTACCAGCACCGCAGTGGGCGATGATCAGGTCTGCTTGGGCAAGCTCAGCGTGAAGGTCTGGTAGGTAATCCATCACCTCAATAGAAAGACCCTGTGCATGTGGCGTTGTGTGAGAGAGGGCAAAAGGCGACCGGCCTGCTTGGATACGTACGCTAGTGATGCCTAGTGCAAGCAGTGCCTGCTGTGATGATTCTTGTAGGCATGCTTCGATGAGTGGGTCGAAGGTTGTGCTTCCGACCGTGATGAAGCAGTGTTGCATGATTTGTTCAGCAAGTAGAGGCGAAATGTGTTATCAAACGACAAAAGCACGTTCCAGGGGTAAAACTTGACGGTCTAGCAGCAGCTCGCTACTGTCGCCAGTGTATTTGAGGCAGATACTAGACGTCTACGTGGAGAAGACTCTGTAGTATGTTCAAGTATTTTGTCGACTGAAGTTTCTTCTTTATTCAGCACACAGTCTAGCTATAGTAAAGATCCAAGTGCTTTGAGGTAGGCGAGCCAGGCAAGATCTGGAGTCGTCTGCACGGATTTCAGATTGAAGCTGACTGACTGCTGCCAGTTGCCTGCGGTATTCGTGAGCCTCGGCGCCGGTCAAGTGCAAAGTGATTCCCCCCGCAGTTCGGAAGAATGACCCAAAAATTGGTCTCACGGGTGCAGGACACTTTCCCTGGCCTGGCACGGCGTTATCTCAAAGCCGGAGAGATCCGCCAGCACCCCGAGTGCGCCCGAGGCATTGACGGAACTACAGATGGCTACAGATGTATAGGTTGGATGAGCAGTGAGGAAGCAACGACGGGGCCTGCATGAGTGTGTCGTGCGACTACATGACCGGCGAACCAAGTTGAGGGAAGTGGCCAAGGTCTCTCTCTCTGCTGCTGCTTCCGCCTGGGCCCTCGTCCGATATCTTCCTTTTTCTCTTATCTCGCAGCCCGCACCACGCAGCCAATGGCAAAGCAGCCAATGAGGTCGACATCTATACATGACAGTTAGCAGTCCAGCAGCATAGATGGCAGGGCATTAGGTGAGACTAGGTAGATACATCCTGCGCATGACCTGCTGCCTTGAGCTCTGGCTGCAGCAGTATTTGTGTATAGCAAACCTCAGGAGAGTGACGTCGCGGGCCGCAGCCGGCTTGGCCAAGATGCGAAAGTCAAGAAGAGGTGAAGCGTGTGCTCAACCAGCTCGTTGTGTCGCATATAACCCGCCCCCGTCCCAACCCCCTCCCTCCATCTCCCATACCCAACACATCCCTCTATACACATCCAACATGTCTGACCCTTCAAAACTCCCTGGGCGCGTCACCTATGCCGCAAACGTAAGTCATTCATCTGCTGGTCTCGTTCTCCTCACAAGACCGCATACTCTATTGATGCGCAACAAGGCTAACCCACTCTTCCGTAGCTCAAAAAGTACCTGGATCTTGACCAGTGCGGCAAGGTGATGGCAGAGTACGTCTGGATTGACGCTCAAAGTGAGCTGCGTTCCAAGACCATGACACTGGACGCTCGCCCAACCTCAGTAGAAGAGCTGCGCGAGTGGAACTTTGATGGTTCCAGTACAGGTCAAGCACCCGGTGAGAACTCGGATGTCTACCTGCGTCCAGTCAAATTCTGGAAGGACCCTTTCCGTCTTGGTGACAACATCATTGTGATGTGTGAGTGCTGGAACGCAGATGGCACACCCAACAAGTTCAATTTCCGTCACGAAGCCGCAAAGTACTCTGAAAAGCACACTGCGCAAGAAACGTGGTTCGGTATTGAGCAAGAGTACACGCTCATGGATGAAGCTGGAAAGCCGTTTGGCTGGCCCAACGGTGGTTTCCCAGGTCCACAGGGACCTTACTACTGCGGTGTCGGTGCAGGCAAAGTCATTATGCGTGATTTGATTGAAGCGCATTACAAGGCTTGTCTCTACTGCGAAGTTCCCATCTCTGGTATCAACGCTGAAGTGATGCCTTCTCAGTGGGAATTCCAAGTCGGTCCTGCCACAGGTATCGATGCAGCTGACCAAATGTGGTTTGCTCGATTCTTGCTCGTTCGCATTGCAGAGGAGTTTGGCGTTGTTGTGTCGTATGCTGCAAAGCCCCTTGCTGGTGACTGGAACGGTGCCGGTGCACACACCAATGTCTCCACCAAGGAGATGCGTGAAGAAGGTGGTATGAAGGCCATCATTGCTGCCATTGAGAAACTCAGCAAGAGGCATATTGAGCACATCAAGTGTTACGGTGATGACAACAGCCAGCGTCTTACCGGTAGGCACGAGACTGGATCCATTGACAAGTTCGACTATGGTGTCGCTAACCGTGGTTGTTCTGTGCGTATCCCCAGGTCTGTTGACCGGGAAGGAAAGGGATACTTTGAGGACCGTCGCCCCGCTGCATCCATGGACCCATACCGTGTTGTTGGCAAGATGCTCGAGACTCTCTTTGAGTAAGCTTGTTCAATTGATGGCCAAAGAAGTGGGGTGCTTTCTAGACGTACGCGCTATACTTTAACAAAAACAAAACTCATCCATCAATGCTCATTCATTCGTTCAATTGCCCATTTGGTAGCATACATAGTAGACATTCATCATCTGCTTAGCCTAGTCACTACAATTCATCAGGATTTTGTGAAAACTCTCCGATCCCTTTGACCAGTTCACGCGCACTCATTCCCTGCAACCCAGCAATCGGTGCATCCAACCCAAGAATTGCACCAGCATTCAAGGACTTTGCAGACATGAAATCTGGTGCACGCACTGCAAGTTGTGTTGCTAAACGCATCCCTGCTTCTCCATCCTCACTAAAACTGCCATGATTGTGTCGCTGTTGATTGACCACACTCGGTGCTTTTACTGGACCTGGTCGTTTCTGTAGAGAATTCTGTCTGGATAGCCCCGTTGGCCGCTTAGCGATTGGCAGAGCCTCAGCTGCCTGATTGACACAACTCGCTGATGTATCCTGCAAAACGCGCTTAGGTGCCCTGGCCGGTGAGCTGGCAGTAGAACGTTTGATGATTCTGTGTGGCACGAGAACACCTGACTTGGTCGTGGCGACCGTTTGCTCAATGACAATCGGATGCCTCTTCAAAGCCTCTGTAGCATTCGCTCTGGGCATCACAAGAGACGGTGCTGAAGCAGTTTGTTGCAATGTCTGTGGTTGTTGAACGAGCGCAACAATCTTGTGCAGTGATGGACCTTTTGTACGCGCAAGTCCACGCTGTCTTTGTGGGTTCAATCGACTGAGTGTCGAATTCGCAGCAATACGACGTGCAGCTGCGTCCAGGTGTTGTTGAAGATGCCGTTCCTGCGTTGTATCCACTTCATCTTCATCCGTGTCGGCTGTCTCTTCTTGCATGGTATGCGCAGCAACAGGCGCTGTGGCAAGTGGGAGTTGCCAGCCGTCGTCAATAGGGGGTGTCGCTGGTGCTTGGGAAAGCTGGAAGGAAGCCAATAGATGATCTAGCTTGCCAACAGTCTGTTCATCTGGTTCTGCAACAATAGGCATCGTGATGCGTATCTGTCCTTTGCTCAGCTTGCGCCTCGTTTTGGGCTTGACGGGCGCGGTGAACCCATCTGCATCTTCGGTTACAGACGGTCTCTGTGGTGACGAGCGAGGCGGTAGAGCTAGTAAATGCATGAATTGCTCTTGGTTGCATGGCTCTTTTGAGATGGCGACTGCCTTAGGCGTAGCCATAACCATTTCCTCAGTATCCCTCTCTTCAGGGGTCTGAACTTTGTGGAGCTCGTCAATGGGAGATCGAGAACATGGCCAGAGCAACGGCGTCGCAGGACACAAGTCAATATCCTCCGTTGGAGCTTGCATATGATTGGGCTCAGGCTCATGCGCGAGTACACTTGCTTCCGCCCTCTTGTCTTGCGTTGGCCCTGATTGTGAAGAAAGTAGCTCATCAATCAAATCCTTGAAGCCATCTGAGCGTTGTTCTGACATGCCCCAAGCTGCATCAAGGCCTGGCGCACTCGCCATCTCCTTATCGACTGCAGTCGCTGCAGATTGGCCACAACGCGCGCGTTCACTCATCGGAGCTGGATGCAATTCATGACTGACTTCCATAGCGCGTTCGTGAGCTTGCCAAGCCTTTTCGAATGCATCATCGTCGTCTTCGTCTACTGCAACTTGTTCCGCCTCGGCAAGCCGTCCCTCACGTTGTTGTTTGAGTAATGCATCTTCCATCATGCGAAGTCGGTTGGCTCTTCTATCTTCGTCTCGTTCCGCAGCAGTGCGAAGGCCTTGTGCTACTTTCGAGAGCGCTGATATGGGACGCTCAGTCGATTCACTTCTTGATTGCGCCTTCTTCATTCTCCTTGGTGGTGGAACTGGAGCGACAATCTCAATACATTCCGGAGAAGAAGACCGATCTCTGCCAGGAGACTCGCTTGGCTTAGGTCGAGCGACTCTAGAACGCGTAGAGAGAAGCCCACGTTCCTTGCGTTTGAGTGACACAATACGAGGCGCAGGCTCTTTTCGCTGAAGAGTCTTAATAGTGGTTCTTGGGGGGCTTTCGCCAGTCGACACGAGGATGGGGCACTGCGAGTCGCCAACGGATTGCTTCGAAGTCTGTAGGGTTGCCTGTACTGGTGGCCGCGGTGTCTTCGGGCCACTTGGCTGTTTGGAAGATTCAGCTTGATTTATGAGTGATTGCTTGATTGAAGCCTTGGAAGTCTTTGCTGCCTTGACTACCGTTTCCGGTAGTAAGTGATCAACAGGCTCTGGACTGGCCGACTGGTCGGACTGCACGCGCTTCGATACTGTTCCTAGCGATGACCGGTTTGTCTTTGTTGAACGCGACAGTGGTAATACCATAGCAGGGGATTCTGGCTCTGGCACTAAAGTTGCCTTTTTGTTGAGCATGTTATCCAGTTTGCGCTTGCCAGGCAGAGGCGTTTGTACAGCCTTTTGCACCGAAACCATCTCTTTGGGCGTCATGACAATATGCCGCGCATGCAAAGGTGTTTGACTCGCACAAGACGGGTAGATGCGCTTTGTTTGAGCGATACCCGTTGGCGTTCGAGTTGGCGCTTTATACGCGCCCGAACGTTGCACACTCGACATGAGATGTCTTGCATGGACAAGGGCTCCCTTTGCAGGCGTCTCTGTCGGTTGCCGAATGATATTCTCGAGATTCGCATGCGTCGTCACGAGCATGTCTCCAATACTCACCAAGTTTCGTGCGAAAGAGAGCTCCATGTCGCTTGTTATCTTCTTGTTTGGAAAGAACTTGCAATCAACCTGCTGACGCTCCTGACTGTAGAGGAGAGCATGGGAGTTGAAGGTATGCCACTTGAGAAAGCCGTCGTGCCATTTCTTCCTCTTCTGCGTCACGTCCGGCGTGTACATGCATGAAAACTCGATGATCTCGTTTTGCGCCGTCATAATTAGTTCAGAGCCTCAGCTGCAGCATGCTCTGCACATGGATGTGCGCATGTGTTGTTGGCACGCGCCGTTGTTGGTTTTGTGCTTGCGGTCGCGTTTCCCGTTCAAATTTGTCGCAGCAGCAGCAAACTCAACGAGCATTTTGCAAGGGAAGAGCCAGTCAGCAGAGGATGCAAGGGCCGTCTATTGTATGATCGAGAGGGCGCCTTCTCTGGCATGCCTTCGCTTCCTGCGGGCGATCGTCAGCTCGCCGCCTGCTGGAGCTGCCGCCGTGTCAAAATCAAGATGTCGGCGAATGCATGCGCATACAGAATCGACCGTTTCCTCGGTCTGGCCTCTATTTCGTAAAGCTCTACAGGCAGCATCTACGACGTCTAGCCGCAAGATACCGACAGCGACGAAAAAAGCGGCGCCTTTGGCGAATGACAAGCTACTTGACATCAAACATTGGTCAGCAGACGAATACCTCAGTGCCCTGACAGCAGCCAAGTATCGAAAACGCTGGGCTACCATCGTACACTTGTACAAGCAAAGCCTTGTGCATGATGTACCATTGAACGAATGGTCATTTGACCTCTATTGCCGTGCAGAGGCGTATCAGGGGAACGCAGCCCTCTTAAGACAGCTTGCGCTGGACTTGGTGGACTCGCCTGCATCTGCGTCCACATGGCGCATCAATACCATCATCCATGGACTCGTCTTGTGTGGTGATGTCGCGACAGCCATCGATACTGTTGGCGAGCTACTTCAACTAAACAGCGACAAGCTAGATACCTCGACATTCAATGTGTTACTCAAAGGCGCTCGCCTCGGTAGTGTCGACAGTGACTTACTCAACCAAGCTGAAGATATGCGTGCTCAAGTCGAGGTTGGAAAGGACATCATTAGCTACAACACACTCATCAGTGCATACCTCAAGCTGGGAAATAGAAAAAAGGCATGTACATACCTGGATCGAGTGCTTTCCAATGGGCTTGCCACAGAAAGCTCATTTGGCCCCTTTATTCACGATGCCCTGCAGCAGCACGACTGGCAGGAAGCTCAAAACTGGTTACAGCGTATGCGTGATCTCGAAATTCCGCGGTCCATCAAGACCTATCTGCCATTTCTGGTCAGCGCATGCAAGCAATCCGACTGGGACAAGCTTTCTGAGACGCTGTACACGATTTTCGAGGAAGAAAAATTGCTCCTGAACACGGCGATTCTCAATGTACTACTGCACGCTATCCTGAAGCAGCGCGACTATGAACGTATACCTGACTTGATGGCTTGTTTTGACGACACGATCTGCCCAGATGAGAGTACTGCGGTCGCCATCCGTGCACATATTCGCGAGCTTGAACAGGCAGCGCATGAGACAGTACCTGACCGCGTCGCCGCTAGCCTCCTCAGGTCTGCAGAGTCTTGGGAGATCCCCATGGCGACGAGTATGCGTGGCAGGGATCGATTTGCTCGACAACGGGATGAAATCAAAGCATTCATTGGCGAGGGAGACTTCAGGAGTGCCGCTGTTGCGCTGAATTCCGTTCGACGACGTGGCGTGCGTCCTCCCCTGTCGCTTCTCTATGCCATCTTCCATGGCCTTGTTCAAAAACGACGCTTCAAGTACGCACGCGAGATTTATGCGTACATGACTACATTGCCAGGCCAAACGTCAGAGAAGACTCATACATCCTTGTTCGCTCTACTTCAGGGTACAGGCCCTCAACTAGAGCGCGAGGTGGAGCAGTTACTCCAAGCATGCATCGTGTTTGATGATCGGCCGGGTACTCAGCTATACACAGCGGCTGCAGTGAAGCTTTATCGAGATGGCCAGTTCTTTGCTGCCATTCGCCTACTGAGAAACGCAGTGGTTGCATCAACGGGATTATTGCTCGATGTGGTCGCTTGCCTCGTGCTTGTGCAATGCTATTCGAAACTCAAGGATATCGCTGGTATGATATGGTGTCTTGAACAGATGAAGAGTAACAAGTGCATATTGGATACAAAGGCACGCAGACGTGTTAGAAGGATGATTGATGAGGTGGATGAGGGTGAACAGGGCCAAGATCGCGAGGGCGTGCAGCAGGCTCTGCAACTCCTAAGCGAAGTACCTGCTCAGGGTCGTACACTCGAGCGAGATGTCATGAGACTTGCTGAAGGATTGGCAAAGCATGAAAAAGCATAATTTAGCATAATTTAGCATAATATAGATGATGATGTAAGCATCGATCGCATGAAATGCGATTGATCTGCTGAATCCTTCACAACACACTTGACAATGCAGGTACTATAGTTGATGGCTCGCTTCTACACATTCGCTGACCGTTGACTAGCTCTTCCGCTGTAGATCACTCTACTCTGTTGCTTCGAGCCACGCTAGATTGTTTACCTCTCCGGCATACCCACATGTGGTACGCTCAACCATGATATCAAGGCATCTCGCTGACAACTTTCCAGCACGTCACCAAGCAGAAAGACGGTAAAAGTGCTGCTGTCTCCTATCTATCAGAGCCCAGTCCGCGCTCTCGTTCGATTGTCGGTTGGTGTCCGCTCAACAAGGCAGGCAATGACCTTGATTTGACACAACCCAGACACTTTGAACATAACCCAGCTTTCCTCAAAGCTTTAGAGGAAGTGTGTCTTGCTCATGCACATGAAGATCCCATCTTACAAGCAATCGCAGCGACGCAAGATTCAGGGCACTTGCATATCGCTGATGAAAAGAACCCACCGGACTATGGTCGCATTCCGTACCCAGAGGATATTATTGGCACTGTGCGTATTGAACATGGTCAAGTCGTTGCGGGGAGCTTTCGGGCCATGAAAGAAGCATTTCGGCCGGCGAGTATTCATGGTATTGTGAAATTGCCTGCATACCTGGAAGAAAAGTTACTTGCGCTGCTTAAGAAGGAGGAGGCATCCGTCAAGCGCGTCTAGGCTCGATTGATACGCTCTGCTTGGCACTGATACAATAGCAATTGAGTCTACACTGAGCTGACATAAGCGCACTGTGCTAGTCCCATGATCTTCGACCTGTCAAAGGCTAGTCAACTTGTCAATGTCATATCGTTGGCAGACTTGAGTTGGCCGTGTCCTGCCATGCTCAGGTTGAACGTCTCAGGTCTGCTCATCCTTCATGACGCTTCATCTACCAGATTTTCCAGGTCAGACCTGCCTCAATGGATACTGTCTTGCCAGACTTTTGCCATGTCCATATCCATGTTCGCTTCGACGCCCGATCCCTGTCTGCATGACTAGCGCAATGAGCATGATCTTGAACTCACGTTGTCCCTGATCCGATGTCGCCATCGTGCATGTACCGTTGGAAGGCTTGGGGCAATCACGTAGGTTCCGGGGCCCTCTCGTTGTCACTTTGCCATTGGTCACCTTTTAAAGTCTGACTACTTATCACTGTCACTAATCAGCTGCTCATGACGATTGCTGGCCATTGTGGCCCGCAGCCTCCGGGGTTTGTCTGCCAGAAGGATCAATTCTGGTAGCGAGTCTCAGAAGCGAGACCTCGGCGAATGGGAGCGGAACGTGGCCCCGCATATGAAGTGTCAGCACTGTCAGCACTGTCAGCTGCTGCAGCCACATAGACAATATTAGATAGTGTCACAGTCAGGAGCAGTGTCTGTGTGTGTCCTGGCTGGAGATTGAGTACAGATGGAGCCTGCCTGGCTGATAGGAACCAGTTGTATACTAGTAATGCTACTGATACTTCCCCCGCGGATGTCCCGTTGGCCAGAGAGAAGGGAATCTAGACGCGCCGCCTGCCTGCCCCTCCATGCGACTGCGACAAGGCGACACTGCTGCGACACCCTGGCCCGGCCCCTACTTGAGACAAGCTTGATTCCCTCAAACGAGCATGGTCGCCTGGCACCTGCAATCGCACACCGTACGAGAGACAAACAACACATAACCAAACACACCGCCCTCTCTGCCATCATTCATTCTTCACCTCAATCCCAGCAACAACCACCCTAGGCCGCTCCAACAATCAACAGGCCCATCTGGTCAAAGGCCCCTCAACGACAAACAGAGGGAGCGCCGGCTACGATTGGCTCCGGGCTCAGGAGACAAGAGCGTACGCTACGCTCGACGAGCAACGGGAGGTTTGCAAGAGCTGGACTCTCTCCTCTTAACGGCTTTCTCCGGTTTGTTGAAGTACTTTTGAGCGACAGCGTGTTTATAAGAAGTCTCTGTGCTCGGCCCTCTTGCTATCCGTCACCCAACGACTCGACACCCTCTTGGCTTGTCCCTGGCCTTCGATTCGACAACTGTACATCGCCAAATTGGCCTGGACGGAACGGATCAAGCGGCTCTAGGCTTACTCCTTAGCGACACGACACCATGATGGACTGGACCGCAGCCCTCATTGCGCCGAGCACCGTTCTTTTTGTTGTCTCTACGGTATTCTTCACTGCCCGGATACACAGAAGCATGCTCCGCTCACCCCTGGCGATCATCGATACCGCCATCATTAGTTTGGCCGCAAGCTTGGTCTTGGCATCTTTCATACTCCTGCTTGTCATGGCAGGGAAAGGAAACCTGCGCGCATACGATGATACAAACTTGGCCGCAGAACTGGCAATGGAGCGCGTCCAGAAGCAACTCTTTTATGCCTTTGCTATCTTGGTCCGTGCCGGGCTAGCCTTGTCAAAGTTGTCGCTCGCCATCAACTTTTTTGAAGCCTCACAACTCGTCAATCGATCTTGGTATAAATGGCTGACACTTGGTGTCGTTGTGGTCATGGTGTTCAATATTTCAACGGCCTTCATTAGCGCCTTTCGATGTTTGCCCATCTCTGACAAGTTCAGTACCGGGCTGGAAGATCAGACTTGGGCATCGAGTCATTGCATTGACAAGCGCGTCTTTTTCATTGTGCAAGGCTTGGTAGCCTGTGCAACCACCGGCCTCGTCACCTGCGTCGGTGTCCCTCTCGTTTGGAGAGTTTCCAGCCGATTCAAGATTGTTGGCTTCACCATGCTCTTCATGGGCCTCGTGTGCATCAGCGTTTCCATCCTTCAACTTAGCTTCATTTTTACGTGGGACCATGAAGTGATTGATCCAGCACTTGCTCATTGGCGTCAAAATCGATGGATGTCACTCTCACAGTGTACCATGTACCTATTATTCCTCTGCGCCTGCGTACCGCGTGCGCTCGCCAACCTCTTTCAACGACGTCAGTCGTTGCGCACCATGGACGCTCCAACAGGGATGACGGGCGATGAGAAGGATCAATTCTCCTCAGTGGCAGTCTCAACCATGCAAAGTCCCACATCACCACCACCTGGTTCAACCTTTCCAGCTGGATTCTCACCCATGAGTATGACCTTTCCAGGTGTTGTGTCCAGTGGATTTGGTGGTGATGCACTGGACTTGAGGGATATGGAAGATACATCAGACTGGCTTGCGCCCACCTCACCACTCGCTGCTAGTTTCGAGCAACGTCTCGGTGCCTTTCAGCAACGTCGTGGCGAATGGGAAGACCTCTACCAAACAGACACACTGGTACAAATACGGTCCTTTGAACAACAATTCCCAACCGGTACAATCTCTGAGCTGCCTTTCGCCTCATCCGCGATACCGGACCAAGAGAGAGATATTGAGGCGGATCCCATTGCAAAGACAGACTTACAAAAGGCTTACTTTGACGAGATGGCGCAATTCAGACAACATTTCGATGCGCAGGCGCAACGATTTGGGAGCAGAGATTTGACGAGCGAGCCAGGAGAACCGTCAACAGCGCCGCGGATAGCGAAAAGTGCGTTGGAGGGACGGACGATTGCTGAGGGTGAAATTGTTATGTATTGAACACATCCAGCCGGCATTTACATACAGGGACGAGGATTGAACATAGTTTAATACACATTCAATGCTCAAATAAAAAGAATTGTTGTGGCCAAAGCGCTCTTGAATAAGGGCAGGGGACTTACATTCCCCAATTGCCTGCAAGGAAGAGCGAGTCCATTCCGGCACCGGCCAGCAGTGCCGCCCAATCACCAATATCATCCGTGCCGCCCACGGCAGGCGCCGACATGAATGCTGCACGGGTATTGTAGTCAAAGGGAGGCCAAGGACCTTGTCCACCAGCACTACCATTCGATGGTTGTGCAGCAGCAGCAGCAGCAGCTGCAGCAACGACTTCTTCTGCCGCTGCGACTTCTTCAGCTGATTCATGGTGCGTGTATGCTGCAAATGCCTGTGTTCCAGTGATGGTATTGGCGAAACGCGCAACACCTTGACCAACACGAGCGAAATGCCAACGTTTACCGAATCGCTTGCAAGCACGAAGGAATGTCTCGAGCGCTACTTTAGCCTTTTGCTGCACAGCAACGTCTGGGCAAAGCATCAGCAGACGAAGCAGAACCATTGATACAATGACGTTCAGAATGGCAATGGTCCATGGCCAAAGCTCGTCGCACAACACAGGATCCATGTTGTCAATCAAGTCGACATAGTCGTTGCAGGCCTTGACGAGTCTTCGCTGGTGATCAAGAGAGTCAAAGACACTGAGTTTACTGGACTGCAAGAAAGGTCGATGTGCATTGATGATGGCGCCTTCAATAATTAAGCGCATATGCAAATGGGAGATTTGCACCAAGACTGGCGAAATCTCTGGGTCTTGCTCCGTAACGGCTGCTTGCTCAGCATAGGAATCGCGTACTTGATTCTTGAGCACCTCGAGCTCTGCAACAAGTTGTTTCGCCACGACTGCAGAGACTTCCGGGTGATCATTCAGCGTGCGAATGCCACGGACGCTGTAGAGAGTCGTGACCATGCGCGCAACGATACTGCAAATGCTTATGTAGGCGACGAGCCATAAATCATAACGGCAGCGCAGATCCGGCAGGCGCACGTCATGTGTATCGTCTGTGATGAGTACTTGCATTTTCGTCATACTCGAGATACGATCTCGCATGACAATGTACCACCAGATGACACGTCTTTGGTACTTTTCATCTTCTGGTAGAGCCCAGTCTTCTGGATCAATATGCAGCTTGAGTTCGAATGCAAAAGAAACGCACCAAGATGTCAGTAGAAGGTTCTCATACTGAACGGGATATTCAGAGAGAAGCAGTAAGGTCTTTAGCGAATCCATTGTGATTGGGTACACTTCCCTTTCTTTAATGTCAGCAAATGCCCATGATCTGGAAAGACGTACGAAAATAGGTTCCCGCAAACCGATGAAAGGCATTACCGCGACGAATGCGCTGTGGTACAGTCCAGTCCGTATTGCAACATGCCGCCAGGGCATAGACTGCACAGGGAAAGCTGTAGCTTCTCGTCATGAGCTCCTCAAAATGTGCTTTTGACGTTGTTCGGGAAATGACACGCGGTGCAACGTGTGTCATGAATAGCTCTGTCAAGCGGTCACCATACAGTCGTTGCCACGCTGCAAATTCATTCGCCGCTTCTTCGGGAATCTCAGCACGACTGTAATTCCCAATGACGCTATTGGGAAAGGAGATGCGAAAGATGGAGAGCGCGCCAGAGGAGAGTCTACTGAGGCTGTTCCAAAAGACACGCTTCTCAGGTGGTAATTCTGCATTGGCATCTTGATTTGCGAGGCCTTGTTGCAGGCACAGGTCGAAGAATTGATCATCAAAGGTACTCAGAGGGCCAAGCAATCGATCTGCTTGTATGTCTGCAGCACATCCAACGCTTCCTTCGTCGTCGCCATCCTGCTTTGGCCGCTCAGAGCGTGCGGAAGAGGTTGGGGGCTGCCCTGTGCGATTGAGTCGAAGAGCACTCGCAGAAGGAAGTGGCTCCATGATACTGCGAAGAGCACTAGGCGGCGGTAATGTCGCATCTCTGTGCGCATTACTATTCAAGACTGCAGGTGTGTAATTCGCTGGACTTGTATTTGTTGCACTGCCGACCTGCCAAGACTCGAACAACCGTGCTGGTGGCCCCATAGGCGGATACGGAGCTATACTTGACGTTGCTTCCGTTCCAGCAGCAGGCATAGTGAAGTAGTTGTTGTTGATCGGCAAAGGCGGCAAAACAGGACTCTGCGTATCGAATCCAGCATGCGCAAAGCGTGGTGAAGCGCTCTGTTTCCTTGATAAAGGACGCAAGTGTCTCCCAGGCGACATAGATCGGCGGCGTTCTAACAGTGGTCCATCCATAGCTTGCTGCAGCCTGCCCTCAAGCTGTTCAATGCGCGCCTTGAGTTCTCCGACATTGCCAGTTCTTCGCCTTTTCACTTGCGGTTCGATCTGTACACACTCTGTTCCGTGTCTTTGACAATACGCACAAGCATGTCCCTCAGGGCCCGGCACACACTTGACTTTCCTAGCCTTGCACACGCGACACGCTCGAAAGTTGGATGGTGGTTTTTGCGTTGAAGCGCCAATACTCGCCGTCATTGGATCGTCACCGCTTTGAGACATGCTCATGTCGGGCGAAGCGCTCGCACCCATTTCTGTCGTGTTCATGATGACAACGAAGGCCTGTACTGCATGAAGATGGCGAGATCCCACGTCTTTCTCAATTTGGGTTTGATGCGTCGGTGTGCAAGGGTCTTCAGATCGACTATTTGTCATCGGGCCAGTGTCAACCTGTACAGTGTACAACTCAATTACTACATGCGCATCTATGGAGGATGTCTCATTAAACGGGTGAGCAAAGTCTGAGTGGCTGAATATGCGAATACTTCTTTTTACAGCTGAGGAGCAGCGTTGCCTGTGATAAGCGGTCGGTGATTCGGCCTCGATGGCGTTGTCGGCGACACGCTTCGATCCTCCTTGGCCTGAGCAGGCGAGTCTTGCTTCTTATTGCTGCCCAAGAGGGATGTGATGCGTTGAGCGACCGAAGACTTTCGCCTCGCTTGAGGTGAGGCTTCCGCTGCAGGCGGCGTCGTGGCACCGGGAGGTGGTGCATTTCGCAAAAAGTCGGCAAGCGATTCCAGCTGAGGCTGCTTCCGCCGAGGCAGTCCATACAACGAGTCGTCATCATAGTATTCGTCTTCTTCTGCGTCACCAGTGTCTTCATCGTCATCACCGCGATCACTAAGCGCGGATTTGAAGCTACTCGCGGGCATGAAGGGGGACACGAGAGGGAGCGTTCGTCGTTTCCCTGAGACGGGAGTCGTCGGGGATCGCGGCGAGGTCACCGCCATACGAGAACCAGAACGATCCGGTGTAGTAGGACTCAGCATTTTGAGCAAGCCGGAGGATCTTCTGTTGTTGGACGGCGCGGTTTCTTGTTCAAGCTGTTCCTTTCTCGCCAACTCAGCCGCATTTGCCTCACTGGCCGTTGTGCCAACCTCCACTTTTCCAGTACCAGCGGGGAGATTCGCGTAAGCAGGTCCAGCAATCAAGCCATCATCCTCCATTGGCTTGCCAAGTATGACAGGACCCTTGACTTTCGTGTCAACCAAGACAGGATCGGGTAGTGCAGCACCATTGTTGATTGGCGGCGGTACACTTTGCAAGAACTCTGCGAGTGATTCGCGAGGGTTTACGCCGCCCTTTGTGCGTTTTGTTGTGGTCACACCCTCGAAAAGCGCCGCATCTTCATCATCTGTTTCTTCTTCAAGAGGTTGTCGAATTGGTGATCGAGTCAGAGTCTCAGTCTTGAGTGCCGCGGGAACATTTGTTTTGACAGTTACGTCGTCAGGTCCGGTATTACGCAGGAACACAGCGAGTCTTGTTGTGTTAGATGCTCCACCACGGGCCTCCCTAGGCTCCAACGATACAGATTGCCTGGGCTTGGCTTCCACAAACAAATCGCTCGGCGGTGACATGTTGGCGCGAGGCGTTGTTTTTGGCCTCGCCGCTTGTTGCTCTGCAATGGTGGCTTCGCGCATAGCAATGACCCGCATTCGTTGTGCTTCAATATCTTGTGCATCGCGACTATCCCCGAGACGCAGCTTCTCAGACTGCATGAAGCGTCCGTAGTCCGAATCTGGCTCTGTTTGACTCGGCATTGATAAGCCAAGACCCTGAGTACGCCCACTGAATTCTTGCATTGACTTTTCCTGGGCCACGTTGCCAAACTTTTCGACGATACCAATCTTGGGTGATTGGACGCCAAACGTGACACCCTTTCTTGGTGTCACCACACCCGATCCAGTCTGTGGGCTTTCCAATTTGGCGTTTGCTTCACGTTTTGCACTCGACGCAAAGATATCAGATTCATGAGTTTGCAGGGGCGTCGTGGGTGGCGTCTGTCTGACCTCGTCCAGGCCACGCAATTGCGCAGCAGCCACATGTTCTTGCTTCGACCACATCGTTGCCTTTTGGATTTCTGCTGTCGGAGAACCAGTACCTTGTGCACTGGTTGAATTGGCTCGCGAAGACCAAAGGCCAGGAGATATATCGCGTGTCACTGCCGAGTAGACGGAAGCGTCCGACTTGCGGGGAGCGGTATCATACGCGAGAGGTGGTGCAACTACCGTTGACTGCTTGCCTGTTGAGGACACCGCCGAGATGGCATCTTTTTCTGGGATTGCACTCAACGAGCTCATGTGTGGCGGCGGACTCAATGCTCGAGAGGACGAAGCAGCGGGCCGCGTTGGAGACGCAGTCTGCTTCACTTCCTTCTCCCTCGAAGGAGGCGACGTCAGTAATTCTGGATTGGGCAAGAGCTGAAGATAGCCTTGCCAGATGCTGCCCAAGACTTTGTCGAGACGGATTCCACGATCCAAGTCATTCGATGTGAGCTTGCCCGATGTCGATGGACCCAACCTATTGCGCGCAAAACGGGCAGCTGTGACGAGGATGTGTTCACCCAGAAATTCAAGGACAGCCGTCAAGAAGATGGCCACCGGGGGCGTCACTGAGCTTTCGTCGTCCTCAATCACTGGGAAGTCTGCTTCCTCCTTCTCGCCAATGGTCGAGTAAATCATGCATCGAATGCGCGCTTGCGACCAAACTCCCTCTACGTCGAAATGCGCAGGATTCTTGGCATCCGATGCATCTTCCGTTGGGAATTGTCGACCCTGCCCATTCTCCTGGTTGCGGTACGTCTCCAATTCGGCTTGTGCTTCGTTGAGCGCTACGTAACCGAGCGCTGAATCCAAGACTCGAGCGAGACTTCCCTTGAGCGTTTGGAGGCTGGTGGATCTGGCATCGCGGATGATCATGGCTAGGAGATAATCGAGGAAGGAGTTGCAAGTCTCTAAGCAGACATCGTCCAGGCTGAGTTCTGGCGCGGGCCCTGCTGCGTGGCCGGCATTGTAGGTTGATGCGATATAGGACGCCGCACCTTTACTGATGAAGGCCGGCTCGATGTCTAAGAAGGGCTGTCAGCAAAGTTCATGTGTAGAGAGGGTGGGGTGAATATACTGGCGGCAGGTTCCTTCATCGCCAAGTCGCTCGGTGCGCAGTCAAAGCTGGTGGTGTATGGGTCTCAGGGAGAGGCGACTGCGCTGCTGTTGTATAGAGTAGAGATGCTGGTGTGTGCAATGCGAGATGCGCTGGAGTCTTGTCCTGATGGCAGGGAGCGTCTGGTTGTCGCTTGCAGGGCGAAGAGGCTGGTACAACCACGCGGGCAACCGGCGCCAGCTTAAGACTTTGGCCCTTTTGAGCTCCATCTTCAGCTTCCATTGGAGGCAATAGCGGCCCGTGACATAGCAGCCCGTGACTGAGGGCAGCTGCTAGAAGGCACTATCAATCTGTCAGTGCTGATGACAAACACCTATGCAAAGCTCAAGGATTTGGCCAATGTCCCAAATTGCACACTCCCTGCCACCAGCAGAACAGTCCTTGCTCAGCTGAACAGTCATGCACGCGATGCTAGTCGTTTGGAACACTTCCTCTGCGTGGGTCCTGCGACAAGCTCATCTACATCACCGCTAGAACAAGATTTTCGCAGACTTGCATCAAAGCTGGGTCTGGAGTGCTACGCCGATGATGCAACCGCAGACGGACAAACACTGTCTATGACCGGCAACATGCTTGTGATCGATATCACTTTCAAGGCAGGGAGTATTGTTGGCTGTTCTGTAGTACTTGCCAATCCTGACGGTTCCCAGCAGGAACTACCAGCAGGCCAAGTCTTGCTTGACAACCTGCAGCAAGGCGATACGACACTTGCAGCATTAAATTTGGAACGGCTTGCTCGCAATGATCGTCTGTCGTCCACATACGGCGTGCATCTTTATGCCAAGCAAACAGCACTCTATGAAGCACTCCAATCTGACCTTCCGAATACGAAGCTTGATGGCAATGCTCAAGTCGGCATCTCGTTCATCTACCTCGAAGCTGCGCCGGCAGCAAATATTTGCTACAAAGCAACACTCGAAGTGGAAGAGCAGACTCCCTCAGAAACGACAGCTGCAAGGTTTCCAGAACACTGGAAGCAGGATGGTCAATGGACAGAGGATGGTGATGGTCAGGCGAATCCTTCGTTGCGGTATACACTGGTGCTAGACCCGCCACTTTTCTTCATTGACCCACCCTCATCGCTGACGGCAGAGAAGATTACGCTCGAGCAGCGCCATGTGAGCATTTACAACGAGCGCGGCGAGCGTACTGGCTTTGATGTGCAGATCGATGCACCCGATTTGAAACAAGTCTCTCGTTGGCCCATTAGCCATCCACGTGAGGTAGCGACACTGCTACAAGGCCCTATACGGACTGCGGCTGTTCAATCAGCGCTTCTGAAATCGCTCGACGCTGTGCAAACAGAAGCAGTGCAGCATCACTTGACGATTCAGGTTAAGCCCGATCAATTCTTGATACGCAGTAGCTCCACTGATCCTAACGAGACTGCCGAGCCTCAAGAATGGCTCGTTCGCCTCGAAGATGGCGGCAAGATCGTTTGCGACGAGACACGGTCGAGTCGAATTTTGGAATTGACCATGAATATACCCATTTGTCTTCTAGATCGACGTGCACTCTAATTGCATTTTATGGACAAGGGAGCGATGCGCCATCACCTCTCGGGTCACTTCCACCACTCAGGACAGCAGTGCCATCAGCATCTACATGCCGGCGAATAATCTGTGCTCTGCCAAAGAGACCTCGATGCCAACCTTCCACCACCTCGACGTTGTGACCGAGCTTCTTGAGTCCTTCCACAGTCGCTTCCGGTATGCCTTCTTCCAAGTAAACCTTGGACTCGATCAGACCATCGTCATTCTCAACTGCAACACCGAGACATACACGAGGCGCATCGAGTGCTGCCTGCGGCGTCATTTTATGATGCAGTATATTCGCCAGAATTTGAACCTGTCCTGGCATCTGCATCCACGCGCCCATACAAGCGAAACTCGCCCACAAGGAACCATCTGCACGGGTCACCATTGCCGGTACAATTGTATGGTAGGGACGTTTGCCACCTGCGAGCGCATTGGGATGACCTTCCCGCAACACAAAGTTGCAGCCACGATTCTGCATTGTGAAGCCGCAGCCTCGAGGAACACTGGCATGGCCGAATCCCGCGTAATTCGAGATGATGAAGCTACAAGCATTACCGTCCTTGTCAACGACTGAGAAGTACACGGTGTCGCTCGAATTTGCCGGTGAGCCATGTTCAATGTCTGCGCGTTTCTCCTGATTGAAAATCTTTGCGCGTTGGCGCAAGTACGCTGGCGACAAAAGTTCTTCTGGTGTGACTTTCATGAATCGTGGGTCAGTAACGTAGTATCGTCCATCTGCAAAAGCTAGACGTAGGCATTCGATAATAACATGGAGGTACTCTGGCGAGTTGTGCTCCATTTCACTGAGTGACTTGATTTGTCCACTCTCTTGCATCTCTCGCAGCAGACCCAAACAAATGAGCGCAATGATACCTTGCCCATTGGGCGGGTGCTCCCAGACATTCAAGCCGTTGTATTCTGTTGAGATGGGGTCGCATGGTGTAGATGTGTGGTTGGCCAAATCCTCCATCGTCATAAGACCACCTAGAGACGTCACGAGCTCAATGATGGATTCTGCAATACGGCCTTTGTAGAATGCATCTTTTCCCTCTGTGGCAATCGTCTCGAATGTATCTGCCAGTGTTGGGTTTCTCATGATTTCTCCAGCTCGCGGAGCATGACCCTCTCTCGTTTTGCTGAGGATTTCATGACCATTTGGGGATGCCTTTTTGATGAAGTTCTCAGAGTTCTCCCATTGATAGGCTGAAATCTCGCTCACGGGGAATCCATTGCGTGCAAGGTCAATGGCCGGTGCAAGGACTTGCTTCATATCCACTTTCTTGCTGCCAAACAATTCGAGGGTATCGAACCAGCCTGCACAGGCACCAGGCACGGTCACGGAGTGAATAGAATCGAACGCTAATTCTGAACCTTCGACACCAAGCTCACGCAGCTTCTCGAGAGATAATGCAGCAGGCGAGCGTCCTGAGCCATTCAGGGCTTTGATTTGCTGGGTCTTGCCATCATAGTAGAGACAAAACATGTCACCGCCGATACCTGTTGATGAGGGCTCCGTTACATTCAGGGCAGAAGCAATGGCTACCGCTGCATCTGCTGCATTCCCACCAGCAGCGAGGATCTTGTAGCCGGCTTCGTTTGCAAGGGGTTGGGTTGAGCTGACCATGCCTTTGGAGGAATGAACGACGGAACGACGCGAAGGGAAGTGGACGAGACGCGGGTCATCTGCTGCGTAGATATCGTTGATGTTGTTCCTGTGGCCTGTCGTCATGCTGTCTGTCCAGCTGTACTCAATGGATAGATGTAATGGTATTGTAATGTCTTTGTGGGGGATCGAAGTGCGGAGTTCCGGGCAATAGAGCGTGAGAATTTTCGACTCCGACTACCTCCAACTGCCTGCCTAAGACTCCCCGTATCACAGGCTAGCGCCATCTGCTTTCTTGACTTGTGACCCTTCTGTCATATCGCATCTTGCTAGTCCTCAAGCCGATTTGCTGCCATAAACCTCTAGTGGCCAGCCGTTGTTTGCAGTCGCGTCAACAGTCCTGAACTGACTGACGTCGACTACCTCCTGTATCTCTCAGTGGTCAGTAGTGCCGCTTCTGCATTTGCACTTTCTGAATGCCCAGTAGGTGATCTGAACGTTCTCCAATCCGTGGTCGTGCTCAGGTGCTTGAAGTATTAACGAGGAGCTGCAAAATCACCTCTAAGGTGCTCATAATCCTAGCATGCTTGTACCAAGGTCTCCAGGTCTTTGAAGCAGTTGCGACCATCATCTGGCCACCAGAGGTAGAAGAGCGCACTGAAGGCAATCCTTGGGTGAGATACACATCGAAAGACCTGGGGACGTTGTCCATGACCAAACTGAACCTTATTAGCATGGTCCGGGATTGGCATTGACAATAGTCGCAGCTGAGCACGACGTCCCTTATAGCAGGCTCTTTTCTCTCCTTTCTAGCATCTCTTTTGGCATATTACTCGTGGTAAGGTTGCTCCATAGAAGAACACCGGCAAGATCCAGATCAGCTGGCCACTCTTGTTGCATGCACAGGACAAGTACTAGTTCAGTATTCATTGTACATCGCAAGCCTACCTCTCGCCGTGCTGCGCCAGCTCCTCCCGCATCGACCGCCGCTCCTCTTCGGTAAATGTGCCCGTTGCAGCTTCAACCATCAGACCAGCCTCACCACTCGAGCTGGACGCCGGCGACTGCCGCAACAGCACAGGCACCTGACGCGCTCTGTGTCGTTGCCGGGGCACAGACTGATCTCGCTCAGCAGGCGTCGTCCATGTTTCTCCAGTCTGCATGTCCATATGCATCTCAATGTCCATCCCATCCACCTGTGCACTCATCACACCAGGATCTCTACCCTCGTCACCTTCGTCCCCACTTGATGAACCAGACCGACTCTGTGCAGCGGTCAATGTTTGGACCCGCGCGCCATTCCGTCGCGCAGAGAGGTAAAGTCGCCTTTGGCGGTCATCGTCTTCCTGCGACCGCGCCACACGAGCATGTTGTTGATTGTGGTGATGATGGTGGTGGTGGTGATGTTGTGCCTGAAGTCTCAATGCAGTCGCCTGTGCTCTCGCCCGTGACGCGCCTGACCCTGTGCCTTCTTCGTGTCGCGCCGCGAATGCTTCTACGTAGGGACAGCTAGCGGGGACTTTGACGACAAGGCCACCATTGCCTGGTTTTGAGGCATTGATAGACTCTCTGTACAATGGAATGCCCATGATGGTGAAGCGCCTCAATGTAACACACTCGTCCCACCAGATGATCCCTGGCGCCTTGTTGATGCTGGCTGCTGGCTTGCATGAAAATGCTTTTTTTGCTGTTTCGTTGCCCGCACGCTGTCGCAACAACAAATCAAAGCCTGGACCTCCAGATCCTCTACTGACTACTGTCCACAAAGACCCAATGAGCAAACGCTTGGCAAATGCCTCAAGCTCGCGTCTACTCATGTGCTCGTCTGCTACATGCTATGGTCTAGGCCTTTTTCGGGCAAATCGCGCAATGTGATTAGATTCCGCTTCTTGGTCGCGCTAGCATGCTGCGCATGCTGGAGATAGGAGTCCTCGCAAGACGGTTTCCAACTTGCTCAGGAGACATTGATGCTATAAAGCGGCAGCTGTCTACCTAAGAATGCACCGTCAGACTCTAGCAGGCTCTTTGAAGTAAGCATGTACTGGACGCCCCTGCTCTTCAGTCACTTGGCTGCAGCCATCTTCTCTGATGGCCGCAAGCCAGGTGCTGCGCAGGTGCATCAGGCTGCAGACTCGTGTCTCAGCTCTCCTCAGCAAGTCGGATGCAAGACTGAGTGGTTGATCACAGATCGCAAACATCCCGGCGCAATCTTACGCATCAACAAGACAGACACCAAGCTCGGAAATTTCTGTAAAGGTGCTGGGGCCGGCCATACAGGCTATCTCTCCCTTGACCATGGTAAACGCAACATCTACTTTGCATTCTTCGAGTCACGCTCCTCGCCTCTCAAAGACCCTCTTGCACTCTGGTTGCAAGGAGGTCCTGGTTCAAGCAGCACGGCCTACGGCCTCCTTCTCGAGAACGGACCCTGCTCTCTCTACAACAATGTAACCACCCAGTTCAATCCATATTCTTGGAATCATGCCGCCAACACCATTTACGTGGATCAACCGTTCGTCCTTCTCTCTTTGTTCATTCCCAGGCTAATACAAGCATTGGTGTTGGTTACTCCTTCAGCACAAAAGCAGATCCTGTTGGTAGCAGGGAACGCGCAGCAGACGACATGATCGTGTTGCTCCATCTGTTCAATACGGCTTTCCCAAATTTGCGGGCAAACAAGCTTCACATCACTGGAGAGTCCTACGCTGGCAAATGGATTCCTTCGCTCGCCATGGGGATTCTCGATGCCAACAAACATGATCCATCCAATCAGATTGTCTTGGGCTCTGTTGTCATTGGAGGTGGCTACTTCTCTCCAGCTGTGCAGGATCCAAAGAATTATGATTACGCCTGCCTCGAACCGTATCCCTTGGGCAAACCACTTTTCAACAAGACGACATGTGCAAAGATGAAGGATGATGCGATCAAGTGCGCGGCAAAGTGGGCAGAATACACTAGCTTGGGGGGCAAAAACGATCGCAGTAAACGTGTAAAGGTCGGAACTGACGCATTTAACAAGTGCTACAATGACTTGTTTCAAATTGTGTCTGATGCTGGATTGGACATCTACAAGATCGATCGTTACTGTCAAGACAAATCTGGATCCTGTGATCCAAGAGATGTTGCATCTGAACAATTTCTGCGGCGGTCGGACGTGGCTGCTGCGTTTGGGGCAGGTCCTGGCGAGTATCATGCCATGAGCGACGTCGTTTATTGGGCGAGCGTAGACAGCGGAGACGACTTCGTCGATGCTGGCCCACTGTTGGTACAGCTTTTAGAGGCTGGCATTCCCATGTTGCTTTATGCAGGCATGCGTAAGTATTCTCCATTGATGCACCTCATTCTAACAAGCTACAGTGGACTATATTGTCAACCATCGTGGCATTGAAGCTGCCTTGGAAAAGCTTGTCTGGTCGGGATCAGCAGAATTCAAGGCCGGTCAAAAGGCTCCCACCAAGTGGTCTGGCGGAGTGAAATGGAAAGCTAAGAACCTTCTTTGGGTGCTCTTCAATAACGCCGGCCACGTCGTCCCTGAGGACGATCCAGCCAGTGCTTTTGAGATCTTTAATGCCTGGATTGATGGACTTAGGGCCTGATTACCACGCCCGACAAGCACCTCAAAGCTTCTTTTGCTTCCCTTTTATATGGCAAGCTGTTTGCCAAGCATCATTATGGTCCGTGCAGGGCGCGCCGCAATTAGGCTTGCCTTTCTTCTTCTTCATCAAGCCCCTTCTATTATTCAGGCTATCTTTTCGCGTAGTCCAATGACAAGTCACGAGACTATGCTTCATCAAGGTGTTCCTTTCGTGAAGAAACTTGAGTCTAGACTCGACAGGCCACGCCAAGTACTTGGCAGGGGTTGAGCAGCCCATCTTGTTGTCCGCGCGCTGTCGCAACAACAAAAAAGCCTGCACCTTCACTGTCCACAATGACTCAACGAGCAAAGCTTAGCAAACGCCTCAAGCTTGCGTCTACTCATGTGCTCGACTGCTACATGCTATGGTCTAGGCCTTTTTCGGGCAAATCGCGCAATGTGATTGAATTCCGCTTGTTGTTCGCGCTAGTATGCTAGAGATAGGGGTCCTCGCAAGACGGTTTCCAACCAACTTGCTCAGGAGACATTGATGCTACAAAGCCGCGGCAGCCTACCTGAGAATGCACCGTCAGACTCCAGCAGACTCTTTGAAGTAAGCATGTACTGGACGCCTCTCCTCCTCAGTCACTTGGCTGCAGCCATCTTCTCTGATGGCCGCGAGCCAGGTGCTGTGCAAGTGAAGCAGACTGCAGACTCGTGTCTCAGCTCTCCTCAGCAAGTCGGATGCAAGACTGAGTGGTTGATCACAGATCGCAAACATCCCGGCGCAATCTTACGCATCAACAAGACAGACACCAAGCTCGGCAATTTCTGTGAAGGTGCTGGGGCCGGCCATACAGGCTATCTCTCCCTTGACCATGGTAAACGCAACATCTACTTTGCATTCTTCGAGTCACGCTCCTCGCCTCTCAAAGACCCTCTTGCACTCTGGTTGCAAGGAGGTCCTGGTACAAGCGGCACGGCCTACGGCCTCCTTCTCGAGACCGGACCCTGCTCTCTCTACAACAATGTAACCACCCAGTTCAATCCATATTCTTGGAATCATGCCGCCAACACCATTTACGTGGATCAACCGTTCGACCTTCTCTCTAAATTCATTCCCAGGCTAATACAAGCATTGGTGTTGGTTACTCCTTCAGCACAAAAGCAGATCCCGTTGGTAGCAGGGAACGCGCAGCAGACGGCATGATCGTGTTGCTCCATCTGTTCAATACGGCTTTCCCACAACTCCGAGCAAACAAGCTTCATATCACTGGAGAGTCCTACGCTGGCAAATGGATTCCTTCGCTCGCCATGGGGATTCTCGATGCCAACAAACATGATCCATCCAATCAGATTGTCTTGGGCTCTGTTGTCATTGGAGGTGGCTACTTCTCTCCGGCTGTGCAGGATCCAAAGAATTATGATTACGCCTGTCTCGAACCGTATCCCTTGGGCAAACCACTTTTCAATAAGACGACATGTGCAAAGATGAAGGATGATGCGATCAAGTGCGCGGCAAAGTGGGCAAAATACACTAGCTTGGGGGGTAAAAACGATCGCAGCAAACGTGTAAGGGTCGGAACTGACGCCATTAACAGTTGCTACGATGACTTGGTTCAAATTGTGCCTGATGCTGGATTGGACCTCTACAAGATCGATCGGGACTGTCCGGACAAGTCCGGAGACTGTGATCCAAGAGGTGTCGCATCTGAACAATTTCTGAAGCGCTCGGACGTGGCTTTTGCGTTTGGAGCAGGTCCTGGCGAGTATCATGCCTTCAGCGACGTCGTTTATTGGGCGAGCGAAGACAGCGGAGACGAATTCGTCGATGTTGGTCCACTTCTGGGACAGCTTTTGGAAGCTGGCATTCCCATGTTGCTTTATGCAGGCATGCGTAAGTATTCTCCATTGATGCACCTCATTCTAACAAGCTACAGTGGACTATATTGTCAACCATCGTGGCATTGAAGCTGCCTTGGAAAAGCTTGTCTGGTCGGGATCAGCAGAATTCAAGGCCGGTCAAAAGGCTCCCACCAAGTGGTCTGGCGGAGTGAAATGGAAAGCTAAGAACCTTCTTTGGGTGCTCTTCAATAACGCCGGCCACGTCGTCCCTGAGGACGATCCAGCCAGTGCTTTTGAGATCTTTAATGCCTGGATTGATGGACTTAGGGCCTGATTACCACGCCCGACAAGCACCTCAAAGCTTCTTTTGCTTCCCTTTTATATGGCAAGCTGTTTGCCAAGCATCATTATGGTCCGTGCAGGGCGCGCCGCAATTAGGCTTGCCTTTCTTCTTCTTCATCAAGCCCCTTCTATTATTCAGGCTATCTTTTCGCGTAGTCCAATGACAAGTCACGAGACTATGCTTCATCAAGGTGTTCCTTTCGTGAAGAAACTTGAGTCTAGACTCGACAGGCCACGCCAAGTACTTGGCAGGGGTTGAGCAGCCCATCTTGTTGTCCGCGCGCTGTCGCAACAACAAAAAAGCCTGCACCTTCACTGTCCACAATGACTCAACGAGCAAAGCTTAGCAAACGCCTCAAGCTTGCGTCTACTCATGTGCTCGACTGCTACATGCTATGGTCTAGGCCTTTTTCGGGCAAATCGCGCAATGTGATTGAATTCCGCTTGTTGTTCGCGCTAGTATGCTAGAGATAGGGGTCCTCGCAAGACGGTTTCCAACCAACTTGCTCAGGAGACATTGATGCTAAAAATCGGCGGCACCCTACCTGAGAATGCACCGTCGGACTCCAGTAAAGGCCCTTCTGAATACAGCATGTTCTGGAAGCCCCTCCTCTTCAGTCACTTGGCTGTAGCCATCTTCTCTGATGGCCGCGAGCCAGGTGCTGTGCAGGTTGAAAAGACTGCAGATTCGTGTGTCAGCTCTCCTCAGCAAGCCAGATGCGAGACTGAGTGGTTAATTGAAGATAGCATCTATCCCGGGGCAGTCTTACGCATCAACAAGACAGACACCAAGCTCGGCAATTTCTGTAAAGGTGCCGGGGCCGGCCATACAGGCTATCTCTCCTTTGATCGTGGTCAACGCAACATCTACTTCGCATTCTTCGAGTCACGCTCTTCGCCCCTCAAAGACCCTGTTGCACTCTGGTTGCAAGGAGGTCCTGGTTCAAGCGGCACGAGGTACGGCCTCCTTCTCGAGACAGGACCTTGCTCTCTGTACAACAACAAGGAAACTCAGTACAACCCTTATTCTTGGAATCATGCCGCCAACTTCCTTTACGTGGATCAACCGTTCGTCCTTCTCTCTTGATTCAACGACAAACTAATACAAGGGTTGGTGTTGGTTACTCCTTCAGCACAACTGCAGATCCCGTTGCTAGCGCTCAACGCGCAGCAGACGATATGATCATGTTGCTCCATCTGTTCTATAAGGCTTTCCCACAACTCAGGGCAAACAAGCTTCACCTCACTGGAGAGTCCTACGCTGGCAAGTGGATTCCTTCGCTCGCCATGGGGATTCTCGATGCCAACAAACATGATCCATCCAATCAGATTGTCTTGGGCTCTGTTGTTATTGGAGGTGGCTACTTCTCTCCGGCTGTTCAGGACCCAATGGGTTATGATTACGCTTGCCTTGAACCGTATCCCATGGGCAAACCACTTCTCAGTGCGACGGCATGTGCAACTCTGAAAGACGCTGCGATCAAGTGCGCGGCAAAGTGGGCAAAATACACTAGCCTGGGCGGCACGAACGATCGCGGCAAACTTCAGAAGGTCGGGAGTGACGCATATTACACATGCGTCGATGACATGTACACGGCTGTGTTCGACGCTGGATTGGACATCTACAATATCGATCGTCACTGTCCAGACAAATCCGGATCCTGTGATTCAAGAGGTGCTGCAGCTGAACAATTTCTGCAGCGTTTGGACGTGGCTACTGCGTTTGGAGCAGGTCCTGGCAAGTATCATGGTGTCAATGAACATGTTCGGAAGGCAAGCGAAGACAGCGGAGATGAATTCGTCGATGCTGGCCCACTGTTGGTACAGCTTTTAGAGGCTGGCATTCCCATGTTGCTTTATGCAGGCATGCGTAAGTATTCTCCATTGATGCACCTCATTCTAACAAGCTACAGTGGACTATATTGTCAACCATCGTGGCATTGAAGCTGCCTTGGAAAAGCTTGTCTGGTCGGGATCAGCAGAATTCAAGGCCGGTCAAAAGGCTCCCACCAAGTGGTCTGGCGGAGTGAAATGGAAAGCTAAGAACCTTCTTTGGGTGCTCTTCAATAACGCCGGCCACGTCGTCCCTGAGGACGATCCAGCCAGTGCTTTTGAGATCTTCAATGCCTGGATCGACGGACTTAGGGCCTGATGACCATGCTCGACAAGTATATCAAAGTTTCTCTTGCTTCCGTTTTCTGTGACAAAGCTGTTTGCTTAGGATCATTGTGTTCCGTGCAGGGCGCGTCGCAATCGCGCTGACCTCTTTTCTTCATCAAGCCCCTTCTTCCAAGCCATCCTGTCGCGTGACCCAATGACAAGTCACGAGACTATGCTTCATCAACATGTGCCTTCTTCACGGAATTTGAGTCTAGACTCAGCAGGCCACGTCAAGTCCTTGGCAGGGGTTGACTTGCAGAAATGGAACTCAGGGGAAATTTGCTCTATAAGTCAGTGGACGCCTGCTCGCGAATGCAGTCTCAGTACTCACCAACCTGTGGCCGTTGAAATGTACTGGACGCCCCTCCTCTTTAGTCACTTGGCTGCAGCCATCTTCTCTGATGGCCGCAGTCAAGGTCTTGCGCAGATTAATGGGACTGCAGACTCGTGTATCAGCTCTCCTCAGCAAGCCGGATGCAAGACTGAGTGGTTGATCAAAGATCCCATTTACCCCAGCGCAGTCTTACGCATCAAGAAGGCAGACACCAAGCTCGGCCATGTCTGTGAAGGTGCCGGGAGCGGCTATACAGGCTACCTCTCCTTTGACCATGATAAACGCACCATCTACTTTATCTTCTTCGAGTCTCAATCCAAACCTCTTGAGGATCCTGTTGCCATCTGGATGCAAGGAGGTCCTGGTGCAAGCAGTCTTCCCTTCGGCCTCCTTGCCGAACACGGCCCTTGTCTCATCGACGGCACATCCACAAAAACCAATCCTTATTCTTGGAACAAGTTTGCCAATATGATTTATGTGGATCAACCGTTCGTCCCTCTCCCTTCATTCAATCTGAAGCTAATACAAGTGCTGGCACCGGCTTCTCCTTCAGCACGACTGCAGATCCCCGGGACACCACCTCACAGGTAGCAGATGACATGGTCATGTTGCTTCATCTGTTCTACCAGGCCTTCCCGGGATTGAAGAAGAACCCACTTCATCTCACTGGTGAGTCCTATGCAGGCAAGTGGATTCCCCCTCTGGCCAAAAAGGTGCTCGATGCAAATAAGAAGTATAAAAAAGCAAATCACATTCCCTTGAGCTCTATTGTCATCGGAGGCGGATATCTCAACGCAGCTGTGCAGGATCCAACAATTTATGACTATGCTTGCCTCAAACCTCATCCCATTGTCAAAACTCTCGTCAATGCAACAGCATGCGCTAGCATGTCAGTTGCGGCAACTCATTGCAAAGCGTTGTGGGCAAAGTACACTCGCTTGGGTGGCAAAAAAGGGCGCGCTGCACGTCAGGCTGCAGAAGAGGCACTGCATGCTTGTTACAGAGAGCTGTATCCTGCCATTCGCGAGAGCGGAACGGATATGTACCTGGTCAGCCGTCATTGTTCAGACAAGTCGGGAGACTGCGATCCAAAATCTTCGCTAGCTGAACAGTATTTGCAGCGTTCCGAGGTTGCAGCTGCTTTTGGGGCAGACTCCGGCGTCTTTCACGCGTTCAATGACAAGATCCAAACTCCAACCGAATACAGCGGAGATGAGGGTCTCGACACTGGACCAACTGTAGCAGGGCTTTTGGATGCTGGCATTCCTGTTCTGATTTATTCGGGCTTGTGTATGTATTGTCTTTTGGTGTAAGTTTTACTGACAATCAACAGTGGATGCTCGAGTCCCTTTCGTTGGCAGCATGGCAGTCCTAGATCAACTCGTCTGGTCTGGGTCAGATCAATTCAAGGCCGCACAGAATGCTCCCTTCGGTTGGTCAGGCGGAGTCAAATGGGGCGCAAAGAACTTGCTCTACGTGCTGTTCGAAAAGGCTGGCCATCTCGTCCCCAGAGACGATCCAGTGAACGCTTTCCAGCTATTGAAAGGCTGGTTGGATGGGACTCTCATGCGATAAACGTGCTGTTTGGGCTTATTGAAGCTTTGCTCGCCTCCTTCTTGTGTGCCACCCATGTGTTGAGATCAGCGTTGGGAGTGCCACACAAAGCTTCTACATTATTTCTTCCCAAGGACTTTTCTTCAAGCTGTCCTGTTGCGTAGTTCAATGGCAGACGACTGATGCGCATAAACGACTTGTTCGCTTTGATCTCTTGTGGATGATCCTAATGTGAGGCACCGCCAAAAGACGCCTGGCTTTTACGACAGGTCGCGCTTAGCAGGAGCAATCGGAGTGCTCGCGAAATTACACGTACTGCAAAGGTGGTGATCAGGGGTCATCCGCGATATAAAGAGTCAACAGCCTACTTGTAATTGCTCACTACTTTGAAGTTGCAGCCGCCCCTTCGGAACCAGGATGTACTGGACGCCACTCCTTTTCAGTCACTTGGCTGCGGCCATCTTCTCTGATAGCCGCAACCCAGGTGCTGTGCTTTTTAATAAGACTGCAGACTCGTGCACCTTCACCACTCCTCGACCAGCTGAATGCAAGACCGAGTGGCAGATCGAAGATGATCTTCACCCAGGTTCAGTGTTACGCATCAAGAAGACAGACACCAAGCTTGGCAATGTCTGTCATGGAGCAGGGGCCGGCCATACAGGCTACTTCTCTTTCGACCATGGCAAGCGAAACTTGTACTTCGTCTTTTTCGAATCGCAATCCAAGCCTCTCAATGATCCTGTTGCACTATGGTTACAGGGAGGTCCTGGCACAAGCAGCCTCAGCTACGGCCTCCTTTCTGAACATGGTCCTTGTCTCATCAACGACAAATCCACCAAAGCTAATCCTTATTCTTGGAATAAGGTTGCCAGCGTTCTCTATGTGGACCAACCGTACGTCACGCTTCTATGCACAACTCAAAGCTAATACAAGTGCTGGTGTTGGTTACTCCTTTAGCACAAGCGCTGACCCCGTGAGCACCGCCCAACGTGCGGCAGAAGATATGGTCGCTCTGCTTCATCTCTTTTACAAAGCTTTCCCAGCGCTAAAGCCATTGGACTTCCACATCACTGGGGAGTCCTACGCAGGCAAGTGGATCCCGTGGCTAGGTTCAGAGGTAGTCCGGGCAAACAGGAAACATCCTTCTCACCTCATTCCCCTGAAGTTTGTTGTCATTGGAGGTGGGTTCTTCTACCCTGCTTTACAGGATCCGTCGGGTTATGATTACGCCTGTGTTCCACCATTTGCCAGTGGCAAGGCCCTCTTCAATCAATCTGTCTGCGCAACATTAAAGGCCGCTTCAGTACGCTGCAAAGCACTTTGGGCAGCATACACCCAATTGAACGGGCCGACGCAAGGTAGCGAACGTGAAAAGGCAGGACGCATCGCATATGACACTTGTGGTTCGGACATGTATGTTCCAGTTTATCAGTCTGGCAATGACATCTACAACATGAATCGTATTTGCCCAGACAAGTCAGGAGCTTGCGACCCAAAGCCTGCAACAGCCGAAAAGTTCTTGCAGCGTGACGAGGTCAGGCTAGCTTTTGGCGCTGACACGGGCACGTTCATCAAGTCTGCTGGCACTAGCACGTTTCACAGCAATAACGACGCACTCAACGCAGGCGCTGAAACGAGTGGTGACACATTCAAGAACAGTGCACTGGTACTCGCAGATCTATTGGACTCAAAGATTCCAGCGCTGCTGTACGTGGGAATGCGTGAGTGCTGGTGCTATTGCTTGATACAATTGTAGCTAATCAACAGATGACTATGTGGTCAATTATCGCGGCGTCGAGTCAGTATTAGATCACCTCGCTTGGTCTGGATCAAGTCAGTTCAAGGCAGCTCAAGGTGCTCCTGTTACGTGGGCAGGAGGCGTAAAGTGGCGCGCAAAGAATCTTGTGTATATGCGATTCCACAATGCTGGTCATCTGGTTCCTGAGGAGGATCCAGCCAATGCATTTGCCATGTGGAAGGCCTGGCTCGATGGAAGTCTGTTGCGATAGAGGTAACTGAGCTCGTAGCATAATTCGCCTCATGTGTGCCATCTGATCACGAACGACTGGAGCAAGCCTTGGACTGTACAGTAGAATAGACTCAACCCCACGTTTGAGGCTTTCTCACATCGACATCATGGCAGAGCATCCAAGCTTCACCATGGCTGCCCTTTGTAAGCCTTCTGACCTACAAGAACGATACTGACCGCGTAGTGGCCGCTGGAGGTACAGCAGGTTATTTCAAAACACGGTCGATGCCGTCTCTGATTGCTGGACTCGGTCTCGGGGTTGGCTATGGTATCGCAGGCATGCGCATCAAAGAGAACAAAGACTACGGTGTTGAACTCGCCCTTGGCAACAGTCTTTTGCTTTTGGGCTCAGCGATTCCGCGCATGGCAAAAACGCAATTCAGAGCGCCTGTACCCATTGGGCTGAGCGTCCTTGGAGCCGCAGCGTCAGCTTTTTATGCAAAGAAGTGGTCAGAGTATCAGTATGGCGTGTAGTCAATGCAGTCATGTCCAGCCCATTCCATTGTACATGCTTTCCAAGTAATTGTTGCGCATTCCGCTGCTACAGAGTCCAGACAGAACCACACAAGCTTACCGTTCTCTACGAGTCTCTATATCGCGTGCGGGTCATCTTTGATTGTATCAACATTCGCCTCGTCGAGTCAGGCGAATCAAGCAATCAGAAGAAGCGTCTGCTTCAAGGTCAAGTCATGCGTACAGGCCTTCATGCAGCGCCAGATCCAAGGTCCGGCGGACCAGAGTGTCATTTACGAAAGAGATTCGCAATCCCGCGGGATGGAAGTTGGATCCAGGAAGTGTCTGCTGATGAGCACTGACCCCTGAAAGCAGCCTAACGAATCGGGTTCACGGAGCTGCAGCGTTTGCTCTACGGACTAGTCACATTTGGCTCAACGGGAATGCGATGAGAGATCCGTATAGGTTTGACAGACTGACACAGAGATGAATTTCCTATATTTAAGGGCTTACTTCTCAGGGGCCAACTTCCGTCAGAATTGCCGGGATGGCAAATTCATATCGCCAAGACTGATCCACGACAGCTGAAACGAATGCTGCTTCTGCAGTCACTGGTCAAGTTTGTTTCCAGCGCGGCTGCCTTCTTCACCGACGGCAAAAGAGTCAATCCACTCATCGAATCGAACCCGTCCATTCGGTTGCCAGACAACGGCCGATGGGCAACTCAGTTCCCGGACTATTGGCACTACTCGAGCGATGATGTACCTGACGCTGTGTTGCATCTGAAGGCAAGGGAAACTCAGCTTGGTAGGTATTGTGTTGGTGCTGGCAGCGGTCAAACCGGATACGTCTCTCTTGCAAATGGTACGCGACATCTCTACTTTGTATTGTTTGAGTCACGCCGTGCGCCCCTGCATGATCCTCTGGTCCTGTGGCTCAATGGTGGGCCAGGCTGCTCATCCATTGGTTATGGTCTCTTGACAGAGCATGGTCCGTGTCTCATCGATGGCGAGTCAACGAGACGCAACAAGCGCTCCTGGAACAACATAGCCAACATGCTATACGTTGATGAGCCGTGAGTCACTCCTACTTCGTTGACAGAGCTAATAAGAAGTGCCGACACAGGTTATTCCTTTACCACTGGTGGGCCGACCGCGAAGCGAGCTTCTGCTGCGGCTGATGATTTGGTTGCACTTATTCAGCTGCTCAACAAGGTTTTTCCTCCGTTTCAAAACCTACCACTCCATCTGACTGGTGAATCGAACGCAGGAAAGCACCTGCCCTACCTTGCCAAGAAGCTGATCGAATTGAATAAGGATGCAACTAAGCCGCAGATTCCACTTGCATCCATGATATTGGGTAATCCAGCTTTTGATTTCTCCATACAGATGCCGGCCTGGTTTGACTATGCTTGCTCCAATGCTAGTTCCATTGGCCGCCTGTTCAACACAAGCACCTGCACAGATATGCAGTTGCGTCACGCGCGATGTCAGAAACATTGGGCGAGGTTTGTCAAAGCTCGAAGCGCAGGGAAGTTCTCGCACAAGCTTGACGTGAAGGCCCGTAACTATTGCGTTGACAAGATTCAACACGCTAGCCAAGACGCTGGTTACGATCTCTACGACGTTCGCCGCCGTTGTCCGGATCAATCAGGAGACTGTGATTCACTGCCAGGTCTTGCAGAACACTTTCTACGTCGAGCTAATGTGCGAAAAGCTTTCGGAAGTCAGACCAAAGGCTTCTCTTTGTGCAATTCAACAATCTTCGGCTTTAGTCTCGACAATGGAGATTACTCAGAAACGATCACTCCAACCTTGGTGCCTATTCTCGAGTTCGGACTACCCATCTTGCTCTACGTTGGCGAAAGTAAGTCTCACGTTTCTGTCGAATGGCGCTCACCAGTCAGATGACTTTGTGTGCAATTACATCGGGGTTGAAAAGTATCTTGACTCGCTGTTCTGGTCAGGCAGCACAGGCTACTCCCAATCGAAGCAGACTGCGCGCAAGTGGGAAGGAGGTTTCGGTTGGTCTTACAAGAACTTGGTCTATCTCCGTGTGGCAAATGCAGGTCATGCCGTGCCTGAATCTCAGCCTGCCATAGCACTTGAGCTGCTAGCGAGATGGCTCAAAAAGGGTACGTCATTTTTTTGAGCGCATCGCTGTATGTCCGCCACGGCCCAGGTCATTTCAAGTCCTGAACACTGCTGGGTTACTTGCCGGGACAATTTGTCATAAACTCCACCTTGCATCTCAACAACTTTTGGATAGAGCTCTTTCAAAGAATCTAAATGCTTAAAATCTCAAGCAGTGCTTCTCTTGTGTCCAATGTGTCACATCGACCGAGCGAGAATCTGGAAATACTAATCCAAAGCTGGGAGACTCTCTGTTCTTGAAATTCAGGGGAAATTTTATTGGAGACTTTGGGACGGCAAGTCCTTTGTGCCAAGAAAAACGTGTCTCAGACCCGGCTCTGGCATCCCTGAATAGCCTGGCGACTTCAACATGTTGGATCAGAGGCAGCAGCTGACCCAAAACATCCCAACAATCTGACACAGTCGGCATACACCGGCAGAAACACTTGTCTCCGGCAATAGCTTGCAAGGATGGTACCGTTGTCACTTGTCTCCCTCATTCCCAGCGCTGCTGCCTTCTTTTCTGACAACAAAGGGGCTAAGCCATACTTCACTCCAGACTCACGCACTCGTTTGCCAGACACCAACCAATGGACAACTCAGTTTCCAGATTCTTGGCACTACTCGAATAAGGATGTGCCTGACGCCGTCTTGCATCTCAAAGCAAAAGACACTCAGCTTGGTAAGTACTGTGATGGTGCCGGTAACGGCTACACTGGATATGTCTCTCTCGCAAATGGAACACGACACCTCTACTTTGTCTTCTTTGAGTCGCGTCGCGAACCTTTGCACGATCCTCTCGTGCTTTGGCTCAATGGCGGGCCAGGGTGTTCATCCATTGGCTATGGTCTCCTGACAGAGCATGGCCCGTGTCTCATTGTGGACAAGACAACGAAACGCAATGAAAACTCCTGGAACAATGTTGCCAATATGCTATACGTCGATGAGCCGTAAGTCACTCTTGCTCCATTGACAGAGCTAATAAGAAGTGCCGACACAGGTTATTCCTTTACTACTGGTGGGCCAACCGCAAAGCGAGCTTCTGCTGCGGCTGATGATCTGGTTGCACTCATTCAGCTGCTCAACAAGATTTTTCCTCCCTTTCAGAATCTACCACTCCATCTGGCTGGCGAATCGAATGCAGGAAAGCACTTGCCCTGGCTTGCAAGCAAATTGATCAAGTTGAACAAGGATGGTGCCCAGCTGCAAATTCCACTGGCTTCCATGATGGTCGGCAACCCGGTTCTAGACGTCGCCATACAAGAGCCGGCCTGGTATGACTATGCCTGCTCCAATGCCAGTTCCAATGGCCCCTTGTTCGACATTAAAACATGCAAAGAAATGCAATCGGATCATGCTCAATGCTTGAGCCTTTGGGACCAGGTCGTCAAGGCACGACAGGCCGGGAAGCCCACGCAGGAGCTTGTCATAAAGGCTCGTGAATACTGTCTTGAAAAATTTCAATATGCTGTTCAAGATGCCGGCTACGATCTTTACGATGTTCGCCGCCATTGTCCAGATCTATCAGCAGACTGTGATGTGCTGGCCCCTCTCGCAGAACAATTCTTACGTCGAGCTGAGGTGCGAACAGCTTTTGGGAGTCAGACAAAGAGTTTCTCCTTGTGCACCGGCGCGATTTTTGATGATAGTCTCAATAATGGAGATTGGTCGGATGCAATCACTCCTGTCTTGATCGCTGTTCTCGAATCTGGTCTGCCCACGTTGTTCTATGTTGGCGAAAGTAAGTCACCCATTCTTGTCAGTTGATGCTTATCATGCAGAAGACTTTCTATACAATTACATCGGAGTCGAGAATGTCCTTGAGTCACTGTCTTGGTCAAGCAAAGCGGGTTACGTCAAATCAAGGCAGACGCCACGCAAATGGGAAGGCGGTGTCGGTTGGTCTTACAAGAATTTGGTCTACCTCCGGGTTGCGAATGCCGGTCACGATGTACCTGAGACTCAGCCTGCTGTTGCACAGGTAATGCTGGCACGATGGCTGAAACAGGGTACATCGTTTTTTTGAGCTCAGAGGTATAAGCTTTTCACTACACCATATCATTAACAATTGGCAAATTGCCACAATTCGGCTGTCCTGGATCTTCTTATAGGAATACGCCGCATGCTTGAAATTCCTATTGCAAATCAGCTTAAAGCTTCGTTGGCGGCCTCTGCTTAACGTCGTCTGGCAGCTCTCCATCCAAGATGGCTTCAGGGTATGGCAATGAGCCCTGAGCATTGTGCCAGGCACCGCCGTCTACGATCAGAATTTGTCCAGAGACCCAATCACCTGATGGTGCAAACAAGTAGATGGTTGCATCAGCAATGTCATCGACATCACCTTGCTTCTGCATTGGAATCTTGCGATCCATCTGGTCCTTCATAGACTGCGGCAGAAGCCTCGACATACCTTCCGTGTTGGCGATAGGGCCAGGGGCAATCACGTTTGATGTGATGCCGTATGGTCCAAACTCCACACAAATGGACTGTGAGAGCGCATCAATAGCTGCTTTGGCTGCCGAGACATGTGCCTGGAAGGGCGTACCCTGGTAGTGCAATGTAGCAGAAATGAAGAGAACGCGTCCACGACTCTTCTTGAGATGAGGGATACAAGCCTTGATGGTATTGTAGGAACCGAGCACATCAATGTCAATGACAGTCTTGAAGGCATTGGCACTCAAGTTGTCAATCTTGGCCAAGAAGTTGCCAGCTGCTCCGGCGATGCAAAAATCGAGACTGCCGAGCTTCGAGACTGTCTCTGCAGCAGCTGCAGCCATGGCCTTTGCATCACGAACATCAACAGCCATACCAATGACCTTTGCTCCTGGTCGGAGCTGCGACATCTCGGCAGCTCGCTTCTCCGTCTTCTCCTTGTTACGGCCTGTAATCACGGCATTGGCACCTAGAATGACAAGGGCCTCAACCTGTCGCCCGCAAATAGAACCTGCTCCACCGGTGCAGAAGACGACCTTTCCCTTGAAGAGGCCGTCCTTGAATGTATTGTTTCTGTAGGCAGGCATGATGCAGCTGTTGATTGCGGAAGAAGAGCCAGCTACAGGTTCTAATGTAATCAGTAATCCTGCCCCACTGCCTGGCCCCCACAGTTGACGGAGGCTTCCAGACCGCAGCGCCGACCCCTGCACGTGAATGTGGGAGCAGCATGACGACGCGACGGACACTCGCCTTCCGACTGAGTCTACATCTGACTACCATCGTAGATAGAGACCAGATGCTCCTCTCTCTATGGCTGGTGGCTAGCGCCAGTGCCATGTTCGCTCATCCTGGCAAGAAGCCGTTTGATGCGCTTGCAGCTCCTCAAGTGCCCAAAAAGGGCGACGCCCTCCAAGTCCCCTTCTCCGCAGCAGCCAAGGCATCTCATGCAGGCAAAACTGCCGACGATGCAGACTACGTGACTTTTGCACTGCCAGACTTGCCAGACCATACTCTTCGCGTGCGTCAGACAGATTCAGGTCTGAATGACTACTGTGAGGGAGCTGGCAACGGCTATACGGGTTACCTGTCTGTTGAGCGGGGTACCAAGCACTTCTATTTTGCTTACTTTGAATCTCGCAATGATCCTATGAATGACCCTTTGGTCATGTGGATCAATGGCGGCCCTGGATGCTCCTCAACAACGGGCTGGCTCATGGAGCTGGGCAGCTGCCGTGTCAAGCTTGATGGTTCAGGCACGACCAAGAATGACTATGCCTGGACTGAAGCTGCATCAATCGTCTTCCTTGATCAACCAGTCGGTGTTGGCTTCTCCTATGCTGAACCTGGGGCAGAGGTGGACCGTACTGAAGCGGCAGCAGAGGACATTCTTGCCTTTTGGCGGCTTTGGTATCGTGCCTTCCCTCGTCATCAGCAGCTTCCATTACACTTTGCTGGTGAGTCTTATGCAGGGAAGTATATTCCTACCTTTGCGGCTCATATCATCGAGGAGAATGAACTGGCCATCAAGCAGTCTCGCAACAAAGACCTAATCCCGCTTGCATCTGTTCTGATTGGCAATGGCATTTACGACAACCTCCATCAGGCAACCTCTGCTTGGGACATCGCCTGCACCAATGTGACTGGTAGCGGACCGGTGCTCAATGAGACTGTTTGTTCGACGATGGAGACAAAAGTGGCGAGGTGCGAATATCTGCTCAAGGCGGCCGAAACGTTCCCTGACTCATACATTGGTGGTGCTGCTGCTGACTTTTGCGACGAAGCATTCATGCAACCATATGTCGATGCAAATCTCAACCCATACGATGTGACGAAACGCTGCAAAGGCGAGCTTTGCTATGAAATTGAGGACGCCATTTCCACCTACCTCAACAAGCCCGAAGTACGCAAAGCCTTTGGCGTCTCGAAACACGTCAAACACTTTACAGGTTGCTCTAATAAGGTCTTCCAAGGTTTCTACAAGAGCGGTGATCCTTACATTGCATCGGCACCTCTCGTCGCATCTATCCTTGATTCTGGGCTGCGTGTACTCAATTATGTTGGCACACTCGACTGGATCTGCAACTTTGTTGGGAATGAGCGGTTCTTGAATGCATTGCCATGGTCGGGACAAGCTGGGTATCGCCACCAAGCTGCCAACAACCAGACTGCATGGTCGGGAGGTCTTACTTGGCAGTACAAGAACTTGGTCTACACACGCATTTGGGGAGCTGGTCACATGGTACCGTATGACCAACCTGAAGCATCACTCAAGATGGTCAAGCAGTGGCTTGCTGAGAAACCATTCAACGGGTAAGGACCGACACTCGGTCATCAGGAAGCGCTCTTTCAATCATTCTATCATTCTATAACTGCATACTTATCTCTTCAATCTATTGATGCTCCTCATTTGATGTTGTCACAGTCGATGGTTTTGACTGGCTAGGTACTTTTGCTGCCTCTTCTGCAAGCTCAAAGACTCCCTGTGCATTTTTGACATACACATCACGTTCCGTGATGATGCCACTGATGAGCGCATACGGCGTGACATCAAACGCTGGATTCCAAACAGCAATCTCCTCCTTGACCACTTCCACAAATCCACGCTGGACCTGTCCATCGCTGCTCAACACCACCGATCCGTCATCACTCAGGAGAGCACCAGCGACACGTCGGACTTCGCTTGCTGGGCGTTGCTCAATCGTAATCTCCTTGCCTGATGGTGTCTGCAAATCAATCGTCGTCCAGGGTGCAGCCACAAAGAAAGGAACACCAGCGAATCGTGCCAAGGTGGCCAACTGTTGCGTTCCAATTTTATTGGCGGTATCACCATTCCGAGCAACACGATCAGCACCGACAACAATAGCTGTGATACCACTACCGTTTGTCGTTGTGGGACATGCTGGATTGGCACCTGCTAGTAGTGCAGCGATAGAACTGTCGAGAACCATGGTGGATGGAATCCCGTCATAGTGGAGTTCTGTGGCGGTGAGACGAGCGCCTTGGTTATACGGTCGTGTCTCGCAGAAATAAGCGTGCGTCAGGGCTATTACTTCGTGAAGCTGATAGAGCACGCTGTAGGCTGTTCCGTAGCCTGATGTTGCAAGAGAACCGGTATTGCAGATTGTTAACATGTTGATTGGTCTTCCTTTTGCAAGATTGAGAATATGCCTTGCGCCATGACGGCCGATGGAGAGATTATCCTGCAAATCACTCGCAAACATAGCTTCTGCCGCTTCCTTGTATCTCTTTGCAATAGTCGCACCATCAGAGAACGTACCAGAGATGACCCTTTTGAGCTTTTCTGCAGCATCATGCAAATTGACGGCCGTAGGTCTCGACTGAACCAGAAAATCTAGCCTGTCAATAAGCCAAGCCTTTATCTCTTCAGCAGTCTTTTTTGAGGGTTTGAAGTTGTGCTCGAGATCAACAGCAAGGCCAAGAATGGCGACAAGAGCAATAGCAGGCGCACCACGGACCTTCATGCTCTTGATGGCATCAAATGCGTCTTGACTGTTGTGGATGGGGATATAGAGCATATTATGAGGTAGTACTAGCTGGTCTAGGATCTGTAGTGTCGACCGAGCAGCATCATAATCAATGGCCTTGAGAACCATTTTGGAAGCAGACTTAGGATGAGGTGTAGGGAGCCAGGAACGAAATTTGACGTGTCTCAGCCAACCACACGAGAAACCAGAATGGTTGACGAGACAGAGCAAAGCTATGGCATCATTCCACTTCGTTCTACAACCTCCGGGTCCAAGGGCAAAAAGCTAGAAGTGCTCTTGATTCACCAAACACTTTATGCATCAGGCCTTCAATGGTCTATTCCCAAAGGCCACGCTGAGCAAGACGATGCATCTCCTCGTGCTGCTGCAGAACGAGAATTGAAAGAAGAGACAGGCTTGCAAGTCAGTAAGATGCTACTCTCAGAGCAGACATTTGAGGAACACTACACGAATCCCGAAAGAAGGACACAGAAGCAAGTCACATACTGGGCGTGTCTTGTCGAAGGGACCTTGACTCTACAAGAATCAGAAGTTGCTGAGGCGCGGTGGCTTGACTTGGAAGAGGCGATTGCATTGGCTACGTTTGAAGACACAAAGGAGACTTTGCGGCAAGTACAGCGAGCCCTGCTATGGGCAACATTGTGAGATGGAATAATGCATTTTTTGGTGTGTAATCTACTTCTTTCTGTATGCAACTAAACGACCGACCAGACCTACTGTTAGCAACATTCTCATAATCAAGCAAGCAACATACCCGGATGAGACCGTCAGTGTAGCCAGAGAAGAGGGTTGCACCGTCAGCCGACCAGCTGAGGGAAGTAACCTGAGGCTCCTGGGACTTCTTGCCGACACCGACAAAGTCAACCTTGAGCTCCTCAACAACGAGCTTGGTCTCAAGGTCAAAGATCTTGATGACAGAGCCAGTTGCGGCACAAAGCCAGTATCGGTTAGGGGAGAACACGAGGGAGTGAATCTCCTGACCACACTCGAGTGAGTAGAGGTGCTTTGAGTCGTTGAGGTCCCAAAGCATGGTGGTGCCGTCCTTGCCACCGGAAGCACAGAGCGAACCATCGGGAGACACGGTGACCACGTTGATGTAGCCGTTGTGACCATGGTGGTTCGTGACGAGCTTGCAACGAGTCGACTCCCAAACCTACACAGTGTGTTAGCAAATCTGGTCATAGTAAATGATTGTCGGGTAGACAATCCTAATCCCAGAGAAAGAGGAGAATGAATCAGTAATGGTGATGCGTTGATCTCATGAGCCAGTGACGGCTTCTGAAGTAGCAAATATACATCTTCTGACATCACATTCGCAAAGCCTTTGCAAAGGGGCCAAGAAAGAGAGAAGCGTCAGATTGTGAAAAAACTGATGCAGCACCAAACATGAATGGATTACAGCGTCACTGCAAATCTCTCAATGACAGAGTGTGCAACGCGCTTGCCAAAAGGTACGCAAACAGACCCGTCAGGTCATTTGACGCACGAGTTGACAAGACAACGTGCTTGGTTTCTTTTTTTTTGGACTTTATGCTCAGGCTCGCTTCCTCCTCTCTCAATGCCCCGGAGGACAAGGATTGGACGTCGTCTGCATACAGCCACATTCGATGCAGCGCATACAGACTCGAGCTCAGTGAATAAACTTACCTTGACAACCTTGTCCCAGCCGGCAGAGACAATCACGGAAGCCTCAGGGTTGGGTGAGAATCGCACGCACGAGACCCACTCGGAGTGTCCCTTCTCCTGGATGGTGAACTTGCAGTCACCAAGAGTGTTCCAGAGCTTGATGGTGCGGTCACGCGAACCAGACACAATCTGCCTGTTGTTGGCAGAGAAGGAGACGGAGAGGACATCGCTGGTGTGGCCAACAAATCGCTTTGTGGTCAAACCCGTGTTGAGGTCCCAGAGACGCAAAGTGTGGTCCCATGATGAGGAAAGGGCGTATTGACCGTCTGAGGAGATGGCGACATCAGAAACGAAGCCATTGTGGCCCTTGAGGGAACGCCTGGGCACGCCGTAGCTGCCTTCATCGCGGGTGATTTGCCAAACGAGCAAGGTCTTGTCGCGCGAGGCAGACACGAGCAAGTCTGGGTTTTCTGCACTGGTGGCGAGGGCAGTGACCCAGTTGGAGTGTCCCTCGAGGGTTCCACGAAGTACAACGGATTCGCTCATGATGGATTGATGGCTGTTCAAGTTGCTGCTGGTGCCTGAGTCTTGTCCAGCGAGCGAAATTTGTGGGGTTAGGGTCACTACTCGCATGTATTGATCCTGTGACTGCTATAATCATCGCCTTCCAATGCGAGTGCTGGAGATAGTCAAGAGCTCGCAGGAGAAGGGAGAGTACAGGGAAGCTGCTGGGCTGCAGAGGGTCGCCGCTTAAGGTCTTCTCTCGTTGCACATCTTCAATAGCTTAGTCCATAACGCCTGTGAATGCCTAACGACTGACTTGTAGACGGAGAAGCCATTGCAGTGCATCGAGATCAGCTCTGATATCCCTCTAGCCTCTTTTCGCCTTCATCTGCCATCTATACTGCTCACTGCTCAGTCTGCTGCTATCTGCATCTTCCATCCTGCTTTGTGCGTGCCATCTCGTCACCTCCTCCACTGCAACAACCCAAAGCAAACGCAATAGAAAGCACTTACACAGCCAGACAGCTTCACAGACTGCTCACAACAACACAGGATGAGCAGCATTCATCGCTCGCGCGTCGCGTCTCTCTACAAGCGATCCCTGACACTTACACGAGACTGGACTGTCCACCGCGAATTGTGGTTCGAGGAGGCAGCTGCCATTCGCAAGCGATTCGAGGCGAATCGACAAGTGACGAATCCGAGGCTTGTTGAGGATTTGTTGAGGAAGGGCGAGGAGATGTTGGTTGCGCGGAAGCATCCGGATCCTTATATTGGTATGTTGAAGTGGCATTTGTGCTCTTGGCTAGCATTCGTCTGCTGAGAGTACCATGATAAAGCAATCAACTAACACGATAGTACCGACATTCCCTGGAGGCTCGAAATGGGAGCGAAATCTGCATCCGCGTATTGGTGAGCCGAAGGAGATTCACTGAGCTGATGATGCACGTACAATTGCAGCTGTTGTAGTCAATGTGACAATGCTGTTTCTCGATCTAGCTGGTGTGATTGATGCGATCGCTTGCTGTGATGCTTATGGTATTATGGCTTAGTCTTATGTGCTTGTGTGACTACTGGTCTTTCCACTATCTCTTTATCTTTACTTCTCCCCGACCGCGGCCTCATGCGACTTTTCCATATATGCCGTGAATGACACTCTCTACAGAGTCTACACGCTCGCTGCCAGGCTCAACACGATGCTACGCACAGAAGCTCTTCTCTCTCGCATAAAACACCTCTCACTCTTGCTCAAAACGACCTACCTTCCCTTCCTCCCCGTCCTCGCTGCAATCTGCTTCAACCTCATCATTTGGATCGCTGCTGCTTTTGTCTTTCGCAAATACACGGCACTCTTGGGACCTGGCACATTAGCGTATACCTATGGTCTTCGACATGCCCTTGACGCAGACCACATCTCAGCCATTGACAACATGACGCGACGTCTCGTTGCTGAGGGTCAGCGACCTGTGAGTGTGGGACTTTGGTTCTCACTCGGTCATTCAACGGTTGTTTTGGTGACGTGTATCATTGTCGGTGCAAGTAGTGCAGCGATTGCAGATAGGTTTGGTGGGTTTGAGGAGGTGGGTGGGATCATTGGTGTGTCGGTGAGTATGGCATTCTTACTACTCATTGGCCTTGCCAACCTGTTTGTGCTCGTTCGATTGATAAAGAGTATGCGACGACAACTCGCTCAACGACGTCGTCGTCTTGCTGGTCAAGAAACGGAGGATGTTGAAGAGAAGCCGCATGTGCATCATGGACCCCTGTTCAGACTCTGTGGACGACTCTTCAAACTGGTGGATCGCCCCTGGAAGATGTACCCACTCGGTGTGCTCTTTGGCCTTGGCTTTGATACCTCCACTGAAGTGGCATTACTCGCTATTGCGAGCATCCAAGCAACGCGTGGGACCCCCATCTATGTCATCTTGGTCTTTCCATTCTTGTTCATGGCAGGGATGTTGCTGGTTGATACGATTGATGGCGCTTGTATGGTTTGGGCATACGATTCAACCTTGTTTGCTGGCAACAAGATTGCACGACTCTACTATGCAATCTTACTCACGCTGATGAGTGTTTTGGTGGCCTTGACCATCGGCATGCTACAACTGCTCACGCTGATTAAAGAGACGCGACACTTGCACGGCGCGGTGTGGGACGGGGTTGGCCGTGCGGGTGATCGGTTTGATGTGATTGGCGGTGGTATCGTTGGTGTGTTTGCACTGGTCGTGGCATGTTCTGCTCTGGTCCACTGGATCATGCGGCGAAGACGGCATCAGGGGCAGGATGAGGTCGAGGCCAGCTGTCTACACGAAGAGAGGCTCGATAAACCTGACATCGCTGTTACGCATCAGGCGAGTCCACAGCATTGAAGGGGAAATGTTCTATCTCTTGTTGCGACTGATGCTACAGCCTCATAGCATGCTGAATAGTCAAATGAACGATGTTAGACAATGATCTAGTAGTCGCGAGACTCGCCATAGCCATCGCCACGACGGCCACCACGGTCATTGTTGCCACGACGTTCACCATACCCACCACTGCCACCACGCCTATCACCCCCTTCGCGAGCATTACGACCGCCGTACGAGCCACCGACGCTGCCACCGTTGTATCCATTACTGCGCCTCTCGCCACCATCATACGGCCGTCTTGGACGATCACCACCACCACCACCGCCGGCGCCAAAGGCAGGTCTCGATTCAGCTTCACGACAATTGATTTGTCTGCCTTCCACTTCACACTCTGCTAGTGCCGCAAGGACTTGCTCACCAACCTGGTCATCATCAATCCTGAGGAATCCATAGCCACGTGATCGTCCGGAGAGTCGGTCGGTGATGATGTTGAGGTCTTGCAGGTGTCCCTCAATTTCTTCTGCAGACAAGACAGCAGAGTCACTTGCTCCACCCTCAGCAGATGCTTCAATGTGAGCGGAAGCAACATGTTGAGCAATGGCAGAACGCAAGGTGTCCGGAGTGAGTGTCCATGAGAGGTTGCCGAGGTAGAGGTTCTTCTCGAGTGCCTTTGTTGTGAGGGAGAACTGGGCAGTGTGTGCAGCAGATGCCTTTGATGCGAGGCGTGCTGAGTGTCTGAGGAGGGAGAACATGGCGAGTTGTTGGATGGGTGAGTGAGTGTAGACTGAGTCTGCTGAAGGAATTTTTGTTCTTTACGGCAGCAGGGTTAGATGCTCCTACTTAGTACTGCCTACTGTCTACTGAGACTGAGCACTCATGACGGGCTCATCCCTGGCATCCCAGACGCAAGCACAGAAGAGTAACTCCGCCGCCAACCTGCCTGTCTCCCACCATCAGTACCACCTGCTGCATCTTCTTCAAGCGCACAGACACGACTCCGTAGTGCTTCTCCCAACGCAACACGATGCGCCTCTTCCCTCCCCATATAATCACCACCCTCCTCTTCTTCCAATAGGAACGGCGTGCATGGGCCAGCAGGTGATGCAAGTGCTTGTAAGTGTGGTGAGAGCGGTGTATAGAATAAAGCAGTGGTGAGATGCATGCCATGTTGACCTCTACTTGCGTTTCTGCTTGTGTTGCCAGCCATGCCGTGTCGCGCTTGATTTTTACTACTGCTGCACGGTTCAGTATAGCTGGTCAGTGTATGTACGCTGTTGACTGAGGCTGATGGATGGTTGGTCGTGGTGGCGAGGTAGCGTGATGCAGGTGGCACCATGAGCGAACTACTTCTTGACTTTGGCTTGCGCACTTTGCCATTTGTGACAGACGGAGCGTTCATACTTGTTCGTCCTATGTTGCTGCTACTACTGCTGCTGATGATGCTTGCAGTTGTAGATTGCTGCGGTTGAAGGAAGGAAGCCGCGGTTGTGGTGGGTGGTGTTGCTAGGGGCGTTGCTTCCAACATGCGTAGATGGGCAGATCCTGGCGCTTGAAGGTGAAGATCTGGGAAGACTGTGCTGGGTGATGCTGCTCTGCTTGATGTGGATGAGGTGGCAGGTTGGTCGAGGGAGGGTGCTGGTCGCATGAGTTGGCGGATGATGAAGTCACGATGAAATCCGGGGAAGACTTCAGCTACAACAGCTAGATGATATAGTAGGCAGATATAGAAGGCCTTAGCTAGATAGATATAGAAGCAAATACTGAGCTACCACCGGTCGTCATCCAAGTCATCAATCAGCGCATTGTCACGGTCGATACTCCCGCGCTCAGCAGCATGCAGCCCATCACTGTACCCAGCATCCCGAGTAGGCCTGTAGCCAGCATAGCCCTGTCTGCCACGACTGCCCAGGCCCAACCGACCCAGCAGGCCACTCACTGCATCCTGCATCCAGACGCCCATCGACTGCCATAGATCCGCATGCGGCACTTGTCGCCATCCAGCTTGGTGCAGGACTGTCCGGTTGTACATACACCCACCCACCATATACACCAGCAAGGCCACCCCCAGGATAATAGCAAACACGACACCAGGCGACAGTGCACTCGATACATCCGGTGTTGTTGCACACGCTCGAAAGGTGCGATACTCAAACACAAACCCACAGTCATTGACTTCTCCCAAGTAACTCACACTCGCTGTACCGACCATCGCTGCATCACACGTAAAGACAATCAACGTCGATCGCTTATACGACGTATCACCGGGACACGCACTGCCGCCAGTATACTCCAAGATGAGTTTCTTCCCTCTAAACTTGAGCGTCGTTGAGGTTTGCCCAAGTGAGACCATCTTCTCATCTTCATCGGTATACATGGCAGAGATATTTTGCGACTTGCTCAATTTCTGGGTACTGCGTATCAAGGGCGCGCAGACATTCAATGAGAAATTACCACCTTTGGCAGGTCCATAGTCGTACGGGTTTGCATGCCAATCCACAGCATGCTGTTCATCAGGGAAGCGCGAGAGGCCGCGTAGGTCGTAGAATTCCTTTGTGGTTGGATGGGTGATGGTGCAGTCTGGATCGAGCACTTCTTCTTTTGCGCTGCACGGTGAAAGAAGGAATGAGAGAAGGAGTGGTACGCGACGCAGAAGCATCAGGCAGTAGTAGAGAATGTAAGCAGGAGGAGTAGGATCAGGACCGGTACGTACTGCTATTTGAGCTTCTGTCGCAGAAATATTTTCAGATGGAGAAGAACAGAGCCTGGCCATGGATAAGTAGAGTCTAAGAGACTGGCACAGGGCTATGACATTATTCATCCTTCTCATAAGCATCAGTCATTGAGAAACATCCTCCGGTGGTCTGACTCCCTTCAATATCGACAACGGCAACAGGCTCTTCGCCGTGACTGACTTGCGACACACAGGACACGCACCATTCGCCGTCCCCGCCATCCTCGCTGTTCCCTGCGATGCTCGTAACGCCTGCGTAATACACACATGGCAGAATAAATGACCACATCGCGTCGCTGTCAAATCCGTCGGATCATCTAAACAAATGACGCACTGGAAATGAGAAAGTCGTGGATCCCCTTCTTCATTTGCAGCTTGTCGAATCACCTCCCCTTGACTATCACCAGCACCTGTATCGCCTGACTCTGCAAGAACTTCAGACTCAGAGTCGGAAGAGAGATCAATGATTTCGGGAGCGTGTTGCGTTGGTGTGGTCAAATCGACTGCTTGTGAAGCAGGGCGATGCCGTCGTGAGTTGGGATTTGGCAAACGAGAGCGATCCGACTCAGACGACTCGGCCCTGCGCTTCAGCGGCGGCATCGCCTGTGTATATGTTGTGGCCAAATATGATGCGTTGAACTTGAACTTGAACTACAATTTACTTTTCGCGCCTTGTAAATTGCCACTTCTGCTCTTCACCATCATCAACTCGAGCCAGTCTTGTTCTGCTGAACAGATAATGCCGAACTGAGTAAAGCTTGGCAGATACAATCAGCTCGCGTCTATTCATGTACTCGACTGCTACATGCGGTGATTCCGGCCTGTTTCGGGCAAGTCGCGCAACATGATCAGATTCCGCGTCTTCTTCGCACTGGCATGCTGCGCATCATCCCTGAGGATGATCTAGCCAGTGCTTTTGATATCCTTGATGCCTGGATTGACGGACTTACGGCTTAATATCAATGCTCGACAAGCACATCAAAGCTTTCTTTCGCTTCGTTTTCTCCAGCAAGCTGTTAGCGTCTTTGGGGCCTGCAGCAATTGCGCTTACCCGTTTCTTCCATCAAGCACCTTCTTCTAAGCTATCCTGTCGCGTAGTCCATTGACAAATTAACGAGACGATGCTCCATCAACATGTGCCTTCTTCACGAAACTTGAGTCTAGACTCGACAGGCCACGTCAAGTACTTGACAGGGGTTGAGTCGCAGAAATGGAACTCAGGGGACATTTGCTCTATTGCTCTATAAATAAGTGGACGCCTGCTCGCAAATGCAGTCTCAGTACTCACCAACCTGTGGCCGTTGAAATGTACTGGGCGCCCCTCCTTTTCAGTCACCTGGCTGCGGCCGTCTTTTCTGATAACCGCCATTCAAGTGGCGTGCAGATCAATAAGACTGCAGACTCATGTATCAGCTCTCCTCAGCAAGTCGGATGCAAGACTGAGTGGTTGATCACAGATCCCCGTTACCCCAGCGCAGTCTTACGCATCAAGAAGGCAGACACCAAGCTCGGTACTGTCTGTGAAGGTGCCGGGAGCGGCTATACAGGCTACCTCTCCTTTGACCATAATAAACGCCACATCTACTTTGTCTTCTTCGAGTCTCAATCCAAACCTCTCGAGGATCCTGTTGCCATCTGGATGCAAGGAGGTCCTGGTGCAAGCAGTCTTCCCTTCGGTCTTCTCCTCGAAAATGGGCCATGCCTCATCGACGGCAAATCAACCAAAGCCAATTCCTATTCTTGGAACAAGTTTGCCAATATGATCTATGTGGATCAACCGTTCGTCCTTCTCCCTTCGTTCAAATTGAAGCTAATACAAGTGCTGGCACCGGCTACTCCTTCAGCACGACTGCAGATCCCCGGGACACTACCTCACAGGTAGCAGATGACATGGTCATGTTGCTTCATCTATTCTACCAGGCCTTCCCGCAAATGAAACAGAACCCACTTCACTTGACTGGGGAGTCCTATGCAGGCAAGTGGATCCCCGCACTGGCTCAAAAGGTGCTCGATGCAAATCAAAAATATGAAAAAAGCCAAAAAAGCCAGGTATCACATTCCCTTGCGCTCTCTTGTCATTGGAGGTGGGTATCTTAACGCAGCTGTGCAGGATCCAACGATTTATGATTATGCTTGCCTCAAACCCTATCCCATTGTCAAAATTCTAGTCAATGCAACAGCATGCGCTAGCATGTCAGCTGGGGCAACTCATTGCAAAGCGTTGTGGGCAAAGTACACTCGCTTGGGTGGCAAAAAAGGGCGCGCCGCACGTCAGGACGTAGACGAGGCAATCCATTCATGTTTGAACGAGCTGTATACTGTCCTATTCGACAGCGGAACGGACATCTACCAAATCAACCGTTATTGTCCAGACATGTCGGGATTCTGCGATGCAAAGGCTCCGCTAGCTGAACAGTATTTGGAGCGTTCCGATGTTGCAGCTGCGTTTGGGGCAGACCCCGGCGTTTTTCACGCATTCAGTCACAAAATCCTAGTCTCAAGCATAGAGAGCGGAGATGAGGGCCTCGACACCGGGCCGACTATAGCAGGGCTTTTGGATGCCGGCATTCCTGTTCTGATTTATTCGGGCTTGTGTAAGTATTGTCTTTTGGTTCAAGTTATACTGACAGTTCACAGGGGATGCTCGAATCCCTTTCATTGGCCTCGAAGCAGTCCTCGATCAACTCGTCTGGTCTGGTGCAGCTGCTTTCAAGGCCGCTAAGAACGCTCCCGTCAAGTGGTCAGGCGGAGTGAAATGGCGCGCGAAGAACTTGCTCTACGCACGATTCGACAAGGCTGGCCATGTCGTCCCCGAGGACGACCCAGCGAACGCTTTTCAGTTATTGAAAGGCTGGTTCGATTCAGTTCGATGACCGTCTTAGGCGATAGATGTGCTGTTTGGGCTCATTGAAGCTTCGCTCGCCTCCTTCTTGTGTGCTACCCATGTGTTGAAATCAGCAATGGGAGTGCCACACAAAGCTTTTTCTCATTTCTACTCAAGCTCTTCTCTTCAAGCTGTCTTGTTGCGTAGTTCAATGGCAGACTATTGATGCGCATAAACGACTTGTTCGTTTTGATCTCTCGTGGATGATCTTAATGTGAGGCACCGCCAAAAAACGCCTGGCTTTTACGACAGGTCGCGCCTAGCAGGAGCAATCGGAGTGCTCGCGAAATTACACGTACTGCAAAGGTGGTGATCAGGGTCATTCGCACTATACAAAATCGACAGCGTACTTCAATTGCTCATTACTTCCAAGATGCAGCCGCCCATTCGGACCCAGAATGTACTGGACGCCACTCCTACATCTTTTTTGATGGCCGTCCAGGTGTTGTGCAGGTTGATAAGACTGCAGACTCGTGCGCCGCCACCACTCCTCAGCCAGCTGAATGCGAGCCACTTTCCTTGACAAATTGAGCTGTCCATGTTGAGCTTCTATAGTTTGGCATTCACTACAGTTGTATGAAAGCAAGCATTGTTAGCAAGCGGAAGTAGAAATACTTAAAGGCCCGTGGCTCATTCAGGACCGTCAAAGATGCATATATTATCTACTCAGCTAGTGATGGGTACTACACTCTTGTGATGACCAGGAACTTGACCAAGAAGCGCATGAATCTTCGGTACGAGGCCAACACGTTCCACTATCGGCGCCGTTTCGCGATCCATGTACAACGCATCCAAGTCAGTCACCTCTGATAAACGCGACTTGGTATCACTGTGCAGACTACTCTTGTCGTCTCTTGCCAAAGCTGGCAATACACCCCGTTGTCCGAAACTACTCGCTGAGTCTGGTATCCTTGCTGTTTGGCGCTGTATGCTCAACGGCTGGCTGATGTCAGATTTGCGTAACGGCCCCAGGATTGGCATCGAGGCGAACCAAGCACCAACATGAGTCCCGACAAAGAGACAGCGCAGTAGTCCCAACAGGGCGACAAGCACCCAAACGCCTAAAAGAATACCTGCTGTGATTGCTTCCTGTTTGATGCTCTTTCGCCATAGTTTTGCGACTTTTGCCAAGATGGAGGTGATGCCCTCCGAGACAGATTGACCTGGTGATTTGTCCATTAATGCATCGTCGCCTGCTAGCTGTAGCATGAGCGTTGACGCAGGGACCACCGGTAGATTGATGTGCGCCTGTTCATGGACCCACGTCAAACCAGTCTCGATACCCCTGATCTTGACGAGAAGGAGGCAGTTGAAGACAGACAAGATGGGCTCGTACAGAATCGTTCCGCCAAATGTCACCTTAAGTGTCTCAATCAATGTGTCTGTAAACACATTAAGCGTCTGATTGACTGTCTCAGTGCCAGTCGTCACCCAACCCAACAAATCATTATTCAGCTCTCCTTGTAGCGTGCCAATCTGCACATTCGTGTCATTTGCCCACGCTGTTGCTTTGGAAGACAAAAGGGCTTCTACCTGCGCAGTCACCTGGCCTGCTGACTCTGCCAGATCTGGGGTTGCAGACTGCAGGCTATGCAGCATGATGGCTTGTAGTGCACAACTCAATAAACCAGCAATTGCTAGAAGCAAGACAAATGCCGCTGGCCCATGCGAGACATATGCCACCCACCAACGCACGAGTTGACGACTGCGAGGATGACTTGTGCGAGTCAACTTCGTTGTCAATTGGTATTGAAGCGGGTGTGTTGCAATAAGGAGTCGTTCAAGTGGGTCTGCGTCGATTTCTTTGCTCAGCGCAGCAGCCATGTGTGCGTGACGATTGAGCGTGCGCCATTGCCAGACTGCAAGACCGGCAAAGAAGAGTGCAATGAGTGCAGCAAAAACGATAAGTAGAGCAAGGATGATGTGGTAAGTCTTCATGACGCCATCCACTACATCATCAAAGGTCTCATCCAGCGCTGCTTCTGCACAGAAAGAGAGCGTTTCTTTGGAGGGTACGGGTAAGAGGCTTTTGTTGAAGGCAAAATTGTCGAATCGTGCGTCCACAAGTATCTTGAGCTGTTCAAAGGGAAGGCGAATCACTGCATCTGTCGCATTTTGCACGGCGTCCAAATTCAATGCAGAACGCGCTTTGTCGAGACCTTGATCGAATGATGAGGGTATCTGAAAATCCTGCAGAGGCGCAAGAGGAATAGCAACGGTTGGGATATCAAGCTTTTGGCCGAGGAACGCGCTTGCTTTTTCAATGAAGCCTGCGACTTTGTTGATGGCTGAATTGGCGTCTGTCGTTGCCTCTTGGATGTCTTCGCCGAGAGCCTTCAGTGTCGAATTGAGCACATTGCCGATCGTCTCTACTGCGTCCAGCACGGCACCAATGGATCCTTCGACCGCTAGTTCCAGAAGACAGATGTAGGTCGACTTGAAGGTATTGATGAAGAAGAGCACAATCTCCTCTACAGCTGTTAAGAGCCCCTGCAGTACTGCAGCTACTGCCGTCACTGAAGCATCAATCGAGATGGCGACCAGTGAATTAGCGCCCCGAGCAACATAGTGCGGAACAGAGAGTGCCGTGCTCGCCGTTACCTCAAGTGCAGAACAAGCAGCTTGAACCTGCTCACGACCATCTTCCAGCTGCCCGCGTAGACTAGAAGCAGCAATAGCCAGACGCACTGCAACCAAAATCAGTAGCACCGTCCACTGATTGAGCCAAACTTGACTAAGTCGCGCACCCAGACCCAGGTACGGTTTTGGTAGTGATTCCTTGCGCTGTTCCGGTTGAAGATACGGATTGCCCAGTGCTTCATTGAGATTATAGAGCGCTTCGTTGCTGAACTCGCGCGCATGCTGGTGCAGAGGCCTGCTCATGCTCCAGCGATGCTAAGAGGGAAGTCGATACAATTCCAGCAGCGCGTCGTAGACGACAAGAGCAAGACGTCTCATGATAAAGCTATGGAGCAGAGTCGGAGCAAATTAAGAAGAATTGCAAGAGAACAAAGCGTGCAGAGTGTAGCGAAAGAGTGGAGCAGGTTTGATTGTAGCAGCCAACAAAGAGATCACGTGAGCCACTTCAACTACGTCCAGAGCTCAAGCTTGACATCATCCTCCAGCGCAGTGTTACAAGCAATTGTTTCGAGCATGTCCAGGCATCATGGATGAAGGCGAGCTCTATCTTTGGAAGGCACCCGAAAGCGAAAAAGAATCACGCAAGCCCTCAGCGCGTCTGAACCTCACTCGACTCTATCGTCTCGATGACCTGGCCTACAGCGTGCGTCGTCAAGATGAGGAAGGCAACAAGATCAATCGACTGTCAAAGACCTATAAGAACCAGATAGCTGCTCTGGGTGTGCTGGGCGGTGCGACCATTCCCTCTGCAACAAGTCGCAAGTATTTGCTAGACCTGCTCCTCTCTGGCGCTGCGCAGCGGGATTTGGAAGGAGGCTACAAGCCCTTCACGCGACTCGAGCTAGATCGCGGATTTACGCTTCGGCCTGGCGCTCTACAAGGATACTCGCGATCCACGATGACAACGGTTGACTCGAGCAGAAAGACAACGGTTCCCACTGCGCAAGCAAAGCGCTCACCAAAGAGTTTAGAACCTGCCACAGCAAGCACAGCAAAGGATGGAGATTCTTCTGATGACGGCAGCAAGTTCAAAGAGCACGACCGCGAGCGGCGGCAGCGCAAGCTGTTGGCAAAGCAAATGAAGAAGCGTGAAAGCGATTTTGCTGGCAATCCAGATACCAAAAGGCAACGAGTTGAATAAGTATTGGATGATTGGCAGGTGCAGTGACTCCTTTGAGTGCTGATGATGTTCCCAGCTAGCACTTGGATGCAAACTGTAACAGCCAAAGTGACTGAAGTGAGTTTACTGTCCGACCTGCTTGCCAATCTACATCACTCTCATTGATAGAAGGATGAACACACCAAGACTGCGACCCAAGCAGCATTGGCGCTGCACTTCTCGGTTGTCCTTATCACGAATGCATGATTGTATTTCAAATCAATCGACAACCATGTATGGTCGATAATTGTGGATGCGTATCTTGGCACCTTGATCGGAGTTGGCGAACATGCGAGGCTTTAGTCGCAGATGGTAAACACAGGGACGCAGTGTAGCTGCAAGTAAGCCTCAAATCGAATGGGAACAAGAGGATAGCGCTCTTGCCAGCTAAGACTAAACTAAAGGTCAGTGTATGAGCACTGACGTGGCAGAGAGATATCAGCGGAAGCAAGACGAGGCCGACAAGCAGTCGTTGCATCTCCAATGCAGGACGTGGAGCAAGTTTGGTAAGGAGATCGATCGGCTTCCTGCAGTTTTGTGCCGACATAGTTGAGCTTGATCTTACCTTGCTCAATCAGGAATGGAGTGTGATGGTTCTTCATTTCGTCAAGCTCAAGAAGGCGCTCTATGGACTGAAGCAAGCCAGCAAAGCATGGAATGATGAGATGCACGCTACTCATCACACCTGCTACACGCTTCTGCGATGCAAATTTCCTGATTGGCACTTTACGCGCATAGATGGGGTTTGTCCTCGTCGCTCTTGACTGAGCGCTCTTTGCGAGAAAACAGAATCGAGCCCGTCGGTATGTCAATTGAGCAGCACATAGATCAGTAGTCAACAATGTACTCCGATCACATAGATAGTAATGAATAGCATTTCCAATTGTGTGTTGGATCTCTCATTTGCCTGAAGGGAAAAGATTTGGTGCCACAGAGACCACCATACGTGTGCTACACCAGCTCTACTACACTTGCCATCCATGCTGACAGCTTAACTCCTTGCTGAGATCTCCGAGAACTTCCCTCAGTCTCTGCGCTCCGCTTGTTAGAGGTAGACACATAGCTGCATCATGTGTGGACGCTTCGCACAAAGCTTTGCAGCTGATGAGATTGCTCAGCACCTCGCCAATGTCGACCTAGCCATTGACGAATCGCGAGACATGCAAGCGCTCCATCCCTCATTCAACGTCGCTCCGACCACAACGCAAGCAGTCTATCGACGCGATCGCACAAGCGAGCATGAGTTCGGTGAGGGACACACGGCAGGTCACGTCACCAAGCATGTCCTGCAAGGCATGCGTTGGGGACTCATTCCATTCTGGACGAAGCGCGCTCCTGATACAGCTGGTCAACTCAAGACAATCAATTGCAGGGATGACTCACTCAAGGAGAACCGAGGCATGTGGAACTCGCTCAAGGGTAGGAAGCGCTGTATTGTGCCTGTGCAAGGGTACTTTGAATGGCTCAAGAAGGGAACCACAAAGATCCCACATTTCACGAGGCATACGGATGGTCGCATGATGTTGTTGGCTGGTCTGTACGATACTGTGCAGTACGAAGGTAGTGAGGAGGTCATCCGAACCTTCACAATCGTCACGACTGCCGCGAATGACAAGCTAGCCTGGTTACATGACCGTATGCCATTGATTCTCGACAAGGAAGAGGCAAAATGCTGGCTAGATGAAGATGCATGGACGCCAGAGCTTGTTAGAATGCTCAAACCCTTTTCAGGGGATCTCGACTGCTATCAGGTGCGCAAAGAGGTTGGCAAAGTCGGCACGAGCTCTGCAGAATACATCATTCCCATTGATTCAAAGGAGAACAAGTCAAACATTGCCAACTTCTTCAACAAGTCACCCGTCAAGAGTGCCAAGAGCAATGGCTTGACGGAGAACAATGCGCCAATGCCTGACATCAAACACCCCATCCACGCTAAGTCCAAGGGGGTAGAAATCGTCCCAGAAGGTGACTTGCCCTTCCAGTGCGTTCCTTCCAACCTTGAGTCTCGGCCACTCGAGACAATTGATGTCTGGACAACAAATATTCAAGCGAAGCATTCCGGTAGACTATTCAAGTTTATTGCGAGTACGCTTCGCCAAGATGACAAGGTGGAGCTATCCCATCTCAAGCGTATGCGTCCACTTGAAGGCCAGAATAAACGCGTCAAACTTGAAGAGGGAACCACTGCCAGACCTCAACAAGTCCAAGCAATCTTGTGCAGCACAGAATGCAAGACACAAGCAGAACTTCAGGCGCTCTTGACTGCCCAGGGATTAGGGTATGAACTTGAGAGGTGTGCTGTTCCTAAGTATCCAGCTCTGACGCTCCAGCAGCTCGAAGACTGGCAAAAACACTGGCCACTCAACTGGCGACCACCATCGCAACGTAGGGTTGTCATGACGCAGCAGGATCTGGCAACCTACGAACCAGTCATGGAACAACTCATGGCATTTGCGCGTCAGCAAGCAGAGGAACATACACAAGAACTGCCAATTGCAGCCATTGCATGGGATCCAGTCAAGCAAGTCGAGATTGCACGCGTGTCTGATAACCGCTCATCGGCTGCTCACCCACTCAAGCATTGCATTTTGGATCTCGTTGCAAGTGTCGCTGCACATGAAGTGGCTCGACGTCTCGAACCAGGTGCGAGCGCTTCCCTTGGCTATCTCTGCTCGGGTCTGTATATTTTCGTCACACATGAACCATGCACGATGTGTTGCATGGCGCTTCTTCACTCTCGGGTTTCACGCGTCTTTTATGCAAAAACGATGCCTAATACAGGTGCGTTTGAAAGCAACTATGGATTACATTGGCGACAGGAACTCAACCACCGATTCCAAGTGTTTGGCGGTTGGCTACAAGAGCGTGCCGACTACATTGACCCTGATGCGTATGTGTGAAACAATATTTCTTTAATCCCTTGCGAAAGCAGGCGCTGACCCGATAGCGGCATAGAGGAGCGCGTTGTCGACTTGGAGGCAGATGTGGCGTTGGAAGAGGAATTGTTTGGCAATCACCCACCGAGATCGTTTGCGCAAAGTGAATGCCCGGAAAAAGCAGAAGAAGAGGTTGAGAAGAAAGAGGAGGACATCAAGCCGATACAGCATGCAGTTTCGCAACCACGAAGGGCGCGCGCAGCATTGAAGAGGCGCGAACCGAAAATGACGGATTTCTTCCATACATAGAGCATAGTATCTTCTTTAGTGAAAGTTGCCCGCTGGATCGCGTCTGCTGCCACGCAAGACATTGGTCGAGCCATTGTGCTTGCCGTACTGCAATGTATTAACATGATTCTTGGCTTCGTTGAGCTGTTCAGGTGTAAATTCCATTGTCCTGGAAGTCGCAAGCTTTGGTCCAAGAACAGGCGCATCCAAGCCACCCTTTTGCACTGCAAACCTAGAAAAGGTATGGATCGCTTGAACGACTTGAAAGACGTTCTTGCGCTCAAACAGATCAATCGTCTGGAAAGTGTCTTGCGGCGGCATGCCAAGCCGCGATGAAAAGGCCAGGAACTGGCTGATATTTTCCATTTGCACAAACGGCATGGAGGATGCTTTGTATTTGCTAGCACCAGGTGACACCTTGTTGACGAGCTTGCACAGCGCTACGCCATCCTTGAGGCAGTCGCACAGGTCGGCATCCACAGGCTCCAGCCTCTCGCCCAAGACTTGCTCAATCCAATCGCGCGCTTCCTTCTGCATGCTCTCGAAGCGGTCATCGTACTTTGCTTGTGATTTGCGCTTCAGATCGCGGTCAAAGGACATCCGGAGAGGGTGATGCACTTTGGTTGCATTGATGCCAGGTGTCCACTCTTTTTGTGGTTTTGTCTGCGCGCGCGACCGAGACAGGAGACGTCATCCGGGACACCACTTGGTTTTCGAGCTGCTGAGCCGTTGACTCGCTAGAGAAGCTGCCATTGAGCATTGTAGAGTACAGATACTGCACTGCTATAATGCATACATCGCCTGAGCTGAAACAGAGAGCCAGGCCCAATTCTTACGCTGCGCTACATGACGACGAAGACGAGCGCCCTCATACCCCTGCGTCGGACGATACACCCCGAGCGCGCAAGCGCAAAGCCAAGCCAAAGACAAAGCGCGTTGCTGTCCGAGATAATGCGCCGCCTTCGGCGCTCTCTCAACTAGCTTGGTCTGCCGTCTCCTTCACACTTGATATTCTAGGGCGTGTTTTGACACTCCTGAAATGGCCCATTGCTTTTGTCTTGTGCCTGTTTATCGGCCGCTTTGCCTTCTACAAGTCACTGAGTCTGATTGTTTCAACTGTTCAGTATCAGACGCGAGCCTCTATCTGCGCTCTGCCTCTCGCCAGTAATGTCATCCAGGTCTTTGCGCCTGAGTTTTGTCAGCCTGCTGCGCCGATAGACTTTGCTTCCCTCGTCAACATGCAGAAATCAGCCGTCTCAGTGCCAACGTACAGTGGATCTATGCCACTCCAGCTGAAAAAGGCCGAGTTGGCAACGCGTGACCTACGTGCTGTGCTGCAAGCGTCAGAGCTGAGCTGTAAGGATACCCTGGACGCTGCCCTTGGATCGTTCGGTGACCATTCTCGCGTTGCTGGACGGGCCATTCAACAGACCGTTGTGCGTACCAATGGTTTACTAGATGCTAGTCTTGCCACCAACGAATGGGCCATCAAGGCGCTGAACCAAATTGAAACAAATAGTGGATTGACTGGGATGATTCCCTTTGCTGGCAGTATGAACACACGAGAAGGTGTGCGCAAGACGTATGTTGCTGCCATGAACTTTTTGAGTGAGGAACTCAAACGTCTGGTTTTGTCGAATGATCAGGCGTCGCTAGCGCTGGAGAATCTGGAGGAAGACTTGCACACCATTTCCTCTATCATGGAGCTCGAGAAGCAGCTACAGACTGAGGAACGCCAAAGTCTGAGCTCCCTTTGGAGTCTTCTTGGTGGCAACCGAGCACAAAAACGCCTCTTCAAGTCAAACATGGCGACATTGCAAGAATTCGAGGCTGATCGCAAGCACAACAGGGAGCTGGTTGCTAGGACTTCTGTTGCACTCGATAAGATGATTGTGCAAGTGGAGGAGTTCAGGGATAAGGTAGCAAGACCTGGATTGCTGGATGATGAGATTCCAATTGAGCTTCACCTGAATGCCATTCGAATGGGCGTGGACGAGTTGAGGGGAGCCAAGACCTTACGGCAAGAGGCTGAGAGCGAAGCGAGCTTGTTAGACTAGCAGTGTAGATCACCCTAAAAGCTGATGAAGCAGGATTGCAGCGGCTACACCAACGTTGAGTGACTCCACAGTTGTGTCTATCCGTGCAGGCGAGGCAATGGAGGTCAATGTCGTGCAAGCAGCCTTCACATTGGTGCGCAGACCACTACCCTCGCTGCCTAGAATCAACAGCACAGGTGTCTTGCGATCCTTCAACGCTTTCACTTCAGTCAATCTGTTCTTGACGCGCAATAAAGCTGCCTCTTCACGACCGACCGTGGCGACACAGCGCCACCCATTCTTGCGGCTCTGCTTGATGAAGGAGACGACCGAGTCTGCATGTAGAATCGGGACAAATTCGCTCGCTCCACTAGAGACTTTGACGACAGTGGGCGTGATGGAGCAACAATTACGAGCAGAGAGGACGACGCCTGCACAGCCAAGAAAGTACGCAGATCGCAGGATGCTGCCCATGTTTTGCGGATCGGTGACTTCGTCTAATAGTACATAGACTGGTGGAGTGTCTACTTCCGCACCAGAGAGTGCAAGAGATGCGCTCATTGGGTCTTGATTGGCAAGAATGGGTCGCCAGCCTTGGTCTTTGTCACCTAGTCCTTGGACGAGAAGCCTTGGCAAATCGCTACACGACAAAACGATGTTGTTGTGTGGCTTCCCAAGCGACATGCGATCAAGCTCGTTACGAGACTTTCGAAGGACTTCGAGGTTGCTCTTTCTCGCAGCTGCAAGGATACTCTTGGAAGTCACTGATTCTTGATGGACTTCGGCATTGAACACATTATAGATTGTTCGTTTCTTAGATCTGATTGCAGCAAGTGCAGCATTGGCACCATATAAATAATGTAGCCCACCTTGCTGATGCTGAAGTCCGTCGGTGCCAGCACTTGCACTGGGTTGCCGTGGTGCATACAGACCAGGTCTGGGAGAAGGTCTCAAATTTTCAAGCGCTTGGCGAGGCGAGTCGCGACCCGGGCGTCGGGTCCCAGCATAATCAGAGTAAAGCTTTAATAGATGAGAGGCCCTAGATGCAGTAGGACAAGTACATAGAGTCTTGTGAGCCCAGCCTAGAGAAAGCATGCGTGGTTGGCAGGGAAGGTCGCAAGTGCGTTTTATGTCTTGCGAAATTTCACATCCAGGGCTCGGCAGTCGATGACTCGAAGGCTTGAAGCGATTTCAGACGCCAGGCAAGGGGAATGATTCGCTATACGCTATACTAGGATGCATGATGCATGAGAAGCACACTAGAGATTGTACTCTGATTTTCTCTTGAAAATGCGAATGTCACGCAGCCAGCGACGGTACTCGTGGAGACTTCCAACCTTTTCGCAGTAGAAATCTGGGAGCGGATTGCTAAAGCTCTGCTTTGCAGGCGACGGGCGTACCCGCTTGATGTGCTGGTAAAATTCTCTCTCTCGTTCTTCAATCAGACTTTGCTTCTTGCGATGCACTAACTTCCAGCCGGCAGCGCCAAACGTGGGACCTAGAAGCCAGCCAAGCGCCCCGCATCCAACTGTCGCACCTCCATATACGAGCAGAGGATCTAGCCCAAGTACCAATTGCGATGGATCAATCTCGAGGGTAGCAAAGTATGAAAATCCACCAACAAGTCCAAAGAAAGCGGATGGAACAGAAGCGACCAGTTCCGCTCGATGTCTTTGCTTGCGAAGGTGGAGATAGTCGTTCCAAGGAAGCTTAGTGTGTTCTGGTAGCTGCTTCACCTCTGCATCCGAGGGATTGTCGGACAGCTTTGCACTTGCAGTCCCGGTTGATTGGGTCGCATTCATCCTGATTTGCGCATTGGCCCGCATCAAACTTGTAGCGAGCCTCAATGAGCTCCGTTGACTGTGCATCTCTATATCAGCTGCCCTTCACTAGCTGGAGTCTTGCTAAAGCCTGTGCTGTTGTGCTAAGTTGGTTCCCGAAAAGCGCGACAGGGCGACTGGATCACACGCTCTGACAGTCACAAACACTTCAAGAATGTCTATCGGTTGTGCTTTCCATACTGACACCCATCAATAATGCTGCTCGCTATACGTTCACCATTTAGGCTCACAACCATGCTCTGGCCATGAGTGACTCCCGGAGTCTCTCGCCACGAGACGCTGTATCCTCGGCGAGAACCGACTTGCTTGAGCTCGTGCACTGCCACACCCTCAAATTGGTGTACGTCATGCAAAGCTTTTACGGTGTATGCTTGCTCATGCTATGTATGCGTTCCCAGAAGATGCTCTGAAGAATGGTCTGCATATAAATCAGGATCTAAGTCAGTCAGTCGCTCTTCATACATCCTTTGAAACGAGCGCGAATGTACAGTGTGTATGTTGCGACAAAGTTTCCGACTGGCAGTGTGTGGCGACACTCACAACTTTGCTTGGGCAGATCCTTGCCCTCTGCTGGGCTGTTGCCGAACCTACCAGTGCATGCGCAGCGGTCTCAGCCCGGTTAGATCAAAATGCACCTTTTTGAAGTGGTCATACTGTCGCATCTGTTCAGTCTCGCTTCTTCGGGTACAGGTGGGCTTGTGATAAATAAAAGGTAGGACTTCCCAGTCAGTCTGTTCTGCTGCTTGTCCACACTCTCCTGGTGAGGCTTGATTCGAGGTACAGTCGTTGACAATGTCCAAAGCACAATCGCAACCCCAACCGTTGCACGTCACGAGCTCAAATACAACAACGTCTGAGAGGTCCCTCGGCGATGAGTCACAAGAAAGGAAAATCAATTACGATGACCCTTCACGCGCCTGGCTGCGTTCATTACACGACGACGCTGCGTCAATAGATACGTTCGACGATTTCATCAAAGTTTCTAATAACGTTCGCGTCCTGAATAAGTTCATCGATGTGACCGGCAAGCACGACAGATATTTTATGGGACGCTATCAATGGTCTCTTTGGACGCTCTGTGGATTCGGTTGGCTTGCTGATCAAATGCTCTTGCAGATGCTTGCTCTGATTCAGACTCAAGCACAAGCCGACCTTGGATACAGCACAACCAAGGCTGGTGGTATCACATCGTGCTATTTTGCTGGTCTTGCAATCGGCGCGAGTTTCTGGGGTATCATGTCTGATGTATGGGGTCGTAAGCCAGCCTTCTTGTGCACACTATCTACTGCTGGCCTCTTTGCAATCTTCCTTGGTGCGCAGGCCAACTACGCTGGACTTTGTGCAATGGCTGCATTGATGGGCACAGGTACCGGTGGCAATTTGCCTCTTGACGGGGCCATCTTTCTCGAAGCATCGCCAGGTAATGTTCAACGCATGCTGATGCTTCTTTCCGTCTTTTGGAGCATTGGTCAATTGATTGCAAGTTTGGTTGCTTGGGGCTTCATTGGGTATCCAGTGGACCAGTCCTGGCGCTACACTTGCTACACCCTTGGCTGCATCGTTATTTTCATGTTCATCTGTCGCTTCCTCTTCCCCTTTGAGGAGAGCCCTAAGAACTTGTTGGCAAATGGTAAGCCCACACAAGCTATTGCCAATCTCAACAAGATTGCAAAGCTCAATAAAAGACCTGAGCGTATTGAGATTGGAGACTTGAACTTGACGGAGAACAGTCTGGGTTCAAAATCCTTCTCAGGTACCGACGTCACGACAATGGACATTTTGCGTGCAAATTTCAGGGACTTTGACTTTCAGCGAGTCAAATCACTCTTTGCCACGAAAAAGATGGCAGCGACGACTATCATCGTTTGGCTGCTTTGGATCTTCATTCAAGTGGGCTACTCATCATTCAACGCCTTCCTTCCGCGTTACTTGCAAGAAAAGGGTGTTGGCGCAGGCAAGACCATTGATGAGACGTATCTGGAGTATGTCATCATTTCGGTTTGTGGATTGCCGGGTTCGTTCCTTGCACTTGTGATGGTCGAGATTCCTTATGTTGGCAGGAAAGGTACCATGGCTATAGGCGCTGCTGTTGGAGCAGCAAGTCTCGCCCTGTTTGCCAAGCTTAAGTCTAGTGGTGGTCAGCTCGCAGCAGCGTGCATACAGTCATTCATTCAGAATGGTCTATTCTATGCCGTTCTCTACGCCTACTCACCGGAAGTCTTCCCGACCGCCGTTCGCGGCACAGCCGTGGGTCTTGCGAGTATGCTTGCCCGTGTCTTTGCTGTTTGGGTACCTGTTTCAACAGGTGCTTTACTCGAAGTCTCCACGGACCTACCGCTCATTATTGCGGCTGTCTTCTTTGGACTTCTTGTGCCACTCAGTTTGGCATTGCCTATAGAGACGAAGGGCAGACAAGCCCTTTAGGCTAGACACTTGTAACATACGAATTTAGAATTGAATGGAACCTCAATGATTATGGTGTGACTTGCAGCCAGCTGGCCCTTGTCTCGGAAGACATAGAAGCCCGCTAGCCCAGGTGTTGCACTTGTTCACTGTACAGTCTCATGTACTGCCCTAGCTTACCCGAGCTGCGAGATGTTGTGTAGAGACAAGAAGCATTGCCGTTTTGGCCCCACTGAACCGGCAAGACCGCAGTGTTTCTCGTTTGCATCGTCATGTGGGTCGCCGTTGTAAGCGAAATCAGATCCTGCACGCACTGACGCGCGTACAATTGCCAAGTTCTTGATCTTCACCTGATTCTTCGGCCCCCCCAACTTTAGTCTCAAGCTCCCCAAGGCTATGGATGGCTATATGGTCACGGACCCTATGCTCTGAGGGCGAAGCATGACGATATTTGCCGCTACACTCGGACTCACCGTCTGCTTTCGTCATCTGCACGGTGCACCAACGCTACAATCTCTTGGTAGGTACGATGCTACGGACGGCATCTATCGAGCCGGGTGGGTTCAAGCTGTCTTTCCTAAGCCCCGATCTAGAGCACAGACCTTTGTCGTACATGTACACTGTGCAGCACAGGCCGCGTCTCAGGTATGCCAGCTCGGGCCTGGCTGATACAACGGCAGGTAAGCCGGGTTGAAGTTTGAGATTGAGAAGTCCTTCAGGGCTGCTCTGACTCTGAAAGTCTTTGTCCAAGATGAGCGTTGGGCGAAAGAAGTGACTCTTGTTTGTGAGTGTCTTCGAGATTTGCGATATTGCTCCAATTGGACAGATAAGGTTGAGATGTGGCACGGGCTGACTGCATCGGAGGCTGGCATTGGCTCGGAAATAGACCAGGTGTTTCAGATGACACACAAAGATTTTGGTTCCTAGTGGGAGACTGGTAGGCTGGTAGTGCCACTGGTAGCCTGTGGTAGGGCTGCACGGTCTGCACATGACTCAGCTAGTGTCGGGGTGGACTGGAAGTAGAAGCCCGATGATGCCATGGCGCTGGACATCGTCATGACATCTGAACATCATCGAGTCGTCTCTTCAGGGGCCACACTATGTCTGCCTCTGGCAGCTCGATATTGACAACAGACTCGACAGGAGGAGATTTGGCATAGCACACATGAGGTATAGAGATGACAGAGATGACAGAGCCAGTGCTAGGGTGATTGTGCTTTCGGTGGCCTACTTCCTTTTGCTTTTGGCAGCACAAGTGGCTCATGTCTAAAGACCCCTCATCTGTTCATCTCTTCGAGTGTCAAGACAGTCCTCGGACATCTGATTGTAGCATCGATACCCCGTTGTCTCGAATGTGAAATTGCCAGGTACAGACTCAATTTGACCTCGGTTGCGGACTGCCAAAGTCGCGATACCTGCCAAAGCAATGACCTTACCTCTGAGCCAATAGATAGTAGATGCAGTGCGTCTTCCTGAGCAACGTGGCATGTCAGTAGCTGTCAGGCCCTTGCACAGTAGACAGAGGGGATCGTCAGCTTCGAGATTCAGCTGCGGTGAGTGCTGAAACACGACGAAAATGGCTGGCGACACGTCAAAATCCCAACAACCAAGAGACCCAAACAGGCCGGCAGCTCAAGGCGAGTCATGGCAGGCAGCAGGCTCGAGCAGCCATCTCGCTTGCTTTCTCTGCCTTGTCTGGTACCGATGGCAGCCTCATCCCTTCGAACAAACCCGAGCAATCCCGGGGTTCTACACAATAAACACTTGAGACAGTCTTGACTCTCTTCTGCTACAACTCTCAAGGCTTTCCCATCGGTCCTGTCAGCAATCAGACACTGCTCACTTACACTCGTTCAGTGAGCCAGCTGGTCCTACACTCCTTCGACAGCGTAGCAACCCCGGCACTTCGCCCTTTTCAGCGACTCGAGCATCTGTCAGGTCTCAGTCATTTCTCAAGGAGGTCAAAATCACATCGCTGCATCAGTCACCATGTCACATTCATTCATCTACAGCCCTCTCGACGAGGCCTTACCACCGCTCTTTGAGCAGGCCGACGATAAGTTTCAGTTTGAACAAATCCGCGACTTTGACGACGAAAGGTGGAGCGCTCGGTGCGCTAGTGTTGTGCGCGACGATCTTATCAGCCAGGCGCCTACAACAATCAGCATCCAGGCTGACCAAGAAGCTGCCTGTGCTAGTTCGCGGGAAAGCTTGGAAGAGGAGAGACCGTTGTCTGCTGGTCTCAGTGCCCGATGCGGACACTCAACTGAGACACTTTCGCTGCGGCGTCCACAGCGCTCCGACAAGGGCCAGACTCGACCCACACAAGCCTTCCATCGTGCATCCAAGGTCACCGTGCAACAAGCGCCGGGCAAGCACAATGAGCAGCAGCAGGCGCTTCATCTGCAGGGGAACCACGGCAACTCGATTTTCTCAAGAAGAGCCTCGACGCCTGCTCAATCGAGTCTCCCCAATCCATCATTGCACTCAGTCAGGCATACTTCTAGCAAGCAGCAGCAGCAGCAGCAAGCTCCCTCATCGCTCCGTCAGAAGCACAAGGCCAAGACTACAGCATCTAGACCACAGAGTGTCACCATGGAGTTTTCACAAAGCTACCAAGGCAACGGCTATGTAGGCCACTCACAACAGCTCATGAGCCCAGCCTCCATTTCCGACGACGCAGACTCAACTGGCTTCTGGTCCGTCGCCGCTTCACCCATGTATCCGACCTTCTCCCGCGACCACTTCCCGAGCCCCGTTACTGCAAAGATGCAGCGCTCTCAATCCACGCCGTATGCCAACGGCGCCTATTCGCAGTCACTACCTGGTGATTTCTTTGACAACTATGGCCTTGGCCAAATGGATGAGCTCTGCGAAGATCCGCTTCAACACCTTGCAACGGCGAACAACAGCTTTTTGGGGTCAGAGACCGGTTATATCATGCCCAGAGGTCGGGCCTCTGGCTACCGTCATCAGTCTGAGAGTGGCCAAGGTGGTCAACACCCTAGTCACTACATGCAACAGTCAAGTCACTTGGCGAGACCTGCGGGCGTGATGCAACGCAAGCGCAAGCCAGCGGCGCTCAACACCAACCTCGCGCCTAGCGCTTTTCCAGCAAGCTGCCGGACTGCTCCACTCGAGCGACCTGTTGTGCGTCCTGACTTTTCATCAAAGCGCTCCTTTGAGGAGTATGAGAGCATCATCTCCTTTGAAGCGTCACCCATCACACAGCAAGTCTCCACCCCTGTGAGCAAGCGCTCGCGATCAGCATTCAACACACCGGGCAGCAACACGAGCGCCGATTACTACGAGGACAGTTCAAGTTTATCACCGGAGCTACTATGGATGCCAGCCTGTGAGCCTACTGATGTACAAGGCTTGGGTCTTGCTGGACAGCTCAATCCGTACATCGTTTCACCAAGATTGCAGGGAGACTTTTTGACTTCGCCAAGCTTGGATGCTGCATTTGTGTCACCAGACTACTTACACAATGGCTTTGCCATGCCTCAAGCACCCATATCACCTAGCCATACCTCAAACGGCAAGCAACGCTTTGTGCATGCGCCACAAGTGCCTTCATCACCCACCAACTCGCGGCATACATTTGAGAGTCCTCAACGGCCTCGCACAGTACCTTACAGTGTTCAAGGTAGCCCACTCTCTACAAAGCGCAGTGGCAATCGTCGTGACTCATTCCCATCTGCACGAGGTGGCATCCCTGCTGGTGCGGCCAAGGAGCTCTCTTTCCGCAACTTCACTGCAAAGGACAAGAGAATCATTCTCTCTGGCGTGGCACCGAGTGGCTCAGCAAAGAAGCCAGTATCAGCGAAGGAGTCTGAGAATGCTTCCGTCAAGGCGGAAGCTTGATTTGGCTGTTGGGGTTTCCTTCCTCTTCTTGTTCTCTTTCCAGCGCTAGCACATTCATTTTCTTCATGACGGACTTTCATCTTCGCTTTGCAAGCGTCGCGGTATGTAGGCTATTTTACTAGATACAAAAATCACACTGCCTACAAGCTCATGTCCTGGTGCAACTGACTCTTGCCTGAACTTGCCTGCACTGGTCAAGACTCCAGTGATCCTGAGAGAGTCTCGAAAGCTGACTCGCGGGCAGCCATGCAAGTGTTCAGACGACCTCTTTCCATGTTCCATCTGGTCTCTCTTCTCCTGCTGCTTGTCAAAGGGGACCTGAAAAGTCTGCTTATGCCATGCGAGCGTCATACACAGTTGGAGACAACGAGCGTTTTCTGACACGGACAGGCCGCCCTGGCCTCAATCCCCCTCCCTGTCAAAAAGTGGCGACAGTGTAGCAGTGTCTATCTTTGGGCTTATAGACTCTTTTTTCGTGGTGGTGTGGAGGTTCGAGCACGAAATGTCTCATTGGAACGTGCGGAGCGTCGAGCTCGAATACCAATTGTAAAGTCGACACGTCCCCTTGATGTGCATGATTGCGTGACAACGACGGATGAGCTCATTGAATGAGTAACGATCGTGTAGGTCGTGCTGAGATGCTAGCGAATGGACCTCCCCGGAAACTCGTCAACCTGTAAACTGCATCGTGACAGCGTGCCGTCAGATTGTCGGCCATATTACCTCGTACACCGATGCGTCGTGTCCGCAACAATACACATGCGCTTGGACTGCATTAAGCTTCTACGAAAAGCATCTTCGCGGCTACACGCGTACATTTGCTGTCCCGCGAGGTTACTGGAGTCGTAAGAGCGCATTGACTGTTTGTCGGCAGCTCCGCTTGCCTTCTCGTCTCGTTCGCAGCCATCCACAATCTCGCCAAGCTACCAGCTAGCTGCATGCGCTATCGATGGCATCGCATGTTGATGACCGTGCTGCCAACATGAGACGCATTTGCGACCCGCTATTGAGCGTTGCTGCTTTCGCATGCAATTGCATCTGAGCTCAGGGTGGCCTATGCGGCTCTGATTCGCTTGGCTTGATCACTGCATACCGTCTCCAACTGGTAATATGGAGTATCTTCTGTGTATCTGATGAACAGATGACCATGCTATGTGATGAACGCTCGCTGATACGAATGCTAATGAACCTCCCGGCCATACTATGCGCTAGCCTGTTAACATGAATGCTGCATCATCCAATCCCCTAAGCAGAACGCACATTAGCGCTTATCATACTGCCCCTGAGCCGGGGAGCCGTTAAGAAACAGCCTTCCTCTGCAAAAGCCGTGAAGCGATTCCACTCGAGCTTCAATTCTTCCAACATGGGCAGCTCTGTATCTTCATTGAGAAAGGCTGCTTGTAGTCTGTTGTTGGAGAGATCGAGGGACCGCAATTTTGAAGGTTGTGGCAGCTGTGTGACCTGAAAACGAGAAATCCTGTTTGCATGTAGATTGAGCGAACGAAGACTCAAAGAAGATTGTAAAGCAGTACCGATATCATCCACTTGATTTTCAGACAAGTTCAAGTCCTGCAGGTCATGCATCGCGCTCAATGAAGGCAATGTGCCCTCGAGTGCATTCTTGGCAAGATTGAGCACCAGCAGATGAGGTAGGCGTGTCAAAATGTCAAAGACGTTCATTTCCAGCTTATTACCAGCCAGAGATAGAGTTGTCAGTTGTGTCAGCTTGCTCAAGTTGGAGGGTAGCTTTGACAGCATGTTGTTGTGCAGATCGAGCGTTTGTAGCGCTTCAAATGTATCTGCCAGGTCCATCTCAATCTCTGAAATCTCGTTGTCTGCTGCATTGAGTGATTTCAGCTCCACAGCTTCATACCACGCAGCAGAGTCCATGGCCGAGAAGTCAATGACATGATTTGGATCCGGTTTGTACATGTCATACACCTGCCGAGGAATGGCCTGAAGTTCCTTGAAGGCAATCATCAGATGGCCAGACCCTTTCGCTCGTTCAATCGCGCTTTTAATGCCTGGCACGACTTTCGGGGTGAAGCGGGACTGATTGAAGGGGTCTTGTATCCCATCATACGGATTTGGGGTCCTGTCTGCCTGAGTAGGCGTTTCAGATGTCCATGAGCTCGGCAGGGCCGCCCTAGTACGCTGCTCCCCACGCGTAGATTTTGTCAATTCCGCACGAGCTTTTGCAATGTGTTCGCGCAATGCAAGCGACCCTTTTGATTGGGATGCAGATTGAACTGCTTGACCTGAACTAGATGCTCTCAGTGGTGTTTTGGCTGTTTGTGCAGCAGCGAGCGCTATTGGCGGTTGTGAAACAGTTCTTAGGGAGGCAGAGGATGCGGTACCGCGGACACTTTGAGAGAGAGCGTTGATCGGGGCCTTTGATGAGCGTGAAGTCAGCAGAGATGCATGAGACGTTGATTTGCTGAGCACGGATTGAGCTGCTGCAGGGGCGCGCTTGACTCTTGCAGATGGAGAGCGTTCTCGTGGGTTTGGTTCGAGCGATGCAGTCCGCACGGGGATCCTGCTCATAGCGATGGGAAGCAGAAAGTAGGAAACGAGCTGGCTAAGCGATACGAGGCCTACTAGCAGGCAATAGGATGTAGCATCTTAAAGAGAGAAAGAGCAGGTTGAGCTTGTGTTGGTTGTGGTGTCCATTGCAGCTGCGACTTGTCCCGGCACTTGAAGCAGCAGCGACGCGCGACAAAACAGAATCAGCCGGGATACACATACAACTCCCAGCAAAAGGCCGCCCGACACTCCACGGCCAGCCTCGCCTGACCTCAATTGAGCGGGTCGATGGACCCGACCGTGGACGGCGACATAGGGCATGCAGAGACAACAACGCTGCCCGATGCAGAGCTGCTAGACTCCCCGGCGTCGCTTCTACTCGACTCACACGATGTCGATGTCGACCTTAGCGTAAGTGCCCAACCTCCTTCTGTTCGCGTGAATGCGCATCCCTAAGGACAAGACTGACCATATAGCAAGTAAGCGACACGAAGGAGCCAAGGAGGGTCAAAGTGTACGAGATGAAAGGCGACGCATGGCGCGATCGAGGCACAGGCTTCTGTATGGGGCTGATACGCGAAGTAACCTATGCCGGTGACATACAAGAAGAAGGCGATAGTCCTGCAGAGACTCAAATTGCAGAGAATGAGACCGCGCCGACAGATGCGCCGCAGTCGCCGCCATCGCCTGCCCCGCCGCCGCGACAACAAGCGTATTTTCTCGTCAAAAGCGAGGAACTCAAAGATACCATTCTGCTCGAGAGTAAGATTCTTAAGGAGGATCTCTATCAAATACAGCAAAATACATTGATTGTCTGGCAAGAAGTGGACGGTACAGATGTGGCGTTAAGTTTCCAAGAGGAAGCTGGCTGCCTCGAGATATGGAATTTCCTTCGACATGTTCAAAAGACCCTGCAAGGTCAAGCGTGGGAGGGACCTGTAGAGCGGATACAAAACATCAATCCAGATGATCTCTCGGACGACGAAGGTGAGTCTGCGCTCGACCCGATACATTTGCCAGACCCATCCCTTGCCAAGTTGCCGGAAATAGAAGAGCTTGTCTATGCGGCACTTGGCTCGATTGTGAGACGCGAGAATCTTGCAAAGTTCATACTCGGCGAGGACTATGTCGCGAAGCTCGTGACGCTGCTCGAGGTGGCAGAAGACTTGGAAAGCCTACGAGACTTGCATCGACTGTGCAATGTTGTCAAGAGCTTCATCCTCCTCAATGATGCTGCCATATTTGAAAGCATACTACGCGACGAGGTGTTTCTGCAGATTGCTGGCATACTCGAGTACGATCCTGACTTTCCGAACCACAAGGCAGAGCATCGCAAATACCTGTCAGACACGAGCAAGTTCAAGGAGGTCGTTCCTGTCAATGATCCAGAAATCAAGCGCAAGATACATCAGACATTCCGGCTACAATACATCAAGGACGTCATACTGGCCAGAATACTGGATGACCCAACCTTTTCCATCCTCAACACACTCATTTTCTTCAACCAAGTTGACATTGTTCAGCATTTTCAGCATAACGAAGAGTTTCTCGCGGCACTCTTTGGTCTTTTCGACGATCCTAAATCAGATCAGGCTGCACGGCGTGACGACGCTGTCCTGTTTATACAGCAATTCTGCAGCATTGCAAAGACGCTGCAACCACCGGCTCGCACGGCCTTGTACCAGGCTTTTGCGCAAAACGGTCTATTAAAAGTTATTGTCTATTCTCTTTCGACACAAGCACGGAGGCATATCTGCTTGGCTGGCGCTGATATTCTCATGGCGACGATTGATCATGACCCGAAACTGGTTCGCTCTTATATATTGGAGCAACATGGCCAGGGAGAAACGACTCTTGCAGAGACACTTATACAGCTCCTCATTTCTGAGCAAGATCTCGGTATCAAAGCACAGATGATGGAGGCGGTTCGTTTGCTGACTGATCCGTCAGCTGGGCCTCCAACAGATGCGGCTGGACAACCGCATAAACCAGACATGGTCCTTCGTCGGCGAGAAGATCCCGAGACGGAGAAGTTCCTAGAAGTCTTCTATGAACGGCACGTACAGCAGCTCATGTCGCCATTGCTCGAGGCAGGATTTGGCCAAGTTGACACTTTACCCTTTGAGACGTCACAGCTCTACATTCATTTATGCGATTTGCTCTGCTTCTTCATCAGGGCGCACACATTTCACAGCAAGTTCTGGATTCTGTCCACCAACATCTCTTGCTCCATCTCGCAAATCTTTGCTACGCGCGAGAAGCATCTCAAGTTGGCAGCGCTACGATACTTTCGCATTTGCATTGGAGCGAATGACGAATTCTACAACAGACATCTCATCAAGAATCGCCTACTCGATCCACTCGTCACACTACTCCTCACGGAAGGCAGTCGCAGCAATCTCCTTAATTCAGCAGCACTGGAATTCTTTGAGCTCATTAGGAAGGAAGGCATGCGTGGCTTAATTTACAACATTACCGAACACTTCCGTGAGGAGATTGAACGCTGTCCACATGCGGAAACGCTCAAGGGTATCCTTGTCAAGTGGGAGCAATTCGAAGCACCGCCGCCACCACGACCAAGATTACCAACACCTGAGGGCAAACGTGAGAGTCTTGGTGATAAATGGCAGCAAGATGCACAGGAAGCTGCGTACTTTGATGGTGATGACGAGGCACGCGCGATGCGCTCAACGAATATTGCTGCAGGAGTCAAGCGGCCACTTGTGAGCGAAGAGTATGATGCGGATGAGCAAGAGGCTGAAGCGGGTAAGGAGAATGAGCCGGAAGTCTCACCACAAAAGCGGCATTCTGCTGGCCTCCCCGGAGAATTGCAGGATCAGGAAGAGTTGTCCATTACAGAAGCGATTGAGAGCAAACTTGCTCAACGGCAATCGAAAGCAGCCGCAGCCGCAGCAGATGATACAGTCATGGATGGAGTGGTTGCTCAGAGCACAAGTCCAGCACCATCACCGGATGGTCCTGGCTCCATGACGCGCGCAAGACGGGCTGGGAGTCTTGGTGGTCAAAATGCGTCGCCTGACAGGAAGAGCAAAGAGACGACACCGGGCAAGAAGCGCCTCATGTCTTTTACATTTGGCAGGAAGCGGGCGATGAAGCAACAGTCGCAGCCTCAGCAACCACAACAACCTGCCGAGGAGAAGAGCAGCAGCAAGGGGTGAGTACGCGTGATGGGTCGACCTTGTGAGAGATGTCGTATTTGGCGCTCTATGACGTACCATGGGAGCCAAAAGTATAAAGGAAAGTAGCAAGCTGCCTTCATCTAATTCACAGCATTCAGCATCATGAATTTGCCCTCGATCCTCGTGCTAGCGGTATAGTCTTCGCTCTCCGATAGACAGCGGCTAACTTGAAAGCATCTCTGCATAGAGATGGTCCTCTTTGTTATCCTCGTCCTGCCCCTTCGTTCAAAGGGCAGGCACATGGTCATCAACTTCCTCAACAACACGCTCGTTGCTTCAAAACTCCTGCACGGCTTCAAGATTTCCGTCATCTTTGTCTTTGTTCTCTTTCTCGATGCCTGCCGCGGTGTGTCGAAAAAGGCCGAAGTCAGCTCAGACTTGACCATGAGCGATAAACTCGCCAATGCAAAACTCGTCTCGCAGCGCAACCTCTACCTGTGTGGATTCAGCTTGTTCTTGGCATTTGCACTTTGGCGAGTAGAGGGCTTGTTGGAGGAGATTGATGGTAGCAGTGAGGGTGGTGCTGGTGTCGACCGACCTAGCGCTGCACGCAAGTTGTCGCGTGCCAAGGCGCAAGCGGCACAGCAAGTCTCCAAGGCAGAGTAAGTATTGGAGCTTATACCGGATTGATTGTACAGTCGCTCAAAGGTGTAAGAATTCAGATCATATCTACATACAAGATCTACCTGTGATGAACTGCTTTCGCGTGAGTTCGAGAACAATTAATGGGCAAACAGGGCGATGAGCCTGAGCTTGCCAATGCGAGAAGGGTCGAATGGGTCAACGCATGGTCATCGGAGGCTGCACGGGTCCATGCATATTGGGTTGCTGAAATGCGGCAAAGTCTGCAAATTGCTGTTGTGGTGACAAGCCTTGGCTACTCCCACCACCCTCAAGGGGTGTCAAGATGCCTGCAACGCTCGCTAGATCCACTTCAGTAGACTCGGGTGCGCGTTCATCATCGAGCAGCTCTTCAACTGCTTCTGCCAGAGCTGCTGCTTCAATGGCTGGCGTCGTCATACCCGTGCCTTCGAGGAATCGGCCGTAGATCTTGGCACTACGCGTACGCAGCGTGGGTGCATCACCATAATCACGGATACGCTCCTTGGCCACACGACCAATCTTGTTGGCTGCAGTCACACCGGTATTGCTGAGGAAATGCAGGATCCAATCCACTTCGGCGTCCGTGCGTGCGAATTCTAGGCAGATTCCCATAGGTTGGTAAGTATCTGCAATGACAGAGATGCTGTAGTTGTTGCGATCATGGAAGATGTATTGGCAGATTTGCATCATTTCGACCATCACAGCATGATCTGCGGCAGACGCAAGCGCAGGGTACGTTGTGTGAAGATGCAGCAATGCCCAATCAATGGTCACTGCACGATAGCATTCAGTGTATTGCCTGCTGAGCAACGCATCATAACAGATGCAGTCCATACCGAATGGCGATTGGGTGAGCCTAATTGCCTTGGCCTTGGATGATAAGCGTTCAAGTTGCTGTGCAGAAATGACATTGGCCACTGGCAAAGTTGCTGCGCGCTCCCTGATGAAATCATCTTCCAAGAGTCGAGCCTTGGCGAGATCTAGGCGGTCATGAGCGCAGACTTCAGTCAGTCGAAGCATGAGGATGTTGAGGTGTGTGCCGGCAAAGCGGTTCGCTGGAGACGGCGACAAGGCACGCATCGCGGCTTCTTGCCATGCCGGCTCGGCCAAAAACGTTGCTTGTCCCTTCAAGATGGATTGACGCAGCTGATCTGATTGATAAGCGGAGAAGGTAAGTAAAGTGAGCGCATCTGTGTCCTTGTTGAATGCATGGGGCCCACGTAGCTTGAGCAACTGACAACAGCCATCGACATGATACTGGAAGCTGGAACTATTTCCGCACATGAGCTCAAATAATGCTAGCAGGTTGACGGCCAAAATGGTGCCGTCTTGACGCACACGTTCCGGATCATCGATGGAGTGCTGAAGAGCGAGTACCGACTGATGGTAATTTTGTGTAGCCAGGACTTTATTGGTGCGAGCAGTTGCTGGATCGGTCCCATGTGAATCCTTGACATGCCTGCGAGCAATGGCAAGGACAACATTTCTCACCATGTCATTTTGGTTCAAGATGGCCTTGAGTCCACGCGACCAAGGCTGCCAGCCTTGAATGAACTTCTCACTCGGCAAAAAGTCGTTGAAGAAACTGGCAAGAGCTGATTCTTCGAGGGTGGCCAGATGATAATGTGGTGTTTGCGTCCATGAATTGTAGCCTTTGCCGGGGAGGATCTCATCGTCGCACAAGTATTGCTTTCTGACAACGGTTGTCGACGGCTCCGAATCGATGTCCACAGCGGGCGTCGATGCTTCAGTCACCGTTGGACTTGCCGGCGCCCCCTGACTGTTGCTCATGGTCTCTGGCGTTTCCACTTTACACTTCAGCTTCTTGATGATGTAACTCGCCATCTCCCCGTCTACCATATTGCCGCCCTGTCTCATGTATCGCCGCTTCGTGCCCGTGACTCGATACTGCGACTCAATCTTGCTGTTCTCCGACTGGAAGATGATGAGATCTGTTCCATACACACATCGATGTGCCATGCCGCGCTTCTCGCATTCTCGACAGCTGGGCTTTTCCTGCGTGCACTTCATGCGCCGTGCTTTACATGCTTCACAGCCTGCAGAGCGACGTGGTCGGCGACGCTTCTCTGGCTTGGCGGCCGTGGCCCCTGCCATGGCGTCAGAAGAGCAGTCTATTGACTAGGTCGGTTGTGTGATGTGCCTTGCTCTTGTCCCCAATCAATGATCAATGCAAGCGCTTCGGGTGCAGTCCCTGGGAACGAGGAAGAACACGGCGTGCGATGGCTGTACAGCTTGAACAGATCTGCTGCTGCTTCCTTGCGCTGGACCTCTGTGCTGACCAGTGTGTGCGGTCTGGTTGCGTGTTTCTGGTGCAGGCGGCCGCGGGGGAGAGGCTGAACCGCCAAGATCTGCTGCCGGATGGGCTTTAGTAGTGGAGGCCTTGTATAGAGGAGTGCCAGCCTGAGGAGTCCTGGTGCTGGAGGACCCTGCAAGGACTTGCCAAGACTAGGAGCAAGTCTAATCTTATGACTGACCGCGGTTCTGGCTCTAGCAAGACTTTACTTAGAGCATGGCATATGCAGGCAGACACGTCAGATGGGTCGTTGTGACACGGCACGGACAGGGGCGGCTTGGCCTGAGTTGGATGTGCAGAATACTTGCCTGATTGATTGATTATCTCTCAAAGAGTCAAGGGCCCTGAATGCTACAGGCTATGGGCACAACATGCAATTGTATGTCTCCTGTGCGTGTTCAAAAGTGTCGCCGACTGGACCACGACTGGAAGCAATTTGCAGACTACTCGTCAGCAAGTCAAGTGCACTGCCAGAATGCTTGTGCAAGCAGCTAGAGCTCTCATATAGATGGGCACGAAACCTGTATTCCCCTCGCTTCCTGTGCTATACCGCCAGCTCCTGCTTCGTGTCAAACACTTTGTTGATCCTCATGCATCGAAACGTCTCCTGCAGCTTGTTCAGCTCACACGAGAGTCTGCCAGAGAGACCAACATCCATGCTACAGTACCAAAGTCATCTGGTGTCGCGACTGACCGATTGACACGATGGCGACAGCGAATGATGCTACATTGCAGACAACTAGACAAAGCAGCAGTAGGTGATATGAAGGCCCTGGAAACAGTACTTCAGCGTGCCTATGGACAACGTGGTCGTCTACGTCGTGTATATCTCTCAGTCTTGACAGATGCATGTCTACCAAGTCCCCTGCCGGAGCTGATACCGGGCTATCCCCGCACAAAACCACCTTTCTTGTCAGATCAGTTGCGCGCCTTATTGGCCTTGCAGTTCAGTCGGTCACTTGAACCAAAGTTACCCCAACCAGCTGGAGCGAGTGCCAAGTTGCAAAAGCGAATGAATGCTCAAGCTGCGAGGAAGGAGCTCAAAGCACAAAAGGCAATAGGCGGTGTGAGCAAGGGCGACCTGCGCAAACTGGAAGAAGAAGTTGCTCGAGCAACAAGAAAGAAACAAGGCGCATGGCACATAGCCCCTTCGACGGCAGCAACAGTCAGTGCACTAGTACCACCTCTCAACCCAAAGCGTGAAGCCAACTTTCGCTGGCGACATCTTACCAAGCTGTTGGAAAGAACGCAGGTACCCATTCCTGCGGAAGATCGTGCATGGCTTGTCAAAGTTGCCTCGAGGCAAGAACAGCTCTGTGAAGGTAACAAAGTCCTTCATGGCATGCGTATACCTTGCTGGAGAACACACCACTTGGAAGAAGTCAAAGCACGGCAAGAGAAACTGCGTGATCCTGTGCTAGAAAGGTTCGACCACAATGCATCGCCACTGGCGGGGGTCAAGATCATTGGCGGCTCGCGAAAAGCACGATCTGTTGCAGCACACGTCCTGACGGATCGCCTGCTGTCGAGGCTTTATGGACGCTTACTTGCGCAAGTGCCGGCCTTGAGTCCACCAGAGACAGCGACCGACCAACATTGGAAAGCAGAATATCACGTCAAGGAAAAGGCCTACAAGGCCAGAATTGGGTCACTCCCTGACGAAGCCTTTGGTGATGCTACAAGTAGCCAGCTACGCTGATGTTCTACCAGCCCAACTCGGCGCACACTCACGTATCCAAGCAGTATCGACACGACTCACGCCACGCACCCATAGACGGGTTGTAAAGACACTCTCGTGGAAGACGATGGCCTCGTGCTTTTTACCATACAATGTCGACGATGGATGGATCGCAACGGCTGTGTTGCCACCTGTTGTTCGATACGACCCGTCAGGCGAGAGAAACGCAGTATGACCAACAAACCCAACGAGTATGCTGCGCAAGATCCGCTCAGGAAGATCGGCATCTTGTCGTGTTGTAGAAGGCGTAGTATTGGCATCCACGAGACCTGCGCGGGCTGCATGCTGGAGGAGTTGCTTGCGGATATCAAGGACAGTCCGAAGGGCGCGTTGGTCGAGGTACATCTGCTTACACCATGCTCCTGCAGAAGTCATTTCACCATCTGCTGCTTGCGTTGCAAGGACACCGAGATATTGCCGAACGACATTCAACAGCGTCAAGTGATCTCCTTCAGCAGATGCAAAGCGGGCACGCGCAGCGGCAATTTCCTCTCGTTCGCTAGCACGATCCACAAACAGGCCATCTACAGACAAACAGGCCACAATGTCAACGACTTCGTGAACAGCCGCCTGTTCGCCTGCCGCCAACAAAACACGCGCTAGAGCAGGACTGAGTGGTAGCGTTGACATGTGCTTCCCTATTGGTGTGATGTGACCGCCATCATCCAATGCGCCCAACGCATACAGCTCTTCAAGTGCTCTGACGAGTGCCGAGCGTGATGGCGGATCGATGTAGGGGAAAGAGAGGACATCATCCACACCGCGCGTTTTGAGAGCCAGCACGGCTGATGCTAGAGAGACACGAGCGATTTCTGGGGATGCAGCAAGGTCGAGTTGTCCGAATGTCTCTTCCGTGTACATGCGCCAACATTTTCCAGGTGCTTCACGACCGGCTCGACCAGTGCGTTGTTCTGCACTACTGCGAGAAACAGGTCCCACTTCGAGCGATTCGAAGCCGAGTTTGCTATTGAAGGATTTGACTTTTTGTAGGCCAGAGTCAATCACATAACGAACACCCGGCACCGTGACGGAAGTCTCTGCCAAGTTTGTCGATAGAATGACTTTGCGCGTATTCTTAGGGGTGCCTGCAAAGACACGCGCTTGCTGGTCTTGTGGGAGTGAGGCATAGAGTGGCAAGATCAAAAGTCGAGGCACTTCTTTTGGTAGCTGCTCACCATACTCTCGCAACAATGTCGCTAGATTCTCAATCTCATCGGAACCAGTTAAAAAGACAAGCAAGTCGCCAGATGGTTGGCCAACGTGTATCTGAAAGACTGCGCGCAGAATAGCGTCAAGGTAATCTTGTTGACTGGTCTTTGTGTAAAACAGCTCCACTGGGTAGGTACGACCCTCAATCGTCATGACTTCTGCATCATCGAAAAAGGCACTGAATCGTTCAGCATCGAGCGTAGCGGACATAATGACCACTTTGAAGCCCATCCGCTTTTTGAGCAGTAGTTTCATGAAGCCAAGCAAGAGGTCTGTGAGCAGTGTCCGTTCGTGCGCTTCATCGAGAATGACAATCGAGTAGCGCGACAAGAGGGGGTCGTTCATCAGCTCGATGAGGAGCATACCATCTGTTAGGTACTTGATGCGTGTGTGCTTGCTCGACGTATCGTCAAATCGTATCGCATAGCCTACTTCGCGGCCGAGCTTGACATCGCGTTCATCCGCTACACGCTTCGCCAAATTGATGGCAGCGACTCGTCTAGGTTGTGTGACGGCAATACATCCTTCTTCCACATCTTCCAGAAGAAATTGTGGCAGCTGTGTAGATTTGCCAGACCCCGTTTCACCTAGCAAGACAAGGCACGAGTTGTCCTTTACTTTTTGACGAAGGTGAGCAACATGTCTGGCAATAGGTAAGCGGGCTCTATCATCGGCAAGCTTATGCCGAGTTGCACTCGACTGGCGATTATGTTCATGGCGGTCGCCGTTTGTATTATGCACAGGTGAAGTGGCATCTGCTTCCTCCTGAAAGTCTACCACACGCCGCTTCCCCGGTTTAGTTGTATGTTTTGTAGCAAGATCACTCGTCTTGTGATGGCCATTAGTGAGCTTTGGCTGCGCTGCAGGAGCGACACGAGCTGAGCTAGTGCCGTTGGACTTGGACTTGAGGGAGAAGGGATTTTCATGAGCAATAAGCGAGGCTGTCTCTTCCTCGTCAAAGGTGATGTGGGTCTTGACCATAGTGGCCTTGAGCTAGATTACAAGCAGATGGACGACATGGTCTGTCTAGTGCAGTGGCAGTCTCCAGATGCCTAGACGCTTGAGCCTGTCTGCTTCTTTGCCGTCGTGTGCGCCTGAGAAATTTTGTTGCAAGACTTCAACCACACGAACACCCGACCAGATTAGAAGAAGTGAGGCTAGACACGATCCACACAAGAACAGGCGTCGAGGGGGTCATATACATCAGTCAAGATGCCCATTAAACCAAAAGACTCCCGCATGGTCGGGTTCAGCAGAGTGAAGGCCCGTCCACAGCGACTGCCAAAGCTCAAACCGATCCCAGTGGGACAGGAGCTTGCGAGCGACGAAGCCTCTGGCACGCGCATCTACTACAATCCACCGGCATCTTCACCGAATGCGCTCATCACACCGACTGTATTTCTGCCGAAGGAGTTGAGACACCTAGCGAAAACACCCGTCGCGATATCACAGGGCACACTGCCACCGAGACTGACACCCGTCAAGCCACAAGCTCGGCTGAGTCCCGAACAGATTGAAGAAGTGCGTACACGTAGAAGTGAGGGTGCTGGGATCAATGCTCTTGCGAGAGAATTTGGCGTGTCGACGCTGTTCATCAGTCTGGTCGCACCACTCAAAAAGGAGGCCAGAGCAGCGGCTGCAAAGCAAGAAGAAGCCATCAAGGCGACCTGGAGTGAACGAAAGCGCATGTACCGCGAAATCAGGCAAACCAGGCGAAGCGATTGGGGCTACACCGCGTAGTGTGTACAAATTTACGAGAATGCAGCATCTACCCTCCTATTCATCCTTCACTGTTGTCTTCCTTGATCGAGTTCGTCGGGCATTGGTTGGCTCAGGTATCCGCTCATCGTCTTCATCCGTGACTTGAGGATTGACGGAGTCGACTTCTGGTTCGTGCTTGATCTTTTGGCTGGCCTGTGAGCGCTTGCCTATAGCTTCCTTCTCTTTTCCGCTCATGACGACTTTGCCAGCATCCTGGCGCTCGTACTGATCCTTGTGCTCCGCTGCAAGCTTCTGATAAAGGTCGTCGTCCTTGACCGTCGCAAGCACTTCGCCAAATATGCGAGCACTTTCCGCCTTGATGGGATTCTCGGGCCCCTTCACCACCGTCTCCCGCTTCCCTTTGGCATCGATCGTACCAGCATACTTCTTGCCACCGGGCCAATTGGCATATCGACGAGCACGCGTCACGCCCATCTGTATAAATTTGCGCGTCATGTCCATGCCAATGAAGTCTCTCTCGACCTTGTATTTGTCAAAGGCCTCCTTGAGGAGCTGACTCGATTCCCTTGCCACATCGGGTGTTTTGAAGCGCCATAGAGGTAGTAGCTCTGACTTGTATGGCTCAACAGAAAGCACGCCTTGCTCGCCTATACCAATTCTGTATAGATGAGGCGATGCGCGCATGTTGACATGAGGGAAGTCCAAGCTATAGTCGAACTTGGCTCTTGCGGCCTTCTTGACGGTTGCTACACGAGGCATCCTCTGATGCAAATTTAGCCCATGGCCCTGGGCACTGAGGGTAAGAATGAGGCGTGGTTGTGTAACTTTATCCCCGCAAGTCGCATCTCGATACGCGGAGCCGGACACTCGTCGACCCAGGCACACATCTACGTACTACTCTTTCTGTCCCAAGCATGTCCCTCAAGCAGTTCTTTCCATGGCTCAAGATCCCCATCATGTCTGCCCCTATGGCCAATCTCGCCGGCTTTGATCTGGCAAGGTCAGTCAGTGAGGCTGGCGCCTTTGGCTTCATTGCCGGCGGCTATAACCATGCTGCTCTCCAGAGCAACCTCATTAAGGCAGCAGAGCACAAGGCATCCCTCAAAGGTCAGCAAAAAGAGGAGTTTCACGTCGGCGTCGGGATCTTGACATTCACTATGAAGGATGGACCTGACCAGTTTGTGAAAATCCTCAAATCAGATGCCAAAATCTTGGACTCTGGCGTCCTCGCTTGTGTCTGGCTGTATGGTGGTGAACATGACACATGGCTCAAGGCGCTCAAGCCTCTGCTTTCACCCCTTGGCATCAAACTCCTTGTACAAATTCATACAGTCAAGGAAGCTCAGGCTGTGGTGGACGCTGGTGCCGATTTGATTGTTGCACAAGGCACAGATGCCGGAGGTCACTGTGGCGCGAGCAACGCCAGCATCATCTCTCTTGTTCCTGAATTATGTGCTCACTTCGCCTCTCAGGATGGTCAAAGCACACGAATTCCCGTATTGGCCGCAGGTGGTATCAGTCATGGCCGGCAGATGCTTGCTGCCCTGACATTAGGTGCTCAAGGCGTTGTTGTTGGCACGAGACTCATGCCAGCTGATGAGACAGAATTCCCAAAAGCTGGCAAAGACGTTGTACTCACTGCAAAGGACGGTGGAGCCTCCACCATTCTCACGCGCGTCTACGATGAGATGCGTGGTACAACAGACTGGCCCGCTCAATATACAGGACGTGCGATAGCCAATGTCACGGCAAGCGAACATGCTGAGGGCCAAGACCCAAAAGTCATTCGCGAGGCTTATGCTACAGCCGTCAAGGAGGGCGACTTTTCGCGCTTAGTGTGTTGGGGTGGCACTGGTGTTGGCATGGTCAAGCAGTCTGGTCCTGCAAAAGAAATCATCTCTGCTTTGGTAACAGAGTACAATGAAGCACTGGGTGTCATGCCACCTGTTATCTAGTCTTCTTATAGCATTGTATCTCACAATTGAGTACGCTCTTCGATGATTTGAATAATCTCGCTGAGATCATGCACAACATGCGTCGGATTGAGCTTCTTCAGCTCTTCGTTGTCCTTGTTGAGCACAAGAATTGTGTCCATCTTGTAAGCTTGTGCCGCCTTGATGTCATCTGCACCGTCACCCACCATCATGCATGCCTCTACTTCGACATCGGGCCACTTCTCCAAAATATGCAGCAATGGTTCTGGAGACGGCTTGGGTGGTGTAAAGGCACGCGTGATGACTGGCCATATCTTGTAGTCTTGAAGGAAATGATCCAACAGGTACTGCGTTGGTTCATGAAAGTTGCGCGTGCAAATAGCCTTTCGGACTTTTGTCTCTGCCAAGTATTTGAACAGCGTATGCAATCCTGGCTGGATTTCCATTTTGCTCATGGCATTCCGTTCGATATCTCGAATCTTGTCATGAGCTGCTTCTTGTTCTTCACTTGGAAGTGCTTCAATCGAGCCGAGGATGTCCTGCTCTTTGGTAATTTTGAGGGCATCTCTCATCTCTTTGAACATGTATGTCTGAGGCTTGGTGAGGGTCCCATCCATGTCAAATATGACAGCTTTGAGCTTGGGACGTAGCCTTGCAGCGGTAGACGACATTTGTTATGCAGATTGCCTTGTGTAGATGGAGTATTGCCACTGTATTGGGCAGCTGTTGAAATGATGATGTCGTCTGTGCCTGCCCATCTGAAACTGTCACGTGCTCCTCATGTCGCGCAACTCGGGAAGTGCCGCAACGGAGAAGTACTCGACCAGGTACAACATCCAATGTCCAAGCTACGCATCCTCTGTGCTACAAAGCGAGTGCTTGACTATGCACTCAAACCTCGAGTCAACAAAGCAGGAACTGCAATCGACTTGTCGGGTCAGAAGCAGTCCATGAACCCTTTCTGTGAGATTGGCGTAGAGGAAGCCATCCGGATCCGGGAGAAGCACAAAGACCGTGTCGAGGATGTGCTTGCTGTCTCTGCTGGTCCCATGAAGGCTCAGGATACGCTGCGAACAGCCATGGCTATGGGAGCAGACCGTGGTACGCTTGTCGAAATCGCGGAGGGCGAGGCGCTGGAGCCATTGACGGTGGCCAAGATCCTCAAGGCAGTTGCAGAAAAGGAGAAGAGCAACTTCATTTTCCTTGGAAAGCAGTCTATCGATGACGACTGCAACCAGACTGGCCAAATGCTCGCTGGTCTCCTCGGTTGGTCACAAGCGACCTGCGCATCTAAAGTCACGATTGATGGAGACAAGGTCACAGTGGAGCGCGAGGTGGACGGTGGTACAGAAGTACTCGAGGCTGAGCTACCGATCGTCATCACAACAGACCTGCGTCTCAATGAGCCGCGCTTTGCAAGTCTGCCGAACATCATGAAGGCCAAGAAGAAGCCACTACAAAAGACAAAGCTCGCTGACTATGGCATTGAAATCGCGAATCGCTTCAAGACACTCAAGGTCGAAGAGCCGCCCGTCAGACAGGGAGGCGACAAGGTCGAAGATGTCGATGCGATGATTGGCAAGCTGAAGGAACTCAAGGTCATATAGTAGTGTGTAGCAGTACATTACTAGAGCAATTGATCACTTTTACACCATGTTGGTCTACCTTCCGTAATTACAGTCCTTTTAAGAATAAATGTCAATCGGCTGTACCTTGTCGATCGTGTAAAGCCAGTCATTCTGCTTGTCGGCTTCAAGCATCCACTCAGTTGGCCATATGACGAGATGTCCACGGATACCACATAGCATCTGCTCCATCATCTCAACACTCGGCAGTTCGACGGTCTGACCGCCAATAGTACGCGTCTGTCGACCATGTTTCCCATTGGCTGGCGAGCCAGGTACCGTACTTGTGGTTGTTGAGCGAGGGTCACTGCTGTCTGTTTCCTTCTCGTGTAAGGTCCCAGAAGAGCTCGCCTCATCGCTGGCTGCAACTTCATGACCAGTCAAGCCATGACGAGCGGCAGCAGCATCCGTTGCTTTGTCCGCCATATGTTCAGCACCGCCATGATGCAACTTGGATGCAGGCGCACCGGCGGGACCACCACCGGGGGCATCCTTTGACAGATCCTGTTGATCCCGGTGACCGCCTTGCATTTTGGCGAGGTCTTCACTGTACTTCTCCCACTTGTGGTAATCCTTCCACGTCTTGACTTGGTCATCCGGTTGACAGCGGAAGACCTCGCGATAGATGTCTGTGTTGCTCACTGCAAGTGAACACCATGTCTGATGGTAGAATGAGTCAATCAACGGATCAGAGAATCCATATGGATCCACAGAAGCAATCTCTTTGCCAGTCAACGGGTTTGTGAAAGGCTGTTCTGCAAATGTTTCAAAGCCACCCTGAGACTTGCCTTCCGCAACTTTCACCTCATCTTGGTCAAGTGCGCTAAACGGACCGGTGCCGCCGGAACCCAGGTGCACCAATGGTTTAAGAGGCGCATCTAATGTGATGTTGAGCTCCTTTGCCAGCTCTGCCAGCTTCTTGTCGGCATCTGCATATCGGTTTGCAGAGGTTGTGTATGGCTTGCCCTTCTCAGCCGCTACTTGATCCTTGTACATTTTGAGCGTAAAGCCAATATCAGGGTCGCGCTTCGCATGCTCCATCTCTTCACCCAAATTGGTGGTCCGGCCAATGGTGATGGGGATACCACTTGGCAGCGGATTGGCTGAAGTAGATACCTGGGGTCGTCCAAATCTGGGTGGCACCTTGATTTGCTCATGCTCATCAAACCAGCGATCATTCACACCCGATTTGCCAAGGGAACGATCAGGGTTGTGATTGTGAAGAAAATCATGCGCTTCTGTGATGGTCCAGTTTTGCTCGATGTGTTCGGTTGCAACCTTAGCGATACGAATACCCTCGTCATTGCTAGCACAGTCTTTTGCCTCTGTACTAATGTGACCAGGCTGCTCCGCTGGGTTCCAAACTTTGAAATCACGGTTGAATGGCACAGCTTTGGCGAGTCCATCCATATGGCATTCTTGCTGCTCAATCTCGTCAACATTCACGCCAAGATGCTCGCGCATCAGTCGCATGCGCAACGTGTGTGAGAAGCGTCCAACTTTGTATGGCTTGCCACCCATGGTCGAGTCCATCATGTCCGTATCACGAACAACTGAGGCAACTTCCGAGTCACGCATGCCGCGTTGTGAGCGTTCATTGATGTTGGCCGACCCAATAATCGTTGCACGGTCATCCACAATCATACACTACCGTCAGCTTGCGTTTCGTAAGTGTTTTCGACATACCTTTGCGTGGATATAGACCATTTCTGAAACGAGCATAGGCGTTTCCTTGCCGACTCGTCCCCATCCGCGAAGTCCAAAAACATTAATGTACATGACTGGGTCGATGCCAGCTTTTCGTAAACGCCCAAAGATGGACTTCTCACCTCGTGAGATGGAGTTGAACTGGCACTTCATGATATACCTTAGTGCTGTGCCTTCATTGTTGTCAATTGAACCCGGAAATCCAGGAAGCATAGGAACCACAAGAACGGCCTTCCAGTGTTCCTGATTGGCGTGTGCTCTGATGATTCGCTCAACCAGAGCATCTCCAATACCATTCTCAATCTTTGTGCCATCCACTTCTGTACTGGTGATGAAGAACTGATTTTCAATGTAGATGAAGTGCTCAGACTCTTTGATGAGACTGCAGTATGCATTCTGAATACTGTGCTCCGTTGCATCCAAACCAAGAGACCAATTGCCGGAACTGCGCAGAATCTGTACTTCGCACGTACCAGTCAAGCCGTACTTTTCCAAATCAGCAGGATCATAGTCTGAGGGTGGAAGTAACATTGCCATGGGTCTGCGAGGTGGCTTGGTCCGGAGGAGGTAATTCCAGCGCTGCACAAAATGCCGTCCAATGTCACGCGCCGCTTGACCGAGCAAGCACATACTGATATCATGCCACGGCATCCTTGGAATCTTGCTGCGATCGTACAGCTCTGCATAGGGCTTGTCCAGAGTGTGGAAGTCGAGCACACGTGGATTGGAGTAGTCCTTGCCTGGCCATACCTGAAAGTCCTTGTCCGTCACATCGTCTCCAGCATCAGGAACTGACTTTTCACCAGTCTCAGCGCCATCGCCAGAGCGTAAGTTGTCCTTGTCATCAACGAGAATGTGTTCAGGTGTATCCCAACGACCAAAGCACAAGTCCAGTCCACCGACAAAGCCAATCTCATTATCTACCACAAGAATCTTTTCGTGATGCGCCCAGAAAAAGGTGACTTGCTTGAGATGTCCAGGCGACCGCTGCAACAAGATGTTTGGATGCAGACCCATCATGGAATATTTGGTGTAGGTAGAATCAATCGGCACGGTTGTACCAACATTTTGATAGATAATGATGAAGATTTTGACACCTTCTTGCGCTTTGCGTTGCAAAAGTCGATCGAGCCGCCACTTCTCTGCAATGGCCGATGGGCGCCTCATGTAGAGTTCAGGGCTTAGCCACCAGTCGTGAATGTAGATGGTGTCTTTTGCGTTGTAAATGGCACGAGAGACGTTCCAAAAATAATCACGGCCGTCCACTAACCACTGAGCGGCAACATTGGTGCGTACAGGTGCGAAACTACCAAAGCGATGTTCTTTGGCCCATGGCGTTGACTCTGCCATCGTTTCAATGCTCTTGACAAACTGGTCCAACTGTCTTTCATTCTTGGCGACAAGGTGCACACGTCTTTCACTATTCTTCATCTTGAACTGATGATGCTGCGGGTGATGATGCTTCCCATCGTCGATCGATACATCCGACAAAAAGTCTCTCCGCGTGATGTCAAAATGGTGATCCAAGAAGAAGACATCATAGATCTCCGTGGCACTTGGATGCTCGACACTGAGGATGTAGCTTTCACGAACCAGATACCACCGAGGCTTATGCCTTCTTTTGTACTCCATCGGATTACAGGTCATGCCACGTGTCGCTCCACGAATACTGCGAATAGCGAGAAATCCTTCTTTCCCAGACTTGCGTTCATCGCGCGATAGACGAATGCCGAGGGTTGAGAGCTCCAAAAACTTGCAAAGGCGGTTGCATTCTTCGCGGAATGTGTAGCAAACAAGACATTTACGCAACCAGGCACCGATCCTGTTTGCAACAATACGTGGATACTGTCGATCACGGTCAACAAGCTGAGAGGCACCACCCACTGCGCCCGCTAGCGCGCCGATACCTGCAGCAACGCCAGACCCGACGTCTTGAGCCATACGTTTTGTGCGTTCATCGCCTTCCAAGTTTCGGGCAGTCCTGAAGAATGGCAGAGCTTCTGATGGAAAATCAGGCGGCTTTCTGCTCTTTGAGAGTCGTAGCTTGCGACGAATGCCTAAAGACAGGTTGAGACGCCAGAAATCTTCCAAGTCACGCTCAATCACCCAACGCTTACGAGAATCGCCGGTACCATACTCGAGCTCAATGTTAAATTTGAGATGCAACCGGGCATTGGTGTTTCCCTCTGTGTTCGGCGTCAGCTCAAAATTGAGCAATGCGAAAATGACGGGAACGCGCGGCGCTTTGCCACGTTCGTCCTTCATGAGCGCTGCCCCCACCAACACAGCAGGCAGTGCACCTGCAATCAAGTAGTTAATCACATCCTGGTTCATGCCCTTTGGCTGCTCCTTTTTCTTCTTGCTGACAGCTTTGCTGACTGCCATACGGGCCTTGATGCGATCCCAGCGTTCTCTTACTTTTGCGCGTGATCCAGAGGCAGATCCTTCGTTGCGATGCATGGGCGTCCTCCTACCAGCTGCTGCGCGTTCAGGATCAATATAACTGCGTGGTCTGGGTTGTTGTCCTTCCGTCTGGGAGCGCGTCATAAGCTGCCGGTCGCGCGGTAGGTCTGGAAGGGATTGCATATCTGCATCTTCCCTGGGCCGCGTGACTGGTTCATAGACAGATGAGCCACTGCGCATTAACGGTGAATGTGGTACAGGCGCAAATGTCAAGTCGTTACGCTGTGTAATGATCCTGTCAAACGGATCAGACTGTACACCTGATCGTGGTAAGGGCGCCGTCATGATATCACCAGGAGTTTTTATATTGGCTGCACTGCCAAAATCGCGTTTGAATCTGCTCAGAAAACTTGGATGTTTCGCGCCTTCGAGGGCTGGCGCTCGATTCCGTGCAGTGGGTGTATCTTCATCCTGGATTGTCGGCATTGTACCATTTGTGCGCGACGTGTCCCTTGTGAGCGGACGTGCGAGCGGGTGCAGGTTTTGCGTGGATGGCAATGACGCAGGCTGGTTCGTGCCAGCCGCTTGAGTAACTGTGCTTGCCTTGTTGCCCTTTGGGTGTTCCAAGGGCGGTGCAAGAGCAGGCTCTGGGCCAGAGGCCATGATGACAGGACAGATAGGTCTGCCGTAGCTATGGAAGCAAGGACAAGCGGTATACGAGGTGTTGTGGTCTCTGTTTGTCTGTTTCGCCCAAATTTAAAAACTTCCGCAAATGACGACGAGGGAAACGGAGACTACATGGCTGCACTCCCAGGCACCGTGACTCTCCGGAAAAGCCTCAACGCAGGGCTGCTTAAGAACAATTTCACCCTATTCAGTAGGTTCAGTGTCACTGTACTTTCATCTTGCCTGATGTGCCGGCCCTGATTGAAAAAGCCCGAGATGCCGTATCAATCATGCTGAGCTGCCAAGAAGAGAACTGGTGATACTCCTTATTCATAGAGCATCGACCGCCTTTCAACACATGGAATCGACAAAAAGTCTTCGCAAGGAACCCATGGAAGTTGAAACCTTGTTTTTCAGGTCCGGCACATTTAGCCGTTATCTTGTCAGATGGCACATGCTCGGCTCCGCAGAAACCTCGATTAATCAGCCTACGGATCGATGACTTGCCAAAGACATCAAGCATATAAGAACCCAGATTCCTGTCCGGAGCTAGGTTCAATCATGTCTAGCAAGTACTCCCTAAAGAGTTTGCCAGGTCACAAGCCTGGAAACGCTATACCTGCCTTCTTCTTCGCTCATGGCTCTCCAGCTCTCATGACAGAATCAGGTGCTGCCAAGTCTGGACGCTTCACTAAAGGCTTCGAAGGCGGTCCAAACGGCCAGCAAGCCAACTTTCTCCGTCAGTTTGGGCCATTTCTGCTCGAAACGTACAAGCCCAAAGGCATCGTCGTGTTCTCAGCTCATTGGGAAGTTGATGCAAATGCACCTATTCTCATCACTGACAATACCGAGGCATGGCAGATGAGCCAGGATGCTCTGTACTATGACTACTATGGCTTCCCAGACCCAATGTATCAGCTTCGCTTCCAATCAAAGCCAGATCCTGAGCTATCACAAGAAGTCGCTGCCCTGTTATCTGCTGCCGGGATCAACAACAGCAAGGTGCAGAACAAGCGTGGCTTTGATCATGGTGTGTACATCCCCTTCAAGCTCATGTTTGGAGACAAGCTTGATGTGCCGCTCGTTGAGGTAGGCCAGTATGTGAATCCAGAAGCAAATCTCAAGCTCGGCTCGGCAATCGCATCGTTGGCAAAGGAAGGATATCTTATTCTATGTGGTGGACTGACCATTCACACATTCAAGGACTGGCAGGCTTGGGATAGAGTTACTGCTGATCCAGGTTATGATGCACTCATGAGTACTTTGGTGGATGCACATGAAGAGGAAGACCTCTTGCAACAAAAGCAGCGTTTACTCGACATCACAACACATCCATACTTTCGCAAAGCGCACCCTACAATTGAACACTTCACGCCGCTATACATCGCAGCTGGAGTTGGACAAGCTCTTGAAGGGCAGACAAAGGTGGTGAGTAACGTTTGGGGTGCACAGACTGCTGCATATGGCGTTGGCGCTTGAGAAGCCTGGCAAGTGGGGAAAAAGAATGGAGTACTATGCTTTTAGTATATGCGACCGCAGACTCTCTAGTTGAGCCTGAGCATGCAAGATTCGTGAATGACGCCATCTTGACCTCCTCAATTTCGGATGCCTTCTGGCGTCGTGCTGATCGCAGCGGCAGAAGCAGTAGCAGTCTGAGTGTGCGGTGAACCATGGGGTGATTTGCGCCAAAAAGCAAGCTTATCCCAAAGCCCTCCAATACCACGAAAGATGCCACCGAACAATGACTTGAGCATCCATGACAAAAAGTTGCCACTCGGTTTCGCACCAAGACTCCTGCTCGTACCAGGACGGTCACCCGTCACATCGGTGCCAGAGGACTGAGCACGCTTGGCCGACGAGGTGGTCCTTTCTGACTCAGCTGCGACTTTTGCTTGACCCTCTGCAGATAGCGGAAGCACTGTGTCTGGCTTATTTGCCATAGTCGACTTGCCAAAGGAGTCACTGATTTCAGCAGTAGTGAGGTCTGGCTGACGGGAGGGCGCAGCAAGACCATCTTCTGCGGCAGGTTCAGCGGTCGCTTCGATAGCTGGAGCCGGTGAGACTGTGGCCACATGCTCCGGTTTTGCGCTTGTTGAATTGGTCGAAGCAGCATGACTGGACGACAAATTGACGTGCGAGTCTTCTGCCGCTGGTTCGACACGCTCGCGATCGATTGAGGCCGAGACGGATGGATCCCTTTCAGTAGTTGTGAGCGACTGTTGCTCCTCTGCCAGTACGCTTGCAGATTTGGCGACATTGGCCTTGCCTTCTGCAGCGGCGCGATGTGCAGTATCGCCGACTTTGGTAATTTCAACAGGGACAGTCTCATTCGCATCTTGTGCAGTCTGCTGCATAGACTCCTTGTTATCACGCGCCTCGTTCGTAGCTTTGTCTGTCAGCGATTTCGCCTCTTGCGCAACTGCACTTCCGGCGCTCTCCACTTTGCGTTGAGCTGCATCTGCTGTTTGGCCGACTTGGTCAGCAGTAGCCACGGCTGTATGCTTTGCAGAATCTTGGAGAGCTGCGCCAGTCCTTGCAGCAGAGTCAATCACCTCTTCAACGGTGCCAGCAGCAGCGTCCTTGAGCTCGACTGCTTTTTCTTGCACCACAGCTCCAGCATCAGCCACAGTCTTCGAAGCGCGATCGAGTGTGTCGGCTGCCGCATCTGTAATTTCAACAGCCTTCTCCTGCACAGCATGGACGATATCCTGTGCCTTGTCTCCCGCCTTGGACGCAGCATCTGCGACCTGTTCTGGCACTGCTTGTACCTTTTCTTGCAAGAGAGTAGCTGCATGCTGAGCATTCTCTTTGCCTTCAGCAGCAGCATCCTGCACGGCGTGTCCGAACTTGTCTACTTCTTGACGTGCTTTTGCAGCGCCCTCCTGAACGTGTTGGTCAATGCGGTGAGACGTTTCTTGCACAGCAGCTCCAGCCTTTCTGCCTTGCTCCTGCGCACCGTCCTTGGCGTTAGTGATCGTTTCTGCTGCGGCATCTTTAGCTTGTGTAGCAGTGTGTTGAGCGGATGCAGCCACGTCCTTGGTCGTCTCGATTGCCGCTGATGCATACTCTTGAGCCGTCTCTTTGGCAGTCTCGGCAGCTTCACCAGCGACATTCTTGGCTTGAATAGTCTTCTCTTTGACTATATCTGTTGCTTGTGATGCTTGATCGACCACACCATCCTTTGTCGCTTGGAGAGATTCTGCCGCTTGTGAACTTTGCCCTTTGAGTGCTTCCTTCACATCTTGTGCTTTGTCTGTGGCAGTCTCAGCGACTTGGAAAGTCTCTTGCACTGCTACATCTTTGGTTTGCTTAACAGCATCCTTGACTTCAGTTGCTTTAGTCGAGGTGGTCTCTGCAGCTTGTGAGGCAGCCTCAGTGAGGGATGTGTCCGCAGCATCAGCCGTGTCAGCTGTCTTGCCGGCAGCGTGCTTGAGGTCGCGTTCAACCTCCTCTACGACTCCTGATGTCTTGTTTGATTCTTGCTGGATGATATTCGCCGCTTGCTTTGCTGACTCTAGCGCTGCTTGCTTTGCTCGCACTGCATATGAAGCAGCTGCCGCATCGACTTGCTCAGGCGAAGTACTCGATGGTCTCGAGGCAGCTTTTGAAGCAGGCACAGCAGGTACTTTGAATCCTCCCTCACCAGCGTTTTGTTGCTGTGGTACATGAGCAGGTGGTGAGGGTGTCTTTTTGAGCGCAGCAGCATACCCTTGTGCATGCGTAACAGGTTGTGTGGGTTGCTTGAATTGCGGCTTGAAGGGAACAGCGGTTGGATCGAGATTCTCATGCTCCGTCATGGGACTGCCTGCTGGACGAGAGGTGGAGCGTGGTCGTGTGTGCGTGCTGATGCTGGACCTGCTGCGTGTGTGTCGAGCGGATGACCGACTGCGCGCGTGACGACCCGGTGCTCCTTGCTGCTGCTGTTGCTGCTGCTGTACTGGAGCCTGCGGTGGGCCACCCCAGCTGCTTGCTCCAGGATTGAATACAGCCGCCGTTGGACTGAAGGACGGCGCTGAGGGGTTCAAGGAGCCTTGTCGCGAGTGCTGCCTGCCATGCGATCCAGCTGTCCCTTGTTTCCCAACAGATCGAGCAGCCGCCTCGTTCTCAGATGACTCCCCGCCTAGACCAGCGGTAGCCTCCATGATGACCTTGTGATTATGCGTGCCGTGTGCATCTGGGGTTGTTGGACGACCTGGCTGCAGTACCCACTCACCAGCCGGTGTGATGAACTTGTACTCTTGCTTCGATCCAACGGGTGCACGGATCGTATAGGTGAAGCCTGTCCCGTCTTTGCTCAACTGCATCTCTTCCGGTCGCCATCCATTCCAGCTGCCTGATGAAAAGGGGGGTGGTCAGTCTATTGTGCAGGATTGGGCTCAGGATATATTCTTACCTGCAATCTTGACGGGCCTGGTATCGTCTCCCTGTCTCGGGTAGCGAACAGTCGCAGACATCACGCCCGTCTCTTCTACTCGATACGCCCAAGCTGGAGCCTTTGTCGGGTTGTTTTCCCTTTCGTGGTGCGACTTTTTCCTTTTCGTTGCGGGACAAAAAGTTGAGGGAAAGGTCAAATAGACAGTCTAATCAGGCATCAATGAGGATATTTATACAGTGCATGCTACAGGATACATGGGAAACATGGAAAGACGACCTCACGCACGCGCAGGTTCATGCTTATTGGCAGTTTTGCTGCCAAACAACTTTTCCTTGATGGAGGCATGCCGGTGTGCATCTTCCTGTTCTTTGCTCAGTCCATTGCTGCTGCCCACGACTTGCGTCACAGGCATCGAAGCGCCATGACCCGATTCTGTAGCAGGAACAGACGTTGGAATGGGTTGTGGGTGAAGCTTATCCACGACATAGCTCTCGTTGATTTTGCGTTGATGCTCCACCATGACATCTTTATTCACAAGCGATGCGCCAACCCCGAGGATCGGACCCACGAGGGGTTCAGAATCCACGTACTCGCGAACAATGACTTTTGGCTTGATTTGCATGGGGATATAGTCGCGCGATTTGAGGACATACTGCGTGACTGCCTCTGGCAAGATTTCATGTTTCTTGCCATCGATGATGACATAGTGTTTCGCAGGAAGCACGACTTGCTCAAGGACTGGTTGGATGCGTGTTTGATGGTGGATGACGTGGTGTTCGCGCTTGAAGACCGGGATGATGGTTTCTTCGACGTGCGGCCGAATGGTTTCCTGCACAATCGGCGTCACGAGTTGTTGCTCGTAATCCGTGGTGGATTCCTTGCCGCCGAGGAATGTATCGGGGTTGAAAGGAGTGTTTGTCAAGTTGCGCTCGTCGTACGCAGGTCTCGTCGGCGTGCTTGTGTGAGTGGTCAAATGTGTTTGCTCCAGTCCACGCGCTACGCCTGCAACATCCTTGTCTTTTCCTTTCCCTGTGCCTGCCATACCCCCGGCACCCTCGACACTGTACACTGCCTCGGGTCTGTCTGACAACGGTGGCAGCTGTGGTACATCGCCTGCTGTTCTGTTGGGTGGTTTTCCCTCGAGAGACTTGCGCCTGCCGAGGGAAGAGGAGCGCCTATGCTTGCCATTGACGTCTGCCTCGTCCTTGCTGCTCCTACCCTTGAGCTTGTCGATGAGGCCCATGATGTTATGATGTGGGTGAGTGCCAGGCTCTGTTGCAGGGAGGATTTGACTTTATTTTGTTCGTGTTGCCTCCGATGACGTTGTAGGAGTACCGAGGGATGTTACGGATGTATACGGGCCCTGTCACAGGAATCTCATTCTGCTTCATTCGTCACCAGGAGGGTACGACGAATCCCTGGGTAAAGTAGAATCGTATATAGATGACATTGGATGGCCCAGCTTGCCGTCCTTTCCGGTCCACGGAATTAGGTGATCACTGACCAGTGACCACTGCCCTGGTCAGCGCTCACCCTCGTCAAGGCTGCATCATCTTGGCTTCATCTATGCTGCCCAGTGTTTCGGGCCGTTGCTGCCGGAGAATTCATGCAGCAGAATTCATGCTATGCGATGCTGGTTATGCTCATCATCTCATCATCTATAGAGTCATAGTCTCAGGATATGGCGGAATACGAGGCAGCTGGTTGCAGATGATGGAGCGTGATCTGATCTGATAGAGCGTGAGTGAGCCTGAGTGATGATCAAGCCACAACGATGACGCGTGAGGGGCAAAACGCGAAACAGCAGGCAGCGAAGGCAGCGATATAATCACATAGACGAGGTGATAGACGAGATCTAGATCTACTGATGGAGTGGTTGTCGTCATCAGCTGGATCATCTATGCACAGGCTGGAGAGAGAGCCGCCGCCAAGAGTAGCAGCAATCCAGGATGCAGCGTGATGATGAAGTGAAGCGAGTGATGGAGCCCTGGCCAGCAAATACGTAATGGGCGGCGATCCAGGGTAGACACAGTCCATAGGCCATGACATGACCAATATCAGCCATATAAAGAGGCCCCTAGTCCTCATCTGCTCGTCAGAAACATCAAAGACCTTCTATACCCATCTATCATGTCTTCCATCATCAACAAAGTAAAGGACGCCATCCACTCAGACAAGGACACCACCCACGGTGACCACACAACCTCCACTCACGGCACACACGCAGACAGGGGAGTCACCGGCACACACCCAGTCGGCACATCCAACACCACAACCTCAGGCTCAGGCTTGACTGGCTCACACCACAACACAGGCACCGGTCTGACTGGCTCACACCACACCTCAGGCTCCGGCTTGACTGGTTCTCACAACACCTCGACCACCGGTACAGGCACCCACCACACCACCCAGACACACGAGACCGTCGCACCGGCCGTCACACAGGAGCGTGTCGCCAAGCACGTCACCGAGGAAGTCAATGTCGTCGAGGACCGTGAACACCACGTCCACCACCACCAGCAGCGCATTCAGCCCGTCGCTGACCGTGTCGAGGAGGAGACCAGGCACAAGCACAACGTCTTGCCTGTTGAGACGCGTGAACGCACACAGGAAATGACTGATGGCGCTAAGCGTGCCCTTGCTGAGCAGCAAAATGCCTACAAGAACACCTCAGAAACCCTCCCTACCCAGTACAACAAGGTCCAGGGTGCAGCTGTTGGCCAGGATGTCACACACCACCACGTCCACGAGACTGTGCAACCCGTGATTCAGCGTGAGGTTCTCCAGAAGGAGCACATCCACACCACTGTCCCCATCCACGAGGTGATTCACGAGAAGCCTGTTGTGCACGAGGCCACCATTGAGCCTACCATCTCTATGGCTGAGTTCAGCAAGAAGGGTGGTCTCAAGGCCGGTGAGAGTGTTGCACGGGAAACCCGTTCAGGTGCTCCCCAGACACTCGAGGGAAGCCACCTCAGCGGCCACAATGTCCACACTGACGCCATTGGTACTGCTGGACACGGTGCTACTGGACTCGGTGCTACCGGACACAACGCTGCTGGACACAATGCCACTGGACACAGCGGTATTGGACACAATGCCACCGGACACAGTGGTATTGGACACAATGCATCTGAACACAATGCTACCGGTCACTCATCGACCACCAAGCACCTGTAAGTATCATGGAAAGTATCCTATAGTTTTACGTACTCTCTAATGAATCACTGTTGCAACAGCGCATCCTTTGTTCCCACTTGTTATACTTTGGAATTCAGCATAATACCTTGCAGCAGGCTCATAGATGACCTTGTCCAATGCCGCAAGTGTCAACCGCGCAAAATGAAACACGCCACACGCAGCTTCACCATCATACATCTTACTGGCCAGCATGGTGCGGAGTGTAGACAAGTCGCGATGCGGGTACACCATACTCGCCAGCAAATCATAGAGCGCCTCTTGCAACAAAGGTCGAAAGACACGTTGCTTTGCATCCGCGCCATCCAACCATTCTCGCACCAAAGTGCGTTGAAGCCGGCCAACGAGTGTGAGGGATTCTTTACGTTGTTGAGCACCACCCAAATCAAAAAAGCATGAGAGTGCATCCAGCATAATCACCAACAATTCCTGTATCGCACCAATGTCATGTTCAGCATACAAGTCCACGTCCGGAAATAACCTCTGGAAGATATCCACAAAGACACGATACTCCTTGACGGCACTGCGACAGACACGTGGACAGTGTTGCTGCCGTAGAAAAAGCTTCCTCAACTCCGGTCGACATTCATCCATGCGTGGCCAGAGCTGTCCAAAAATGCTCGCTACACCATTCATATGCAGTCGTGCAGCTGACAATGGTTCGCATGCACAAAAAGAGGCAATGGCGAGGAGTGCCGCTGTGAACATGCCAGTTTGCCAGACACTCGGATCCTTCACTGCGAGCTGTTTGTTGAGTTGTTGCATGGCCTTTTCAACATGCATCAAGCCTTCTGCTTGTCTCTCTGCAAATGCTCGGTGGAGTAGGTATGTGCCGAGTGCAGCATGTTTCAGGGCTGCATTCTCATCAATCATCTGCATCCCGGGACCGCGCCAGAAGCCTTCCTCGCTCTCTGTGTGTGAAAAGAATTCCATCAGCACACCACCCAGGTCAATTTGGTCAAAGGTGGTGAGATCATTGAGGAATTCCGCGTCTTGCAGACTACTGCTGCGTGAGACAGGTGAGTGTTGCGCGAGACCGGCAATGTGGTTGAAGGAAGGCAGGGGTGTTTGACTGGGCGACGGAGATGGACCTAGGGATGCAGGCGCAATGGGTCGGACGAGCCATGCGATCTGTTGCGGTTGCGGCACACCCACACTCGAGGGAGCACCGAACATGCCCATCGACAAATCAGGCAAGCCATACCCCATCGCGTTGACTGATGCGTCTGTACTCGATGATGACTGACCCGGAGTCACTGCATAGGCACTAGGCGTATACCCAGTCGTTGCAGGCGGAGGCGGCTGCATCGCCTGCAACGTTTCTGCAGCGGCCGTCTCTTCCTCCGTCATCGTTGCTGCTGTCTTTCTACGCCTTCGCGTGCGTTTAGGGGTACTTCCATCATACTCCGGGTCGTCTTCCGGATTATGCTTACAGCGGCGATGCGACGCGCGACACCTGGCGCATGCGTAGTTGGAGTGTTTATAGCTGCGCTTGAGTCTTGGTTTTGAATCGGTCGGTGAGGGGCCTTCTTGGCTCTCCGACATGGTGTTGTGCTCTTCCTCTCACACTCTCTTGCGTGTAGACAGGACTGTTTCTCTATACTTGGATGCTGTAGGCTGTAGGCTGCTCTGTACAGATATATATAAGCTGGAAAGTATACTTTGTGGGTGTAGTTGAGTTTCTTGGCGAAGCGGCAACCAACGACTCGATACCGCTACTGCTGCCAGGTACCAGCTACAGACGAGCTAGGCTACTGAATCATGCTACAGGCAAACACCTCTCTGCTCGATTCTTAAAGAAGATTAGTCTGTCGACGAGCTCCAGCTTGTGCCGATGATGCCGCTGTTTGATCGATCGAGCATGCTCCATCGTCATAGGATCGCAGGGGCAGTTTAAAAAGCAGGCCTCTGCATCCCGGTGTTTCTCTCCCTCAAGCATCCCTTCATCATGTCTTCACCTCAGCACACCGGCTCGCGAGGCCAGACAAATTCGCTCCATGTGTCTCACAGCCCGCCTGCCACTACCAACGCAAATGCTGGCGCTGGCGACCTTCACACCTCCCAGACCTCCGACACGAACCAAAAGCTGGATCGCGCAACGACAGACATTGTCGAGGAGATTGCACCTAGCGTTGTGCAAGAACACATCCAGCCGATCGTTCGAGAAGAGCAACAAACGGTCGTGGAGCGCGAACACCATGTGGTTCATGAACAGCAGCGTGTTCAGCCAGTCACGGAACATGTCGAGCTGGAGGAGAAGCATACACACAAAATTTTACCTGTGGTGGAGAAGCAGCGCACAGAAGAGATGTCTGAGCGATCGAAGCGTGCTTTGGAGGAACAAAAGCAAGCTTACACGAGCACCACCACCCAAGAACCAACGCAGTACTCCAAGATCGAGGCAGCTGCAATTGGGTAATGCGCTTTTGTATGTCTGAGCTCGGCTTACCAGCAGGTCCGACACCACGCATCACCATGTGCATGAAACCATTCAGCCTGTCATCCAGCGCGATGTTGTCCAAAAAGAGGTGATCCACACGACTGTGCCCATTCGTAAGCCTGGCTATGCATAGTTGTATCGTGCTGACAACGCAGACGAGATCATTCACGAAAAGCCCGTGGTTCATGAGGCCACGGTGGAGCCTACCATCACAATGGAGGCTTTTATGAAGAAGCACGGATCGGTCAGTGGAGGCACGGTCGTTTCCCGAGAAGAGCGTCCAGGCACCCCAGTGACAATGGAAGGAAGTCATTTTGACGGTAAGCAGCACACTAGTGCAATTGGCACAGCCGGACATCCTATCCACGGCCCTGGCAAGACACCACCCCCTCATGCACCAGGCTCGGGCTCTACCAATGCATCTTAGATTTATCGGTCACCTTTCAGTCGTATACTAGGCAAATGGTTCATACCATACTTGCTTGATCTTTGATGCAAAAAGTCTGTCTATTGCCCCCCGCGTTCTTGATGTAAGACAACCCTCGAGCAAGTACCTCTGCGCGTGCATCTGCCGTGTTGAGCGCCTGCTCTATACCCTGCGTGAATTGCAACACCTCCTTCTTCTCAACTTCTAGACGCACTGCTTTTGCCACTGAAAAGTGCTGCCATCCAATCTGCCAATTTGTGATGAAGACCGTTGCATGCACGGCTTTTGCGACATCTCGAAGCGCTTCGACAATGACTGGAAGGAGTGTTTTGGCTTGCCAAAAAAAGCTGCTGATGCTGTCTACCAGGATCAAGCGGACAGGCACGTCGCGTTGTAGTACGGCGATGGACTGTCGCAGGCTTTTGGCATTAGCGAGCATCTCTGATGCTGACTGAGGCTGGAAGACGACCAGATTTTTCAAGACCCCATCTGCAGCAAAGGGATCCACATGCTGTCGCAGGAGATGAGAGAACCGGAGTATGTCAAAGGTGCCTTCTGCATCAAAGTACACGACTCCTGTCCCACCCACTAACGCTTCAATAGCGAGCATGTACAAGAGATGCGTCTTTCCCGATCCACTGCGTCCACGCAACTCGACGATCGGAGGATGAAGCTGTCCAGGAGCCGACTCAACAAGCTCGCCCAGAGTGAGGCCTACAGTGAAGCCAGCCGAGGGCCTAAGTCGTTGCAGCAGTACTGTACATGGCTCTGCATTCCTGAGAGTAGCCTTGGCAGCGAGCATCCTTCATGGCAGAGCTAGTGCACCGTAGATCGAGTCAATTATCTGAGTCACTGAGTGCAAGTAGTAGAAGTAGAGCTGGAGCTTCCCCACCAAATTTGGGCGAGGAGGCTGACGACGACGACAATCACCGCGCACCTCCAACCAGACACCGCTCGCAGCCAAGCATGAGCCAGATCTCCGTCAAGGTCACCGCCGGAGGCACGCATCGCATCCAGCTGCCTGTTCCATTGTTCTTCCCAGGTTCTAGCCCTCTCAATGTAAGTCCCTCGCCCGGCGCATCGCTATATCCAGTACTCACACACGTACAGGTTCAGCAACAGCTCGCGCAACAACTCGCCCCAAAAGAAAAGACATTCAATTTTGACAAAGACGACTTGCAGCTGCTTGTGCGCGTCTCTGGCACCAAGATTTTTGTGCCACTCGACCTCAAAGTGCATAGCTCGCAAATCTTAAAACAGAAGCGCGCTCGACTTTTGTTGCAGCCTTCGCAGCGTGAACCAGAGTCCGCTAAAATGGAAGGCGACGCTTTGCTCAATGCTGCCGGCGATGCTGCAGAAGCACCCAAGCATGTCGCGCCTGCCACACCAGCAACGGAAGTAATTGATTTGCTTACATCTGCACCCATGCCAAGCGCCTTGGCATCCAAAGAACTTGCTGAAAAGACAACAAGCACCTATGATCCTAACGACAAGTCCCTGGAAAACATGGCGGTAGCTCTCTCCAGAAACACTGCGCAGATGGGTAAAATCGTCGCTGTTTCGGATCGTCTGGTGAATGCACATGCCGAGCATGTCTTGCAGCAAAAGGCACTGACGGACGTCGTCACTCAGCTCGTTGAGCAAACCAAACAACTCGGTGCAGTGTGCACACCTGGACATTACGGAAGGCATGGCAGAGACCACACTCACGGCCCTTATCATCGTGGCGTTCACAAGCACGTCGAGAAAGAATCTGTTCCTTTCCGACACAATGCAGTCTGCGACCACTGCAACTCTGCAATCTCTGGACTGCGATTCAAGTGCTTGGCTTGCCCGGACTTTGATATGTGTGCGCCTTGTTTCGAAGACGTTGTCAAGACTCATGGCACTCACCGCTTTGTGCGCATCTCTGACGATGTCATTCTGGCTCCTACGAAGAAGGTCGTTCAAGTCATGCACAACGGCATCATGTGCGATGGCGCACTCTGTAGAAACTCCAACAAGTTCATCGCTGGAGCACGCTACAAGTGTACGTTGTGCCCAGACTTCGACCTTTGCGGCGCTTGCGAGGCTCATCCACTCAATAAGCATGATCCTTCCCATCCGCTCATCAAGATGAAGGTGGCGTTCTCCCCAGCTCGATCCAAGGTACTCTTTGGACAGGCTCAGAAGATCTTGACGCCTCCTTCTCGACCAGTCTTTAGCAGCCCCATGCAGCACTCCTCGCCTGCCAAGTCCTCTGTGTCGCTCGCCTCATCGAACGCTTCATCTGCTACAGTCACCAGCGTTGCTGTTTCGTCTCCCGAGAGCACAGCAAAGGAAACCGATTCGCCGGCTGTCAAGCAATCTGCCGTCGGATCGACCTCTGAAAAGGCGCAAGAGACCTCTTCGCCAAAGCAGTCTCATGCAAAACTCCAAAAACCCGTCAAACCCAGCCAAGAGACGCCCGTCCAGCACTTCACAGTCATCTGCGATGGATGCGACAAGCAAGTCACTGGACATCGATACATGTGTGCATCCTGCAACGACTACGATTTGTGCAGCACTTGCTTCCTTTCAGTCAAGCACAAACCTGACCACACCTTTGTACGCTACAATCGTCTTGTCGACAACGCCAGCATGCCCGTGGTTAAGGCTAATATCTTGAAGGAGGTTGAAGCCGATATTCTAGCAGGAGTTGGCTTTGAGTGTAACGAGTGCCACGAGCCCATTGATACTGGTTTACGTGCTACCTGTGTGTCGTGCCAGAATTATGATCTGTGCTGGTCGTGCTCTGGCAAGCGGTTTGACACCGACAGGTCGGCTCACAAGAGTGGACACGACATGATCGTCACACCCGTGGTGCGCGAGGTCTTCAATGTCACGAATGGCAACCAGTCTGTCGACAAGGCCACTGACCAGGTCAAGTCCGTTGAGACGTCTAGCTCTGTTGCTGAGCATCATCCCATCCCGGCTTACCTGCCTCTAGAAGCAACATTCATGGAAGACCTGACTATCCCTGACGGCAGCACCATTTCGCCTGGCAGCACCTTGGTAAAGCAATGGTCCATGAAGAACACTGGCTCGCACGCTTGGCCAGTAGGTGTGTCGGCATGCTTCATCGGCGGTGCAGCTATGCAAGCCGTCGAAGTCGCTGGACAGTCTGCTACGCCACAGCTACGTACCACTGAAACAGTCGCTCCCGGTGGCTCAACGACAATTTCCGTCATGCTCCACGCACCAACAGAGGTGCAAGACAATGTCATCTCTTACTGGCAGCTTTGCACAGCAGATGGCAACAAGTTTGGTCCTCGCCTCTGGATGGATGTGGACGTCCAGACACCTATCGCTGATGATTGTGCCGCCCGAGTCACTACGAGCGGCAGCTCTCAATCTTTCCAATCACTCGGCTCTCGACTCGTGTTCCCGAGCGCCTCTATGGAGCTTCCCAAGGTCGACCCTCACGGAACCTTATCTTCTGATGCATCCGAGGCCAGGTCTCAGCTAGGCCACAACATTGATGATATTGAGACTCTGCCTTCTGATGACGAGATTCAGCTCAGTGACGAATCAGAATTTGAGCTGCTGGACGAGGACTCAATTGACGGCGCCGAGTAGGGATAGGTTCATGGTTCATTTTTATATCTATGTGCGAGTGCGCTGTTTTGTTTTCTAGTATCGTCCATACTAACTTATCATCCCTGCTCTACTGCCTCTAGCAAACGATTTCGATTGACTGCACACAGTGTCATCTTTGCAGACATGGTTTGATGTTGCTTCTTGTGGCGCGAACGCGCTGGACGGATACCGGACGCAGGTAGCGCCGCAGATGCACGCCCAATTGCACCCGCCTCTCCTCTCTTCTCCTCAAGCTGTAATCGCGGAACCCTCCGAACGCCGTCAAGAAAGACGAAAAGTTCCTCTCTCGCGAGACTAAACATGTCTTCTTGCCCGCGCCGTGATCTTGGGCGAGCTTCAGTGAGGCTATTGAAACCAAGTGCCGTCAGCACGTCTGCAGGCTCCATGCGTGTTCCGCGTCGTTGCTGTTGTTGAAGCTTTCGTGACAAGGCGGCTGCATGCGCTGCGTGGATATTGCCACCCCCTGTCGACAAGGACAGCTGCAAGTCCGCATCAGAAAAGACCTTTTCCAGTGTCTCCTTGAGACCTTCGATGCGGAGCCCTTTTGGCACCCGCCTCAATAGACTGACCGCATCAACAGCGATGCCCGGAGCCTCTAGCAGGCCGCGAATGAACGGAGGCTTGTCGAGCGAATAAGCCACCAGGTCCTCCCATAGATCGGGATCCGACTGCTGCGTGGCAAATGCAATGGCCTGACTCACATCCTCGAGCTTTTCAATAATCAGCTGCAAGGCACGTTTGCTATTGCCAGTCTTGCCAAGAATAAAGACCAATTCTGGGATATACTCGCGTCGTTCACATTCTTCGATGGCTCGTTCGAGGGAGTAGCCCGTTGTGTTCTTAAGCAATTCCATCAATCGTTCGCGATCGTATTCAGCATACAGCTTGACTTGTAAATCGGTAAAGTCGCTCGCAAGACTGGCGTCGTAAGCCAGCACGGCGCGAAAATAGCAATACAGCAGAGCAGGCCTCGTCTGCAATTGCGCCACAACCTTGTGCATCGGAATGGAGTGTGTATGCTGAACAAGCATATCGATGGCTTGACTGTTGGCAAGCTTTCCTGCCTTGACATCAGAATCGGCGGCGGGAGCATCAATCGTAACAAGTTGCAGTACGTCTTCTTGAATTGCGTCGAATAAGTGATATTGACGGATAATGTCAAAGCTCTCAGACTTACCAAGAGCAAGAAAGTATGGCAACGCTTCCCTTGGTCTGTCGGTCTTGAGATACAATTCTGCCATACATTCGGTCAAGATAGTATTACCTCTCTCCGACAAGGCGTAAACAATTGTGCTGAGTATGTCCTCGGTATTGTAGATCTCCGGAGGCCAGCGCTTGATGGTGTCAAGCAGCATTTCCGGATTGGACTTCACGTAATGCCCGAGAGCCATTTCGTACACTGTAGAGCTGAGTATGGGGTTTGCCACTGGAATGAAGGGCGTCAGAGTCTCGAGCTGGTCATGCTCAGCAAAGAGGAATACCTGCTTCTCCCATGCGTCAGCATCTTCGAGGAGAACACGAGGCGCCAAACTAGCCGCACGCTCAAAGTTCTTGTCTTGCAGCAAGTGGTCCATGTACTGTGATCCAATCATGGCAAAGGAGAGCTCCGTTGGCGGACTCGGCAGTCCCGCACACGCTGCGAGAGCATCTTCAAACTTGCTGTTCTCGACTAGCCAGCGAACGTGATCTTCCGCGTCTCGCTCCCTCGCTGTGATGATATCTTCAGGGCTGGAGACAATGAATGACTTCTCAGTTGGGTGTGCCACCAAAGCGTAATCATTCGGTAGGAGCTTCTCATAGCCCTTCAACCCCAATGCATCATCTGATACTTCCTCAAACGAATCGTTGATGATGCGGAGTTCCGGCCGTTGAGCATTGCCACGGCGCATATCTTCAGCCTCTCCCAGATCTGCAAGGTATGCCAAAACTAGCAGATTGTTTTGCATCATGGCAAGGCCAGAGACGATACAGTCCAACTTCATATTGACAGTAGTCTCAAGGCTCAGGACCTTGTTGACACCCTCATGAATCACAACTTTGGTGATGTGGGTGTACCAGCCGATGATCAGCGTTTCCGAGTCTTGCCAAAGCAGACGACATCGGAAGAGATCCGCTCGCGGACTATCCGGACGGCGACGAACGAGACCTACCATGCGCATGTTGAGCGTATCGTAGACGCGCACGCCAGCATCATTAGCCCAAGCAGCCAGACGACCGTGCCATGCAGACTCCAGTATGGGCCCTTCATTCCCTTCCAGCACAGTCTCCTTGTTGCCTAGCCAACCACGTTCACTGAGTGTCGGCTTTCCAGCAAGACCGCCAGACAAGATGCGACCCTTCGCATTCTGATTGTATTCTGGGTCCACCGCCACTGTCTGTACAGGTCTCTTGAAGTCATACAGTATGCTTTCTTTCTTCACCAAGCTGTAGACAACAACACGCCCATCGATGCCGCCACTCGCCACTGTCGTTCCTTCGCGGTCGATGGACACTGATGCGATCGCGGCCGAGTGGGCGCGATATTGCTTGACGAGCGTGCCGCGTATGTCGAAGATGTACACAATACCGTTGTGCGAACCGATGACGAAAAGCGTTTTGCAGATAGCAAGGGCACTGACTGTGTCGCGCCCTGTCACGGTGGCCAAACTACCATCAAGGAAGCGCGAGTATTTCAGGATGGGTTCATCTTCTTCAATTGATCCGCCGTCGATTGAATGCAGATCCTGATTTGGTTCGCTCATATCCGGAATCTATGCTCTACCGAATGTCTGAGTAGAGTCATTCTATAGGTCGCCAGCCGATCGTGGACGAGTCATATCGCGGAGAGTTCACGCCAGTCGGGTGTCCTGGTCGTGGTCGCCTTGAAGCCTTTTCAGATGGCGACATTCAATCTTCGTGCACAGCGCAATGAATCAGGAGCATCGAACGCAAAACCATCATCCAACTGGACCGTCTCTTTGCCCGCCCGCTCCGAGTCCGCCAGCTCCAGTGTTTGGTAAACACCGCTAACAGACAGATGTGAAACATGACGTCGGCTCCAAGGTCCGGTTTGAAACTTTGAGAAGCTCAGCTGCCTTCGACTATGTATTTGAGAAGCAAGCGCCTGCAGAGGAGTGAACACTAGATACACTATGAAGACCAGTAGTTCATTGGGTGGACTTTTGATGCTACTCCTGTCGCTCCCTGTTCTATCAGCTCCAGTAGCTGATCCTCAACCAGCACCTCCAGCGCCTGCTGGTGGCGGATTCCTCGATAAGATTATCGGCATGCTCCCAGCATCTGTTGTGCAAGGTGTGGCTGATCTCGGTGAGCTTTCGACCTTCTTTAGACAAGCTAACTTAACAGCGGGCCAATTGACTGCTGGGAAGTAGTTCCACTTGTGAACAGAGATATTGTATTCATCAACTTGTCGAAGCTTTTTCGTCGCGCGTCTATATCATCTCAAGGGCATCTGTAAGATTCGATACAAGTGAATTGATCTCAGTGACACGGACAGCATGGCCAACGTGCTGATTAGCAGAAATGCTAAAGCTTGTGACGCTCCGCTATCTTGCTTCTTGCGCTCGTGACCATGCATCAAGCCCGAGTACACAGACAGCATGACTCTAAGCGAGCAAGTGACAATGGCGATACGTGCTGACATGCTGTGTGATATGCAAGAGTGTGAGACGATTACAGTGGAAATGCACATTACAAGTTACAATGCGGTGATGGAGACGAAAACTGCCAAGGGAGCACAACTGAGTACACTCTATGCTGTTGAATGCAATCCTCATGTCGACAAGATGGTCTTTGTAGGCCGCGGAGACATGACCGCGCCGTCTTCAAAGCCTTCGTCTTCGTACGCAATATCAGCCTTCTCCATGAGCATGCCTTGCCGCCTAGCAGCCTTGATGGGCGATTTATTTGATACTCTTTTGGAGCTCAGTGCGGGAGACGTAGCTTGTGTTCGAGGAGGCGTTGGTTGCTGCACCACATTGCTGTCATTGAGCTCATACGTGGCTAGTAGAGTCTTGCCATTGGTCAGGGTTTCTGTAGAGAGCCGGGGATCGCGTTCGAGTGCGGGCGCCAGTTCCAGAGCAGTCGGAGGACTCGCAGGCGTCAAGATCCGTAATGCTTCCTTCGTCGGCCTCTTGATGGAGGACTCTCGTGAAGGCTCTTCCGGTACTTCTGGCAGACAATCCAAGCTCGAGGCAAGTCCGGAATCATGGCTATCCGTTCCTCCGCTGACATCTGCTTCTGTCCTGACTGAAGGGCTATTGCCGACGACTTTGGGCTTGTCATTCAAATACAATTCTTTCTGAGTCTCATCATCATCGTTCGAATTGCGAGCGCCAGGAGCCGCCAATTCCTGACTGCGCCGTTTGCTTGAAGTCGGTGACTTTGGCCCCGCCTGTGTCGTTGGCGATTGAGGAGCACCTTCTTCCAGCACAGGCAGGATAATATCGGGATTGCGTTGCAAGACGGGAGACATCACTGGACCGGCCGCTTGAGAGTGCTCATCAGCGTGTTCACGCTCGAGCTCGCGCATCGCCGAGTCCAGCGCTACAGCACTTGGTGTCCTCTTCAGACGACCTTCCTTAATTTCATTTGGCTTCTTGGTCATGGCAGAGATAAAGTCTCGGAAGCGCTTGGCATAATCCTGCGGCGGAACTGCACTGATCTGCTTTTTATACTCGGCCGGTTTTCCTAAACCTTTGAAGAAGTGCTCCAGGTGCTTGCGTGTGCCATACCGTGTCAGCAAGTCGATGATGCCTAGGTAGTAGACAACGTCGCCAGGTGTACCATCACAATTTTCTGAGCGTATGCCACCTTCAAACTGATAAAACAGATTATGCCGCATTCCCTCACTGTGTACGATACCAATATCTGACTCGGACGCAATCGCTGTCAGTGGAGGAGCTTGCAATTGGCGATCGATTCCTGCAACATTGTTGGTCCGTGTATGAGGGCCAGGAGGGCCATGAGCGTTTAACTGTCCGAGGGTAATAGGCGAGCCCTGTGGGGTCACCATGCGCCGTAAGTCGCGTCTACGGTAGGCTTGACCAGAAACAGAAGGCGTCCGAACAAGTGGTGCACCATTGGAACTGTCATTTTGCAGAGCCAAGGGACTCGTTGGAGGCGAAAATGCGGCTGCCTCTTTCATTCTGTGGATGCCCAAAAGTAGAGAATAGTCCATAATACCGAGCTGAGCAAGAAGCTTGACATCCGCTTCTAATTGCTCGACAAATGCGGGCCGCTTTGCTGACGGGAGCTTGAGCCGCTCATCGTTGCCTAGCCAGTTGAGATCCTTCAGAGTGCCGCGAGGGTTCTTCTTCTTGGACTCTTCCGAGAAAATGCGCCCTACCGTAGAGCCCTTCAAATCGTATGTCGCGTGAATGTCCATATGCGGCGGAAAGAGGTTGTTCATCACCACAAAGTGAATCTTTTTGCCAAAGCTTGTCTTGACGCGATGGAGACCATAGAATTGCGAAATCATCGTGTTGGGATACTTTTTGACATGATCGTAGTACTGTCTCAGTATTCGCCTCAAGAATTTGTGCTCCGCATGGTGAAGTGTCTTGATAATGAACCGATAATCGCGCGAAAAGTAAAAGAAGGACCCAGACTTGCCAGGGGAGCCCAGCTCGCTCAAGATGTATTTGCCAGTCAGGGACATAAGATAGTCCGCAGGATCTATGCAGAACTCTGCGCGAAGATGCCGGAACACCCAGGGAGCGTAGTCCTTGAATTTAAAATCATACCGCGCAGAAGGGGTAAGTTCGTTGCCCGCAAGATCAAACGTAAGCTTATGCCGCGCAGCAAAATCCATATCGGTCAATTCTCGGTCCACTTTGGCATTGCACCGCGAAGTCTGTCTGTCAGCATTAAATTGAGTGTGTCTTCATCACTTACCGCCACTCGAATGCCCGTGAGCATGTTGTAAGCCGTGACCCAGTTGGTGTGACCCTCACTAACGCGCGTTCCCACCATCACGGCGTCCTCATCTTCGACCTTTTTCCGCTTCGACAAGCGCCGTTGACGGATGACTTCTGCCCACCGCGCAGCGTCTTCATCTAGCGGTACTTCGTCTGCTTGGAATTGACTCGAATCGATACTTCGTGTCCGCCGGCGATGACTGCTACTTGACATCGAATTGGACCGCCGGATCATGGAAGATTTGCCCTGCCGAGCGTCCATATTGTCGTATTCACGCAAGCGGCCTCGCTGTACACGCTTCGCTTGAAAGGTTAATGAACCGGTCTAAAAAGCTGCACCGCCTTGCGCTTCCGGCTTCTAGAAATAGATGCGCGGCCAAAGAATTGAAAGAGAAAGAGAGCCGGCCTTGACGGTGCCAACTGGATGACACGAAAGGGCACAGATGGGTGACGATATTCCGGTCTTCGCAGCACCTCTGTCGCTCGCTGCGCGCAATGTGTACAAGGCACAGCAGAGAAGGCCAAGAAGAGGTGGCGCCTGCGGAGTGGGCTGCGAGCAAGAGAGCGTCGCTATTTGTGTGTGTTCACTGTGTTGACGAGTCGGGAGGTTGGTGTCGTCTTCTGCTTCTGGCTTGTGAAATTTCCGGCAGGCTCAAGGCGACTGACTGGCTCCCTCCTGAACACCCTGAACCAAACCCCTCGAACCAGGTTTCGGAATACAGCCTGCTCAGTGCTCCCTATAGCTCGTTCTAAGCCACTCGGCAGCTTCGCATGACTAGCTGAGCATCATGAAGAAACGCGCAGGTCTTGCGTCCTTCGACAAAGAAGAGACAGACGCGCGCTTCAAGTCTGTTGGCAATGACATGATCAAAAGTCAGCATGTGCAACTATCTAATCAGCTCGAGACCTTTCAGCAGGCGCTAGCTGCCTTTTCTTCGACCCATTCTGCCAAAATACACGCCAATCCAGAGTTCCGTGCAGAGTTTACACGCATGTGCAATGTGGTCGGCATTGACCCACTTTCCTCGTCAGTTCCTAGTGGTCAAGCAGACTGGACAGCTGAGCTCGGCTTGGGTGCTATCTACTTTGATCTCGCTGTCCAAGTGGTTGAAGTGTGCCGCCGGACACGGCCAGAAAACGGGGGCATCATGAGTGTCGACGCTGCCACCAACGTGCTCAATGACAAGAACAAGAAGTTTGGTGCTGCAGAAGTCGGAGCGTACGTCAATTAGAGATGCATTTCGTCTCAAACTAACAGCAGAGATGATGTTGTCCGTGCAGTACAGAGTCTCGAGATTCTGGATTCCGGCTTTGAGGTCATTCATGTGGGCTCAAAACAGATGATACGAAGTGTGCCAAAGGAACTGAATGCAGATCAATCTACTGTCTTGCAAGCAGCACAAGTATGAACAATGCTTTCATCACTGTTGACTAACAACCCCTTAGATTGTTGGCTATGTCTCGGCAAGTATGCTTCGGCTCAATCTCGGTTGGCAAAAAGAGAGAGCAAGGTCTGTTCTCGACGACCTTGTCGGCTCGTCCATGCTGTGGATCGATGAACAGGGCAGAGAAGCAGAGTACTGGCTACCAACAAATGGAATTGATGGCTGATGGTTTTGGACAGCAGTTGCCTTTCCTGTCACCACTGCCAAGATTTTCCTTAGCAGTTGTGAATTGCTCGTCAGTACTTCTCACATGCCTAGCACAGCATTGTCCCAGCAATCGGTTTGGTGCACATGGCGAGGAACGACTTGTAACCGTAGGCAGACTACAATGCTACTGCCATTGAAGGCTGTGGCATCCGTGTGGTCATTGTGACCTCAAATTTTCGCAACGTGTGCAAATCCCCATTTCTTCGCCGCAGCTGCCGGCACACACGGCTCAATTGCAGTAGCGGCCTTTGAAGCCATGCCATGACATACATGATTGGAGCGATAGACACGAGAGGAGCAATGTACAATCAGCTGTATCTGCTTTCTAGAAGTTGACGGCGCCTGGACGCCCGTCGGGTTTCGGCAATAGTGGTGCGAAGCAATTCGTCAATGCCGGAGAAAGTGCTAAATGCTAGAAATGCTGTCTCGGAATATGCTGCGGGGATACCACTTGACTCTGACTTGACTTACTTGAGTGGCGACAGATCGATGTAACGTACCTTTAAGAGCACAAGGCATTTGTCGTACTTGAGCTCCTTAGCTGCTTCTATGCTGGCAGGCGTAGTTCTACCAGCTCAGGTCCAGCTGTGCTGAAGCACGAGTCCTGATCGTCAAGGCTTCTCCACTACGGGCTCGGCAGTGTCGGCACACGCGTCAGTGCCTGATCTCGGGTCGTAGCATTGACGCCGTGACGTGGCCGGCGCTGCGATTTTGAGGATTCTAGAGCGGGCGCCACCATCTGTCAAAAAACGTTGCTGTGGTGGATCAGGGCGGTGCCGGTCAGGCCGACTCCGCAGGCAGCAGGCTCGCCCAATGGAAACTGTGCATGTCGACACTACACTGCTACGAGTAGACACATCACTGAGGTCATGACTGGAATAGCCAAAGGTGGCCGTCGCCATCCGCACGCCTTCCACAGGGCCAATCCATATACGGCACATACGAAGGAAACCTCAGGCAAGTTGAGACACGCTGCTTACACGCAGCATCCCAAAGAAGAACGTGTGGAGATTATCGTGATGAAGCCTGGTGAGGTGTAGTCACTGTAGTGACACTCTTCATGGTTCCTGTCGAGTACATAAGGAGGCACATTCAGCCACCGTTGCACAAATCATACCATCACAACCATGAAGTCTGCTACCATCTTCTCTCTCTTCTCCCTCGCAGTTGCTTCCCCAGTTGAGAAGCGACAAAATCAGGCCGGCGTCAATGATGCCGCCATCCTCAACTACGCATTGACACTCGAGCATCTCGAGAATGCATTTTACAAGGGTGCTCTTGCTCGCTACTCGCAGGCCGACTTTGCAGCAGCTGGTTTCGATGCAACAGTGTACAAGAACATCGTGGAGATTGGCAAGGATGAGGCATCGCACGTCTCCTTCTTGACTCAGGCCCTATCGGCGGCCGGCGCCAACCCTGTCAGCCCTTGCACTTACAACTTCCCTTACAACAGCGTTGGTGCTTTCATGTCACTTTCCAAGACTTTGGAAGGTGTCGGCATCTCAGCCTACTTGGGCGCTGCTGCCAACATCACCACCCCAGCTTACCTCACAGCAGCTGCTTCCATCTTGACTGTCGAATCGCGCCACTCTGCCTATGTTCGCGCTCAGCTGAAGCTCAGCCCATTCCCCGGAGCATACGACACCCCTCTGGGCTTCAACGGTGTCTACACCTTGGCAGCCGGTTTCATCACCGCTTGCCCTTCGACCAATGTTGCTCTTCCTGTCAAGGCTTACCCATCGCTCAGTTTGACCGGCTTCACTCAGGTCTTCTCTGGCCGTCAAGCCAGCTTCACAACCCCTGCCACTGGCCTTCCTGCTTCAGGTGCCTTTGTCGCCTTCATTTCTGGTGTCTCTGGACCAGTATTTGTGCCCGCTACCACCTCTGGCTCGACCGTCACAGCTACAGTACCCTCCACGATGTTGGATGGTCAGATTTATGCGCTCTTGACCCGTCAAGGTTCAGGTGCAATGATTGTGCCCGCACAGGTCCTCGCCGGTCCTGCTGCTATTGAGCTTGGCCTGCCTGGTGCTGTTGCCGTTGCAGCATAATTGTACTCTGAAGTGTCATGATCATGTCTTGTAGACCTAATTATCAAAAGTAATCGTTTGTGGACCATGTTGAAGGGTGAGATTTGCTTCTATGAATCAATGCCATTGGGTACGGATCGAGCCCGATGTATCACTACTGAAGGACTGTCATGCGCCTTGCGTTGTTTTCTTTGTCTCTTTTCGTGGTCATTTCATGTGTCATCAAGTGACTTGCACCGTGCAAATAAGCGGCCTGGACATCGTTACTGACGACGTCGTCCATAAGGTGGCATCACAGGCGCATATCCGCCGCCATATATCGGTTGGTAGAAGGAGTCACCGCCATAGGCGGCGATTTGAGCAGCGTTCAAAGCAGCTGTCTGTGCATGGGTGCCAGTAGGAACTGAATAGGTGCCAGGGGGTCCATAGGGCCCGGGACTCAGTCGCATGCCCTGCTGCAACATGGCCTGATATTGGAGAGGACTGAGTTGATGCATTGACTGCGAGTTCACCGAGCCGTAATTGTTGTTTTGCAAAGAGAGCTCTCCGAGGGCCCTCAGCGTAGCATGATCAATATGGGCACTTCGAGGATTCGCTTGCGAGTAGTTTGAATTGTAGGAGTGCTGCTGTCCGTGTGAAGCATGCCGAGGGTGGCGTTGAACATTCTCCTGACCTTGACCAAAAGTGGCTCGACCGCTCAAGCCTACCTCGTCCAGTAAGCGCTTGTATGGGCCTATTGGTTGAATGTTCTGCTTTTGTATTGTCTGCCTCACGCGTGCAATCGCCTTTGTGCGCAGATCTGGGTCCAGGAAGGGCGTATTCAAAATTTTGAAAATGAAACCAGGTCCTCCGACAGCATCCCTGATAACATCGTCCAAGATGCTAGCATCGTCACTGAAGAACAAGGCATTGAGCAGAGTTTCTCGTGCTCCTGTCTCTTGCCGTTGATTCATAATTTTGAGGATGGTCAGCGACGCCAGCTTGTGCGTGCAAAGTGGCCCGATATGCTGAGCCAGTTTTGATGCAAGCACACTGAACCTCTTTGGAAGCGTACAAGTATCAAGCAACCAAGTCAGCAGCAGAGCCCCGTTTGTGTTGGTGGCCAATTGGACACTGTGCAATACTATGGCAGCAGAGATGAGCCTTTGATGAACTTCAGTCGAATCGTTGCTCTCAAGACAAGCGCGCATGGCTCTGGAACCGAAACGACCCTGCGCTATTTCCCAGGTATTGCTCAGCATGGCCTCGAAAATGAAGCTGTTGTATTCTGATCCGAATCTGAGACAGCACTGAACGACATAGTTGCCATACTGGTCCAAGAAAAGAGCTGGAATATACGTTCGGAGCGAGTCGACAATGAGCCACTTCTCTTCAGGCGTCTGGGCGACATCGATGATCTTTTGAGCAGCCCACGTTCCATTCTTATGGATGCCTGTCTCTGCAAGGGCAGGTCCGATCCGCTTCAACATCTTAATCTTGGTTGCAGTTGTACAATTCTCAAATAGCTTTTGCACGACAGTGTTGCCAAGATAGTCGGATGAAAGCTCTGCGACCTCATCAAGCATCTCCAGGGCGAGTCCCTCGAGCTCATCTGGAGCCAATACACCTGCATCGATGCGCTTGCGGATGTCACGCAGGCGAGGCGCATCAAACTTACGGTTCGTGGCCGCCTCATTGGGTGCAGAAATACCCTTGTAGATGCGCGAGTGCTCGATACTGCTGGCGATCAACGCCTTGGCGGCCTTGCTTTCATGGTCGGGCGTCTCAAACTTATCTAGCAAGGCTTGCAACTCTTCGGCAATGCTGGCAATTGTAGGCGGCTTGGAGGCATCCTCTGCTGCGCCATTGCTGTCCAGGTTGAGGTATGGTTCAGGCGATACCGAAGCATTTGGTGCGGGAACCTTGGCAAAGCCGATGCGGATAGGTCCGACGCCAGGGAAAAGTTCCTTGCCGTTGAATGTTCCACGCGCAACGACTGCACTGTCTAGCTGGTCAAAGTTGACAAAAGCACAACTCTTGTGTGTCAGCACACGCGCGGACTCGATACTGCCAAAGGGCGAGAACATGGCGAGCAATGCCGCTGATGGAGTCGAGGCAGGCACGTTGCCGAGCCATAACGCTCGTGTTGGTTGGTTCTGCATGTAGCCTGAGCTGCCGTCACCATGGTCTGCGTACCCATCTGCTTCCTCGAAGCTCAAATCAGCGGCCGTGATGTTGTGCTCCATGTGCGATTGCAACGGCGTGTAATTGCGACTGCGCAAGGCTGGTGGCGAATCCAGAATACCTGCAGTGCGGGAACGTGGGCGCGCAGGCGTTGTGCGATAGATGTCCTGGTAGTATGCTTGCTGACTGTCATAGTCTTCCTCAAAATCTTCATACTTTTCTTTGTTGTTGACGGAGTAAGATCGCACACGATTTGCATCGCGCCGGCTGCCATCTCCAATGAATGGCAGTGGCGAAGAGCCATACACAGGGACCGTTGGCGCCATGGCGCGCGGAGGAGTGGGTGTGTCTGCAAGACCAAGATAATCCAGCGTTTTGATGGGTGTCTGTTCATCATCCCTGGAGAATGAGGTTGAAGCGGCCGGAGATGCGGCTTGTGCTGCATTGCCCGCAGCACGGCCTGACCAGGTGGAAGAAAAGATGCTTGGACCAAAGGCATTCGAATAAGGGTTCTTGTTTTGTGGCAAGGTCAAGCTATTTCCACGCAGTCGGGAAGCTGCTGGCGAACTGATGTTGGACGCGGGCGACGTGGAAAGCTGCTGCTGGGACAAGCTCTCTGGCAATGCAGATAATGATGCCTTCGTCCTCAATGGTGAAATGGCGCCAGGCCGAAATGGAGAGGAACTGAAGCTCAAAGTTCCCGCAGGCGAACCAATGTCGCCTCCGGGTGATGCACCAAATGAAGATGGAACAGTACCAGCTCGTGCACGTCTATAGGGACTCTCTGTACCAATGGCTGCAATGCCAGCGGACGGCCGGTCCTCCTGGCCCTTGCGTTCATCCGTTGGGCTAATCGAGCGCACCAACGAAGATGGGCTTTTGATGGACGATGGCGTCCAGAAGGATGTAACGCCTGCTTCTGCCTGAATTTCCCTGGTTCTTCTTGTTAGCACCTGACACTCGGGGACGGGTAAAGCATACCTGCGGGATAAGACACGCTGTGCTTCATCTGTAAAGCGCGATGCTTCTCCGTCGAATGGCACAGAACCTGACATGTTCGGTTGGGAGCAGCAATGGAGAGTTGATTAGGGTACTGGTCGAGCGTTGAGAAGAGCCAGAGTGGGCGGGACGGAGTGGTCGTGTCAAAAGGGAATCCTGCTCTTGGAGGAGTGAAAGCCGCTTTGCTTTGTCGTGTTTGGTGGTCAAGCAAAGCCAGCAAACAAGGATGCTGAGGCCTACAATCTAGATCCTTGACAAGGCAAGTAGCAAAGAGACGAAGAGCAGCTGACGCGTGGGGGGATGGGGGTGACAAAGTGAGAATGTGGTGGGCAGAATCCGCGTGCGCCTCTCAAGACTGCGAGCTGTTGGTCTCCTGGGCGGTGTCGTGGATCTCCTGAGCGTGCCACGCCAACAATAGAACCGATGAGCTGCCTCCCGTGTCCCTGTCGCGTCTCTCGTGTCTCCTGGAGTTGTTGCTGGAGTTGAAAAAGTGACGACAGATCTCGCCCAGATCGGCCAACACCACAAGCTCAGCTCCCTCAGCTCCCTCAGCTCACTAGACTTTCATGCTCAGCTCCTATAATCTACAAGTGTAACGCTATATACACACGATGAGCTCAAAAGACTTCGATGGAGCTGCGTCTGGCAGCGGATCGGATGGAGGCTATGAGTCAGAATCAAGCTTCCAAATGCCAGACCCGCTAGCTCTTGGCCGCGAGAAGCGTGCAACTGCTGGTAACCGCTTGCGAGACATGCTCAACCTCGAGATTGAAACGGAGGGCATGTTCGCGGAGGACGCTGAAGATGACGACTTTGGCAGCGATCAAGGTGCGTGCTTCTGCTCACCTCTGCAACTCGCTAATCTGTAGACCAAGTGGATGACCACAACTCAGAACTAGACAGCTCTTCCGAGGAGGATGCCGCTCAGCAGGAGCCTGAAGACGCGGGAGAACAGGCTTTGAAAACACAAGAAAAGGCTGCCAACAGGCAAAAGAAACGTCGAGCAGCAGAGGCCTTCACCAAAGCGAAGCCCAAGGTCAAGCAAATCCCCGTTGCTGCTAATACAGCGACGCCTCAGCTTCCAAAGAAGCGCGACAGGGCATCACTCAATACTTCAGCTCAGCGACAGAGTGCGCGTGCTCATACAAGACAAGTTGCGGGTGCCGTTGAGCAACGCCTCAAAGCTGCAAAATCACGTCAAAGCCAACAAGTTGTGGCCCCAAGAGTCGTTGAACGTCCTTTGACGCAGGCAGAGCGGCTGGAAGAAGCGAAACGAACTGAGGAAATCAATGTCGCCTCTCTCAATCAGGTCGTTCAGTATGAGGAGGAGAAGAAGGCAACACAGCGTGCCCTGGCAGCAAAGAGACAAGCCGCTCAGCCAACCATTCGAATCTTTAGTACTACAAAGGCGAGCACGCACCCAACAACGAAGGTAGTTCCAAAGATCATCGATGTCTCAACCACAGAAACAAGTCTGGCACATCCTATGGATGCTGTTGCGCAAGCAAAAGTTGCTCCTGAGCTGACTACTGTCTCCACTATTGATCCGGCACCACGAGCTAAGGAAGCAAGCCCGACGCCTGCACCTGCGGCCAAGCACTTTGTGGCCTTTGCCCACTTCGAGTCTGCACCCTTCGCACGCGAGCTCCTGCTGGGCCTTCCGCCTGGCACAAAACGCAAACGACCCCCAGCAAAAGTCCTATGTCCCATCACCGGCCGCCTTGCACGGTACAAGGATCCTAGCACTCGCGTTTGCGTCGCCAATCTGGAAGCCTACCGTGTTGTCAAGCAATTGGCAAATGGAGAAGTTTTATACAATCCAACACTGGAAATGTATACCGCTCCGGCCTATGTGCCGAGCAAGCGTTGAAGAGTTATGCCGTCATGCACACTAGCAGACAAGGACTGCACTTGAAGCTGTCGCCGCGGTGCTCGCGTGTCAGATGGGATGCGTGCGATTATTTCCGTGCGCTATCGGGAAACCCTTATCGGGCTCCAGATGGCAACGTATCAGCTCAATCGGGCGGGCTACGCATGAGTTGATGGGCCAGCTCCGGAAGAGCTTCAAAAGTACAAAGCAAACAGCAGGATGTCCGCGATGCTTGCGTGTTGGCCACAAACACAACGACACCAACACATCTACTCGAACGCGCGCAACAGCAGGACGGCACTGACGCGACATGACACCCATGCACGACCGCGGCTATGGCAATTTTGAGAGCAGTTATTGCACCGTGTGCGAGTGCTTGATTGACGGCAAACCAGAGACGTCTTTGTATTGCTCAAAGGCATGCCGTAAGAGAGACGCGAAGGAGCTTTTCTCAATGCCTGTAGATGAAGTACGCTCTACCTTTCAGCGCACGAAGTCGGCAACCTCCCTCACGGGACTTGCTGAGCTTGCAACCCATTCACCGGCCACCGCACACAAGTTATGCACACCAGCCCGTCCGATATTGACACCACTCACACCAAGCATTTTATCCGATGGAACTGAGCCAAAAGGAGATGCAGGGGAGAGGTCGGCAGACAAGACGATGAAGGCGAGGGAACGGCCTCTGCCGCCCAAACGTACAAGCTACAGCAGCAGTGTACCGCGTTCTATTGATCTGGTAACGCCTGATCCGCAACTCCTTTCGCTGTCACGTACGTGCTTCTCACCGTTAGCGATATGCTAACGTGCAAGCACTCAAGCGAGACCAACCAAAGATACGCATCGCAGCATTTGGCTTGTCGGGTGATGCCAGACCGCGGTCGCCTCTGCACAAGGACCCGGGGAGTGGTTGTTGATGCGAAGTACTCTATCAGCACGCCTCATCATGGTTTATGAATCACATGTTTTTGCAGGCTGCCTAGCTCGTGGAAGGTGTGGCCTCGTGCCCACGTCAGTAAACCAAGTTTTAAGCTTTCCATTCAACTTCAGACTTATTTTTTCTTCCGAGTGCCGTCATCGATCACCGGCAAAAAATGCCTTGGTCGTTGATGAGCGCGGATTTCCAAGCAGGGTCCGGTCGGCGGTCACTGACTCACTGCGGTCAGTCTACTGAACCCTAAGCCGGCTCTGCTGCAGAAGCAGTGCAGATGGCGTTGTGAGTCTGCTATTTGGATGTTCGGAATTGTCTATAGCTTCCGCAGTCACAGATAGTAAGGCTGCTGCAGCCGTTGCAACGACCTGACTGTTGAACTGGAAACAGTTGCACAGATCTAAGACTACGAGACTTGCTTTTGTGGCCAGAAAGTTCAAATTCGACGGCAGCTGAGTGTTTGCGGGCCCAAAGCGGATGCATTCCCAGGCAGCAGCGCCTTTTGATTGGCGGTGACCTGGCCAACACGTGCACCTGGTCATTCCGCGGGCAGGATACTCAGCTATAGATGGACTTAGGGAGCAGGCCTGAGATGCTGTGCTATGGCAGCAGGTGCCAGGTGCTGTGAGTGAGCATTGAGGGACTACTGGTCTATGCTGACTGGATCTCGCCCTCGACGGAGTTGCCTGCAGCCGTTGGAGATCCGGCGATGAGACATGACGTCAATGTTGTGCGCTCATCTGGCAGACTCACAGCCAGCAAGCCAGGATTTACTGATTCACTGGGCCGGTACTTAAGACCAGCAGGCGCCCCATCCACTCTACCACTACCATATACACACACACACACCAACAAGACTCATATCTACTCCAATCTAAATGGTGACCAAGTACGACAGACCTCTTCTCGCAGGACACGGCTTCCACTGGCCCCTCGTCGGGCTCCAGTTCCTCTGTGGTCTCCTCATCCTCGCCTTCTCCTCCGCCGCCATCGCGCAGCACGAGGGAAACACAGCCTCCGTCATCAACTACTTTGTCTTCCTCGGCATCATCATCCTCCTCTGGGTTTTCGCCGTCGCCGGCGCACCTTTCGTCCCAGCCCTTGGCCAGGAAATGGTCCGCGCACCTGTTGACGGTGTTATCATGCTCCTCACCCTTGCTGGTGGTATTGCCATGGCCACCCGTCTCCGAGTCCACTCTTGCAGAAACGACAACTACGTTGCCCAGCCTCTTTTCCAGGGCTCTGCAAATGTCTGCCGCATGCTCCAGGCAGCTTGCGCCTTCTGCTGGTTCTCCTTTGCTGGATTCCTCGTTACATTCATTGCAGCGACTGTTTCCTTCTGCTCCGGTGGCCCAGCCACCCAGCGTGGTTCGCGCAAGCCAAGGGCCCCTGCTACCGTCTAAGCACAGAGATCTCTATGCTTTTTTGGAGAACCACACAAACGACTTGCACCTTGTAAAGGGGGTCATTTCAGACTTGAGAAGAGCATGTTCTTCGGGGTTTCTATCGGAATCCCCTCAAAGGCTGCTTCCATGTTCGAGATTGGCCTTGTAGCATCTGTCAAAACATATTTAATCACTATCTAATACCTACCTTGCATCTTTCCTACCAGTCTCTGCGCTGTGCAGGCACCTGTGCGCTTCGTTCAGCTTGCGAGAAATCTTTCCATGTGCGACCTCAAAATTTATTGACGCAGCAGCGCAGGCGACGACAGAGCGACACTTCTTCTTATATCGACAGCAGCAACATTAGATGGTCTCGACTGAGGCATCGACCAAGAAGCGCAAGAGTGCGCCAGCAGAGGAGCTTGAAATTGACCTCGATGCACCGGTACCCACTTCAAAGCGCGCAGCACGGCGTTTGAAAAAGGGCAGAACTTTAGCTCATGCTCCGAGTGCGCATCGTGCCATGGAGGACGATGAGAATTCCGATGAAAGCAATTCGGATGAGGAGAAGGAGGGGTCTGACGAGCTAGGCTCTGATACCGCCGAGCCAGCTGCAAAAAAGACCAAGAAGGACAAGAAGGAGAAAAAAGACAAGAAAGTCAAGAAGGACAAGTCAACTAAAGCGCCCAGAGAAGGTGCGGATGCCCCTGAATACAAGAAGGGTACCAATGGTATATGGATTGGCAACCTGTCCTTCAGAACAAGCGAGGAAGACCTCACAACTTTCTTCACCACACTCAAACCATTGGGCAAGGACAAGAGTCCGACTGCTTTCGCTCCCATCACAGCCAAAGATATTATTCGCATTTCTCTACCGCAAGGCGAAAAGAAAGGGCAGAATAAGGGATTCGCCTACGTCGACTTTGCAACGCCTGAACAGCAAGAAACGGCAATCGCACTCAGTGAGCGTATACTACAGTCTCGCAACGTCCTCATTAAAAAGGCAGACAGCTTTGAAGGTAGACCGGAGAAAACTGCTGCCACTGAAGCTGCAGATGAAAAAGCAACCAAGATCCTTTATGTAGGCAACTTGAGCTTTGACATAACAGGCGAGGAGCTCACAGAGTACCTTGGAGGCGAAGCGGCGGGCATTAAAAAGATGCGCATGGCTACGTTCGAGGACTCTGGCAAGTGTAAGGGCTTCGCCTTTGTCGACTTCAAGTCTGTTGATGAGGTCAAGCGTGTCTTGGCGAACAAGAAGCTACGTACCATGAATGGCAGGAAGCTCAAGATGGAGTTTGGAGAAGATCGATCACAGAGGCGCAAGCCGTTCGTGAGACAACCGGAAGAGTCTACCAGAGCACCAGGCCGGACGGAGGAAACTGGAAAGCGCGATCCAAGAACCATCACACCTGGAGCAGCTTTGACGAATGCCCAACGTGCGTCGACTGCCATTGTTGCTAGTACAGGGCAAAAGACGACGTTTGAGTAGTCTGCCGTCGAGGTGAGATACAGAGTATCAGGTAAGCTCTGATAGCAATGGTCGAAGCCCATCTGGCAAATGCCCCTGGCACGAGTGACCGTGAGACTTTTTTCGTGCTAGCGTGATAAAAAGCTCGACGCTTCTTGAAGTGCTCCTTACAACTATTTACCACTGTGATGAGATGCATGTTTAGCAAAGTGCAGGAGACCTAAGAATCCTCCTCGTATCCTCTTTCGAGGGTCGCTGGCTGCAAGCGCTCGGCCCACCACCTTTAAGAGCAAAGTTGACTGAGTGGACTAAAGGTTGTTTACGTTGCATCATTCTTCGCAAGGCTATTCTGATCGTCAGTCCTTACGATGACTGTATATATCGCATCATCAATTTCATAGCATTTGTAGCCCAGTAAGCATTCGTCGTTCATTTCGCTGTGCAAGTTAAAAACCACTCAAACTCGACAACACATCCCTGCACTGGCGAGCTCGAGCTTGCGGGCCTCTGGCCATCAGCTCATCAATGCAGACTATCTGCGCATCCTCTACCAGAGTCAACACATCTTGGCTGTTTCCAAACCGCCGTTTACAATCTGCCAAAATGAGCCAGACAACGCAAGCAGCGTCTTTGCTCTTTTGAAGACCAAGTACCCAATGCTCTTCTCCTCTCGGCTCCAACATCCATTTCATGCTCCAAAAAGTGTCCATCGACTCGATGGCCTTGTGTCAGGCACGTTGCTCCTCGGCACTTCGGTGCCTGGCACACGACAACTGGCCAAGCAGTTTCGTAGACGTTCCATTGCAAAGCGGTATGTGGCCATCCTATCACAGCTACCTGGGCAGTTTTCTGTGCTAGAAAAGCAAGATGAAGGCTTGGTCGAGACTGAAGGCCGGTCGACAGCATGGCAAGTGCATACACGTATGATGATTAACACAACGCCAGTCTACGTTGTGCGCTTCGAGCCACGGGAAGGCAAGAATCATCAGCTCAGGCTGCATGCTGCTCATGAACTCAATGCTCCAATCATGTTTGATCGACGCTACCCTTTGGCACCAGACGGCCTCAAACCGCTTTCCATGACACAGCCGCGAGCAGATTTGGTCAAACAAGCACCGCAGGACGGCATTGCTCTGCATTGCGCGAGCATGACATTTCGCTTTGGCTTGCAAGAGACCCACGTTGCGTGTGAGCCTCCTAGCCTTGGTATATGGCAACACTTTAGCAAGATGTACGGCATCAATTGGACACAGGTTGCTCATATGGACAGCATATAGTTCAGCATATCATACTCAGCGCTGTCGCTTTCTTGTCACTGCCTTTCCTTTTTGTACAAGGGGGTCGGAATGGGAGCGCCCAAGAATATTGAGTGCCATGGTGTTGCGCCAGACAAAGAAGCGCGGGGCATTCTCATCCTGCTCTGTCGCATGTCTGAGCGAACGCCTCTCTGCGATTTGATCCGGTCTGCCAATCAAGTACTGGGTGCGCGCTTCCATGCTCTCGGCGATGATTTCGTAACGTGACTCCAATGCTTGTCGCAGTTTCGTCTCCCTGTTCCCCTGAGTGAACAGCCAGCTGTGCAGCTTCTCGAGCTGCTCGGGTTGATCGTAGTACGCCCAGTCACTCGTTGACTGCAGCAGGCCTACATCCGATGCAGGCAATTCTTGCTGCTTCCGCGAATGCAACGCTTCAGCAGGCAAGATGCTTGCCATGAATGCGGTTGCAAATGGATCTGGTCCTTGAACAAAGACACGACCAGCGGCATAGCCAGCGTGTGATGTACTTTGGGAAGGCATGCCCTTGTAAGGCATACCGACAGCCTCCAGGAACCAATAGGTGTTGTTGAATCGGTCTTGGCCGAGCTGCTTCAAACGCTGCATGTCGGACTCGCGAAAATCAGCATCCAACGTTGCGAGCTTTGTGTTCTGGCGCGCGACCTTGCGTTGAATTTTGGTAATGTCCAACTCGTATTCAGCGCGAGATGAGTATTGCTTTGTTTCATTATGTGCTTCGCTCTTATCCTCGTCGAGATCAGACAACGACGAGTCAGAGTCGTCAACCAGAATTTCATTCTTAAGCTTGGAGCCGTTCGGACGCTTGGCTCCCCGTCGTGTAGTACGAATTGCAGACTCCTCACTGTCAACCGAGGCCGTATCAAAGTTGTCGCCCATCTCTTCGTCCGATAACTCTTCACTGGCAACAGAAGCAGCCATGCGTTGATTGGAAGAGCCACCATTGAATCTGCTATCGAGGATGGCTGCGGCTGCTTCAGCACCTGCCGCCGACTTTTTGAGGGGATACTGGGCGCGCATGCCGAGGCGGAGTTTATAAATGTCGTCCATGAGGCTGCGCTTGATCCTATTGGCCTCAACACGCTCTTTGCGTACCTTGGTCAGGTTTCTGCTGCACTCCTCCATGTAATCTCGAATTAGGGGTGTTTGCAAGAGTAGGTCAATCAAGATGTACAGAAGCTCAACCTTGAGTGTACATGCGAGTGAACGAAAGCAGTCGGGTAATTCGCCATCGGAAGCAGCAAGCTCTCTGACGATTTTGCCACACGCTGCATTTGGGTCTGCTCGTGAGAGTTCACAGCATAAGCCCACCAAAATTTCAATGAAGCCGTCTTCGTGCAAAGCCTGCTTTGCCAATTTGTCACGCCACTGCCCTGTTGCATAGACGAGATCTTCTCTAGCCGCCTCAAGCACATCAGGTTGTTTGGTAGCAATTTCGTCAACGTCTCCGTCGGCAGTGTTTAAAGCTTCATCGGGTGGGCTGATCACCGCATCGAGCGGAGATTCATCGCCTTGTTTCAGAGCCACGATTAGTGAGCAGTAGAGCTCATTCACCAGCTCTGAAGGACCTTGATGAAGTAGCGCATCTCTAAAGTCGTCCAGAGTGAAAGCATCGAGAATAAGAATTTCATTAAAGACATTGAAGAAGGCCCATACCTCCAAGAAGTGTTCGAATACAGGGGCAAGTTCGGTTTCAACAGGTGAAAGAGCCGGCCGTTTTGTTTTTGAAATGGGAACCAAAAGGTCGTCGCCATCCATAGGTAGATCTGCTTCGTCCTCTTGTATCGAGGCTGCTTCCAACGGTTTCTTCTTTTTGGCTTGCTTCGCCTGTTGCGCGGCAAGATGAACTTTGCCACCTTTTTGTAGATGCGGCGGTATCGTTGTGTCAATCTTGTACCGCTCAGCATAATGACTGCGGACGACCCAAGGGGCGCCCTGCCAGTTATCCTTTCTGAAGGCATTCTTGATAAATGCTCGTAAGATGGCTTTCGTAAAAGTCCCTCTTTCGCGTGCGAGAGTGCTTCCATCAATGGTCGTTGCGTTTGATCTTCCATTATAGTAGTCCTCTAGCTCCACAGTGTATCGGGACGCGGCCTGCCGTTGCTGACCATTGGGCATGGTCATTTCAGCAAGCATGGTCTTCTCGCGCACATGAGCAGCAAAGCGTCGAGCCGTGTTGGGTTCCGTGTAAATGAGTATTTCTCCTGGAAAATATTCTGCCTTATAAGCCTTAGAGCATTAGCGCTTAATTAGCAAAAGTGTTGCACAGGCTTACCTCAAATGCGAGGTCGACGAGATGCTCCAAACGACCATCTGTGTGAAGATTGAGCCTGCGAAGTAGAGGCTCTTTGAGGGCTTCAGGGAAGCTATTGTCGATGCCAGTTGACCCTTGCACTTCTGACTGCATGGCAATCTTGAAGGGTAAATTTTGTCGCCCAGTCAATTCACAGGTAAACTGATGCTGCTCGTAGAAACTGCGACAAGGCGTTAGTCTGTGTGTTCGGGCCTTATTGATGCAAGGCGCTAGTCATACCTGAGGCGCTTCAGAAATGCTTCATAGTCTGCGAACACCTCACGCGTCTCCCGAATCTCCCAGACGAGCGCGTTCAAGGGCAATTTATCTGGGTTATCTCTTGCGTACTGGACGGGGTTGCGCTTGTAGAGCACCTAGACGCGTGTCAGCAAGAGGGCACGCGTGAGGGTCCCGAGGGATGGTTGCAGTACCATATTGGTGCCGATAAATAGAGGAGCAGGGGCCCTTTGCGGGTGCCTAGCTATAGTTGTGGGGTTGTTGGTTGGCTAGGGATTGAGGGCCATGTGGATGCCTGGGGGAGGTTGGCTGCCTGGTGTTGTGTGCAGAGTGATTTAGGGGTGGCCGGTGCGGGTGTGTCATTGCTCTGCTCTCTGCTCTGTGCTCTCACTGCTCTCTGCATGATCCTCTGGCACTCTGCTCTCCCTCTGCTCTGCCCTCTCTCTCTGCGATCCTGCGCCACATGCACCAGCCTCATGAATCCAGCGCGAGAGAAAGAAATTATTGACCGCTACGACTACAGAGTGCACACTACAGCACAGGCACAAGACTGGCCCCCTTCTTCTCCAATGGACCAGCTAGCCTCGGCGGCCCTGGATCCAAAGCATTCCACCAGGCTTCTCATACAGAATGCCCACCTCGCACCCCTCTGCTTCGCCGCATGGACAGACCAATACACCCACCATCCACAGCTCGTCGGCACTGCCTTTGCGCGCATCATACAGATCCTGCCCAGCGCAGACATGTATGAACATCTTTTCATTCATTCCTTCATTCATCAACTAACAAGTCAGTTTCGCGAAAGAATGTCTGTGCGACCTGGGCCCATTCACAAAATCCCTTGGTGATGCGGCAACATCGCCAGACCAGGTCGTCGAGATTCTGGTCGGCCTGCTACGCCTTCTGCGACACGACCCGCGCTTCTTCTTACCTTTGCTGCCCATGAAAATACTCTGGCCACTGGGCAAGCATGCAGACAAGCGCGTCTCGATACTGGCCATTTATGTTGTCGCCTACTTTACGCAAGCCTCAGACTACGAGCAGACTCAACAAATCAACGCGCAAGTAGGAGAGGAGAGTGTCATTGCTGAGCTAGACGAAGGCCTGCGTTACGACCTCCACATATTTGGCACCTGGGAAGATCGACGCATACGCACAGCGAGCAAGGAGCTCACATTGGCGCAAGGGGGTGCATCGCAAATCGAGGTGCACGAAACACATCCCCGTCTCGCCAATTTGGCGGGTGTCATGATTCCTCGTCGTCCGCAATCTGCTTTGCCACCCAACTTTGTGCCTACACCAACAGCATTGCTCAATTTGCGCGACTTTGCCACTGCCCTTATGTCTTCCAATGCCGTGCTTCTTCAAGGTCTCAAAGGAAGCGGGAAAACTTTTCTCGTTGAAGACGTCGCCGCAGTATTGGGCAGGCAGGCTGACCTCGTCCGCATCCATCTAGGCGATCAAACGGACGCAAAGCTGCTCATTGGCACCTATGTCACAAGCGCAACGCCCGGTCAATTTACCTGGCAAGCCGGTCTGCTCACCAATGCCGTCAAAGCAGGCAAGTGGCTTCTCATTGAAGACATTGATAAGGCCCCTAAGGAGGTCTTGAGTGTCTTGCTGCCTCTCATGGAGTCTGGCCGCATTCTCATTCCAAGTCGCGACGAAACCATTGCTGCAGCACCAGGATTTAGACTGCTCGCAACAAGAACAGTGTCTGCAGGTGGGAAACGAATCACAAATCGCATGCTCGGTGCGCGTCTCTGGCATCAAGTGGATGTTCGCGAGCTCCCCATCGCTGAAGTTCGACAGGTCATGGTGGCTCGGTATCCTGTGTTATCGGCCATGGCTGACACGCTATTGCGCGTTTGGCATGTCGTATCATCCATGCAACACACTGGCCGATCAGCTGATCGCACAGCTCGGGGCCGACCTCTTGGTACCCAGGATCTACTCAAATGGGCCCGGCGAATTGTCGCCGTCTTTTCTGACAATAACATCCTGTCACCAAGCGACACTTTGCCGAGCAATGTGACTGACGATATCTTTTCAGAAGCTGTCGACTGCTTCGCTGCCACATCGAGCTCACCCTCCATTTATGAAGCAATTGTAACAGACATTGGTGTTGCCCTCGAATATCCTCCCGAGCGTGTTCAGTTGTATCTCAAGTCGCACACGCCCACCATCACCGAGACGAAGCATTCTCTCGCCGTAGGACGTGTGGCACTGGCGAAAAAGGCCAACATGAGTAAATCGAGCCGCAGTCGCCCATTTGCCTACACAAGTAGTGCACTGCGTGTTCTTGAGCAGCTTATGGTCGCGTGTAAATTCCGTGAACCAATTCTGCTCGTCGGAGAGACTGGTACGGGTAAGACGACAGTCGTGCAGCAACTTGCCAATACATTGGGCCACAAACTCGTTGCCATCAACATGTCGCAACAAACAGAAAGCGGTGATCTCCTTGGCGGATTCAAACCAGTCGATACCAGATCGCTCGCTGTGCCAGTTATTGAAGCCTTCGAGTTTTTGTTTGAAAAAACACTGAGTGCTTCGAAGAATGCCAAGTTCCTCGCTCAAATCCGACGGGCACTTGCCAAAGGACAATGGCGGCGCTTTGCAACACTGCTGCGTGAGGCCTACAAAATTGCTGTCAAGAAGCTTGACCGTGCAAGTCCAGCATTAGATGGAGATGAGGCGCAACGCAAGCGTCGCAAGCTAGACCATTCATTGCTCACAGAGTGGCAAACCTTTAGCGCGACCCTCGATGCTTTTGATCAGGCACACGAAGGAGCTCAGAAAGCGTTCAGCTTCGCTTTCGTGGAAGGAACGCTTGTGCGGGCTATGCGCAATGGAGACTGGGTGCTTCTCGATGAAATCAACTTGTCGGCGCCAGATACTTTGGAGAGTATCAATGGACTTTTGCAGGAGATCCCTTCCATCGTGCTGACGGAGAAGGGTGACCTCGAGCCCATCGTTGCGCATCCAGATTTTCGTCTCTTTGCGTGTATGAATCCTGCCACCGATGTCGGCAAGAAGGATTTACCTTCCGGAGTGCGTGCGCAATTCACTGAGCTTTATGTGCACTCTCCCGATGCCAATATGCAAGACTTGCTGGCAATTATTGCAAAGTATATTGGTGGTTTGACGCTTGAAGACAACAGAGCTTGCGACGATGTTGCATCGCTCTACATGACAGCGAAGAAACTCGCACTGGAAAACAGTTTGGTGGATGGTGCTGGCCAGCGTCCGCATTACAGCATCAGAACACTGTCGCGTACTCTCTCGTATGTCGCTGAGATCTGTCCTCTCTACGGGCTACGTCGATCCCTCTACGAGGGCTTCTGTATGTCATATCTGACATTACTCGACGCCGAGAGCGAGGCCTTACTCTTACCCATCATCGAGCAAGCTACTATTGCGCGCGTCCGCAATGCAAAGTCTCTGCTCTTTCAGGCTCCAAAACGACCGGTTGGCGATGAATGGATCCAATTCAAGCACTACTGGCTGCATCAAGGTCCTTTGGTGCCGCAAGAAGATGCGCGGTACATTTTGACACCTTTTGTTGAGAAGAATCTTCTCAACTTGGTTCGTGCATCCGCGACGAGGAAGTTTCCGATCCTGTTACAAGGTCCAACGTCAAGTGGCAAGACAAGTCTGGTTGAGTACCTGGCAAAGCGCACTGGTCACAACTTCGTGCGCATCAATAATCACGAACACACAGATTTGCAAGAGTACCTCGGTGGCTATACGTCCGATGCGCATGGCGCACTTGTCTTTCAGGAGGGCTTGCTGGTGCAGGCAGTTCGTCAAGGCCACTGGCTGGTCCTAGACGAGTTGAATCTCGCACCTACAGACGTACTGGAAGCACTCAATCGATTGCTAGACGATAATCGAGAGCTCCTTATTCCAGAGACGCAGGAAGTCGTAAAGCCTCATCCAAATTTCATGCTGTTTGCTACACAAAACCCACCAGGTCTCTATGGCGGTAGAAAGCATCTATCTCGTGCCTTTCGCAATCGGTTCTTGGAGCTACATGTCGACGACATTCCGGAAGAAGAACTTGAAACTATCTTGTGTCAGAGGTGTCAAGTCGCACCATCCTACTGCAAGCGGATTGTCGAGGTTTACAAAATGTTGTCCTTGCGGCGTCAGTCTACTCGAGTCTTTGAACAAAAGAGTAGTTTTGCGACACTGCGTGATCTTTTCCGATGGGCCACTCGACCCGCAGTCGGTTACGAACAGCTAGCCGTTAATGGATACTACTTACTGGCCGAACGGGTCAGGCGATCAGACGAAAGAGAGGTCGTGAAGGAGGTCATTGAGAAAGTGATGAAGGTCACACTTGCCGATCTGGAAGCCTACGACATCGCTGAGATGCCCGAGTACAAGCAATTGCTTTCTCAACCTGATGCATTGTGTGATATCGTCTGGACGACAGCCATGCGACGTCTCTTTAAGTTGCTTGCTCTTGCCTTCCGCAACCGAGAGCCTGTCTTGCTTGTTGGCGAGACTGGGTGTGGCAAAACGACTGTATGCCAGAAGATGGCATATGCGTTGGGTAGACCAATCAAGATGCTGAACGCGCACCAAAACACAGAGACCTCTGACTTGATCGGTGCACTGCGTCCTGTAAGAGGCAAATCGCAATCAATCAAGATACTGAAACAAGAACTTTCGGATTTTCTCCATGAGGTCCAGGTCGCGCTGCCGGTCAGTGCCTCTCTCGACGATCTACTTGAAAGTTTTGGCGCCCTCGACATTGGAGCGTTTCCAAAGTCTTCGCCTATGCAAGCTCGTGCGGCAAAGCTGACAGAGCACGTCGACCGTCTCGGAGCGATTTTTGCTTGGGCGGATGGACCTCTAGTGGAAGCCATGAGGCATGGCGAAATTTTTTTGTTGGATGAGATTTCTTTGGCGGAGGATTCTGTGCTTGAACGTCTCAACAGTGTCCTTGAAACGAAGAGAACATTGGTGCTTGCCGAGAAAGGCGCAGACGATGATGCTCATGTGGATACCAACGACAATTTCCAATTCTGTGCAACGATGAATCCTGGAGGGGACTTTGGCAAAAAGGAGTTGTCACCAGCCTTGCGAAATCGTTTCACGGAGATCTGGGTACCGGCGGTCTCGGCGCAAGAAGACATCATCCAAATTGTTAACGCAGCTCTCAATGACACGAGGAAGCTTCTTTGCATGCCAATGATAGAATTCGCCGAATGGTTCGCCTCGGCATTCAGTGGGCCACTCAACAGCACGTCTGTCTCCATTCGAGACCTGCTGGCTTGGTGTGCCATGTGCAACCACAACAGCTTGACCCAACAGGAGGCACTTGTACATGGTGCCGCTCTTGTGTACATCGATGCTCTAGGTGCCAGCACATCAAGCAGCGTCTACTCAGAGAGCGATGCACTTCAAGCAAAGAGGCAAACATGCTTAGCTATGTTGTCCCAGTTTGCCGGCTTCGATTGTCGAACAGTGTACGAACGAGAGTTCCTCTTCCAGAGAGGCATGGACAGTGTAAGCATTGGACCTTTCTCATTGACCTGCGGTCATGTATCGCCTGCCAACGAGCTGTTCCACTTTGCTGCGCCAACAACACACGGCAATGCTACGCGTGTTTTTAGAGCCAGCCAGCTTCGCAAACCCATCTTGTTGGAAGGCAGTCCGGGTGTTGGCAAGACAAGCCTCATTACTGCGATTGCTCGGGCGGCACGCAGAGAATTGGTGAGAATCAACTTCTCTGAGCAGACTGACTTGATGGACTTATTTGGCTCAGACACGCCGGTGGAAGATAATGCCAAGATTGAATTTGCATGGCGCGATGCGCCATTTCTACAAGCTATGCAGTCGGGCAGCTGGGTGCTGCTTGACGAGATGAACTTGGCTTCTCAGGCCATCTTGGAAGGTCTGAATGCTTGTTTAGACTACCGCGCCGAAGCCTACATCCCGGAGCTAGGACGTTCTTTTCCTTGCCACCCGGACTTTCGAGTTTTTGCAGCACAAAACCCGCACGGGCAGGGCGGAGGTCGAAAAGGGCTCCCAAAGTCCTTTATCAACAGATTTACGGTGGTCTATTGTGACCCACTGATGCCTGGAGATTTGGATACTATCTGTCGAACTCTCTACCCGAGCATTCATGCAGAGGCCATCAGCTCTGTTGTCTCGTTCATGGCCGATCTTGATCAACTATTAGGTTCTGATCGAACATTCGGTAGTCTCGGTCAACCTTGGGAGTTCAACCTGCGTGACATGCTGCGCTGGCTGTCAATCACGAGCGTGCACAACAGCGATATCACCATTCGCCAATTTGCTCATGTTATTGTACGCGAACGTTTCAGAAGTGAGACTGATCGCGCTGCTGTTGATGCCCTTTGCGACCAACATTTCAGCAAATTTCCTCCGATTTCATCACCATCAGTGTCCTTGACCCGTTCATGTTTCAAAATTGGTCTCGCAGAGATTGCTCGTTCGATAAACGGCTCCTCGATGGGCACATCGTTCTCAGGGTTCCGTGGGGAACACAATAGTGCTTTGGAAAGTATCATTCATTGTCTCAACCAGAACTGGCCCTGTATCCTCGTTGGTTCAAGTGGATGTGGAAAGTCAAAGCTTCTTGAGAATGTTGCCCACTTGCTTGGCCATACGCTCAGCAGTCTGACCATGACAAGCGACATGGATTCCTCTGATTTGCTTGGAGGGTACGAACAGCGCGACCTTACGCGTTCTGCAAACATCTTGTTTGCCAAAGCTCGCCATCAATTGCTAGAATTTTTGCGGGCCCGCTCTGACCAACCCCAGATCGACGTCGCTCTCGAGACACTCGGTATGCTCGAGGAGAGTCAATTCACCACCGTGGATCGATTATGTGCCATTCGCGCAAATTTGCATTCATTGGACATCGCGCATTCTTCACAGACTGAACTGGATAGTTTAGCAGCTGAATTTGACCAGCCCACCGCTGGCCATTTTCAATGGGCAGATGGCAGCCTTGTGCATGCAGTCAAGAATGGCTCGTGGCTTGTGCTGGACAACGCTAATTTGTGCAATCCTTCGGTCCTTGATCGTCTGAATTCTCTGTTGGAGACTGATGGTGTTTTGACAGTCAACGAAAGGGTCTTGACGAATGGTGAACCAATGGTGATTGTACCTCACAAAGACTTCAGGCTTTTCCTCACGATGGATCCACAAAATGGCGAGCTTTCGCGGGCTATGCGCAATCGAGGCGTAGAAATCTTTGTGTTTCCTGTGACAGACGCGACGCAATATGCAGTTTCCAGTCTTGCAGACGACTCCTTCTGGACATGCGTTGACCGCACAATCGCCGAGGGTGAGGTCGACCTTCAAGGCCAATACTTTGCCCCTATCGATGCGGCTGAAGTGATTGCCCGTCGTCTCCCTGTGTCTGGCAGAAGTCGCGACTTGCCTGTAGAGAACAGCAATGTCGCGCTTCAGGTTGCTGCAGCTCACAAAGACTTCAAGGGCCCTAGTGCCGAGCTGGGAACACCTTTGGCAAACTTTCAAGTAGCTGTGGAAGCATTGACGATTGCGTGGAATGGACTAGCGACTGATTCGAAGTTTTGGAACGTATCGCTCGACGCTGGTGCTCGGTCGCCTGTCAAAACCCACTCTCTTCTTGCTCGACATCTCGAGAACATCTTCCAAACATTTCTTTCAACCTCCACGGAAATTACGTTGTCTCCCGAAACCGACACTATCCTCAAGCAATGGCTGAAGCTGCTCAGTTTCTATCTCCACCAGGTCGCATCTGCCCAGCTCAATTTGGATCTGGTCTGCGTGTTTCTCACAAAGTTTAAGGGCTTGCTGGAACGAAATTTATCGCCCGCACTCGGCTTGGATAGTGACGCCTTGAGGAACCTCGTCCATTTGCCACTATTTCAACCTCAGTCAAGAGGGCAATGTCTGGATATTCTATGGAAAAGGTTGAGACCCTTGACTCCCAAATCTTTGTCTGCGATTGAAATGAGGGATGCCCTGATAGCCACCGGAATCAAATTGGACGATCTGTCTTGGAGCTCGGGGGCCCTCTCTGGCGAGCTCATTGACTTGCAAATGATTCTCTTCGAACTTCTACAGCAAGCGTACGTGAAGGAACATCCTGCCTCCCAGACGTCGCTCGAGTGCGCTGATTTGGACAAGACATTGTCTCCATCTACGAAGCTGAATCGCAGCGACCAAGGACGAGACTTATTTAGGAAGCTGAGCAGCGTCATTTTGTTGAGCCAATTGATCGACTACGAATCTTGGCAAGATGATGAAGTGGTGAGCATCTACTCTTTTTTCTTTGATGAAGTCTAACCTGCAGACTAATTTGCCTCAGCTATGTGCAGTACGAGCTCTGGCGCATCTCAAATGCACAGATGTATGGCAGCTGATCAAGCCTGCCCCGGGCCTCCAAAACCACAGATCTGCTCGATTATTTGCTGTCGCATCCGTGGTCCTTGAGGATTTGCTGTCAGTCGGACAACATACGGAAGTTGTTCATCAATATTATTCGTTGTTGTAAGTCGGACCGGATTTACGTGCCTTTTCTAACCACAGGGCCAATTTCTCAAATACGGAGCTCGGTGAACTGCCGAAAGCTTTAGATAGACTCAAGTTGGTTGCGGGTCAAGTTTGTCACTTTTCTAGTGAAGTGCTCGCAGACGAGTGCACGGCAAAAGCCAAGTTATTAATTGTGCTTCTCAAAGATGTAAGCCTAATCCAGCATTTTGCGCGGAGTTAACGCCAGTATCTGGAAATCATTGAGCCACTCCTGAAAGACATCGACTTGCTTCGAGCCGCATGGGCTGCTGTTCTCAAATCGGCTTATGACAACACGCATGTCGATCTCATCTTGCAGGGGATCTCGAATCTCGAACGGACGGGCAATACGCACGCTATGTCATTGTGGAACTGGGCCTTTACATCCGCGATGGAGGCGATGGACCGATCACGCCCAACCAGTTCCAGGCTTCAAAGCTTGAGTACAGCATATATTGACTTGGCCATTGGTTTTGCACAGTTCTACCTGCCTGATGTGTCAAGAGATCCGGCCGCGGCCACAATCTTCGAACGCGATCTAGTCGAGTGGTCCATTTCTCGGACCGTGACTTGCCTGGCATTTGAGAAAAGTGTCAGCAAGCACTTGTGTGGCTCGACAGACGACGGAATTGCACGGATCTTGCTCCAAGAGCTGGGTGACTTACAAGCGCAATCCATCGATATCATCAAGGCAGCTCCATTGCGACCAGCTGCATCGCAAATGGCCCAGGTCGCTGTAGAACTGGATTATTTCGCCGAGCTCGTCAGTCAAGATGGTGAAATCAGACGCCAACAGCACTCATCTGAGGCACATGTACATGAGAAGGTTCATCACGGCGCTCAAATCAGCTCTTTATCCCAGACTCTCGCAAAACTCCAGCTACGTCTGCAAAGTTTTGATGCCTATTTCGACTTGCTCAGCCCCGTAATCAATTGCATCATCCAGCTGCGGACTGGCTTCCTCTTGTTGCGAACATCAATCGCCGAGCAGGAACAGCACGGATGCAGCCTTCCAGTGCCTGGCGCAGAAGCTGTGATTCTTACTCCATTTGATGTACAGCAAGTCACGAAACAGATCAGTTTTGTTGAACAGAGCACACCTGAGCTTTTTAAGGCGTTTGCGCTTGCACAGCTGACAAGAATCGAGTATCGTTTATCTCATGGGCTAGTCTCAATGCGCCAGAAGGAGGAAGTCATGCACATTTTCGAGCATGTTCTTGCTCGGATGTTCCGCAACTGGTACCTCGCCAGAGAGGCTGCAACAAAACTGGCCGCAGAAAGTGCGAGCCTTTACAAACATCAGGTCATCTCGGATGAATCGGAGGACGCGTATTTGGAATTGTTTCCAGACTATGACTCTTTCAGTCCAGTGGCACAAGTTGACGATAAGAGTCTCGACGGCGACATCTTCAATACTCACCTGAAAATCTTGTCGCTGAACGTTGGTCGAGCGATTCCCCCTAGCCAGCTGGTCAGCCTGGAACAAACGCTGGAAACTTTCGTACCCGTGTACGCAAGCTCTCTGTGCAGTGGACAGCCTCCAACAAGTAGCTTGATTGCGAATGAAACCCTCTCATCAGCGACGTATTACGCGATGCATTTGTACCAAAGACTTTCCATGTCTGAAAGCGACAAAGACATGACGAAAGTCTACGATTTCTATCACTCTGAAATCCCCTCCAAGACTAAGCAAGTGGTTCCAATGCTGCTGCGCTTGCAGTCACGAATCTCAGCTCTGGTAGAGGCTTGGCCGGAGCACGCTACTCTGGCAGATCTTCTTGACTCCGTGGATCGTCTGCTGAAACTGCCCACTACAGTTGCCCTCGCGCAGATGTTGACGATGCTTGAACAGACTTTCGCAATGATGGCACAGTGGCAAGAAGTGGCGAGTCGCGAGTACACTATCGCGGACTTGCTCGAGGAAGTCAGGTCCAAAATCGTCGAGTGGCGCCGCTTTGAGCTCAGCTGCTGGCCTCGTTTATTCCAGCTTGAAGAAATCTCTGTCCGCCGGGCTGATTCTTCGACATGGTACAATTTGTACGAGCTGATGATCCTCGTGCCTAGCCAACAAGACGAACTGGACGACCGATGGGTCATTGAGACATTGGATGCAATACTCCAGTACATCAGGAGTGCGTCAGCTGGCCAATTTGCCGGCCGTTTAAATTATCTCAACGCCTTTGCGCTTCACTTGCAGTTGCTTGCACGCGATAGGACTGGACATGCAGCATTCGCCATGGCCGTCTGCAACATCGCCAATTACTTTTCAGAATACCAAAGCGTGGTCGCTGAGTACATCTCACGAGAGCGGAAAGTTCTTTCAAAGGAAGTATCAGATATCATCAAGCTCGCCAGCTGGAAGGACACCAATGTCTACGCCCTGCGAGAAAGCTCTCGGAGGTCACATCGCCAGCTTTACAAGCTCGTGCATAAATTCCGTCGCGTTCTCAACACCTCAGTTGGACAGGCGCTGAACGCTGGTCTGGTCCTTGCGCCTCCAGCCCGGGCGGTCGGTCTTGCAACCACTACGAGGACCTTTGCTCAAGTGGAGAACCATGGAGTGTCTAGACCAGTCAGATTTCTCGAGCCGCAGCGTACTGCCTTCCGCCTCCATGCATTGATGCTCAGGGACAAGCCTGGACGAAACAAGCTCGTCGCACTCATTGACGATACCTTGACGTACATGGAAACACTCCGCAAGGAAACGCCTGTGTCTTATAAGAAGGAGGAAGAGGCAATGGTCAAACATCTCAAAAATCGCAAGCGTAAGTTGTTGAGCGACACATTCAAGGAATTGAAGATGCTGGGTCTCAGAGCGTCGATGAAGCCTGAGAAGCTACAAGAGCAACGGTCTCAAGAAGCGCTGTTTCTCAACACTAGAGCGCTTCCCGGATCAAGCAATCGAAGTCTCGACAAGCTTTTACATTGTATCCTTGATATTTTGCCGCAGATTCGATCTATTGTTTCGGAACACTCTGAAGATATTACTACAGCTGAAGTAAAACGCGGCGTCGGCTTCTTCGACTTCCTGTTGAATCTCGTTTTACAACACAGAGCTACTCTCGAGTCATTCTCTAGAAGACGGAAAGATCTCCAGCGAGAAACCAAGGCATTCTACCAGCTTGCTGAAGCTACAAACGAGGTATCAAAATTCTCCTTGATGACTTCCTCAAACAACGAGGCTCTGGACTGTTTGGCTGCTGCGGCGCAATCTTATCTGCAGATTATCGAATGCGCTAAGTTTGTCGAGCTAGCATGTGGTGGGCACACTTTCCTGACATCAGGACATCTCACATTGAAGCAAGATCCTAAATGGCAGCAGATGCTTCAGGAAATTGCCGTTTCTGGTGGCCCAATTCTTGCAGCAGCCACCTCGCTCACCATTGCGGATGATGCTGCGATCAGGGCCATAGCAAACTTCAATTCAACTTGTCAGGATTCTAAAGTCAGGATTCACAACTTGCAGCAGCTGTGGCCTACCATGGCTCATCACTTTGAATCTATGATTCATGCTTTAGACTGCGTCTGTTCAGTCGTCACAGAGCCTATGGTCGTCTCAGATGCCGATCCTATCGCGCTTGATGGCGAATTTCGAGCTGTAAGCGATGCGATGCTTACAGCGGTGCAGAATGTTTCCAAGTTTTCATTTCACCAAGAGGATACGCTCTGGCTCTCCGTGAATCACCATACTCATGTTCGGCGTTTGGCTGCAATGTCTTTGAGGCATATCAATGAGCGCTTGTCCAGGCTGAAGGCTAATGTGATCGCGGCTTGTTCCTCACCAGATCTGGCGAGCCGAAATCTGGTAATACAGATGTGTACGGTCTATGGACCCATATTCCATGCCTTTGAGGTTGCCTGCGATAATAGCGAGACCTATTTCAGACTCTTCGCTGAGCAAGTGGCCAAATCTGCCTATCTCGTAGGCCGTTCCTTCAAGGCAATTGCTCAGGATGGCTTTTGCGGTCCACAACCACCACAAGAACAACCAAATGAGAGCACAGAAACAACAGAAGGGACTGGTCTCGCGGATGGGCAAGGTAATGAGGACATCACAAAAGACATTGAGGACGACGAAGACATGGGCGATCTCGACAACTCTGGCGAACCGCAAGACAAGGATGAAGCTGGCGACACGGAAGCCAAGGAGCTTGATGACGACGTGGGAGGCGATCTGGAATCTGTGGCTGGCGAGAATTCGGATGAAGAAGGATCTCAAGACGAGGATGAAGCTGATCTCGACGAAGAGGTAGGCACCATGGATGATGCGGATCCTACTGCTGTCGACGAGAAGATGTGGGATGAAGAAGAGGACAATTCAGCCAGAGACAAAGACGATAATAAGCAGGACGGGGATTCCAAGCAAGGCGGACAGGTTGACCTTGTTGACCAAAAAGATGAGCAGCAGTCTACAGAACCTCAAAATGAGGACAAGCAAGACAAGCCGGAGGATGAGGACGCGTCGAAGGAACTTAAGGATGACGATGTGCAAGATGAAGCGGATGATCAGCCAAACCAGGATGATGCGTTTGATGATAGCCAGGATCCACTTCCTGAAGCACAAAATCTTGACTTACCTGAGGAACTGGACTTGGACGAAGTCGCTGAAGATCCCGAAATCGATGCCCAGTCTGTCGACAACGATGAAATGGGTTTATCAGAGAATGAGGAAATTGAGCACGCAGGTGACGATGAAATCGATGGTGATTTGCAAATCGATGATGATGCTAGCCAAGATGATATGAAGAACGAGAGCAATCCGGATGACATTCAAGATGAGACATCTGATCAAGAGATGGACGCTTCCGAGACTGTTCCCGCGGACGAGATTGCTGATGAAAAGAAAGATTCTTCAGACCAACAAGAAGGCACAGGTGTGGAGGAGGCTGGAAGCGATGCGTCCAAAGACGCAAACAATTCAGCCGAGGGTACTGTCGGACACGAGGAGAAAGACAAACCCAACTCTGCTATGCCTGAAGCTGAAAAAGTTGAGCATGATCTCGATGGTGCTCCTGGCCACGAAGATTCAGCAGTGCATGCAGGAGCGCCTGAGAAGGACATCCCGCCGCAGGCATCTCAAAATGATAATGCAGACCAACTTCGCAGTCTGGGAGATCAATTGGAAAGATTTCGTCGCATGCTCCATATTCAGGATGCTTCTCCTCAAGAAAGTGAGGCACAAGACGCGCCAACAGGCGAGACGGATCTTGACAATGTTGAGCATGTGGGCCCAGAGAACGAGACCAATGATCAAGCTATGGGCCCTGCCGAGGGCGAGCAAGATCTGCACCAGGCCTCACGAGATCGACCATTCCCAGAGCAAGAGGAAGGGCCGATGCGTGACATTGAGATTTTAGACGAAGCGGAGGCAACACCTGAGCCGCAGCCCGAAAAAGGTGACAACGATCCTGGCGTGGATGCAGATTACCCGGGCGAGCAAATCCAATTGGTTCAAGATCCTAATGAACGCGACCCTTCCCCAGCGGCAAGTGAACATGATGAAGCAAACGACATGGAAATGTCAGAAGCCTTGCCGATAGAATCTGCCCTTGGCGTCTGGCAGCAACACGAACGAGCAACACGAGATCTGGCCAATAGCCTCTGTGAGCAATTGCGCCTCATCCTAGAGCCTACTTTGGCAACTCGATTGCGAGGTGACTTTCGAACTGGCAAACGGCTCAACATGCGACGTATCATTCCCTATATTGCGAGTCAATTCAAAAAGGATAAGATCTGGCTGCGTCGCAATAAGCCAAGCAAACGTCAATATCAAGTCATGCTCGCTATCGATGATAGCAAGTCTATGGCGGAATCTGACTCTGTGAATCTAGCATTTGACACTGTCGCTCTGGTCTCCACCGCTCTGTCAATTCTCGAGGTAGGCAGCATCTCAGTCGTCAAGTTCGGCGCTCGCCCTGAAATTTTACATGACTTCAAGGATTCATTCTCCAGCGAGGCGGGGGCAAGCGTCTTTGGCAGCTTTAGCTTTGACCAGAATCAAACAAATATCAAGGCGCTAGCTGCACAGTCACTCGAATCATTCAGGACTGCACGCTCTCTTCAGTCGAATGCCGCCGAAGATCTGTGGCAGCTGCAGTTCATCATCTCTGACGGAATCTGTGAGGACCACGCGGGCATCAGACGTCTGCTTCGACAAGCACACGAGGAGCACATCATGGTGGTCTTTGTTGTGCTTGATATGGTTCATGGCAGTAAGAAGAGCTCTATCATGAAGATGAGCCAGGTCAAAACGGTCGTTCAAGAGAATGGAGCCAAGACACTCAAGATCCAGTCTTACATGGAAGAATTTGCCGCTGCTTTTGAGAATTTCCTCATCATTCAGAATGTCGACGACTTGCCAGAGCTACTTTGCTCCACCTTGCGGCAATTCTTCGCAGGTGCTACTGGGAACTAGCTTTGATAACGCATCATATGAGATATCTACAGAGAACACGATTTTGAAGCCGGTTCCTATTTTATCCATCATATCTGACAATGACACAGTGTACCACTGTACTTTACCTTGTTGCCACAACGAGCCGTTGCCAGGCCGATCCCTCAATCTGCATTGCGAAATCTTGGCTCAATGAACTCCAAGTCCAAACGTTTGAAAAGCTGCATTTCCAGAGCCTCGACTTCAAGCCCTGGCGCCCAAGTCCAAGCAGACGAGTCAATCCGCTGCCGTGGCTCGTCTAAAGTGGTGAGACCGGTAGAATCAAAGTTTATGCCAAGTGTATTGCGAGCATGGAGACGTAAGTCTCGTTCGAATGTGATGGAGCCTGACCACCCAAGAATCGCCGAGATGTAATTATCTGGTCGGGCGACGATGATATCCAAACGCCGCATAGGAAGCTTCTGTTTGGCTTTCTCGATGCCTTCCGGCAATCTGCAAACTACCAAGCCCACGGCATAGCCTGAAAGGTGCTGCTTACTGCCGTCTCGTTCGTGACGCTCAGAGATGACTTCCTGGACAAACAAAGTGCTTTCAAGCTTTTGTACAATGCTTCTCAGGGCTTGGGCAGTGTCCTTTATGGATACATGCGTCAGAACAACGTCAACGTCTCCGCTTTGCGCCTTACCTCTGCGATATCCACCGCAACAAGTGGAACTCACTGGGCTAGACTGACCCAATACTTCTTGAGCGACGTCGTGAACAATTTTGACGATGATGTCCACTTCTCTGCGATCGATCATAAGGAGAAAATCATCGTAGTATTTGACTCCAATTTGCTGCGGACGCGTTAAGGCATCCCAATTGCTCGAAATTGCATCGTTGAGGCTCCTGTAGCCACGTTCATTGTACCAAAGAGAGATACCTTTGGCTCCTAGGCCGTGGACGTTCCAGAATGTGAATTTGGTCAAGAGTGCCTCACTCTGCCACGCCTCATTCACTTCTTTGATGCTTCCGTTTTGTATGAATTCGCAGACTCTTTTGAGAAAGCTTGGGCCGCATCCTTCAAGCTCCATGATTTCTTCCCCAGTCTGGATCTTGATGGGATATGCTTTAATACTAGCGATAGCGGTACTGTATGCTCTTACACGCCGCTCGTCGTCCTCAATCTGCCATTTCAATTTCAAGTTCCGCAGTAAGTCGACCAGAGCCTGATTTGGGCAGATGAGGGGGGAGCGACGCTGACAGGCGTACTTGTTGCGCCAGCTAGTGTCGGCGCACCTCAACTCCACTTGTTGGCGGAAGAGCGCTGTCGTTGGATCTTCCGTCGACTCATGCTGCAGGAGGCGTGGCGTCGATGATGCCATGGCCTGACTCAGATGCACCAGCTCGTCTGATGCTTGAGGTTGAACATATGAATGCTTCACTTTGCGTGGGAGCTCTATTCTCAAACGAACGACCGCTTGCAGAGCGTGGCGAATTGCCTCGAGCGGTTGATCTGCGCATGTAGAGCATAGATCTAAGAATGCAGCTGGTGAGACTACACCGGCAGGCTCATCAGACCACACATTCAGACATTCACGCTTGATCCTTTGGGCTGTAAGAATATTGGTGACAATGCATTGTATTGGAAGATGCCTCGAATTCTGAAAAACGACAGACCGATCTATGGCTGATTCAATACTGAGCTTCTCCGTTTCGGAAAGCTTGAGACTGATGATGAACACATTCATGAGCCTGAGCACAGAAAGCGATCTAGAACCCTGAGGTTAACATAATCGGATCTAGCCTGCAGTGGTGTTGTCGATTGTAGTTCTGGACGATGGAATCGCCACTTCGAGTCCAAAGAATTACTGGACCATCGAGTACGGTAAAGCTTGGAAGTGTTTCTCGACACCATACTCAGTCTTCATTGAGCATACAACCTATTGCTACTCTCAATGGCGCGGGTGAGCTTGCTGGTTCTTCCAGCCTTGCTCAACATGCCATATTTTGGCAGCTCTGCCGGATTCCTGGAAGCAGTTTTCAGCTGTGCTACTGTCACTAGTTTTGATTGTGTAGCCGAGCGAGCAAAGTCTACTGCTAGATCTCGAGCTTCCTCATGTTGATGGTGTGGTCATCCCAATCACAGGGGAAATGCCCCATGTTTCAATGGCATGCAGCATTGAGGGGCAAATTGATGACGAGCAGATATAATGCATAGAAAAGAAAGCCTGGCAAGCCATGTAACAAGATGACACGAAGGAACGCACAGCAAGCACAACACCGCCAGCAAGAGAGCGACCGAAGGGAAGAAAAATTTACATGGAAGCAATCCTATACAATGGCACATTTGGACTTCTTCTGAGATATGTTAGCATGGACTGACTGAATATGTGATCAAACCTTGTTCTTCTTTGTCGCCGGAGGCTCGAGTGCCGCAACGATCGCTTCGTCAAACACATTCTTCAGGCCCTTCTGTGTCAGGGCTGAGCATTCGACATACTTGATTGCACCTAGCTCTCTAGCCAAGCGTTCCCCCTGCTCGATGCTGATGGGCCGCTGACGCTGCCTTGAGAGTTTCTCAATCACTGCTGGATCGTCGCGCAGATCACACTGCGTCCCCACAACGAGACAAGCGACACCTGGGCAGTGATGGACAACCTCTGGGATCCACTTCTCCTTGATGTTTTCGAACGAGGCGGGCGATGTGACGCTGAAGCAGACCAGAAATACATCGGTCTGTGGGTAGGAAAGCGGTCGCAGCCTGTCGTAGTCTTCCTGACCTGCTGTGTCGAAAAGACCGAGCGTGTATGGCTCATCGCCAATCATGACTGTGACGGCATAGTTGTCGACTAAATATTGTCAGTTCTCGTCCTTCTCTTTGTGTCTGAGCACAAGATGAACGACATACAGACGGTTGGCACATATTCAGAGGGGAATTTGTTGGTGGTGTACGAGATGAGCAGGCACGTCTTGCCCACAGCTCCGTCTCCCTGTGAAACAAGGTTAGCCTTCTAGAGCGCCTGGATTAAAGCGGGAGGGGAGGCTTGCTGGCGTTTGCTTGCGTTTGCTTGCGTTGCGCAAGAAGCACAACGGCCGCAGAGCTGTTGGCGCAAAAGAGTAGAAACATACAACAACGACACACCTGAGAAGTGTTAGCATTCAATTCACGAGAGTTGCCAGATGAAGCAGAAGGCAGAGTCGACGCTCCAGGGGCATAGATCGCGTTGCATATGGGCAGCGGGGGCTGGCCGACAGCCCATGCGACAACGACGAGGGCGGGGGTGGATCGCGTGTGCTGCAAGCCCATGTACCCGTTAGAAGAGAAGGCGCTGCCACTGCCTGGATCATGACGTTGAGGAGATGGGGAAGCGTACTTGATGGTCTGCATAAGGGGAGGAAGGGTGCGGCTGGAGGAGGAGGGGCGGGAGGAGGTGAGGTTGGTTGTTGGTTGTTGCATTCTTTGCTGCTGCTGCTCAACTTCTGGCTTCACCTGAATTCTGAGTTCACTTCTGGCGCTGGTGGACACGTGAAGGCAAGGCGACAACAAGCAAGAACGAGTCAGACATACACACACTTACTCACTCTCAAGGAGATCCAGAGCAAGGGGGACAGAGAGAGGAAGAAAAGGAAAGAAAGCTAGAGGGAGAAAGCAGCAAGGAAGGAATAGAATAAGAAAAGGCAGAGCAGGTGCATAGACCGAAGGCGAGGGAACAACAGGCCCACCCACGCACATCATCGCATCAAGCTCACGCGTTGCAAATGGAAGGATGAGCGACGTGCCCATTGAAATATATGCGCACCGCGACAAGCTTCATGCACGCACCACAGAACGCGAGCGCAACAGGGCGGCCGCGTATATCAGGCGCAGACGTGCGCAGCTCGAGACACTCCAGCAGGCAGAGAGGCTCAGAGCAGCTGGCGCAGCGCATGCAGCCGCCGTCTTTGGTCCAGGCTACTCGGGTCTTGGCGGAAACAAAAGCACTGAGGGCAAGCCCCGCATCCTCTATCCAAAGGAGCGCAAAAGACCGCGGTCGCATCTCAAGGAAATATTCTTTACGCGTGCACAGTTCAGGCAGGTTGCCCTCGAAGAGGAGGTACTGGTGCCCATCCGCCTGGATTTCGACTCGGAAAAGTATAAGCTCCGCGACACGTTCACTTGGAACCTCAATGACCATACCATCCCCATCGGCTTATTTGCGGACCACCTTTGCGAAGACTACCAGCTCCCCCCGGCGCCCTTTGTGGAAAGCATTAAGCGGAGTATTGCTGAACAGCTCAATGATTTTCATCCACACAAATTCCCAGAGCACGCGCAGCAAACAAGTGTAGTCTCCGACGACAGCTATACAAGTCACCGCGATGACGACCTTCGGATACCAATCAAGCTCGATATCACAATCGGCAGGCTCAATCTTGTGGATCAATTCGAATGGGACATCAACGCCGAGTATAATCAGCCAGAGCATTTCGCGCAAACAACCTGCCTTGAACTCGGCTTGGCGCAAGAGTTTCAAACAGCAATTGCACATGCCATACGGGAACAGTGCCAGCTCTACACCAAGTCTCTCTTTCTCGTCGGTCACACATTTGATGGGCTCGCTGTTGCTGACAGCGATATGCGGCATGCTCTCATGGACTCCCTGAATGGCGATGTCCAGCGGCCAAAACATCTTCTGGATGACTTTGCACCCATCCTCTCTCAATTACTACCAGATCAGCTTGAGCGCGTGGAAAAAGAGCGCGAACGTGAGGTCCGACGCAATCGCCGCCAAACGAGAACCAAGCGCGGACCTAACCTGCCAGACCTCAATGATCTTCCAAAGACCTACAGAACGCCATATCATAATTCAGTGCTCATCCCAGAAGATGAGCGCACGGCCAACAAATTTGGTATTCTCAGAGATGCTGTGACCGGAACGATGGAGGAAGCGGATGGCAGTGAGGACGACGACATCTTGGACGATGCCAGCCTTCGCGATGTAGGGGAACGTTCGACACGATCGGCAAGACACCAGAGAGGCTTGACCTCGGCACACTCGAATCCTGGTGTCTCCCCACAGCAAGCATCGAGTCAACGGAGTGGTAATGCTCTGAAAGGACATCAGGCCCAAGGGGTATCATCGCCTTACGCCACGGGTTCGGGCCGCTCAATCATCGAACCTGCGAGACCACAACGGTTGTTGGCAGCCTCTGCCAGGATCGCGTTCTCTGAAGAGAGGTCCCGCGCGACGAGTGCCTCGCCCTCGTTTCTGGTCAAACTTCGTGTGCCTCGACTGAGGGAATTCTTGGCTCAGCAAGGCATGCGCGCCTCACAAAATCAATTGAATGGCTTGCGTGGCTATGCCCAACACTTGCAAGAGCATAGACATCCCCACGCTTCGCCTCACCTCGAGGCGTCGAAAGACCTGCCGCTTTGGCTTGTGAAACGGTTGCAAGCATTGCAGGAAAGCTACCCACGAGACCGCTTCGAACCAGTGATACGCCCGGCAGGTGCTGACGGCGATCGCCAAGGGCCAGGAGTGAGCGTGCGATGTCTCCATTGCGCAGGAGCCATGCTCAGCTTGAATGATTTTGACAAACACTTGCAATCAAGAGATCATCGATTCAGGGTAGATGCATAACGAGAATAGATTAGGACATTGATGTTCATTGTAGAGCCTGCTTATGCTAATCTGTGTCTTCTTTCCATGCGCAGAATCCGAGACATGCACTGCTGCCACGCACCGTCAAAGACGTCCTCCGAAAATCGTCCTGCAGCCTGCTGAGCACGGCGTCGCATCTGCATGCATGCCTCCTCTGGCAGACTGAACGCCTTCGAAAATGCATCTGCAAACGAGTCTTCATCTGTCGCATGAAAGCCGGTTGGGCCACCATCGAAGGGAGTGACAATGTCGAGTTTCGGTCCAGCAGAATCATGCACGACACATATGAGACCTGCAGCCATATATTCGACGACACCGATCCCAAAGTGTTCATTCCACATGGCATTGCAGCCAATGTAAGCCTGCCCAAGTGTCTCAACGACCTCTGGCCACGGCACATCTTCTTTGAACTCAACCTGCGCATCTATACGCAAGTCGCGGGCTAACTTTTTGAGATGGGCAATCCAAGTGCGATCTGCGGTGTTGCGCACAGTCCCAATAAAGACAAGACGCTTGTCTCCGTGGTCACTCGTAAGCTGCAAAAACTTGCTGAATGCTCGGAGGATCATCTCGTGGTTCTTTTCACGCCTAAATTGCGCCAAGCAAACAATAGCCTTCTGGCGGGCTGTGCTAACCGGCAGTGCAGTGAGAGTGGCCGTGTTACAGGGAGGATAAACGATAGAAAGTCTTTCATCACAGTGCCAGAGCGATGCTAGATGATTGCGAGTCCAGGTAGAATTTGCCATCACGAAGTCCGCGTAGCTACCGACTGTAGCATAAAGCCTGGCAAATGCTTTCCAGTAGAGCAATCGAAGACCGCTGGTATTCGCTTGGTTGAGCATATCGCTAGAAATTGTCGGATAGTGCGTATATGTTGCAACTGGTATGCCCAGCAAATGACTGACAAGCGGGTATGTGAAAGCGTAACCCATTGTATCGATGAACACATCGGGTGCAAGCTCGGTGAGGGCCTCATACACAAGCGGCAAAGAGCCGAGTGATTGTCCGATGAGCGTAAATCGAGGCCAAGTTTCTGGGGAGACCAGATAGCGCTTGTCGAGATGAACAATATGTAGGCGAGAGGCGTCCACTTCGATGCCAAATGCATCACGAGCTCTAGAAATGATGGCATCCTGGTTGGACTCGACATCCCCTGTAAATACCACACAAAAAGTCTCTGGGAAATGTGCATGCGTAGAGCGTATCGCTGCCCACAGTACACGCTCTCCGCCACCACCAGCATTGCAATAAGGATGAAAAAATCCTACCACTACAGGTCGGGCAACTGTCTTTCGAAAAGTTCTCAGCAGAAGCGTACGTCTGCGCAGTGATTGCTGTCTCAGCTTTCGACGAAGAGATGGCAGTAGTATGTTCCTAAGGCATCCTGCAAAGACAACAAAGACCAGGACTGTGCCCAGAAAGACGGTAGCAATCAACTGCGCGTTCATGAGGCGCAAGCTTCAAGAGGCTTCAAGAAGTGTGCAGCCGCAATATTCAGCTTTCCTTGTCTCGATGTCAAGAGCCAGTCAATCACGCATTGATGTCAGCCATCTGGAATTAAGCTCTTATGTAGGCTGCTTGTATGTAGGAGTGCAAGGCTGCAGCTGGTTAATCGATCGATCACGTGCTGACGACGACCAGGGGATTAGAACCAACGAGACTGACACTTCAGCTTGGACACCTGCAGAACCTGATCGCGACTGACGAAGCAAGACTGCTGTTCTTCGTGTGTCTCAGATTGCGCTTGGCAAACGTTGGTATCTGAATCTACGCGCGCAAGCGGGAGCTAGCCTAACAGGGCATAACAAAGGCTCGCACAATCTTCAGAGTGTCACATCTTTTGCTCATATTCCTCGCACCTAGAGAGCCAGGCCGAGTGCAGAGGTCATGTTCAGAGCTATTAAGTCGCTGTTCGTTGGGAATGGCATGTGTCATGCTCTTGACTATACTTGTCACATTCTTGTAATCCTCGCTGCTTGCATGCTTGGCAATCACTTTGCAGAGAAGTCCATATTGCAAGCGCTCCTGCTACCTATATTGATGAATACGATTTACATCGGCCACTACCTGGACGAGAAGCAAAGGGCACAGTTTCTGCCAATGATTGAGTTCTGCAGTCAGTTCTTCAAGAGCATCGCCCTGCCGCGCTTCACTTTCTTCACAGCAGCCATCACCTCCTATTTCACGACAACCAATCTTGCCATAACACTGACAGCGCTGGCGATCTCATATGCAAGATGCGAGCTTGTTCAAATCGGACACGCGGTAACTGGTTCCCCGAAAGCCTTTGCTGTGTTAAGATGGGTATGTTCCCGCCGCTGAGTGCATTCGCTAATGTGGTAGTTTGAGGATATTCGAATTGCATCAGACTTGCAGCTTGTGTTCTCCTGTGCTGCATGCTTGCTCAGAGGGTTCAGTGCTTACGCCAGATGGCGGGATCATGATGATGCCAGGCTGAAGGCCGAGCTGGAGAAACTGTTGGGCGACGCTGCCGCAAATCATCAGCTGACAGAAATTGAACACGGAGAGGCTAAGCTGGCTCAGACATTGCGAACAAGGGCCTTGGTCTTACAAAGGCTCCATCCAAGGGTATCGTCCGTTCTTCGTTTGACTACAGCACTTTCGGAGGGACAGATTCCTACAGAGTGGGTCGAGATTGCTCACCACTTCTCACAGGCGGCGCATGATCTGACTCGATTGGATCCACCATCAGCGGAACTCGCATTGACTTCAGCACAACTCGCATGTCTCAGAGCACGTCGAAACTTGCGAACAGCACAGGAAGAGCTTCAAGCTAAACTGGCCATTGTTCGAGGAGCTTTGCAAACGTCAAGGCCGACAAGCGCCGCAACAGGGGATGACTGACAATGCGCATTGTGAAGAAAGGGACAGCTGCATGCGTGGGTTGTGAATGTTTTCGTACTGTCTATAAATGGTTTCAAGTGGCCCGTCTTTAAGGCTTGCATCTTCCAGTGAATCGCGGGTAGAGAGAGCACTCTCTCACTGTGTGCCTGTGCGTAAGCCAAGCGAGGAAGCGCTCAAGACCGATCCCGTAACCGCCGTGCTCACACGTTCCATACTTGCGTTGATCGGTGTACCAATAGTAAGGATCGGGGGAAATACCCTCGCGCTTGTAACCAGCGAGAAGCTCATCAAGGTCACTGATACGCATGCTACCGCCGGTAATTTCGCCGACATTTGGCATCAGGACGTCCACGCTCTCCGTGCATCGTGCATCACCCTTCACACGCTTCATGTAGAAGGCCTTGATCTCGGTGGGGAAATGGGTCAGCAGGATAGGCTTGCCAATTTGATCAGTCATTTTGCGCTCGGCAGCCTCAGCAATGTCGTCCCCAAATACGTGTGGCCTCGGGGGCTCATCGTTCGTCAAGATGCCATGATCGTTGACGTATTTGATTGCATCTTCATAGGTCATCCGCAGAAAAGGCCGCGACGGTGGTACGAAGTCAGGGTTCAATTGCTTGACAAGGGGACCAGCGATGGGATCTTGCAAAATCTTGTCGATGGACGAGCAGATGAACTCTTCCAAATGAGCCAAAAATTCTTCGAAGTCTAGGAAGGCCAGCTCGGCTTCCACATGCGTATACTCAGACAGGTGACGACGAGTGTGTGCCTTTTCAGCCCTGAATGATTCCTGCACGCAAAAGACATCACCAAGTGATGGTAGACAGGTCTCAAGATAGAGTTGACTAGACTGCGTCAAGTAGGCTTGCTCTCCGTAATAGTTGAAAGCGAAAAGGGTGGAACCACCTTCAACTTGCGTCTGCACCATACAAGGCGGCGTGACTTCTGTTATTCCCATGTCTTCGTACGTCTGTCGGAAGGCTTTCAACACCCCAGCACGAACACGAAGAACTGCGCTTGCCGTCTCGCCACGTATGGCCAAGTGCCTCTGGTCAAGTAAGATACTCCCAGTCGTATCCTCTGATACTTTGTTGGTTATGGCTTCAGTTCCTCCAGGGGCTGAGTGAATGAGTTGAAAGTAGTCTGCCGAAAGCTCATGATCGCCTGGCGCAGATTTGCCCTCTGGTAGTTCTGAAATGATACCGTATAAGGTGATGGTTGACTCAAGAGTGAGCATCTGTGCTTCGTAAGTTTTGGCCAAATCTGCGGCCAGAACGCACTGTAGGTAGCCAGTTCCATCGCGCAAGACAATAAAAATGAGGCCTTTTTGGTCCCTTTTGCGATGTACCCAGCCAGAGATCCTGACCCGCTTCCCACGAGATGTTGTCGCCTGCCTGATCTTGATCTTCATTGCGGGTGGTAATGAGGCATCTTCAGTGATAACGATCTTCTTCGCTTCCTCCAAACGCAGCGCGTCGCTTGCGCCCGCTGCCTCCTGAGCAACGGCTTGCTGCTTAGCAAGCTCCTCAGCTTTGGCCTTCTTCTTCGCAATAACCTCGATGCCCTTGATAGCTCGCTTGGCAGCTGCACCAGACAGATCGGCGTACTTATCCGCAGAGATCTTTCTGATCTGGATATTGGCACTCTTGCCATGTGTCTGGAAGGCTTTGATTGCAGACTGATACGGCGAGTCTGTACTTCCGTTGCCAGCGTGGTCCGATCCAGACTGTTCATCGACAAAGATGTGCTGCTGAGATAAGCCGAGCTTCTCTGCCGCTGTCTGCACCGCGTCCATGGCCAATACCGCAGATGTACGAGCCTGACTTGTGCTTGTTGTATGTGCAAGCGACAGCTGTCCGGATGAAATTTTGTTTGGCGGTGACTTCCAGAGCAGCAGATCGCTCCAACACTTGCACTTGCGAGGGCTCGAGGCGCGACAGCAGCGGCAGCAAAGCGACTCGCCTTGTAAGGCCGCTCCTCTCACCGGATTCCACGCTCATAGCAAGTGTCTGTCTTCTCCTGCTCCGCCGACCCCCGTGCGACTCCTTTACCATTTCTCCTTTTGGCGCAAACGCAGACCGGTGCTGTTGGGCGGCCTTTCCTAGCTGGTTACTTCTTCCTCTTCACGCCGCTAGACTATATTTTGCTTGCCTTCGCGTCGGCCGTTGTTGGCATTCTAGTACTTCTCGTCACCAGAGCCGCCAATATCGCATCAAGAATTACGATCACTATCCCGTTTTTTGGACACACGCATCTTCGTTGCTTACCCCCTATTAACACGCGAACTCCTTGAGGACCGTCGCAAATCGCATTGCTCAGTGCTCTTCCCATTTCCGAGTACAGGAGTGAATTAGCAACTTGGCCACATTTCCCCTGTGTGCGTTTGTTGCGTGGCAAGGCAGCATCCATCCACTTCGCACTACGGGAGATTCCTTATAGAGAGGTCGGGCCCAGTTTTTCAACTGCCAGAATACCAATTCTGCACTTGATCCCTCTCAAGCGGCGCGGATTCTCTTCATTCGGTTGTCTATATCGATTCTAGCCCGTTGACTGTGGAGCCTTTTCCAGTCTTCACAATCGCTCTTCCTACAACTCCTCCCATTCTCTTTCATCCTCTGTTCAGCAGACAATATGCAAGAAGCGCGCGAAACGAGTCGCAAATTTGTTGGTGGTCTCAATCTAGATGCCCATTCTGACTTTCGACGGCGTTTTCAGAACAGCAATCACGATTCAGGTGTCAATGGCGCCGGGTCTCCTGGACTGCCTCTCAATTCGCCTTCCACCTTCGACATGATGAATGGTATGCACATGATCCCAGCCAACTTGTTGACTCCCGGTATTGGCTTCCAGTCAGCACAGTTCAATTTCAACCAGTATCCTCAAAGTCCGGGCGGCATGGGAGACTATCTGCAGCAAATCCCTGGCTCGCCAATGCAGAGTCCTCCGCTACCTTACAACATGCACCAACAGCATCTCCAAGTTCAGCCTCAGCAGCACATGCAGCAGATTTCCTCAGCTGATTCCTCGCCCACAGCGGCTCAGGGTAATCCCATGCTGGCTGGACACTCGGTGAATCAGTTCACTGGTGCGCTCGGGCGGACTGTCTATGTGGGCAACATTCCAGATGATGTACCCGCCGACGAAATCATCAGTCTTGTCAAAACCGGACCGATTGAATCCATTCGTGTCTTACCCGAGAAGAATTGTGCGTTCATCTCGTTCGTGGACCCCATCAGTGCTGCCCACTTTCACACAGACGCATCTATGCGAAAGCTTACGCTGCGCGATCAGGAGATCAAGGTCGGCTGGGGAAAGCCGTCCGCTTTGCCTGCCAATGTACAAATGGCCATACAGCAGTCTGGGGCTACACGCAACGTCTACCTTGGCAATTTGCCTGCTGAACTGGGTGAGGATGACTTGCGCGAACAGCTTGGCAAGTACGGACCCATTGACCAGGTCAAAATTGTTCACGAGAAGAACATTGGCTTTGTGCATTTCCTGAGCATTGCCAACGCCATGAAGGCTGTTCAGCAGCTTCCCTCTGAGCCAGACTGGAATGATCGCCGCGTATACTACGGCAAAGATCGCTGTGCATACGTATCAAAGCAGCAACAGACCGTCGCCGCTCAGAACCAAGCTATTCTCGGCAACCTTGGTCTCTCGCAAATGCCGCAGATGCCGATGATGTTAAATCCCAACTCTTATCTCACTTCTGGCGTAATTGCAAGCAACATGGGCAATCGGACGGTGTACCTTGGAAATATCCACCCAGAGACAACTTTGGAAGAGATTTGCAATGTTGTTCGAGGCGGCATTTTACATCACATTAGATACATTCCTGACAAACACATCTGCTTCGTCACCTTTGTGGATCCAAATGCAGCAATCGCCTTCTTCAGCATTTCCAACATGCACGGTTTGCTGATTCACAATCGTCGTCTCAAAATCGGATGGGGCAAGCACTCGGGACCCCTTCCTACAGCCCTCGCCCTTGCTGTTGGTGCTGGAGCCAGTCGCAATGTGTATATCGGCAACATTGAAGACAGCTTGACGGAAGAGCAGATCAAGGCTGACTTTTCCGAGTTTGGGGAGATCGAGTTGGTCAACTCGCTGCGCGAGAAACAGTGTGCTTTTGTCAACTTCACCAATCTCGCGAGCGCCATTAAAGCCATCGAAGGTATTAAGCAGAAAGACGGCTACAAGCTTGGCAAGTATCGCATCAACTTTGGCAAGGACCGTTGTGGAAATGCTTCCAAATCTCGTATGCCGATGCATGCGCCAGCCATGCTGCCGACCATGATGGGACAGCCTTACTTCGTGCCGATGAACCACGAGCCAGTCGACTATCAAGAAGGCTTCATTAAAGCCTACAGCGGCGATCGCGTTAATCCTTCTAGTCGCGAAGATGATATTTAGGCTCACGGTCATTGATTTTAATTTTACATTCCAGAAGACCTACACTGTTTTGCAAGAGCGTAATGTCCTTAAGCAACATACCTTCCTATGATAGTTCAAAAGCCCTAAACCTCGAGGTGCATTGTTGTGATTGTCTCTTGGTCATTGGCCACACATGATCACATCTACTCCGCCAAAAACTTGACGAGTTGGTCTTTGCCCTTGACAGCCATGAGAGTCTTGAGAGCAAGCAGCTGAGAACGCTCTTGCTCTTCTCCTACTACCTGCTCGTGCTCGTTCTTTTGCTTGTTAGCGGGCTCAACTTGAGGAAGAACAATTTACCAAGACGACATCGATCAAGGCGTGCAACAAACTTTGTCGAACGACGCCGTTTTGCCGAGCGGTAAGGACATCGAGAATTTTGTGACCTTCCACCTCTTTGCTGCGTCGGCAAGTGTCGAGGAAGTCCAGAGCCACGCCTGATTCTGGAAGTCGGTACTTGACTCTGGGCATGTGAACGGCCTTGGCCATTATCTGAGAGCCATCGCCAATGTCGCTGTCCGACTCAGATGCCGTGGACTCCTGGACGTCACTCTCCAACTCAACATCCACATCGCCGTTATTTGCGAAGCCGCGACGCAGACTGACGTCGACGATGTGAGGGTTCTTTGGGATCCGCGAGGTTGGCTATCATTAGTCTTGGGCCTATACATGGACAACGCACCGTCAGCTCGTGGGCATGCAGTGGACACATCCACTTCTTGGTCGATAGCGGCGGTCCACTGAGCGGTGGATCGAGGCAATCAAAATGCCAGTGCGAAGAACAATGATCACAAGAAGCCATGCCGGTCGATGCCATAGCGGATTCTCCGCACCGGTAGCATAGAATTGGTTGACTTTGTCTATCCCGAAGTCGTAATGGGTCGACCTCTTCAGCAAAACCGTGACGACTATTGTCAGCCCCGTGGTGAACGAAGGATTTGCCTACTCTTTGCGCGGTGCTTTCTGATCCTTGGCCTCCACGTATTCACCAGCTTCCCCAGTAGAGACTTTGAGACATTAACGGCGTGGTCAATAGGGACACAAGGGAATGACTTACCGTTCTCGAAGAAATCGCGAATTTTGGCAGGTAGCAGAAACATGCAAGGGTCCTTTGTGAGCTCGATTTTCATCAGCTGGCGGAACAGGCCAGGTGGCGGGTCCGGAAATCCATACTTTTCATTAGCATTGTGTCTCGAATGCGCCAACATATTACGCGTCGTTCCCAGCATGACATGCAGAAGTAAGGCTCGTCCGGTATATCTGCTTCTTCAATAGGCGGCTCGATGCAGCTGAAATGGAAAGACCGAGGGCAATCGTCGCAGCATAGTAGTTTGCCTGTCCCTCGACAAGCTGAACAGTGCTCGTCGTTAGACTATTGTTAGTAGATTCTTCTCACGAGCGCACGACTTGCGTTTTGGTCGTCATCTCTGGTACGTGTTCGTGTCTCTGGTTCGCCTTTTGTCTTGTACTTTGAGTCACTTGGCAAGACACCAAGGTCAATAGCTGATCCTGGTCGATGCTTCATTGGGGAGGTAATCTTGATTTTCTTGCTTCGATCCATACCAAGGTGCTCGTCAGATGCAGAACGCTTTTGGCTTGCCAAGAACGCCGTCGTGTCGAGAGGACCTTGACCATGATTGGGACCTCCGTTGCGCCTACGGAATTCCTTTTTCGCGGACTCCGGTTTCTTCAGCATTGATGGATTGTCCTCCAGGTCAGTCGGAGGCTCAGACAAATCCGACGACGGAAATTCTTCAGCTCCACTGTCATCATGCATCAGTACCTGAGAGTCTACGTCAGAAGATTCGCCATATAATGGAGTAGCGTCGCCATGAGCGAGCAGTCCATTTGCATGGCCCTCCGCTGAACGTGATTCGTCAGGAAAGATGACTGGCCTTGTAGCGGCTGGCGCTTTACTCAACGCAGCGTGGTCAGTAGCGCGCTGAGCAGTATCTTCATGGGAAGCCACAGAGGAAGGAGCAGATACTGGCGCAAGCGTATTCTTGAATGCTGCTGCCGCGGAAAATTCATCTTGAGCAGATTGCTGAAGCTTGAAGGCGTCGGATGAGCTCATAGCCGATGGACGCTTATCAGGCAAAGCGCCTACAGGAGATGTTCTGGCAGACATGGCAAACAAGAAGAGAGCTGTTTGATGATGTCGAGCAAAAGAGGAGACCTACTGTGTATAGGATTAAGTCTGTGGCGGCAAACACGGAACTGTGGCAATGAGAGTGCACTAGCGCAGACTCGAGACTGTCAGCTTCCACTCTCAAGCGTAGAGGCTATAAAGCTGGTTGTACTGTACCAAAGTCTCGTCTTTGGCCAGCCTTAATAGAGCGTTTTATTCCTAACTTAGCCCAAGAGTTGTGGTTCGTGATGTGGAAGGACACGGCGGCTTGCGAAATTTCACAACTTGCCAAATAAGTAGTCACACATCCATAGATACTATAGACCGCGACTGGCAAAGCTTCAGTAGGCTGTCTGCCAGGCAGAGCCATGGGTACGAGACCAACAGGAACGTGGCATGATCAAGCCGCTGTTCTGGCTATAAAAGGCCTTCGGTTGTCTGTGCTAAGACACTATGCCTCAGTGACTGCTTCTGCGGAGTCCGCCGCTGCAGGCGACTTCTTCTTCTTGAGCTTTGCAGCCTTGAGTGGCGCGGTGATGAGCTTAAGGAGTTCCTCATCCTCAAGCTTCTTATCGCTCTTGAGCTTCTCAGTGTCTACAGGTGCTGGTCCGGCGAGCTTGATGGTGCCGCTTGGACCGAGAGCAATAGTTCTGCAAGTATAAGTATTTCTTCATAGACAGGAAGCCTTACGTGTGGAATAAAGCGACGAACTCGCCCGGCTTCTCTTCGAAGACTTCGTAGGCCAGGAGCAATCCATGCTTTTGCGGTTCAATGACACCAATGCGTGCGGCTTTCTCGTCACCGAGAGACCTGAGCGTGAATGGGAAGGCTCCGAATGTCTTGTCAATCTCTGAAAGCGTCTTTCGTGAACTGGGCATCTTAAGAGAATACTTCAAATCAGCAGCTCGTTTGAAAATGGTCGTTCGTGAGTCGACCTTCTTCACCTTGCCATCGCCAGAGGACACGAGAATGTCAACTCCGTATACCTCGCCTTGCTCAAAAGAGTGGGTTTCCCTCTTGACGTTCTCACTTGGGTTGAGAATAATCTCCTTCTTACCATCAACCACATTTCTCTCCTGGTTGTGCGACAAGATGCCCTCGCATGGCTGACAGCCAAAGGCTTCCGCGATCTTCTGCACAGCATCCGTCACATCCCAATTCTTGTTGCCGGGTTTGATCAGGCGAATAGCCGCCTCAGACGCCAGATGTGCGGCCAGCATAACATCGGCTTTTTTGCCCACGATGTCAGAGGAACCAACCACGATGGTGTCACCCAAAATGGCCCCAAAGCCGTCAATCTGAGCACCGAGAGAGATCTTTACCAAATCACCATCTGCGAGTTGCTTTGAGGCTTCTGAATCGGAAGGAAGCGGACTGAAGTGAGCAGCGACGTGATTGACTGAAATGGAGGTAGGGAATCCAACACCTTTGGTGACATTCTTGCCCTTGTACACCTTGCCACAAGCCTATTCGTTAGTAAAGTTCCAAAAGCGGCATATGCTGACCTCGTTCAGCAGTTCATCCCCTTTTTTACAAATGTCAATGATGCGGGCATCAGCAACCAGCAGTTGCTTGATCTGCTCAAGAACTTTTGTGCTGATCTCTCCGGCAACTTTGTATTTCGTGAGAGTATCCGGATTGGCGAGCGTGTAGTCCACAGGCTTGGCAGCCGCAGCAGCAGTAGTAGTCTTGCTCATTAGATTGGGACGAGGAGCAGCAGTTGTCTAGGTATTAGCTCTTGTGCCGCTGCTGGGGTGACTTTCCAGTTTCCACGGTGAAAACTTGGCCGCACGTGGATGTACACCTCCACTCTACATGCGCGAACTGGTGAAGTGCTTCAAGTCAAGTCCGTAAGCTTCAGGCGATTTGTAAGACGCCGATTGGACGTTCAGAAGACTGCAGCCCAGCTATTCTTTGACCGCAAGCATCTATTTTTCGAGTGGACATAGTGTGTGGCCTCGTCTTATTTACAGCTACATCGCGAGTTGCGTCAGGTATCAACGTGCATGAGCACCACGGCCCAAAAGACTGCCGCCCTTACTAGCGATCAAGTGCAATCGTCGGGTGCAGCAAGCGAAGAAGAAGGCAGTGACATCTTTGTGGCAGCACAGTATGGTGATTGGCAACGCATAGATTGGCTCATAACGAATAAGAAGTACACAGCAGATGCGCGCAATGAGCAAGGCGTCACTCCCCTACATTGGGCAGCTATCAATGATCGTCTCTCGGCCGCCAAAACGCTGTTGGACCACGGAGCAGAGGTGGACGCATTGGGTGGAGATTTGAAAGCAACCCCATTGATGTGGGCTGCAAAGTCTGGACACACAGCCATGGCCCACTTGCTGTGCCAACAAGGAGCTGATCCAGAGCGTGTCGATGCTCAGGGATACAATGCGCTTCAGCTCGCCACGCATTCTTCCAATGTGTTTCTCATCTTGTTCCTGCTTCAGGTTGACGTTGCCGTGGATTCAGTTGACCCACAAGGTCATACTTGTCTCATGTGGGCAGCCTACCAGGGGGACGCCCTGTCGGTGGATTTGTTTGCTAGATGGGGTGCGAGTATCAACGCTCAGGATAAGGATGGCCTCAATGCCTTGCACTGGGCTGTCGTGCGTGGCAACAAGCATTGCATCAAGCGTCTCATACAGGAGGGCATCGATATTGACCACAAGCAACCAAACGGAAAATCGGCTCGTGACCTAGCGTCTGAATTGAAGACACTGCATGCTCTAGAAGATGGACTGGCACTTGCCGGGCGTGATCCAGAAACGGGCCGCATCATGTCATCATGGCTGCCGAAGGTGAGTGATTTTATGGCTAACAAATGCTTACAAAATCAACAGTCGTTGCATAGGAAAGCAATCTTCTCACTTCCCCATTTGGTCATTGGCATTGTTTTGCTGCTCTTCAGTCGTGCTTCTATTATCATTGCGCTACCAGTCAATATCTTGGTAGTCTTAACATGCCAGAAGATTGAGGCTGGCCTGCAAGGTAAGGAGCAAAGCATACATCAAACGCCTTATCTTGCTGGCATCTTTGCTGGATCTGCATTTTGGACAACGCTACATTGGCTCTTTCGCGTACTTCCCGCAACCTACTTGGCCTACACACTTTGCAACTGCATCTTCGGAGTGATTTTTGCTCTTTGTCTATTCAATTTCTATCGCGCTATGCTCATCGACCCCGGCTTTGTAAAGACACAAGAAGGAAGCCGCGCGGAACAGCGCGATACTATCGAAAAGCTCGTCCAGGATGGGAATTTCGATGCACAGCACTACTGCGTGTATTGTCTCATGCGCAAACCACTACGCAGTAAGCACTGCAAAGTTTGCAAACGCTGCGTAGCGCGCCATGATCACCACTGTCCATGGGTCGACAACTGTATTGGCCTGAGAAATCACCGCTCATTCATGGCTTACCTTTTGACCTTATTTGCCGGCATTCCAATGTATGCTTATCTGACTTACCAAGGTACACCGCCCACTCTACGATACGCTTCTGACTTTTAGCTTTGAGCATTCTTGGACCAGTGGATGGAGCAGTCGAATGTACGCTGCTTGCAGAGCCCTATTGCAGTACTTTCCAAATTGACGGCTTTGGCCTACTACTAGCAGGATGGGATAGCCTGCAATTGACGTGGATTACTATGTTATTATCTGTACAACTTTGGCAGATTGCTCGTGCAACCACAACGCATGAAGTACTCAAATTGAGGCAATATGGTGTCATCGATAATGACTACCAGAGGTCGAACACGCAGCTTGCGCCAAATGCAGCTACTATAGGCGATGCGCCACAACATCAGCATGGTCCTGAGTGCGGCCATGCAAGATCGCCACGATCCAATCCAATAAGGCGGGTTGCCAGACTTCTCGGTGTAGACCAATTTGTGGACACAGCAAGGGAAGGAATCCCTGGGCGTGCCAATCAGCGGAATCGGTACCAGAATCCCTTTGATCATGGATGGGTCAGCAATTGCCATGACTTTTGGAGCACCTTGCCTGATGGATCCCGTGGTGTCGGCTTCATCAACAAGCGTGCAGTCGACTTTTATGATCTGTACGATACTAACCAGCCATTCTTGCACACGACGCAAGACCACGATGACTTATCGCAAAGTGTGTAGAACAAACCCGCTGATCACGATTCGAACGCGCGATTGCCGACTTGCGACCAAATCACATCGTCGGTCGTTTTGAGCAAAGGCTCAACCGGGCACTCCGGTGGGTGGCCGTACAACACCTTTCCAGCGTCAATGAGGCGAGCTTCCGTAAGCCAGACTTGTCCATTGAGCAAAAAGAAGAGAGCCAGCTCCAGACCATGGAGATGCGCCAGGCTGAGACCCCCAACAACACTGTATCGTATCTGCCGACTGATTCTGTCATCCAGTACCTTTGACGCAATAACAAAGCCTGCGAGAACCAATCGATGAACCGTGTTCTGCCGAAGAACTTTTGAAATTCGTGCGTAGAGTCCTTCAAGCGTTGTTAAATAATATACAAGCGCAAGTAGTTTGGAGGAAGAGAATTCGCAGTGCTGGTGCAGCCGTTCCATGTAGTCGCGTATGGAGACGGACAAAGTGCCAGCCGACCTGAAACGGCCTAAACAAACAGCAATTTGGTCGTTATGCTGCTCGACAATGCCACACGGCTTTTCCTGCGGACTCATCACGTCGTCGGCGAACGCGATCTGGCATTCAATGTAGGCAATCACCTTGTCCAGAAGCTTTCTGATGGGCACATCAGTGTATGCAAGCAAATCTGGAGAAGGTCCTAGCGGCTGCGGCTCTATTTCGCTGCTGTCCGCTGTTGTGCGTTCGCGATTGCTGGCCAAGTCTGAAGCGCCTGGGTGTGGTTCTCCTGCAGCGGCTGCCATGGGGTCAGCAGCAGATCGAGACACACAGTGCGATCGATGAGATGGATGTCCGCGTCTAAAAATGCATGGCCAGATTGCGTGTTGGTGAGTTGTTTTGCCTGGTCGCGCTCGGCCCCGGACTTGGCTTGTTTGAAATCCGTTCGTTGCGCATGTGACGACACACACGAGCGCTTTTAGTGCCATTGACAACTGCCAGAAACAGCGCCAGGAAGCAATTTACACATATTCAGTATTGCAGAAGATGCCACGACCCCTTCGCAGACCCAAGCAAGCAGGAGAACTCACAAATCAGGAGCATCGCTTGACCGTAAAAAGTGCGCACAGGCCCTTTGAGCCAAAAGTCACCACCATTGCGCCGTCCGGCACTCACGAATACGCGGCACGACCTACTCGTCAAGGAAGGGCTAAGAAATGCGCGCCGCGAAGATCTGCGGAAAGGAATCAGCGTGCAGCACGACCTTTCCAAGAGATTTCCGTTAATGCCCGGCCTATCCATATGGAGAAGCAATTCATGGTCGCAGCGAAGCGCAACAAAGTGAAGACGACCCGCGCTGCGATACAAGGATCAAAGGCTGCGGGACATGCTCCAGTGACATTGCGCGAAACTTCACACGAAAATGAGGCTGCTCTAGATGATTCAGAAGCAGATGCGTCAGTTGCGTTTGTAGCTCCTGACGAGGAGCTTCCTCTTCACAAAAAGGAAACAGTCCAGAAGCAAAATAGTACGCCGAACGATGACTTTCGTGAGATTGATGATTGGGAGCTTAGCTTTGAAGACGTCTCATCGCCCTTTTACTCTGACCAGTGACGCATGAGCAGATGGACAGAACCAAGGCAACGTACATTTTAAGGCCATGTCTTTTCAGGAGATCGCTCGCAGCGCCCGGAGTCATCGATTTCAGCTCAGGGAAGCTCTCTGTACAACGTAGACATAGCCAAGTTCATGATCCAATATCCATTCGCGTCTTCAAAATTTCCCAAATTCACGAAACCACACAACACGCGACTGCATCAAGCCCAGGACTACGAATGCGCAGCGCCCAAAGCCTGGCAACGATCTGACGCACAACTGATGGCTCGTTCGAAGCTGAAAGCTGAACTTGCTTGGAACCAAGTCAAGTCCCTCAATGTTGGAGAGCTTTTGAAGAAAGTCAAGACGCTGGCCACTCAATTGGCTGAACTGAACCAAGACCAAATCAGCCTAGACACGTTGAGGCCACTTGCTGCACAATTTGCTACTGGCGAATTGCTTCAGCATAAGAATAAGGGCGTGACAGCCTATGCGGCATGCTGCGTGGCGGACATTCTACGCCTCAGCGCGCCCGACGCGCCATTCTCGCAAACTCAGCTGAAGCCCGTCTTTGAATGTTTCATCAAACAGCTGAAAGGCTTACATGACCCCGAAGGCCCCTACTACCCTCAATACTACTACTTGCTGGAGAGTCTCGCCACAGTTGAAAGCATTGTTCTCGTGTGCGATTTGCCGGAGAAGAGCGAAGCTCTCGTCGCCGACTTCTTCGAGGCGCTTTTTGCCACGATCCGCGAGGACCAGCGTAAAAACACAGAGGCTCACATGATCAGTATTATGTCGCAACTAGTCAACGAGGCTCCGATAGTGCCAGAGAGCGTCATCACACTTTTGCTCGACCAGTTCCGACAGTCAGAAGTATCTAAGAAAAGAACATTTTCAAAAGCGCGGGCCAGTCGCGAAGTTGCCGCTGCAGTCATGAATAATTGCGCCGACAGGTTGCAGCGCAATGTGTGCCAGCATTTCACCGAGGTCATTTGCGAAGCAGCCAAGCGAGAAAATGACGCCGACAACAAGATTGAAAGTTTACATCGAGTGCACGATCTCGTGCTCGAGCTGTTTAGATTCGCACCGACTACTTTACAGAATGTCATCCCGCAGCTTGAAAGCGAGCTGAACGTCGAAAATACTGAGTGTCGAATCGTGGCCACAGCTACTATCAATGCAATGCTCTCGAGCCTAAACGGAATGCTCGTACTGACGCAGTATCCGTCAACATTCAAGTCTTGGACGAGCCGGCGGAATGATAAATCTGCTCAAGTCAGGACAACATGGGTTAAGGGAGTAGGCCAAATTCTACACAGTGCACCAGGAGCCTCTCGAATCACTGAAGTGGAAAAGGTATGCATTGATGGCTTGATGACAAAATTCATCGATCTTGATGAGAAGGTACGCAGCGCTGCTTGTGAGGTCGTTGGAGAGATGCCTTACAGCGTTGCCAAAGAAAGACTCACCGCTGCTGTATTGGCTCAATTTGCTATACGATGCCGGGATAAGAAGCATGCTACGCAAGCTGTCGGCTTCTCCACTATCTCTAAGCTTCTCCACTCAGCACTACCTGATATCGCTGGTGGGAGCAGGCTAGCTAAGGACAAGTTCGGACCACTGGTCAATGATCTACTCCATTGCATGTACATCAACGATCTGGAAGTCAGCGCGATGCTGGAAGAAGGACTCCTGGACTCGGTTCTAGATGTGGTCAACGATGACGATCATTCAAGGTGCCTCCGCCTCATGGAAATGGTTTCCCTGGCCGACGATAGGGCACGGAAAGCACTTTTCGTTATTATCGGCACCAGGCAGTTGCGCAACAGCCAGCTGTTGTTCAAGTATATTCAGATATGCGACAAATACAATGGCGGCGTGATGGAGAAAAATCGAGAACAGATACTCATGCTTCAAAGTCAAGTGCACAACGCTCTTGCTGCTCAATTCGCGGATTCGCATGCTGCTGCAGAGGACTTGCTGCAATTTGCAAGACTCAACGACCGGAGATACTACAAGTTGATTCATGTGTGCATTGACCCCAGCAGTGACCATCGAGCCATCTGCAAGGCCTATTGCGAGTTCAAATCGCGAATCGGCAAAACCTCGAGCCGCATGGCAGCTACAATGATAACAATTCTACGGAGGTCGGCGTTCCTTGTCTTGAACCGCAGTATCATGCCTGGCATCTACACGGCTGCTACGAGCAGAGCTTCGTATCACGCTCTGGCCGCACAAGAATTGCTGAAAGTGATCACAAATTCGCACTCGAGCATTTATCGTGCATACCTTGAACCAATCATCGAAGACATCAAGGCTGAGGGCGTGTCAACGGCACTGGACAATCTCAGAGCTTTTGCCAAATTCGCTCGATCGAATGAAGATGCGCTTCCGGAGGACCCTGATTTTGCCAAAGTATTGAAGCGCATTGTGTTGGAAGGACCAGTTGCACACGTGAAGCAGGCGGTCACTATTCTATGCAGTATGCAGTCGAGAGATGTGGTGGCAATAGACTTGAGCCAGATCATCATGTCCAACCTAGTGTATGGCGAAGACAATCTTTTGCAGTCGCTGTCTGCTCTTGCACAGCTGAGTCTAATGGCAGCGCAGCCAATCGAGAAGTGGGCCAATGACATCAGTGCTTTCTGCTTGAAGGAGTTGCTGCTCAAATCTAGAACTCAGGTCGACGACGATGCTGACCAGGAATGGGTTGGCGATGACGCTCTGGAGGACGAGTGCAAGGCCAAGTGCTTGGCTATCAAAATTTTGGGCAATAGACTACGAGCGTTCAATGCAGCTGAGACAGCTGCGGAGATCGCTCGTCCAGTATTCAAAGCTCTGCGCTCTATTGTGGACAACGCTGGAGAGGTTGTGCCAGACAGCAATACGCCTCGTCACCATCGGTCGCGCATCAGACTTGAGGCAGCGAGGATGATCATCAAGCTTGCCCAATTTCCTGTCTACGAAAAGTTGCTTGGAGCTCGCGATTTCAACTCATTTGCCCTTTTTGCGCAAGACCTGGAGTACCATGTCCGCACCGCCTTCTTGAACCGACTACAAAAATCGCTCGTGGCAGGCAAGTTGTCTCCGCGCTTCCATGTGATTCTCTTTCTCGCAGCACACGACCCGGATGTGGCTTTGCAGCATCAGGCGACGCAATGGGCAAAAAACATCGCCCATAACCACCGCAATCAAGAGTATCTCATGGAGTCCATGTTGCCACGCTTAGTTCATCTGCTGGCTCATCACCCCGATTTCGCTGTTGACGACCGTGATGACAGCGACTTGCTCAATTTTGCCGTTTATTTCAGCTTTTACTTTGATGCCATTGTGACGGAGGAGAGTCTGACGCTTGTTTACCATTATGCACAGAGGCTCAAACAAGTGGCCGATGCCATCAGTGAAGACAACTCCGAGGTCGGTACACTATTTCTTAGTGATGTTGCTAACTTGCAGGGTCTACATATCCTATCTGACGTGGCTGAGGCGGTTTTCGCGGCAAAAGCTGAGCACAACAGTTGGCCACTGCATGCGTATCCAAAGAAGCTCAAGCTCCCTACTGACTTGTTCTGTGCTCTGCGCAGTACAGTCGAAGCTGCCAAAACACAGACCAATTCTTTTATCAGCGGGGAACTTCGTGATGCTATTCGCAACAAAGTAGCTCGCCTGACACGGCCGCGCATGGCAACGAGTTCCCATCAAACTGCTACTCTGTCATCGCCAGCCAAGGTCGCAAAGATCAACAAGCGTAGCACACAAGTGGAGGCGAAAACAGAAGCCAAGGTATCAAAGCGGCACAAGCCTGCCCTGCCAGGTACTCTGGCTGCTTCAGCAGGGCGTCGAACGAGCGGTCGAGTCAAGGCTTCCGTCGCGTATGCAGAAAGCGATCGCAAAGAGAGCGACTTGCTCAGCGCCGCGTCTGATTGAGATAGCGGACGAGGTATGAATAACAGCAAGTCCTTTTCCTATCTCCCGGGCTACTCATGGCATTGCTAGATTTCTCTCACATACCAAATACTCGGCTTACGTAAATTTCGCATTGCATTTCTTTCGCGTCCTCGTTCACTAGTGTGAATGTTGACGCGTCGACGTCATGAAGGAACGATTTATGGTCATTGATGCGCGACGAAGAGCAGTGGCAAGACACGCGATGATGACATGCGAGTACGTCAGTACTCTTCGGGTGTTTAGGTGTTTCGCGTGTTCAGCTGATACTGGGATTCCTTACTATGTTACTATGAGACCTTGCCACCTTTATATACTTGCGCTCATGGAAGCTGCTGGAACGTTTGTTGTGTCCATGGAAGCCAATAGAACATCTGTTGTTCTATTGCTTTCTCTTGTTTTCTGTGTTGTTCCATGATGGTCGTTCATAGACATGCGATTTGCCACTGCCGATCACGTCGTGAGATCTTTGTTGGGCTGGGGACGACTTTCCCGCTGCACCACAAAAGCTCTCAAGCATTCGGATACAGGGTCAGTGCTCCATATACCATTGCACCTGCGCACAACACTTCACCTGATTCTATATCCCCTCTCGGATCATAGCTTTGCGTCTATCAACACTGCGCCTAGCTTCCTGAGGTCTACATGGAGATCTATCGTCGACCCATGCCTGTGACCCCGAGCCTTCGCGACAGCAGCATTCGATATTTCACTGTCCCCATCGAGACTCGAACTTCGGATTGACTCATAACCTGTTGGGCTGGGGACGACTTTCCCGCTGCACCACAAAAGCTCTCAAGCATTCGGATACAGGGTCAGTGCTCCATATACCATTGCACCTGCGCACAATACCATCGCAATCAGTTAGCTGCAATCCGCTTACCGTCAATCAGGCTATGGGCCTTGAATAACCCGATCACGCAAACGTCAAAGCCAACGCAAACGCAAACGTCAAAGCAAACGCAAACGCAAACGCCAACGTCAACGCCAACGCCAACCAAGTGAATCAATGCCTCCCAAGACACGCCCAGAAGGCGTCGATGCCACCGAAGGCTCCGTACCAGCAGCCGGAGATGCCGATCCCCAGGCCGCTGCCCGCAAGCAGAAGCGCAGTGAGGACCTCATGCGATATGTCCCGCAAATGGTCTTCGATGGGAAACAGGAGTCGTGGGCAAACTTCAAAGCTGTATTTCAGATCACCGTGGAAGCCTACGCCCTGGACGACTACGTCTTCACCGACATCGACGTCGATGACCGTGCCTATGATCGAGTCTTTGCAGGCGATGCCAAGAGGCTGCTCATCAAACACCTCGATGCCAACGTCATGATGAGGGTCAACTTGGCAGAGTCGGCTGCCAAGATCTGGACCGGTCTTGTCAAGTCCAATGAGGGCAGCAAGGAGTTGCTACTAGCACGCCGCCAGGAGGAACTGTATGCCTACAAGTGCAAGGCTGGCACCTCCATGCAAGAGCACATTGATCGCGTGCTTACTCTGATCGCCAGAGTGGCGGACTGCGGGCGCAACGTGACGGACTTTGAGAAGCGGAGCGCTTTGCTCAACAGTCTGCCAAACGATTGGGAAGTGTTCCGCCAAGGGTACGTTGCAAACGGCAATGCCGACATCGACCTCCTCACCAATAGCTTGATGGGTGAGGCGGAGCGTCGCAAGAGCTTGGCAGGCACACAGGCGCACGCGATGTACACAACGCCGCGAATGGAGACCAGCTTCAGGCCTACCAGCTGGAGGCCAGGTATGAGAAAGAACTTCTCGGAATATAAGTGCTACAACTGTCAGCAGATGGGCCACATCATGCGCAATTGTCCAGAAGGTAAACAGTCAACAGGTAGCAATGAAAAGTCTGAAGCCTACTCCCGCTACCCGATCGTGATCGACCAGACTGCCAACAATTGTAAAGCGGCCAAAGCAGCAAATGTGATGCATACAGCAGCAAAGACAAGCGCCAGCAAGGCATGGGTCATCGATAGTGGCTCGAGCCACCACGTCAGCGGCCAGAAAGAGACTTTCGAGACCCTCTCACCCAAGTCAGCAGTACCAGCAGTGGCATTCGGCGACGGTAGCTCCAAGCCAGTCATGGGTAGCGGCATTGCCAGGGTCAATGAACAAGTGTTGTTGCCCGAGTGCCTGTATGTTCCAGATGTTGATTTCAATCTGCTGTCGATCAGCAAATTGACTAAGGGTGGCAGACGCGTTCACTTCGACGAGAATGGGTGGCAACTCTGGCAAGATGATAAGATGCTTGCCGCTGGAGAGGAAGGGGATGGCCTCTACTGGTTGTCCCCTCAGGAGGAAGCCGTTGCGTTAAATATGAAAGCAGATGGGAAGGCAAAACTGTGGCACCAGCGCCTTGCTCACATTGGCACCAAGGCAATGGATCGTATTGAAGACATGGTCGAAGGCGTCGACATGGGAGATGGAGAAGTTGACACCAGCGAGTGTGTCGGGTGCCTGAAAGGCAAGCTTGCTCGACGCCCTTTTCCGCAAGAAAGTCTCAGCCGTGCAACTGAACCACTCGCCCTCGTGCACTCGGACTTATGCAGCATGCCAGTTGAGAGCGTCCAGGGCCACAAGTACTTTGTGACTTTCACAGATGACATGTCGAGATTCAGCTGGGTGTATTTCTGCAAAGAGAAGTCGTCTGCCTTGGATGCTTTTGAGCAATTTCAAAAGCGCGCAGAGTTGGAAAGCGGCCACAAAATCAAAGTTTTCCGCACAGACAACGGCGGCGAGTACATCAACGCAGACTTCGACAAGGTACTCCGCGACGCAGGCATCCAGCGCAACCTCAGCAATGTACACACGCCGCAGCAGAATGGAGTCGCAGAGCGCCTCAATCGCACCCTTACTGAGCGCGCCAAAGCAATGCTTGCTACAAGCGGACTCGACGGGAGCTTCTGGTCGTTTGCCATCAACGCCGCGGTGTACATTGGCAATAGGTCGCCAATCAAAGCTCTTGAGGACATGACCGCCTACGAAGCCTGGTATGGGAAGCAGCCTAATCTCTCACACGCACGCGTCTTTGGATGCAAGGCTTGGATCCACGTACCAGGCGCAACCCGCAAGAAGCTGGACGACCACGCAAAAGAGGTAGTCTTCGTCGGTTATCCCTCTGGTACTAAAGGCTGGTGCTTCTGGGATCCCAAGCACCGCCGCACAATCAGGTCACGGGACGCTGTCTTTCACGAGACCAGCAACGACGGCGGAGAGGACGACAAGCACGACGACGACAACACTGAGGAGGTATCGGCGCAGGACAGCATCAGCGACGAAGAAGAAGACACCTTAGCACCCGAAGGCCAACATGAGGAAATGGAAGAAGTGGATGAGATCAACATGCTGTTCACAAAAGCTTTACCAAAGGTACTACGACCAGCGGCACAGATTGTCCAGCCAAATTCTTACCGAGAGATGACTAGTCTACCAGAGCGCGAGTATTGGGAAGAGGCTCAGCTGGACCAAATGACCACACTTTGGCAAATGAAAACTTGGGACTTGGTGGAGCGCCCAAAGGACCACCCTGTCATCGGCAACAAATGGGCATTCAAGGTCAAGTCTCTCCCAAACGGCAATCTGGACAAGTTTAAGGCACGCCTGGTCGCAAAAGGCTACGCGCAGATCGAGGGAGTCGACTTCAACGAGACATTCGCACCGGTCGCTAAGTTCACCACTGTCCGCACTCTGCTCACTGTTGCCGTCAATGAAGGTTTGGAAATCCATCACCTAGATGTCGTCGCCGCGTTTCCGAATGGCACTCTCAGCGAAGATGTCTTTATGGAGCAACCTCAAGGCTTCGAGGACAGTACAGGCCGCGTGTGCAAGCTCAAAAAGACCTTGTATGGCCTCAAGCAGTCAGGTCGGGAGTGGTACCTCGAGCTATGCAGATTTCTCACCGCTTACGGGTTCGTTCAGTGTGAGCAGGAGCAAGGCCTGTTCACCATGCCAAGTGGAGTAATTCGATTGGTGGTCTATGTTGATGATCTGCTCATCGTCGCGCGCGACTCCCATGCACTCGAGCATTTCAAGACCGCAATTAAGCAAAAATGGGCCATGTCAGACCTAGGTCTAGCCACACAATTCTGCGGCGTTGAGCTGGTGCGCCGCAACGACGGAACTATCGAGTTGTCAAGCTCGCGCTACATCAAAGATACACTGCGACGTTTCGGTATGGCAGACTGCAAAGGTACAGCACTGCCGATGGACCCAAACGCGAAGTTCTCGGCTCAGGACAAAGATGTCAAGCCCACGCAGGAGCAAATACTGGAGATGACCTCGATTCCTTACCAAGAGGCTGTCGGCTGCCTCATGTTTGTCATGACTACGACCCGCCCAGATCTCGCGTTTCCACTCAGCATCTTGTGCAAGTATATGTCACACCCAAGCCACGAACACTGGAAGGCAATGAAACGACTGCTACGGTACATGCAGTCGACAAAGGATGACCCCCTCGTCATCTCACGTGGCCCATTCAAGCTTGACGTATACTCTGACGCAAACTACGCAGGCTGCCAGGACACGGGCAAATCGACAAGTGGCTACGTTAGTCTCCTCGGCAACAACTGCGTATCTTGGTCAAGCCGCAAGCAGGACGTTGTTGCGCTGTCGACAACCGAGGCAGAGTATGTCGGACTCAGCAATGCCACAAAAGAGCTTCAATGGCTGAAGTGCATCATCGCTCACATGTCACCGCCAATCGATGGCAAAGATGCAGCACTTATTGTCGAGCTTCACGGCGACAATCAAGGAGCTATCGCACTGGCAAAGGACAGCAAATTTCACACACGCACGAAGCACATCTTGCCACGCTTCCACTACGTTCGCGAGTGTCTTCGACTTGGCTGTATGCATCTTGACTATGTTGCCACTGGCCAAATGCTCGCGGACCTGCTGACAAAAGCTCTCGGCCGAAGCAAATTCGAAAACTTCAAAAGGCTGCTTGGCATCGGGAAGACGGAAGGAGGGGATACAGAAGCAGGGGAAGTGTTGTGCGCAGGCAACTCTAGAGCGTGAGAGTTGTGCCGATGAGTTGACAACGCAGGCCTTAAAAGGCCAGCACACCCCATAGTTGAAGTACTAT